GGTGAAAATTTTTACCCACTACCCACTTTAAAAAAAAAAAAAAAACAAAAAAAAAAAAAAAGGAAAAAAAAAAAAAAAAAAAAAAAAAAAAAAAAAAAAAAAAAAAAAACCTTCTCTACGGGCACGTAAATTCTCGACTAGAGGCAAGTGTTTTTCCCCGCTGGCCACTACTATCGACCCAGAATTTCACTGTACATAGTAACGAGAAATACATAATTATACCCCCAAATACTGCAGTAAATAGTAAAAAATACATCATATGGTGTGAGGCTTCTCATCCTTCGATGCGGCTGGGTCGCATAGTGCAGATCGAAGATCACAGCGAGCTGTGGACTTCACTCCAGCCTTGCATGCGGGACACTCTCGGCCGTGTGTGATGAACAAGAGATGTAAGCTATACTTGAGATCGTCAGGGATTTTGGTTTCAAGATGCGCACGAGCCTGCTCTGCTGTAGCATGCATCGGCCTCCATCCCAGAAAACCAGTGATGCGATAGATGTGTGTATCTACCACGAACTTGTCTCTGTTGAGGGTTAAGGCGAGGACACAGCTAGCCGTCTTAGGCCCAACCCCATTGTAACTCAAAAATTCCTCCATGACTTGGTCGTCTTCAAGGGACCAGAGATGGTTGAGAGTATAGGAATGGTGTCTGGCTTTAACTTGATACAAGACAGAGATGATAAATTTGGCCTTTCTGACATGAAGACCACCGCAGGCTAGTGCCTGTTGGAGCTTGTTTTCACCACCATTCACAATTTCGTCGTAGCTTGTCCATGTCCCGTATGCGTTTGTCATGCTTCGTACTTGTCGGATAGCATTCAGCTCGTTGGTTGCCTGGCAAAGTATGCCGTAAACGAGCCCATCTAAGGGGTCTGCAAACACGCTGGGTCGATCTAGACCATCGGCATTCATCGCGTTTGTAGCGGCCGGATCACGCTCTCCATGTGCGGCTGTCAGAATGCGGTGGGCCTCTCTACACTCCTGGAGCAGTGGACGGTGGAAGTCCGGGAAAGGGGAGCGTGTTGCAAATTGGTTGTATTGAGTCCATTTCTTTTCAGGTTGTGTCTTCGGCTTCGCAGCGACAGTTGTGGCTTGACTGGCTCGAGTGGACCTGTGACCCTGAGTGCGAGATTTCTGCTGTCTTAATACACGGGCTATTCTTGCTCGCGTGAAAGCGCGTAGTTCCGATATTCTTCAAATGGGAACTTTTCGAGAAGTTCCTGATCTCGTCAAATCTGCGCCCTGAGAGATCGAGTGCCATGTCGATGACGTGGATATAGGGATCGATCGATAGAAATCTCATTTACTTCCGAAGCCCCCACTCCGAGTTCCCAGCAGACTCTCTCGAAGATATCTACATGATTGGCTGCACTGCAGAAAAGCGGGTACTGATCAAACGGAATTTTGTGAAGATTCCGTCGAGGCAGGGGTTTTAGCCTCTTTCTCGCCTCCCGTTCACACCAATCACGGCCACTCTCATCACAGTGCATGTTCTCCAGAGCTTGAAATCCATGGTTCAACAAAGGAGAAAGATTTTTCGGGTCTCGCAAGTCCAGAGTCCTGCGACGTGGATGCATCGAACTTCCGATTGGTCGATCAAGAGGAGACTTAAATCCTTGAAGACTGACAACATAGGGGCAAAAAATAGAGTATCCATCGGAGCAGAACCTTGGAATCACTTACTAGTCCTAGCACTCAATTACATCAAATCCAAGTTTTCAGCCTGGATATAAAGGTGTCAAGGTACGGAGTTGGGCAGAGATTGATTGGGAGATAACTCAGGTAGAACAGGGGCTCACACCGTCAACTGGTGACGAAAGGCATCATGTAAGCTTTATGATACTATTTGCTTCGTTTCGCTCCGCAATGAGCCTGCACAAGATGGGCTTAGGGTGTTCGTGGGGTATCCAGCACTTTGGCATATTGACTCTTCAATCTCAAGCGTCTTCCGTATAGATAGAACAGGATTGGAATAGGAACAAGAACAGCGGCGACGCAGGCCAACAGAGTCCCGGCCCACTGTATGCCCATGCCAGCAAACATCTGTCGAGAAAATAGCGGAAATCCCGCTGCCACAAGTGAGCGACACATCGTGTTTGCGGCTAGTGCAGACGCGGGTCTGGAATTTGATTAGAATGCGGTTCATCGGCATATGGAAGTACCACTCACAGCGCTAAATAGGTGTCGATTAAATAGTTGAACAATTGGATGAAGATAATGAGTAGACCGGCACCCGTGAACAGGCCACTCAACGTTGGTGCAATCCAGTGGATGCTACGCGTAAAGCCTGTCCAACCAAGCCAAAATAGCCCCATGGAGAAAAGCACACCAGCGAGGATCACCGGTGGAAGACGCCATTCGGGGACGGGAATATTGCCATTGGCCTGTAGCTTGACGTTGTAATCTTTGCTCAGAAAAATCATGTAGCAAGTTGCGGCGAGGAGGCCTACAATAATACCGATGAGTGGAAGTCCTGCCACGCCAGCGGACATCTTATAAACCCCCTGGAAGATGCTTGTATATGCAGACAAGAAGCAATAAAGTAAGCCGTAAATGAAGCTAAGATAGACTGTGACAGCCAATATCAACGGCTCCTTGTAAAGCATTTGAAGAGGGCGACCCAAATTGTTCACTACCAATTCATGGAAGTCAATTTCAATCTGATCGTTCTTAGCATGGATTCCCCAGTTTCCAGTAGAATGCCGTAACTCTTTAGCTTTGGAGCTAAGGATTACCGGAGCATAGGTCTCTTTCAGGAAAACCAGATTCAGAATGAAAGCCGCAAAGCCCATAAAAGCAGGTATGTAAGCTGTCCAGCGCCATCCAAGGTAAGATTTGTTCATGAAGCCACCCACACATGGTGCGATCAATGGTCCCAGAAAGACAGCATTGGAAAAGAGGGCAATAGCGATTCCACGTGCACGGTTGTTGTACAGGTCGGCAAAACTAGCAGCAACATTGATAAGTGGGCTGCTGCCGAAGGCGCCGCAGAAGAAGCGGCAGATCATAAGAGTTTGAAGATCTTTGGACACCGCAACTGCAATGTTGAAAATGCCAAATCCCAGCATGGCCACGACTATGGGAAACCGGCGGCCATAGAGCTCGGAAAGCGGCGCCCAAATCAAAGGCCCAAACGCGTAGCCGAGAAGGTAAACGGAGCTTGTGAGAGAAGCAACTTCAACGCTCACCCCGAAATATGTGGACACATGGCTGGTGGATGAGCTAAAAACCGCCGAATCAAAAGTTGAGGCGAAGCAGGTGAATCCTAGTATGAAGCTCAGGTAAAGCCTGGAGATTTGCAAACAGGCAAGTCAGAATTACGATCGACGAAGAGGGACGGGGAAGAACTCACTTTGTGCTCAAAGGCCAGTTTTGGGGAAAGGTAGGGTCTTCTGGTCCGTCAAAGTCGACAACATAGCTGTCGCGACCTGGCAAAGGTGGTGGGAGCGGCCTCCCTTGGCCAAATGACAGCAGTGGTGGAGTTTGACCAGGGTGTTCTAATTGTCGATTTTGTTCGACATCAATGTCGAGTTTTTGGCAACTGGCATTGATATCGAGAGAGCTTGATAGGCGGTCTTCTTCTGTGGACGATTGTGTTTGTTGGCCGAAAGTTGAGAGCTCCAAATCCCTATTATTCGGGCCCATGTTTATGATTGAGGTGAGCAACTTCGCAGTGGAAATAGCCCGTCAATTTGGGATCGAAAGAAAACTCACGGAGAGAAACAATGTGGAATATTCCAATGGCTCAGAATGTGAGCCTTTATCTCCGAATGCACAAAGTTGTGATGCACATGGATTCACAAGTTGATGCCGTGACATCCGCCAAAGCGCGGACAGTATTATGCACGGACGAGTAGATCCACAGCTTCCAAGTCTCACAGAAAATGCTTCTGGAAAAAGAAAGCGAACAAAAAGGATGGCTCCACTTGGCAGAAGACGGGACAGCGGAGCTACATGTTCCGCATAAAGTGGGATTTCTGTACGACGCCGCGTGTGAGATGCGCTATTCTCGGAGGTTTTCATATAGAGACTTCTTTATAAGCAGAGGGGCTACTCAGAACGAAAGAAACATGCAAGAATGCAATCGTCTTGAGAGTGGTAAGAAGGAGAAAGGAAAAAGAAAGCAAGATCTAAGAACTACCTATGGACGGAAGTATCACCTGACGCTCCAACACTTCTACTGACCGCGTGTCGAGAACAGTTCTAACCTCTCAGTTGGGGCTCGATGTGGATATAGTAATGGATCAAACGCCAAGGGTCCACTCGTGAGACACTCCGGGACCTGCCTCACCAGAAGACAGAGCCCCCAGGGCTGCCCAGCTTACTGATTAAGTCCGAATCGATCCCGGACTCAGTAAGCTAACCTTTAAGCTGATGGACCCCTTGGCAACATGCACTTGCTCCATTTTGATTTACTGCCAGCCGGAGATGGGTTTTTTCCTCCGGGAGCACATCATGCATTTGTATACAAAAGTACACCTTGCCCTCTCTGCTGCGAAGGAGAGTGTTTGAAATCCAACTTTTTTGCCTGACTCATTTGGGACTTTTACCATTTACAAACAACAAAATGCACCTTCAATTTCTGGTCAGAGGATTTTGCTTCCTCTTGCCCTTTCTCGTCCAACCTTCTCTCGCCGTGCCACGCCTCGGGAAGAGCTACGGATCTCGACCAGTCTCAACTGTCTTCCAGCTTGAGCGAAACAATACCTGGTTCGAAAACCTCGCTATCCGATCAAATGGCAACATTCTTGCCACAAGAATTGATAGCCCAGAGTTTTGGTCAATTGTCCCTAGCGGCAACAGTAGCCAGCTAGGCCATGGCTCCTGTCTCTTCAAATTTCCAAACGCCACGAGTACTATGGGAATTGCAGAAATCGACCATGACGTGTTTGCGGTACTCACTGGCAACGTCTCTCTCCCTAGCATCTATCCGACCCCAGGGTCATTTGTTGTCTGGACTGTCGACCTCACCACTACTGTGCCTGGGGTCAAGGTCTTAGCAGACATTGCCGGTGGCCAATTCTTGGACGGAATGACCAAGTTCGGCGACGATCTCCTCTTGATTTCTGATGCTCTCAAAGGGGTAATCTGGCGCCTCAACATCACAACCGGCGAATCTTCGCTAGCTTTGTCAGACCCTTCAATGCTCCCTGCTGCTCATCAGCCGGTTCAAGTTGGGGTCAATGGAGTTAAAGTGTGGCACAACTATCTCTACTTTACTAGCACCAGCCAGGAGCTTTTTGCTCGTGTTCCCCTCAACGCCAACGCGACGGCTGTAGGACCCGTGGAGGTCATCACCAGTGGGTTTGCGTTTGACGATTTTATCCTGACACCGAATGGAACGGCCTACCTGTCGACAAATCCCGAGAACGAACTGATTCAAGTATCGCCCCGGGGACGTGTTCGTTTGTTCGCAGGATACCAGTTCATGTTGTCGGTTGGCGGGTCAACTGCTGTTTCTGTCAACCCCGAACATTCTATGCTGTATGTTGCAACCAGCGGGGCACAATTTGCACCAGTTTTGGGCCGAATGGAACCTGCGAAGATTGTTTCCATTCGCCTATAGTTCTCGCAAGTCGGATCGTCAGCTTTGGAGGTGTGCCATTGTGCCATCTGATAGTCCTCGGGGGCTTTACTCTCGATAGCCCAGACCATCATGTATAAATAATTCTCCATATCTCTGTCTGTTCCTTAATCGATCTTTCGTTCTGGGGGATTTAAAAAACGTACGATGGCGTTGGAATAGAATGAATGTCTGTGGTAACTGTCTAAGGTAACCACTCATTACCAAGCTCTCCGCCAGTTGCTTTGAAACAATTGACCAACACCCGCAGTTCAATAGTTCAATAGTTGATGAATAGAGTTGTTTTCCAGTGTCAAATTATCATGATACTGTACTCAATTAACAGAGAAACACGATGATACAGACGAAATTTACCCAAGTATGACTTTCTTCAATGCCATTTCTTTGCGTACATGGTCTGCAAGACTTTCAAACCGCACGCCACGGGTATCAGGTCCACTTAGTCCAGAAATCTTGGTGCCAGAACACTTGTTCTCTCAAGAATGAATGACACAGGAAGCTCGACAGTTTATATGAAGGCGGAAACAGAAGGTTAGTAGATGTGTTACAGGGTTGCAGTAGAAAACACCATGTCTCGCTGGGTCACCTGAAGATGTTTCTAGTGTGAAAGTGTAAGGAATCAAAAACGTGGGAATCGTCGAGCATTTGCCAGAACTTGTGACCACTCTGAGCCTAAAGTTTACTCACGGTTATACATACTCCATCGACGAAGTGGGGAGATGGGAATCAAAGTCTCGGAGCACTCGGCCTCCGAATGTCCCGATGTCCGAGAGATCTCTCACATTTGAAGGGAGTATTGTGCATTAAATCACAAATTTTATGAATTTGGAGTCGTCATTTTGTTGACCTCGAAGATTCCGCGTGCACAGTTGCATGATCAGATCAGGTCTTTTAGATTCCGTGAAGATTCCGAGGCAGCGACCCACATAAATACCGTATAATTGGTTACTGTGTTATTCCACTGTGGGCCTGATGATTGACTTAACCCACATCGTGCGGAGAAGACGATCATCAGTACTCCATCACTCCAAAGGGTAGAAAACGCGAGATGATGTCCTACAGAAGGAGTGCAACAGGTTTCAATGTACTGGACCCCACTCGATCAAAAAGTAGTACATATGTACAAAGTATTTTCTTTGGAATTAACAGTTAAGTTGTGCATAAAAGTCCCTGAATAATTTGGGAGTCTATAAGGCCGAAATAGCCAAATCTCGTTCCATGGATATTGACGCCATGGCATTCTATGTGCTTTGAAAAATTGGGCCTGTGACGCCGTGAAATGCATAGAAAATTGTGCGTTCTTGCTACACCACCCATTGATCTCGCTGGCAAGAACCGTAGCTCACTTCCAATGTTTTCAGACAGTCTAGCCTACCAGCTTCGCAGCATGAGAACGTGACATTGATAAATATAACAAGTTATGATATACATGTTGTTCAAGCTACAAGCAACGAGCGTGCTTTGAAATGGTAAAGGGTTGAGAAGTTGAGTACAAGACATGAGGACATGAACTGCGTCCAGGTTCAACCTTGTTACCTCTGTAGTTATATGTCAGCCCTTGAAATACCAAATCGGGACTGATGTTTTCGGGGAAGCGTCGCTCGCCAGAAGATTTGAAAGATGTGCCAATCAATTCATTGATGATAGGCCCCGCAAGAGAATTTCTGCAATCCAAGTTCCCTCTCACGACGTTGGCGCGAAACGTGATCACTACCTATGCAAAGGGGCATGGTCTGTTTTCTGTTCTAACCAGCATCGAATCTTTACAGCGTAGAGCTGGGAGCTGGCAGTCATTGAAGATCAGTGATGAATCGTATTTCAGAGCGCTGTGTGGAACGCCTTGGGCGTGTCTCAAATCTACTCCGTACACACGTCGGAATATCGGCCCAGTGATTATCCCTTGTATTCAATTACTGCCCAATAGACAGCTTGATAATAACACCATTTTTCCAGCTTGCACAATCTGTGGTATGGACTCTCAGCGCTTGGATTTACCTACCTGGCAGCACCCCTTACTGAAGAGGTGTTGTCTGGCTGCATGTGACGCAATGGCTTCATTTGTCACGATGGAATCATGGGGCCAGCATCATAAATCGGCATAATGTTTTCAATCTTTGACTATCAGGTGTTTATGCATAACATTCATAAGACAGAGCAAGTTGAATCCAGCAAACCAAGAATGTGACATCTTCAATGAACACACTTTGATGTCGAGCCTTGGAAAAAGAAGATCGACGTGGGATCCACTGACCAGATCCGTAGATCCCCCTCGAGTTTGCTCCGGTGGTCAAACTATCTGTTCAATGGTACTATGAATCGGCACGAGGAACCGAGCCCCTGCAGATACTCGAAGATATTTAAACCTTAGGTGAGAAACACTATCATGATAATTCCACTCTCCTTACATATACACTACAAATCAACTCAACCTTCAATCTTTGATCATCGACAATGGCTTCTGAATATGAGACCCCGGGAAACCGAACGATTGCCACGGTCTTGGACAACTTAGCCAGAGAGCATCCGACTAGGCTGGTCTGCAAAGCACCTAAAGGCCCTCGGGTTGCCAATGGATTCTCATCCTTGGACATTGGAACTCTGTCTAAGGCCGTGGACTCAACTGCGTGGCTGATCACCGAATCTTTTGGAACTCCTGAAAAGGATGAGGTTCTGCTTAACCTTGGTGACAATGACATCCGATATCTGGTGTTTGTTGTGGCTTGACAGAAAGCTGGTTTTAAAGTAAGTCGTTCTTGGACCCGTGGACAGAGAATAGTGTTCTCATCACGCTGACTTACCAGCCCTTTCTGCCTTCCACCAAAAACACCATTGATGTACAGTGTGCGCTCCTGGAAACAATGCGTTGCTCCGGGGTTCTTTTTAGTTCAGCTTTGAAACTCGAGGTGGAAGAGATCAAAACGTTGGCATCTGTTACAGCGGTGGAGGTGCCAAATTTCGAACAGATGGTGATGCACTTTTCGCGGTGCTATCCATATGACACGGCGTATCACACAATGGAGGATGAAACTGCAATTATCATTCACAGCTCTGGGACAACAGGTACGAAATAACCAATAACTATCACTTGTTCACCCGAAATTGACGATTTCCAGGTGTTCCCAAACCAATCCATCTTACTCACGGATTTCTGGGTACTATGGATAAACAAGGCCAGATTGCTGTTCCCAAGGGGAGGGTATCAGCTATTCCCAAAAAAACCGGACAAAACTACCTTTTCCTCTCCACAGCTCCGTTCTTCCACTTGATGGGGATATATGCTGTAGCAATGTCCGTTTTTCACGAGGCTCCATTTGTCTACCCGCCTCCGACTGCAACACTCGCTGTTCAGACACTTATCGAGGTGATTAGTGCAATGCATCCGACTGTTGCTGTCATCAAACCGGCCCTGGTTGAAGCAGTGGGCCAATCGGCTTCTGCTTTGGAAGCGCTGTCTGCTCTAGAGATGGTTTGCATCGGCGGGGCACCTCTAGCACCGGATGTCGGGGAAGCTATGAACAAGAGAACCAATCTTGTATCTATCCTGGGTGCTAGTGAGCTCGGCCTCGTACCATCTCTTATCCCAGAGAACAAAGCAGACTGGGAATACTTTGAGTGGAACCCAAATTACCAACTGCGGATGGACCCAAGCGGTGATGATAGCCAACTGCATGAACTGGTGATCCCACGCGGCGAGTCCAGAGATATCCACGGGATCTTTCACACAATCCCGGATCTGATGGAGTATCGCACCAAAGATTTGTTCAGCCCACATCCGACTCGACCCAGCTTATGGAAGTATGAAGGCCGGCTGGATGACGCAATCACATTGATCAATGGCCAGAAGATTAACCCCATTCCAATGGAGAAGATCATCGAGGGTCATCCTATTGTGTCTCGGGCGGTAATAATTGGCAACCGCAGATCTCAACTGATGCTCCTTGTCGAGCCTTGTAGCTCAAACCTGTCGAGCAGAGATAAGTCGGACGTTTCAGAATACAAACGCACGATCTGGCCCAGTGTCGAAAAAGCGAATGAGCTCGCACCTCATGGAGTGCAGATTGCAATCATGAGGATCATGCTTGCATCACCGGGGAAGCCCTTCCGCACGACTCCAAAAGGCAGCACGCAGCGCCGAAAGGTTCTTGAGGACTATGAAAGGGAGATCGATCACGTCTATCAGCAAGATGAGCACTGGACCACTTTGTTTAAAAATGGCTAGTCACGTACTTGCGCAGAGGGCTTGCGAGGGGTTGAAGTGGTGAGAGTGGGGGAACTCAGAAGCCACCAGCTTCTCTCCATTTCGAGGCTGTACTAGCTAGACGGTCAGAACAGAGCTAGAAATAGAAATTGATAGAAGACAGAAGAGAGAGAGATCGATCAGTTGATTGAGATGGAGCTAGAGAGAGAGCAAGAGAACTGAGAGCAAAGGGGAAGAAGAAGAGATCAAGAACATGTGATCTCCAACAGAAACACAAATCAATATTTGAGACTTCACTCTTGTATTGGAATCCTCGCTTGTATTACAATAGCAAAGCTCGACAGGCTTTTCGGAGATCTCGCAATAACCCCACGACCTGTAACTCTATATGGAATCTTGCTAAACGATTGAACATTTTCACTCATTCAATGTATCGGCTTCAGAGAGTTCGAGTGCCACATGCCAGTCCAAATGCTCAAGTACTTCACTTGCGGGGACTGAAATTTTGCAATGGGGACACACGTAAAGTTCTGATTCTGATTCCAGCCCACCAAAAGTTTCCTTGTTTATCAAAGCAGATTTGAATGATTTTCCCTCGGAGACGGAATTGCCTTCGAGGGGTGGAAGCTGGACACACTCACGCTTCTCGGGCAGGTCGTCAGCGTGCCGATTTGCCGTAGAGTCGTTTGTCAACTGTTTCGAAGGCGACTTTGTGGTGGCGTAACTTGTGAAGTATGATGAAATGAGGCCATGATGTCGTGGGACTTTCTGAAATCCAGAAATCCGTAGAGACAAACTTCTGCAAGGCCAGCTGTTCTTTTCCCTGACAATCTGATTAAGTAGATCACGGGCGGTCTTGTACAAGGATTCCTTGGTTATTGATATTGATCTTGGTATGGTGAGCTGCTTGGAGCGAGTGGGACCAAAGCGGCCCTCTATGAGGTGATTCAAAGTAACCACAGTGGGGCAGACTTGATGGCCTTCAGCATCCAGCTCTGCCAGACGACTCAACAGATCTGCAACAAAAATGTGAAGCCATTTTTCCGCCTGCTCAACCGAAGTGATTTTTGGCACGAACGTTTTCGCAGAGAGCATGGACTGGACATCGGTTTGAGGGTTGATCTCACTTTGGTCTTCACCATGTATGATTTTGAAAATCCACTCCCCAATCTCCGGCCCCATAGCTTCTTCCATCTGAGGCAGAGATACATGATGGAGCTCTGAGACCATGTCTGTCTTGAAAATTTCAACAAATTTGGCACCCAAAGCTCCTCCAAGGCCACGTATCTTGGTGAGCTTGTGCGCAGAAAGAAATTCGCAAGTTCCTCGACGCAGGACAATTGTCTGGTGATTCGGCTTCTTGTGTGCGCTTGCAAGTTTGGCCAACATCTTGTTACGGGCTATACCAGCCGAGCAAGTGTACTTCAACTGTCCAAAAATCTCACGTCTTAGGTTTTGCACAATTTCCGATCCGATAAGCAAAGACAAATCATCCCAATCAACAGGTTCAAGTCCTGTATCATCTCCAAAGACAGAGTCTGCGTGCCAATCTAATACAGCAGTATCTGGCAAAGGCAGAGGCTCACTTGGTGACGAAGTTTCCCCGTCTAGCAAGTTAGGGTATCTCTGCATCATGATGGCATAAACCTGCGCCGAAAGGTCGAGGAATACTTCATCGACGCTGGCCTTTTCGATTAGTGGTGGGGGATCTTGTGGCAACGTTCTTCTGATCACCCCATGTCCCTTTCGTGATTCTAGACGGTACGGATCTAGGGCTGCTTTGTCGGTGCCTGGCATGATGGTGGCAACAGGTCTGTATGCCCAGGTCTCAGATCTTTCTCTCCAGGTAGGAACATGTTGCAGGACTATATCCGGACATTTCAATCTAGCTTCTTTGACGGAAATGGCACGGGCGAGTCCATATCTCCTGGCTGCATAATTCAACGCGATGATGGCATCCCATTGCTGCACGCCCAGAGGCGTGTCTGGAGAAATCCCCAGGCGCACACTTTCACATTGGGCATAGAACGAATCGTAATCAATCAGCGAAATCACACGCAGGGGGGATTTCGACGACGACTGGGCCAAGAGCGAGAGGTCACGTCGGGTGAATCGAGAGGTAACGTGATGTTGTCCCATTGCTCTTGGACATTTGGGTTGAGGAATGCAATGCCGTGGTTATGGTAGTTAAGAAATCTGCTGCATGGTCACCGGTCTCTCAAGAAAATTTCCAAAATGGGATCCTAGGTCGATCTGGAGCCACTTGCAACTGGCATCATGGCTCTTTGCGCCACCGATCCCAGAGTTCCGATCTTCCCGAGTGCGTGGTTACGGAGTACATGCGCACTCCATAAAACAGAGGGACTACTCAGAACGAAAGATAACATGCAAAAATGCAATGCCCAGGTGTTATTGAGAGTGAGAAGAAAGAGAGAGGAAAAAGAAAGCAATATCTGAGAACTGCCTAGGTATGGACGGAAGCATCACATGACAGCTTCAACAACACCTGGGCACTTCAAACGTTCTTCACGTACGGTGCTCAAAACAATTCAAATGTCCTCTTTCCCTTATATTTATTGTGGAAGACGCCAGATTAACAAACATGGAATTCTCAGGATGCTACTGTGTCTTACGTCGTTGTGCTGAACCTGGGCTCAATGACTGTTCAAGGAAACATCAAACCAGCCAAATCTAGATCATCATTTTAGTTTCATACCTAAATACTGCTCCAAATTCAACATTGATATTCACACACCGATTCCTGCCAGATTTGCAATGTGGTTGCCCAGGTGTGCTTGGGAGATGCTCGTGCTCATCACCCTATCTCGCAAAAATACCTAGGTATATCTCTATCGATTATCTGGGCACACTTTGTTCAGGTGTCTACCTAGTAGCTATCTTTCGAAGGTAATTATTTTCCAACTTTCACACTAGAATTGGTGTTCAAGATTTTTAATGAGAGACAAAAAAGAAAGAAGTAGACCCCTAGACTGCGAGACAAGATGATACCTAGTAGATCATTGAGACCTCGGGAAGAACTTTAATGGTATTTTGGCCATTAACGAATTGTCTTAAAGCTAAGACGACCTGTGTCCACTTCTAACGATGTACCCCTTGACGGGCCCCGGGAAGAAGAGGCCGGAGAATAGTGGGCTAAATTCTGGCCGGGGGGGCTTCCAAGGTGGGCAATGAGCTTCGGCGTTTGGACCGCGGAAGATGCATAACTGAAGACGCAGTTTCCACGGCCCGCACTTGAACTGCCAGGGTTAGGTCCTTGGCAGTATACGAATAGATTCCGAATCGATCAGAAGTACTAGACCATGACGCCAGCCTCGTCCCGATTTCCACACCGCGGTTTGTGCTGTTTGCATTCAGGTCTTAATCAGCAACAGACATGCAAGGTATAAGTAGGAAGACGATTCTTGAAAGGAATTTGGAGATTATCATCTACTCGAGGCCAATTTCGAAATGAGCAACAAAACTAGCACTGTTGTGCCCGCTGGCAAGGTGGCCTTTGTTACTGGTGCGAACGGCATCAGCGGCCATGCCATCATCGAGCATCTCATTCGGACGCCTGAGTCAGAGTGGTCAGTCTACAAAAGCTGAGTCCCTCGAGTGACAGGAAGATTTCTAATTGTGCAAAAAGGTCCAAGATCATCGTTACCTCGCGGAGACCACTTCCATCATCCTGGGTGGACCCTCGTGTCCAGTTTGTGGCCATCGACTTTTTGCAACCGGCTGAGACCATTGTGAACGCAATCAAGACCATTTGCAAGGATGTCACGCACGCCTATTTTACCTCCTATGTCCATTCCATGGATTTCTCCATTCTGGCCGAGAAGAATTGTCCTCTTTTCCGGAACTTCCTGGATGCCGTCGACTCAGCCTGTCCCAAACTCGAACGCGTCTGCCTTCAAACCGGCGGTAAAGTAAGTGAGGCTGGGACCATCGTATGCTACAACACCTAACACCCTAGCAGCATTACGGAATGATGTTCAGAGAGCTTTCCACTCCATTCCATGAGGATACCCCACGGTACGAGGGCCCGGGATCAGAGTCGATCTTTTACTATGAGCAGGAAGACGACATGATGCGGGTGCAAAAGCGACGCAACACATGGCACTACAATGTCATTCGTCCCATGGGTATCATTGGTTACACCCCTCAATGTGAGTATTCGGCGAAGTCAAAGTTGAAAGCTCTTGGTAACTAACAACCGAGACAGTCAACGGCATGAATGAGGTTATCCCTATTGCTCAGTATTTCCTCATCTGCAAAGAGCTTGGTGAAACCCCAAAGTGGCCAGGAAACTTGCGCAACTACCATCGTGTCGAAGACCAATCCTATGCTCCTAGCATTGCCGATCTCACTGTGTGGGCGACAACCCAAGAGCACTGCAAGGATGAGGCGTTCAACCACACCAACGGAGATGTCATTTTGTTCAAGTTCTTGTGGGCCCACCTCGCAAAATACTTCAACGTCGAAGTCCCAAGCTACTCGGACATGCCTGACAAGGACCAGCCGGAGCTGGACCTGGTGGAATGGTCTCGTGGCAAGGAAAAGGTGTGGGATGCTATTGTGGCCAAGTACGGTGGCCGAGCCGACTGCTTCCAAACCGAGGGATTTGCCATGCTGAACTGGGGATTCAATCCATCCATTAACATCAGGAGCCCCTTCATGAGCACGGTTGCGAAAGCACGAAAGTTTGGCTGGAACCGCATTGACGACTCCTACGAGGCTTACGATCGCTCGTTCCAATCCTACGAGAATACCGGCATTCTCCCTTGCTCCCGTCACTATCAATGAATTCACTTGCCGGGAGATTCTGGAGGTTTCTCTTATGCAGGTAAATTGGTTCGATGAAAGTTCCACAGACCTCGGAGAGCACTTTTTTGCATAAGTACCGGTGTTGAATCTGGGATATATGTTGGTAATGTGTTGTTTGCAATTTCAAAAAAGTCTCAGGGATTTACAACTCCCTGAGAACGAAATTCATTGATTCAAACTCATTTTTTGAGGAAGCTTCCTATCACTTCAATCTAAAAGCCTGGCAGCGGTAACCGTCAGTGACAAAAAGAACCAAGAGAAAGCTGAGAACTACAATCACAATGCAGGATCCAATTAGATTGGATAATCCAGAGAACAAGTGTATCTGAAAAACCATAGTGTGATTTTGCGACAGTGGAAATATTTGACCTGTGAATGTTCTGCTCAAAAGTGGAAATCGTCCAGTTCTTCGCAAAACTCTTGGTCATGCCAAGCTTTCTTTGGCCCCTATCCCGATGTTATGCTGATTGCCTCTAGCGCCAAGAGTCAGAATTATGCATTTCCGATTATGGGGTCTCCAATATTACACTAAAATTATCGGCTCATAGTGGCCATTTGGAAGAAACACTAGCGTACGTGCCGCTAGTCGAGAATTTGCGTGTCCGTAGTTGGCCTCAGACTTTTTTGGTAGAAAAACAAGCAAATGCAACATTTGAAGGCTCCTGAATGTGATACTTTACTGATGAATTTGAATAGAAACCTTGCATCTCAGATGAAAAAATGAAAGGTCGCAATCGTGATTTCAGAGCTTCGAAAGGGCAGCGACTGCCCTGGGGATTGTGAGCGTTTCTTGCAATCTCCTTTCACCCAGTCCATATGCGATTGGGAGCCAACTACTGACATCCTTTCCAAGTACCATCAAAGCTAATGCCTCACCACTCATCAAGCTATTCGCCATGCCGTAACCATTAAACGCGGCAGCAATCCACTCGCCGCCCCCCTCTCGCCCTGTCAAGCGTGAGGACAATAGTCCAATGATTGGAAGACCGTCGGGTGATTCACCCATGATCCCACTCCATGAACTGACCAGAGGCCAGTTGGATGTATTGGTCCTGCCGAAGAATTTTGGCAACACTGACTGAAGGTGATCAACAGAGTGTTCGGCCACAAAGCTGTCATCGGCGGTCACAGACTCGTCAACGCGAGCATTCTCCCCACCAAAGTAGAAATATCCAGATTTGGCACTCTGTCCCAGATAATAAAGCCCGTATCCGACGCGTTTTGTTTCCGGGTCACAGGATGGCGGATAATGAAAGCCCCACGAGAAAGCAGCTCCCCGATTTGGCACCGAGTTTCCTGGATCCTGAACGGTCATTGTCCCTTTGAAAGGGTGAATCAGTCCTCTTAACTTGGGCAGCAGATGGCCGCTGTACCCATTGGTACAATGAATCACATGTCCGGCTCGCAGTGGACCACGGGGAGTGCGCAAGACATAGGAATTGCTGGCTGCAGGCGAGGGCGTGTATTCCACAGACTCAACCGGAGTATGGGTCTCCAGTTTGAGTCGGTTGGGGTATTTTTCCAAAAGCGCCGCAAACACCCTCGTGACGAGACGATATGGCCAAACCGTGCCAGCAGGAAGGAGTGCTCCTCCAAATGTGCCGTGGATTCCATGATCCTGAGGAAGTCAGCCCTGAAGATGAACGCCGTCGACTATCTGCACGATACGGGAGGGCTACAACTCACTTTGACAACTGTATCCGCATCCACAATTGTATACAAGCCTCTTTTGGAAGGATGATCTGCTTCCAGACGCGCAATACTTTCCTTGAATTCGTCGAATTTACCCTGCGTGAGAAACACCCGCAATTTCCGCAGACTCTGCATCTCGCTCAATTCCACCGCATCATACTCTCGGATCAGCTCCTGCATCTTCTCCAAATTACGGAAAGTGAAATCAACAATCTTGCCCGCGGTTTCGGCACCATGGCTCTCCGCTAGGCTCGAATACTGCTCACCCGCATTCGCAGCCATTTGTCCACCATTACGCCCCGTGGCCCCGGAACAGAGCGCGCGGGCCTCCAAAACCGTCACCGTCGCAGTGGGATGATGTTCCAAGAGGGTTTTGGCTACTGCGAGGCCCGTGATCCCCGATCCAATGATCGCGATATCTTGATCGGCTGGTAAATCCGGGGATTGAACGCCCGCGAGCGCATGTGGAATGCGTTGCCAGTAGGAATGCGTGGGGTTGGGCCGTGGCAGGCCTGGGTCTGCCGTGACTAGGCTGGAAACTATCTCCCAGTTCAGTAATTTGATTGTAGAACATCGGACTGAATTGCCCAAGATTCAGAGAATATGATTTACCGGAGTCGTAAGGTGCCATACTAGTCCTGGAGGGAGAGATGGAAACCAAATTGGCGAGGAATGGAGTCTGATATAGTGCGGGGTTTGTCCCGTGTTATCTATCGCCCGAATGAGCCCTTAGGGACTTCCAAAGTTCCAGGGCGAGGTGATGGCGATTGAAATAAGTGCAGGGGAGCAAAAGAAGAGCCGGGAGATACAAAGAAGTCCAACTACATAGTGTTTTGTGTAAGTGGTTTCTGTCCGTGATATTCACCACATGGAGCAGGGTGTCACGATCTGGACAGATCAAGCTTTTTTCTGCGGTATGGAAGACGGTTTGTATGTAGACAGTGATCTCATCTAAATCCAAGAATTGGGGAACAAGGGCCTTTACACAAGGCATGCGGATATGTTTACATTCCAGAGGGCATTCCAACTGGCCTACAGATCCCAGCTTCTGGAGCCAGTGGAATGCGGATGCGTCGTGCACTGATGGTTTTTGAAGGTATAATTTTGTCGCGATTCCCCTCGACTCTTCAGTCATTGAAATAGCACATCAGTCACCATGAAGCTCTCCTCGGTTCTCCTCACCCTCACCGCGCTGGTCACTACCGGAATTGCCGATAAGACCTGTACACCTAGCTTCGACTATTGCTCTGATGTCTTGATCAAGGACAAAGGTAAGATGCTGATGCTGGACCTGTGTGATCATACTAACTCGCTGCATAGGATTCACCGAGGCTGACCTCAAGGATGTCCTGAAGGGCACCGATTTCGAGAACGAAGACGTCAAGAACATCCTGTTCCACTGCAAGAACCCGGGCATCGTGGGCCACCCCAAGCTGTGCAGCAGTGGATGCCAAGACCCCGAATCTGAGGGTAGTCACTCGTGTTCAGCGTAAGCAGACCTGGTCGCCTCTCCAGAACATGCGGCTAAATCATGCTGGCATGCTCGGCATGTGCACTCAACCTATACCAATGTACCTATTTTGAAACATTATATTTAATGAGACATTTCGAAGGCCACAGGGAATTGCATCTAAGCCTTCCAAGGTTGGATGGGAATCGTCATCGAACCACAATTCCTGATTGAAGGGTATCCCCTGTATTGGTAGATGGTTTCATGATCCGACTGGTTGTTCCGACCATGCCACATGTCCACTGATCGTACAACCGGCGATAACATGTCACTGTAGGGAGTGATTGGTGGGTGTGAAGATCAACCCGAGCAAAAGTGATCAGATTGTCTTTCAACAGAAGAGAGAGAGAGAGAGGGAGAGAGAGAGCAAACACAGCAAATCAAACACAAATAGACAAACAGAGCAAACATAACAAACATAACAAACATTGACCCAAACATACTGACGTCAGCCCTCACCGCCCGGCCCCCCTCCAAAAGACCGGACGGCGACATGCATCTTGCAGCCAAATCGTAAGGGAACGCAGGTACCAGGAGGGTACCTAGAGGTCAGGCCACTGCCTAGGGCGCCCTGGAGAGCTTCGGAAGCAATTCCACCAGATATAAAAGCCAGGCCTGAAGTCATTCACGAGCAACCGGTTAAGCTAAAAGGGTCTGTGACGCAAAGCATCCACCTTCTGCCCAATTTCTCTCACCGGATTGGGTTGACCCCTCCACATCCCACCCATTCATATTTGTAGCTTTACAACGCCTGGGGCTTTTTTCCCTTCCATCTTCTTTGCATTCTTTTCCACTTTATAGCTTGATTTGTCTCTACGGGTTGCAATTGATCCCGACATGGAGCCCATCAAGATTCCCACCCAGCCAGCCAAGAGACGCCGTATCGGTGTACTCACCTCCGGTGGAGATGCCCCCGGTATGAACGGCGCCGTGCGGGCCGTCGTGCGAATGGCCATCCACTGCGACTGCGAGGCCTACGCCATCTTCGAAGGCTACGAGGGTCTGGTCAAGGGCGGAAACCTTATCCGCCAACTGCACTGGGAGGATGTTCGTGGCTGGTTGTCCCGCGGTGGTACCCTGATCGGTTCTGCCCGCAGTATGGGATTCCGTGAGCGCGCGGGTCGCATGCAGGCCGCCAAGAACATGGTCCTCCGGGGCATTGACGCCTTGGTGGTCTGTGGTGGTGACGGCAGTCTGACTGGTGCCGATGTCTTCCGCGCGGAGTGGCCAGGTCTGCTGTCCGATCTCGTTGCCTCGGGCGAACTGTCTGCGGAGCAGGTCGAGCCCTACAAGGTCTTGAACATCGTTGGCCTCGTGGGTTCGATCGACAATGATATGTCCGGAACGGATGCCACCATCGGTTGCTATTCTTCCCTGACTCGTATTTGTGATGCTGTCGATGACGTTTTCGACACTGCCTTCTCTCACCAGCGCGGCTTCGTCATCGAGGTGATGGGCCGACACTGTGGCTGGCTCGCCTTGATGTCCGCCATCAGCACTGGCGCCGACTGGCTGTTCCTTCCCGAGATGCCCCCCAAGGAAGGTTGGGAGGATGACATGTGTTCCGTGATCACTAAGGTGAGTATGGCTCAATCGCTATTCCTGGGAACAAATGACTGATGGGAAACTTTGCAGAACCGCACCGAACGTGGCAAGCGCCGTACCATCGTTATCGTCGCCGAGGGAGCCCAAGACCGCCAATTGAACAAGGTTTCGAGCTCGAAGATCAAGGACATTCTCACAGACCGTTTGGGCCTGGATACCCGTGTCACCATTCTGGGACACACCCAACGTGGTGGCGCGGCATGCGCCTACGACCGCTGGCTCTCCACCCTGCAGGGTGTGGAAGCCGTCCGCGCCGTGCTGGAGATGACCCCCAAGTCCCCTTCGCCCGTTATCACTATCCGCGAGAACAAGATTATGCGTACCCCGTTGATGGAGGCAGTCCAAGCAACCAAGGATGTGACTGCCAAGATTGACAACAAGGAGTTTGATACCGCCATGGATATGCGCGACGCTGAATTCAAGGAATACTACAATGCCTACCTGAACACCGCGATCCCCGAGCACCCGAAGATGACCGTCCCCGAGGCCAAGGTACGATTTGATCCCCCGGGGCCCCCTCAGGACATCTCCCCACAGGACACTAACATCCCACAGAGAATGCGCATCGCCATCATTCACGTCGGTGCCCCGGCCGGTGGTATGAACCAAGCAACCCGTGCCGCCGTTGCATACTCCCTTACCCGCGGACACACCCCGCTGGCCATCCACAACGGTTTCCCTGGATTGACTCGTCACCACGACGACAAGCCCGTCAGCTCAGTCCGCGAGGTCACTTGGCTTGAGGCTGATAGCTGGGTCAACGAGGGTGGCTCTGATATTGGAACCAACCGTACCCTCCCATCCGCCGATATGGAAAACACCGCCAAGTGCTTCGAGCTCTACAAGTTCGACGCATTGTTTGTTGTTGGTGGTTTCGAGGCCTTCACAGCCGTCAGCGAGCTGCGCCAGGCCCGCGCCAAGTACGACGCCTTCAAGATCCCGCTGGTCGTGCTTCCCGCTACCATCTCCAACAACGTCCCCGGAACCGAATACTCTCTCGGTAGCGACACCTGTCTGAACACACTGATTGACTTCTGTGATGCTATCCGGCAATCCGCTTCTTCCTCCCGTCGCCGAGTGTTTGTCATTGAGACACAGGGCGGAAAGTCCGGTTACATTGCGACGACCGCGGGTCTAGCCGTTGGTGCCGTGGCGGTTTACATCCCCGAGCAGGGTGTGGATATCAAAATGCTTTCGCGCGACATCGACTTCCTACGCGACAACTTCATTCGTGACAAGGGAGCCAATCGCGCTGGTAAGATTATCCTGCGTAACGAGTGTGCTTCCAGCACCTACACCACCCAGTTCATTGCCGACATGATCAAGGAGGAGGCCAAGGGTCGATTCGAGTCCCGTGCCGCCGTCCCTGGTCACTTCCAGCAAGGTGGAAAGCCCTCGCCCATGGATCGTGTGCGCGCCCTCCGTATGGCCATCAGATGTATGGAGCACATTGAAGGATACGCTGGCAAGAGCCGTGACACCATTGCTGCTGACCCTCTGTCGTCTGCCGTGATCGGTGTCAAGGGCTCCCAGGTGCTGTTCTCGCCCATGGGCGGTGACACCGGACTGGAGGAAACCGAGACCGACTGGGCTCGCCGTCGTCCCAAGTCCGAGTTCTGGCTCGAACTCCAGGACGTTGTGAATGTTCTGTCCGGCCGCTCCCACGCCAGCACCAAGGAGACCTGGGGCTGCTACGAAAGTACGTAAACTGACGACAATCCTGGATTTTTTGCATGCCTGCGTCCACCCTGACCATCCTTCTGCCCCCGCGGCCTTTCTGGATCGACCCCTTGTTCAATGATATTTGGCGCCCCCTCCAGATTACGAATGTTAACGAATTTCCTTGTTTGCTTCTTTTCAGATCCCGCGACAGTTCGATCCGTTCCATCGGTTCCCAGCTCCCCTTGAACAGAATCTCACCACGAAGACTTCAACCTCTTTCCACGCACCCATGGATTCACGCCAATAAACACCCAGGACATCGCAATTCCCAACAACGGTGAAACACTGGCTGATCTGATACCTGGCAATTCTGGTGGTGCTGGATGTCCGTTACGCTTTGTATGATGCTACGCGACAAATCCCCCAGTCCGACACAGTCTGGGACACATTTATGCCTTCGGAGTTTGGGTGATTTTATTTTACTCTCATTGGCTGTTTCACTATGCTCACTATGCTCACAAAGACTACATGTCAAACAGAGACACCTGCAATAGAACAGCCCGAATGAACCTCCTTTCAATGAATTGGTAGATCGCTAAATTAAACAGACGAATAGGACCATGTGTGATAGATATAGACTGGCTATTTGATGAGATGCAAACACAAGGTCAACCGAAATCCCCGCTGCATTCATGAGTGCACACTTTCCTCCAACTCATCGAGGAGCTCCACAGTCTCTGCGGGGCTTGCGATCCAGGCAGTGGTAGAAGCAAGACGAGCCTACGGAGTAGTGAGATTAGTATTAGATCAAGTAGGCCGCCACAAGCATAACATACTTTGAAGTCATTAGCTCCAGCAGACAAGAATTGATCTCCAACGTGCAGTGTCTTGGACGGATCAATGCCCCCAAAGTAGCGCTGACAAGCGCGCACACCCCATGACTTGTCCCCGATATCGACAAAGACATCGTTTCCACCGTTGAAAGCGCAGAATGGCAGTCGCGATCCGACCGCCGACCGTTGGACGGTATTCTGGACCACCAGCACTGTCTCTTCCAGTTGCTCCCGGTTGATCCGTACGCCGTTCACTGGGTACACCCCGACAGCCCGGTCCTTGCGCAGCACCGCGGCGGGCAGGTTCAGGTTTGCCGCACAAGCGCGCAGTGCCGACTCGGCCAGATCCAGCAGCTCGGTGATGTCCCCTTCACTCCAGGCCTGCATCTCATCCAACAGCCACTCTTCCCGGGGCACGTAGGCCAAACGGGCATCGGCGGATGGGTCGAAGCGGAATAAGAAATTGCTTTCTCCACCCATGACAATGAGTCCCTGCTTCTGTTCCGCTGTCAGATCAGGCGAGACATGGATCGCATCCAGGAGACCCTGCAGGCGCTCGTAGTACTTGGGGGCATCGGTGTATCCGGCCGCGGTCACGATGCCGATCTTGCGATCCTGTTGGAGAAGACGCAGGATGCGGGGAATGACGGGGTTGTCGGGCATTAGACAGGCGCCATCGTCGTAGAGGGTCACATCTCCATCGAAGGTGACCAACTTCACGTCGCTGGAGCGGACGAGACCCAGGACTTGGGCGGAGTTCAAAATCAGACGGATGTCATTGAATGAGGGGGCGACGAATCGTCGTCGACTAATGAATCGCTGGCGATCCTGATACTTGAACGCATCCTCCAGGTACAGCTGGGTGAAGAAGGTTCCCACGGTGGGAACGAGGAGATTCAACTTGGATTTGCCGGGGGCGTTGCGTTCATGGTGATGGACTAGCCCGATTGCATCAGCCGTCGGGTCCCACCTGGGCATCGGGCGTTAGTTCTGACTCACTATGATCGAGCATGAGATTCTCTACATCCTTCATAATCTCGGCATATCGAAGGTGGGTATCTGCAGCGACGGCTTTCAGGCCTTCGCCATGTTCCTCGGAAATGGCGGTGGGCTGCGAGTGAAGCACAAAGGGGACAGCGAGGAGACCCTTTTGGGAGTTAGTGTTGATCCCAGATTAATCGAAGAGTCACACACTTTAATCCATTCAATCTAGACCCCGTCAGCAAGATCAGCAAGATCATCACAGGGGGGAGTCGGAGCTTACTAGTTGATCCCGGCGATGGGTCTACTGCGATGTTAGCCAGCAAAGGCAGCAAAGGCCAGTCCCGTACCTTGAGGGCGTCTAGAGAGTTAGTGAGAACAACAGCCACTTGCAAAGAACTCACATTCGACTCTGTATCGGGTGGTCATGTTGTTGTGAAGGACAAAAGGAGCGGTCGCAGGATCGTGAGTCACTGGCGGCTTGGCGCTAAGATAGCCTCGTTTTGCTCTCAGATCGTTGCGTTGCGTCGAAATAAGCACTTGGATACGAACTTCTAAATTCTGTGGCCTAAAAATGCCGTGATGACTTCTAGGCTGCAAAATCAAAAGTCGCGATACGAAGGGTGTTGAGTATAAATAAGGAGTCATGGCGAGGTACAACAGAACCAGCACATTGTTCACTCGAGCTTCACAAACCTATGCATGTTGTCCAAGCAAACATGAACCCTGCAAACATGAGCCCCGACGATGCTCCACCGGCATACTCTTCCTTGCCCAATGCACAGTCCCCCGAAAAGAGCGACATGATCCTAGCACCACAAGAGAACGAGCCCGGTCTGGCAGTGGCTTCTGCTCTCCGCCGAGGACTTCAGGTGTCCGCACGATCAACAGTATCCTCGTCGGCGTTCGACTATCCAGAGGAACTAGCCTGTTATGGGGTATCCAGAGAGGACTGGGCCCAATTTACACAAACCATCAGCCAAGGGGCCAAGCTTTCACGCCAACAGTGGACCACAGTGATTGGCAGGAGTATGGGCGCCCTGGGCGTCGGGGGGCTGATGATCGGAGTCCTGGGGGCCATCCCAGCAGTCTTCATTGCCCGGCTGTCGAAACGGCGCCAGGAGCAACGAAATCTGATCAGCGCGATGGCGGGGGTGGATGGGGACCATCTGGCTCAACACATCACGCAGTGGAATGAGACATTCTTCCGGCCTCGCGGTATTCTGATTCGCATCGATTTACCGGATGAATACCTCGATGATCTTGATCATATGGATATCAGCAAGAATGGCGCGTTGAGGGATTCTCGAAAAGACCGGGCAAAGGCTTCACAGAGCGCGAGAATTGTGATCATTCCTCTTAATGAGACCACGCCGACATGCATCTAACATGGAGAATTCAGATGCGGCATGAGGCAACTTGGAAGGATAACATCTATTAATATATAATTAAAACTCGGGAAGATATTAATTCAAGAGTTCATTCATCATATGACTATCATAAACTAAACGTATTCTTTCCAAAGGAAGAGAGATTGGGGAATAAAAAAAGGATATCAAACCACCGAGCAGGCGCTCAAACTCGAGCAGAAGGATCCCGATCCCGGGTCTCGACATGCTCGGCAGTGCCATGAGTCTGCACAGCCATTTCCATCTTCTCATCCACGAACTGGTCCCGCGCATCGGCATCCTTGTTACCGTAGCGACCAATCTTGTACCACGGGAGAGCGAAGAGGCGGTCCATGCTCTCCAATGAGCGGCCAGCCGTCTCAGGAATACTGAACCACACCCAGATACCACCGAGAACGGTGATGGCAGCAAAGCACCAGAAAGTACCCTTGGGGTCGATGCCACCCTTAGCCGTGGGGAGCAGCATGTTGGGCACGGCGCGCGCATTGCCATATTGGTTGGCAAAGTGAAGGGTCATGGCCATGGAGGTGCAGAGGGCACGAATGCGGAGAGGGAAGAGCTCGGCAGTCAAGAGGTACTGCATGGAGTTCCAGCCCAGAGCCCATCCGAATCCGGAGACGTAGATCATGGCGATTGCACCTTCACTGGCGCCCTTCTTGCTCGCTGGAAGCACGAAATCATCGACGACTCCCATGTCGGGAACCGCGGTCAGGAAACCGGCGATGTAAACCATGGCAATGCCCTGAAGAGTGATACCGAGCAAGAGGGCACGCTTGCGTCCGATGACATCGACCAAGAACAAGGCGCAGAGAATCGCGGCGACCAACTTGATGATTCCGAACACGGCGGTGACGAGCAGGCTCTCATTCTTTCCGGTGACACCAAGCAGCTTGAAGAGATCCGGTGCGTAGACGGTGATACTGCCCGCACCGGACCATTGGGAGAGCAGCTGGGCCATGAAGGTGAGGTAGACTCGGTAAAGGTTGGAGGGGACCATGAAGGTCTCCTTGAGCACACCGATGGGGCCAGATCCCAGCGTGGCTTCCATCTCGGCTTCATGTGTGGTTTGGATTGTGCTGATCTCCCGCGAGACATACTCGTCATCGGCAGGGAGACCGCGGATCTTGGAGAGGTTCGAGATAGCCTTGTCGAGGTGGCCACGTTTGACCAGATAACGAGGGGATTCATGTTGGAGGAAGGATAGGATGAAGATCAAGCCTGCGAAGATGATGTGGAGACTAGTAGGGACGAGCTGGTTGCCGTTAGCAAGACTGCAGATGACATATCAGAGGCCGGTTGACAACTTACCCATCGGTTGTGAGTGGCATCACCCAGGTTGAGCTCGCAACCATAGTTGGCGAAGTATGCGAGGACGATACCAAGATAGACAAAGCCAGTGAAGACACAAGTGCAAAGACCACGAATGGAAGCAGGGGCCTGTCCGTTCAGTTAGGGGATATGGACTACCAGTCTGAGTGAGACTCACGATTTCAGCAAGGTACACAGGTGCCACGACGACAGTCTGACCAACACCAAGGCCTGCAATGAAGCGACCGGCATACACGGCTCCCAGACTGCCTCCGTTACCCATGAAGATGGCAATACCAATAATCCATAGCACACAGAGTTGGCGAGTTGCCCATAGACGACCAATGCGGTCGCAGACCAGGAATGCACTATAAAGAGCCGGGTCAGCCAATCCGGCGATTTCGATTAGAGTAAATTGCTGAACTTACAAGAGGGCACCTCCAACGGATCCAATTTGGACCATGGCAGTGACATTACCCTTGATGTTGGTCTGCTCGACCTCGCTGTAGGAGTCGTAGTTGATGTACTTTTGGAAATCCTTGGAGTTGAATGCGCCGGAGATGAGACCCTCGTCGACACCCCGGGCTGCACCCATCAGTCCAAAGGAAATGACTGCAAACCATAGTCGCCAATTGAAGACCTGCTTTGGCTCGCCGAGGTCTTTCAGGCGAAAGATGTTGACTGGCTTCTTGGCCCCACCAGCCATTTTGGGCAATGTAGATACGAGGGAAGATAAAAGGGAGAAAGTGAGATTCCAGATGCGATGCGAGGTTCAGGTATCTTGAAAGAAAAGACCCAAGCAGGACGTCTTCGGTGTCTTTATAGCTATGGGATCCTTGTTCACCGGTCACGCGGGGTAGAAAAAAAAGCGACCAGAAAAGGAAGTGAAAAAAAAGTAAAAAGAAAAGGGAAAAAGGAAAAAGGACACAGTCCGGGGAATTGATGTGCAATCCAATACCCGTGAACGGGGGCCAACTTGCCTCAGGAAATCTCAACCCCAGACTCTGTGGCCGGTGATACATCGGGTGGAGCACCCAAGGCCCGGGGAACAGCGCCAAGGGAGCTTGGGTCTCCGAATCCGGGATCTCTCATGTCTCTCATTTGATAGCCGCGCCGTGTGCTTTCGGCTTGGTCGTGCAGGGGATGCCGTCTAGTACACCGTCTAGTGTCGGGTACTCCAGGGCTGCATGGCGCAAGAGAACATCTCCCAAATCCAGCCTGCTTCAGCTTGCTTCGCATGCTTTACATTCCATTTCAGCTGTCATGCCAAGGGCTGGTCAATACCAAGCCGAGATGACTTCGGAAGTCGTCCGAAAGTCAAAGTGGTTTGCAGTGGACAGTGCGAGTGGAGTGTGGAGGTGTGGGGAGAAGGAGGAAGTGGGCAGAATCTGGAGATGACTGACTGATGTGCGGCTGCTGATTGGTTCTCCGCCCGTCTCTAGAACAGGAAGATACACCGAGGCTCTTGGCGTGGGGTTGGATCTCACCTTGACTCGCACTCTTTTGACTGGGCTTTTTACGCTTTTTTGCCTTTTGCTCTGGACGGAGAACACCGTGCCGAGCCCTGGGGTCAATGAGGCATATATCATTGCCGCTGCCGATCTCAGGAATCTGAACCCTCGCCGTTTCGTCCGCACATCGGGGAGCCGATCCCATCCACGTGGTGCGTGCATGGCACTTGAGACATACAGCACAGCGACGATCCGAGTTCGGGGGAGAGCCTCTAGTCTGGCAATCCGGTCATCGGCACCAAGAGACCATCTACCTAGGTAGTGTTTTCCGACCTGGCTGCCAGAAATCAGAATGCTGGTCATGGTTGGGAGTGACGAGTAGACCTGTACTTTCATATCTCGCCCGAGAATCGGAGAATAAAATAGACATGGATGAGATGTTCGAGACCTATCTAGTGCCGATGCGGAGCAACTGATTTATAACATTAAGATACAAGAGAGTGGTGATTGGCCGAGAGCCACACCTGGACTAAGGACGCCAGCGGAAGCCGGGATTACGCCAGTCCAGGTCCTGGATTTGTTGCTGGGAAAGACCCGCCAAGGCGTTGGGGACATCCACACGCGCACGTCGGCGATTATCCCAAGCGATATATGCCCAGAGTCCAGCTCCGAGAAGGAGGGTGGTGGTGGCAGTCGCCAAGTTGAGCCCGTTCCCAATGTGGTAGTTGGGAGCGTCGAAGGGCAAAAAGGACCAAGTGCTGATGAGCCCACCAACGTTGCCGAACATCACCACCGTTCCAATTGCCGAAGATCTAGCGGTGTCGGAAATCACATTCGCCGATGCATGTGCGGTACACAGGGCCCCGAACGCGAAGGCCCCACTAGCGATTATGAAGGTGGCCCCATATCGTACCATACTGTCCTCACTAGCGAGGAACATGATATAACCTGTGTTATCCTATCATTAGCACATGTAACAGGCCGGGGAGTGGGTGTGAGTCCCCAGAGAGCGGAAAGGCTTACCAGTGATCATCAGTGGGGGGCTGACAACGAAGAAAATCAAGCGATGATCGAAGCGCCAGCTCAGGTAGGGGAACAGGAGCGTGAAGAATCCCCCGACCACATATGGGGGCACAGTATGCAACTGCTGAGAGATCACACCGGCATCGGGATAAATGGTTTGTACAATCGTGGGCGCAAAGAAGCCGAGACCCTGGACAGTGATGTTGTTCAACAGGAACACAAACGACGTGGTGATAGTCACCGGGCTGAAGATTCCACGCAGGGTTTTGGCCATGTCCAACTTGTCAAGGACCTCGGTGGTGCCCACACGCTCAGACTTGACTCGGGCAACAGCAAGGTCTTTCTCCTCCTGAGAGAGCCACTTGGCCGTCTCCGGTCGGTCGGTCAGCGTGAAAAAGGCGACCACGCCAATGCCAATCGTGACAATGCCCTCGATCGCAAAGATCATGCGCCACGTGCGCAAAGTGCCAAAGTGATCGAGCTTGAGGATACCCGAAGCCAGCAGACCTCCGAATGCTCCAGCCAGAGGGGCCATGACAATGTACAGAGACAGGCGGAAGGCGAGCTCACTGCGGCGATACCAACGCGAGAGATAATACGCGATTCCAGGCAGCAATCCTGCTTCAAACATGCTAGAGACGATCAGCAGTGCCCTGACGTGGTTCACATGGACACTTACCCCAGCAGAAAGCGAACACCAGATACACTATGTTTATCTTGAACGAACGCGGTGGCGACCGAGCAGATGCCAAACCCGAGGGTAATCCCTGGAAGCCACCAACCGGGACCAACCCATTTGCACATGATATTGGAAGGGATTTCAAAGATAATATAGGAGATGAAGAAAATGGATAGCACGGCATTATAATCATAATTGACCAGCCCCAGATCTTTGTTGAAGCCTGCAAGCTTGGCGTTTCCTATTTCCGAATCCCCGTCAGTCATTGGTCAAACAATGAAATTGATGCATGGTCTCTTCACAGATGAACGAACCTATATTGGCGCGATCGATGAAACAGAACAAATACATCACCGCGACGGTTGGGACGATGTAAAGATCGATCTTAAGTCGCAATCTCGACTCGGCTGCCTTGTCGAACTCAACCAGGGGTTGCCCATATTCATCTGTCGCAAGGTGACCACGCTCTGCCGCATCATGGGCAACCTCTCCCATCATATCTTCTTTGTGCTGAGACATGACTTTCTCATCCCCGACAGGCGTCGCCCCTCGCTCAGGATCCGTCATATTGGGGTTGGCACGATGTGTTGATTCCAGATGATGCACTCAGACTTGAATGAGAACTGATTTGGAGACACTTGGTGCAGGGAGTGATGATCTTATAGCTCCAGGAGCGAGAACCCGATCGGAAGAGCCGAGCCAAAGGTATCTGGGGTTGCGGGGGAAAGCCACACGAATCCAGGCTTGGACTCGGCTCTTTGTATTATTGCGACTAATTCCAATCTGCCGCTGCCAAGGAGGTTTCGCTTAGCGTTTTGACTTGACAGTCAAGAAATACCTTGGCATTTGAGATTGACAGAGCAGGCGAACAAATCATTCCTTCAGAAACGACGGGCAGGATCCAATCAGAGTCCCCCGGTTGACGACCCCGCCGGATAGTATCTGAAGGGAAAACTCACCGAGTCCGGGGATGATGAGGCGAGAGGCGTAAGCAAAAATTGCAAGGGTTATTCAAGGTTAAACCCGTCCAGACCAGTAAGATCCGGGGGGATGAGTCAATGACCAGCAGACAGCTGTGGGCCTTCCCCACAATGGGGCCGACGAGGTTTCCCCAGACTTTTGCTATCTCAACCCCGGACTGGCTGGGTGATCGTATTACGGGGGAAGATCCGGCCATGGCAAAGGTTGGAAATGCCGAGTTGCTCTTCCGGCGCTGGAATAGGACACTCAGATCAGCCACAACCAAAGTCCTCTGGCTCTCCGCAAGAATGCCAAGTCTTCCAAGGAAGTGGCTTGGCGGTCGGGACAGTCCCTATTCCATACTGTTTCTCTTGGTATATAGAACAGCCGAGGCGGATCGGAAGTGTGATCGGAAGCGTCAGTTTCGGAGATGGTATCTCTGAATCATGCATGGAAAGTTTGATGACTGGGAGAGTAGTTGAGTGAAGAGGCGAGTGTAGACCGTTTGTCAGTCTCTTGCGTATATCACATTCGAATAGAACTTTGTTCTTCCATTCCTGACGTGTCCAGGAACCCGGGGATCCCATGGGATGGGATGTCTAACGGGTGGATGTCGCCTGTCATGTTCCGTCCGTAAAGCAGACACCTTATATCTCAGGCTCCAGAACATGGATCTTTCTGCCTGAGGCGATAATCTCACGTGCCGACACGTGACGCGGATATATGCGGATGAAATCGTCGGATTAAACGGATAAAGTGCAACTGGAGAGCTCCAGTGTAGAACGCCGATGTCTGAAGCATCCGAGCCTCAAGCAGGTTGGCGAATCCCGCGCGCATGTCAAGAATGTCGCAAACGGAAAATCAAATGTAGTGGTCTAAATCCGTGAGTGCTTGCCTCTTATACCCGCGCGACGCGTGCTGATTGAAAAGATGCACCACTTGCCAATTGCGCAACACTCCTTGTATATACCGCGACTACATTCGCCACAGGCGAAAGAAAACGGAATATGCAAAAAGTCGCTCGCGAAGTCCCGCCCCTCGGGCTTCCCCGAGTAGACCATCGGGTCCACGCACCTCTTCCGCAATGGACGACTTTCCGAACAGTGTGTCTGCCACGCATATGGCGTCGCCATCATGCCAAATGCAGCTTTACTATGGCCCATCATCGCACTTCTCACTGATGCAGCACATATATCGGGACCTCATCTCAAACCCAGCTGCGCCGCCGGAGCCCTCCGGCGGAGTTGAGGAAGCTGGAGCTGGGCTGGACCTGTTCAGTTTTCGCCGTATATTCTTCGGTACGCCCGACTCACTGGATGGGCAAAAGCCCCCGGGAGCAGGGGACATGTCGATGATGTTCCTTCCGTATGATTTGGCGAAGATGTTCATGTCGCGGTACCTCTCAGGCCTCTACCACATGCTGCCGCACCGCCCCAAGGCATACTATGAGCAATGCTTGGAGCGACTGTACAATCCGTGCGCCACAGAAACGCAGGATACCTTTGCTCAGGCCCTTGTTCTTATGGCCATGGCGTGCGCTGCAATTGGCACTGACCATTTCACTTGGGGTGATGTGCTTTTTGAACGCGTCAAGGCTTCAATGGCCATGTTCGACGACGTGGTTAACCTTCAGCTCATTCAAATATCTCTACTTATGATAAGTCTTACCAGCCCTGCCTTGGCACTTCGTATGCTGATTTGATGGGTTAATACGCCAACTACCAGAACGAACAAGGTCGTCCCAACTCCGCGTTCTTACACTTAGGCTCTGCTTCGCGGAAGGCTCTATCAGCAGGACTACATAAGGATGTTCCTCATGGCGCCGAAAAAACCCCGGAAAGTATCGAGGAGCGACGAGTGACCTTCTGGTCTCTATACATCTACGAGACGTACATGAACTCTTTCCAGTTTGTTCTTCGGTAGCTGACTCATTTATTAGTTGGTTCTGTTTTCATACAGGCCGCCCAAGCTCACTATCGCTGAAGGATGTTGCAATTGAGCATGCACAGGATTCTTTCCTTCGATTATTGGTACAGCTCTGCAAGACCATAACTCGCTCAACCGAAGAGATTTACGGCCAACGGCATGAATCATTGTTGCACATGTGGAAAGTGGCGAAATCTATTACCCATGAACTGCGCGGCCACGAAACTCTCTTGAAACAATCTTTTGGCTTTGGGCTAGATTCTGCAATCCAGGAAGGATCACTCGGTGTTCGACAAACTATTTTCACCACTTGTAAGTGAATCAATCTGAAAGATACCACTCATCAAGCTCTGACCATCAATAGTATACAACCATACCTTCTTGCTCACATTCCGGCCGTTCCTCATATTTCGCGGTCATTGGCGACGGAACAAAAAGGCCGTGTCTAATACTAATGGCCCCGAGAACAAAAATGACCAAGCAGAGACCCCATCGTGGCTAAATGAAGCTTGTGGATATGCCATAACGGCTGCTCAAAAGACAATTCAGCATCTTTGCGAGGCGTCGAGAGAAAACGACCTAGTCCAGGCAAGTCGGGACCACATTTTCCATTAATATCACACTAACGAAGAGATAGCAACTACGGTACCATGGGTATTTTTTGGGAAGCTCTTCATTCACGCTCATATACGAATTCCTCCATGATCCGAGTGTCGCTCCCGTCTACCTGCCGTGGGTTTATGCCTCCCTACAAACATTGTCAGCCATGCGAGCTGGCGACCCGATCGCGAGCTCAATTTCGGCTATCCAGAATGTGCTAAGCAGAATAAACCCCTCATACGAATGGATGCCGTATGCTTCTCATCATGGAAGGCAGCCCCGGCACTCGGAAACGGCAACTATGCGGGAAACATCTATTGCTAATGCTGCCTCAAGACCCCTACACACAGGTCTTCGTGATTCGTCGATGGAAGTATCTTCTGTTCCGCCAACCTCTCCCTGGAGTTTGCCACACCTCGAAACAATGGGCATGCCAGATACCGGAGGCTCAGTCGGTTCCGGCGAGGACTTGCTTGATTTCACGCAGTCTGACATGGGTTGGGATTTCGATTTTTCAACCATGGATCTCGAAGCATTTTTGTCTGTTTACCCATCCAACGATACTGTTCTCTGATCATTTTGAGGTCACAACAGCCCACAAAGAACATTGCGATGCTCCTGTCGAGGAACGTATATCTGAAAAATTTCGACTCTATTTACCAAATATAGAGTGAAAATCCGGAAAAATTCAACAAAGACTGTCGCAGAATCATTCGGAGATAGCCATCGTAGGCCGAATTTGATGGCCCCTCAAACAAAGCAGGCTACGATTATGTACGGAGTACACATGGACTAAAGACCGGATATAATAAACCGAGTGGATCATGCGAACCCACCCGGGCAGAGCTCGATCAACATTCTTGGCAGCGTCGATGCTTCTAGGGTTCGATTTGTTCCTGGATCAAGCTTAGCTCACGCCTTATGGGATCTGCTGGATCCATTTCAGTGAGAATCGTCTATATCCGAGATGTGGGTCTCGGTGAAGTTGTGGCAAATGAACGAAGACCTCGCTCCCCTTGTATCCGAGACTATATCTCCGTGCGATTTAATGGGATTCTCACCCAAACAGCGTCCACGACAGACAATCTCCACCTGGACAACGATTAGCCCCTGTCATTACTACCGCGGCTTTACGTGCAGAACTTACCAATCCAGCCCCACACCCGGGAATCCGGATATAAGGCCATGATACCAAACATTCAACATAAGAGATCTTCGATGCCTCCATGATGGATCTTCATGTTGAAGTTGAGGACGGCGTGATCATTGATAAGATCTATACATCATGGAAACACCGTCTTCAGGCACAGTGACCCCGGTCGATCTGGAAGGGGGCGACGGCCAGATCAGGAAAAGACTGACGATCACTTTCCGTGGCTTAAATGTTCGAGTCACAGCACCAGATGCAGCATTGGGGGAGACTTTGTGGTCTGCAATGGACCCAAGACAGATCGCAGGATTGCTGAAGCGGGGAGGTAGCCCTAAAAGAGTGAGTGTGTTCACATCGGGTGGCTAGACCCAGATCGAGTACTGACATTCATCGCAGACGATTTTGAAAGATGTGGCAGGCCAGGTCAAACCAGGAGAGATGGTAACTATGTGCGATTTTAATTTCGGATGTGCCAATACTGATTGATATAGCTTCTTGTATTGGGACGACCGGGCTCCGGATGTACATCGCTTCTACGGGTGCTTTCCAACGATCGCGATAGTTTCGACGAAGTCACCGGCGAGACTCGATTTGCTAGCATGGATCACCGCGAGGCCAAGCAATATCGCCAGCAGATCATGTTCAACAACGAAGGTATACAGTCTGAACTCAGATGTATTCGTCGAATCAGAGCTAACTCCAATGCTATTAGATGATCTTCACTTCCCAACTCTTACCGTGAACCGAACGATGAAGTTCGCACTTCGAAACAAAATCCCCGAAGAGCGCCCAGAGCACCTCGCGAACCGAAAGGACTTTGTCTTGAACAAGCGAGACGACATTCTTGACTCCCTTGGCATTGGACACACGAAAAAGAACATGGTCGGAAACGAGTTTATCAGAGGAGTTTCAGGAGGCGAGCGTAAACGTGTTTCCCTTGCTGAGGTCCTGGCTGGACAAAGTCCAGTTCAAATGTGGGACAATCCGACACGAGGATTGGATTCCAAGTCTGCCCTTGCATTCGCCAAAATGCTCCGCGCCGAGGCCGATCGCAACGACAAGACAATTGTAACAACTACTTATCAAGCTGGAAATGGAATTTACGACCAGTTTGACAAGGTGCTGGTCCTGGCCGAAGGTCGTGTCACCTACTCTGGCCCCCGGCGGGCAGCGAGAGAATACTTCGAGAATCTTGGATTCATTTGTCCCAAGGGCGCCAACATTGCTGACTTCTTGACATCGGTGACTGTCCTTACTGAGCGCATTGTTCGGCCTGGATGGGAGGAAAAGGTACCCAACACCCCTGAAGATTTCGAAGCTTGCTTCCAAAACAGTCCCATCTACAAAGCTCAGATGGATGCCATCGTGGAGCCCGAGAAACTGAGCTACGAGACCGAAGATCTCGCACTAGCGGTGTCTAGTGAAAAGAAGAAGCAACACATCCCTCGAAACAAGAGTGTCTACACAGCAAAACTCTGGGACCAGGTTGGTGCTTGCATTGTCCGCCAGTTTCAGATAATGTGGGGAGACAAGTTCTCTCTTTATGTGAAGGTGTGTATATATCCTTTGTGAATCTGTCCTGCGCGGACGTTCAGTTCTGACCTTTTTTCTTCCTAGGTTGCCTCGGCCATCATACAAGCATTGGTCTGCGGGTCTTTGTTTTATAACTTAGCAGAGGTATGGACCAAATCATTCATCGCCGGCATTTCAAGACCACTGCTGACAGAACTGGACACCAAGACCAGTGAATCGATCTTCCTTCGCCCCGGTGTCTGTTTCTTCCCTGTCTTGTATTTCCTGTTGGAATCGATGTCAGAGACCACTGGTTCCTTCATGGGCCGTCCGATTTTGTCTCGCCAGAAGCGATTTGGCTTCTACCGTCCCACGGCCTTCTCAATCGCCAACGCTATCACGGATATTCCCGTGGTTATATTCCAAGTCAGCTCTTTTTCACTCATCCTTTACTTCATGGCTGCTATGCAGATGGATGCCGGCAAATTCTTCACCTATTGGGTCATCGTCATCGTGCAGACATTGTGCTTCATCCAGTTATTCCGATCCGTTGGAGCTCTGTGCAAGACGTTCGGAAACGCATCAAAGATCTCCGGGCTCCTATCCACCGTCTTTTTCGTCTATGGAGGTGAGACCGAAAGTTGAAAGCTTGCAACTGTTTTCCGAATCTAATTGTTGACAGGATATCTTATTCCCTTCGAGAAAATGCACGTCTGGTTCCGCTGGATTTTCTATCTTAACCCGGGATCATACGCATTCGAAGCCCTCATGGCCAACGAGTTTGTTGGGCGCAAGCTCGAATGCGTCGAACCCGATTACATCCCGTACGGGCCCGGATACTCCAGCTCAGCATCCTCCAACCGCGGATGTTCAGTGCTTGGAAGCGACGAGAATGGTCTTATTGATGGTGCAAAATACATCAAAGAGCAGTACAACTACTCCCCTCACCACATCTGGAGGAGCTTCGGTATTCTGGTCGGATTTTGGATTTTCTTCATCGGACTGACAGCTCTTGGACTGGAGTTGCGAAATAGCCAAAGTGGATCATCCGTATTGCTCTACAAGCGAGGCAGCGAGAAGGAGAAGGACCAAGATCAGACCAACGAGCAACTCTCGGAAAAGAAGGACATGAGCGAATTATTGGGTTCAGTCAAACAATCAACTTTCACATGGAAAGATCTCGATTACCACGTGCCCTTCCACGGCGAAAAGAAGCAATTGTTGAACAAAGTGTTTGGCTTTGTTCAGCCTGGCAACCTGGTCGCACTGATGGGAGCTTCTGGTGCTGGAAAGACAACCCTCCTGGATGTGCTCGCACAACGAAAAGACAGCGGCGAGATCAACGGATCTGTTTTGATCGATGGTCTTCCCGTTGGTATCAGCTTCCAGCGGACAACCGGATACTGTGAACAAATGGATGTGCATCTCGAAACAGCGACCGTAAAGGAGGCATTGGAGTTCTCCGCTATCCTTCGACAACCCTCTACTGTTTCTTATGAAGAAAAGATCGCATACGTGGCACACATTATCGATCTCTTGGAATTGGGATCGATCAGTGATGCGCTCATTGGTGGTAAGTTTTGACTATCGTTGAGTATCTCACTGGGCTAGGAACCTGACACAATATAGTTCCCGGTGCTGGGCTTAGCATTGAGCAACGCAAGCGAGTTACCTTGGGCGTTGAACTTGTCGCGAAGCCAACCTTGCTTTTCCTGGACGAGCCCACGTCGGGTCTGGACGGACAAAGCGCGTTCAACATCGTCCGTTTTCTTCGAAAATTGGTTGACGGCGGCCAAGCTGTATTGGTGAGTAGCAAGTCCGTGCCATTGCCTTCACACATACTAACGAGTCAGTGCACAATCCATCAACCTTCTGCTGTCCTTTTCGATGCATTCGATGGTCTTCTCCTTCTAGCCAAGGGGGGTAGAATGTCCTATTTCGGAGAAAGTAAGTATCTGTCTAAATTGACAAGCCCATGATCATGAGAAACTAACATGAAACCACTAGCCGGCAAAGAGTCCAAGAAGATCCTTGACTACTTCGCAAACAATGGAGCCCCCTGTCCCCCGGAGGTCAACCCAGCGGAACACATCATCGACGTCATTCAAGGAAGTGCGACCGATAAAACTGACTGGGTTGAGGTCTGGAATCAGTCAGAAGAGCGGAAGCTAGCACTTGCTCAATTGGACACGCTCAATGAATCCAGAAGGGCCGAGGCAGACCATGTCGAGGATACATCCGACTTTGCAACATCGCACTGGTTCCAGTTCAAGGTGGTGTCGAAGCGCTTGACCATTCATATCTGGCGATCACCTGTACGTTGGCCCAGCCTTTCGAGGATGGCGGAAAACTCAATACTGATGTTGATATAGGACTACATGTGGAACAAGTTCTTCCTCCACATTTTCGCCGGTCTCTTCAGTGGATTCACGTTTTGGAAGATTGGAGATGGCACGTTCTCTCTTCAATTGAGACTCTTCGCCATTTTCAACTTCATCTTCGTTGCCCCGGGTTGTATCAACCAGATGCAGCCGTTCTTCCTCCACAGTCGGGACATTTTTGAGACTCGAGAGAAGAAGGTAAACAATCCCGTCTATCCTAATCCATGCACACATAGCTAACCCCTCTGGCTTTCCGTAGTCGAAAACCTACCACTGGTTAGCTTTCATCGGAGCGCAAACTATGACCGAGATTCCATACCTCATCATTTGCGCTACATTGTATTTTGCATGCTGGTACTTCACCACCGGCCTTCCTGTCGAGGCCAGTGTTTCGGGCCATGTCTATCTCCAGATGATTTGTGAGTTCTGGGCTTGCAGTGAAGGAGTACGAAGACAAGCTAACATCATATAGTCTATGAATTGTTGTACACTTCGATCGGCCAGGCTATTGCTGCGTATGCCCCCAACGAGTACTTCGCAGCCGTGATGAACCCTGTTCTCATTGGTGCCGGCTTGGTCAGTTTCTGTGGTGTGGTGGTGCCATATTCTGCCATGCAACCATTTTGGCGATACTGGATCTACTATTTGGATCCCTTCAACTACCTTGTTGGTGGGCTCTTTGGCGAGGTGATCTGGGATGTCAAGGTCAAGTGCGAGGCCTCGGAATTTGTGAAATTCACTGCACCTTCGGGTCAAACATGTGGGCAGTATATGAGCGACTTCTTGACCTCCCAGCCCGGCTACCTTCTCGATGCCAACTCCACTGGGACATGTTCATTCTGCCAGTACTCCCAGGGTGCGGATTACGCAAAGACATTCAACCTCAACGAGAAGTACTACTCCTGGAGAGATGTGAGTTTCCTTTGCTTTAGTCTCGGTCCATCTGCTAATCATCTCTCAGACTGGCATCACTGCTCTCTTCTGCCTATCCACATATGGCTTAGTCTTCCTGATGATGAAGCTCCGAAGCAAGAAGACCAAGAGCGCCCGCTCGGAGTAATCCATCAACCCGACAGGAGAAACCATCGGTGATCACATTTGGGTCCACGTTTCGCTCCAGTGCAAGTGAACTTTTGTTTTCGTCGAGCGCAAGAGCTTGACCTCGGCTATCTTTTTTTCATTTTGATTTTTATTTTCGGTTCTTTGTTTGCCGCAGCGCATAGCGCAGCCTGCATCGCTGGGACATACAGCGGCACGTTCTCAGTTCTGTTTTTAGATTGGACAGGATAGTTGCACTAGAAGATATTTTAATTTAGCATGATAGATTGATAGATCCATAAAGTGGAGTTTTGATCTTTTACAATGTATATTTTGCATACATAGGTACATCGTTAAGCTGCCAACTGATTAACGTGCAAAGACTAACTTCGAAGGTTAAAAGCCCCGGCGACATACGCATTCGTGTTCGAACCGAGCCGTTCTACTCCACATCTTTGCGATCGCATAGGGGGATCGGCATCGATCAGCCGTGCCATCCGAACACAAAAGACCGTCACAATCCGTGTACGAAGACACCACGGCACCGAGATGCGTTTCCACTCTCTTCTGCTTTGGCCCTTGGCCGCCCGCGCAGTCAACATCATCTCGTCTAACGACGATGGCTGGGCGGAAGTGAATATTCGCGCTCTATTCGAGTCTCTCGGGGATGCAGGGCACTCCGTCGTGGTATCTGCGCCCGCAGAGAATCAAAGTGGCACAGGTAATTTCATCGGCTAGTGTGATACACTCGATCTGACCAGAGAATAGGATCCCGACAAAAGACACCGGTGGCTTTGACTGAGCCGTGCGAGTTTGACAGCTGCCCAACTGGCAGTCCAGCGGTGGGCTTCAACGCTTCCGAGGTGAGCTGAGCTGATACACCTGTGCTGGAGGGAGATTAACAGTAACAGCCTCGCCTGGGATATGTTAACAGCTATCCGGTGACTTCCATCAAGCATGGCATTGAATCGCGCGCCCCGGAATTCTTCGACGGTCCTCCCGACCTGGCCGTGACAGGCCCCAATGTCGGGAATAACATTGGACTCGCAGTTTATTTTTCAGGAACGGCAGGGGCTGCCACCTACGCAGCTCATGCAGCTGGGATCCCCGCAATTGCTTTTTCCGGGGCTACTGGATCTCAAACCTCCTGGAATACCTCGCGGCCACACTACAGTGATGTCTACGCGGAGCTGGCGACGAACTTGACCAACCAGGTGGTCGCTGCTGGAAAGCCTTACTTGCCCCAGGACATTTGGTTGAACGTGAATTTCGGCAGCGTGTCCGACACCGAATGCACCGACCCGGAAGATTTCTCATTCGTGTTGTCGCGCATCCATGTCGCCGTTCCCCTAATCACCCCGGACGACGTGACCACGTGTGGTAGCTCGAGACTCCCAAGCGAGATCGAGGTCTCTCTCGCCTCGGGATGTCATGCGAGTGTCTCCGTTGGGGTTGCAAGCTCCAAGAATGACGCTAATGCCACTATGCAGGGGGTTGTTTTGAACAAATTGAGCAACTTCTTGACCTGTCTGTCTTGATTGGTGCGGAAATTCTGTCATTGAATATCAGCTAGGAACACTCTGTATGAAGATTAAGTACCTGCATGACTACACGTGCGAGAATCAGGATCCCTGTAGCGTTGTGTCCCCGCGTCCTAGGCCGAGTGGCGCATTTAGTGACTTCTCTACGAAGTTAGGACCAGCCAACTTAGCTGTTTTTGATCGTGACTGCAATCCTTCCAATAGATTGACTGCAGACCCTCAAGGATCAAGTGAAATCACAAGGCAGCGCACCAATTCGTCCCACTCGAAGCCAATATAAGTGGACTGATCATCGCCGACTTTACTCCATCGGGACTGAAGACCGTTTCCACCAAACCATGCCCACCAAACCATTTCCATCGAATCAAATCCCCTGAGAAAGCGGATTCCGGACGGGGAGGGGGCATGTCTATGCCGATCGACGGTGATAAGTATTAATATCTCCCGGCAATGCTCAGGAGGGCATCGCAACCTTTCATTCCATCATGATCCCTCAATTCCTGACGGGGCTAGCTGCCCTTGCTGTGCTGCCTGTGTCGGCGTCCCCCCATGCCCTCTCGCGCAGAGGAACTGTCGACTCAGACCAATTGGTCGGGCTCCCACAGACAATTCCGAGCGGCGCTACCGGCGACTTGTATTCGGCCTATCAGCCCCATCTCAAGGTAGTCAATGGTTGCGTTCCTTTCCCAGCAGTGGATGCAGAAGGAAACACAAAGTAAGCGCAATTACCTCTCCCATTTCAAACGAAGATATGAGGCTGATTTCCCCCAGTGCTGGCCTCAACCCTACCGGCTCCACAAACGGCGACTGCAGTAGCAGTACAGGCCAAATTTATGGTGAGTTGCGCGGTGTTCGCATCTGAGGTGGGATGAGCTCTTGAGACTGACTCGTGCGATTGGCAGTGAGAAGCGGCTCTTCGGGTGACAAGTACGCTGTGATGTATTCGTGGTACTTCCCCAAAGATGAAGCTTCCACCGGCCTTGGACACCGCCATGATTGGGAGGGCGTGATCGTCTGGCTCGCCGATTCTTCCAGCACTGCTGCTTCCAACATCCTGGCCGTCTGCCCATCGGCACACGGCGGCTGGGACTGCAGCACCAGTGACTTCACCCTTGATGGCACCTCGCCTCTGATCAAGTATGAATCGGTTTGGCCTTTAAATCACTCTTGTGGTCTCACCACCACCGTGGGCGGTACACAGCCTATGGTTGCCTGGGAATCGTTGTCCAGTATGTTTGGTCCAGAAAGAAAGCCTCAAGAGCCCCATCAACTAACCGTATTTTGCAGCTGTCGTTCAAAATGCTTTGGATACCACTGACTTCGTTAAGGCCAATGTGCCTTTCAACGAAAATAACTGGGCTTCCAACTTGGAAAAGGCAACCTTCTCCAGCTAGAATAGGAGCCATGTTTTATGTTATGATGCATACAGCAGTGTGTCAGTAGTCTTGAGGGTCAATGGTAGATTTTGTGAATGGGATAGTATTGACGACAGCCATGGATATCAATTTTATTGTGCCTGTGAAATATGATCCAATTATCATTCCAAAGTTGTGAAATTTCTGGAAGCGATTGCTCACATACGTCAACGATGGTATAATGTATCGGAAAGAATACTACGAGAGACAATACAAACCCTTCAATCTTGAACGTTTGGAGTGATCGTCTCCGGTCAGTGGTGTGTGCTATTACAAGGTGTCGCGTTGCCCTTCTTAGACTCCGGGAAATTCAAGTACAACCTTGGAAAAGTCCGCTCCTGAGATTGACATACTAGCTGATCTAGATCTAGGTAGATGTATTGGAAAAACCGATCTATTCTTTATATATTTCTAGTAGAGCAAAAAATCAATTCGACGACCCGATGCATCTCCTGATTTGAACTCAAGGGTGCTCCACATTCTCGATCATGTCACTTTCTTGCTTTCCTTCCAGCTCAGTCTCTTGCGCGTGCTGGTGAGGAACAACGGGTCGACCTCCAGACGAAAAGACACCACCAGTGAAGCCACCCTTGGCAAAAATCAAGTTGATGTCTTCCAGCTCGAGCCCCTTTGTCTCGGGGTAGAAGAAGTATACGATTGGAATCCAAAGGAAGTTCAGAACGGCGAAGATGACAAAAACGCGCCAATTGATGTTTTCTAGGTGTCGGGTCAGCGATGATCAACTAATGGATATACCCTATCTAGGTAGATAAGGCAGGATACATGCCGGGAATATGGGAACGTACCAATTGCGATAGGTGTGATCTTGACTACCGCGAAGACAGATAGCCAGTTGAACGCGGATGCAATTGCAGCACTTTTTGATCGAAGCGAAGTTGTACTGATCTAATGTAGCTGTTAGCTTTCCATGCATCACAAATCAGAAAGGGTATATTACCTCCGATGGGTAAAACCAAGGCACTGGGAGCCACCCGAGACCGTAGAAAATTTGGAACAGGAAGATGAATGCAGTGGCTCCATATGCATCCTTCACTTGATCAAAGGAGAGAAGTATAGCTACCATCATGAAGCAGAAAGAAAGCCCGGCTGCAGATACAATGAGTAGGATGCGCCGTCCAAACTTGTCCATCATGAGGAGCGGAAGAGCAGAGCCGACGAGATAAGCAAGCGACGTGCAGCCAGACAAGATCATCGACATGTTCCTGGACATGTGAAGCGCATCTGTATACACCGTAGGGGCATAGTAGTTGCTATTATTGTCAGTCAACCCGAAAAGAAGTTTGGAGTAAATGACCACATACATCATGTTAGAACCGGTAAACTGCTGCATGATCTCAATGAAGATAATCAAGAGCAATCTTCTCCAATTTTGCAGTTTTCCATGCGAAAAGAAGTCTCGCCATCCGACTTGGTCACCTTGGATATCCTCGTGAACCGCCTTTTCGATGTCGGCCAACGATTGAATGACCAAAGGGTCATCGGGGGAAACATCATTGATTGCCGCAATTACGTCCCGAGCTTCTTCATAGCGGTCGTTCTTCATGAGCCATCTGGGGGTTTCGGGAAGTCCAATCACTTGAACAACCAGACAAATGGCAAATACAGCTTGGAATGCAAGCGGAAAGCGCCATTGCAACGAAGAATCTGTGAAACTGGTCCCGTAGTCGAGCCAGTAGGCTATGAATGATATCAGCAGTGTTCGCACTCTGGCCCAGGGATGTCATACCGATGCAAAGTCCGAGGATGGTCATGGTTCCCTGTAGAGTCAGGAGAGTGCCTCGGATATTGGATGGTGCACTCTCGCTCTGGTAGACAGGAGCAGTACTGCTATTCATACCATTTCCCTAAGTGATCATTAGAAGGCATTGAAACAGCGTTGTTTTGCGCACGAACTACACCGGTGACGATCCGACCAACAATCAGTTGTGCAACTGTAGTGGAAGTTGCCAGAATGACAGTACCCAAGATCATGATGGTCCCACCAGCCATCAGCATCCAACGACGCCCAAGCCTCTCGCCGATGAAAAACACCACAATGGATCCAATAATGCAACCGATATCGTATAGGGCGACTATGTCTCCTTGCAATGCTGCATCTGGGTTATTGAAGTCGCGGCCGAATCGATTATCTGCCCCAACCAGGCCCGACATCACACCCTGATCAATACAGCGGAAATTAGACCTGTTGAAGAACTTGCTCTCTTGGCATTGGGTGACCAAGGCCAGATTGTTGTACTCACTTGATCATATCCGAGCAGTAAGAATGCCTGACAAGAAGCCGCTGTGACAGCAAACACGAGGGACCTCCCTCGGAGATTGGTTTTGAACATTATCGATTGAATTGCACCCTCACTGAATCAATTCCAGAGGGATGTGAGTGGATGGTGAAATGACAGACTGGGCGGACTGGGCGTTTCTTAGCCGGAGGCATAATTCAGCCACCATGCTTGATCTGCGCCCAGCTTGGTCCAGTCGCCCCGGAGAGTCGGCTTTGGACCAATCAATGCCAGCAGGTTTGAAAGAGGATTCGGCATTTCGGGCTTGGAGACCGCGAATGCGGAGAGTATGCGACTGAGTAGCAATTGCTGGTGTCCACTTGTGAATAGGTTGATCTTGAATTTCGCGGAGTTGCTGAGTGGCAAACGGGACCCCCGCGCTCGGGGTAGGTGGTACCGAAGGTGGAGACTGGGGACATATCTCGACATCGAAATGCAGAGACAAGCAGGGTTATACCCTTTTATTCTTTATCCAAGGCACAGGCCAAGACAAAAGAACATAATATATTGTCTCATGGGACCTTAAAGGCGCACCGCGAGGACTTCGTTTCTCACCGTCGTCTTCGTCCCGCTAATCCCTCAGGGCGTTTCAATGCATAGTTCTCGGGATATTCATTCCCATCTTCATCCTGAACCGTCCCATAACCGCCATCGTAAACTGGTATCCAGCCATCGGGGTAATTCGGACATAGCATATTCATAGGGTTCCGAGCAAGATTCAAATAGAGACTCCATAAACCAATAAGTTGCACCCTCATGAATCCGCGGTAAGAAGCGGAGCCATACCTCTCTTCGGGGTTATACCATCCATCAATTACCCCAAGAAACCCACGTCTTTCATCCTTGATAATTGATCTAAGTGATTTCTCATCAATCACAAGACAACACGCAAGACGAGGAATATCGGGGCATCCCGTTTGGTTGAGCTTCCGCAGATATTCGACGAAATGACTGCGGATTTGTGGAATGCTGGCAGTATTCCAACGAGGATCAGAGATGATCACGTCTTTATGTGATTTAACCACCAATTGTTCAACGCGGGATTCATTACCCCTGGCTTCAGACATAGCCCCCCCCCCCTTTCAGCGTTTCAGCGATTCTTTCTAGTACAATTGGCCATAGCTCTTCAGATTCAGGCGTAGAGACTGTTCGATGGATAATGAAGCCCCAAGGAAGATTGTATGGGAAGAATTCGGTTAAGATCTGATGGGAAGGACGAGAAGCCGCATTCTTGAACCAGGGCCCTTGCTGATATTTCGAAAAAGCCTCTTCGGTGAGCTCAGGGTGAGTCCAACGTTTTGACCACACTGGGTGATGATAGAACTTCTCATGATCTAGTTCCTCAACCTGATCGTTGGGGTTGTTGACCGAGGCGTCTGATGTCGAAGTCCTTGGAAAAAGATACACAAAATATGCAAAGAGAAGGAGCAGAAGAAGATAATAGATTATGGAAATGGCGAGAGACATCTTGCCTCGCAAAGCTAAGTAGGTGAAAGAGACGAAGTGCGAAGGGCGAATCCTTTTTTCTTGTGAGAGTTGCCTGAGGCAACTAATAAGGCTCCCACCTCTCCGTTTCTTCTCTTCAGCTTTCGTCTTGACACGTTTTGCCAAGCGCGGGCTTTGAAGCTAGGTACCTCGAGACAGAGCCATTCTAGCTCAGCATCATGCCGAGTGAATGTGGTGCTGTCTGCACAAACCCATTCTTCTCATACAGGCGTCGTCCCGGTCCGTCGGCAAGCAAGGAGATATACGGCTTCCCATCTTTCGGTGCCTCCTGCTCGATCTTTCGAAGCAGTGCCTTCACAATGGCATCGCCAAGTCCGCGTTTCTGGTGTTCTGGATGCACGGCCATATCTGCGATGTGGAAATACCTTGATAGATATTTAGTGACGTGAAAGATGAACAAGACACAAACGATTGTGGCATCTTACCAGCCTCCATCCCCTATGATCCGGCCCATTCCAACCGGTTGCAGATCATCTCCGAATGTGATGTAGCATCCGTACCAACTGCCCGTAGCCACTGCTGCTGCCTGAGAAGTGGTTTTTGGTGATAAGCCTGAGATGGCGCGGAGATGAACATAGTCCGGTATCGATGGGTATCCTTCCCGAAGCACATAGCCCGCTGGCAGTTCTATGTCGAGCGAGGCCATTTTACCTAGCAAAAAGGGGTCCAAGGGGAATTGTTTGTGCGGGGGAATCACCCCAGTTGCCTACCTGTCATGCTAACCGGACGTAGTTAGTCTATGCTTGACATCTTCGACCAATGATCAGGGAACACACAATTTAGGCATTGTACTGTACTAGTACCTACCTAGGTAGGTACGCCCACTGGTGATTTCTGAGGTCCTGTTATCAGATGGGGGATACTCGAGCTACCTAGGTATGGATGAACTTGGATATCTGAAAATCCTATTCAGCCTGAAACCAAAATATCAAATAATATACATTCAAAACATGTGCATTGCACTCGCGTCCCGCGCGAAATGGCCTGCATAAATCGGCCTGGTATCTTCAAACGCCCGTCGGCACACACTGGGAGTAGTAAGGGTTCATGGAAGAACAGGCTGCTGGCGATGCACATGCCGTGGCTCCTGTCCAGTTGGCACCTCCACACTGCTCGTAGACAGACTGGGTGGATCCACTCTGAGCCCCCGATGATGGGGTCGCACTCGTCGCCGGGCGTGTGGTAGACGAAGCAGGCTTGCGAGTGGCTGTCCTCAAAGTGCTTGGCCGACCTGTGCTAGCAGAAGGGGCCGCTGTGGGAAGCGCGGTGGTAGCGGCAGATTCGACCCTGGGTTCACTTGTTTCAGCAGCTGACACCGCAGTAGTGGCGGCATTAGATGCTGCACCCGATCCAGTAAGGGGGGTACCCGTAGCCGTGATTGCAGAAGTAGTTTGTGTAATCGACACTGCACCGCTGTAGAGGGTTGGACCCGGGACCACCTGGTTGGGTTGAATGTTAAATCAAGACTTGGAGGCAGAGCGTGTTTTGGTTTGAGAGAACGGGGAACTCACATAAGTTGACAGTGATGTGTAGATGTTGACCAAAATACCAGGGTCCGTGGGGCTATACAGCTCAGTACCCAAAACACCTGCTGGTACGTCTGAGCCAGAGCCGGTAACCTGGAGGTTGAAGCATTGTGGGTAGTTCTGAGCTCCGCCCTCGGTGCCAGCACTGTGAAGAGCGATTCTTGATAGAGAAGTTAGCGACATGCAAAAAAGATGTGGACAGGGCTCACGGACAGCTCGTGTCGCAAGACATAATTGCCGGGTGCGATGGACTTGGGAATCTCGACCATCCAAGATGAGCCTTGGCTGATAAGCTGGTCGTCTCCCCAAGTTCCAGGTACATTTGATCCGTCAACAAGACCAACTCCATCAATTTTGAAGAACTCAAGCTTAGTCTTGTCCACAGTCTCACAACCGCCTGTACCACAGCTGGCCAAGTAGTCAATGACCGGGCCATGGTGAGAATCGGGCCAATCGGTCCATTGAAGAAAGACCCGGTCACCGGCAGCTACAACGGCATGTCCTTTTGCGTTTGTAGCATTGTGATGGCAGATGATGTCCGAGTGTGTGTACTCATCTATTGTACCCAAGTTAGACTTCAATCTCGGAAAGACCGTACGGATATGACCAGAGCATACCTGGCTCGATGAACCCGTTCGCCGTGTTTGGTGTACCCCAAGCTACCACTGTTGGTGGGGAATCAGTGTATGGATAACTGCCAATATCCCAACCCCCAAAGGAGACGCCGTTTATCACTATGTTTGTGACATGGCCGTGGGCTGCGACCAAAGATGCAAAGAGCGTGGGTGCCAGTATCTTGTACATTGCGTATCAATTGAGATTCAAACTGCCTGCAGTGAAGTTTCTCCAAATAGCGTAACTGAATAAAGAAAGTGAATTGAAGCTCAGGATGCGCGTTGTCACCCAGAACGCGGCGACAGCAATATTTATAAGTCGTAGAGAGGCCCCAGGGCTATAGTTAGCTCCATACTATCTCTTCCCTAGTTCCAGTTCCAAACGTCTGGATTTTAACATGAAACTCGAAGACATAGTGATGGTTTTGCTAGCCAATTGGGCATTTTTGGGGTCGACTTAGCAAGATTAAGGTGAGGGTTCTGCATGGGAAATGACAGGGCTTAGTGTATGTAGTCGAGAGTGACAGCGCCACCAGCGGATGTTGCGCCGGCTCCGTGTCAAGATGGCTCAGGGCGAAGAATGAACGTGAAAACACATATCGAAAGTAGGTGGTGAAAGCCCGGAGGTATGGGGGTTTTGCCTAAATAGGAGGAGCTCCACCATCCTCAAACACGGTGTGGTCTCAGCAGGCGCCCTTGGCACCCTTTGGGGCATGTTGCCGTGAAAGCCCCAGGTTAGAGCTAGATTTCTCAACATGAATCAAACACTTGAAAGGTTCATCATCTCTGAATTTCACGGTCTTGGCGTGAGTCTGTAAGCGGCAAGGGGGGTCTCGGGGCGGGGGGAGTGAAGGAGTGCTGCTAAGGTCCCAGATGAAAATTTCCCCGAAGACACTTGACAGCTTATGCAGTGAGGTGGGTATAGAGATTGAGCATGAAGTCGTTAAATCAGGCTTCGAAACCAGAGCAAAGAGTAGGGAAGTGTGCGCGTTGTAGGATGTGCGACCTGGCAAGACGAACAACCAGCCCCAGAACTGCCAACCCCTCTCGGCACGAGACTTGATTCTAATGTTTGAAGTCAGCACAGAACTATGATGCGCAAAAATAATATTTGAGGACATCAAAAACCGCAGTCTGCGACATAGGAGAATCATTTATTAAGATCATCTATCCGGAAGTCAATCAGTATGTACAACTCTATCAATCAGATCATCTCATATCACATCCAAATTCCGTATATATTTTCACAGTGTGCCCCTCAGAGCCTCACCCAAGGCCATGATTGCCATGGCCTGGCCATAAGGCATCGAGGTCAAGGGAATTTCCTTGTAGAACTCATAAGAGTCACCCATTCCTGTGCCAAAGCTGGTGTTTTGTAATTCACCACTCTCATCCACGTGCCCTATCACCGCGGTAATGGCCTTTTCAGCCACAGCACGGTATTGCGGGCCGATGTATCTCTTGCGAACGGCCTTGAGAATACCGTACGCAAATCCTGCAGTTGCCGAGGCTTCCAAGTAGGAGTCGGGGTGATCAAGAAGAGTGTGCCAGGATCCAGAAGAGGACTGCAGACGCTCGAGAGCTTCACACTGTGCCTCCAGAGTGTCGATGAGGTGGAGGCGGATGGGATCGTTGGGTTGGAGTTCAAGAAGCTCGATGAACTCGGGAATGACAATGGTGACCCAACTGTTACCACGAGCCCAGCGCGCGTCTGCAAAGTTGTGCCCGCCGTCTTCGAAGGTCCAGCCGTGGAACCAGAGACCTGTTTTAGTGTCGAACAGGTACTTGATGTGCGTCAGGAATTGCTTCTTGGCCTCGGCGATGTACTCCGGGCGGTTGAGCAGCTTCCCGATCTTTGCCAGCGGCATGACGGTCATCATGAGAGTGTCGTCCCAGAGTTGCTGGTAGTTCTCTGTGATATAGGTGATGTGCTGCATACCGCCGTAGCGGGTGCGCGGCAGCTCGTACATTGCCCACTCGGCCCAGGAATCGAGCCAGGGCAAGTAAGTGACATTGCCGGTCTTCTCATAGACATAGGCGAGGGTCAAAAAGACCGCCATAGTGTTGATATTCTTTGTCGTGCCCCCTTCTGCGATGCGTGCCGCGAACCAATCTTCGATAATCTGCAGCAATCTCTCCTCGCCTGTCAATTCGTAGTATTTCCACAGGCCGTACAACCCGATGCCGTGTGTCCACTCCCACCCGTGCCAGGACTTGGTGTCGATAATGCGCCCATCAGGGAGAGGCAGAAGAAACCTGCCTGTCTCATCTTTAATGTTGACCAAGTTGTCAATCAGCAGATTGACGGTCTTGTGAATTTCGGGAGGTGAGGGTGTGGAAGACATGGCCAATCAACGAAGAAAACCAATTCAAAAGAATTAGGCTGAATCTCCGTGGCAAAGGGCTAATAAGTATTGCTGAGGAGGGTGAGTTATTCCACAAATGAGCCCGAGAGGTGAGCGCCACCAGGCATCCCCGCGCGGGCCAAGCTGAGCTCGGGCGAACGAGGGCCGAGTTTCCTTCAACACTCACTCTCTGCCAACGACATTCTTACTTGACCCACCACTATGCACCACCATTTAGCGACAGAGACAGGCCTCGGGTTAGTGCATCCCCGGAATCTGCTGACTCTGCTCCACTCTTCCCCGGCCGGGGGAGACGCTAGCAGTTCCCCCCTCCTTTCGCCAAGGAAGCCCGGGGAACAAGGAGGCAAAGGCGCTGCTTGGACTCTGGCTTGACTGCTTTTGGCTTTCGGTTAATTGTCTCTGCTAGGATGGAGGAAGCCACATGACTCTAAACAGTCGGTTAATCAAAGTCCTTGTGGTTAGAGCCACTAAATCCTTGGGAACATGCACGGCCCTAGCAACAGTTGGCCCACTATAAGGTCCAGGAGACCACCCAGCTTACTTCGGCACTGGACCCTGTCGCACCCGATATCCCTGAGAGTCTGTGTCACTGAACCTCTGCAATGACCAAGGGCGACGATCCCCAACAGGGGAAGGAGGTGGTTCCTCAATCGGGCATCGAGCTCACTCCCCAACAGGGACTCGAGGTAGTGCCCGTCGAGGAGGGAATCGAAGTCGATTCCCAGAAGAGAGACTTCAAGGATGTCGACATGGGAGAGTACAAGAGCAAGCAGGACATTTCGCACGTCGAGCAAGTGATCTCGTACTCGGACGACCTTGTCAAGGATAACATGGACATTACACGCGTGGACAAGGAAATTCAAGCCTACGCGGCCCACGAACAAGTCGAGATCGACGAGGAGACCAACAAAAGGCTGAAGAAACTGGTGGACCGTCGTGTCCTGGTTATCATGATCATCACGTATTTCTTGCAGGCCCTCGACAAGGGCACCATGTCTTTCTCGGCAATCATGGGCATCAAGCAAGATGCAAACTTGGAGGATGGTCAGAAGGTAAGCAACATGACCTCGAGTTTTCATGCCTGAGATACTGATATCTGTGCGCCATAGTACTCCTGGTTGACTACATGTATCTACATCGCGGTCCTCATCGTCGAATATCCGACCAACTGGATTATCCAGAGGGTCCCCATTGGCAAATACCTGGGCATCAACATTTGCCTTTGGGGCACAATCTTGGCCCTCCATGCAGCCTGTCACAACTTTGCCGGTCTTGTCACCGTGCGAACCCTACTGGGTATATTCGAAGCGTGTTGTCAGCCCATCTTCGTCGTTCTTTCATCAATGTGGTACAAGAGAGAGGAACAGGCAGCGACTGTGACTTATTGGTATGAGAGAATCAACTTGCAGCCGGAAGAACAGTGAGACTAACATCGAAAAGGTACATGATGAACGGTGCACAGCAAATCGTTGGTGGCTTGTTAGCCTACTGCTTCACACTTATCGGGGGTGACAAGGCCCTCAAGTCTTGGCAGGCGCTTTTCATGACATACGGAGTGATTTCTGTCTTCTGGGGTTTGTTCGTGATCTGGTGGATGCCTGATTCTCCCATGCGTGCGAAGTGCTTCAGCGAAGAAGATAAGCGCTTGATGGTCGAACGTCTCCGTTCCAACCAGACCGGTATTCAAAACCGAAAGTTCCGTGCCTACCAGATCCGGGAGGCATTGTTAGATCCCCAGATGTGGTGTTACTGCGCGGTGCAGATGTTCACCACCCTCCCGACAAGTGGACTTGGAGCCTTCTTCGGCATCATTGTCTCAAGCTTCAACTTTACCACCCTGCAAACCCAATTGCTTGCCATGGTCCTGGGCGCGTACATCATTGTGATTCTGCTGTCTTCTGCGTGGCTGGTGAAGAAGACCGGCCAGAACACACTGATCATGCTATGCTTTATCATTCCGTGAGTATCTGGACTGCAAACTTTCAAACACTGCTAACAACCACAGGTCCTTCATTGGAACCATTGTCCTGATCACTGTTGAGAACACCACACTGTCAACCAAGGTTGGACTTCTCATCAGTTACTATATCACTATGTCCTTCTGGTCAGCCCAGACTCTCACACTGTCCATGGTGTCCCGGAACATTGCCGGTGCCACCAAGAAATCCACCGTGGTCGCTGCAACATTCATTTCATGGGCCGCTGGCAATGCCATTGGTAAGTCCACAGTGCTGCCAGAGCCTATGATATCCTTCTAACATCGACCAGGCCCGCAGGTATTCCTTGACTGGGATGCCCCACGCTACCATATCGCATGGAGTGTCCACCTCGCCTGCTATGCGTGCATGGTTTCCGCAGTGGTCTTCCTTCGCTTCCACCTCAAGCGGGAGAATGCCAAGAAGGACAAGATTCTGGCAGAAGCAGGACTCTCTGCGGCTGATCCCAATCTTGTCCACGCCTTCGAAGATAAAACGGATCGCGAGAACCTTAACTTCCGCTACGTATACTAGGTCCTGTGCAAATCCCTGCGGATACGGTGGCACCTTTTGTAAGGTGGCCTTAATGATAATGGATCACAGCGTATCTACCCAATGAAAAGCTCTACTGATCGATTGAAAGAATGGATTTCCCAGCAAATGTTAGTCGTAACTCATGATAGTGTACAAGGGTATCAATTAATAGACACGGGGTGCGTGGCTTCCACGTCCATCGGTTCCATGCATCCTGCGAGTTCCGGCCGCCTTGAAAGGGTCAGCAAATCCGTCATTTGTGTCGATTCACATTTCTTACCTTGACTCCCGGCCGATGAGTGAGTGAGCCCTTCAACTTCAACATGGCACCCGAGACCTTATCACCCAAAGTCGTCTTGCGCTTGTGATGATGAACAGGCGTTGAGGCGTAGGCATGACCTCGGTGACCTCGGCGGCCGAAGTGGTTTCGAGGTGGTGCTGTCTTCGTAGTAGTTTTCGCCGTTCGAGGTCTGGTACTTCGTCCCCTCAGCCGAGTCATCAGCGATGGCTTGGTGTGAGTTGTGGTAACGGGGCGAGTGTGAGTTGTGGTAACGGGCCGACGTCGGTGAAACATAGTGACAATCTTGACAGGCTGTAGAGAAATAGGGTTCTTCAATAGAGTGGAATATAGAATATCTTTGACTTGCAGCTTGAGTGCTTGGAGGTGTTGATTTAAATAGCAGGATGGAGAGCTTCACACGTATGCCAAGCATGGTTTCGCCTTCGACTGCAGATCTCGAATGTTGATGGCAGCGGCGTTCAACCGGCGCGTCATCCGAACGACGATCTCAGTCGGTCTCCAGTCACCGTGGGCAAGATGTCCATCACACCTGCAATCAGGATACGATCACTGGCCGTTGATTTGCACGGACAGGGATGTAGATTCGAGATACGTCCTGATGATGAAAGGTGTGAAGACCTGAAACTGCCCTGATGTCATATAATCAGTTGCGATGCGAACTCACCTCTATACTAATAATAGTAAGCCCATCACTGCGAGTATATCCAGGTGGAACTTGAAGCTTTCAAGGTTGGAATGTATGTGTATAGCCCAAATCCAGTGAGCAACCTTGGAAATGACAACCTTGGAAGCATCGTTAGGGTTCGGGTTCTGCAGTCTTCACTACCGTACTCTGTATACTCCCATTTCCAAGGCCATTACGCATTTACATTGAAGATGATACATACCTAGGTAGGTATATATCACCAGATCAAGTTCAACTATACCTCGGTAGTTGATGGAGTCGAATAGCTAAAGCCGACCGTGCCAAAATGCGAAATTCAACAAATGACCCAAAGCCAGGGAAAATTCGTCCTCTCCGTCCGAGCTATTTCCTCTCCATTCGCTTGACGTAGACTTTTTTTTAACGTCACGGGTGCAATATAAATGTGGTTATATATCCGCAACCTCATCCAGTCCGATGGCGGGGAATCAGAGTGCGGAGGCTTGTGGAGCATGAGATCTTGAGCCTGTGAGCTTTGAGCAACTCAGTCTTTCGCGTCTCAAAAATGATCAATTGCCCAGGACTGTTGAAAATGTCAAGGGGTTGCCAGTTGACACGAGTCTTCGCAGAGCCCGCGGCGTCGCTGAAATTCCGATCCTCAAGGTCTCAGATTGGGGTCAAAAATTTAAGTGACTATTGTTATGGGTCGAAAAAGAACCCACGCTATGGATGTACAGGTAAAAGGGGTTCTGTTACTCCACCGAGTGCTACTGTTACTACAAGTAGTATGCATACAAAGTTAATCCGTCGGACGTGGATTGACTGAGAGATCAGTGAATATGGAAAACCAAAGCCCATCACACTATCTAGACCAGCCACAGAGACGCAGGCTCCATCTGCACACACACCTTAAAGGCTATGAGTACAGGCAGATCCCGTCTTTTCATAGTGGACCTCCGATCATTGCTCGATTTGGAGTCACTCCCGCTCAGTGCGTAGCAGCTGTATTTGGCTTCTCCAGAGCGTCATTGGCCAAAGCCTAGTCAATATTGGTATCCTCAGTCCCCGCACCCCGCCAAGATCTCAACTAGGGAGTTATGGACGTGGAAATGGGATCCTGTCGGGAAGAGGCCGACTCTGTGGAGGATGGATGCCAAGCCCTGTCCTCAACAAGCTCCATCGACGGCGTGTGTTGGCGCTCAATGGCACTAGTGGGCTGACTGGGCTGACAGAGCTGACAGAGACCTCGGGACGCAATTGAATTTGGTAAATAAAAGGAGGGGCTTCCGGAGAAAAATCCCCTGGCATCTCCATTCTCCCGGATTCTACAAACATCGTCAACATGGCCGCACAATTGGACTTCACCGTGAGCCTCTTGAATTGATACATGCTGCCAGACTGCTCACTCCACACTAGACATTCCACAATGTGATCAACAATGAATTGACGCAGACCTCCCAAACCCGACAGGGAGTCAACCCGGCCAACAGCCAACCAAACCCCCCGGTGCCCGTTTCAACCCAGGAGGATCTTGACACGGCTGTCAAGGCAGCCCGTGCGGCCTTCAAGACATGGTCCAAGACTTCCTTTGAGGAACGCAGAAAGGCATTGGCTGCGTGGGCAGACGCCATTGATGCCAATGCGGAGGGGTTCACCAAGACTCTCACCATGGAGCAGGGAAAGCCATTGACCCAATCCTCCGTGGAGGTGGGCATGGCGGGAGTGTGGATCCGTGGTCTGAGCTCCATTGAGATCCCCGAGAATGTCATCGAGGAGACCGAGGATAGAACGATCGTTCAACGCCATGTCCCTCTCGGCGTGGTGAGCGGAATTGTGCCCTGGAATTTCCCCGTGCTGCTGGCCGTTGGCAAGATCGCCGCTGCGTTGTATACTGGAAACACGATCATCGTGAAGCCATCTCCATTCACCCCATACTGCGGCTTGAAGTTGGCCGAGCTCGGCATGCAGTTCTTCCCCCCTGGCGTGTTCCAGTGTCTGAGTGGTGACGATAGTCTGGGCCCCATGATCACCGAGCACTCGGACATTGACAAAATCAGCTTCACTGGCTCGATCCTCACCGGTAAACGGGTGATGGCTTCTTGTGCCAAGACACTCAAGCGTGTGACCCTGGAGTTGGGCGGAAATGATCCCGCCATCGTCTGCGAGGACGTTGATATTGACGCCATCATCCCCAAGATTGGTATTCTGTCATACCTGTGTAGCTCACAGATTTGCATGATGATCAAGCGTCTTTATGTGCACGAGAAGATTTACGATGAGTTCTTGGAAAAGCTCGTCACCTTCGTCAAGACTCTGAAGGTCGGCGACGGCACAGAGGCGGATACATTCTTCGGACCCGTTCAGAACGAGATGCAGTTCGAAAAGGCCAAGGAACTGTTCAGCAGTCTTTCCACCGAGAGCCTCAAGACCGCACTGGGAGGCTCGATCGAGAACTCCTCCGGCTATTACATTCACCCGACCATTGTCGACAACCCTCCAGAGTCCTCGCGCGTGGTGCAGGAGGAGGCATTTGCCCCCATTCTGCCAGTCCTCAAGTGGTCCGATGAAGAGGATGTGATTGACCGTGCGAACGCCCTGAAGACTGGACTTGGCTCTTCGGTCTGGAGCAAGGACTTCGACCGTGCGACCCGTATTGCAGACCAACTCCAGTCCGGTAGCGTGTGGGTGAACAGCCACTTCGATGTGTCCCCCACTGCGCCCATGGGTGGCCACAAGGAAAGTGGCATGGGAATGGAATGGGGATTGACTGGTCTGCTCACTTACTGCAACTCCCAGACCCGGTGGTTGAAGAAGAGCTTCTAGATATAAAATGTGTAGCTATTGACCAAATACACATCGCTTGAACGAACCTATATTTCCCCACCCCGCATGTAGAAGTGTGTACTGCGTACAGACGGAGTAGTGAGGTCTGATGCCAAGAATCTTATCACAAGCGCCGGCTCGTACATCGGCGGTCTCCGATGTCGCGTTTCGTTTATAAACCGCCACGACAGACTCCTAGATCAGAACCGCAATTTCCAACTTATCTTATTTTGACAATTATTCACCAGTTTCAATCTACACCATGCTGTATACCAATGCCACTATAGTGACTGTCGATGCCTCGCGTCGCATCATCACCGATGGCGCGATTCGCGTAGTCGAGGATACCATCAACGATATCGGCAAAGCCGAGACTCTGGAGTCACTGTATCCGGACGACGAGAAGTGCGATCTCTCTGGTCGGATCATCGTCCCGGGGTTGATCTCAACCCACATGCATACAGCACAGACCCTGCTGCGAGGTACCGCCGATGACTTGGAGCTAGTGTCGTGGCTGTGTGAGCGGATTTGGGTCCTGCAGGGCAACTTCACGGCAGAAGACGGATACGCTGCGGCACGCTTGAGTATCGGAGAGATGCTCAAGTCCGGCACGACTTGCTTTTTGGAGAGCATGGTAAGATAGCAATGGGCAGTGCTGTGCCTCACTTGGTCAAGTCTGACGAATATGCAGTTCGCCGACCGGTACGGATTCGACGGGCTCTGTCGGGCCGTGGAAGAAAGTGGCATTCGTGGCTGTCTGGGCAAGATTGTCATGGATATTGCCAAGTATGCCCAAGATGACGCATGGGCGATGCATCCCGGCCTTGTTGAGGATCGCCAGACCTCACTCCTGGGCACAGTCAAGATGTGGGAGAAATGGAATGGTGCGGCCAACGACAGGATCAGGGTCTGGTTTGGCGCCAGGACCCCAGGAGGGTACTTATTCACTGCTGGTCGTTGCCTCCAATCGCTAACAGAATGCCAGTGTCTCCGATGCATTGTACAAGGAGATGACAAGCATTTCCAAGGAAAAGGGCATCCCCATCACCATGCATTGTGCCGAGGTCAAGGCCGATCGAGATTTCTTCGCATCAGTGGACCATACGCCGATGTCATACTGCGACTCCGTTGGTTTGCTCGGTGATGCCACAGTTCTTGTCCACATGGTTCACCTGGACGATTCGGACATCAAGTGAGAGCCGCAATCTAAACGGGCAAACATCCACTGACGACAGCACCAAGGCTTCTATCTGCTTCAGGCACACATGTGGCGCATTGCCCGACTTCCAATGCCAAGGTATGTGCTCCAACGTGACCGCGTCCCAAAAAAACCACTTATTTCACGTCTAGCTCGCATCTGGAATTTGCCGAGTCCCCGAGCTCCAGCAAGCCGGGGTCAACATCGGGTTGGGAACTGATGGCGCTCCATGTAACAACACGTGTGATCTCCTGCAAGAGATGAAACTCGCCGCGATCATCCACAAGGGAATCTCGCAAGATCCGACCGTCGTCCCGGCAGAGAGCGTACTGGAGATGGCTACCATCAACGGCGCCAAAGCCCTTGGCCTGGACGACCGGATTGGCAGCCTGGAGAAAGGCAAGAAGGCGGATTTTGTAGCGATCGACGTTCGTGGAATCCATACGCAGCCATGGTTCAACCCGGTCAGTGCGGTTGTGTATACCGCCACGGGCCACGATGTTGATACTGTCGTAGTGGACGGTAAGGTTGTTGTCCAGAACGGCGCCTTGTTGACCATGGACGAGGAAGAGATCGTTCGAGAGGCGAAGAGGAGAAGCAAGGAGGTAGTTGAAAGAGCGGGATTGGGTCTCAAGGTTCAGCCTCGTTGGCCTGTCGAGTAAGATGTGAGGGCAGCTAAATCCTGCACGTTAGCAAGTAGTGAGGGCGAAAGCAGTGTCACGAGTGATGTCGCAAACAGTCAAATGCCATAAGAGATCAATCTGAATTGAGCATGTTCAGCCCCTCTAGAAAGATCAGGAATCTACTCGAGCTGTTCAATGCCAGTCGAAAATCAAGGACCAATGTAACCAAAACAAAAGTGTTCTGTGCGTGAGCTATACGTTAATATACAAGAATCAAACATGGACACGTCTTCAACGCTTTTTTGTAGCCAAATATTGTGGAAGTCGTTTTGTTCAGCCACCCGGCTGCAGACACGCCGGTCTTGGAACCGGCCATGGGGATGAACTCGCTGTCCATAAAATACAATGCCGCGAAACCGCAGTCTGTCGGAGGTGGTATTATAAGCGGGTAAAGCACAAACGGATCTCTATGCCATGTTGAAGAATAATGACCCAGACCGAACACCTGAGGAGAGAGACTCAATGTGGAGATGTGAAGACAGGATAAGAAGGGATGAGGTAGCCGCGATCGGGGAGAAAGGGTTTAATCGCGTTCGTAAATAGAGGAGGAATTTAGGCGAGGGCCTTCTGGTCGGATGGAGGAGGGGGAGGGAGCTGTGAGAATGGGGATTAGCAAAACGTCCTGTTGTCCCCGGGCCTGGGCGGAGCAGGGCATTGAATGCGAGACCTATGGACAGATCATACCTCGAGCTTTGTGTTATCGGCCATCATGCGCTGGAAACCAATGCCGACACCCTCAATGACAGCCAGGAAAACAGCACACATGATCGCGGAGTTTCGGGCAGCCTTCACACCACCACGGACAGCGAGAGAGCCACCGGTGAAGAAACCGGCGATAATAGCGTTCCACGGATCCTCCTTCTTGCGCATTCCCTTGATGGCGCAGTCGTACTGGTCGACGGTTAGCGATGGTCATCCCGGCATCCCAGGAACGGGTTCGCGTACTGTACTGAAAAGACCTCCCCAGACACCGAAGTTACCACCGAGCACGGGAGCGCGCGCCTTGATGGCCGTGAGGGCACCTATCCGGCGCTCGCCGTAGGGGCTGTTGCGGAAACCTTTAATACCGTGCCACACGGAACCACCGATGGCACCCATGCAGAAAGCACCTCCGAAGTCGCTCAGGGCCACCCACGGGCAGGGGTCGCGTGTGTGATCCATGATGTGTTAAGGGCAAGGTGGAATGGAGATAGTCGAGGAGTGATGGAGTGAGATGGGCCAGTGACACCGAATCAATCCCGACAATTTTTCCAGGCACGTGACCTCTTTGATCTGCCATTCGCTCGGGTTGTTCAGGACCGGGTGTTTTGTCCGTGGAGAGAGAGACTTTCCGGGGCATTCATAGGAGAAATACTACAGTGCACTGTAAGGGATTAGTTACGTGTTTCGTACCTCATCGTCGACACGATTCCGCCCTGAGATGGATTTTGTTGATCCTCTCGGCCCATCCGGATTCCACTGTATGCCAATGCTATCTCATCGGCTGGTAATTCTTCGCAAACTCATAAAGACATGACCTGTACGGAGTAGAAAGTGAAAGGTACCTTTCTATGCAATTCATGTGTGGGGATCCCCCAGATTTCCGGGGATTTTCTCCTTCGAGACTCAGCGAAAAACTGGACAGAGTAGGTTATCCGCAGAACAACAGACCCCTAACTGGCCTAATTCGCGTGCAGTATGGAATTCAGTCTCGAGATTCAAAGGTCCAGCCCACGTACCGCGGGCACTAATCGCCAGACGTTTCTCTATCGAGCCCCAGAAGAAATAAGCATATTGGATCGTGGAGCTTGCGACGAGGTTATATAAGTGTCTCCAATGACACCGATACCACCGCTCCACTCTCGGGCGCTGTCAATGGAATGGAGGCACAGCCCCTCGCTAAAACCAAGCCAAGCTTCTTTCATATATGACTCCCAGAGCTGGATATAGCAGACTCGAGACTAAACAAGATTGAATACCTCTTCGATACTTAATTTTCCCCAACTATGTCTTCCGAGTCGTCTGAGGGCGGTTTTGTGCCGAGCGACGAACAGATGCTGGCATTGCTCAGCCAAATACAAGACTGGCAAATCAACCATGGCTCTTTACTCAAGAACCTCGAGTCTCAGACAGAGCACAGCGTATTCTCTTACCCCGTGGGCGTGAGTGTCTACCCTACTCCTTTTCCAAAATCGCAGTTCCGCAAGGCAATGGATCTTCAGCCTGTATACAACGAGCTGTATATGGCGGTTGCTGGAGACGAGGAATGGCTCTACAATGCAACAAAAGAGCTCATTCCCACCGAGCCCCTCGCCAATGCCCTATGGGGAATTCACGAGCAAAGCAAGGAAGCGGAGAGTGTACAAGAAATCTCAGCTGCAGTCTTTCGATCGGATTATATGCTCCATATGAGTGGTATCGAGTCGTCAGATTCCTTGGCCGAGCATGAAGCCACGTTGAAGCAAGTCGAATTCAATACTTTCTCATGTGCAGGTGCTGCCCACGCAAAAAGAGTTGCAGATATGCATCGCTACATGACACGCACAGGGTTCTATAACTTTGGGGATGCGACCGAACAGCAACGACCGAACGCAGCCTCACTCCCACGCAATGACAACATTGAGTCATTGGCATCCTTGTTAGCCACGGCCCATAAGGCCTATGGTGCACCGAGGAGTAAAGGGGCGGAGCAGACAGCAATACTGCACATCGTGCAGCCTTACAACTTCAACATCGCGGATGAAAGACCGATTGAGTATGCGCTGTGGGAGCGAGAAGAGCCGGTGCACAATTATCGGCTCGAGTGGGGGGAAGATATCCTCCAGTACACCACCCTCACGGACACAAACGAATTACTTTTCCACCCACCATGGCTAGCTGCTCATGACCCGGTGGAGGTATCTGTTGTTTACATGAGGGCTGGGTATGAGGCGCATGAATATGATCACACTGGATGGCAGGCCCGTCTACGCCTCGAAAAGTCTATTGCCATCAAATGTCCATCTATTCTGTCGCATATCTCGACCTTCAAAAAAGTCCAGCAGGCATTGACTGCGCCTGGTGCACTGGAACGATTCCTTGCACCCGATAAGGCTGAATTAATTCGGAATACCTTCGTCCAACAATATCCACTGGATCAGTCTGTGGAGGGGCTGCGTGCGCAGAAGATCATTCGCGATGACCGCATCTCGAATCATATATTGAAACCTTCCCTGGAGGGTGGAGGAAACAATGTGTATGATGATATTCCGGAGTTCCTTTCCTCGATTCCTCCTGCTGCACGGTCATCATACATCCTCATGGAGCGAATTGAGCCTCCTCTCTCGAGAAATCTCTTGGTGAGTCGTGCTGGGGCCCAAGAAGGTCTGGTAGTGTCAGAGCTTGGTGTCTATGGCACTTGTCTTTGGAAGAAAACCGAAGCCTTATGCAACACCTGCGCTGGGTGGTCTTTCAAGACCAAACACGCCGACGTGGATGAGATGAGTGTTGTGAAGGGATATGGGTGTTTCGATACTCCTTTGCTGCAGTAGCATAGTAGACAGTAGACATCCACGGTTCATGCCCGATGCAACCAAGGATGAAGCTGTTAGCCCCCGGTCAGAACCATGGGTATGCCCAATAGAACCTGGGAAACCCTCTGCGCTGTCATTGGCCGACGTGCAACCGCTGCCAGGACCCGCACCCCACCTAGGCAAACGCCCTCATCTTTCTTTTACTTGACTTGCGCGTTGATTTTCCTTTCCTTTCCTTTCTGTATTGTTTCTTCCCGGACTTCGTCGCCATGGCCTTGATGGACGTAGGCAGTCAGCCTGTCTATCGGTCTCGTGGATACCAGCTGGAGATGCTGGAGGCTAGCCAAAAAGAAAATATCATTGTCGCGGTATGTGTTGCTGTGAGGACATGGGGAGAGGGATACTAATAAGAAGCAGATGGATACTGGAAGTGGAAAAACACACATGTATGTTCTTGCTGAATGAGGACTGGCTCGGCAAATTCCTGATGTGTTTGGAACAGCGCTATTCTTCGCATCATCGCTGAGCTCGAGAAGTGCTCTCCTGAGAAGGTACGATGTCTGATGCAACCAGAAGAAGAGTCAAGGCTCATCTGTTCTAGTTGATCTGGTTTCTGGCTCCGACAGTGGCCCTGTGCATCCAGCAACATGAAACCATCAGGAGCCAAATCTCCACTGTGAAGACAAAGATATTGACTGGAATGGATAATGTGGATCGCTGGACAGATCAGAGCATTTGGGATGCAGTGCTTAAAGACGTTCGGGTGGTTGTATCCACCCATGCTGTCCTCGCGGACGCTCTGGGCCATGGCTTCGTTCAGATGTCTCGACTGGCGTTGCTTGTATTCGATGAAGGTAACTGACTTTACCCGGGAGTCTGTGAGATCGATGGACAGCTGACGAGTCTCAGCTCATCATTGCAGGGGACGTCACCCTGCAAATAGAATCATGCAGAACCATTACCACCCTGCTGTACTGAGGTCAGGTCGTGGATTTGTACCGCGAATCCTGGGCCTCACTGCCAGTCCAGTGGTGCAGTCCAAGAAGAATGAGCTCGAGTTAGTCCCTTGGTCATTCCTGCTTTATTTGCATTCCTACTCTATTATTACATGACCCCTACCAGATCACACATCATCAACTGATTCTTTCATTTTAGAGCGATCGAAGCCAACCTGGATGCAGTATGCAAAACACCGCGACAGCATCGCGGTGAACTTTTACAGAACACACATCGTCCACATTTAGAACGCATAAATTACGCACCATTTGACAAGCAACATTACTTGATTGGAAGCCAGCTGCTTCAACCCTTGATCAAGTGCTGTGGCTCCTACAACATAGAGGGGGATCCATGGATCGACTCATTACGACAAAGCGACAAGACTGAACAACTTCAGCATGCCCTCGCAAGTGGCCAGACCTATTGCAGTGAGCAGCTACGGCGATTTCTGGAGCGCAGCTGCCACATAAACGAGGAGCTTGGAGGCTGGGCCACGGACTTTTACATCAAAACCTCGATTGATGAACTCCAGAGATCGATCCAGGAGACGCGTGATGTGTCTCATTTGGACCAAATGGAAAAAAAGTACCTTTTAGAATTGCTGCTTACAATACCGAAGCACAATGCTGACCGAGAGATCCAACATGTCTCGTTCAAACTTCAGACATTGATCAACTTTCTCGACAAAATGGCCAAGCCCGAGTTCTCCGGACTGATATTCGTGAAGAGAAGGGTGACAGTGAGTGTTCTGATCCGCATATTGTCAATGCACCCAAAAATCAAGCACGCCTTCAACTGTGGCGCATTTGTCGGCTGGTCCGGAAATCATGCTCGGAAAGATTCTCTCGGTGACCTGCTCCACCGAGATCTGCAACGAGACACTCTTGAAGAGTTTAAAGCTGGCAGAAAGAACTTGATAATTGCTACAGATGTTCTCGAAGAGGGAATCGACGTCAGCGCTTGTAGTCTTGTCATATGTTATGATAAACCGGCCAACCTCAAGTCCTTTGTACAGCGGCGCGGGCGCGCCAGACACAAGGAATCAAAGTTTGCTGTGATGGTCTCGACCGAGGACGAGTCGCTGGATCTTCCTAAATGGCAAGAATTGGAAGAATTGATGATAAAGGCGTACCAGGACGAAGAGCGTCGCCACAAGGAGGCATGTGAGCTGGAGGCTCCCGAGGAGCATGTTTCAGAGATCCTTTGGGTAGAGAAAACCAAGTATGAGATCGCCAGCCCCTTGTTGATACCTACTAACCATCTAAGTGCGGTTTTGACTGCGGACGACGCAGTGCAGCACCTGCATCATTTCTGTGATGTGTTACCCGTTGATGAACACGTTGACAATCGGCCGATGTTTTCTTTCGAAGAAGAAAGCACGGGATTGATTCGTGGTGTTGTCACCTTACCGAATTCTGTTCACCCATCCGTTCGGCGGACGAGGAGTGAAGCTGCATGGCGCACTGAACGGGCAGCCAGGAAAGAAGCGGCATTCCAGGCTTACAAGTCTTTGTATGCGTATGGGTTGGTCAATGATAATTTGTTGCCTCTGACAAGGAAGCCTGAGCTGAGGTTCACTGAGGGAGCGGCGATTCCATCAATCGTTGATGGGATGGAGCAGTATGACCCTTATATCGATCTTGCCAGGGAATGGAGCTCAGGTCTCCTTTATCAGACTCGCCTGAGGATATCCAACCAGGGTGTTGTCGATGAGGATTGGAATATCTGTCTGGTACTACCGAAACTCATCCCATTGCCAGATCCAATCACCCTCTACATGGATCTGGAAACCACCTTGTCTCTATCCTTTGATTCGATGACACCAGTTCCGGACACAACTCCAGAGAGACTGGAGCAGATGAGACAAATGACATTCATGTATCTCCAGGCCCCTAGCACCCGACCGCGGAGCGAAGAGCGGGACTACGTGACTCTCTTCGTGCCCGAAATACCACACGGCAGCTTTGGGGAATGGCTTGAAAAGTACGGTGGAAAGGAACCGATGCTCGAGACGCACGCTAGAGAGCCAAATCTGGCTCCCCCGGGCATCATCCGCGATCAGTCCACGTACAGCGAACCTCGAATATTCAATAAGTGGATTGTCCCCGATGCAGTGTCGAAGTCGTCGCCTATTTCGGTGGAATGTCGTTCTCTGCCAAGACGGCGAAATTTGCTCCAGACACGTACTGAGAAGGCAACTAAGCAAGAGGAAGCTGAAGTGTCCAAGAAGACATACATTGTGGCAGCCGCATCATGCCAGGTGGACAAACTTCCCGTCAAGCAAGCCATGTTTGGCGTTGTGATCTCCGCCATCCTTGACAGACTAGAGGCTTCGTTGGTGGCCTATCGCTTGAATGACACTGTTCTAAAAGGAGTTGGTATTCAGAATATTTACCATGTCATCACTGCCATTACTACGCCCATTGCGCAGGCGAGCGTCAACTATCAGAGATACGAATTCTTTGGTGACTCCGTCCTGAAGTTCACAGTGAGCTGCCAGCTCTTCTTCCGCAATTCCAAATGGCACGAGGGGTACCTTTCAGAAAGCCGAGACAAGCTCATTCAGAACAGTCACCTTGCTCGCGCTGCTCTGGACACTGGCATCGACGCCTTTATTCTGACAAATCGTTTTACCCCCCGGAAGTGGGCTCCGCCTTTGATTCACAAAAGATTGAACCCCAAAGACACAAAGAGGCCCCTCTCAAGCAAAGTGCTAGCAGATGTGGTCGAGTCCCTCATTGGTGCGGCGTACGTCGATGGCGGAATTCGCAAAGCGCAGGCTTGCCTGCATCGCTTCTTACCAGAGATCAACATGTTCACGAGTGAAATATCACCAGAGATCGTGCCAAGTTCAAAGGGCGTGAGCAATCTTATCGATCAGCACAGATTAGCCGGTCTCCTCGGGTATACATTCAAGGACCCAGCCCTCTTGACAGAGGCGCTAACTCATGCTTCTTGCGAGCACGACATGACAACTCAGTCGTACCAGCGTCTGGAATTCCTCGGCGATGCTGTTCTGGATATGGTAGTAATGGCCATCATAGCTGCACACCCCGCAGAAATGGACCAAGGCAGCATGACCCTTCTCAAGCACTCTGTCGTGAATGCCAATCTTCTAGCCTTCTTGTGCATGGATCTCAGCGCACCAGATGACTCAATGGACATCGAAGTGACAGGCAACCAAGTCACCGATATCCCACGCTATGACCGTATTCACCTTTGGCGATTCCTCCGCTCCCATGGCACGAACGTGATGGCAGCGCGCGAATCATGCCTAGAGCGACACTTGAGTCTTCGCGAAGAAATCCACGACGCATTGAGCCACGCAAAACAATACCCGTGGGAACTCTTCACCCGGCTGCGTGCTGACAAGTTCTTCTCCGATATCATCGAGAGCACCCTGGGAGCCATATTCATCGATTGCGGCGGGGACCTGGACAATTGCCATAAGTTTGTCGAGCGCATCGGCCTGGTGCGATATGTGAAGCGGGTCATCGCGGACGGCGTGAATGTCGTTCACCCGCGGAACATCGCGCAAAACATCGTGAAGGGCACTGGCACTTTGGTCTTCAAGCGCAAGAGGGTCGAGTCTAAAAAGGGGGCCACCTACCGATGCTCGGCGGTAGTGAACAAAACCGAGATTGCGCTGGTCGAGGGGTGCGCCTCGGCTGAGGAGGCTGAAGTGAAGGTTGCTAATGTTGCCATCCAGCGCCTGGGGGAGAACCCGGAGATACTACAGAAATGAGCGGGGGGTTGATCATTTTTGTTGCATTTTGTTCCTAAATCGAGGTATGGGGGTTCAGGAAAGATTTCCATGTATCGCATAAACGGCCTTTTAGATCAACGTAAAATTGAAAAGCCATATCGACCGAGCAAGATATGTATTGAAGCTATGATACGGCCCAACCTTGAAGAAGAAAAATATGTGAGAGAAGCAACTATGCCTTGCTCTTTCCACCACGCTTTGATCGACGGACAGGCTCAGGCTTAGGGTCCTCCACCTGCTCTTCTCCACTTGATGGCACCAGAACAGCTTCGTCACTACCATCAGACTGGGCATCCGCATCGACCTTTGAAGACGGTTCTGACGAGCCGGCTGGCGCAGCATCTTGACGCAAGCTACTGAGGATCTGTGTGGTCTCGCTCTCGACTCCATTCCAAGTCCCGCAGCTGCCGCACCGCCAGCGGCCCAGCTCTTCCAGTGTTCTGATACCAGGAGGCGCCTGACCATTCACAAGTCGACACCCACTGCAGATCATGACCATCCGGTTGCGAGGCTGAGTCTCATCTTCGCCGAGCAGTACGTCGAGAAGACGGTCGTACCAGTGTGGTTGTTCAATGTATTCTCCGCTATTGGAGTAGGCGTTTGGCGCAAAGCCGGCTTGTTCGGCAGGGCTTGGGGGGTACGGAGATGGAGGTTGTTGGTTCTGGGGAGGGCCCTGAACGAGTTCGACGGGAGGAGAGGGAGGCTGAGGCGACGGGTTATTCGGGGTTTGCGGCGCGGAGGGAGGACGCTGAATGTTCGCAGTCGGTGGCGGGGGAAGACCTGTGCGGGGGGCAGGTGGCTGCGGTTGAACATGCTTCTCCGGACCACTTTCACCCTTGGGAGCTGGTGAGGCCTTGGGGGATTCGGCGCCGTACTTCTCTAGCAGCTCCTGGGTGGTGTTGTATTTGGTGGCGACCTTGAGTTTTTCAATAGTCTCCTCCCTCTGGTTGTGGAAATCATCAAGGCGAGCTTGGCTGCGGGAGATCCGGTATTCGAAGAACTTGGAACTGAGCTTGCGAACACCGTAGATCCTATAAAAACCAAAGTTCATCGTCAGCAGTGCATGTATCTGCGGAGGAGCCCAGAACGCACACGATCGGCCCGCCCGCCAGAGCTGCATATTCTTTCACGCCCCAGCTATCCCATCCGAAGACCAGGGTGATTGTGATGGTGTAGAAGAGGTAGGCAAAGGTTGAGTAGAGGGTCCAGAGGGCCTTGACTCTTCGCGACGACTGACGTTGCTGATCCAGTCGCGTTGTGGTTTCGGTGATCTTCGTCGATAATGTGGACAGGGTCTTCTCGAACGAAGCCGCTGAGTTGTCATCGCCCTAAGCCATGTTAGTCACAGTTTTGCAGGGTATATACAAGGTCCTCACCTTCCAGGGCCAAAATGACACCATGTTTGCAGAGGAGGAGAAGCTGAGCTTGTGCCGGGGAAGGCGATGCTGCGCACGGACCACATGCCTATGATCTATGTCTCCTTTACTTGTGTTTTCACTTTGGACATTTCATTGCACATCAGGCTTTCGTCTAGATTCATACATAATCATCTATATTATTTGGCAAGCGTGTTCCCGAGCTCCGCAGCGCGGGAGGTGGCAGCCTGCACGGACTTGTCCACAGTCTCCTTGAAGTTGAGGGACTCGAACATCTGAAGAGCCGCATATGTGGTGCCATTGGGGCTGGTGACATTCTTGCGCAACTGAGAAGGAGCATCAGAGCTCTCGACCAGCATCTTGCCAGCTCCGAGGCAAGTCTGTGTAGCCAACCGAGTGGCTTGTTCCTCGGACAGACCCAGTGCAGTAGCACTGGCAACGAGGTGCTCAACCATGGCGAAGAAGTAAGCGGGTCCAGATCCTGCATCAGTCAGATCAATCTACTTTGCGATACAGCATTGGCGCGACAGCAGGGGGGAAAACTCACCAGACAGACCGGTGACAACATCCAGAAGCTCCTCACGGTCAACCCACTCGGTAGCCTTGCTAACACTGCCGAGCATAGCATTAACAAGCTCTTTCTCGGCTTCGGTGACATCCGCGCTGGCGAAGACACCAGAGGCACCCTCGCCAACCAGCGCAGGGGTGTTGGGCATCACGCGAACAGTGTGCGCAGTGCGCCCGTCGCTTGTCTTGAGCCATCCTTTCAAGCTATCGAGAGTGATACCAGCCGCGATACTGACGACAACGGGCAGAGTGGCCCGAGGGGACCAAGCGGCGCCGAGCTCCTCGCACACTCCTTTGGTGACCTGGGGCTTGACAGCGATGATGATCAAGTCGGCATCACCGCCAGCTTCGACGTTGGAAGTGGTGGTGCGGACTCCGAGAGCGGCCATCTTCTCCCGGTTCACATCCCACGGCTCGGAGACACAGATGTTCTGCTTGTTGACGCCCTTGTTGACCAGGCCGCCAATGATGGCGGAGGCCATGTTGCCCCCGCCGATGAAGGCCAATTTACTCTCTTGAAGGGAAGGCATGGTGTGTTGTTGACAGCAAAAGCCTGGGGAAGCCCGCACTTATGTAAAAGTCTGGTGGGGCAGCCTCACCGGGCCGGTGAACATCGGATGCGGACGTTTACTATATTTTCTTTGCTAATGGCCTTTTTCTTGTCTTTTTTATGGAGATCCTATCTATACCCCGCATTTGGGATCAGCGCAAGGGGCGTCCTATCTTCGGGATACTGTTCCATTTCGACGGCGTCTCCGGGTGTTTCGCCAGCCGGCGTGGAGTGACTCCCCGACTTGCTGAGTCGTCTCCAGATAAGCCCGAACAAGGAGAGAAGAACAGGCTTCATAAGCAGGAATGATCCGCAGACAATCGCCATATCCAATTCCAAAATGGCCCAGATGAGAGAAAAGGAGCTGGCGTCTGAAGTGGTCGCTCCTATCAACATATGCAATTGATCCAGGTTGACCCGACTCACATGTAAGATTGTTGGTTTCGTATCTCTCCAGTTCTACAATGCGCAATATGCTGAAGATGCAAACCCTGTGAATCACTCAATTAGCCCTGGCATATGAGTGGACCGAGGAAGTCTTACAAGCATCCAATGGTGAAGAGGATGGTCAGCTCAATCTTCTCATGTCGCGGCATTTGCAACTTCCATACCACAGGGAGTGGCAGGCAGAGGATGAAGATGTCCTCCGCGGTTGACAACGCTCCGATGATGATGAAAAATGTAGTCTGCCCGGACATGCAGTCTCCTCTGATCTCCTTAATCCAGAAATATTGGACTGGCAAGCATTGCAGCGTGTTTCCCACCAAGGCAGTCACCCCCCAAGCGGCAACGAAGATAATTGCCCCGGTTATACTTCGCCGAAACCAATCGACGGAACCGAGGAGCTTGCGCAGTAAGATCAGAATCGATATCTTCACAAAAACCTGTGCTGAAGGCCAGAATTTGGTTAGAATCCAATTGGCCTGGTTGTGTCAGTCATATTCTTCTTTAGTACCTAGGTATGAATGGGATCAATTGACGACTTTACCAAAGCGATTTGGCGACGTTGTTCTTGTGGATAACTCCAAATATTCCTACCAGACCCAATCTCACGCAAGGCCGCTGCATCTCCAATATAAGAACAAATCCCAGTGGGAACTGGGGGACTCACAATACACAATGCACCCCACAACACCCCAGGTACATAGTAGGCCAACTCCCATCAACACATCTTCCACCCGCAAGCCACGCAGCACTTTCAGACGCGAGTAGATTCGAAGGGCGAAGCACAGGGAGGCAAAAGCAGTGCAGACGACGGGAACGATGATCAGGACGTTCTTCCAATAGTCTGGTCCGTGGGGCATACTTGGCACCTCGATGCGGACATGTGGAGACTGGATTTGTTTTGACCCACGTCGATCAAGTAGATAGAGGGTTTCATTTTCAGGGTATGATATCTGCAGCCATGAAGACAAGCACGGAGCACAAATAATTGAAGAAACCCCAGCCTCAGAGGGAATCGGGAATTAATGGGAATGGGTGGCTGTGTGGCGCTCACGATGTTGATGTCACTGTTTTGCTCTGCCGTGGCGATTTTATGTCAGCGCCATTCAGTCCCAAGTTCACTTTAACAGCTAGATTCAGCACAGACAGTACCTCTCTGGAATATTGGAAGGCCTTGGCTTCTTAGGTCTGAGCAGGACAATTGTTTTGGAGTCAGGTTGGGCAACCCTTGGAATATTGTCAAGCAGAACTCTTTACATTCTCACGCATATCATACATAGGTATACCATTGACCACATTTATTTTACCGCGTAAATGGATTAGGGCTTGTTCCAAACCAGTAATTGAACTGTGTTCAACATTCGAAGGTGTACTAAAGCCCTAGTGTTTGCGGGACTCGAGGTTCGAGCTCTATAGAATAGACTTCTGGGTCAACAGAGCCCTCTTGTGCTCCTCCATACAGATTGTGTATGAAACGGATATCATACAAACCTCCAAGGTTACATTTAGATCCGGAGTACATGATTTCCAGTGTCATTGTTTGATCTCTTCGTCTTTCAAAGAATGCTCAGTACTGTTCTATATGTGACCTTTGGCATCTGGTTGTCAGTGCCTCAAAACAACATAATCTTCTGTCTTTCGTCGCATTGTGTTGATACTAGTCCATAAACAAATACTCAAGGCGTCAACAAGTCGATGCAAACCAGCAGGTTTCCCCGTGCCTGCCATTCTAGATCTATGCCACGTCAAAAATTATCTCTCACACGTCTTCACCCTTCACCTCTCTTCACTTTTCAAATGGTCTTCTTTTCTTCACTCCTCGCTCGTTTATCACTTGCCTCAGTCGTCTGGAGCGTGGATTTGAATATTTACTTCGCGCCAACTTTCACTACGTGATTGTTGTCTCTTCAACGAGTCTTGCTTCTTCAACACACTACCCCCTCTCTGAATCATTGCCTGTAACAGTTTAATCTGTTTTCTTGGCTGGTCACTGCATTATGGCGTGTCGGTCTGGTCAAAATCCGGCGGACTGGATTCAGAAATTGGCACAGTGGCGCACAGAATGTCAAAGATCTATCTTACGGGAAGATCAAATAGCTTCCGGGGCCCCAATCAAGCCTGAAGACGATCATGTTCTTTCAGGTGGCAGGTCCTTGCCACTTCTACAAAATTGGCCAATCGCGAGTCCCCCAGATTGGGCCTTGAAGAACGACGGCTCCGCCTCACGCCCTACATGGAGGCCAAAAAACGTCCGTCTCTCGGACACCGGCGTGGTCTATGCTCTGTTGGCTCTCCCTCAGTACTACCGCATCCAATTTCTTGCATTTGATTTTGATTCGAACGGAGACGTGCGCAGAGATCGAGTCCCGAAGGCACCCACTGTCATTGCGTACCAAAACGGGTTACCGACTCTCTTGACTTGGAAAGGGGTATACATCTTGACTGGTGGATACAATGATGCGGGCTGGCTGTTGGCGGATGAGTTTCCAAATCAAGAACTCTTTTTTCAAAGCGGGCTCGTGATTTCTGCACCCCAGGTGGAAAAATGTGCTGCGCTGAGCACTCAACTTACGCGATACGAGCCGATATCACCAAAGGGTTGGGCAACTACAGCTGGGCTTTGGGAATATGGCAGATGGGCGATGGGGATTGAGCTCAGAGGCTGCCGCGACATCAATGCTCACTGCTTGGTGCTGGAAGGCTCAGCTCTGTCTGGGTATCAGAGGATGGGATCTCTTGCTGGCTTTGTGCCCTTGATATATCCTGGTGCAAACCCGAGTGACAGCAACCAGGCCATACAGGACATCCCCCCTTCTTCTTCTACCATGAATGGTTACTCTTTGATCAGGTGGAGCAATATCACACCTCGCAGCTTAGAGATTGGTGACTCGAAGGAAGGAGTTGAGCATGGAAGCTGCCGTGACGGTGGAAACGGGCCCACGCCTCGGAATCCCAAGAGAAAGAGAGAGATTGAGAGTGACAACTACAAAGAAGTCGTGGCAGCTCGACACCGGACCTTGCTCGCCACCAAGAGAGAACCAGGCTCGCCAGCCCAGGAGCAGCTTGATACATCTTCGTCGACCACGTCCACATTCCGCACTCTCTGGAAGGAGCTGACAGAAGTCGAAACGCCACCGGAGCATTGGGAACTGTTCATGACGGTAGTCTCGTTGGAAGATTTGTACCAACGATGGGGCTGGAATGCGATCGCAGCCAAAGTTGTTCGCAACAAGTTCTCCTCCTCAGAGGCCTCCATCCTTCGTGCGGTAACATACCAGCTCCCACCTAGAGTGGCCTACGCAATGTTCGGATTTGACATGAATCGAGATGCCGTTGCGATTGAGCATGCATTCAGCTACAACACTACCCGGTTTCAGTTTGCACGCAAAGTTGATGATCTCGAGGAAGGGCCTGCGAAAAAAGCCTATCAAAAGTTCTCTTCCTACTTTGGTGGCCTCACGAGCTCCGAAGCTACTGCCGATAATTCTCCTCTCAACGTTCGAGAATCAGGAAGTCCCAACAAGGTGGAATCAGAGACGGAAGAGAATGTCATACGATCTCCCGAAATTCCTCCTTGTCATTCCCATGACAATGAGCCCCACTGCCTCCAACCTGGTATTGTCTTATGCAACTATCTGGAATCAATTGAACATCATGAGCATTATTACCGACATCACAAAGCCGTCGGTTTGTTCCATCAGCAGATGACCAAATGCTTGGAGCAGCTGGATTTGAACCGTCCTGAATCACCTCCGTGCGAATGAAAAGCTTTTCTGTCACGAAAGGAGTGTCGTTGCAAGGCCAATTTGGTATTTACTCGCATTCAGTCGAGGACCAGATCGATTGTTGCCCAAAGAGAATGAGATGCTGATCGGGTTGCAAGCTGAAGGATCCTTGTTTGATCTCTAGTACTATCGTTGGATGATCATTATTGTGTACTCAAGTTGTTTCAGGAAACTATCTTGAGCTAGTGAAGAATAAATCTCTCCTCCTTACCGATGTGATCTCGTTGATAATCTCGTAAGGTCCAAGATAATGGGGTGGCGCCAAGGGCTTCAGTATATAACCTTATATCCGATCGTCAAACGGAAGATCATCAGAATTCCCAGAGTGTATGTAGGCAGTGAGAGAAATTCGTTTCATGAAAGTCGTTGCTGTCGATTTAATGAAATACGTACAAGTCCCGGTCACAGGTGGCTTTCTTCTGCCTATCAGATGGGACAACCTTGAAGGAAATCCGAGGTCATACTACCTAGGTAGTTAAGCTTCAGACCATATGTAACGCCCAGTCAATCAGAACTTCGGTCGCTCTAGTTCGAAAGTCCAGCAGAATGGATACCGAACTACCCAGGTCCGGAAATCGGATACGCAGGCCGTAGCGCATACCGACCTTGGGAAGTCGGGATCATTACCGAGTCCACAAATGGCGCCGAGGTCATCTCTGACAAATTTATAGAGTTAAGATCCCAGAGCTTGCTTGAGAACGCCCTTGCTTTCAAGTTTGCTACCTAGGTGAGTCTTCAGCGACGATTTAGGAACCTTGGAAGAATTCTGGGATTCGCGGGGGTCACAACCTGAGAAGCGCCGCCTTCATCTGTCACAATTAAATTTCAAATGCTGACCGGATTTATTTGGCAGAATTCCCTAGTTGGACGTAAATTCGCAGGCAGAGGGATAGTAGTTTTAATTTGTCTTAGTTCTTCCAAGGTTCTGTCTTTGCAATATCAAAGCGGGGTGGTGATGCCTAGGTAGTGGGGACCTACCCAGTAGCATAAAGAATCGAAGGCTGTGGGCTGCAAGCTTGGAATGGGAAAGCATTTGACGCAATTGGTGAACACACCTTTGCACTTGGGCATATCGCACTTCTCTAGGAGAAGAAGGTGATCCACTTGTGGCGGATTGAGGGCTTTCGATTGGCCCACAGGCTGGGAAGGTGATGTTTCCAGAAGTATACCCCTCCATGCGAGTACTAGGTAATAGTCTACGGCTGCTTGCTCGGGATTTTATTGACATGGAAGGTGATCAGGTATCGTATCTCGAAGATGTAGTATCACCTTCCAAATAAATTGAAAGTTCGATTGTAGCCCGCTGCAGCCAGTCTCCATGAGCATGTATATATAGTTGACAAGACAGCCTTCTCCATTGATCATTTCAAACTGACAAGCAAACTCCTTTGCAAACGAGTCTACAGCCCGAAGCCTACACTATGTCTTCTGTCATCGATCTTTCCCTCCTCAAGGGAACCCCCGAGGAGAAAGCTGCTACTTCGGCAGCACTTTTGCACACACTCAAGACCCGGGGAGTGGCTCAACTGAAGAACCATGGCCTCCCAGAAGACCTCATTTCGGAGATGTTTGACTATGTATGTTGAAAATGAGACTCGAAAGGATAGAGCTTGGATTAACGACTCCCAGACTCGTCGGTTCTTCTCACTTTCACTAGAAGACAAGATGACGGCCAAACACCCTCCTCAAGCCAATCCCAACCGTGGCTACAGCTTTGTTGGACAGGAATCTGTCTCTGCCATTAGTGGCTACGAGAAGGGTCTCCCCCAAGGACAAGCAGTCCGTGACATCAAGGTACGCTCCTGATCAGTGAATGATTCATCGCGCGGCCTCTGACGAAAACCAGGAAACCCTTGATATTGGAGCCGCGAACGATGACCTCGTAGACAACATCTGGGTTGCCGATGAGAAACTGCCTGGGTTCCGCAAATTCATGGAAGACTTCTACACAAGCTGCTTCAAGGTAGAGCTAGAAATTCTTGACGCGCTCGCCCAAGCTTTGGGCGTCTCATCCTCAGACCTCAGAGCCCTCCACAGCAAGGCCGAGAACGAATTCCGCCTCCTACACTACCCAGCTATCCCCGCATCCGAGCTAGCTGATGGAACAGCCACCCGAATTGCGGAGCACACTGACTTCGGCACTATCACTATGCTGTTCCAAGACTCCACCGGTGGTCTTCAAGTCGAGGACCAGCAGAACCCGGGCGTGTTCCGAGGGGTCGAGTCTGGAGGCAAGTCGGAAATTATTCTCAACATTGGCGACTCGTTGCAGCGCTTGACCAACGATACATTCCGCGCAGCTTGCCACCGCGTTACGTACCCACCCACTATTAAGGTGGGATCGGATGAATTGATCCCTGAGCGCTACTCCATTGCATACTTCGCCAAGCCGAATCGCGTTGCATCGCTCTTCCCGCTGAAGAAGTTTATCACACCAAGCACGCCGTGCAAGTATGAGGATATCACAGCTTGGGATTATAACAATCTTCGCATCGCCAAACTGTTTTCTTAGATTCTACTGAAGTCGAAGTTGGCGGACTATACTTCATTCGTCCATCTTCGGGATGAGCATTCTTTATCGTCCTGTACATAGTGAATATCAAAGCGCTTTTCTTATTTTCGAGTATCCAACAGGTCCCAGTTCCTCAGCCTTTGCGCCAAGATTGACATGGAATAGTTTATGACCCCCTTCTCAACTACCCAGGTGTAGAAGCGATGCTTGTAATCTGACAGGGGGCGATAAGCCTATACAAGCAAGAAGTTCCGGTGTAAACATCCACCATCGCCAGCTTGTAATACTGGAATCGAACCTTGGCGATTCAGAAAATTGCCATTCGCGATTACAATAGAGTGACTTCCATGAATCTTTAAATGAGTGACACTATCTCAGCAAATAATGCTGTGCAGTGAGGCTGTCGGAATCACCTCCCTGTTTTGGGATTTCGCTTTATGGGGATTCCCCACACCCCAAACATCTTCACTCTATTCTCTTTCACTTTCCTTCAGACACGGACTATGTTCAATATGAAAGATCGCCCAGGGTTGCTTCAAATAGACATAGACGATCACAATCACATGCCCACATCGCCTGAAAGATCCGTTGGTCCCAGAAAATCAGACGCTATACAGCTGACATTCATCACCAAGGAAGACACTCGATGGCTGAATGCCGGAAACGCGGCGAGAAATCGTCAGCCCATCTTCACAGGTACGACCCGTCTCTATGTACTAGCCACGCTATCATCTAATAGCCCTCGAAGATGAAGAACGTCGTGAGATGAGTCTCAAAGTCGTGTCATCGCTGCAGGACCAAAGCCCATCTCGGGCCATAGATTGCTTGGATAGTCATGACGGTGATAGTCATGGATCAGCCCAATTTGAGCTTTTCCGGGGGCCTTTTGGCGCCTTGAGATGGTCTCAGCCATCGCTCGATGAACCATCCGAATCTACTGATCAATTCACAAGCTCGCCAGACGAGAATTGCGATGAGCTGGAATACATAACAAGAGACGAAGATGCTGGCTGTTTCTTCTGGCCGCTAGATGACCTCGAGGAGATATCTGAAGACCTGCTCTTAGGATTGGATATCCCACCCCTCGAGAGTCCCGGGACATATCATAATGATCAAACGCAACATTCAGATCCGAAGCCGTTCCTCGATGGGGGCAACATCGAAGGCTGGACTCTCTTGTCACATTACAAAGAGCGAATTGTGCCGTTGATATCGCCCCTTCGACGGGGACAAGAAACACCATGGATGAGCCTCGTCATGCCCTGTGCTGTCACTACTTTAGGTGAGCTAACTTTGGGCGGGAAGGTCAACCATGCGAGACTCGCTCTTCTGAATGCTGTATGGAGTGCAAGCGCATTCCACCTGAGTAACAACTCCATTGGATGCTTCGACCAATGGACCATCTCCGGAGAGCAATATCTATCGCGCGGACAGTATCATTTTCAACGATGCATGGAAGAAGCATGCATGTCAAATTCCAAAACAAGCAAATATAAGGAAATTCTCATGGCAATATTGAGTCTTTCAAATGCATTTGTACGGTGATGCATCCGATGATCATGAGGCTAGCTAACAAATGTTACTTAGATGATCAAAGGGGACCCTGGAAGACGACGAGCATGGCTAGTGCAGAGTGAGAAATTCATCTGTGTAAAGGGCCTCAGCCAACCGACTCTATCCGCCAAGAAAAGAGCCCTCCACCACTGCTATGCTTATATGCGAATCATAGCAGAAACAACATGTATCGTGGGAAATCCAGGGGATATCACCGAAGCGAGCTTTTCGCCATACGAGAATATACCTTCCCTGTACGGGGGTGACTTCCGAGTCTATCCCGATCAAGAGTTCTCAACCACTGCTATGCTCATGGAGAAAGATCCGGAGATGGCACAGCGGGATCTGCACCTCGCAATACCTGGACATTGGAGCTCTACGCTTTTTCCAACAGTGTATGGAGTTGACGAAATCTTCCTCATGCTTCTGTCGCAAGTTATCCGCCTAGCCAACGAGAGAGACCTGTCGATGATATCTAGCAGCGCGACGGGCGTGACTCTCAGTCTCAAGGCGTTCTGGACACGAGCCAAAGCCCTAGAAAATGCAATTGAGCACCTCCTTTCACCATCCATTAGTACGCAGTATCTACCGAATACCGAGGGCCTCTCGACCAAGGTCACAGCCACTGCCCAAGCAATGTACAACGCATTATTGATCTTCTTCCATCGCCGGATATACGAAATCGACTCACGAATGCTGCACGGTCAGGTGGAGGAGATCCGCGTCTGTCTTATCAAGGCAAAACAGGAGGAAGGGTACCATGATGATAGCAATAGTGCGGCGCTGATTTGGCCGGCTTTCATCGCCGCCTGTGAGGCTGTCACTCCAGATCTGCAGTCATACTTCTCCACGTGGTTTGAGCTGTGCGCCCGAACTACGGCACTGGTTCATGCGTCGGTTGCTAAGGAAATCTTTCAAACGATTTGGAGCAAGAGGGGTGCAACTCATGGAGAGGGGGCTTGTAGCTGGCCGGATATTCTGCGGGATGGATCTATCCGTTTTATGTGTGTATGATGGTTGAATGATTGATGATATTGGCATGAAACGAAGTTTATGAAATTTCTTTGGCCATAAGGTGAATATCAATTAGGTATGTAGGGGTGTTTAAGTCAGGAACCAGGGCCAAAATGTCGACCTCGGCACCTCGGGACAATGGTACCGATAATGCGCTAGTCCCCTTTGGGTATATCACGTGACTCTGGAAAAACTTGCCTAATCGGGCAGCTGACTCAATTGGGAAGGTCCAGACTGAGGTAATCGAGCTGAGTCAATGGACTGTCCAGTCGAACATTCGAACATTTCAACATTTGAAATCCTCAGCCCTGGAGAGCAGTGGATTTATCATCTCTGTACTACAAATGGCCTCGGAGAACGTCGGAATCGCGTCTCGGCGCACTCCGCCAATGAGCCCATTACTGCAGGACTGACTGATATTTCCCCGCACGCCCCCGGATCCCATTGCCTGTACGGAGCAAAGTCCAGGGGGGCCAATGACAGTGTAGAGAGAGTCCCATTAGCGTCATCGGAGTACAAACTAAATAGTATATGGTGGCCAGGCGCTCAGGATTAGCAAGCTGCTTAATACACGACCCGTTATTGGGCCCACGCGAACATTTAAATTTGCGGGGATGCCCGCTCTCTCTTCCTTCACCACTTTCAACGTCCAATACACATCATGGCTGAATGTCCTGTTGCACACAAGAAGAGCAATGTTGCTGGAGGTGGCACTCGGTATGACTTCCGGGTCCTGATGGACTCCCCGGGCACTGTCCCGACCTGCGCGCGGAACTGACGATCTTGCAGCAACACCGACTGGTGGCCCAATGCTCTGAAGCTCAATATCCTCCGCCAGCACACGGATGCCACCAACCCGCAGAACAAGGATTTTGATTATGCCACCGCGTTCAAGACACTCGACTACTGGGGCCTCAAGAAGGATCTCCATGCGCTCATGACCGACTCCCAGGACTTCTGGCCGGCGGATTTCGGTCATTATGGAGGTCTCTTCATTCGCATGGCGTGGCACAGCGCGGGAACCTACCGAGTCTTTGATGGCCGTGGTGGCGGTGGCCAGGCCCAACAGCGGTTCGCGCCGCTGAACTCTTGGCCCGACAATGTCTCCCTCGGTGGGTTTCAAACATTCCGATGAGGTCGTCTCTCTTGCGCTAACACCTCTTCACAGACAAGGCTCGTCGTCTGCTCTGGCCCATCAAGCAGAAGGTAAGCATGGGAAATATCCGACAAAACTTGTGATGGTAGCTGACTCTCAATCAGTACGGTAACAAGATCTCTTGGGCCGATTTGCTGCTTTTGACTGGAAATGTCGCCCTGGAGTCCATGGGTCTGCAGACCTTCGGTTTCGCCGGTGGCCGTCCCGATGTCTGGGAGGCCGATGAGTCTGTCTACTGGGGAAGTGAGAACGTCTGGTTCACCAACGAGGCGCGTTATGAGGCCGAGACTCCTGAAGAGAAGCCCAAGCAAAGTGATATTAAGACCCGCGATCTCGAAGACCCGCTGGCCGCGGTCGTCATGGGTTTGATCTACGTGAACCCCGAGGGCCCTGATGGAAACCCTGACCCTGTTGCTGCGGCTAGAGATATCCGCATCACCTTCGGTCGTATGGCCATGAACGACGAAGAAACTGTCGCCCTGATCGCTGGTGGCCACACCTTCGGAAAGACCCACGGCGCTGCTGGTGCCGACAACGTCGGCAAGGAACCCGAGGCCGCCGGCCTGGAGTCCCAGGGCCTGGGATGGCACAACGCACACGGCTCTGGAGTCGGAGCCAACGCCATCACCAGTGGTCTGGAAGTCACTTGGACTAAGACCCCTACCAAGTGGAGCAACCAGTTCCTCGAATATCTGTTCCAGTTCGAGTGGGAGCTCACCACCAGTCCTGCTGGAGCCAAGCAGTGGGTGGCGAAGAATGCCGGCGACATCATCCCTCATGCATTTGACTCTAACAAGAAGCAAAAGCCTACGATGCTGACTACTGATCTTTCCCTGCGCTTCGATCCCGCTTATGAGAAGATCTCCCGTCGCTTCCTCGAGAACCCCGGCCAGCTTGCCGACGCCTTCTCCCGTGCCTGGTTCAAGTTGCTGCACCGTGACATGGGTCCCCGTGCCCGCTGGCTGGGCCCTGAGGTCCCCAAGGAGATTCTCCTCTGGGAAGACTATGTTCCCGCTCCCTCCTTTGCCCTTGTTGACAATGGCGATATCATTGCCCTGAAGAATGAGATTCTTGCCTCCGGCGTTGAGCCCACCAAGTTCATCTCCACTGCCTGGGCTTCGGCCTCTACCTTCCGTGGTGGCGACAAGCGCGGTGGCGCCAACGGTGCCCACATCCGCCTCGCTCCCCAGAAGGATTGGGATGTCAACAACCCCGCTCAGCTGCGCGAGGTCCTTAGCGTGCTGGAGAACATCCAGACACGCTTCAACAAGTCTCAAAATGGCGAGAAGCGCATCTCCGTCGCCGATCTGATCGTCCTTGCCGGTTCCGCCGCTCTCGAGCGCGCCTCCGGCCTCCCTGTCCCCTTCACCCCTGGCCGCAACGATGCGACCGAGGATGCGACCGACGTCGAATCCTTCAGCTGGCTCCGACCCTTCGCCGACGGATTCCGCAACTACGGCAACTCCACCCGTCGCGTGCGCACCGAGCAGCTCCTCGTTGACAAGGCTCAGCAACTGACCCTCTCCGCCCCGGAGCTCACCGTCCTTGTCGGTGGTCTCCGCACCCTGAATGCCAACTGGGACGGATCCAAGCACGGTGTCTTCACCTCCCGCCCCGGCCAACTGAGCAACGACTTCTTCGTTAACCTGCTTGACATGAACACCATCTGGAAGCCCACTGGCGCTGACAGCGAGTACTTCGAGGGCTTCGATCGCAAGACCGGTGCCAAGAAGTGGTCCGCGACCCGGGTGGATCTGATCTTCGGTCACCACGCCGAGCTCCGGGCTCTCTCTGAGCTGTACGGCAGCTCTGATGCCCAGGACAAGTTCAAGAAGGACTTTGTCGTCGCTTGGGACAAGGTCATGAACTTGGATCGTTTTGATGTCCCTTGTTTCCCTGTGACTGGTCGTCCCCGTCTGTGATATTAACAAAATTGTGTTACATAGCTCTATTAGCCCCGCTGCATGAATGACTTTACTATGACATTCGGATTATGTTTGAAACATTTTGGATTATATGGGATTTGCTTTTTGCACGGGACGTAGCCTTCCAGGGTTGTCTTGAAGGTTCACATGAAATGTAGACGGAAACATGCCCAGGTGCCCCTTGGCGAGCACGACACGCCCTCGACGGGGCGTGCTTCCACATGCAATTTCGCCGGATCCAGGCTAACAAGTCAACAAGCTGAATTCAAATATCTGTGGGGATCATCGACCGGCAGAGTTCCCCAGTGTAAGTCGAATTGCCAGGGGTTGAAGGTCAATCTAATTATGTACAGTTTGCCTGTCGTTCTCCTGACACCGTACCAATGCATGTGAACTCTCGACGTGTGATTCTTTAAATATCTCGTTCTCAATTGGTGACTCTGCGCTAACTTTCGTGATAGGCCTCAAAGCTACGTAGCTACGTCGCTAGCCCAATGCCCCAGAAGTCGATTCCTTGATTTCGCAAACGAATCCCCTAAAAAAAGGGCAGCCTTGAGCATGAATTTCAAATACCCCCGTGCACAAGGTCTGAGCTCAAGCTGTGGAGCGCTAAGTAACGGATAGCGCACGAGCTGTTGGTTTTTCTTTGTTTGAAATCCCGAGATACCCTGTCTGGCGCGCCGATAGCCTCTCGCCACTTTCCAATTCGTTTGTCGCATCCAATGAACGCCCAATGCAATAGCATCGGTTGTCGAGTCCCTGTCTCAGGGGATCTATCCATTATCCTCAGTCGGAAATCCAGGCAATGGACCGTTATCCAACTTGGGACCGGATGTCTTCCACCACATCCCCGTGTACTAGGCGTCATAGACCGCTGCCTCGATCTCTTGGCCCACCAGAATCGACACTCCTTGCCCTTGGCATTGCCCTGGAGATTGTCTGACCCTAACCTTATCCACCTGTCACACTGCCCCTCTCATCTGGCCCAAAGCGATCCCAGATCTCAACGGCACATATCAGCGGCTAAATTAACGACCTTAAATGAGATCTGCGTCTGTGCATTGCATATATCCCTCTCTTATCCCCAATTCTCTTCCCAGTTCCATACCCCCCACATATGGATAGTACCATCAGCGTCCTGCCTTCGGAGGCATATGATATCATCACGAAGAACATCTTCATTGTGGAGACGATCGCCATGTTCTCCATCAGTGCAGCCGGTGCTGCAGAGGTGGTGGTATCCATATTTGAGAGTTTCAAGAGGTACCGCGGGCTATACTTCTGGAGCATGCAAATCGCCGCCTGGGGCATCCTAGTCCACGCCATCGCAGCCCAGATTCGCTTTCTAAGCTACGCCTCCAACCTGGCCATGACGATCCCCTTCGCGATCGGCTGGATATGCATGGTAACCGGACAAGCGGTGGTGCTATACTCTCGACTGCACCTGGTCGTTCACGACGTTCGACATATCCGCTGGGTCCTGTGGATGATTATAGCAAGTTTCTTCATTCTCCATGCACCAATGACAGGCCTTTTCTTCTGCCTTAACCTCGGTGACACCAGATGCATACATCCCGCAGCGATTTACGACCGTCTCCAAATCGTGGGATTCGCCCTGCAAGACACGATCATTTGCGCCATCTACATACGCGAGGCACTCATGGCGCTGAAACCTATATTTGCTATCAGGGGTCACTCGGGGAGAAGAGTCATCTACTGGCTTCTTTTCGTCAACGTTTTCGGAATCATCCTCGACATCCTAATCATCATCACCGAATTCAAAGTCCACTATATCGCGGTAGGGTTCAAAACAGTCGCATATAGCATCAAACTCAAGCTTGAGTTCTTCGCTTTGACCCAGCTCCGTGAATTGACGCGCACATATCCCTGCTCGCTATGTCAAGGATTAGAAGGGCAAGCGCGAGGATCCAGCGAGGCGAACATTTTCAACGTCCCGGTCAATCACGACCATCCAACTGTCCAGGTGGGAACATTGCCTAGCTTTGTGGGAACTATTAGCCCACCACCGCCTCAATCGACACGTAGCAGTACTTATGATTTCCATGAGGCGCTGCGACAGACGGTTTCGACTGAGAATTCCATTCACGTGCATACGGATACTATTTCGCCGATTCGATCGGATACTCGATCTACAGTTGAGATGACTTTGTTGGAGGCTCCGAAGTAGAATTCGGAACTCCGTTTGATTTTCGTTGATTAAATATCTTCAGGTTGGGATGGCTTTTGTGCTTTTGTATAAAATCAAGATGTCCAATGCGTTGGACGTCAGGGCGGCCGTTGTCTTTTCGCTTTATACCCTTGTCGCTACGGTTCTTCCGCGCCAACATGTTTAGTTTTTGTTTATTTCATGCATTTTCTTTCCTTCAATAGCCCATTTGAAACTATGATAATATAATGTTTCTGACCGAAAACAGCCTTGCAAATACGCATTGTTCATCGCCGTGCTTCATTCCAATGACACGGCGGTGTGGACTGACCCAAGTGGCGAGACAGAACAGGAGTGAGACCATGATTGAACGGTCGAGGCGTGTTTCTGGAGGCATGAAAAATGTAAAATGGTATGTCAAAAAGGGGTATCTGTATATTTTTTCCCAAATGAAATCAAAACGCCGGAATAGATCCGACAGGCCCAATCCGTGTACCAGGGCCTGTCTATGCAGAAAGAAACATGCTTGGGAAAATGCTAAAGTACGTCAAGTGCATATGTCGTACACGCAGTACTTGCTTCAGCCGAGTAGGAACCCGGAGAATCCAGATGCGTGATCGCCCGAAAGCGAATGAATAGTCCGGCATGAATGCAAAGATTAAAAGAGGTAGATGGGGAGATGACTGCCGGTAGAATGGGGATTATGAGGCGCTCATTAGCGACCAGCTAATGAAACCATCCGCCATGTTCCCATTCACGATCCGGCGTGTAAGTTGCTTCGGCTCGGGCGCCAAGGTCCTTCAAGCCCTTGAAGAAAAAGTTCAGCCTGGCGAACGGTATGGGCTTCATGACGTAGCCATCAAAGCCAGTCTCGATATAGAGCTCTCTGTTCTCTTCGAGGAGCGAGGCAGAAACTGCAAATATGGGCACACGGGTTTGAGAAGCTTCATCAGGAGCGCTCTGGGGCGTTTTGGACTCAATATCACGGATCATTCGAGTGGCCTGCATTCCATCGACAATTGGCATTTGTAGATCCATGAGGATCACATCGAAGTGGTCAGTCGCCGAGGCAAAGGCCCCGGCACATTCTTCTCCATTGCTGGTGAGTTTCACACGGTGTCCAAGCTTGGTGAGACGTTTTTGTATGATTTTGCTATTGACCGGATCGTCTTCTGCCACAAGAACATGCAACAGATCATAATCGGTAATAGAAGGGACGGTGGTAGGGGATGTAGATGGCGGGGGTGCCGTAGAGGGTGCTTGGGTTGTGGACGGCGGTGGCGCTGTGGAGGCGGTTTTTGCGAATCCTGTGCCTGGTTCAAATCGCGGGAAATACGATCGATCCTCGATGGTTTGCGATGACGGTGATTTCATACTAGCAGATAGTTTGGACATTCGCACAGCACCCATCGGTACACCAGAGTCGGTGATATTCTCCATTCCCGGGGGAGGTGGAGTAACGAGGGGCTGTAAATTGATCGATGGCGAGTGCGTGACCGACGATAGATTTCCCCGGATATCATGGACCGATTGTGTGGTAGAAGAGCGTTTCAGGCTAGATGTCGGCGCCGAGATTCTGGACAAGGGATGGCTGTGGGCGCTGACGGGGCTGGAAGACAGTCTTCTGTGTTTCGAGTATGAGCCCTGGCTTCCGCTCCGTTTGGACATCGCAGGTTCTTGCATGGCACTGATTAATCTGTCGGCCTGGCTCTTCCCGCTGTTGCCACTGCGAGAGCTGCCACCACTCCGTATGCTTTCATTACTTCGTCGCCTCGTGTCAGCAGGCTCAAATGACCCGCCAACCAACGTAAACTCTTTATCGGAGATCAGTGGCGTCGGAGGGATAGCAGAATGCGCAGCAGCGATGGTGGCTTCATCCTGCGAAACATCACCTTCAGGCAGTCGAAATTGCAAAAAGATTTTGAAGCGGCTGCCCTTCCCTTCCTCGCTCCTGACACCGAGTTGGCCGTGCATGTTTCGAACAATTCTGGCTGCAAGAGCAAGGCCAAGTCCCAAAACGCGCTTTTGTGGCGGTTTCGAATCTGAACTTGGAGCATTATCGGCGTCGCCAGGGTAGTATGTTTCGTCTGTTGAAACTTGCTCCAATTCGTGGAAAAGAGCCTCGAGCTTATCTTGAGACATGCCAACTCCGGTATCAACGACCATGACTTCGACTCCCACATGACCCGGCAGGGAGTTCTTGGCGGAACGCCAGATCTCAGTGGTTACCGCGCCGGATTCAGTGTTTTGAATGGCGTTGGATATCACATTGGACAAGACCTGGCGTACACGGCGTTGATCGCCAAGCACCAATGGGGGAAGACCTGGATGGACTGAAGTGGTGAATGAGATGTTCTTTCGTTTGGATTCACCAGAAAGCATTTGAGCAGCTTCTTTGAAGGTTTCTTCAAGGTCAAAGCTTTCATCTTTGATGAGTTCCTGGCCCTTCTCGGTATTCGTTAAATCCAGAAGATCATTGATAACATAAATCAATGACTTGGAGGCCGAGTGAGATCTAGTAAGACTATCTCGGGTGTCTTCATCCAAGGCACCTTCCAAAGCAATTTCAAGGTAATTGATGATCGCGTTCAGAGGCGTTCTAACCTCATGGGCGGAGTTGGCCAGGAGAAGGCGGGTCAGCTGAGAGTTCTGCATTGCCGCTTCCTTCTGTCGCCAGACCTTGATGAACTTTCCATACACAACTATTAATCCAAAAGTTAGTAAGGCCGTCTAGCTTCGAACAATGCAGAAACCTAAAACTTACGACATAGTACTGCCGCTGTCTCGACGTCGGTTTCGGTCCATTCCCGACTTTGTGACAGCACAGTCTCTCGCCAAGCCGAAAAACTCTCGCGGGGCTCAAGATAACCCGCGGTTTGCTTTCGTTTCTCGATCTCGTATGGATTGCCGGCCCATTTGATTTCAGTAAGCTGCCCACGTCGGAAAAAGACGATGAAGTCACTACCACCTGCGGATAGTGGGACATAAAGCAGCCCTGAGATAGCCTTGAGTCCTGGGGGAAAATGCAAATCGGGAAAGTCTTTGACGATGTCGTGAGATGCCAGAACCGAGCTTAATTGTCGAAGGCGGAGGAATTCTAAGAGCGCAAGTACCTCTTGAGTATTGGAGCCATCGCCTAGTATCTTCGTTTCATCTCGTATTGAGAGTACGCCGTAGTCTGCAGAGAAAAGTTGGAGAAGATCGTCACTCGAAGCGATGATGTAACTATTGGTTTGTGTCAGCGAATCTGGTGCAACTATTTACAATTGTGAAACGTACCCGGATGGATTGGCTTCCGTAGGAACTGTATTGATTAATTTTCGCGCCTGCAATCTTGAGGTGTAGGAAAGTCTTTCGATATTACGAGAGACAATATCTCCAAGGAGGCGGCAGATCTTTCGAACTGGAAAAGATACACGTCGAGGAGATCCATAGTTATGACAAGATATCAAGCCCCACAGATCCTGAAAAAGCTTGATTAGCGCTGTACTTCCCCAAGCGTATAACGGATTCACTCACCCCAAAGGCGTTGATAGACACCGAGTATGAAGACACAACTTTCATGTGCTTCAGATACTTTATGTGGATGGGCGACATCGCGCGCAAGTAGGCATGTGTCATGTCCAGGGGTGTTTCAAGGTCTTCCACTGTTCGGCAAACCAGACGTGATGTGACCTGATCACGGTCATAGAGCAGACGAACCTTGTTGATCTTGTATAATTCTCTTGCTTGGGCAGGTATGTCGGAGGCCGGGAAATGCAGGCCTTTGTATAGATCGATTGTAACATTGGGATCTACCAGTTCAGCGACAACCATGCCATTCCAGCTGCTGTCAAATTGGTATATGAGCACACGGTGGAAGCCGCTAAGTTCCTTCACGAGTCCTGCAGTTCATCAGTGAATAGAGGACATGGAATATGGCTGGGTGAAGACCTTACCTGCCGTAGTATTCAACAACTGCTCTAGGTCTTGGCACCGCGACAGCTGAGTTTCAAGCTGCGAGAGAACCGATAGATAATCGGTCTCTGCTCTCCGACGACGAAGAAGTCGAAGGGGCTGTGATATGGCTATGGTCGAAGAGGCCAGTTGATCTGGCGTAGGGACAACACCCAGTGTGCTGTTTTCTGATGGGTCCACAGGGCTGCCTGAGGCAGCAGAGCCTGGAATGTCCAATGGATTGCGCTCATCGTATTCAAGCTCGAATTCACAGATTATCAAGTCTTTTTGGGTTTGACAGACATGAGCGGCGCACCAGAACCGGCGTGCTTCCCCGGTGGGTGTCGGAATTGATAGCGCAAAGATTTCGGGTCCATCAACAGAGGGGTCGTATGCATCGTCCCGGACAAAGTCAATATGGTCCAACAAAGCATCCGCTTGATCTTGCTCTAGGATGTCACAGAAGCCATGTGCTTCAAAAAGCTGTTTCGGGGTGTAACCTAAATATTCGGCCGAATTTTCGCTCACAACGCGCACGACGAGCTGGTCTGGAGATTGCTCCCGCAGCGCGATCATGACGCCAAAACTCTGGATTGCACCGGGCTGGTAGGGGTCAACTCATGCTCAAGAGCAGCAAATGTGGGAGTAAACTCACGATCCTGATAGGCTCGTCTTCGCAGTATTGAAGGTCTTCGCCCTCTCGGCCCGTAATGATGGCGTGGCCATTTTCGGTCACTACGTGTTTGAAACGAGCAGTCATAAGATGGTCATCGTCTGTCCGAGAACCATGTGATCTGGGATGAGCGGTGGAGCCGGAGCCGGATTGGCTATCGCTGTTAGGTTCCGCGTATATTTCGGGGTGCTGAATGACTTCCGATGCCATGGAGTGTGTCCCGAGCTCCGTCTCTTCACGGGTGGCATGTGTCTCATGTCGTGGAATATCTGTGGGAATCGTAGGCTGGGCATGCTCGGGATCCACGCGAGGTACAGACTGAGCATCCGATTCGGATTTGAGCTGGTTCCAGGTCTGCTCGTCGATAAATGTATAGTGCCGAGCCCCATCTCTCGTTGGGGATGTGGCTCCCCGCGAGGTAGACCGCTGTGTAGCTGCGTTGGGGTCCACCGAGACTACCGATCGGATTGGGAACACCCGGTCACTGAGATCGAACTCGGTGCTAGGTGGCTGCTGAATCTCATCGTGTGACACTGACTGCGACCGCTCCCTGGTCTCTGGGCGTTTTTTGGTCGTTTCGGAGGAATCTGTTCGGGCGGGGGTTGCAACGCTCTCCGACCTCTGGCGCTGGATCCCCAATCCGATGTCCTGAGGTTTGGGCGAAGCCATTTGAGGGCAAAGGGGATCCGGAGATGGGCGAAGCAATCTGCAGCGTCGCGGCGTGTAGGGGAACCGATCGGGCGGGCCAGTGTCGCGTGGGTCAGACTAGATTCGATCTTGAATCCAAAGGCGAAGCCACTGCCTCCTTAAGAGGCCGATACAGTGGCAACGTGATCGCAGTGACTCTCTCGACTATCACTGATCATTAGGGTGGAAAGGCTGCAGAAGTCTAAGCTTCTAGAAATCAAAGTGGAACCTCTCCCAATGGGGGCCCTACACGATGCCGAGGCCGTTGATCCAGGTCTCCAGTCCGAAAGGCTCTGAGTGGCTGAGTGGCTGAGTGCCTGGGATGAAAGGAATGATCGATCCCGATGAGGTGAAGCGCGACGATCTGAGAAAAAAAAATATGATGTGAGTTAGGGGTGGAGAGGCCGTATGGAGGGGCAGGCGGAGAGGCATGTGCGGTGGTAAACTGCCCCCAATAATCAACCCAACCAGGTGCAATTTTTCAAGTTGAAGCCGGTTGGATCCAGTAATGATTGTCGTCCGCTGTCAACGAGCCCATTTCCCCCCGGGGCTTCCTGGGGATCATTGGTCGCTTAGACGCGATGGCCGGATCGTGGTCCACTGGCCAGTCCCGATTTTCATTGGCCGTGAGTGGGATCCAAATCGCATTACTGGTGGAATCCGGGCCGATGTAGTTCTCCGGTTTAACAGCCGAAGCGATGGGAAAAAAGTGGAAACTCCTTGCACATGAGGCTTGTACCGGTACTTACGCCAAGGCTGGTGGCACAATACACTGCCCAAGTACCTCTTTGTATCTTTTTCACCTGGAGATGATGTCATATCTGACGCAGACATCTACTGAATGTTCGAGTACATACAATATGTACATATGTATGTGTGTGCATTCTCCAAATGATCTCATGTTTCATGAAGTCACAGTGGATTTTTACAGTACAGAATGTATAGGTACTTCGTATAAACCTTCCATTCAGTGCCGTTGGATTCTAAGCTCCTCTTCCAAGGCCATATTCTGCAAACATGCAAACACTGTAAACATGCAAATACTCCAAACAGTGCAAACGTGGGCCTCGGCAGTTGGCTTGGCCTGTGCTCAACGAAGTACACATCGCAAAGTTGCGAAGCCCCAGATGATTCGATCTTTGGTCTTATAGGATCTAGTTTCAGTCATAAGCAAGTATTTTTTATCTGTCCAACAGAACATGTTATTAAATGAAAATGTGTTGACAATGCCTTTCTAAAGCAAATAACGAAAGCTCTCGATCTCGCGGTCCGTCTTGTTTGACAACTCATCTTGCAGCTCGGCGCCCACAGTGAGCTGTTCTGGCAAACCGTATAGCTTGTCCCGACGGCGGTTTTCCCACCTGTAATAAACATACAAGCAGATGAGGAAGAAAAGACTGAGAACCAAGCCTGACATGGAAGCTTTGATGCCGGTCTAGTGGAGTGTCAGCCGAGCAAGCCATGATTATGGATCTAGATTTAAAAAGTGAAGAAGAAAATCTTACCGGATATGATGGCTCCTCCGACGACAGGAAGAATTGAGGCCCGACAATATTTCCAACGCAGTATGCAATAAAGAGCAGGGAGCTCACGACGCTCTTCTTGGAGAATCCAGCCACGTTGGAGGTGATAATACTCAGCGAGATTGGCAGGTTGATCACGTAGACAACGGCCAGTGTCAAGCCCACCATTCTCCCAGCTTGGTCATCAGGATCAAGCTTCCAAATGAGAATCAGTCCCACAATTGCGACCATCGTATTAAATATCATTCCCAAGATGCGGAAGGAGGGAATCAGGGTTGCTGCAGTCGAGGTGATGAGCATGAATACAATCTGGGCACCACCTTGTGGCATTTGCATGATCAGAGCTTTCAGGTCACTGAATCCAAAGCCGGCCGTAATGATCGAAGTAAACTGCCGAAAATGTTATTACCTAGCTTCCAAAGTCGAACGACAATACTAACACTGGTGAGTCCTCCATTGGCCAGGTTTGAAGTGAACGAGTTCAACACCAAAAGCCACGTCTGGGGATCTCTCAAGGCCTGAAAGGCCTGTGACCATTTGAAAACACCGGTATCCATAACTCCAGTTTTGTTCTTCAAAGTTCGCTGCACGGCGATAGCCCGCTCATTGGGCTTCAAGAATATGGCCTTGGCGGGTGAGTCGGGCAGCATTGCGAACAAGACGATTCCATAGAACGAGGTGATAGCGCCGAGAATGAGGAACAAGAGCTTCCAGTGGGAGATGACGGAGGTCTCGATTGTTCCGATGCCGTAGGCAATCAATCCACCGATGAGGACAGCTAGACAATTTCCGAAAAACCAGGCAGATTGTCTAAGGTCATTAGCATAGGATAGAGTCATTGATAGAGTGACATACCGAAGGGGTTGTTCCTCGCGTTTGTAAAACATTCCAGTGAGCAGCGTGAAGCCCGGTGCGATAGCCGCCTCACCCACGCCCAAGAAGAAGCGAACTGTCATGAGTCCACTCCAGTTGGAACAAGCAGCATGGCACATCATAACACCGCCCCACAGGAATCTAACTGTGTTAGTGTGTTTCGTATCTCGTGGGGACCACTGCATACACTGAGACTGAAATATATTTCCCAATTGGAAGCCGAACCATGATGTATGAGCTGGGCCTGTGGGGTGTTAATATAGGATCAGACGTTCTAATCGGAAGGCGTACCAGCTCCAGGAGAAGTATCCAAAGTAGAAGATTGCTGATGCCCACGAGTATTCATTCCCATGCATATTCTGAAACTCCCGTTAACAATGCTTCAGCACAGAATTCAAGCACCTTACCAAATCCTGCCGCAAGTTGAACAACGTCGCTTGACTCAAAGCCAATTTATCCAGAAATTGAAGGAAATATGCGGCGCCCATCAAAGGTATTAATCTGCCAGGATTGCCAAGATTAGCAATTGAGTGTAGAGCATCACATTGCGGACTCACATGAGATCAAGCTTCCATAGCACCCTGCGTTCCTCTTCCGGTGTTGATTGAACAGCAAGCACTTGGCCCAGATCCATGTCCCGGCCCAGTGACTCACCCTCGCCCTTCATGTTCTTTTCATCTGGATATGAGTGTTGAGTGTCCATTGTGAACGCTAAGTGACAAATTCACTCCAGCAATGTCAGAGCTGACAGGACGAACGCCCTCTTATTCAAAAGCCCAGCAGACCAATGCCCAGGGCTACCAGCCGCAGAAAACTCGTGTAGGGACTTCGCTTAAACCTCCCAGACCCAATACCCGCCCTCTTTCCGCAGTGGGCCCAGCCCACCGTTCAAGGAGCTGAACAGATCCACCAATGGATAGGATCGTATAGTTTTGCGATGCTAATAGAAATTTCCCCGCGATGTCGAAAACCTGGAGAACTGGCGAGCCTGCCAATGAGACGGGCATACTCGGCACCCCAGACTCGCGTGTCAGTCGAATGAAAATCCGAGGTGACAGTCGGGACGGACCCGGCCTGGGGGAGAATCCACTTCTCCCCTCAACGGATCTCCAGCTCGGCAGTTGCTGAGATCGGCATCCAGTGCCAAGCTATGCTTCTTTAGTCCAGCGCTATCGAGAGGTGTCAGGCTCCATTCCGCTAAAATTGCTAATCGGCATTGGAGATGCTAACACGGGATATCGTATGAAGCCCTCACTATGGGGGTCCACTCTGGAGATTAAAGAGGAGTATGTACTAGTAGTCTATCTCGATTCATATTCATAGGCCCCTTTCAAAGTCAGATTGGATCGCAGTGGCAAAGCTTTTGTCGACCAAAGCCCTCGTCGCCACCACCGCCATTCCCGCCGCACAATGTAAACTACGCCTGAACCCTTCCTCCGACCCTGCCCCTGCAGTAAATTGCGGCGTGTGGTTAACGCCATCGGTATGAATGTAGAATCCACCATGGAAGCCCGGCACTTCATACGAAACATTGCCTAGATTGATTCAGGTGATCAGCGACCCACAGTCAACAGATGGGAATCAGACTTACCCATGTCAGTGGACCCTCCGCTCAATCCTCCATCCTGTCCCACGGCGTCAAAGATTGTATTATGGCCCATGGCGTTCATGGCGGAAACATAGCTATCGCAGATGGGCTTGTTGATCTTCATATCCTTGTACGAGGCCTCCCTGGGTTTCAAGTCAGCAGAGTCCTAGTCCACCGGGTGCTCCATCGCCGCATACCATTTGAACTCCACAGTACAGCCCGTGGCAGTAGCCGCCGCCTCGAAGCATTTCAACACCTTATCGGTCAAGGGCTTCAATGTCTTGACGGTGTCCGACCGAATGTAGTATTCGACCGTTGTAGAAGCAGGGATAACATTAGGTCTATCTCCGCCCCGCAAAACAACACCATGGATTTTCTGCGTGGGTAGGATCTGCTGTCGCAGCATAGATATACTGACATACGCAGACACAACAGCATCGAGGGCATTGATACCCTCCCACGGAGCGGCAGAGGCATGGGCAGGTTTGCCCGTGAATGTCACCTCAACCTTGTCATTGGCAAGATACTGACCGGAACAAGAACTGGAGCTGATAAGTTCTGGAGCCCCAGAAAGAACCGGGAACGGATGCACCATGAAGCAAGCATCCACGCCCTTGTATGCTCCGGCATTGATCAGTAAGAGCTTTCCACCACCACCCTCTTCGGCCGGAGTTCCGAGAAGACGAACGGTGTATCCAAATTGATCAGCATAGATCGAACGCATTGCTTCACAAGTAGCCAGGAACGCAGCAATGGAGCTGGTAGCGATCAAATTGTGTCCGCATGCGTGACCCATGCCTGGCAAGGCATCATATTCTGCGTTGAACGCCACCACTCGGCCACCATTTCCCTGTTTGTATGTAACTTCGAGGGCAGTTTCAATCCCATAAGCCTTTCTTTGGACTTGATACTCGGCTCCGAGCGACTCGAAGACCTCACAAATATGGTCATGGGCATTATACTCTTTGAATGCCAGCTCTGGATCCGACCATATCTTCAGAAGTTAGAGCAAACTCCATACCACAGCATCAGTGAATCGGTACCTTTTGGTTTATGTCGCTCAATTTCGACTCATATTTCTGCAAACAACCACGGACCTTGTGGATGATTTCAGCTTGTTCTTGCACTGGCAACATTTTGGACGTGAGAATCAACGAAGACAATTGCGCAAAGCAAAAGAAAGAAAACCAGGCCAGGAAAGGAATCCAGTGCCGAGTCATACCTCCGCAGATAAGAACGAGACTAACAGTTGAAGTGGGGGTTTCGCCATTCCGCATTCCGCAGTGGAGCGCAGATGCGCTAGATGCAATGCAACATAATTGCCTCAGGGGGCAACGCATCTAATACCCAGTCCCCAAAGGGGCGTTGGCGGTATCTGCCTGTGCGGGTTTCTCTAAACAGTTCCGCATTGTGATACTGCAAGCCAGACTCGGCCTTCCAAATTGAGAACGTTCAACTCGCCTGCCGAAACGTTATATAGTCCGAGTCCAGTTCAGAGGATCTGGCAAAGGTCGCCTCAAGCATCACTGTTAAAGTTTGACTTGGGGCTGCGGTGCTATGTGATCTCGATATGAGCTGATTTGTCTTTTCCGCCCATGGTCTTCCTTTTAAATGTCATCAAAACTTGGAATGATGAAGTTGTTTCAAGATGCGGATGGATTGATTTCTGAATAATATGTCTCGAAGACGTGGAGTAAATTACATCATGATGTTGAGTATATCGTATCGTCAATGGACTGCGTGAAATTATATCTTTGTCAATGTACATATTGCGTATGACCTTGAACTTTGCCGTCGAAGGTCTTCAAGGGTTGGTATGTGTTTGGTATGAGGGCCACGATGGAGCAACCGGTGTGAGGTACGATATTGCGTACTCAAGAAGATATGGCGTGCGGTTGCATTCATGCCAAATAGTGATTATGTACCAAGGGTGTTGCGTCAAATTTGGTTGCGCAATGAGGTATTCCGAGGACGGCTATTATGAAGGCGACAGTAGTATCAACGACACTGCCGTGCTCCGAGCCATTTGAGGTCTCTCGGGTGTGAAATTGTCACCGGGGATGGGACCAGGGCTGTCTGCACTCAAGTAGACACCAGGAAGGTTTGATCGAAATCAGTGAGTGATAGACCTGTGTACTTCTGTTGTAGTAGACCAGAAAGGCTTCATGCTTTCATGAAGGATGAGAGGATTGATCGGTTGACTGTGTAGATGGCCTGATCCTCCGCTCGGACATAGGCAGGCTCTCGACAGACATTGTGTTCCATCCTCGCCGTCCTCTTGACCGGGATTCACGGGGGGCGGCATGCGTAACATCCGTTGTAAGCTGGGTAGGGTCCACAAAGCCAGGATATTCTTCGTGTTCGGATGAGGTAGGTTGGGAGCGAGAATTTTGTACCAGGGTGACCAGCTTGCCGAGGACACCGAACTCAAGTTTGAGCTTGATGCTATAAACCATCGGCTTCAAGGTCGTTTGTAGTGGGTAGAAGCCGATATACTCAACGACGAGCAGGCAAATATCAAGCAATATGATGACGAAATTGATGGCCAGTAATTCGTACATGATCCGAGTGCGGCGTCGATCCTTGTCCGGCATCATCCTGAGCAGCCGCACGGTTTCCACGATGTAGATACTGGAAATACAGATTTCCTGGGCACAAAACCAGGCCAATTGCATTCGCTCCATCACATTGTACCCACGTATGACAGTCGGAGATGCAATGTATGCTGTGCAGAAGGTGAAAACGGTTGTTGGTACCAGCAATATCACTGCGTCAATGATGATGAGCCACAGCACAAAGCGAAGTACCTTGTTGCTTTGGACCACCAAATGGAGGCGGGAGTATAGCACTATTGATTGACCAGGGACCATGACGTAGAATCCAATGGTGGTGATGGTCAGAGAAAGCCATACTGGCGCCAGAGAGAACAGCTCCAACAGGTAGCCAATGGCGTGAGGAATTACTCCAAGGACCACGGACAGCAGAAGGGTCCAAAAGTAGAGACCGCGGTAATGGGTGAAAGTCAAGAACAGCAATATGAACAATTCAATGGCGTTATATAATGCGATGGAGGTGAAGACGATCATCAAGGTCCGCACGGCGACGTTGTTGCCCTGGTACCCATGGATCCCATCAGGGGGTTCTGACAAGTTCGTCATTGTCGGTGCGCCAACTCAGCCCGCGCTGGGCTGTATGGCGAAGATCGAAAAGCGAAGGTATAGTTGCTTCGCAGGTTGCGTAGCCTGTTCGGGTGTTCGGTTTCAAGTATACTATGCCGATAGCCATCATAGTTGTTGTCGTCCGATCTGAATCATGTGCGCGCAATATGCCGAGGGGAAGACGTTGAATTGGCGATAGGACTCGGAGATTGGGTGAAGGGATCTGGATCCGAGGAATGCGGATGCAACGCGGGCAGCATCCAGAATATCACAGACGAACACGTCTCTCAAGCCAGGACTTCGAGGGCAGCATAGCAGAGATCGTGAATTGGAGAGAAAAAGAAAAAAGAGGAAGTATCCGGGGGACCGGGGAAATGCCAAGCTAAGCCCAGAAAGGAACCGCCACACGTGAATTTTGACTTTTTGCCGTTTTTTCGTCTCGTTTTTTTCTCTTCGTCTCTTTTCCAATTTGCCAGTTTGCCAGTTTGCCGGTTTGCAAGTCTGCAATTGCTGCGAACGCAGTTCAGTCTCACTGGTTCGGCCCCTATGTCACCAGTCCGTCTTCCGAGTGCAGGATATCCAATGTGAGGTCACAACTGCCAAGCCTCCTTTATTGAAAGGCGGTGGCCCAGACGCAACCGATCTACGGAGTACGAAGGAGAGTCTCACCGTGAGCCGTTCGGCACAGCATCTCGTTATACTTCGAGTGTAAATGTCTCAACTGCCGAGGCTTTTTGGCGCTAACCAGCCACCGAGGAACCGGAACGGAGTGGGGAGTGCGCGACGTTCTCCTTCGCCATTGGGCAATAAGATGTGGAGAGGTAGCCCGTGCGCCTTCGCCACTATTCACCTGGTCTGGGGTGCGCCCTGAGTCCAGGTCCAGTCGTCGTTTAAGTCGTCCAGACGCCAGACCCCTACAGCTGCAGATTGGCAACGCCCAAAGACAATGCCCGGTGTGCATGTTCGGCCCGCCCGTGCTCAGGACCTTCCCGATATTGCAGATCTGGCCGCACGGGCCATGCTGGAAGACGAACTGTTTGCCTTTCTCTGCCCCCGCCGCCATGAGCATTTCTCGGATTTTCGATACGCATTTCTCCGCCGCCTCAAGAAGCGGCTGGTGACCCCACAGTACGTGATGATAGTCGCGGTGGAGAATGAGGGGTCTGGTCAGTCGATCACGGGGTACGCTGTTTGGAACAGAAATGGGACTGGAGCGAATGCGCTACGGTGGCAGAACGATACGTGGGCACATGGTGATCATCCCCGTATCTTTCATTCTCGCCGAGAATTCCCCGGCTGACAGACCCAGCTCTGGAACGAATGCTCTTGGCTGTTGAAGATCGCTATCTAGCACTGATCTGCCCTGACCGCAGTGTGGATCCACTCCGACTGGAGCAATACCTGACTTCGGCGGAGGACTGCTTTCCATTTTCAGACTATCCAGATAATTGGTTCTTATCCACCGTTGCAGTTGACCCTGCACGTCAGCGAAAGGGGATAGGTCGGCAATTAGTACAATGGGGCCTGCAACGAGGCATGCAGGATCATGTACCTGTGGGTTTGGAAGCAAGTATCATGGGCTTCCGACTGTACGAAAAATTGGGATTCAGGACGATCAACGAACTCGAATTCATGCCAGGCATGACGATATGCGCCATGGTTCGTGATACAGACACGCTTGGTCGCGAGCGCGGCAAATAAAGATCTGTTTCCAAGGTTGTTAGCATATCTTATCTGATCCCAATTTATATCGAGCTAAGCCACCCGGCCCTCTTAACTCAAGGACAGCCACGACCCTCCAAGGTTGTAGCCCTGGAGAGAGTTTGGTCCAAGTATTGAGGTACTATGTCACTAAATAGGCCCTATGAAATCCGAGCTTTTGCCACGGTATGACTGCTACGGAGTCGTTGTGTAGTAGATATCTTCCAATCCCCACTGTAACCTAGTCCCAAGCTTGGAGTTAAAGAGACCCATTGCGCCCAAAGGCCCGGGTCAACAGAACCACAGGCCCTCGGGAAGGCCAGGATTCTCCAATGCAGTAGAAATTTGAAATATGAAATCGCATTCGAGATATTCAACCGATGTTTAATAAGACATACTCCGTTCAAACAGTCACAATACGACAAGAGGGAAATCCATAACACCAAGTCGCAAAGCCGAAATCGCAAAATCAAGGGCCACGCCGCACACCATTACACTAAAGGATGAGCATCTCAAAGAACCCAGAAAAGAAAAGCATTCCGCTGAAGAGGCAAGGGTACCTAGCAACGGGAGGTCCCTAAGGGCAAAAACACCAGAGCCGGACCAAGCAAAGAATAAAACGCGGGTATCGAAAAGTGATCGCAAAGCAATCCAGACGCGCAACAGCAAACGCCTAATTCATAGGCAGACCATGGCTGACTTCCTGCTTGGCTACAACGTCGGAGCCATCCTGACTATCATCAGTGCGCATGCGCTTGTTCTGCTGGAAGGTGTTGTTCAGGAAACTGGCATCGTCGTTAGGCTTGCGCATGCCCAAAGTGGCAGCCGCGATGCGGTTCAGGGAGTTCATGTCCTCCGAGACAGAGCTGTGGTGAGGTCCAGTGGAGGGCACCGAGCCAGAGGGGCTGGAGTTCTGAACACCAGCCGAGGCGAGGGCCATCTCTGTGGTTCGGGGCTGGCTAAGGTCAATGTTGGCAGGAAGCTCGGGGACTTCGCCCTGGGCTTCGAGGAGGCGCGACTGCAGGTTAATGATGTACTCGCGGAGTTGGTAGTTCTCGCCTACGAGAGACTTGACCTGGTCCTTGAGGGGGTCGATGTTCTTGACTTCTTCTTCAAGTTTGCGGATGTAAGTCTCCTTACGCTGACGGAAGGCACGCTGGAAGTGGTCAGTAGGGGCAAGATTGGGGAGGCGGCATGCGTACCTGTGCGGCACGGTTCTGGGCAGCGCGCTTGGAGGTAGAGAGCTCACGCTTGCCGTAGCTTTTGGAGCCGCCATCTGATGGGGGGGAGCCTTGGGGTTGGGTGGGAGTCTGGGGGGTGCCTAGCATGGCACCAGAGATGGCGGGGTCAATGTTCGCCTGCTCGCGGGGGCTGGCATGGTTAGGTTGGAGGTGCTGCTGCTGGCCTGGGGCACCCTGCGGGCGACTGCCTGGCAGGTGATGCTGAGCAGCAAGCAGCTGGTCGTGGAGGACTAGAAGCCATGTTAGTCATGGGCTGGCTATGATGCTGACAAACAGCCCTAAGTTGAGGATCGTCAAAGTATAAGAGAGCGATGAACATCAGGTCAATGAAGCACCAAATCACGAAGCTCCGAGGGAGACCACGAGACCATGTGATTTTGACATTGAACCCACATCACATCACCCAATTCAATACATTTAACAACTCACGTACCTTGGTCCGCGTGGTCCTATGTCTCAATGTTAGTACACATGATTGATTCGAGGCTGGTGGCGGCGCGGAAAGGGCTCAGACAGAATCCGACGCGTCGTGATAGGGGTAACAGCCCCAGGTTCTCTGGCCGTGTAGGCTTAGGCCAGCACGCCTTCAGGATCCGAGTATCATACGCGGGATATAGATCTGATGACAAACGCGTTCGAGAAGATGCTTACCTGAGCAGTAGACTGCATGCTTGGATGCGGTGCTGGTGCGAGGGCAGGCTGCATGGATCGAGAATAAGGCAGATCACAGAACCCTACGAATTCTGATATTCAGAGCGACGATGCCCTCTTTGCTAATATCGCGATGCAGGTCAATGAGGTAAGCAGTCGATGCTGTAAGCAGGTTGAAGGAGGAGAGATTACTTAAGAGGAGTCTGAGTCAGAAGTTCCAACGTTTCGGTCGTAAGCGAATCCCGGAAAGGGTAGGCGGTGACGCCATGCCCAAAGACATTGTTTACTTCTACATCAGTACATCAAAGCTTGGTATCTTTTATTAAGTCCTTATTAAGTCCTCTCTCTAAGTTATTCTAGTCTCCTTCTATTCAGACGACCCTCAGCCAGTTTCAGCCTGACTTGATGTTGATACCAGCTGCAGAACTGTGATGGCATTCCGTCGCATCCGGCCCGGTCACATTCAGGCGGCTTAAACTTGGTGACGTCACTATCTAGTTTGACGCCAACTGTTCGCAGGGCACCTTGTACTTACTATGGGAGCTCTTGATGTTGTCAATTCAACTTGGAACCATAGAGAGGGAAACATAGTACAAAAGTATTCGTGTATATATCAACATCCAACATGACCATCTGCAATTCCAAACATGTTCTCCGTAGACTCTAGAGATATACAGCACATCCCTGGAGGCAGTAAGCACACCACCAACCTTACTGCTGCTTTTTCACACTACCCCGAACTGGCTGAGCCTGGATGATACCAGCACCCACCTGTGCTGACTCCGTCCAACCACGCTGGTGCAACCAAAATCGGGCTGCAGGATCAGCCCCATGCAACGATGCCTTCCGAGCATCATCCTCTAAAGAGGTGCGCGAGATTTCAGGTGCCTGAGACTGCGAGGCCAGCTCGTCTTCTTCGTCATCCTCATCACCCTCTGCATTGATGGAGGACTCGAGGTAGCGCTTGCGCATGAGATACCGATCAGCGCGCTCCTTGCGAGAGTTCGGGGGCTCGATCCTGGCCATCGCAGCCCGCACGACATAGCGGACGATAAGATACAGATGCTCCGAGAAGAAGATAGTGAGAAGCAACGCCCACCCCTTGATGTCCGTCGGTTCACCGTTAGGTCCGTGCTGTGCATTGCCACTGAACATGTACACTAGCGCGGCGCTGGTAATGCTACCAACCCAGGAGAGGAAGCCCAAGCTATCCAGCCAGGGACCAATCGAGTCAGTGCGAAGTGGAACGGGTCGACGGAACTCCATGCAGATCTTGAAGAAGTCTGAACGGAGCTCGATCCAGTTGTTCACGAAGAACGAGAGCGGGACAAGAGGCCAGGTAGGCGAGAACAGGGCCAAATATCCGAATTGAATGCACATTTCGCGGAGGTCATCGGTCACGTCATACTCGGAGAGTTCGACCTCGTTTCGAACGCGTGCAAGGAACTGCACTTCCTCGGCAGGATCATCATATACTATAGCGGGTCTCTCTGGTGACTCTTTGTCGCCATTGCGCTCCAACTTGCCATTGCGTTCCTTGTTATACTTCTTGTATTTGCGCAGGGCATGCTGTTTGAGGTAAGGCACAATTGTCTCCATGGCAAAGCCAACAATCTGCGCCGTCACGGTGAAGTAGATGACTTGGTTGCGCAGACGAGCGGGGTCAATCTGGAAGTGCGATTGCTTTGCGACGGCATGTTCCTTGGACACGAAAGGCCGGACTGTCAAGTGGAAGACATCGAGGTACGGCACAATGAGACTGGCAAATGGTACGTAAACGAAGGCCGTCAAGAAGATTGGAAGGTATGAAGTGATGAAGTTGATCACAAAGACTTTCTGGGTAAGTGCGACATCATATGCATCTTTGGTCTCGTGGTTCTCATAGTCATTGAGCTTTGTGGCGATTGAGGTGAGAATGGCGCTCATGGTGGGCACAAGCGCTGACACAAGAATGGTCGGAATGAAAATCTAAGAAGCAAATGTCAGTGTTGGTTCCACACGTCGGGGAGCGTACATACCAAATATGTCTTCAGTGGACCGTTGTAGAGTTCCGAGATGAAGATCTCGATGGCAAAACAGGTCGCAATGATAGCACCCAGCGCAATTGCAGCAAGTAAAGCGAAGGGAATCTGCAGAAGCTGTCTCTGCATGCGCTTGGTGGCCGGGAAAACACCACGCTTCTCGCCGGTCCCTTCATCAATCACCTCTTTCTCCGGCTTGAATTCACGGCGATTGGTCCTCACAACTGATACATTTTTGGTCTCCCACCTGCAGCTGAGATCGACCTCCTGGCGCTTCCAGTATTCCACAAAGATGATACACCAAAGGCAGTTGACGGCAGTATAAATGAGCGAGAACCCGCCGAGTAGGAACCAGCAGGAGAATCCAAAGACAGCGGGGAAGATGAGGAATCGGAAGTATGACTGCAAGAAGGAAAAGTAGAATCCAACCTGTCACGTACGTCAGCTTGATCGAAGAAAGGAGGATCGGTTCTGCACATACACTTTCTCCAAATTTGTTTCGGATCTGATCCAAGTCGTCATCGGAGAGGAATGTTTTCTTACTCCACTCCCGCATCCAAGTCTTGTTCGTTTCGATATCATGCAACGGAAATATGGCTGTGACATTCTTCCATTCCCCGTGGTTGGGGGTGATGCCGGCGCCGCCTTCCTCGCCGGGGTGTGTGATCATCTGGTGAACGACCCGCAGGCGCTCGGCCTCGGTCTGAGTCTCCGTCGAATTGGCGGACGTAGGTTCGGCATTTCGGATACCGTAAAGCCAATCACGGACTCTGCGAAGACACAGTCAGCATTGACACGCTCAGATCCTCAGAGTGCACTTACCGCGACCGATACACCGCTCGCTTCAGACGCTTCTCGGAAGCTCGAACAAAGACCAGTAGAGAGGACTCGTCGCCCTGACGAACTTCTGCTTGCAAACCGACTTGGGCGAGGGACTGCAGTAGGTTCTCCAGCTGTGCAATCGCCTGCGATTGTTCTGGCGGTGGGTCAGCACATGCGACCGCAGTGGATCTGTCGGCTTACCAGCATTTCCAAAGCTGTAGTGGATCACGTAGTCCACATGGAGATTGCACGGTTTCTCTGATTCTGCCATCTCGAAATGGTTGAAAGTCAGGGAGCGAAGTGGGCGGGAAAAACGACATGATCTGCGGAGGGCGGGACTACGTCACTAAAGGCTTAGCGCACGCGCATGCCAAATGTTAGATCTTGATTGACGTTAATCTATATGACGTTGGGTTTCAAATCGTTTCACATTCTACTAGTACATTTTGGACAGCTCTGAAGAAATACAGCTATGCATGTATAACACAGGATTCCAAGGTTGCCAATCGCAATGATCTCATCTCGATCACTGGGATCGACCAACTCGATCAGTTCGAGATCGTCTTCATGCACCCTCAGCCAACTTGGTCAAAGCATCACCCTCCACCATCATCTTCATCCACTCATCCATACCCTTGGCACCCACCTGCTCATAGAAGCGAATACTCGGTTCGTTCCAGGTGAGCACACTCCACTCCAATCTCCGCCCTGAGACCTCCAGGACCTGCTTCGCAAGGTACTTGAGCAGCTTGAAGCCGTAGCCGTGGCCCCGTGCGCTCGGCTGGACATAAAGATCCTCCAGGTAGATACCAGGAGCGGAGCGCCAGGTCGAGTAGTTGTAAAAGTACAGAGCCATCCCGACCGGGATGGGGTTGGGGGTTTCAGCGGTGGGTGGCGGGGTGATGAGGGCCGTGTAAACGGCGCCGCGGCGTGGTGGGGTATCGGGGAAGGAAAGAGTTGCTAGGAGGGATTCCTCGGTTGCTTCGACTTCATGCAGGGCTTTCTCGTAGTCTGCAAGCTCGCAGATGAACTGAAGGATAAGTGGGACGTCTGATCTCGTTAGCTCTGAATCCAAGTGATGATGCTATAGACTGCCCGCACCTCCATTGGATCACTTACCCTCAGGCGTCGCAAGACGAATAGTAGGCTGGTCAGTCATTGTGTTGGTGAGAGGACGAACGAAATCCATTGTCACGAATGTTCCCTTAAGTAGTGGACTGCGCCCTTCCAACTACACGGCTAGACTTCACGTAACTAGCCCCGATTAGGAAGACCTCGATTGCACCTTCCCGTTCCGCTTCAACCTGCGGACGTCTGCAGATGCACCTACATTTACTATGTAAAAGTACACATCTACGAGACAACTCTAGGGCTCTACTATTCTCAGGACTGCTTCGTCCGGGCTTAGCAATCAGGTACATTGACAACCGATGGCCAGGGCAATCCCGGAAGTCGTGAAAGAAATGCATTATGGTCAATGATATTGTACAGTGTAGGGTATAACCGCCGATCACTTGGACATGATGGCCGACATCCACTTTTGCTCATCAGTTCTGCTTTAGTTAGCAATGTTCCTGGCAACATTGAGATATCACGAGGGCTTACCGATCGAAGTGTAGCAGCATACCCAAAACAGGGATCAGTTGCTTCTGATAATTCTTATCCCGCTGTTCCAAGAATTGAAGCAGAACATTTTTGAGGTACATGTAGTCGATAGAGGCGTTGCTGGGCGGGCCGACAGGAGTCTCGCTTCTGCCGGGCGACGCAACAGCCCGACGAGATCCAGAGTCGATAGAGGAGCGGGAGGACTGTCGACCGGTGGGAGAACCACGCAGGCGAACATCCTCTCCGAGGGTTTTGTGAGACCGGCGAAGCTTCTCCAATCGGCTGTTCGTCTCTTCGACGGAACGACGAAGCTCTGCCTTGTCCTTTTCAAGGTCACGGGCCTGCTTTTCGCTTTCATCAAGCGCTTCACGGAGGCCGGCCATAGCCTGGCGAATCTCCGTGACTTCCTGGGAGGACTGTTCAGAGGCTGACTCGAGCTCATCACGACGGCGGCGCCAGTCCTTCTGGGATTGCTCCAGGTCCTCCTTGTCTTGCTCCGCCGTCCGAAGAGCCCTCTCGGCCTCGCGGACCTTGGCTTTGAGTTCCTCGATTTCACGGGCACGACGTCGGCCAGTGCTGCTGGCCTCGTCTTCGGCGCGGTCACGCTCCTCGATAGCAGCTTCCATGCGCTCTTTGAAGTCCCGCACCTTGGACTCCGACCGACCCTCGATGTCATTGAGCAAGCGGCGCATAGTCTCGCCTTCGCGAGTTCGCTCACTGAGTAGCCGGTGGGCCTCGGCCAGCTCCTCGTCTAGACTTTCGCACCGCTCACGGGCTTCCTTCATCTGCATGGCAACTTCACCGGTCTGGTCACGCATGCTGTTCATCAGGCTCTGGGCACTGCTGTGCTGAGCTGTCTTCAATTGAATCTCTTCCCGGAGGCTGGACAGCTCCTTGTTCTGTTGGGAGATTTGCTCTTCCAACTCCCGGATCTTGGTACGAGTACTCTTCAGCCCATCTTGGGCCTTGGTGAGATCGCCGGAAATCTTGTCACGGGCATTGATGGCATCCTGCTTCTTATTCTCGGCAGAGCGAAGGTTTGACTGAGTGACGGTGAGGTTCTCCTCAGCATTCAAGCGACTATCGGTCTCTTGGCGAATCTTTTTGTTGAGTGTGCCCACTTCAGTCTCACGTTCTGAGATCTTGGACTTTGCGCCCGTCAGCTCGGCACGTAAGTCTTCATGTTTGCTCTCCAGAGACTTGAGTTCGGAGTTCTTGGTGTTAAGAGTCTCCTTCAGGGTCTTCAGTTCCGCGGACTCAGCGCGCAGATTCCGCAGCTCGGGCTGGATCTTCTGAAGGTTTTCGCGTAGATCTGTGAGATCCTTGAAGCGAGTAGTAGCCAGCTGCTGTGCAGCAGAAAGATCGGTCTCCAAGCTAGCAGAGCGGACCTTGAGAGTCTCAAATTCCTCTTTGAGAGAAGAGTGTACCTTCTCCGAATCAGCCGAGGTCGAGGCGTTGCTGGTGCGGAGATCGACCAGTTCTTTTTCAAGCTTGCCAATGGTTTCCTCAAGAGCGGTCTTCTCTGCGGAAAGCTCCTTGATCTTGTCCTTGGCTGTGACATGCTCCTGGCCCAGGGTCACGAGGTCGTCACGCAGTGACTCAATTTCTTCCTTCAGATCGTCCTCACCCTTCACCTTGGAACTGAGACGATCAATAGCAGCCTCTTTCTCGGAGAGCTGCTGTGTGAGTGATTCGATTTTTTGCTTGAGCTCATCCAATTCGTTGCTAGTCGGCGCAGATGGCTGTTGGGCGGGCTGCTCTGCTTGAGTCGTCTCGACCTCCTTCACCGGCTCCTCTGCCTTGCCGCCCTTCTTCTTCTTTTTGTTTTTCTTCTTTCCTCCAGCGCCGCCGGCAGTAGAAGCAGGCTGGGCAGGCTGCGATTCTGTTTGGGCCGAAGCAGGGGCGGGAGTAGGAACTGCAGGGGCCTCTTCCTTGGTGGGTGCAAGGCTCTTGATGATCTCGTCGAAATCGGCTGAATCTCCCGCGAGAATCTTTTCTTTTGCAGATACCCACGCTGGATTTGTCTTCAAGTTCGCGTCAACGAAGTCACAGAGGTCTTTCTGCTTGGCAGACTTGTCGGAGTTCTCCTGGTTTTCGGTCTTGAGGTTGGAGATGGTGGATTCGGTATCCTTGAGCTGAGACTTGAGGTCGTCAACCAGACCTTGGAGCACAGTGAGTTTCTTCTCGTTTGAAGTTTTCTCCTCCTTAGACGCTTCTAGCTGGGCGATCAGATCGGAATCTGGCTCTGCCTTCTCGGAGGTCGCCTTCTCAAGCTTCTCGATTTCCTGACTCTTTTCCTTCAGCTGCGACTTCAGCTTTTCGACCTCGGATGCCGTAGATTCAAGAGAGGACTCGGCGGTGGCGAGCTTGGCTTTCAAATCGTCGACGTCGGCACTCTTGGATGTTCGCAAGGTTTCGATCTCGGCATCGAGCTTATCCTTGGTCTCGCGCAACTCCACAAGTTCGCGGGTGGCGGTCTCCAGGTTCTGGACCATGCCTTCGGTGGACTCACGAGTGACAGACATATCGCGCTTCAGTCTTTCGACCTCGGCCTTGAGGTTATCAACTTCCTCTTGCTTTGTCTTGAGCTCGCCTTCCAGTCGGGGAACTTCATTCTCGAACGAAAAGAACTCTTCGCTGGTCTCGGTCTCGTCTGGCTTGTCGGCTCCCTTGGTCTCGGTCTCCGCCTTCTTTTCCTTCAAACCTGCCACCTCTGCCAAAGTGTCCTGAGTGGCCTTCTCCGCTTCCTCGAACTTTTTTCGGAACTCTTCACGTTCCCCGGTGACACGCTTCAACTCGTCCATGACCATGTCGCTTTTCAAGGTGGATTGATTGAGGTATTCTGTGAAAGCCTTCGGCTCGCCGATGGACGTGAGGGGAGTGTTTTCGCGCAGCGCAGCTTCGAAGGGTTCGATGGAGAGGACGCGCGAATGGGCCATGCGATAGGCTTTGAGCAATTCTGTTCCTGTCAGTGTCCTGTGCCGCTTGATCCTGCAGAGGCAGGTGCATACCATGGTATCGTGACTCCAACTTATCGAGTCGTCGGAGTTTCGCTCGCACGTCGGGCGGAAGCTCCGCCGGTGTCTCCTTCTCCTTCTCCTTCGGCTGCTTCTCTGCCTCCTTCTCCGGGGCGTCGGCGGGTTTGTTTTCCATCTCTGCGCTCTCGTCGTTGGTGCCTACCTCCGAGGTGGTCCCTGGTGTGTCAAGTTGAGGAGTTTCAGGGCGGCTGGACTCATCGTCATCCCCGATGGTGAACTCGGCTTCGAACTCCTTGGGGTCGGGGCCTCTCACGGGGGTCCCGGTATTGCGTCTCGGGCGGGACCGTTGGGCAGAGGATGAGCTGGGCGGACGGCGCGCCGAATTGGAGCGGGAGATGTTGTCCTGGGCGGACTTTTGGCGGGCTTGTTCCTCTGCAATGCGAGAGTCGATGGCGTCGCGAAGGCGCTGACGGGTTAGGCTGGACGCAAGGCGCAAGGAGGAACGTTGGAATTACTCACCTGAAACATCGCCGCGGGTTGAGAAAGGACCTCAAGAAAGGCAAGGACACTAGCAACAGTGTTGACGACAAAGACCAGGAGAATCAACAGTTGGCCACGGACGGGCGTGAGGGGGAGCATTGGTTGAGCCAAGGCGGAACTGCCATGTGGTCTCAGCCGTGAACGGATACACCAGTTGACTGCCCTGGTGGGCTTTATAAGACCAAAGTACTATATCTCTGAGGTGGTTACTAGGTATCATGTAGTCTCGATTTTATCATATCATGGATGGTTTCTACTGGAATTAAATATTCTACTATCCTACAATTTAGTAGGTAGTACCTAGTAGTAAATAGATATTGTTTGTGTGGAGCCAAACACTATATATCCCAGCCCTACCGAGCAGTAGCAGGAACCAGGCACTGCGAACAGGCAGGTTCCAAGTTCCCGAGTCCCAGACACTTTTGAGCAGACAATCACCCGAGCATTAGCTACTAGTATGACCTCGGAATATTCACATGTAAATTTCTGCCTTCAACCGCGCTATTTCAAAAATTCCAATTGTCACTATCGAGTCAAGACAAGAATTGTACCTGAATATTCATATAGTGATCTAGAAATCATGTGAGACTAAATTTTCATTCCTATTAGTTACCTAGTACGGGTATTTGATGGCTACTAAAAATCTCAAGGTTACTACTATGTAGGTACTAATAGAAGGGTGGCCATTTACATCACTGTGGAGCTATTGACGTAGCAAAACTGGGCAGTGAAGAATCGACTTAGTACAAACTTGGAATTTGACAGGCCTCTACTGTGTTGGAGATTGATATGCTGAGATAGAAGGGCAGAATGTGCAAATCAAAAAGAGCTAGTAGTAATCAACGATCACGGGAACCTGCCAAGTCTAAGCATCTCCTCACTCCATCCATCGGCGAAGGAACCCGCACGTTGCCAATGATTTGATCCGATAACCCCCCGTTGGGTATCCCACATTAGCGCAGGGGCGCATTTGGCTGAGTGGAAAGCGGAGCTTCTCCATTCTTGTTTGGTCATGGCTGGCCTAGCCCCATCCCTCGCCCTGAGCCTAACGGCTCCAAGTCCACGGAGCGCTTCTGAACTCACTTCCTTCCCTCCAGCTCCCTCCAACATGGCGGGGTGGATTGGCTGGGTCTTTACCCTCGTCTTTCATACCATTCCAAGTCTGCTGTACTGGCTGATCACCTTTGCGACAATCACACTGCCCACATGGCTATTCACACTGTTCTCCATGAGCTTGACATTTACCATGAATTTTACCACCATGTAGGTATCGCCCGAGGTGCTGTAGACCCCGCCACTGACCGTGAACCACAGAATGTTGATCGTGCTCGGACTGGTATCGACGGTGGCTTGGTTCATACGGTATCGCTTCCTCAACATGTACAGCCGCTTGCCCCCGGAGCCTCAGCGCAAGGAAGCGCAGATCGATCTATTCCCCGATATCCAGGATGGGGATTCCAAACCGGGGCTGGCCAATTATCTCGATGAATTCCTGAGCGCCATCAAAGTGTTTGGCTACCTCGAGCGACCTGTGTTTCATGAATTGACCCGGACAATGCAGACGAGGAAGTTGATCGCGGGAGAGACGCTGATGCTGGAAGAGGAAAAGGGGTTCTGCCTGGTGGTGGATGGGCTCGTCCAGATCTTTGTGAAATCAATGCGTGACGGAAAGACAGGCTCGCGAGAGAATCTGAACATGGAAGATGCATCCTCGGGCGAGGAGGGAAATCACATGCATGGCCGACAGGGCTACCAACTTCTGACCGAAGTCAAGAATGGCGCCTCGATGTCGTCTCTATTTTCCATTCTCCAGCTGTTCACCGAGGATATAGAGCTGCGCAATTCGCAAAGCCATACTTCCGCCGCCTCGACACCCGTGCGAGGACAGACCCCAGTCCCTGATGCCTTCCCGGTGAGTCCAAGCTCGGGTGTCATCAACAGTCCCATCTCTACGATCAGGGATGCCGGGGATTTGAATACCGGTGCCCGCTCCAGCGAGTCCTTGCCACCGGTGCCCCCGCTGAACCTGGGCGAAAGCCATTCCTTGCCAGGCCGTCAGAATCGCGCCCATACCCCGCAGCGAGAGCACAGCGACCACTCCCACGCCAAGCACAAGCGTCGCAAGTCAGTACACCCTGACATTGTGGCCCGGGCCACCGTTGATACAACTATCGCCATCATCCCAGCGAGCGCCTTCCGCCGTCTCACTCGAGTCTATCCTCGAGCAACAGCCCACATCGTTCAAGTGATTCTCACCCGTCTCCAGCGCGTCACCTTTGCCACAGCCCATTCTTACCTAGGCCTCACTTCCGAGGTACTGGGCATTGAACGGCAAATGTCTAAATTCACCTCCTGGGATCTGCCCAACAATCTTCGTGGGAGCGCCTTGGACCGGCTGAAGGACAAGTTTACGCGGGAACGAGATCGTCTGGGAGCGGAGGAAGTTGGCAAAGGCATTGCCCTCCATAATCCTTATGTCGGCCGCAGGCGACGATCGAGTAGTACATTGCGAAAAGAGGCAGTTCTGCACGCAAAGGTTGCCAATGATCGCCCCTTGGCTCCCTTGACTCCACAACGACCACCCCAAACATACCTTGACAGAGATCAGGCTGGTGTCAGCCCTGGTGATCTCTTGTCGACCATACAGCTTTCTAGGTTTGGGCCGCGGTATGATCAACTGGCACCCCGCATCCAGACTCCTCTCACCGAAAGAGAACAGCCTCAATTCTTGCCTTCTAACATGAACGCTCGGCCCACCTCAACCTTTCAACGAAAGGAGTCTGTTGACGAGGACGCATTATTTCGCGAGTCGATTCTTGACTGTATGATGAAAGGCATAGGTCTCGACGAGAGCTCACGCGATCCTTTGCGCAAGGGCAGCCACTCGGGCGATGCCTCGCCCAGACTGCTTTCTTTCGATAGTCGTCGTCAGAAAGCAGTCTTCTCGAACGCATTTGGCTTCATGGATCCATACGAAGGGTCTGGCGACGGAGAATCAGATTCCATGAAGTCCATGTCAGTGACAAGCGCAGGCGGAACTTCACCTATATTCAACCTGAGAGAAGAGCTGCGACATGACATTGAGGTGGTCTACTTCCCGCAAGGCACGGTTCTTGTGGAGCAGGGGGAGCGTCACCCCGGTCTGTACTATGTCATAGATGGATTCCTGGACGTTGGAATTCCAGCAGACGAAAAAGATGACATACTGATCGGATCTTCCCATGGAGCCAGTTCCCAAGCACAGGAAGAGCTGTTCCCGAAGTTGAGGCGCACAACAACAGCGTCTTCGCGCGCCTCAGGCTCAACATCCGGCGCTGATTCTCGACGGAAGACGCAGTCTCGCAAGTCCCTGTATCTGATCAAGCCTGGCGGTATTCAAGGATATGTTGGTGCCCTTGCATCATATCGCTCCTACACGGATGTCGTGGCCAAGACAGACGTCTACGTTGGATTCCTTCCCCGCGCCTCCCTGGAGAGGATCTCGGACAGACACCCTGCTGCTCTACTGACTCTGGCAAAACGACTGACGAGACTTCTGCCGCGGTTATTGCTTCACATAGACTTCGCACTTGAGTGGGTTCAAGTGAGCGCGGGTCAAGTGATCTATCACCAAGGAGACGAAAGTGATGCAATCTATCTTGTTCTGAACGGTCGCCTGCGGTCTGTCCTTGAAGGACCGAACGGTAAGATGACTGTCACCGGTGAGCATGGCCAAGGCGAGAGCGTGGGCGAACTCGAAGTCATGACTGAATCCACGAGGCCATCTACATTGCATGCGATCAGAGAAACAGAGCTGGCCAAGTTCCCGCGATCTCTTTTCAACAGCCTCGCACAGGAACACCCTGGTATCACGATTCAAGTTTCAAAGCTCATTGCTCAGCGTATGCGTGACTTGGTTGAGCACCCGCTGTCCGAGAAGAGCTTCGAGCAAGGAAGTGCTGCTGGTGTCCAAACCGCAACCTCAACTGTTAATCTCCGCACTGTGGCCATTCTTCCAGTCATGGCTGGTGTCCCTGTTGTGGAATTCGGAAATAGGCTTCTACACGCGTTGCACCAAATAGGTGTGACCAGAGGTGTCACGTCGCTCAACCAAGCGGCAATTCTGAACCATTTAGGTCGCCATGCATTCAGCAAGATGGGAAAACTTAAGCTTTCGCAGTATCTGGCCGATCTTGAAGAGAAGTATGGAATGGTGCTGTACATTGCCGATACGAATGTGAATGCACCATGGACGCAAACTTGTATCGCGCAAGCCGACTCCATCTTGTTGGTAGGCCTTGCTGAGTCTTCACCCAGGATCGGTGAATATGAAAGGTTCCTGCTGGGAATGAAGACAACAGCCCGCAAGGAACTCGTTCTTTTGCACGCTGAGCGCTACTGCCCACCCGGCCTTACCCGCGAATGGCTAAAGAACCGTGTTTGGATCAATGGTGGCCACCACCACATTCAAATGGCCTTCCACTCAACCACTGAGCCGGCAAACCCACCTACCAAGAAATTCGGCACCGTTCTGAAACAACGTGTCCAGATTCTACAAGCTGAGATTCAGAAGTATACATCACGACGGGCTCAGCAAACCCCGCTCTATTCCTCACAAACTGCATTCAAGGGCGACTTCCACAGACTGGCACGGCGTCTGTGCGGCAAGTCTGTGGGCCTCGTATTGGGCGGAGGAGGAGCGCGTGGTATCGCGCAGGTCGGTGTCATCAAAGCACTCGAAGAGGCCGGAATACCAATTGATATCATTGGTGGAACATCGATTGGTTCTTTCATTGGGGCTCTGTATGCGCGTGACGCCGATGTTGTCCCCATGTACGGAAGAGCCAAGAAATTCTCGGGGCGCATGGGCAGTATGTGGCGATTTGCACTGGATTTGACTTATCCAACAGTCTCCTACACCACGGGTCACGAGTTCAACCGTGGAATCTTCAAAACCTTTGGCGATAGCCAGATTGAAGACTTCTGGCTGGAGTTCTATTGTAATACAACCAACATCAGTCGATCTCGAATTGAGTATCACTCGTCCGGCTATGTTTGGCGGTACGTCCGAGCATCAATGTCCTTGGCAGGCCTCATCCCTCCGATTTGTGACGAGGGAAGCATGCTGCTGGACGGTGGCTACATCGATAACCTGACTGTGGCACACATGAAGAGCCTTGGAGCAGATGTGATCTTCGCTGTTGACGTCGGTTCCATCGACGACACAACACCGCAAGGATTTGGAGACTCTCTCTCGGGCTTCTGGTCAGTATTGAACCGGTGGAACCCATTCTCCTCCCTCCCCAACCCTCCAACCCTATCCGAAATCCAGGCAAGGCTGGCGTATGTCTCATCAATCGACAATCTCGAGCGCGCGAAGAACATGCCAGGCTGTCTCTACATGCGTCCACCCATCGATCCGTACGGGACCTTGGATTTCGGCAAATTCGACGAAATTTACCAGGTTGGCTATGCCTATGGCCGAGAAGTCCTCGAGCGTCTGCGTAACGAAGGTTCATTACCCATTCCGGAAGAAACGGAGGAAAAGCGCAAGCTGCAGCGCACGATGGCTCCCCGCAGAGCCAGTATCTGAGCCCTTTTTGATCCCCCAACTGCAATGTGCACAATTAGAGAAGAAATGATGATTTCCTCTTTGTCGTGCGTTGCTAAGCATTGCATGCGATTTGTTTAATCATTGCGTGAGATACCAATCTTTTTTTTTAAAACCTGATCTTGTCTCGGGACATGTATTCAATATGCTGGAGATAGCAGAAACAGCCAAGGAGTTTGCAATACTCAGTTGCAACCCGCAGCTATGCACCTCACTACTGCGTGCTCTCCAGAATGATATGAGACATCCGTGGAAAGACGCTGGAAGCCTCCAAACCCTGAACATAGCTAGTTCCGGTCCTGGCCCTGTTAATAGGTCTAGATTGCACCCAAGGCTAAAGACCCTTTGTAGCTCACCTATCCAGTACTCCGGCAGGGTTGTTAAGGATGGGACGGATGCAATCCAACACAACATGGAATCATCCATGGATTAGGTGATTAAAATAATAGGTGGTAAGAAATAAACACAAGAAGTATCCTGATACACTGCAAGTGCAAGATCCCCGGACATATCTGACAAGCTCCCACAAACATCCACGTTGGCAACATAATATGTGCAATCAAAACAGTATCGACCCTCATTAGAAAAAGACAAAACACGCAGAGCTGTGGCAGGACAACGGTGATGACCAGGCCACTAAGGCCTACCTAGTAGGTGCTCATGTAGGCTTCATTCTCCTTGATAAATGGCTTCCCTTAGATGGCGGCGGGAGTAGCAGCCGGAGCATCAAGAGGCTGACGTGGACCGGCCTCCTTATCGGAGACAGCAGGCTGGTGGACGGCGTGGGTGTTCTCCTTGCGATAGGCCCAAAGAGCCGCGACTTCAAGAAACATGCCGAAGAAGGTAAAGATGCTGTGAGATTGTTAGAGCGAATTTTCACCAGATGCAAGGGGGAAACATACAAAGCCAAGAAGATGAAGGCCTCGTTCGCCTTCTTCCGGGTACAACCGACCCCAGATGGGGAGGTGAAGTAGCATGCCCTCGTGCTGTAGTCTTGGGCAGAGAAGATGAACGAGGTCAACCAGCTAAGATGCAAGGTTAGTATTCGTCCTCAATGTGTGAGTGGAAATTCGACATACAGGTAAGAGAAGACGATATCAATACCGAGGACAAATCTGCCCAGTGCCTTGGGGAGGAAGGGAGATATGAAGCCCGGAAGGAAGAAGACGACAGAGAGCACAGCCTATCAAGAAGTTAGTCCATCGAGTCTTGGCGATACATTCACTAAGGTGGATCACGTACGATGACTTCCTGGAAGAGGATATGTTGACCGCGGGGCCCGTGGTGGATAAAGTGTGCAGTCAAGCCCATGACAATGACGGAACTGGTCCATTGCATGACACGGGAGACCAGCTGCATTGGTTTGGCGATGGCTGATGAGAAAGGCATTGTGGTATAGAGTGAAGACAGACACAAACAGAGCCTTGGAAGTATATGATACACAGAGGGGAAATATATCGAGATAAATCAAGGAAGATGATCGACCACGTTAGCAGGCTGGGGAACAGGGCTTTATATCCCAGGACCAGTTGAAGACAGTCAGTGGACCATACAAATCACCAGAAAACAAACAAATTAGGCTAGCGTCAGGTGTAATGCAACAAGGCTCATCACCACGCCAAAGCCAGGGCCAGCAAGGACGGAAAACAAGAATGTCCGGGCGTGTCCCCAGATGCGTCATGGCCTTACAATCATACGAGTTCGACTGGCCCATATCCTAACCTTTCCTGATGCACATCCTTGTCGCGCTTGTCAGACATGACCGGATGTATCTACTAGAGTGTTGTTTAACGAGCTACACAGACTTGAACACAACCCATTTTCACGCCGCTGGTAGTATGAAGCCCCGTTCCAAGTGAGCTTCAATGCCGAGGAACCAACGATGTGTCAAAGGAAGCAAGGAGCTGATAGCTCGAGGTTATTGCAGCTCAACGCTGAGACAGAAACATCCCATTCTGAGCAGACAAAGCCCAACGCCTTGATCAGCGGGGTATGGTGAACGGCCAATCACGAGTGGTGACCATAGAGTATATCACACCACGACCGCGTCCAGGCTGCATTGAGACCAGCAAGCAGCAGCGCATCCGTCGATCATCTGCGGCAGCACCCAATAGTGGGGTACTCCCTGCATGGACCACGATCGACGGTGGCATCAGCCTTATTTCCAGTGCTCCAGGGATAGCAATATCCCTTGGCCATCAAGTTATAGAAGTGAGACATCGAGGAATTAAGGAAACCGAGAGGAACTGCCAGTCGCCACTGGTGTAACCTGGTGGATGATATCTGCTCGTGCACGTCCAACTTGACTGATCATGTTGTGCAAGCGCCATAGGTTCCGACCTAACCGAGAATAAAATGTGCTTTTGTCCTCGTTGACTTCACGCCGTTACCCCGGGCTCGGATACCTAGTAGCGTACAGTATGCTTGTAAATTGAGAAGTCATGTCTCGGGAACGTTGGTCGTCGGTGCCAACGCTGCTGCAAGGAGTGTGTCTCAGTCTGGGGAACCCAATGCCGCTCCCTTACTATCAAAACACAACACCGAAGAGTGTGGATGTGATTCTCTCCGGTCGAGAAGGATAGTCCATTCAGTCCAGGCTTGTTACATTTGCTTTGTGTTGCTCAGGTCGGTGTGATCGAGGGATCATCGTGTCTGGGCATGTCGTTGGATTAACCCGTAGTTCCCGTGACTTCAGGTGCCCTGAGAATTTAGGTACCTACTAGTAATGTTCCCTCTCTTTCTTTCTACGCCTAGGCACTTTCGATGACTGAACGGTGTATGCATGCATCATCGTCATTCTGTTGCGGTGGGCTACAAATGCACCTTCTCCCGTGCCCGAAGCGCTGCCGATGTCCTGTCCCATGCCAAGCGGCCTGCTCCAGAAATATATAACGCCACCAGAATTCCAAAGTTCGATGTATACATCCACCAGGCACCAGGTACTTGAGAACTACCTAGTACCTATGTACGTAATGACTCTGACTCTTTTACCTAGGTAGTAGTGAGCTGAACCTTCAAGGTTCAAAGTTAGAAGCAATCAGATGCCTACCTAGTCAGTATAGCTGAGACCTCGGGACTGAACGACTGGAAGATAAAATTCGCTTCCTAACTCTTCCGTAAATATTGTAAATATCAAAACACCGAATCCACGCCGGATAAAACCTTTGGAAAAAGCGAATGGACTCCACTGCGCCCAGGTATTTTCAGACTTTCTTGAACCCATCACCACGTAGCATTACCAAGTTCATGTTCCTTGAGATATTCACTGCCCTTCTCCAAGTATTCCTGTCTTGTGACGGAAGAGCGAGCGAAATCATCCCCAGAAGCCCACTGAGCTGCACCCTTCCAGGCGTCGAAGACGGGATCCGAGGCCTTGCGCACATTCAGCTGGGCATCGACAGGCAGGAATCCCCGTACCTCGTTGCGGAAGCGCTCATCGAAACCAGTGAACAGAGTGTTTCCACCAGTCAAGAATACATCCTTCAGCAACCGAGATTGATCTTGCGGATTGGTGTACCGCTGGTTAATGATATCGGCCACGATCTCAATCAGACCAGCCTGGTCGACACCTGCTATGGAGGGCTGGAAGACAACCTCAGGAACGCGAATGCGCTCAACGTTCAAATGAAGCTGGTGCGCTTCCCGCTGACTTTCCGCGTCGAAAGGCCAGGGTCCGCGGAGGAATGCATGGACGAGGCTCTTCGTCCAGTCTGACTGCGCGGCAAAAGTGTTGTGTTCGCTGAACTCAGGGTCGAATTCGAGCAGTTCCTTCTCAGCGGCGTCGAGAGTGGCATTGAGATCCTCCTCCTCTTCGTCGTCACTGGCCTCACCAACGGCGACAGTGCGGTAAACGCCCCAGTCATCGTCGTTCGCACCGAAATCATCGTCATCACCTCCGCGGCGGCGCTTCTTGGGACCGTCGGATGCCAGGTTTGCTAGTGTTTTCATACGCATTTGACTGGCGAGAGATTTGCGGTTGCCAAGGTCAGCAGTGAAACGATCGCGGTCCTTGATACTTTGAAGAATGCGCTAAATTTGTTAGTGGAGATGCGTGGCACGAAAGTCTGGTGAGCATACCTGGCGGTTTTCGCGACGCTTAGAAATCCAGCGCTCGAAGTTGTTCTCGCGCTCTTCGCGATCAACCCTCTCTTCCTCTGCAACACGGGCCTTCTCACGCTCTTTCTCTTCTTTGGCGCGCTGCCTGGCATCGACGTTTGATTTCATCAAGCGTTGGTGGCGTTTCTCCTTTAAGCCAGCCTCGTCCAATTGATCATCTGGGATATCGAGCATAGGGAAAGTCATCTCCTCCGGTTGCTCCTCGGTTTCTTCAATGCCGAGATCCTTGTTGCGAGAGCGTTTGATAGACTTCTCTAATTCACGGATCATTCTCTCTAGAGCGGCTTCGTCCTTCAACTCTTCAGCTTCAAGGATGCGACGAGTCTCCTTTTTGTTCTCACTCTCCAGTCTGATCTGAAGGGCTTTCCAGTACTCTAGCTCTTGCTCCTTTCGGACAAGCTTTTCGAGGCGCATCTTGGCAGCCTGTTCCTGGAGACGACGGCCACTTTCCTTCTTCCGCTCGGCGATCTTGGCGAGTTCCTCTTCTGTCTTTTCTTGGACAACATGCTCTGTGAAGGGGAACTGGATGACACGATCACGATCCTCCAGCCCTGACCAGTCCAGGTATCCGCCCAATTCGCGACTATAATCTTGAGAAACGTAGCAGTGGTTGTGGACCATTTCCTCCATGTGCGCGTCCGTCAAACGGGTCGGGAAGGTTGGGTACTTGAGCTTCATAAGCTTCATCAGGTATTCGGAGCCTTGTAAGCCACCCCAGTTGAGGCGGGAGCTGTTGGAAAAGATGGGTTTCGAATCCATGACGGGGATGACATGAGTAGATGTATGTGAAGAGTCCACAATTAAGCCATCCTTTCCCCCATTGTAACGATATGAGAACAACGAATCGACACCGTAAGCCACCGAGGGCGCAGAGTAGCACTCGAATAGGATCTCGTTCATCACTACAGGAGTTAGCATCTGCTGTCTCGGACATTCAGACATCACTCACTTTTCCTCGAGTATCCCAAATTCGCAATTGGCTCCGTCATCAGAATGGGACGGCCGACGCCGCCGTTGGCACCGTCGACACCCAGTTTGATGAACAGGTAGTCCAGCACACCTTCCATGACATCCCAATTACCCACAACACTTGAGCCTGGGTCGAATCCATTGCGCAGTTGTCCTCGGGTTGTCGCATCGACGTAGGCATCGTAGCCGATGAATTGACACTGACGCATGAGCTTGCGATCGCGGTATCGGCTCATGACGGGGGGGATAGCGAATCGCGGGTTCTTGTCGAATGACCAGCCGGCCTTAACGAGATGGGAGCCTGCATAGGTGACACATTAGCAAAGAGGCCGTACAGTCTGCATTCAGCTGCTCACCATTGTCGATGACGATGGCGCTGGTATCGGGGTGGGCTCGGGTTTGCTGATATCCCTCGGGTTGCGGAGGGTGATAGCCCTTGAAGGGAAAGTCTGTGATGCCGTGAAGTTGTGGAGGAGGCTTCTCGGTCTGCTTTTCGGAGGAATTGGAGGCGATGCGGCCTGGCAGGAGGCTCTGCACTGCGGTAATCGTCATAGCTGGCTGCGCTCCAGAGCTCTTGGGATCAAGTGGAGAGCAGAATCAACAATCGACTATAAGTATATGGTCACAAAATCCCCGTCGCGAGTGGAAGGGGAGCAAACGGCACAAACGCGGTTGTCGCTGAAGTTTGGCCGAATTACGCCAAGAAGGCTATCTACTATCGGGGCGACACTCCCGTCCACAATACTGTAGACACCTTGGAATAGAAGAGTTCTAGTCCACTGTATATTACTGAGCTAGAGGGAAATTAATGCGGTTTCTGTCATATTAAGCTGTCAAGGGACAACGGGAAATTCATATTGGTCATCTCTTCGTTACACATTTAGCTTAGGAGGGCTCTTTCAGGTTCTCGGTAGCTATAGAGGAGTCAGTGGGATCACAGTTGTAGAGAGAGCACAAGAAGCAGCATACCCTCAAGATGGAAGAGGACATTGGATTGGTAGTTCTTGAACATCTGGGCCACAAGCTCGACGTTCATGTTCTGAATGTTGACTTCCTGCTCCAAGTCAATATAATCCGCAAACATCCAATGGTTCACCCACCTGTAGACCCTTGTTCATGACCATGACCGCTTCATTGAGCTTCTCCTGTAGGAAATGAGCATATTATTCCACTCTACAAGTGTGTTGACATACCACGTTACCAATGATGCGGGACAGCAGCACTGTCTGCTGATGCTCGTGGGGACTCTCCTAAATGAAAGTCAACATCGGAAAGTAATTAAGCCTGATACCCTTGGTCCATTCTTCAGTACACACCATGGCTGTAGGGGGAAGAGTTGTTGATTGTTCCACGGGCGTTTGTTTGGAAGTGATGATGCGATCACGTGAAGATATACGGGCTTTCGTCCCAAGGGCTCAGCTTCATGAATTCATGCGCCTCTACCATCCAAACCTATCGGTCTTAGAAGAAATATTCTGAAAATTTACAATTGACTAGTATCCCGAAGCGCGCAATCTAATCAATCCACCATGCCTCCCCCAAACCCGGCCAACGACGAAGCTCACCAGCAACTATTGAACACACTGGACATCGCTCATGCCCCGAAGTCATTCCGCAACCCCAACTGGAAGCCATCCCAACGCCGAAACAAGAATGTCAAACAAATGATCTCTGAGAGCTCCCGCAAGGAAGCATCGGTGATGGCGACTCAGGCCAACTCGGGCGCAACCACACCAGGGACCTCGGGAGCGATCACCGATGGCACAAGAACTCCTGCAGAGGGAGCTGCACCAAACCTGTCACAAGCTACCCAGAACCTCTCAACTCTGGTCCTGGAAAAGAACGCCCGGGCGACGAACCCGACCGGGCCTGCCGTGACCTACACGAACATTGAATCGGCGCCCTCGTTCAATCCCGCCTACCAACACCACTACTGCGATATCACCGGGTTGAGCGGGCCATACACCGACCCAAAGACCCGTCTGCGGTACCACGATAAGGAGATATTCAAGGTCATTCGAACCTTGGCGCAGGGAGTTCCTGAGAACTACTTGGAAGCTCGCGGAGCTCACACCATTCTGAAGTAGAGTGGGAGATACTACTCAACCTTCCAAATCCTCATAAGTGGTACGCGAATGAGCTTCAACAAAAGGCAAAAGCACTAATTGATTGAGCTAGACAGAAACGAATCTCCTACGAAGAGTTATGTATGACCAAACACAGTCAAGCCCTTTCCACCCCACCATGCCCCTTTCGAGACAGGCTCAAGAAAGCGCTCCGGCTTATTCGTGATCAAAAGTCATTCTTCGCCTTGTGCAATGCACTCGACTATTACCGACACCCCACGGGACAGGGTACCAGTTACAGAATCATCAAGAGACTGTCGTCGCGGCGGACAAATAATTGTGGAATTTGATGACAGAGCCACTAGCTCAAGTCCTGCAAATTCGGTTCAGATATAGAGCTTAATTACCAACTATATCAAATTGAACAGTCACATCATTAGAGACCGAGACAATTAGCAGTTGTAGCTCAAAAACAGATGAAGCGGAAGAACAGAATTCGGCGAGAAAAGGCCCTGGAGTCACCGCCCGCTCATTGCTTGGCGTTTACCCGGCAGAAATGGGGGATTTTCAGCGCCTCTGTTTACCAGGACTTTTGCACTCTGCTGGACGTTTTTGTTGATTTCTCACCTTGCGAACCGATCGTGTTTGGCTCTTACAAAAAGTCCGGTTCTGTGACAGATCTCGATACTCAATACATTCCCGCCCCTCGAACAGCTTCCGATCACCGCAAACGTCTGCCTGCCCGTAATCGCATTTGGCCCCAGACCCAAACGAAACGTGTCGCGTGTCCTCGATCGACCTGATACCTTATTCGCAATATTCCGCGCAACATTCTAGTCGTTAGCGCCGAGACGACAAGATGCCTAGCATGTGGTTGACAGATAACCAGAGTCAGTCGCATTCGCTACAGTGTCATTTGCCATTGATGGCAAATGTACAGTCCTATAAACAGCAACAATGGCTAATTCAAATAACAGAGATCGGAGTCGTCTTCTGCTCAGCTGGTATGGTTTACCACTTCCAAGTCCCACGGAAGGACGAGAACTGACCATGTCTATTGATCAGGTGGATTATTCCTCTTTGGAGGCGTGATGATGTTCTTTGACCGGTCCTTGTAAGTTTCAGGTTTCATTAATAACGATGAGATGATCAAAAGCTAACGTTTCATCTGACAGACTCGCCATGGGCAACGTACGGTATTCGCATCACTGTAGATGAACCGCACTAACGATCTGCAGATCCTCTTCGTCATCGGATTGACTCTTATCATTGGTGTCCAAAAGACCATTGCCTTTTTCACTCGCCCGCAGAAACTCAAGGGAACCGCCGCTTTCGCCGCTGGCATCATCCTTATCCTGCTCCGCTGGCCCTTCGTTGGATTCTTGGTCGAGCTGTACGGCTTGTTTATCCTGTTTGGTGACTTCCTCGTTACAATCGGCCAGTTCGCGGGCAACATTCCCGTGGTTGGACCGTATATCCAGCGTGGCTTGGAAATTCTCGCCGGTGGCAGAAGCAACGCCGAGCTCCCCGTATGATTTCCTTTCATATCTGGATATCCTTCTAGCTGTCTCTGGACCTCGATCTCTACGAGTATGAGGGTACGACTATATGAAACGAAAAAAGACCCAAGTCCCCAGCCGTCAGAGTCGAGGGCGAGACGCGGGAGGACACGATGCATCTACGGCCCGATTTATGTAATTAATAATGACCCCTTATCGATCACCGGCGGTGATCCAGTTAATATGCATTTTAGAGAATAGACAAGCTACATGCATCTCATCTTTTGGCAGTGGAACCACTCCTAACCAGAACCAAGTCAACACCTGCGTGACTTGGAAGCCTATTCTTCACAAACATCTTTCCCGCTCATCAAATCATGGAGGTATCGTCGCGAGCATATTTTGAACGAATTTACTTAAGCAGAAGCCTTGTTGAGGTAGTCAACGAGGTTCTCAACGACAGTGGCGGCGTTGGTGGTCTGGGTACCCTCGCCGTGGTGGGCGATGATAGTGCACGAGGAGGCGCGAGCGACGATAACACCCTCCTTACCCTACACCGGACCTATTAGCATTCTTGCCCGACGATAGCCGGAGCGGAAGTGTTCTTACCTTCTTGCCGTATAGACTGCGCTCGTCGGCCTTGATAGTGACGAACTTCTCGCCGGCGATGGAGAAACCGTTGGCGAAGGCATTGTCGGATGAGGTGTAAGCAGAGATAAGCGAGTTGATCTCCTCTTGCGAGAGCTGGCGTCCGCGTGATTAGTGACCGGATCCGAGCGGGGAAGATAGGGTCGCTTACGGTGAAGCCGGCGGAGGCGGCGTTGAGACCGGAGAAGTCTACTGCGAGGATACCGGCCTTGTCGAATTGACCCGAGCCCATCAGGCTGCCAGATTGTCAGTATCTCGAAGGGATATAGATGCGCCCTCGCGAGTCGCATGTTGACATGGGCATGGATAGCCGGAGTCGGAGGGGGTGTCTCCGGCGATATCCATGTTCCTGTGTCCTGTGTCTATTGGGATCAGAGGGTGATGTACCTGGAGTCGACATAGCCTGGAAAGTCAGGGGTTAGCGAGATTCACGATTGAGCTAGGAGCTTCCCGTTACCTTGCCAGATTGCTGCGTGGTCACCCATGGCTGTGAAGATAGAATAACGCTGTTGGCGTTAGAGGTGGAAATGGATGAGAGAGAGAGAGAAGTACCTGTCAGGAATATACAGAGAAGAGAGCTGGAAAAGAGAGAAGAGAGAAGAGAGAGAAGTAGTGGGGTTTGTGGCGGTCGGGAGAGGACCCCGCCATATGACGATCCAACCGTTTCTTCTCGACACAATGTCTTCTAGAGCCTCATATTCTTACTATACTTCTATGCAGTTAATGTCTTTGTAGAGCGTTGGATTAGAGAAGACCACTGGTACTGCTATGGGTCAGTAGTACAGTAGACACTGTCTATGGGTCAACTATAGATACACACAGTACTGTAGTTGTATACTGTCATTAGAAGTCGAAGTATACAGTTAAGCAAGGGACATGGATATGTATGTCATATCTAAGTACATTAACCAGGTACAGGGCATCGATCTACAGTATATGTATAGTTAACATCCAGGAGGCCAGGGGTTAGAATCATGAATTTGAAATGTTGACCGCTAGTTCGTATTAAGCTTACTCTGAACTAACGATTTAGCATTATGGAGCTTGACTCACACAGGATGGAACCCTTCACCTGGCCACCTTACCAGCAACCGTACTCCGTCCAGCCGTTTCATGATTCGTACAAGTACGAGCATTCCCGCCATGAAACGGAATGTCAGATCCAACCCCTGAGGTTGTCTCACCAATTTCCCGGGTGAAACACGCCTCCTGCATAGCTTCGGCCAGTGCGGAGCCCGTGTTGGCTACTCAGCGTGGTAGCGAGCTAATCAATTCGCGACCGCACGTACTCATTCGCCCGGGGCGAAATAAGCATCTCACTCAGCGCCTGAACGCTAGCGCTGAGACGCCGCAAGGTTGGGCTCAGACATCTTTTGGGGATGATATGCACTTCCCTGAGGTCTCGTTGGCCACCTGGGCACCCTCTGTGACAATTCAGCCCCGGGCTAAACAGCGTTTGGGACATTCAGGATCAAGATCCAATCTGAATGCATTGCCAATCTGATTCAATTAATTTGGCTCTGTCTCATTTACAGAGTCGGAGATGACTCCACTTAGACTGACATTGCCACTTAGTCCTTTCATTAATATACCCAGTTTCTCCTCGCGACGCCAGACTGACTTTTCACTTCTGGTTCGCGTCTGAGATTGAAGCCTTCTGGAAGGTCTCTCGCTCATGGGCTCGTTGAAGATCCACTGAATCTCACGCATACTGGCTGGTTTCCACTATACGAGAGATGGCAAGAGGAATGACGACCGTCGTGTCTCAAACGCAACCCGCGGAGACCATCTCGTTCCCTGTATTAACCTACACCGATGCCGTGCCGCGAAACGACATGCAAGCGCAGGAGGCGCGCCAAGACACCGGACAGTGGGATTTTCGTCAACCCTCCCCGGGCGTGGGATGGTTTAGAAAGCCGGCCGAGGGCACCACTTTCGACTTCAGTATTACAGCCCCGCCAGACGAGGCGATTCAAACCGACGCTCGCCCTCCCGCAGAGCAACATGCGATCGGAATTGCCCTAGGAAGCCCTGGCCTACTCAAGCAAACTGAGGCTCTGCCGCCGCCCAGATTTGATACATCGATCTTTTCGGAAAACGGTCAAGGCTTGACCCACAAACCGAGCAAATGGAAGAAGATTGGGGGTCTGTTCAAGGCGAAGCAGGCCTTGACCGCGGCGGGGGAGATGCACGGCGATGCTAAGCCGCCACACGAGCATCGACAAGCCGAGAAAGCCCGCAAGGCCAGAGAGAGAAAGAACTCAACGGAGGAGTGGCCGTCAATCGAGATTGAGCCCCCACAGCCACGATTCCATGAAAGCCCCAGGAGGGGTCGGAAGTTCTCCCTGAGTGGGAACAAGGCGCCGAAGAATCAACCGCAGCCGATCGACCCAGGACCTCTCTTGAGCGTCAATATTCCGGATGTGCAGATGGAGCGCTACAGCGTCATGTTCAGCGATGTGGTGAACAAAAACCAAAGACCCCCACTGCTGGCCAGAAGGGCCAAGACGTTGGACAATCTGCAGGTTCCAGACGCAAATGTATGAAGAGATAATTTCTCCCTTGGGGTAAACACTGACCAAGATATAGGGCTTCATCAAGGCGCCCGTGCCACCCCCGATGCCTCAACGTCGTGCAACATCGCCAGCGCACTCAACTTTCACTTTGTTCCCGACATCCCAGCCTTCCAAAGCCGCCCAAATGCTGGGAACACAGAATTTCTCTCGCGGCCCCAGTCCGCTGATGCGCGCAAACACACTTCCCGTCGAAAGTCCATCCAAACAGCAGCCTCGTCACGGCTCGAACAAGAACAGCCTGTCATCACTCGAGTCACCCATCATCCCGAGAATGTTCTCCGCGGGCTCAAGTACCCCGAGATCCTCGAGCAGCCACAGCTATGACAAGCCTCTCCCCGCCATCAGGTCAGAGTCACAGAGCAGCCACCTGCAAAGGGTCACTCAGTCTCCAAGAAGCACCCCATCCCCACGCCAAGGCCGGCTGCAGAGCGCAGCATCTCAGAAACCGCTTCCCATGAAGCACGACGCCCAGCCCCGACCAGCACTACAACCGAGAAAGGGCTCCCTCCCCCGCCCAGTGGAAAAGCCTTCCCTGCACGCATCACCACAGAAGGTATCCACGCACAACCGCATCGACAAATGGCTCGAACAACAAGATCCAGCACCCACTCCGCGTCCGCGTCTTCGCGTCGAAACAGAAAACCGACCGGCCCCACCTGCCAAAGACATCCAATCCAGCCCATCCCTCAGCTCCCTCCCAACCCTGAACCCAACACAGGAGAAGATCGACCGCATCATGTCCCCACTCTCAGCCTCAACGGGGGCGCGATCAGGCATTTCGCCATCCGACTCCACACGCATGCCATTCGTTGACGCAGTCGAGACCATGGAGCCCGAGACAGAGAATCCGGAGCAGGAGGACCCCGAGCCCGAGACTCTCCGCCCAATTCCCCGAGTTGAGGTTTCGGTTGCGCGCTCGGTCTCGGTCTCGCGGGCTAAACGGCATGTTCTGGTGCCTGTTGGGAATCGGGTTGATCAACTCGATGCTGAGGAGAGGATTGTTCAACGGCGGGCTTTGACGCCGCAGATTACGGATGCTCATCGGGGACATCGGCCGGGTATTTCGCAGGAGTTGAGGATAGAGTGTCTGTGACACCTATCTGACGTTCTTTTCACAATTCTTCATTCATTTTTCTTTTCTTTTCTGTGTACATATTTGATTTCGATTCCCCTCTGCCTCGTCATAGCCTTTGTTTTCATCCAATCCTTATATATTATAATTACAGCATGATCTCTATCAAACATCGGATGGACTTACTAGATGTGGAAAGAGTAGATCTTCACAGGGCGCATTCGATTGACCTTGTTGCAGAGTGCAGTCGACTCAGACTGCATCGCCGAACTCAATTCACAATGATCGCCTTGGCGTTATGACTCACGACCACAATTGACGAACATTTAAACACTTCCCAGCCCTCAAGAGGTAAGTGACTGTACTCATCATGGCAGCAACACTTGTATCGGCCTACACGCCAGCACAATTGGACCAATACCTCCGGTATATCGACCCACCGAGCCAGTATGGATCCAGCGCAACATTCCCCACAACAGAACAAGCATTGAAAGACCTCTTCCGGTGCCAGATCACCAGATTCCCATACGACAATCTAACATGCCACTACTCCTCGACCCAATTGGCCGAGATCCAGCCGCAACAAATCTATACCAAGTTCTTAGGAGATGAATCAACTTCACGCCGCGGAGGCTACTGTCTCGAAGTGAGCATATTCTTCCATCACATCCTCCGCGGTCTAGGATTCGAAGTATACATGACTGGTGTGCGGAACCGACTACGAACGGACGGGATTCCGCAAGGGGACTATTTTGGATGGTGAGAAGATTATTCATGTTCCAAACTATCCATGGATGAAGTTAGCCCTAACAAGCCAGGACACATATTGTGAATATCGTCCGTCTGCCGAGTGGTCAGGAGTTCCATCTAGACGCAGCCTTTGGGGGTGACGGACCGACAAGTCCCCTTCCCTTGATATCTGGGCAAGTAACACGGAACCTGGGAGCGCAAGAAGTCCGACTCATCTACGACAACATGCCGAAGCAGACGAGGCGGGAGCAGAAGGTCTGGATGTATCAGTATCGGAATGGGGTGGAGAAGCCGTGGAATTCGTTTTATTCATTTGCGGAATTGGAGTTCTTCCAGGAGGACTTTGAGGTGATGAATCGGTTTACGAGCTGGGATGCGGTGCAGAAACGGAGTTTCATTGTGGTGAAGTTCATTCGGAATGGGGAAATAGATGGATTGCCCTTGTTGGAGGGCGAGGGGGAGACGAGTGAGGATTTGTCTATTGTTGGGAAGATTATGATGGTGAATGATGAGATCAAGTTGAATATGGGCGGCAGGACGAGGGTGATTGATTCGTACGATACGGAGGAGGGGAGGTTGGTGGCTTTGAAGAAATGGTTTGGCATCACTTTGTGTTACTAGTATTTATGGGGAGTAATTGACACCGAAAGAGGGATATCGGCGCATGAGGCCTGCCAGGAACAGATTCAACGAAGCATTAGATCTCAGTGGGTACATAGCAACTTGGCTAGTCAAGGAAGAGAGCGGAAAAGCAAAGTAAAGTACTGAATTCCCTAATTCAAACTTTACTCCTTTGAAGGAACGCTCGACTCAACCACAGTCTGGGTCTTCATTCCTGGCTCCAAGTTCACCTCTACGTTCGTCACAGACCATGCCATGCCGACATAGGAGTCACTGATGACCCTGATGTTCACTCGGGCAGTATCAGAAGTGGGGACCGACGATTCTGCGAGAACTCCTTCAGGGAACTTGACTGAAGAACGGACGGTCAATTGACCACCCTTGTCGTTAGACGCACGACTAGAGCCAGCACCCGAACTGCCCTTGCCATTGCCATTGCGCTTGCCAACTGGTGGCCATGAGACACGCTTGAGACCGAGCAATTCACCATCAGCACCATTCGGCAAAGCGCTGCAGATGATCAAGAAGAATCCCTCGGTTTGGGGCTTGGGGAAGCGGGGTGCGTAGATCCTGCAGTCAGGGTTTGATGGAGAGTTACGTCGTGTCATGGAAACAGTTACACCCTTAGCCGAGACCGTTGCAATCGAGACAGATAGATGAGGCAGCTGAGAAGCCGCACGGGTGAAGCTGAATGGGAGCGTGAGTCTCTTAACCAAGGCAGCAAGCGCACTGGTAGGCTGCGAGGAAAGCGAGACCAGAGTGCCAGGAAGACCAGTGGGTGGTGTCTCGGTGGGCACACCAGGCAAGATAGACAGGGGGTGGTCCTCGGGCCAGCGCGCGGATTTGATGCATTGGAGTAACGTCATCAGCATTTGACAGGCAGGTAGATAACCAAGCTCAGCCATCACGTCGATGGATGCCTGGATGATACGGATTCCTTGGTCGAGCACCGACGTTTGGTCTCCCACATAATCTGTAATGGGAAGATCGATGCGCGACATGTAAGCCTGGAGTAGAAGGAAAGCCTTGGTGTGTGGATCCCACAAGGGCAAATCGCCCATACAATCAATAGAGAGAGGCAGGTTTTGTGCCAATTCCGCGTTGATAAGATCTTCATTGTGTCGGACAGGGAGCTCGTCGAACTCAGTGGCAGAACACATCCAACTCAACACATCCTGGAAGGTCGGTTCACGCTTAGCGTGGGCCATGAGGTACCTGATCGTTTTATGGGACAAGTAGTAATAGCTCATGATCTTGCCGAACGGAGTGGGATCGACTTCTCCTGTCGCAGAGTCGACAAGAACACAAGAGGATTCCGCGAGATCGTTGAGCGATTTACCGACCAATTCAACCATGAAGTCTTGAGCGATAGTCTGAGCCGCCATGGTGTTTTGTTCCTCGGCGGAAATTTCCAGACCATAGTAAGATGGGTTCTTGTGCAGTCTGCGGAAGAAGAATGTCCAAGTCAAGTAGTCCAACGCATCTTGTTGCGTAGCAATCGTGCCAGCAGAGACTTCGGCGCCAAGATGGTTATCTAGGACCTTGTGCAAAGTCGACTCAACTGGGAAACCAGTGTGAAGGAAATGCTTGTAGAAAGCTTTCTTGGAATCCTGGGTGAAGATGCGAGCGATACCAGATGTGTCGAACTGTGGACGACCGGCACGACCGAGCATTTGAAGCACATCAGTCAAGTCCATATCACGGTAACCTTCAATCTTAGCATCGAAGAACTGTGTACCCTTGACCACCACAAGATGGGCGGGAAGGTTGACACCCCACGCAAGGGTACTGGTGGCAACGAGGATTTGGATCTTGTTGTTCGCGAATAGTTCCTCTGCCAATTGGCGATCAGATTCGACCAAACCAGCATGGTGCAGACCGATGCCGAAGTTGAGAGCTTCCCTCAGCGCATCATCCTTGACGCGTGCGAGGTTGAGTTCCAGATCGTCCTCGGACATCCGCACGAATCGGCGAGGGTTGTCTTCCATACCACAGTAGTTGATCAGATCCTTGGCAGTCAGACGCGTCTGGCGACGAGAAGCAACGAAGACAATGACCGGTTTCTCTGGGGAATGGTTCTTAATAGCCAGGAAAGTTGGACGGTTCATTGACTGCATGAGAGGACAGAATCCTCGCTGCTCGGGGAAGCCATCGATGAAAATTTCGAGGGGAACCGGACGGACTGAGTGCCGGAAGTTGTACAATCCTTCCTTGACACCAAGCCAATTCGCCAGATCAGAAGCGTTTGCACAAGCTGTCGACATTCCCATAAGGCGGACAGATCCCTTGGACTGAGAAGCGATATAGTTCATTCGAGAAACAATGATTTCCAAAATGGGACCACGATCACCGCCGAGCAAGTGGATCTCGTCAATAATCACCAAACTGACCTTTCTGACATAGTCACGGGTCTGCCAACTACGGGAGATACCGTCCCATTTCTCAGGAGTTGTGATGATGATGTCTGCGTCTCTGATCGTACGGGTATCCGGTGTGTTATCACCAGTCAACTCAACAAGCTTGAGGCCCATTTGTTGCGTCAGGCGTTTGCGCCAATCTTGAACACGCTCACGGACTAAGGCTTTCATAGGCGCAATGTAGACGACCTTGGAGCCTGGCTTTTCACGGAAAGCCCACCACATTGCCAGCTCGGCGGCGACAGTCTTTCCACTACCAGTAGGTGACCCAAGAAGCACATTGGATGCGGTATGGTAAAGAAGATGGAAGATCTGGGTCTGCATAGGGTTGAAAAACTGGAAGCGTTGACCGTACACCTCCTCAAGAATGGGGTTCTTGAGGGCTGAGATAGGCAAGGGCTGGAGATTGAGAAGATCAGTGTAAACACTTTCGGTGTCGGGCCGGATGAGATGCTGGAAAGAAACCGGGCTGACAGTTTCGGCGCCCAGCCAGCGATCGGATATCACGCGAATATAGATCTGGCTTGGCAGTGGATCGGAAAGTGGTATGGTGAAATTGAGCTCATGATCGTTGTAAAGCTTCTTGCGGCTCAGGATGAAATATTCGTGGTGATAAATCTCAGATGTTTCCGAGTTCTCCACCCAAACCCAGAAAGATTCAGATGTGCCGTGGTGACGGTCATTCCAAGTAAACTCCGGGTAAATCGAGAGACGAATGCGAAGCACGTCACGGTTGAGCGGAGCAATCTCAGTTTCAACGCTAAGGGTAGGGAAATTGTCCAACAGCTTGGACAAAGTGTTACCCATGCGGTGGTTGTGAACAAGCTGACCAATTTCTGCAGGTTCCATTTCCCTCATAGATTCGATGGAGGTACTCGGCAGCTTTTCGTCGAGGTTCCTCAGCACCGGCTGTGGTAAATCGAATTGACGGAACGGGTGGTCGAAGGGCCAGATTTGCTTCTCAATCGACTTGCATAGAGAAAGCAAGACTTGACATTGATAGCCCCAGCGACGATTCAGGGCGATCATGAAGAGAGCGCGGCAAATACGGGCTGCATTCTGAGCAACATATCCCATATCGGAGGCCAAGGCAAAGTCCTCGATTCTGGCGCGGGAGATGTAAGACTGGAGCAAGAGATTGGTTTTCGCGTGCGGCGTGTCGTTCCCTCCGTCAACCTCGGTCTGAGCGACCTCGTCACGCAACCGTTGCAGTTCCTTGGATTCGCTGTCTCGGGACTGGATATTGTCGAATTCACCACTCATACTGATCATCTTCAGCACGTCTGCTTCACCAGATCGTGCACGCATCATGTCATTGAAGATCTCAACGCTGGTTTGCAGAACGTAGTATTGGCTTGCAATGCGACCCACATCCTTGGCTTTAAGATCTTCAGTCTTGTCATTGAAGATAATCATCTGGCTTTTTTGCAGAACACGAGCAGCCTGTATAACCAATTGCCGACGTCTCTGGACTAGCATAGGATCGTCACGCAGCTCGGCAAACTCAATTCCATAGTTTCTCGGCTCGCGCTTCATGCGCACAAAGAGGTAAGAGTAGCCCAGCCACTGCACGGCCTCTGGAACAGATGTCACGGTTCCCAGTGAGATCTCAGCATTCAAATTGTCGACAAGTCGAGCAGAGAAACGTGATTCAATGGGCTGCTGCGCAGTGACAGCGGAGAGATAGTGGTTCAGCTTGTCGTGTGTAGTGCAGATAAATCCGATACCAGTATCCTGGAATTGTGGACGACCAGCACGACCAAAGATCTGCATCACATCAAGAATGCTCAGGTCGATGAATTTACCCTCCTGGGGGTTGTATAACTGAGTGCCCTTGATCACGACGGCGGCTGCAGGCAAGTTGACACCCCAAGCCAATGTGGCTGTACAGCATAGCACTTTGATGAGACCTTCAGAGAACATCCGCTCCATCAAATTACGATCGGTTCGCGCCATTCCAGCATGATGTGTACCGAATCCGGCAGCGAACAGGTCCCGGAGTTCTCTTGCTCGTGCATGTTTCATATCACGAAGAGCTGAGGTATAGTCTTCGTGGTCATGGCAGCTAAACAGATCATCGCGGCCTTCCTCCGCAGCCATCTGCATCAGCATTCTCGCCGTCATGACAGTGTCCTTCCTCGAGTGGACGAAGACCATGACTTGGTGGCCTCTTTCTAACATGTCACGGACCTTTTCATATGCGACAGTATCGATGTTTTCGCGAGACTGCTTGGAGCCAGGCTTTCCCTTGACACCAATGAAATGTTGCTCAAGAGGCACTGGTCGGAAAGATTGATCGAAGAAGAACATGCCAGCCATTTTATTGACTTTCAAAAAATCGGCCACATCAGTGTAGTTGGGAAGCGTAGCCGACAGACCAACAATACGAATCAAAGATTGTGTGCTCTCCACCTGACGCTGGGTACGTGCAACCAATGATTCAATGACTGCGCCGCGCTCGTCATGCAACATATGGACCTCATCAATGATGAGTAGGCGAACCTTCTGCACAAGCTCTGTGTCACCAGTGCTTTTACGCGTCACCACATCCCATTTCTCAGGGGTGGTCACGATGATCTGGGTATCCACGATCTCACGCTTGGTCAATTGCATATCACCAGTCAGTTCGCGGACCTTGATACCCAGCCATGCCAGCCGTTTGCCAAGCTTCTCCGTCACTTCGGCAGCCAGAGCTTTCATGGGAGCAACATAGACGATCTTGAAATCATCCACCTGGACTGTGAATTCAGTTGCATCAGGAGCTTCCAGGGGGTTGGGGGTTGTATTCTTTCCAACCGCACTGAGGACAGTCAACATGGCAGCATCGGTTTTACCGGCACCAGTAGGCGCGCAAATCAGCATGTTCTCGCTGGTCTTGTAGGCTACATCGTAAAGCAAGCTTTGCATACGATTGAGAGTTTTGTAACCCTTGAACGTTCCTCGGCAAAGACCGTCCATTTCTGAAATTTGCATGAGCTTTTGGCCCTTCCCCATGGTTCCAACCTTTGCAGCCGGAATCTCGAATTCAGTGTACTTGGGCTCTTCAATCTGCTTGCTGCCGAGAGGGAGTCCGTACTTCCTGCCGTTCGCGGAAAGTGTATTTCCAGAGGAGTGTTGCTTGAACACATGTGGGTATGAGGGCTCTGATCGGGTTTGGGCAGGCATCAACATTGCGTTCTTATGCTCGAAGTCGCGCTGTTGGAGCGCACGTTCTCTCTCCGCCCGCGTTAAGAGTTTCCCGCCCATAAGTCCATCTGTTTGATCCTCCAAGCGGTGGCCCTTGTCGGAAAGAACTTCCTCCCTGTGTGCGATGAGGTCGATGACCAGGTCCAGGTCATCGAAGCCAACAATCTCCGCCAAAGACATCTGAAGCTCTTCGTCATTGCTGTCCGCTGCGAGGGTGGCAATGAGTTGCTGGGCAAGTTCCGAGGAGTCCATGCTCGAATTGCGCATGGCGATGTCCTGGCACTTGCCTTCCAGCCATGCCCGGTTGTAGGATGATCCTGGTGCGGGCTGAGGTTCATCGAGTCCATCAAAGCTTTCCAAGTCATCCGAGGTCTCATCATCGGAGCTGATGATATCCCACACATCGTCGACTGTCCCGGGGGAAGAATAATCATCGTCGATATCTAGATCAAGGTCACTTCCGTAGCCGATCGGTTCTTGGTTGATGTCTTGCGGGAGCTTCAAATCGGCGATCGCCTGGCGCATGGCCGCCAGCTGCGATAGCCATTGCGACTCTGTTGCTGCAATACTTTCCATGCTGCGAACTCTGAATGCGACGAATGATCAAAGTAAAAACGAGGGGAACAAACACTGAGGGGAGATGGAGGACCAAATGTAGTCATAGGGCAATCCCGCAGGGCTCAGACGGTCGCATGACAAGAGCGGTGAACGCCTCATGCGGAGCGCATCATTGTTATCAGCAGCCAGGAGCCTGTTAAGCCTGGAATCTCCTTGTGTACTTTGCCACTTTGGTTTATCTGTCTACTGCCTTCCTACAGCAAAGTATCCATACTCTGATTCCCAACCTGTTACTGGGAGTGCGACCTACAGTGCCTCAGCACCCCACCTCGGACAGCTACTTGCCTCCTTTCTTGTCTAGACCACGGTCAGGACCACGCAGCCACAATGAAGATTCTGTACATGGGCGTATGCATTTCTTCCAACCAATGGTTCAAATGTCATTTTCACTCGTTGCTGACTTTAAGCGTCCAAGGTTTTCCGGAACGACACTCAGCCAGCTTTGCAGCTATGCGGGGAAAAGGATCTCGGCAGGTATGTGTCGCGATCAAGCTTGATCGCAAGCTTGCGATCTGATGGACTCTCTCACTAATACCTCATAGCTTTTCTCGCTTTACTCGCCAGAAGTATGTTCACTGCCTCCGCCTCCGACCAGATGAATAGGTCATTAATCACCCAGCGCTCGATAGCTATGATGAATTCTTGATGCTCTTCACCCGAACCGTCGCCGAGAAGACCAAGGCTGGCCAGCGACAGGATATTGAAGAGAAGGCTTACACATTCCACGCTTACGGGCGGACTGAGGGTGTTGCTGGTGTGATTGTTACCGACGGCGACTACCCTGCTCTCGTGGCCCACCAGCTCCTGGGCAAGATCGTTGACGAGTTCCTGGCCAAGCACCCACGCACTTCCTTCTCCGACCCCTCTCTGCGCGAGAACGCCTGCCCCTTGCCGCAACTCAAGGAGTATATTGTCAAGTACCAGGACCCCAGCCAGGCCGACAGTATCATGAAGATCCAACAGGAGCTTGACGAAACGAAGATTGTCCTGCACAAGACGGTATGCCTTCCTCGCGCGAAATTTATCTTCGTGTCTAACGATATTTAGATCGAGAGCGTTCTGGAGCGTGGTGAGAAGATTGACTCCTTGGTGCAGAAGAGCGATGGATTGTCAGCTCAGAGCAAGATGTTTTATACCCAGGTAAGTCAACTAGGGTGGGCCGGACCTATATATACTAACACCATGGAATCTAGGCCAAGAAGCAAAACTCCTGCTGCGTTTTGATGTAAACAACATAATGACACATGTTTCCAAGGTTGATTCGGTCGAGGCTCTTTCTTAAACGTCATTTGATTCTTACTATCAGATATTGAACAATGCATGCGGAATTCGCCCTTATGTACTCCGTATCTCGCCGAGAATACGATTGAAATTTAGCTCACCGGACTAGACGACCAGGACGTGCTAGTACTTGGAACGACGAGTAACTGAGATATTTTTTTGTGAATTTGGCAACCTCGTTGCTCTAGCTGTTGGTGGGAAACGACCTTGGAGATCATGCGAAACCTCGTATTGCAGGGTCCACTTAGACCCAGGCGCCACCGGTCGACAGTTGGGCAGAGCGGCCCGCCTCAGCAGAATACGTGGCGGGGGCAGTGGGCAAAATAGCCAACTCGATTACTTCCAATCTTGGTTTCGATGCTCTTCACAATTCTGCAGGTCATATCTCCAACCCGAATGTGTGCAGTTCGGCAAACTCGATGGTCAATGTTCCGGGCAGAAGCAAGGGATGCTTAGAATGTCGCCAGCGAAAACAGAAGGTTCTCCACCCAGCCTGACCTAGATCGTTGTACGGTAAGGCAATAAAGAGTGTCTCTGACTGATATTTGAACAGTGCGACGAGATTTCCCCGGACTGCCAGCAATGTGTCAAGAAAGGATTGCATTGTTCGGGTCCTCGAACATCCGCGATCTTTATCCATGCCTTACCAGCTCGACCAAAGCGCACTCTCACGAGGCTGGGCAATATACATGGTGCCAAAAGCCCCGCCAAGCTTTATGCGGCTCCCATGTACCAGACAACTATCGCCTATCACCAGCCTGATAGAGCCGACATTTTTGACTCCCTCTTTGTGTCTCATTTCATCGAGTCATTTGGATTCAGCTCAGCAACCTCAGCCAGTCAGCCACCGACCTGGCTGGACGAGCTCGGGTTTATGGCTGCTTCACCCGGCGGTCATCTCACAAAGCATTCGGTCAGGGCTGCTTCGATGTACTACTATGGTACTCTAGCACAGGATACTTCCATTCAGACCGAAGCCTGCAAATGGTACTCGAGATCGCTCCAAGGCCTCCGCTCTCTCTTATCCCACAACATTCCACAAGTAACAGACCGAATCATTTGCGCTATTGTGATGCTCTCCCATTTCGAAAATATAGCGGGCACCCATGGAGGGTGGCTCCAGCACGTTCAAGGTGCTGCGACCATGATTGAAATATGTGGCCCGGAAAATTGTCGTCACGGGTTTCTGCATCAATTATTCCGCCATCTCCGACTTCTAACTGTGAGTTCCAACCCCTCATTGACGAACTTCCAGATTGGCTTCGGTTCCTGAAAACTGACGTTTCAAACCCACAGTTTGTAGCTGCGATGCTGAAGAATGAACAGCATTCTTTTAGCTCGTTGACCTGGAAGACGGTACCATTCGAGCTTTATCCGAAGGCTGCCTTTGATTGCTTTGTCGATATCCTTTTTTCCATGCTTCCTTGTCTATCCATCGCGCAGGAAGTGATTCGCAGCCCGCCCGAGGAGAGTGATCGGCCCATCACAGAGCTGGGCGCCGCGATTGAAAACATCATGGTACAGCTTGATATGTGGTGGACGCAGATAATGTCTGTACCCATTGCCCTCGGGGCTGACGCAGGTCAATGGCACAATGCCAGCAGCACCTTCCCTGGAAGCCAGTGCAACACCAGCGACCCCGACCATTTCCCTCTGATTCCTCATTCCGATATGCGTATCGCAGCTTTGGGATCCTTATATGATGCCGCGAATGTGGTAGTCCTGCAACTTCTTTACCTCGTTTCTCCGCACGCTCAGTTGTACGAGAAGCGAATGCAAAAACATATCCAATCGATCCTATCTGCAAAGGAGTTTGTCGCGGCAATTCCAAGCTCAGTTTCCGAGCGAGGTCTACTTATGATTGAGTTTCCCCTTCAAATACTTCAAGTATGGGACCGGAAAAGTGAAATCAATGCCGCAGAAAGCTCTCACACAGCAGAGTCAGCCCGGGATTACGGCTTGGATTGCTCATCGGAGCTATTCAAGCATTTGGCTTCATACATTCATACGATCCAGATCGAAGTGACAAAAAACGAAGGATGAGACGACCGAGATCGAATTCCCGCGCATCAAAGGAAGGCGAGACATGCATGGCTCTCATTGGTGGGTATTATGAGGCTAGTCCCAATGGAGCTAGCTTTGCGGTGACCCACTGTTTGGTCAACTCTAAAATGCGAACTATTTAGTCGTGACTTCCACCATGTCAAGTTCATTTGAACATATCCATCTTCGAACCGAGAATGAAGATCGCAATCATTGGTGGCGGTATCGCTGGATGTGCGGCATATCTGGAGTTGAGGAAACATCTTCCGAGATCTGAGGCATCCGACCCCCACGAGATTGTCATATATGAGCCATATGACATGAGCTTGAACACTACGGCTGAGGAGAGGACGGAGGCTCATACACATTCATCATCACTACTTGTGGGTGGTGGACTGGGTGTTGCTCCCAACGGCTTAAGAGTCCTGAAGCGCCTGGATGGTGAGCTATTGAAAGACGTTACCCGAGGAGGATACGTGACGAGTACTTCTCATATGAAGAATAAGAACTCTTGGTCACTTTTTTCTATGACGAGCTCATGTACAGACTACGATATCGACAACCCTCGAACTTTGCACATGGTTGCCACCAGTCGTCACGCCTTTTGGCGGGCCTTATGTGCACGCGTTTCACCGCGCGATATCGCGAACAAGAGGGTCACCCGTGTTGATACGAATCCACGTGGGAGAAAAGTCATACATTTCTCAGATGGAAGTCTACCCGAGGATGTCGATTTAGTCATCGGCGCAGACGGTGTCAAGAGCACGACGAGACAGGCAATTCTACCCGAGGATAGTCGAGATGAACACCGTCCTCATTACGAGTGAGTTGATGAGCCGGAAGATATACGCAGCTCTAACTTTCATGAAGAGGTCTTGTCGGAGTCGGTGGCTTCATATCCTCGAGTGGAATCAAGCACCTTGTCGAACCGGGGACCATGAACTTTATCTTTGGGGGAAATGGCTTCTTCGGATACTTCTTTTCAGACAGTGCCAAGTCCGCCCCCAAACGTGACTCGCCATACGATGTATCGGAGCCTGGGGAATCACTCGCCTGGTGGTCGACATATGAGATCGCAGAATGCCCAAACCCCCAAACTCTCGATATGGAAGATGTCACCCAACAATTGCGCGCAAGACATGCAAGTTGGAAAGAGCCCGTCGTTCAAAAGATCATTCAATCACTTCGTGTCGAGAACCTGTATCCGACCTGGACCTCTCCCACCCTTCCAACATGGGAGCGAGATGGTGTTGTACTAATCGGAGATGCAGCACACGCGCTCCCTCCCACTTCTGGACAGGGGTCCTCGCAGGCACTGGAGGATGCGGAAGCTCTCGCTTTGTTTCTCGCACACTATATCCGCAATAGTGATGGCGACAAGGGCCAAGATACAGCTCAGGCCCAGAAAAGAGTGATCAGTGCAGCTGCAAGATCGTACATGACCATTCGAAAGCCACGTGTGAGGGAAATATTGGACTTCGCTCAACAGACCCAAAACAGCAAACGAGAAATGGGTCTCTTCAAGGAATATTTGACGTATGCTTTCATGAAAATAATTGGTATGTCTTTGTCTGGAATTTTCGTCGCATCAACTAACTCACGCTACTGCAGGTTTCTTTCCCAGTTTGATGGCCAGTCAAGTTCGTCAAGTTGTGGAATATGATATTGCAGACGAAGTTTCAAAATATATCACTTTGGGAAGATGAACCGATCGAGTTTAGTCTGCGGCTTGCATGGGTTTGATTCGACCACTGCATCAAAGTGCATGTGGACAACGGACGGGAAGCCATGTACCCAATAGTATTTTGATGGACCGCCAAATATGAATCTTTTCAAATTCACTCGACTTTCAATCGAATTCGACACCTTTTCCACTCTGTTTACACTGTGAAGCGATCACCCGTTTGGGTATAATTGAGCAGCCGGCTTGGGGTCTGATGTGGTCACGCTGAATAGAGTGGCGGAAGCAAGGAGTGACATGCAACCTGCCATCTCTCATGTCAAACCCTTCCGGGCGTCGGCTCATCTTACTGTTACGAAGAGGACGAGGTAAGGTGGAAAGTTGGAGCAGCGCAAAGTACGTTCGCCGAGGCTCTCGCAACGGTTGCCCAGGTATTTTTACGTGCTAACATTGGAGGGTGATAACAGGAAATCAATCAATATTTCCTCTGAAATTGTCGCTGCGCAGTTCATTGTTTTTCAGCTTCTGTTCGAAGCAGGGCAATATGCCAAATATCGCCTCGTCCCGAGAATGTGGCGAATATCTCGATGCTATGCGGTCGAATGTCGGCGATGCCATTTTCCCACACGCCTTGAGGTCTAGGCCTGACATGAAGGAGCCTGGCGAAACGCATGTCTATGCAAGCTTTCAACTATAGCAGCATCATCTAGGGACCCCAACCCCGCTCCATTGACCCACTTGACCCCGAAATGTGCCCGATTGCAGGGATGCTTATCTGGGAGAGATTACCGTCACTGAGATTGACGTACGAAGTGCAATTCCGACTGAAACTAATCTCACTGGTCTTGCAATCGACCAGTCCGGGATTGGCCAAGAATGGCGTCGCAACTAAGCTCCAACGATACGCTTGGCTTTGGGGGTTGATTGGCCACGATACCGACATCTAACGCATACCAAATTCTTATCTTCCCCTTGCCGTCTGATCGCATGAAATTTGCCACGGGCCATTCGACATGGCTATGTTGAATCACCCAGGTTTGAGTGTGCATGCATCGCTTTTCTAGCGTCCGGGAACTTGGAAGAGTATATATAGTCTGATCCTCCCCAGACACATTACCAGCCAGCCATCATTCGCATTGCAACGATGGACTTGGATATTGAAAAGAAGGCCACTTCGGCTGTCCAGCCGGCTGAGAGCTTACCCTCGTCTCATGATGATCTGACGGTCGGGGATATTCAAGAGCTGAACCCCCTGAAGCGGAATTTGAAGAATCGTCATATGCAGATGATCGCAGTTGGTAAGCTTCTTTCGTCCATTCCCTTTTCCATAGTTCTTTCAAATCTCTGACTGGATTCAATAGGGGGTGCCATCGGGGCTGGTCTTTTTGTTGGCACAGGATCTGCTCTTCGAGACGGCGGGCCCGGCTCTTTGCTGGTCTGTTACTTGATAGTCGGATTCATGTTGCTCTTGACAGTCCAAGCTCTGGGCGAGCTGGCGGTTCTGTATCCGGTTAATGGGGCTTTCTTTACCTATTGTGTTCGATTTATCAGTCCAGCATGGTGAGTCCCGTTTATACAATTCTGGCGCTAGAGCAGCCTTGGAAGCTAACCATTTACTCGTTTCTTTGCAACAGGGGGTTCGCAGTCGGCTGGGACTATGCTATAAGTTGGCTTATTATGCTTCCATTCGAGCTTACAGCTGCGAGTATAACGATCAAGTATTGGAGAGACGACTTGAACGCCGGCATATTCATCGCCGCATTTCTGGTTATCTTAATTGCAATCCAGTTTTTTGGCGTCAAGGGATATGGAGAGGGTAAGAATCTCTGCTCACTTACACCAGGACGGATGAATGCTAACCTTGCGCGCCAGTCGAATTTGTTCTTGGGGTGATCAAAGTTGTGGCCGTCATTGGCTTCATCATACTCGCAATCGTGATTGACGTGGGCGGTGCCCCCCATGGCGGATATGTTGGTGCAAAGTACTGGCATAACCCCGGTGCTTTTACCGACTTCAAAGGATTCTGCTCCGTGTTTGTCACTGTCGCCTTTGCATTTGGTGGTACAGAGATGGCTGGTCTCGCTGCCGCGGAAGCAACCAACCCGGCAAAATCCATCCCCAAAGCCACAAAACAAGTTTTCTGGCGTATCATGATCTTCTATGTCTTGGGGACCTTCATGGTCGGCTTGATTGTTCCCTCCAACGCTGACTGGCTAATGGGAGCCTCTGGCGCCAACACGAAAGCCTCGCCGTTCGTTGTTTCAATCCAAAATGCCGGAATTTCGGGGCTTCCCTCGGTCATGAACGCCATAATTACTATCTCGGTTATCAGTGTCGCCAACTCTGCGACCTATGCCTCCAGTCGCACAATACAAGCTCTTGCTGCACGGGGAATGGCCCCGAAATTCATGGCTTACATTGATAAACAGGGAAGGCCCCTATATTGCATTCTGCTCCAGATTGCATTTGGGTTTCTGGCATTTATCAATGAAGCACCATCCGGGAGCATTATTTTCGACTGGCTTCTCGCCTTGTCAGGTATCGGTGACTTCTTCATCTGGGGAAGTATCTGTCTCGCACACATTCGCTTCAGGTCTGCATGGGCACACAACGGCCATTCAGTAAAAGAGCTGACATTTGCAGCCCCTATGGGCGTTGTCGGAAGCTATATTGGCTTGGGGCTGAATGTTCTTTGCCTGATTGCTGAGTTCTACGTTGCAGTGGCCCCCAAAGATGCCGAGAGCTTTTTCCAGAGCTACCTGGCCGCGCCTGTCGTGATTGCCCTGTTTGTGGGCTGGCTTGTCTACACAAAATGGAACAAAGACCCCAGCCTTGACCGTGGGGGCTGGTTTGTTCCGATTGAAAAGATGGATGTCTTGATGCATATTCGTGATGGTGCTTTGGATGCTGATCTTCCTCCTAAAGTCGAATATCCCACTTGGGGGGGCTGGATGAAGGCTGCTCCGATGCGGGTTTTGCGTTCTATTTTCTAATCCCGAGTCTCAGGAAGTGAGGTTCACTGCCCATGTGGTAACTCACCCTCCTAGAGCTACTAGGTAGTACAGCTTCGAATATAACGAACATCAGGATAAACCTTGGAACCTTGAATGTATCTATTTCTTTCTCATATGGGAAACAGACCTTTAGAGGTTTATCTCAGAGTAGCGTGACGTTTGCTACGGGAAAGTCGCGGGCGATTTAGCAGCTCAGTTCACCTGGGCAGACTGTCGCCTAATTAGGGAATTAGTGGGGCGTTTGCGAGGTATATATATGCCCCTTCGCAAACATCCACACTGTGATCATTAACCCATTCGAGAAATCCCTTCCCAGGTTCAAGACATCCCTGAATCACCCATACCGGGCATCAATACTTGGAACATCTATTCTGAGTCCCTATTAATTCCAACCCTAGCACAAAGCCGGAAACCAGGTCGAGGGTAAGAGAGCACCGAAGAGCTTGATTCCCGAAGAGAGACAGAGAGTGACTGGTATATGAAAGGATACCACAGAGCACAACTCCGAGAACTCAGACTGCAACCTTGGAAAGCCTGCAAGATTTGGTCAGAGTGCACCCATCACTTCTGTCTCACTTCATCGCTAACGTTTCTCCTGGGATAGTTCTGGGTCGTTGCATGAAGCGTCAATCTAGCCCGAATCGCCTCACCATCCCGGCTCACCAGAGCCGAAGAAGGAGGACCCCATCTTATGGCTGGAGTCTTCAAGCCTGGGAATATTGTGTGTTGAGGATCAAAACTTCTACATGTGCTGGAAAAGTGGTGTACTTTTGACCACTGGTACTTGCACTCATCATTTCCCCCAAACAACCTTTCTGGTGAGAATTTCAAAGTCCATCAACCGCTTTGAATATTTTACCAAAGGTGCTTTCACTGTTCTTTTCCAACCGACCCAAGAGCAAAGCAACTCCATCGGATCGACTCACGGACTGAGTCCGATTTACGAAAATCAACGAGAGTACACAGCGGGCAGACAGGGAGCTGGCGGATCACGAAATTCAAAGACATCCAGAACCCATGGACCAGTTTCTCCTTGATAAAGCCATCATTTCCTACGATCGTACATTGATCGAGGAAGACCAGCGAGCGGAGGCGTTCACTGATTCCCAGACCAAGCGCATTTTGTTAGGTCACTTTTCTGCAGGCAGTGATGTCCTTCTGTATCCGTTTCATCCTCGTCGGAGCTGTCAGTTACCAGAGTTCTCGCTTTAACCGTAGATGATGATGGCCCTCGTGGAGCACTCCAAGGTTCGCATCCCGTGGAATGGACTCTGCAAAAGAGTGCTCGACAAGGGCAAATTATTCATCTACGGTGGAAGGGAGAACTCTGGTAACTGACAGCTCCCGAGGTCGGATGAAGATGAAACGGAGACAGAACGAACCGCCCGGGCTGATAGTGACGAAATACACAGAACCGCCGCTTTCGGGGGTTACACCTACTTTATCAACTTCATTTGTGACGCCTCGCGGTTTTGCTTGGTGTTTTTCTCAAACGCAGAGCCGAGTCCATTGACCAATTCAAGCAAGTCTGCACAGACTTGGCAACTCGGTTGAACATTATGGCCAAACAGGTGTCTCGCGATAATTCTGCAGAGTATATCACCACCCGTGGAGAACACATCGTGCACAAGGGATAGTCTGGATCAATATTCCACCCTACTGGCCAGAGCTCAACGGTATCGCAGCTGGTATCCCCTGTTACCAGAGACTTGATAGAATCGTGCGGAGTGGACATTTAGGATAACCATTAATCAGTATTGCATTAAAAGACGACCAATAGGGAGAAGGCAGATGGAGAGCGAGTGTCCAGGGGTACCCTTGGACTTGCATGATTTCATCGAGCACCGGTTATTCTACATGTCGCCTTGAAAGACTTCGGTTTCTAGTACCATCACGGAATAGCACATGACAGGATAGGATACACAAGCTTCTTCCCGTGAACCTTTCCCTCTCGCACAAGAGAAATACCCTCCAGGACCGTGTGTAGCCCACCCAATTTGACCTCCTGTGGCATAAAGTCGATTTTCCTGTCTTTCAGCAAAGTTTCGAATTGCCGATAAAACCGCACCATGAATTGTTTATCTTCACGACAAGGCTGCCAAGTACCATTGATGGCCGGGTGATCCGTGAGAGTAGTAAAGCGCTTGCCGAAACACGTGTATACGAACTTCCATCTATGATTTATCGTGGCGGTGGCCGGCAGTGAGTTCTGCATCGGTGCGGAGGTGGAGAGCGGCATCAAAGGTGCGTATACGTACTCCCGCTGCTGAGTTGTCTCGGGCTCGGTGAAGCATTGGTAGCAAAATTCGGCGGTGGGTTTTGTTCCTATGCAATTAAGAATTGTGGAAAGGCCGTTCTTTCGAACGAGATTTACCACCTGCTGGACAGCATCGGGCTGCTTGTAATCAACCACTTCATCAGCACCGAGTGACAGCATCCAGGGTATATTCTGTTCAGAGCATGTGGTGATAATATGCAGTCCTGATCTAATTGGTATTAGATCTGCGATCATTAAAGATGTCAGGACTCACAATTTGGCCAGCTGGATTGCAATGCTTCCCGTTGCGGAAGCTCCGCCGTATATCAATATTGATTGGGCTATGGGGGTTGGGTTTGACACTGGTAATGGAAGATTTAAGGACTGATATAGAGCTTGGGCGGCTGTACTAATCCCCATACCCAGAGTAGAGGCCGCATCGAATGACACATGGTCGGGGAGGCGAATCACCAGTTCTGAATCTGCAGTCAGGTATTCACGGAATGCTCCAATGGTGTAATTTGCAGCGTGACCTAGGACAAGTCAGGATCTGTCGCAATCAAGTTTTTCTTTCTCTCACGTACATCCATGCACGAATCCAGCCAGGCGATCCCCAACCGCCCAATCCGATACTCTTTCGCCCATCTCAACTACTTCACCTGCGAAGTCATAGCCGGCTCCAGCACCGGGTCTTGCGAATGTATCCAGTGCCATCCAATCCGAGGGATTGAGTGCGACGGCATGGACCCGGATCAAGAGCTCGAATGCATCTGGGGATGGTATAGCCAAGTCATGCTCCACTGTGGCCTTCCCGCGACTCTGCATGATGATTGCGGATTGTGTTTTTAACGCGCACATCTTGCGATATTTAGAAGGTTCAAAAGAGACTTGGCTATTTCGATTGCAAATTAATTGAACAGAATATATGCCGAGACTAAAATCCATCACCATGTCGCCAATTCGCGGGTATGACGCCACCACTTAGCCTATGGCCACAATGATCCTTCACGAGCCTCAATTAGTTCCCGAGTTACGAAATAGATTTTGAGGTCTCGGAGGATGAGAGTGTGGAGCCTTGAAGACCCTCGCGGATCACACTTTCCTTAAGCCTCCGATCCCAACACATTTGGATAGCCGATTGATAGCCTATCCCGGATGTACAAGGATCGCCCCTGTTAGGATACCATGATGTCAGTGTGTTTGCCTGTCTACGAGCCCGAAGTCCCAACGTGGTCCGACTGAGTCTTGTCCCACTTGGGTTGTCTATAAAAGCCCCCCGGTCGCAGTGATGGCATAACATTCAAGAAACGCAAGACATCTGGAACACCAAACTTCAAATCGCACATTCAAAATGCAGGAGCCAACCTACGATCCCAGGTGAGCAAATATGGACCATGCATAGTTTGGTACTTTTGGCATTAACAAAGTCCTAGCCGTCCTAGGCCCGCTCTCTCGATCAACTTTTCATACAGGTTGTCCGGGATCCCGAACAAAACCATCGTCAGCCTGACCATCAACTTCGGGCCCAATAGCTCAACTCCCCCGCATCGCCACGGCGGTGCCAACGTCGCAGCCTACGTTTTGAGTGGAGCCGTTTACAACAAAATGAACAACGAGCCCATGGAGGTGATCAAGGAGGGTGGAAGCTGGTTTGAAGCACCGGGTTGTCATCATCGCATCAGCGACAACGCCAGCGAGACCGAGCCGGCGACAGTGGTTGCGACCTTGATCACGGATACCGAGGCATTTGAGCGGGATGGCATGGCAGCTCTGATTCAGATTGACGAAGAATACCTATAGGAAGTAATCCTTGTACCTAGGTTTGCTTTAGTTAATTCCAAAGGAATCGGCTTTTCAGCTTTTCAAAAGAGCACCAGGACTATGACAGTATCACCAAACGACCCCACCAAGGTGATTTGGTGGGGTCGGTATCTGCGGGAACTGCCCAGAAGATCTAGATTTCGGAGATCGAATGTTAGGCCTCCTAGTGCAATGCGGAATTTTGCCTAGGTGCACATCCATGTGCTGGGGCACTTGGTCTGATGAACAAGCGGTGTGCGCACGTGCGCAGGTGAATCAGGATCGCCAAGGTTGTGATGTGAAATATCAACTTGGAATCTTGGGGGACATTTCACCTGCATGCCCCTCTCCAGATGTCATCTTTCATCTGGGCCGTGTCTGCTTCATCAGACCGCTAGTGGGATCTTTTTATGCCAGGCAAGTCTCTTGGCGTAGAGTTCCAAACTTCCAGGAGGGTCTCAATATTGATACCGAGTCGTATTATGTACTATATTGCTGATCGACAAACCCCGGGACATGGGAGTTCAGCCCACTCAAGCTGGGGATATCTGCGTCAAACAGTGCACAGAAATCGAATTCCGCATCGGGCAACACATTCAACGCAGTGATATCATGTGACGATGTGCTGGGCAGAGTGACATTGGTGTGTCCCGCAGCAGGCACATCTTTCGAAAGTGACAATATTTCTCGGGCAATAATCCCTATCTCACGATAGGTTCGCTTGCCGAGGGTCCAATGCTCGCTGAGTCGCTTCAAAGTACCCATCGTCAGGCGAATCTTTTCGCGACTCCTGGTCAATCTTTCGCCGGAGTAAAGAAATCGACAGGCACTCAGATGTGCGATGGTCACGTTGGCAATCATGCAAATGATGAAGGGGGTATGGCTACTCATATTGCTCGGAAGATTGAGCAGCTCATCAATGCCGTTTATTCCGGTAGTGCACTTGAGGGTGTGTAAACCGCGTTCTTGCGCGTTATTGCATTGCAGTCGCTCCGAAGGAGCCAGCGGAGCACATCGAGAGACAGACTCAATGGCGCTGTGAGTCAATGCTGAGAGAGGACGGTGAATCTCAACAGCGTAACTATATTCTCGTAAGCAGGAAAGGACATGGAAGACCCGTGGACAGGAGCGTGCCTTACGTGTGCATTATAAACAGAGCTTTGAACATGACCTCATCAAAAGAACCGTCGGGTCCGATGAGGTCCCTCTTCTCCGGAGAAAGTAAAGAGAACCATCCCCGAACACTGGTGTCGGAGCCGGCAGCCATTGCTTTGTACAGTTGGTCATCTTCTGTGCTCCCAGGTGATAACGCCCGGTCGATCCCAAGAGTCAACCCAATAAGCTCTGTGTATGATGAGAATTTTGCTTCATCTTCGCCAAGGAACTCTCGGTTCTCGTAGTCATCCAGCGATCTTGGAAATGGAATATTCTAGGAAGGGGTTAGGTGAAAGGATTGGGACCATTTGATACAGTTCCTCACCTGCTTCTCGTACTGGTCCTCCTCACAAGGAAGGTCGGTGGTCATTTCCAAGCCACTTGTGCGGAATGGGTAAGTGTGTGTAGATCCTGGATGGGGTCAGTTTTACGCGCGATCCAGTGGCGTGCCAGGAGACTGACCGGCAATATGAGCATCGGTGATGTATATGACCCACCAAGTTCGGCGCCAGCTTTCTTCGACGACGGGACTTCCTTCCCCGTAAGATTTGGCGAAGGCTCTCGTGTTCATTCCGAGCGTCACTGCAATTCGAATGGTCTCATATAGCAACGCCACGCCTTTTTCGGGCTCGTTACACCAATATATTGCAATTGAATAAAGCAGAAGTGCTTGCACGTCGAATGGGTCTGGGTCCGACTTGGCGCGGATTTGCGAGATTGCATGATAGGCACGCTGACTCCATATCTCTGATGATGAAGTAGACTTGTCAAAAATAGAGCCCACATAGCAAATGACCTGAAGGAGAGGCTGCACCCTGGGATCAGAGAGTCGGTTTTTCAAAGCCGCCAATGGCAGTGTGCAAGGGTGTGCGGCATGAAAAAAGTCGTAATATAAGCCCATAAGCTGAGAGCTTTGACTTGCCAACTCTGTCTCCCGATTCGTGGCAATGGAAGAAGTCGATGTAGCAGAGGAGACATGTTGTTCCAGTAACAAATCTAGAGAGCTCTCGTAGACAACCGGAGTGGGATTTGATTGGGGCTTCTGCTTCGGATTGCCACGCCGCCGAGACGCAGGGTACACGCACTCCTTCGCGTCGGCAACACAGCGTGCGCATGCTGGCTTCTGACCATCACAGCGAACATGTTTGTAGCGGCAGGGAGTACAAGAAAGGGAAATTCGAGTTGCACGTTTAGCAACAGTGCGTTGTGTCTCAGACATTAGACCGACGGAAGAGTGTAGAAGAGAGTTCAGCTGTCAGTCCCGGGCGGGTAATCGCAGAGATTAGTCACGGGTTGCCACCGGGGGCTCCGGGGCCCAACACCGCACTCTTTGAGCCCTGGAGCACCCCGGGACTGCAGCTGTATCACGCTGTAACCTGATTATTGCTGTCTGGAAATAAATTGAATTACGATGATGGTCTTTGCCAAGTGGCTGAAATTCCGTTTCACATTCAGTCGTAAAAAAGGGACTATTTCATGCAACATATCTGACCGTTTGGCACATTTCAACTCAACACACTCTTCTTCAACCACACATGGGCTTCTTCGTATATCCACTCCGCTTTCGTTTTGGGCGAGTGGGAAGTCGGCTCGGTATGTGTGAATCCGTGTGAGCAGCCCGTGGCGAGAGTCCATTTGTACTTCCCACACTCGAAATCTTGCTCGGAATCACTGGGCTCATCGCTTTCCGCCAACCGATGGATCATCTCTTGGGCTTCGACTCTGAGCAGATCCCATTGCGCCCCAATACAGTACACCCACGGTGGCAGATCCTCCTTTTTCGCGTAATACGGACTCAACAACGGATGGCGTCGATTTTGCCCCGGGGAAATGAATCCCCAGTCAATCCACCATGACGGCATCTCGAGGTTATCTTTGGGTCCGTTGATATACGGCCGAGCTTCCAGTTTTTCATTGGTCAAGGCACCGAAATCCACAACGGGATAGTACACAATAGCGGCCTTCACAACACCCTTGAGACCTGGTAGCTGCGACGCCGACAAGACCAACTGACCACCGGCGCTGAATCCACCCATCGATACCCGGTTCCGGTCAATGGGCAAGGTTTCATCGGCCAAAACGGCGAGCGCGACAGCATGGATATCCGTGGTAGCGATAGGAAACGGATGCCAAGGGGCTTTTCGATAGTTCAGGCTCACGACCAGCATCCCCGTCCGCTCGGCCCAGGAGGAACAAAAGGGATCATCAGTCCGGGCGTCGCAGACAGCGAACCCGCCGCCGTGGATATCGAAATACAGCGGAAGACGCTTTCCGGGCTCATAATTCGATGGAAAAAAGATTCGGCATCCCAGGCGCGGTCGGCAGGGATAACTCTTGACCCATGTTGGCCGAGTTGTAATTGGAGGAGGCTTGAAGAATTCAACCAAAGGAAAAATCACACTGGCAGCCAACTTGAACAGCCAAAGACAAAGGAAACAACCAAGACGATGTCCAACTGAGAAGTTGGATTTTGGTAGAGGGGGCGCGATCATGATGGCCCCTGATTTCGTCTACTGTATAATGACGGCTCGCAAGAAGTATCGGCCCTTGACGGGGATCCTGCTTTAATAACTTAAACAGAATGGAGCCACTACGGAGTCCTGCATGTTCTCCAGGACAGCAATTGAAACCCCCACCAGAACGGTATTACTTGGGGTAGACTTCGGATGATCTGATCCATAATGGCGCACGAATGTTCTCGCGATCGTCGGCGTCGTCAGATTGCACTATTTATTATTGTGGAGCCCATCTCGAGATCGCATTTGATCCAATGGCATACAGAATCGTGGGTCGCCAACTGAATCAAGTCAGTTTCGGGGGCCACACAGCAGTGGCACTGTACTCCGCACTGAGCAAACACCTCCACTCGGACGGGAAAAAGCAATGCTCAACACAGGTTTCCCGCATCTCCCCTGATCGACATGGAAATATCGCTTAGACCCGATCAGAATCGCGGGACCCACCAACTGTGACTACGTCACTTTGCCAATTCTCGAACGCGCGAGTGCGCAGCCTCAGAGCGAACATCCGGTCTATCTCCATCGGTGTCCGATCTTTCATCTCGGGAACAAATAACCAGACCAGAGCGAACCCGACCGTGGCAATTCCCATCATCACGAAACCCGTCTTGGCGCGCAGGTTTCCCTTATCGGGGTTATAGATGTACGGCAGAACGATGGCGAAGACTCCGGTGCTAACACCGGCACTGAACCAGCCAACGGCCAGTGTTTGAGACCGAAGTTTCAAAGAGGAAGTCTCACTGGAGATGACCTGGGACGCTGGCCACGAACCCAGGCCTGAAACTGTAATCACAGCCATCATCGTGACTCCTGAATACCTGAGCGATAGTTAGCGCTATGCTGCTCGAGTCCTCATCAGAGCAGGTCATCTTACCAAATTGTGACGATTCCGTCGAAGATACCTGCGATTCCCATGCCTAGCCAAAGGACCGCGACGATACCCAAGGTAGAGAGAGTCAAGAACCTCCGACCAAAGACATTCAGCGTCCATATGCTAGTGACATTCGCCACCAACCCGAGTGCAACGCCCATCATCAATGTCATCAAGCTGTTGGATGCATTCATCCCCACAATCTGAATGAAATAAGAGCTATGAGCCAAGAGCTGCAATCCAAACAATTGGGGAATTAATTGTGCAAAAGCAACAATGAAAGTGCGCCTTCGGTTCACTCCTCGGAAACAATCAATATACGCGTTCTCTTTTTCTTCACCCTCGGCAATGATCGAAGCCTGCAAAACTGCTAAGACCGCGACAGAGTCCACGGGCGCGACATCGAGCCTTTTTTGAGCTTTCAGCGCTTCCTGGGGTCGGGCCTGTCGCAAAAGCCAGGTAGGACTCTCGGGCAAAAAGGCCGCTAGGATGAGCGGAACGGCGGAGAATGCCCATTGCGAGGCGATGCAAATTCGATATGACTGGGAGCCTGTGTACTTGAGCGAGGTGTAGCACACAACAGACCCAATCAGCTGTCCGAGAAGTGTGAAGATTGGATAGAAGGCAATGATCGGTCCTCGAAGAACAGGAGGTAAGACTTCAGACATGTATGTTTGTGAGATATTCAACAGAGTTCCAATACAGGCGCCCTGGAATAGCTTTCCGGCAAAGAAGACGCCACGGCGGCTTTCAATGTCGTCTGGTAGATCGGAAACGTAACATATGGCGACTGCGATGGCTGAAAGAAAGCTGCCAAGGGCCAGTGCGAGTCTGCGTCCGTATCGCTCCTGGAAATAGCCACCGAAGATGGATCCAAACATCAGACCGATACAGCCGGAGACATTGAAAAGAGACAGCCACATTGATGGAATAATGTACATTTCATTGTACCTTTCACCGAAGTTCACTCTGTCAATTGTCAGCAGGTATAAAATGATTGTCTCATGAGACACATTGTCAAAAGTACGTACAGAAACTGTGGCATTGCAGCCACCGTTCCGACAATCACGAGGTCATAGCCGTACAAGAGAATGGCGGAGCTCAAAGCAAAGCAATATCCGATAATTCGGGGCGCCCTCTTCATCGATTGCCATAATGAGGAATGTCTGTTCTCTGTGCTGCCCGAATCTACAGAAGAGATATTTTGACCAAACTCCTTGGAGTTGGTGTATGAGTCCATGATCGTATTGAGTGGATGTGAATCAAAGCACGAACAGGTGTTCAAAGGCTCTTGGTTCACGGGAGATGGCTTGTAGATAAAGGAAACCTGGAGTCGGGGCTCTCTTGGCAAAGGTCGTATTCCATGGGTGGCGGTTGAAGCAGGGTGGTGGTCCCAAGTGACTGGGGTGAAGACAAAGAAATGCACATCCTCGGGAGTCCTTCAAACGCAAGGACCCACCCAGATCTCATGGGTAGGATTGAAATTGAGGAATCAGCTCATATTAAAGTACTGTAGCATTCTCCTTAGCCAATGCGTGTTTGTGCTCAGCTGTGGGTAGGCGACATGTGTGACAACCAACGGGGACAGACGAGCTCATTTGAAATATTTCTCGGGAACCTTGGAATAGACTCTCTGGCACTTCCAGCCAGTGTGCGTGCTTTGGGCAGGGATGGCCGAGAATTCAGAGTTTAGTCTAACTACATTCCCTGTCGGGTCCAGTAGATACCTAGTAACCACGAGGGTGTGCAGTTGGTTCAGAGGTTCGAGGTTGTGCTGTACCGAGCGAGACACGCGCCATGGCTTCATTGATGGGACATGCGAAGATTCTGTGACATACATCCTAGGCCTATATATCGTTGCACTATCAATATCATCCCACGCAGTTCAATTCTCAAGTCTGAGCATGACTCGTTGAGATGTAGAGTCGACGGATTTCAAAGTATTCAACCTAATCGGAAGCTGTGACTAATTGAAGGTGATTACCAGCGAAATCGAGGGATTGAAGTCGTTTGTCTCGCTGCTGCGGTGGATCTACGCGTAGATTGAAAGACCATAAAGCAGCCTTGGAACCTTGTAAGCTTCATTGGGTGTGAGTCTTAGCGGCCTAGCCCCTAATAGCTTGGTCGACCATCTAAGCGGAATGGTCACCAAGTCGATGTATTCGGAAGGAGGCTAATCAAAAACGGGTATTCCACCCCCTAGTGTGATCCTGACGACCGAAATTCGGGACTGTTGAGGTGTCTGTGTAGCCTCGAGGATTTCGGGTTATGCAAGGAAATGCATTGGGATGTCTTGGGGACCGATAGATTGCACAAGTTTGCTTGTGCATGCAGCCCTGGAGAAAGAAAATCAGGGACAGTTCGATTTCCATGACTGTGTTCTAGACCTGTAGGGGTATGTGGTACTCCCCCGAGCTTCGTGCTCCGCTAGATTCATATTTCTTATTCGTCTCTGAAAGCCTCCAACATATCGCTCAAGGGAACGAGTGGGCAAGCGGTAGTACCGCGCTCCAGGGCTCAGTAGAAGAGTTTCATATTTGCTAATTCTAACTGCCTTTGGAATGATCTCTGAGGTCCCTCATCTCGAGTCTATGAGCCCCGGAACATGCCCCCTTTCGCTCTTCCAAGTATTCCAGATGCTTTTTCGTTTGTTCAATTTCATTTTGCAGCTCGGTCGATGATGCAATCTTGTACTTCAGCGTGAGGATACCGGCCGATATCACTAGCAAAGCAATCGATACAAGATAGGCCCACTGCCCAACCTGTCGCGGACTCTCCTGGGAAGGCCCGTCATTGTAGATCTGAAATTCAATCCACGCAACAAATGCAACGATGGTGAACGGGCTCACTATCATGCTGAATACGATACCAAAAAGGATCACAGCATCAACAGATATATGCAAGAAGGCCTTGAGGAAACGGCGAGTAAAGATGGGCCGAAGAAAAGTCAAACAAGATCTCTTTTCGGTGTTCGCTGTCCTGCCTTCCTCAAGCGAGTCTTGGCCAGGGGAAGGAGACGACATCGCCATTTGTATCTCCTCCTTGAACCCTTTCCATATGTTCCTTCGATCCTTCCAAAGGACGACAATCTGAGCGGACGGGATCCGGGATCGATATGGAAGGAACCGGTATGTCAATAGCAGGCAGTTGAGTATAAGACACAGGATTATCAGGCTGTAGATGTAGCGCTTGGAGTACAAAACATTCCTCCAGAAGCCACGCGAGGCGGGGAGATCAGTGTCGTCAGTCGCTGTGACGGCATGTAAGGAAGTAGCTTGTCGGAGAATCTGGGAGGTATTGAAGCAAGGATTGAAGCAGATGTCGCCCAGTTGATTCCACTGGGAGACATTAGAGAATGTGTTCCACACGCTTGTATTCCATGTAGAGGTTCTCCACGAGGCCTGCCAGCCGTCATTGGAGCTATCACCGACAGGGGGGTAATCGGGATAACAGAACATGTACTGAATAGGCAGCTTCGGTGTTCGTGCCGAATAGACGAGCGCACATATCGAGCCCGCCAGCATGAGGGCGTTCCAGACGTAGAACAGCAGATTTCGCGCCCGGTCGTGTGTCAAGATGCGAGACCAACATTGTAACGGTAGGAAAACTAGATATCCAGTGACAACAATAGCCATGACGGCATCTGCGTCGAGCTCAAGGGAGGCCGGAGAGACCTGGATACTATTCGTCTCGGTGACAATGGAGGGGAATTCTTTGATCAGGCTGGTGTTGGCTGAAATCCATGGGATGGCGACAGGTCCTGGGTCCTGGGGCTTTTGGAAGCTGGAAACCATGATAAATGTTTGAATTGCTGCAGTACCGGCATAAGTCGCTGCGGCGCCGAGGAAGACATCTGCAAGCCATCCGGTCCATCGTGTTATACAACTTGCAATCAATAGTGCGTAGAATAGATATCGTGGACATGAGTTGTAGATCGTGGATATAGGATAGTAGCACAGGGCTTCACTGACCACGAACAGCGGGGCGCCCGCGGCGTTATCCATATCTCGGAGAATTATCAAAGAGAGGGAAGATGCAAACGGCTTGAAGTTCCATTACCAGATCAGTTTCTCTTTTCTCTTCTGGCCACTTCAGTCCAGTGGTGACGTCATTCAGCCAGAAGTCAACGATCTCTCCAGGGCTGGAGGTATATCAAGGCTCTTGTACTTTACATAGTATATAGAGTACTCAGAGTAGAAGAAGAAATCGCCTGAAACCTTTGAAATATGTGACTGCCTATTGGGATTGTTGCTGCCTGACCCACTTCACTGAAGTCTGGACGTGAACATTCTGCAACTTCGAAGTCAGTTGGATTTACTGTGATTGTCAGATAATCCTACGTACATTCAAATCTCAATTCTATAAGAACAAAAAATATTGACAATTAAAGCGCATGGCTCACAACATATCTAGATATACTCATACCCGTGATCTATTTCCTCCTCTCGTTGATTTCATCGACAATGAACATGACCAGTCTCGTGATGGGACCACCACTTCGTTTCGGGCGCTGGCTTCGTTGCTTTGGGAGGACCTGTGATTGACTGGCTCCACTCTCCAGCTCAATTTGACTGCTGGGCTGTGCATCCTCCAAGCTAGGTCGCACCTGCAGTGTAAGACCTACCCCCAAGCATACAAACACAATGACAATCTCTTCCAGGACAGACATGACCAATTGGATGGTGACATTACCAGACAGCATGTTGAAGCTCGCCAGGTGGCCGAAGGCATAAACGAAGGAGTACACCAGGCGCACAAGGATTAGTGGAAGAGAAATCGCCACCGCCAGAAGTAAACGATGCTCTCCTTGTTCGATGCGGTGAGATTGATTTGCTATCAGAACCAATATACCGCAAACAGCCAACCAGGTGACGAGGAACAAGACGAGCGCGACTTTCGTCTCGGTGGTGATCAGGCCGTGGGTGATGTCGGAATTCTGAGTTGCGCCCACGATGCTCAGGATCAGACCGACAAGTGAGACCAGCACAACGAATCGGAAGACGATTTGATTGATAGAGTCTCCTGTTTTTCTCATGATGGAGTCGTTCCTAGAGATTGGTCAATTGCAGTCCGACAACGATGGTAAGACAAAGAACTCACGCTCGAGACAAAAGACCAAGACAACCCAATATAAGGGGCGATAAGCCCAGTGACGTGCAAACTGCCCACGCAATGTATAATCCGACATTGGATGGGGCTGCGATTGTTGCCAGGTAGCAGGCTGCGCCGACGATGCGAGCCAGAGAGAAGACAACAAAGAAGTACCAGCCTGAGCTCTTCGTGAAGCCGTGATGGAATGCCATCCAAAGAGCAACAAATAGTGTTGGCGAGTAGATGATTATTTCCAGGATCGAGATCCCATGTCGATAATCAATAGCCATGATGGAAAAGGTATTCGAGAAGTCTCAATGTACAGATGAGATAGTAGTGTTACTAGTGTATGCTCGATTCCGATGCTGGGAGGTCAGGTATTTAACCATTTTGACCTGCTGTTCAGCTCGCGATGCTGTCTCTATACGGTAGATTTTTGTGGCAGTGCTTATGTGCAGTCGAGAATCCATACTAGAAGCTTGTGGATCTATACATCCCTCTTGCAGCATGGCTAAGCTTCGCAGTGCTCACCTTAATTGGGTTTAGCGCAGTGTGCCCGCTCCCAGCATACCCAATCGGGACTAGTCTGTCAGCCACAGTGCAGAGTCTGACTGTGTCCAGCAACAGAGCTAAACATCTCATTGTTCCAGGGGACATTGCCCCGTCTCTCCACAAGGACCTCTGGCATCTCGTATGATTGGATATGCGAATCCTGGCGCAAATCGAGACGGCCTGCCCGGGTCACGCTTAATAGCTCACCCTTCGCAATGTTGTCTCTTTTTGGCATCAAATTTCAATAATCCAGAGAGGATCATTTAGCTCTTCTGGCCAGAGCCCTGAGAACCAGGAAAGAGGAGGAGAGACAATCTTGGAAAGAGAAAGCAAACTTCGCCCTGGGCTTGAACTTGACCCCGGGACTTGGCAGCAGTTTTATACTTCGTAGAAGAATCTTCAAAACATCTAGAATCTAGCGCAGAGTACCAAATTCCTCGATCACCATTTCAATTTTTATCAAAGATACAATGTCTTTCTATATTTTTGTTGCAAACAATCGGGGATATTTTCGCGCTCAAGCGCACATGTTACTACCTAGTATTGTTGTTTCATCCAAAGTGAAGATATGTACGCACCGCCAGCGACTTGGTCCTTCATCAAGCCTTTATGGTCTAGTTGGTTATGACGTCGGTCTCATACCTTTCAGTATATGACATTCCTGGTAACAGGATTGATATCCGAAGGTCTCCAGTTCGAACCTGGATAAGGGCATTTCTTTTTGTTTTTTGCCTCTCTAATTCTTACCTAGTTACTACCTACAGCCCCAATTCAACAGGGAATATCATGGAACTGTTTCAAGGTTGCTTTTGTCCTAATTTTCTTCTCTACGGATGGCCCGTCGTTAGAAAACTTCGTATTCGGGTTCGTGGATGAAAATTGTGGTTATATATGTTAGACACCTCCCGAGTCTGAAGATAGGGCACATGAAAGCCAAGGGGTTGTGTTGTTGGCTGGGAGTTTGAAGAAACCTTGGAAATCCCGCGGCCAGAGTCACAAATATACATCCGGGCTGCCGAGGTCGACAAATTAAACAGGCCAACGTTAGAACATACGAGGAAGACACAAAACTAGAATGAGCCTTGCAACTGGTAACTCAACTTTGGTGAGCGTTTCGCAGTCCGAACCCGAGATCAGTTCTTTGGATTGATAACGGCTGAAGGTCGGCAAATTGTCGATATGCATTGGTCCTTTCCCAAGTAGGGCGATCGCCCCGTCCTGCTTCTTGTTTGAGTGAATTCCCCGAACGCGACGTCCCATCCCCGTATTCTTCACGTTTATCGTATTCCCATCGTATAACACTTCCGAGGTCATGGCCTCTACAAATATACTCCACGTGGTGGAAAGGAGAGACCGATTGCCTGTATTTAAAGGGGGCTGTTTTCGCTGAAGCTAACCTGGAGATCCTGTCCAGATATCTTGTCATGTTGTATTTCGCCCTGAGTTTAGGGGTTCTCCTTGGTCCTCTTGGCTGTTATGCCAGCGCAGGCCCATCGGCCTGTTCAAACATCACATCGCTGCTAGGATCACCAAAGGTCAACAGCCACAAACTGAGCTTGAAGTACCACAAAAGCACTGAATACTGGAGCACACCCCAAGATGCGTACAAGCCATCTTGTATTGTCTATCCTGAATCGGCCCACGATGTCTCGGTAGCTCTGCGAGCTATTCGAGCAGCCGACAGTCGATTCGCAGTCAAAGGTGGAGGGCACAACCCGAATACCTTCTTTTCAAGCGTGGATCAAGGTGTCTTGATCGACCTCAGCAGCCTTTCTGAGAAATCCTACGATCCAGACACAATGCTAGCCACTTACCAGCCAGGTGGTGTGTTTGGCGATATCTACGACTATTTCATCAAATACAACCGCACTGTTGTTGGTGCCCGTCTGTCTGGTGTGGGAACCGGATTGGCCTTGGGTGGCGGCATGAGTTACTTGTCTCCCCAATATGGCATGGCATGCGATTCATTCCGAGAGCTGGAAATTGTTCTCCCGGACGGTCAGATCGTGACTGCATCCAACACCACCAACCCCGATCTCTTTTTCGCGTCTCGCGGCGGTGGTGGAAATGCCTACGGCGTGGTGACGAAGTACACCGTTCAAAGTCGTCCTGCAGGCCAATTCTTCGCTGGAATCCGCATCCACGCCTTTCCCCACAAAGACACCATCATCGAAGCCATTGGGAACTTCATCCGTTACAACACTGATCCGAAGGCAAGCATCATCGGCACCTACGAGAAGCTTCCCACCCCAGACTTGAATCTGAATATAGATGAGGCAATCATCATGTTCCTTGTCTACGACGGACCTGATCCCGGGAACGCATTTGCAAACTTCACCAGCGTCCCTCATCTGATCGACACAACCGGCATCAAGACATACCCCGAAGTAGCGGACATGCCAGTCTCGTTTGCGACAGAGGCATCGCGAGGAAACAACATGTTCAGAGTCGGCGTTCACCGCGCCGATAACGACGAGTACAAACACGCCCTTGAAGTATGGCGCAAATGGGCCGAGTCGAACAAGGGCAAATACTCGCTTCTTTCGCTGGACTTTCAACCTGTTCCAAAAAGCTTGACAGATGCCAGCAAGGCACAAGGTGGAAATGCCATGCAAATGCCTGATGGTCCGTGGTTTTGGCTGAATTACTTACTCACCACGCCCCCTGGAATGAGTAAGTCCGATTACAATGCCATTCAGGCCAGCTTCCGTGACATGGTGTCGTCGACGAGCAATGCCGAGGGCCTTCCGCTTTTCATCAACGATGCAAACCGTGACCAACATCCGCTCTCGACATTTTCTACATACGAGAAACTTCAAGAGATCAAGAAGAGATATGATCCTGACAACTTCTTTGCTAATAAGACTGGCGGGTGGTCCTTCGACTAGGAATAGAGAATGCAATGTGGAATAGTGTCGAGGCAATGAGAACCAATTTTATCGTGTAAAACTCTGTTCTCACTGTCTAGTACATCAAAACGAAGGTCCTGAGGTTTAACATCCACATGCAACTTCAGCAGAGATAAGTAAGAAAAATGGGCGATCTCTCTCAACTCTCCACTCAGGCCGACCTTGTATATCCTCCTCTGAGGGAGACCAGTCTTTCAACCCAGTCAGGACAAATCCGCTATCTAGAAGAGCCATGACATACGTCTCGACACTCCGGTGATACTTTCTGACGCCATTGGTACCAAGCCAGTTCGTCAAGCGCAGACCTTCATCGCCGTAAGAATTCAAAGGCCATACTGTACGATTCTCGTCATTCTCCTGGACCACCTTCCACTCTGGTCCAGGCAGGATGGGTGCAGTACAGACTGGATGTTCAATGGAGAAGACAAAACTTCCCGCTCTATTGTGCACGCTGGGCTTTTTCAAACATGCGTGGATCTCACGAAAAAGGCGCCGGATGTCCTCAATGTAATGAAATGTCAAGGAGCTGTAGACCATATCATATGCCTCCCTGGTTGATATATCGCTAAGTGTGAGGGTCTCCAAGTCGTCGACTTCGAGTGAGATTTCTCCCGTCGATCGTGCAGAGTCGCGTTTGCCACAGGGCTTGCTTGCGTTCTCTGTTTCAGTTTTCTGTGCCCGGTCTATCATATTTCGAGAGATGTCGATTCCTTTGATGTGAGAGGCGCCATTTTCAATGGCCCAGCGAACGAACCAGCCGTAGCCGCATCCTAAGTCTAGGATATGTTGTCCATTTAATGGCTTGTCTGTCTCGGTGGACTGCTTCGATTTGAGTATCATTTCCCTCAACACTGGCCACTCTGGTGCCGCGGAAAGGCCATGTTGAGAGCGAGGAAGGGTTCCGTATGCTGCAAAAAACTGGGAATCATCGTAAATGTTTTGTGATATAATAGGCATAATGGATGGAAAAACGAGAAGAGGTTCGATGAAAGGATGATGGGATCGACAGCTTGAAAAAAGTGCACTTCACTTCTCCCGAGATCGTGAGTGAGTGAGAAGAAAGACAAAACTTCATTTCTTAAAAGCTCGTCCCTGAACCATAAGGGTTACGATTTAGACCGTGGAATCTATGAGCGGGTGAACCCGATTTTGCCTGAATGGGTCCCCGCCTGTATGGCGGGTTGAATATATCTTCCGATCACTGTAAATTCTAACAAAAAAATCTAGTTCGTGTTTTTCATCCCAAGATATTTCTTCGAGGAGCTCCACACACCCTTCGCACCTATTGTTATATCCTGGCGTCCATCGTAGAGAGGGTAGATCACGACCGCAGCAAATGCAGCAAATTGCCAAATGATGGCAACTGTGACCCAGCCCGCAAAGAAGGATCTTGTGAATATATAGTCTCGGTACAGGGGAAGTGGCCAGGCGACGAAAGTGACAAGCACAACTCCAACGAACATGTACCAAGCGATCTTCAGCCACCTGTGCAGTTCTTTCAGAGTATCGTCATCAAATGGATGACGAATATCATCGAGACTCAGATCGATTGCACGAGTAGCTGAAGCTGGGATTGCCAATTCGCTGTTTTCGGGGATCTTTTCAGGATCATTTCCAGTAACTTCGGACGCAATGTTAACTGAATTGACTGAGCCAGTGATGGCTTTAGGATTGTCGGATTTGCCATCCTCGCTGCCTTCATTCAGAGTACTCGTGTCTGAGGCTGGGTGAATCTCTGCTTCATCAGCCAACTCGATGCGCAAGAATTCTCTCCAATCAAACTTGTACGGTTTGTAGAGTGAGAGGACGACGGAATATATGGCTGGCGAGAAGAAAGATGCAATTGCAGCATACAAGGCCGGATAGTTGTTGGTAGTGGTCGTGATGTTGATGTGACCATACATCGACTGAGTAGTAGCCAGCCAGACGGCGAGTCCCGTGAAAAAGCCAAGTATCGGGGAGACAATGGCGGCCAGTCGGGTTTGCCGAGACCAGAACAAAGTAAAGATCAGAGGTAGGATTCCTGGGCAGGAGATGATGGGTCGGAGATACCCAATCCATGTCATGTTGGCGCCGCCGTAGTTCAAAGCGATGGAAATCCCGGTAATGAAAACCCCATGAATGATCACTGTCAAATGACTGACCCGTACTAGTTGTTTGTCTGTGACTTTGGGGTTCATGTAGGTCTTGTAGATGTCGTAAGACAAGATACTGCTGACGGCGATCATCGACGAGGAAATTGTGGATGTCAATGCCATGAAGAGAAGGAAGAAGAATCCGATGATGCCCTTGTCTCCAATGAGCGCCTTGATAACGTACGGCATGACCATTCCCGAGCTGACCTCGGTGGCAGTGAGTGTCCCAGGATAGGTCGGGAAGATAGGAGTCTGGTGAATGGCGCGTGCTGTCAAACCGATGACGGTTCCTAGACCCCAGGGAATGCCAAATACGGCCAACGCGGCAATATTGTAGCCTGGAACTGTAGCTTTGACTTCCGTCGCAAAGGACTTCTGCCAGAATGCAGTATCCTGTTCAAGGCCTGTTAGCATCGGAGTACCATTGCATCGATTCCCCGTTAGGTTCATGATTGATGGATGTACTTACCATGACAACAAGAGCCAAGTTACCAAACTTGAGAATCAGTCCCCAGATAATCGCGCCCTTCGACTTGAACGTCAGGAGCGACCCTTGATAGTTTTCAGGAATATAATTGTCTGCAGCTGTTGCGACGACCTTGTCATATAAGCCACCCAATCCTCCAACGTGCGAGTCTGTCAGAACAGCAATGGTGAAATAGATGATCAGGATGAGCGCGATGGCCGTGTGCAAGAAATCCGTCAGGAATGTGGCCTTCAGGCCGCCAACGGCTGTGTAGAGAACCACTGAAGATGTCAGCTATATAATTCCAGTCTGCTTGATCAAGTCTTGCTCACCTCCCAGTGGAATCAGAATAGTGGCTGCAACATAATGCATGTTGGAAATGCCGTGGATCAGCTGCGAGCCGGTCATGATCATTGAGGCACAACCAAAAACATTGTTCACAAGGTTGAGCACTATGAAGATCAGATGTCCGATCTTGCCATAGCGCATGCGCACCACCTCGAGGGAAGTATGGGCGTATGGAACTCGGATCTTGGCCATCACACCAAGTGCTGCCATTAAGGCAATCTGGAAACACAGGCCAGAACCCCACCACTGGTCCAGATTAACTTAGGGAACTCAAGACTGTTGAATGAAACATACCAGAGGTACAGCCAGGCCGTACCGATAGCACATGCTAGCACACAGCACAGTTTCGTTGATCCACATCCAAGATGAGAACACAGCACTGGCTGTTAATCCTCGACCAACCGTTCTGTTTGCGACCATGAACATCTCCGACTTTCCCGAGTCCTCAGCTAAATGAGCTTTTTGGACCTTTACGGCGAGGAGAATCACACCGCAAAATACAACACTCAAGCCAATGAGCATCCCGTAGGCCTCCCCTTGGGAGATCAAGGCCAGCTTGGCCGTGTCTATTGTATCCGCCATGGTGACTGGGCAAAAAAAGACAAGCAAAGCCAAGTTGAAATAAGCAGGGCTGAGAGATATTTATTGACTGCAGGGACCATGTCAAACCAAAATGCCCAGCCTGCATAGGTGCATTTTGAGCCAATCGTCATGCCGTGGAGCATTTTGCAGCGATCAAAGTTGCCATGTCGCGTTGACAATATCCGCAATGGCGTTATAGCGGCATAAGATCGGCTCCACGGTCCAGGCGAAAGGAGAGGGTGCTTCGAATCAGCTTGAGTCGAGGGAAATCCGATGCCAAGGATGTGGTGAACGTGGGGGGAAATTGCGTGCCTCCACAGGCTGATGGTGTCAAATACTCGCGTTATCACGAGTCTTGGAGCGCTTCGCTATCAATTTCTGTCGGCCGATACAAAGATAAACTCACTGAGAGGTCAGTCAAACGCCCCAGGTCAATCTTGGAATGTACAAATGGGGGTTCTGAGGTCGAACCACTGACCTGACTCGACGGTCCAGGATTTTGAGAATTTTTACAATGGCACCAGGAGATTGAGCGCCCTTTTTTTCTGACGCTCTCGAACTATCGAATATTCGCGAGGGTTGCAACTTGCTCAAGGAAATCGATCCCGGCGATGGCAGGCATCCTAATCTGGAGCTCGATTCCAATTCTCTGGTGAAATACTTGGGAAACAACTTGGATGGACTGTGCGATAGAACGAGCGAAAGAGAAGTGAAAAAGAAGAAGTCCTGAGTAACTCCTACCATCAGTCACTCAGTTGGTTTATACATGCAGGGTACCTAGTAACGTCCATGGGTACTTCCAAGGTTCCTTTGGAGAAGTTCGCGTTAAGTGCACATGCGGGCTATCGGATTCATTCTTTCGCACCTTTTGAAGACGCATTCAATGCCCATCGTCCAGACGAAATGGTGAAACTTTCACGCGATGCGGCTATACGAAGCTCATGGCATGGGGGTTGCAGTCTTCCAAATTCCATAACGCCAACGGATCAAGCTGTTTCTTCAATTAACTTTCTTCTTCTTCTCTTCTTCTTTTTGGACCTTGTGGAGTAGAAAGCCAAGGCATTAATTGCAATTATTGTAACGCCCTTCAAAAAGGACGACTTGTGTACGCAGTACATGTGTACTCGATTTCGTGATTTCAGATGTATTCAAGCAATGAAATTGTCCCGATGAAAGCAACCCTCAAAAAGCGCATAGAAGAATCAAACAGTGGAAGTATTCTATACAGAATGGTGCGAATTTCGCGATATACTGTAGATATTCAGGGCTTCTAAGTGCAAGCACCTCTTCGGATACGAGGGGCCGATCGCAATCCGATCCACCAATTTCGCCATCACCGTTATTACCTTGCCAGGTAATACTAGCGGAGATTGGCCAAGATCGCGACATACCTGCCAAACCGTTAGTATAGTTCCAAGGTTGTACTTATACTTGCATCCCCCGGGTGTGCAGCATATCAACAATCTCTAGCACAAATACCACACACAAAGACAACATGGGCGACACAGCAGTTCAAACAGGCAAGAAGCAAATCATACTCAATGCATTCGTGATGAACACCCCAGGTCACTTGGCCCCCGGGCTGTGGAAACACCCTAGAAACAAAACGGATCAGTACAAGAAGCTTTCATTCTGGACTGATCTGGCCCAATTGCTCGACCAAGCCGGGTTCCACGCAATGTTCATTGCAGACACTCTAGGTGCATATGATGTATATAAAGGCCCCGCGAACGTGGTGCCTACATTGTCATCAGGGGCCCAATTCCCCGTCAATGACCCACTATACCTTGTCCCTGCCTTGTCGGCTGTCACGAAGAATCTCATATTTGGAGTGACCGCGAGTCTGACTTATGAGAAGCCTTACGCATTGGCACGGCGGCTGTCGACAGTGGACCATCTTAGCGAGGGACGAGTGGCGTGGAACATTGTCACTTCCTATTTGGATAGTGCAGCCCGAAACCACGGGCTGAACGAGCAAATCGAGCATGACGAGCGATATGCGATCGCGGATGAGTACCTCGAGGTTCTCTACAAGCTTTGGGAAGGGAGTTTCCGTGATGACTCGGTACTAGCTGATCGGCAGCTTGGGACATACATTGCCAGCGATGGTGTACGCGAGATCAATCACAAGGGAAAATATTTCGAGGTTCCAGGTCCTCATTTCTGCGAGCCGTCGCCGCAACGCACGCCATTCTTATTCCAGGCCGGTGTCTCTGAGGCAGGGAACAAGTTTGGCGGGGCCAATGGAGAGGCCATTTTCATCGGCGGGCAGACCCCTGAGGCCACCCGTGTCACTGTCGACAATATTCGGGGTATAGCCAAGGCAGCAGGTCGTGATCCGAATCACATCAAGGTGATTGTGGGGATCAACGTGATTGTCGCAGCAACAGATGAGGAAGCATATGCCAAACGGGAAGATTATCTGCAATATGCCGACGATGAAGGTGCTCTCGCTCTCTTCGGAGGCTGGACTGGAATCGATCTTTCAACCTACTCCGATGATGAAGACTTCCGATTCAGCGACTCCCCCCGGGTGCAGTCTGTCGTGCGAAGATTTTCGGCCACCGTCCCTGGCACGGATAATCTACCCTGGACCAAGCGCAGGATCGTGGAGTACATCAGTGTTGGTGGACTTCAAGCCAAAATCGTCGGCAGCACGAAGACGGTGGCGGATGAGTTGGAGAGATGGGTCGAGGTCTCAGACGTGGATGGGTTCAACCTTGCTCACATTGTGAATCCTGGAACTTTCGAGGACATCATCGAGTTCTTGCTACCTGAGTTGCGGCACAGGGGGTTATTCCGGGAAACGGTTGAGAAGGAGGGTGCCACAGCTCGCGAAGTCTTCATTGGCTCCCGACGTCTACCTGAAGATCATCCCGGTAGCAAGTATAAGTGGCGAGCTGGCGAAAGTATCCCCAAGTATCAGTTTGAAGATAACCAAAGCTCATAATATCAACTTGCCACTTTCACGCTCAGGACCCACTGTAATCCGAAGGCATCCGGGGATACCGGGGATAACTTGACAGCAGAACATGAAGGAAGTGATCGGCCTGGATTTTGTATTTGTAACTGCTCCACTTCCGGTTTGTGCTATGCATTATAAATCAGAGTGGGACACTGGGCATACTTAGCTTCTAGCTTCCAGACATAAAACCGCAAACCACTGTCCACCTTCCTCTCATCAAAATCTCATCCACAATGAAAGAAGCCGTCATCGACAAGTCCGTCTCCGTCCACATTCGGGATGTGGACATTCCCACTCCTCAGCCAGGCCAGGTTCTCATTAAGGTCGTCGTCTCTGGCACCAACCCCAAGGATTGGAAATTGCCGAAATGGCGGCCAGCCGACCCCATGAACCAAGGAGATGATATCGCAGGATATGTCACCGAGGTTGGTGAAGGGGTTCAGAAGTTCCGCAAGGGTGACAAGGTCGCCGCGTTCCATGAGATGATGAGCCCACACGGCAGTTATGCCGAATACGCCATTGCGTGGGAGCACACAACCTTCCATCTGAACGAGAAGACTACATTCGAAGGCATGTTCAATCCCCCAATCAAAGAGGCACCGTAGCTGACCCGACCAAGAGGCCGCCACGATTCCCCTGGCAGCAATGACCGCCGCACTGGGCTTGTACCAAGAGTTGAAATTGCCTCTTCCGTGGAGTCCAGCGGACAAGCCAACGCCGTTAGTGGTGTATGGTGGTGCGACAGCAGTCGGTGCCTTTGCAATCAAGTTTGCCCAGCTGTCGAACATCCACCCGATCATTGCGGTGGCAGGAAAAGGTGCACCATTTGTTGAAACTCTCATCAGCAGAGAAAAGGGCGACACGATCGTCGATTACCGCGAAGGCGATGATGCCGTGCGCTCCAAGATCAAAGCCGCTGCCCAAGGGCCCGTCCACCACGCTTACGACGCGGTCTCGGAGAAGGGAAGCTATGTGAACCTTGGCGCGGCTCTGGATGCTCCTGGTCGCATCACCGTTGTCCTACCCGCCGAGGATCAAGTTCCCGAGGGTATCTCGATCCACCGCACTATGGTCGGAACGGTGCATATGCCGCCTGCCGAAGGCCAAAAGTTGGGAGACAAGGAGTTCGGAGCTGCCTTCTTCCAGTTCATCGGAAGGGGACTGGCACAGGGCTGGTTCTCGGGACACCCGTCAGAAGTGAGGAAGGGGGGACTTGGAGGTCTAGAGGGAGCTTTGAAAGACCTGGAAGCCGGAAAAGCATCGGCAGTGAAGTATGTGGTGCGCATCGCAGACACCGAAGGAGCTCAGTAGTAAATGCAAGTCCAGATCGGGAAGTATAGATCGGGATGACATCATAAATAAGCTGTATTCACGCGTCGCGCAAATTTTCCAATTTCTCACTTTCTCACTCTCAATGCAATGGCGAAACGGACATTAGACTCCTTTTTTAAGCCTTCGGCGCCAAAACGTCCCAAGCTCGAGACTGAAACCGACCCAACGGACGCTAATGCAGATGCGAAACCCCCGAGCCAACATCCCAGCTATCCAATCCCAATCCCACAGCTCCCCTCACACATCGAAGTAAGCCTAGAGCATGGGTTACCATTCAAGGAAGGCACTGGAATAAACAACCAACCGCATCTGGACCTCCTCCATTTCCAACCCTATATTCCGCGCGCAACAGCGAACGAATTCTTCAAGTTCCTGCGTCGCGAACTCCCCTTTTACCGTGTGCGCTATACCGCACGTCGCGGCAATATCTCCACGGAGATCAACACACCGCGGTGGACGACGGTCTTCGGCATCGACGAAACATCCGTCTTCACCAATGGCAAAACCGTAGATGCCCGGACGGGGTCCCCAGTCTCCCCAACAAAATACCAGTGCACGCCGCGACCGATCCCAGAGTGTCTGGAGGTGCTGCGCAAGCAAGTCGAAGCGCATGCGGGGGGCGAGAAAGGGTATAATTTCTGCCTGGTGAATTACTACGCCGGAGGGGATGACAGTATATCATTCCACTCTGACGACGAGAGGTTCCTAGGGTCGCGGCCCAATATCGCTTCACTGTCATTGGGTGGCGAGCGGGACTTTTTGATGAAGCACAAGCCCGTACCCGTTGAGATCGGGGCGGATGCCAAAGCGGGCGCTACGGCTGTGGGGCGCCAGATCAAGATGAGTCTTGGCTCGGGCGATATGATAATTATGCGGGGGGAGACCCAGTCGAATTGGTTACATAGTATTCCGAAGCGGAAGGGGAATACGCAGGGACGCATCAATATTACATTCCGGCGGGCGATTGTGCCGGCGGGGACGAACAATTACTATCATTACAATGTTGGCGGTGGGGGGATGTATAGATGGGACGAAATCCGTCGGGAGATGGTCGAAACAAAATAGCTACGCTTCAATTATCATGCAGTACAAAGATTGGCACAAGGGGTCTGATAAAATGTACAGAGCCGGGGCACAAGGCATCTCGATTGTGGCGCCGACGAAAGAGAAGAAAAAAAATAGACATCGAAGCGAGTCGTCAGGCATTGGCTTTGGGAGCCAGAATCCTCCTCTCAGATGTGAGTCGGAGAGGAGCCGAGGATAATAGGTTGGGGATGAGACGCAAGCGACGCACTGGGGTGTGATTGCGCTCATTAATTGAAGACGACTTCTTCGCCGTAGACGTCTGCGTAACATTGGTACATATCAGGGCAGCTGGGATGGTTAGTGAATGGGATCAAAGACCTCGAATTTCAGACTTACAAGACAGGGTTCTTGCCGAAAATGATGTGCCAAGAATATTCCATGATATTGGAGGTGACTTCATCGGGGAGGTCATTGTTCATCACCCAGTCGTACATGCGCTTGTAGTCCGAGTGAGGACGCTTGAGGATCTGCTCCTTGGAAACGGCGAATTGCGAACAACACGGGGCAGCGATTTCAGCGGGGACTCTCTCGTTGGGGAACAGCGACTTCCAGGCTGCCGCGTAGTGCGCTTCACCGGGGTTTTCCAGCTTCGGGGGCTGGCGGAAGGGTTGGATGGCGTCGGGGCAGCCGGGACTCAGCTGGCAGCGCAGACTGACGAAGCCTTCGAGCTGGACGAAGTCCTTCTGCAGGGCGCGCACTGAGTCCACGTTGCTGAGATCCATTGTGTCGATGTGCCAGCCGGCGGGCCAGCCGTCCCGGTGGGCGTGCAGGAAAACGACTACTTCGGGGAGATCGTCGTAGTGGTCGACGAGGAATTGGAGGTAGGGGAGAGCCTCGCGGCCCTTGTTCTTCGGGGTGTGCATGGGGACGTTGGTGTCGTCAACCGTGTAGATAATTCCGTGCCATCTGTCCTGGGTTAGTGCAATCCCGACTCGGTTCAATCACCATGAACTCACTCGGCCAATTCTCCCGACACCCACGAGGTGTCCTCCTCCTTCAGCTTGCCCATGACAATGGCACCTTGGTTGGGTACCTGAATGTCGGTGGTCTGGTAGACCAAGGCGGGTTTGTTATCCGATGCCACCCGCCATTTCCGGTGAGCGCTCGAGTCATCCTCCGGCTTGGGCTTCAGGGAGGTCCGGAAGGAGCCTGTGTCGAAATGCAGGAGATCTTTTAGGTGTTCGCTCTCCGTTCGGAGACTGCGATTGAATAGGAGGACTGTGATGACGATAAGTGCTGCCGCAGCACCGATTCGGATTGAGAGCCTCATGGCATAACGCGATGGCCGGAGCGAGAGAAGGTTAGGGAGGTCAAGTATTCCCGGGATGCGGACAGTCTAAAAACGCGCAATCTGTACTAAGCACCCATGTGGACGCAATGACGAAGTCCCCGAGTCAAGGGATATGAGAAGGTCAAAGTCAAAAAGGGTTCAGATGTCAAGAGTCCAAGTGTCCAGAAGGAAAAGATTAAGAAAAAAAAGGGACCGGGTCCAGATGCGGAATTAGCGTCGGAAGTACCTCTCCCAGCCAATTTAGCCCAGGCAGTGACTTAAGTGACTTAGATCCTTAACGTAAGTCTTAGCACTGCATGGTCGACTCTAATATCGCTTAATTGTTTCTCATTTCCTTATATTGCTGACGATTCCATCCATTCTTCCCCCTGAGATAATAACATGGACCCTCAATCTCAAACTGATCCACCGTCCACACTAACAATGATCGACATGCAATCCCCCTATCAGCGTCAACTCTGACTTATAATCTTTGGACCCCTCTATGCGCAAGGGAGACTTGCTTTGCATCTGCAGGGGGCCGCCACACCCGCTCATTGTCACTCTAGTACTCCGTACAAGTACAACTACAGTACTATACGGAGTACTAGTACGGAGTATATCCTCTGTACTCCATACTCCGTACGGAGTATGGCGTCGTATTCCACATGATCCTTCGAGCCACGGAAAAAATTGTCCGCAATCTATATCCAATCGGGCCACCTCTCTGGCCTTCCAGCACGCGGAACATCCGACAACAACAACACAATTACATTCAAATATAGGGTATTGCCAACGCCAACCTGACCATAGTGCAGACCTCATAACTCCCATTCATCGCGGAATGTTCACATCGAAATACTCCGAATCTCCAGCCACCCGACCAATTATACATCGTGTACTCGGCAAGAGAGCCAGGGTCTCTCGGTCCACGACACAATGACTATCCGCCAGGTGTCCCAAAAACGCATCAAGATTACCATAAACATGCGTGGATCCTTGGTGAGCACAGCAGAAAATACAACAGAAGGCACCGCGCGGAACCAATGGAGAAAACCCCGAGGCCGAGTCGCGTTTACAGGGAACGTGCGATTTAGCCAGGAATTTCGACCGGTAACGAACACCAGTTGGGTGGTGCGTTCGGACGGTCTCATCAAACAGAGGATCATGGCCGGATGATTTGGCCATCGGTGCTTCGAAGGCGCATTCTTTACAGCGCAACCACGACCGCTGCGTGTAGTAGCCTGATCCGGGCTCGGAATGGATCTTGAAGCCCGCGAACCCGCTGTGAACTTTCCAGGCACCTTTGCAAAGCCCAAGGTAGTTGTTTGCTTTGGAGGGGAGCCAGAAAGGACGGGCTGGTGTCGTGTCGCTGCCCGTTGACGGGTTCGAGGGCGTGGAATCGGTTGATGAGATGGAGGGAGGTGGGTGGGAATGTCGCCGCCCAGTCGGGGCTGAGAAGGGAGAGAGGTGAGTGCCGTGGAGCTGTCTGATGATGTCGTCGTCGGAGTCTGTGCTCAGCTCGTGCTGCCATGGGTTGCCGCATATCTCATCATGGGGGATAGGATGGGGCGTCGCTGGGCGAAGGTCGATTTCTGGGATAGGATCTGTTGGTGATCCCGCTTGTACTGTGCCATGCGTGAATACGGAATCAGGTCTGGATGGTGGTAGTGATGATACGCTCACGCGGCTTGACCGGGGATGGAGCCTGTCGCTGACACTGCTGACGACTGATGCAATACCTGGTCGCCAACGGGAGGTGCTTGGTACAGGACTTTTCATCTCGAATTCTTTTACTGGCGCAAGTGACTCGGTTGGCGATGTGCAAAAACTCCCCATAATCCCACTCGATGATCCGGGAAGGCCACTCAAAGGGTTTCCTATGTCCCGGGAACCATCGGTCAGATTCTGATATATGCGACCGTACGATTCTCCCCTCCGGTAGGTCGGATCAATGGACATTGAAACCGAGGGAAACACAGGCGAAGGACGAGCCAGTCGCTCGAAGAGGTCCCCCAGCACTACCAGCGTCCTCACGCGGCCTTGCTCTGACTCGATCTGCATGGCCATCAGGTCCAAGTGAACGCCCTTCTCCTGGGCCTCCCGCAGATGCCGAAGCAAAGCTCCTTGAAGCGTGATGATGATATCCTTCATCTGTTCTCGGGCGATCGAGTCTCCCTCGTCGTACCGTCTGCCAATCTCATGATGATACTCCTGGTATTGGGAGAGAATCTCGTGATGGCCTCGAGCGAGCGACCACTCCAAGTCCCTCGTGGAATGGTCCGTCTGCCGCCGGCGATCGTGCCATTTGTGCCGGATAGCTGTGAGAATGCGACTTCCGTCATTGTAGGCGGAGACAACTGTGAAGTGTTAGCAGGTGAGTCACGGAGGAGACAGGATCATTACCAGCTGCCACACAGGCTACGACTGCGATTACCTCCGCCCCCGACATACTCAGCTGAAGCGGAAGGGGTCGTACTTCTTTTTCGAGGTACTAGGTACTGTAGTCCAAGGGTTGGCGCAGAAAATGGAAAGCTTCGAGGGAAGGTGGAAGAGGCAAACGGCCAGAGGCGATGCAGCTTACTCTAAAGACAGGGAAGATAGCCTGAATTGCGATAGCCCAAGCGGGCCAATGGTATACAACAATCCCGGGTTAAGCGAGATGAGGGGAACGAGGCTGAGACTCGAATAGTCTGTATATACTGTACACTGCTACTTACCTTTCACCAAATACTAGCTAGTCGGATGGAATATCAGTGGGCTTGATCTTCACGGATCCACCGTCTCCACTAGAGCTCAGACGTCAAGTACATTTTACTGTCACTCTATACTATAGAATACGGAGGTAGAATATCCTTGTACAGTAATGTTCATTTCTGAATGTAAATTAGGGGGAATCAAACAACCAGCCAAACGCCATACTAAATCACGCCAGAAATGCAATCCTCAACAACAACGCCCCTTATTCTTCCCCGTATGCGCAACCTCCACCTCCTCCGCATTACCAATACTCGGCGTCGGCAGCCCCAACCAACTCCTCCTCTTATCCCCATGTCCAAGTCGAAAGCTCCCCGTCCCCTCCACAAACCCAGGACTAAACGGACCAATCGTCCCATTAACACTCGGCGAAGCAGCCGCAAAAACAAGTTCATTATCACGCCGATTGCGCTGCTCCACCAGCTTCCGCGTGATGACCCGGAAAACCTCATCGATGCCCTCTCCATCCCGCGCACTAATCTCATGACAACAATCCCATCCGATCTCCTGGCCCCAGAAGGCAGAGCTGCGCTTCGAATCAGGGCTTTGAATCGCATTCGACGAAAGCGCCGCGGCGCTGGCGCTGGCATTCGAGGCGCTCCCCCCACCCCCGCCAAAGACCCCGGAGCCGAATCCAAGTCCCCCCGTGGCTGTCGCGGTGGAGGGCGGTGTCGACGCTTGAGTAGGGTACAGCTGGTCTGCGACGTAGGCGATAGTGCGTTCGAAGGGGACGCGACGACGGGAGGGATCCTCAGCGACGAGATCGGACTTGGTGCCTACGACATGAATGACGAGGGAATCCGTACCGTCCTCGTTGGAGGTATTCTTGCGTAGTTCGCGAAGCCAGCCGGCCATTTCTTGGAAGCTGGACTCATCGGTGATCTTTGGAAGCGCGTTAGTCTGGTTTTTGTTGGCCGCGGCCCCGGTGGGGATGGCTGACATCATAGCATAGAAGACAGGCGCTGGCGGAGCGATAATACAATCTGGAGATACTGCGGAAGCGCTCTTGGCCTGCCGTGTCCCATATTTGTAGTCGGACGATGGTATCCGAGGTGGAATCGAGAACGCGCTTAGTGACGAAGGACGCGCCGATGGTGGAGGCTGTTGCGGGGTTGAAGGTATTGCGGAGAAAGCGCTCGACCAGCGCGGTTTTGCCCACCCCTGGTTTTGGTGTTAGTCGGAGATCTTATATTGATCTCGATCTGAGGCATGCAGAGTCATGCATAGCATGCATGTCTGTCATTTCAACGTGCGAATAGGAAAGATGTGAACGAAACGTACCCTGCGCGCCCAGTACAACAATCTTCGCTTCGAGGGATGAACTCATGACACAGTTCAAGATAACGGATATTTCGCATGGTATGATATGTGTCCAAGTGAGAATATGTTCAAGGGAGTGTGAAGGAGACTAGGGCGGGATCAGCCGGTCTCGGTCACCTGAATCATGGAAATCTTGGAAGTTGAAGTCTTTGTATTAAGTCGACTTGCTACATCTCTTGCAGACTCACCTGTGTTTTCAGGCACCATTCGTGCAACTTCGGCATTTTATGTTTGATTTCTTAAATTGACATCCTGCACGTACATCTAGGGGCTTGCCATTTGGATCAAGGTGTCACTGAAGGGTGCCGTACCCTTGCTGAACGTCAGCCTCATGCAAGGCGCAGCACTGAGTCACTCGAAGGTTAAATTCACATCTATGAGTCTATGACAGCCTACGGATGTTTCAAACTTTACAGAACACAGTTGAGGAATAATGAATTGAAACCTCTATTCTCATAGTACATAGTACATGCGACCATGAATCACTCCCATGACCAAATTCTCTAGGTCATAACAAGACATGAAATCATCAAAAACAAAGCATTGCACTTTTCAAGTCCAAAAGGAGCAAGGTGCACAAAAACCGGCCGCTGGGCATTCCCCGACCAGAAACAATGGGTATATAGTATGAAGATTGGAAAAAGGAAAAGAAACAAAAACAAAAGGCGTGAAACCGGCGTTCACCCAATGGGAAAACGGCACGACCATAACATGCAGAAATGGCAACGCACAGCGCTGTCACGTTGGAGACCAAGTCTCCAATCGCTCAACGAGGCCCGCAAAGGGTCTAGCGAGAGTTTTCAATGTCCTCGTGGTTCTCCTTGCCATCGCTGGAGGTACTGCGAGGGGAGCCCTTCTCGGCGCCGGCGTCCTCAAGATCACCGTGGCGACGGCTAGTCTGGAAGCCATACTCGGCAGCCTTGGCTTCGATCTCATCATCAGTGAGTCTGGGCAGCTCATAGGCGGCCTTGACATAGCTCATATTCTCGCAGTAACCCTTGGCGAAGATCAGATCGATCTCCTCGAGAGAACGGCCAGCAGTCTCGGGGTAGAAGAGGATCATGGGGGGAATGAAGACGGCGTTCATGATGGCGAAGAACAGGTAGGTGCGCCATCCAATGTTGGCAACCATGACGGGGGTTATCATGACAACGGTGAAGTTGAACAGCCAGTTAGAGCAGGTGGAGACGGCGTTGGCCTTGGCACGGGTGCGCAGAGGCGAGATCTCGGCCGGGTACAACCAGGGCAGAGGAAGAATGGAGGCACCGAAGAAGGACATGTAGAGGAAGAGACCGAAGACGGCACCCTTGGCAGGGCCTTCACCACCGGGGATGAGACAGCCGAACACGATGATCATGGAAACCATCTGGCCGGTCATACCACCGATGAAGAGCTTGCGACGACCGATCTTCTCAATGAAGAACCAGGAGAAGGTGGCGAAGATGGCGTACACGATCATGTTGACACCACCGATGATCATGGACATGAACTGGGTTTGACCGAGGGACTGCTTGAGCAGCACGGGAAGGTAGTAGATGACAGCGTTGCAACCGGACAGCTGCTGGGCGATCTGAGAAGAAGAGCCGATAAGCATGCGACGGAGGTGCTGGGTCTTTCCGCCGGTGAGGAGGTCGGAGTAGCCAGCGCCTTCAGCGACACCGGCCGCTTCGATGGATTCAATGACGAGCTGCTTCTGCTGCTGGGTCTCGTAGGAGTCGATTTCGTAGCCACCGAGAGCAGCCAGGACGTACTCACCCTCGTGGACCTTACCCTGGGCGATGAGGTAGCGAGGGGAGTCGGGCAGGTACAGCATTCCAACGATGATAATGACACCGAAGACAATCTGGAAGGCGATAGGGAATCGCCAGGCCAAGTCGTCAGGGCCGTAAGAGGCACCGAAGTCGATCCAGTATGCAATCATAGTACCGATGGCGATGATACCACCCTCGATACAGATGAGCAGACCACGGTTGGAGGAGCGCGAGCACTCAGCCTGGTAGGTAGGGATGGTCGAAGTGTTCATACCGTTTCCAATACCAGTCACGATACGGCCAACGAAGAACTGAGCGGTAGCACCGTGACCCTTGACGGCCGCAACCTGAATAACGACACCAACAATCATGACAATGGCACCCCACATGATCATCAGACGACGACCCATCTTGTCACCGGCGAACAGAGCGAACATGGCACCGGCCAGACAGCCCAGTTCATAGACCGCCGTCACCAGAGCCTGCATCACGGAGTTGCCTTTTGTGATGGGAAGGATATCGGCGAAAGCCTGTGAATCAATGATACCAGACATGACACCCTCTGGAAGTCTGTTAGCTCCTGATCCGCATGGTCGATGTCAAGTCACTCACGATCATAACCGAAGAGCAGGAAACCCATGGTTGCGATGGTCGACACCGTCAAGCCCAGGGGCCTGCCGGACATGCCAGCAAATGTTGGCGCCATGGTGGAATGTGTAAGATGAAGTATATATAAACCTATACCGAAAGTCCAATATCAAGGACTCGTTCCCAGTGTGCTACACGTGGGAGTATAGTATAAGGGCTGAAGAAGTATAAAGTCAGACAACGCGGAGAAAGAAGAGATCTCACACCCCGGGGGGGATATCAGGAGATATTTGAATACTTCTCCAACCGCGACGAAAATGGCAAGGAGATGCACCATGGGGCAGAAAATGATTTTTTTTTTTCTTTTTTTTTTTAATTATTCCCCGTGTCTCTCTTCGCACGGGACAGCGAAAAACAGAAAGCCGAAAAGAAAAAAAGAAAAAGAAAAGAAAACATCTCGATTCGGAGAGCCAATGAAGGGGGACGGGAGGTGGAGGGCCGGATGCATCAATGGGCGGTTTTAAGCATTTTTGGAGAAGCCAATGCACCTCCACTTAGTTTCTGTAGTTTGCGTCCCTGATGACATCAGATCCTACATTATGGATCCGACAAAATTTTGTGGTCGTCATAATATCCTGCTAACTATCATGATTGGCGGTGGACGCGAGTTTTATATTGTCAACCTCGCGTCCATTCCGAGTTTCATTTACCAACAGTACTAGGTACCAAGGTGCATCGTGCGTTATATCTGTATGATAGTACAGTACTGGACATGGCAAATATGCACGGCGTCCTCCGTATTCCGTTTTGGGTTGGGGAAAACAATGCCGAAAGCCCAGCAAGGGCGACGAGTACCGACGCACGACTCGGTACCGACCTTGCTGGAAGGGAAGTGTAATTTTGATTCAGGAAGGCCACCCGAGAACAATAGTTAGGGCATCAATCTACGCGATCAGCGAAATTGCGCAACGCACACGTTACAATTAGTGTTAGGGCTACCACAACCAGTATACACCGGCATCTCGAATCGCATGCAACGGTTCGGGATCCTCGTGCCAAGCTGCCGTCGGTGAAAATCGTGTCGGGATGGCTTGACGGCTTCCCGAGGATTCGGCGTGCGACCGCCGTGTGTGGCCTAGTGCCTCTTTGTGCGAAGGGGGGATCGGTGGATCTCGATCTTCGGAGGGACTGCCTTCTCGGGAATGTGCATAACAGTCTCCCTTGCGCGCCTGGATTGAATCTTGCCAGTTCAATATTAGTAACGCGAAATCCTGGCTCGTGGCAGTTGTGTGCGAAAGCTCGGCTGTTGGTTTTTTTTTTGTTTGCTTTTTTTCGGTTTAGTTGCTGTTCTCCGCGTCCCCTCGTTTCTGGGGGCGCGATAGATTGCCCTGGAGAAGTGCGACCGTGCGGCACCGGAAACAGTCGCTGCAACAAGGCTGAAGTCAATACTGTGTGACACTGCCCAATACTATAGGGATTCCCTGCAGAGCCAAGAGCCAAGCTGCGCCGAGAGCCTTTAATTTTTCTTGACCGTTGCTTCTTTTGGGCTGAATTATTCAACGAAACCGACGAATAACATGACACATAGAATGGGTGTCGACATGGAAATTGGATTGTATGTTAGTATTGGTTCAAACTATTGACCCACGTCATGTCTCAAACAGAGACGGAAAACAGAAGAGCGAGACGAAAAGACAATAGGTCTCCGCAATGATGTCGTTGAACCACTTCCCGACGCAGTGGAAGTTTTCTCGAACACCAAGTGGACATGGACGGGCGAAACAAAAGGCACCTTCAATGGATATGGAAATTAACGCATAGTATCCATTCGGACCGTCCCCGTAGATGCCCATGTATGGATTGGAAAAATGCTTTACCATCTCGCCGCCGTGGATATACCAGGCGACGCACGTCCATACGAATACGTCCGAGTCAAGCGAGCCCCGACCAACGTTCTAAAGGCGATGGATCAACTTCGGCTAATGCACACCTTCCTCGTTCCGTAGGTCCATCAGATTATCTGGCCCCATCGGAGCTTGCCCGATTGATCTCGCCCGACTGAGGGGTTAATTGGGCGCAGTCAGAGTAAATCGATGTCACACTGCATGGTTAGGCTTGCGTTAACTTGGGTGCCTTGGGAATATTCATCTCAATACTCCCTCTGATCTACTCCGTAGAAACCGAGCTACCCGTAGATATTCGTCCATGGTTAACATTTCCGCGTAACAGTAATATCCATGGATATGAGGTTCATTCAAATATTTGCAGGCCATACATATGCTAGTATAATCCAATCATAAAAGGACATCAAGTGGCAATCACTTGCGCGGTTCTCATTTGGAGTATCTCCAATCCTTACGTGCGACGACCGGGTCCAGCAAGATTCAGAGGTACGAAGTAAAGCGTCCCCATCCTTTCCCCGCTACTCCGTGCGATCCCGCACAACGTCAGTGGCAACCACGAGGGACAAAAAGGGGGGTTTGTGCCATGGAGAAATGGCGGAGGTGTGGACAGGTGGAGTTCGGAATCGCCGGCAACGCCAGGGTGTCGCGTAGGGGCTACGAAGATGCATACATACACCTGGCCATGATCAGATCGATGCCGATTGTTTTTCTCCTTGAAAGTGGCCAACGTGGCCTGCAATCCATCTGCCGTTGACTCTCGAAACTTGGATTTCACCAAAGCTTATACCGCTAGGATCGACAGTGGCGTCCGTCACCTGGAACCGAATCGTGGTAGGATCGTTGCTTAAGCCGTAAGCTGTCCCCACCGCGCTGAATCTGGATGCAAGTCATGGGCACTCTGTCTATACACGTTGGTTTGATGGTCGTCTCCAATGGAAGAGGCTTGTACATCTGAGCTCGGGCATCTGGGATCTTGGGGAAATGACGTATGTAACCACGTGATCTTAACGCCTCAGGCCATCCGCGACTCCTTCCTGAACAGGCACACATCAACATTCCAACATCTGCCTTGTCGGACAGGAATGTAGATCGCTGCCAACGGTACTTCCATCTGTTTTCGATCTGACATGTTGATCATTCTTGACATTGTTCCAGAGTTTTCTGAACGCAGGACACAAAAATAGGCTTCGGCAGAGAACACCTGCCAAGCGAAGATCCAACGAGGCTAGGCCACTTGTGCCGCAACCCTGGAATCACTAGATCCCGACATGGTAACGCAGGTGAGTACGATCTCGCTCTCCATTGGCTCTGCTTCGCCGGCAGGGTGGGAGGCGCTTCATACCAATGCCTCATGGTACTCTCGGGGTTCTCCGGGCTTCAGTTGATCAGGAATGGACCTCGAAGAACCATCTGGGCACACACGGATACATCTCGACAAATTGAGGCACATACATATGCACGAAGACTCCCCGTCCTTGCAGGAGGCTACATGCAAACGCCATACTAGGTAGTTACCGCCTCAAATGGAACTTCCTCGCTGAAGCGGTCACTTCTTGTAACCCTGGAGACAGATCTACTTCGGCTTTTTTGGTCCCGAGTCATTTTGAGACTCCAAGGCTTTAAATTTACATCTAAATTTGCGATTGGTGCCCCGAGGTTACACATACATATTGTTTGATTTTTCCTAACCTTGGAATGTTTCAGATGCTTGACCGTCGTTGACCTTCAGCGCAGGTGGCGACAAATATATGCAGCTGGGCATGCACACAACATGATCTTGCAATCGGCTTGCCCGGGCCGTTCAAGCTAGCTAGTACGTTCAAATTCCAAGACCAAGTTTGTTAAGTATTTATTCGGAGAAGGCAATTGAAAGGGATTGTCAAAAATACCTAGGTATCTTGACCTGGAGCGGATCTATGAATTGGGAAGCTGGGGCCAGGTGTTTGCTGATGGTACGGAGTATGGGCTGATTGGTTACGATTAAGCACGTCGCTTGGGCACACAAGCTTTCCAATGCAGCTTTAAAGCCTTGGAACCTTGGAACCTTGCAAACAAAGTTAATCTGGTACATTTGAACCCTTTGCCCGTGTATACTGAACTGTAGATACGTCCAGATGGGCACACAAGGCATGAGCCAATAAGGTCGGGATGGTTGGAATTTCCCCAGCAATGAGACTTCCAAGGTTCTGAGGTTCTCGGGGTAGTCAACGAACCTTCAAGCTCGCTCTATTATGAAGAGGGGACATTCCATATCGTGCCAGTGAATTATCAAGAACCGAGTCACCCACCGAATCACTGTATACCTGACCCTTGAAAGTCAGGAAAGCTGAGACTCACCTGTGGACCATACCCTTGACCGCCTTTCCACTGGCCGTGAACATAAGTCACGTGACAAAATGAAGGCGACAGGATCATGTGATGGTCTCATCCGAATCGGTCCCGGTAGAGAGTGGCAGTATGATGGTTGTCTAATGCCCCCGTTGCTACTGGCCAAAGGCCCAAACCGAGGCATCGAGTTCTGTCCATCACAGATACAGTTCCACCTGGCTTCAGGGCCTATCTCACTAGATACCGACAGGCAATCTTTATACAGCATATACCCATCTACTATCGAAATTCACGGACCTAAGGAACATCAGAGTAGTCGGCCGAGAAGCTCCCCGCAATTTTCTTATCCCCGGACTCTATTATCCCGAGGTCCCAACCAGCTCTTTTTTAGTGAACTTTCCTGCTGCTCCTTTTTTCTTCCCTCTACATGCCCTCAAATCCCTCCAATTCTTCATAATGAGTGACAGCAAACTTACAGGCGCAAAAGTCGCCGAACACAACTCCAAAGACTCATGCTGGGTCATTGTACACGGCAAGGCCTATGATGTAACTGACTTCCTCCCTGGTATGTGGTTCGATCTTTTGCAAGCGCAGGCAGTCCGACTGACCATTGTAGAACACCCTGGTGGCCAGAAGATTATCCTTAAGTATGCCGGCAAAGATGCGACCGAAGAGTTCGAGCCCATTCACCCACCTGATACCCTGGACAAGTTCCTCGATCCATCAAAGCATCTTGGCTCGGTCGACATGAGCACTGTCGAGCAAGAAGAAAAGGCCTTCGACCCAGAGGAGGCCGACCGCTTAGAACGTGTTTCCCGCATGCCTTCCCTTGCGGCCTGCTACAATTTGTTGGACTTTGAAGCGGTGGCCCGTCAAGTGATGAAGAAGACCGCCTGGGCATACTACTCAAGTGGAGCAGACGATGAGATCGTGAGTCCCTTGAAGACAACATTACTCGAACGGTGACTGATCTCCCGATAGACATTACGTGAGAACCACGCAGCGTTCCACAAAATCTGGTTCCGACCCCGAATTCTCGTTGACGTCGAGAACATCGATATGAGCACAAAGATGCTGGGCACAAAATGCTCAATTCCCTTTTACGTGACAGCAACTGCACTCGGGAAGCTTGGTCATCCCGAAGGTGAAGTAGTTCTCACCAAAGCTGCGCATCAACACGACGTTGTGCAGATGATTCCTACCCTGGCCTCGTGCTCATTCGATGAGATTGTCGATGCCAAGCAAGGTGATCAAGTCCAATGGCTCCAGCTTTATGTGAACAAGGACCGTGACATTACACGCAAGATCGTCGAGCACGCCGAAAAGCGTGGCTGCAAGGGCCTCTTCATTACCGTTGATGCACCCCAACTCGGTCGTCGCGAGAAGGACATGCGCTCCAAGTTCTCCGATCCTGGATCGAACGTGCAGTCTGGCGGAAGTGACATCGATCGCTCCCAGGGCGCTGCTCGGGCGATTTCTTCCTTCATCGATCCCGCTCTCTCATGGAAAGATATCCCGTGGTTCAAGTCGATCACCAAGATGCCCATCGTGCTGAAGGGTGTCCAGTGTGTCGAAGATGTGCTACGCGCCGTCGAGGCAGGCTGCGACGGAGTGGTCCTTTCCAACCACGGAGGTCGACAGCTCGAGACTGCACGGTCGGGTATCGAGGTCCTTGCCGAGGTGATGCCAGCGCTCCGCGAGCGTGGCTGGGAGAAGCGCATTGAAGTCTTCGTTGATGGTGGAGTCCGCCGTGCGACCGATATCATCAAGGCACTTTGCCTTGGTGCAACGGGAATTGGCATTGGTCGCCCGTTCCTGTATGCGATGTCTGCGTATGGACTTGATGGTGTTGATCGCGCCATGCAGCTCCTCAAGGATGAGATGGAGATGAACATGCGGTTGATTGGCGCTGCTCGCATCGAGGATCTGAACCCGAGCCTCATTGACACCCGTGGCCTGTTGGGTGGACACAACGGAATTGTGCCTACTGACACACTTGGTGTTGGAGCTTACGACCCCCTGGAAGCGCCTCGATTTACTGAGAAGCCTAAGTTATAGGCAAGGTTGCATTTTGGTATCCATTCTGGTGTTGGGCTATCAAGAGTCATCGTTCTTATGATAGAATCTAAATGTGTATGTATATAAAATGGATGATATACGGTATTTTCATTGACTTCACGGACTAGCTCAACTAGGTAGGTGACTTGACATATGTACATGTCTCAGGGTTGGGAATCATTTTCACCAGTTCTCCGATGTGCTATGCAAAGACCTTAGAAAGGCAGAAATCCACCCCGCTCAGTCGCGCGAGACTGGTCGAAACCAAAGAATCACTATTCTGCGATCTTCACCAGCTTGCTCTTTCTCGCAGCACTTTGTGCCACAGAGGTCATTGTTGCTCCTCCGATAATCTCAAAGACACCCAGATCCGCCTGGATCTCCTTGGAAAGCCATCCGCGCAGCTCCACCGCGACAAGTGAGTCCACTCCGTATTGGTGCAACGGTTTGTTGGCATCGATATCTCCGCTCGCGATACCCAGAGCAGCCGAAAGCTTCTGTGCAAAGAGCTCCGTGACAACTGTGTTGGCTTCTGCCAATGACTTCGCTTGCAGTAGTGAGCTTGCTCCTCTGCTGCTAGACTGTGTGTTATGACCACCACTCTGATTCTCGCTCAGGACCAGGTGCCCAACAAGCGGCTCACTTCTCCATTCATGGTTGCTGGAGACTGCCTCTGACGACAACCCGACAACGATTTGACAATCCAGGGAGGTGGAATGGCTGATACGAGGATCACAGTAGGTGGAAAGCAGACCGTGGAAGTGTGCCTCCGTCACAGGGGGAAGCTCACTCTTCTCAATCCACATCTCATACAACCGGGAGTCCTCTACCACAGCGCCGGCGAAATCAATCACTCCTAGGTTCAATGAAGTCGCCTTCTCTCCCAGTCCCACACGATGCCGAGCCAGTCCATCTTGGAAAGTATTGCCAGCCGCATAATTGGCCTGCCCAGTGGTTCCCAGAATACCCGCGATGGAAGACAGCATGATGAAAAAGTCCATACCCCGCGGCAGGAGCTCGTGTAAGTTCCAGGAGCCTTGAACCTTGGGATTGAGAGATTCAATCCAGGTTTGATGGGAGATACCCTCGAAGACAGCGTCCCTCAGAACCATGGCTGCTTGAATACATCCTTTGATCGGTGGCATGGAGGAGCGGGATCCACGCAAGGCATTCTCCACCGATGCCCTGTCTGAAACATCACACATAGGGGCCAGTACTTGCACGCCTCTTTCTTCAAGGGATTGGATGACACCTCGGGCTTTTTCTGTTTGCCCACCTGAGCGCGATAAAACGAGCAGATGGCGAGCTCCTCGATCTGCGAGCCAACAGATGATGTTCTTTCCAATGCCCCCTAGACCGCCAGACACCACAAATGTTGAATTCGAGTCAAGGGAATACGCGGGACGGGTTCTCAAGACGTTCTGGAAATGGGTTAACAATCAGAAACAAGGAGAAAGAAGGATATAATATTACCTTCACCTCATCGTGGGCACGCATCTCCAGCACCATCTTGCCAACATGCTGACCGGCCTGCATGATACGGAACGCCTTCTCCATTTCACCGACACCATATACGCTGATCGGTTGAGATGGGTGAAGTTTACCTTCTTGGATCAAACCAAAGACTGTCTTGAGGGCGGCGCTGCATATTTCTGGCCGTTCTACAGCCATGACCGCTAGATCAACACCACTGAAGGCAACATTGTCCAAGAACTTGAGCATGGGCAATCTCTGGTTCGTGAGAATGTCTCTCTTCCCGATTTCTATGAATCGACCATAGGGAGCAATGCACTTCCATGATGCGAACAGACTCTCCCCTGCCAATGAGTTGAGAATGACGTCGACTCCCTTTCCTCCTGTTCGGAGTTTGATCATCTTCGAAAACACTGTGGTTCTGCTAGAGAAGATGTGCGATTCAGGGATATCATAAACATCTATCAAAAGCTTTTTCTTGCTCTCAGAGCCAACTGTGGCAAAAACAGTCGCACCTGCATTTTTCGCAATTTGAATTGCTGCTTGTCCGGTGCCCCCAGAAGCAGAATGAATCAAGACCGTTTCACCTGACTGGATGCGAGCTACATTGTGCAGTGCGATCCACGAAGTAGCGAAATTGACCGACACAGCGGCAGCATCTGGGAACGAGATTCCAGGAGGGATCTTGACGATCGATCCGCTTTCTCGCATACGAGTCAAGGTGGAGAAGCAGCCATTCTGCAAGCCAACGACAGAGTCCCCAACTTGGAATTTGCTGCAGGCGCCACCGACCCGACTGACGATCCCGGACCACTCAGATCCTGTATGACTGGCTTTCAATTGGCCCACCGCAATTAAAACGTCGCGGAAATTGATACCAGCGCACTTGACCTCGACTTCGACCTCGTCTGCCTCAAGAGGAAGATGTGCGCTCTGATCCTCGATGAATTCAAATCCGTCCAGTAAGCCGGGCGATGCGGCATTCAAAGTCAACGGGACACCGCAGCTGAATTCCTGGACCGTGGAACAATGTGACCTGGCCATAAGTGAGATATCCTGATTCAACTGCCTGGATGGAAGTATGCGAGGAACGTTCAAGTATCCCTCGTGTTCAAGGTATTCCATATCAGGGGTTTTGCCAGCTGGTGACACCAAAAACTTGACGAGGGTCATGATGTGATCTAGTTGACCTCTCGTGAGCGAGTCATGCGGCTCGAGAGACAATAAGTGGTGTTGTCGCGTGCTGTTCTCCGTTTTCAAAACACGAAGCATCCCCTCCACAAGGCGCGAATGGGGGTGCTCTGGGAATTTACCACCGCCTTGATTGATCCACAGCATCTGGTTAGTCGTGGAAAGCAGGGTCTGAAGCTGACCGAATAGCTCAGGCTCGATCTCGCTCAAAACAGGGGTTTGCAGTTCTAGAAGAACAATCCTGAACAGTGGACCACTGGGCTGATATTCGACAGCCCCCTGTACAGAGGAGCAGCGGACGGAGCTCATGGAGAGAGATTTCAGGTCTTCAACAATGCGATCTGTTAGTTCCTGCTGTGCAGGCTCGGCTTGGTTGTAGATGATCTCGAATTCCAGCCCTTGGGGATCTGTCGACGACTCTTCAACTGCCGTTGATACTATCATACCGCACTCATGGGAGATGGAATCTTCGAAGTCTGGGAAGACCAAATCCAGACCCGAGAATCCAGTTTCAATGAGCAGCTTGTTCCATTGCCGCTTGTCGACACAGGGCTCTGCTGTACCATGTGATTCGGAACCTTCTACATTTCCAAGGTTAGTTTGTTGGCCTTGTTGTGTGCGATTTCATCTTACTTGACCACCAGCCCTCGAAAAGACCATATACAAATGTCGAACGGAATCCACCTGTGAGGATCTCATACATCATGAGCTTGCCTCCTCTGCGCAGAATTGTCAGATTAAACACCAAATGAACCGAGGTGAATTGAATGTCTGTTGACCAACATACGGATTCAGAAGCTTTCGCGCATTACACAGGGCCTTCCTAAGATCAGAGGCAGCGTGAAGTGCCTTAGAGGAGAGGCGTTAGCACAGGACTCCAGCCGGAGACATGAGCATGCAAAAAGGGGAAAACATACCAGACCAGCAACGACTACGTCGTAGGTTCCACAATCGAAGCCTTGAGCTTGGGGATCCTTCTCAATATTGAGCTGCTTGAAGCTCATGCTGCTAGCTTCCGAGGCGAATTGGTTCTCCGCGCTAGCAAAGACCGAGTTTGAGCTGTTGGTGTAGTCCCAGTGAGCGTACTTCCGGTCGGCCCCTTCCTCCGCACCCCCGAGCAGTCGAATCATGACATCGGTCATAGATCCAGAGTCCGCTCCAATCTCGATGATTTTCATCCTTGGATTGGAATGGGTTAGCAGATCGATGTAGGAACCAAATTGCTTGATGCACTGGGATTCGCCGAGCTATCTCTGGATTAGCGAGAGCACGAATTTGAGTGGGAAACAAACTTACCTCTTCATGGTAAAGGTCCCTCATCTTGCCAGCTCCATTGAAGGTTTCCGGAGGATCAACTGCGCCACTTAATATCCCGAATAGGTCGCCAGCAACCGTGGTGTAAAGAGAGCTGCGACTGTTTCGATTCGACAAACGGGTTTCGATATCACGAATATAGTTCACATCAGCGAGCCGAGCTTTCCAAATGTCATCTGAAAGCCAGAGATGGCCTTCCGCGAGCAATGTGTGTTGTTGTTTCATCCAATTCACATATCTTTGAAGATGTGGTTTTGAGGGAGTGATCCCGTGCGAAGAAAGAGCCCGAAGCACCTCTTCGATGCGTGACATGAAAAGCAAGGCCAAGTCTTTGGATTCATCCTCCAGACCAAAAGGCTCACATACATCAGTATTTTTGCACAATTTCATGAGATTCTCATTGGAAACCAATCGGTGTTCAGGTTTCCATTCCATGTGGTGACATATATCTTCAGGTCCGGCCATCCGATCTTGTGGGCCTTCCATTTCGCTCACGACATTTGTTCCTAGTCCTTGCACCGAGACAAGAACCTCCTTCAGGCTCTCATCAAATACAGTGATCTCAAAAGAGGCACCGAGGAACATGGACTCTTTGTTTCGAGTGGCGTGCGTCTTCAAGGAAGCTGACGATGATTTGGCAAGGAGTCGGCTGGACACCCACAGACTGTCAACAGATGTTGGGATAGCGGTGGGAATGAAGTCTGCGTCAGGGCTGACTGTTGTCCAGATGGAGGTTTGCAGGATAGCATCCAGGGTCGTTGGATGGATGGCTTCTCCCACCGCGGATGAGAATTGCTGCACATCAGCCACTACATGTGATTGCTGGGGACTGAAGGACACTTTCTTGACCAGCTGGAAGGCGTCTCCATACCCATAGCCTGACATTTGCAAACGTTCATACAAAGATGAACTATCGACTGGCAATGTGCAAGCCGCAGCTGCAGTCGTATAGGCTTCCAATTTGTTGTTCAATATCTCGTCTTTGTCTCGCTGCTCGATCGTGGGGACTGTCTCATTTGCAGCATACACTGTCTGGATCATGCCGGTGCAGTTCTCAGTCCATACCTCATTATCATATGTGCAGATGCGGAACTCAGACCAAGCCGATGACTTGGACTCCATGCCTTTGACGGAACGAAGGTATAAGTTCGTCTCAAGCCCGTGAGAGCCAAGAGGGACTCTCATAGCAGCATGAAACTTGATCTCTTGCGCATTGAATGCTTCGACTGTTCTACCTGGCTCTGCAATTTGCTTGGCAGCCTCAATGGCCATCACCACCATGCCGGCCCCAGGGTACAGAATCGAATTGTCAATCTTTATCGTCATGATTAGTCTCTCGAATCCTGTGAGCGATTCTTATCTTACCTGGTGATCCTTTATCCAAGGCATTTCGGATACTCTCATGAAGTGCCTCCATTTTCTCTCGAAGGGGTTGCAGCTCGGGTCGGGAACTCCGAGCAGATCATTTCGCCCGACTTTACGGAGCCGATGATTCTTGCTGAGACTGCTTTCATGCCAATAACGCACGTCGTGGTTGAATGGATAAGCTGGAAGATCAGACAAGCACTTGAAAGTACCTGGTTTGGCTGAATGCTGGCCGTTGACTCGCATCAAAAATCGATGGGATAACCCGCGGCAAACAAGTTTCCAAACAGCGAGAATGCAGTGTCCACGGCGGATATATTGCGCACCAAAATTGAGAAGTACTCAGTTGCCTTTTCGTTCTGCAAACCCTTGAGCACATCTTTGCAGGCACCCTGCAGGACAGAGTGTGGGCCGATCTCAACGATGTGATCTATTGGCTTGGACCTGCGATGACTGCCGTCCAGTTTCTTGTGAGAGTTTGAGCTTGAACTTGCACAGAGAACAGCGAGTCCGTCCGAGAAGCGAACGGGAGAGATCATGTTGTTGACCCAATGAGAAGCCTTGGCAGTTCCTCCCCGCTCGATCCAATTGCCTGTCACTGAGGACACCATCTCTGGGCAGTCCTTATGCCCAGAATAGTCATTCTGAAGCTCCCCCAAGGCCTCAAGGTATTGATCTGCAATCTCCCTCATTTGAGTGGAATGATAAGCTAGGTTGACCTTGAGCTTGCGGCAAAATACGCTGTCGCGGTCGAGTAAGACCTTGAGAGCGTCGAGCTGAACTACCTCTCCAGTGATAGTTACACTCTTTGGGCTGTTGATACACCCCACACTCAGCTTGGGGTTGTCAAATTGCTTCCCGGCCATCTCGATATAAGAGTTTGCCTCTTTCTCTGACAGGGCTACCGCAAGCATGGAGCCCTTGAACTCGCTTGTATTCTCCAACGTGCTGCTCATGTTGCCTCGGTAATATGACACTTTCCAAGCTGACTTGCGATCAATACCGCGAGCACAGTACCTATTGAAGTTAGCGAATACCACCAAGACACATTTATGATCACCTACGCAGCTGCGACCTCTCCAGATGAATGGCCAAGCACCGCCTTGGGCACAATGTTTAAGAAACGAAGCAAATCGACCAATGCAACCTGGACGATGGTGCAGAGAATTTGGCTGTATTCGGTTTTGTTCACATTGGAAGTGGATTCGCTACGGTTCAATTCATCTGCAGCGTGTGAGCATCTAATTCTCTTTTATCGACAAAAGTGGTTGACGTACCGATTGGGGTCCATTCACACCCCAGCGAATGAAGATACTCGCCCGCTTCTTCGATGCTCTCGGAAAAGGCTGGGTAGACGTCCAAGAGTTGACGGCCCATTGCAAACCACTGCGCTCCTTGCTGCTGTAATGTTAGCACCGCCCATCATCGGATTGAACATGCATACGCCAGAGAAGATCATTGCCATGGTCAGCGAAAGACGAGCTTGTGAGGCGGCGGAAAGTTTATTCACAGTCGTGGCCCAGCTATCTGATGGGTTGCAAATTGCAAATGTTCGCCATGGAAGAAGAGTTCTTCTGGATGCCAGAGTATACGCCAAATGATCCACAAAGCCAGCCTGTTGATCATCTAGCTTATGGGTTTTCCATGTCTCCTGAAGTCGGGAAACACCTTTCTCATCTGCGACAGACCAAACGAGAAGCTTGGGAGACTTTTCTGGACTCGTTTGAATTGATACCCAGCCTGGCTCTCCGGATTCAGTATCCTGCACATCGGTCGCCCCGTGGTCTTTGCACATGGTGGACTGGTCCGGGATCATTGTGTTGTGATTACCAGTTAGACCATTGTCCCTGAGATAATGGTATGCGTCATCAAACACAATATGCGTGTTGGAACCTCCATATCCAAAAGAGCTGACCGATGCCCGCCTAAGTCCCTCAGACGGCCATGGCAGGGGAGCTTGCGGGAACTTGATCTGTCAGGAAACCGCAAACGAGGTTGTGAATTCACCACTCACTTTCATGTTAAAGAATTGATCATCTATTCTGGGGTTGATATTTTGCAAATTCGTGCTATTGGGAGGAATGATGCCCTTTTCCAATGCCAGCACCGTTTTGATAACACCAGCGACACCACTACCCCCTTCCAAATGTCCAATGTTGGACTTCACAGAGCCACTGTATTTGAGGTTAGAAGAAGCACATCTGACACCGAGCCTCTTACTTACATGTACAAAGGATCGTCTTTAGAACGATGCTGTCGAAATACGGACCCGATTCCTTTGATCTCGATTGGGTCTCCGACGGCAGTTCCTAGCCCGAATGAGTAAATATTTGAGGCTCAAATGCGCGCTGGGACCAACCTGTTCCATGTGCCTCGAAATAGCGTGTGTCCTTCATATCCAGTCCCGCTTTGCGGTATGTATCTCGGATCAATCGAGCTTGCATTTCAGCGCTTGGCTGTGTGATACCGGGTGTTCGGCCGTCTTGATTTGAAGCAGAAGCTCGGATGACAGATCTGATTGTATCTCCATCACGCAATGCATCTTGCAAAGGCTTGATGACAACAACGCCAACACCTTCACCGCGTGCGTACCCACTGCTGTTCGAATCGAAGCTGTTACATCGACTATCTTTGGAAAGAAGACCCAAGTTGTCCATCATTAGTGTTGTCTCGAGGGATAAAAGGATGTTGCTTCCAACTGCCAGTCCCTAATCAGGATTAGTAAAAAAACACGCCTTTTGATCTCAATTTGCCCATACCATGCTAGAATCACCGCTCCAGATTGATTGGCAAGCCATGTCAAGAGCCATCAAGCTACTTGAGCAAGCTGTGTCAATGGCAGCACTCGGACCAACGAGGTCAAAAAACCAACTGACCCGGTTGGGTATCATGTTCGAGGTTGTTCCCGCAATGTCCCATTTCTGAAGAGATTGAGGGTCCTTTACATCGCACATCAGGTAATCATGACCAGTCGAGCCGGCGAAGACACAGGTTTTTGATTTCGCAATCTTCTCCATGGTCAAACCGGCATTCTCTAATGCTCGATAGGCCGCCTCCAATACCAGTCGTTGCTGAGGATCCATGGCTTCGGCTTCTGCAGCCGTTATGGAGAAGAATGGAGCATCAAAAAGACCAAGGTCTTCGGTCATGAAATGACCGCCACGCTGGGATAAAGTGTCAAGGCGGCTTGTGTCGGGATTGTAAAATGAGTCGATATTCAATCGATCTGATGGAAACTCTGTTGAAGCACATCTTCCCTCGACTAACATGTCCCAAAAAGCCTCTGGGGAAACTGCATCTTGTGGGAACTTCAGTGACAAGCCAACGACTGCCAATGGATGTAGTTTCTGGTCTTGATTTGACATGTTTCTCTCGCCCTCCAAGGGTGATAAAGTCACAATATGTGTAGTGCAAATGTGGAAAGCTTCAAAGAGCCGCTCCTTTTAGAAGCGAATTTGGGAAGCCTATGCTTGGGTCTCGGTTGAATTTCACTCACCACTCAGGCTATTGTTCCGTAAATACAAACCACCCCGTAACCACAACTATGTCGACATGGCGGTCAACTCCGATGCATTCTCCACTACCCACAGAGCCACTGCATACTGCATCAGCTTTTATCAGAGGCGAAGATTGGGCCGTCAAACTAGTAGTGCGGGTTTGCGGCTCGTTGGAGCCGGCTGATTACTCCGGACTCCCGATATGATACAGCGCGCCAATGTACATTTCTACTGTCCAGCTGAATAGTGGGGCAAGGCTAGCGGTGTAATTCATATTTAACGCAAGCCGAAGCAAACAGGGCTGTGATATCTCAAAAGGGAAATATGGAGCTTTGTTGAAGTTTCGTCAGCTCAGCCACCCCCCGGGGCCCAACTATAGGTTACACGTGAGGGCCATGTACATCCTTCTGCAGTCAGCATAGGCCCACATCTGCATTGTAAGATAATGATGCAAGACCTAGAGCATCCACTGCGCTATCAGGGCCGTGCATAAAGCTGACAGATGACTTTAGACGCGTATGAGAATATCAAACTCGGTAAACTTCGCAGACAGGAGCTTTGTCTCGATTTTCCGTTTGATCTATTTTAATACCTGGCTGTATGGAAATCAACTGAATGAAAACCCGTGCAATAAAGTGAGGTGAATCCGAGAGAGCCGACTGCCCAGCTCTCTAAAAGATCCAAAATGCGTTTCTTATGGCAAGTCCACTACTTCCCACGAACAGAATCCTTTACAAAGAGCTGATAACCAAAACAGCTTTCATGGGATTGGTACAAACTCCGAGGTGAGAGTCGGTGACTGCTTTTATTTGCAACTGTAATATTAACCACACCATCTTCCAGACATTCAAACAACAAACCGGTAATGCAGACCAAATCTATACCAATTATGGATCTTAATAACAATTTTTGAAAAAGCTGCTATTCGCTATGAGCTTGGCGATAGTCACACCTATGAATTCGTCGATGGAACATTGCCTTGGGATATGGATAAAGGTCAGCAGACTTATGAATTATTGAATAAACCATACTTACTTAACCCGCAGATATGAAGGATTTCATGCTTTCCGACGACCCAACATTTGCTTACTGCACCCGTACCAAACCAGAGACTTGTGCAAAAGCTATCGATGACCTCGACGCATTTTTGGAGAACGAGGAACCCTACGATGGTGTCATCGGATTCAGCTCAGGGGCAAACTTTGCATTGTCGTGGATGATCAACAGAATTCAAAGACACAAAGACTCCGAGCAGCTGCCTTTCAAAGTCGGGATATTCTTCTCCACGGCTGATCCCCTCCTAGAGTGCAAGCGGGCACCCGAATTAATCGTGGAGCCTTGGAATCCTGTGGACATTGAGGGTATCATGGATATACCAACCGCACATATCTGGGGTTCTGCGGACTCGTACCGAGAGAATTCCGAATCAGCAAGTCAAGCCTGCAATGAAGATACAAGATCCATCTTTGTTCACGAAAGAGGACATGAAGTCCCAATGTCCAATGAGAATGTGATATCTGCAGCGAAGGTTATCAACAGAACCATTGCGAGGGCCCAAGGCTTCAATTGAAATACACTCTGGAGGTTTCATGCCTTTTTTCTATAGTCTATCCTACCATATGAACACTCAAGCACATTTGCCAAGATAGCATGTCTCAATAAACTTGGAAACGATCAAGTAAATCTCAATATTTGGATTTCGTGCTTTCTGCTAGTGCAGAGCAAATCTCACTACTCCATACTCCGCACAGAGTACGGCAATTGGAACGTCGGTATAAAAAGCCGTCTTCTCTCGAGCGACCCACTCAGGAGAATAGCCGATCGAAGCGATTGTCCCCACAAGCCATTTGTTTTCGATCTTGCTTTTCGTGCTAGAACGTTCGAGATTTCGCAGCTGAAAATTGAGTCGGGTCGCAGTGCTGACATCTTCTCGGCGCCCCCTAGTGGCGTTATTGGTCCCTCGTTGATACCGAAGATGATAAAAACATTTACAAACTTTGTACTCCCTACTATACATCTGGATCTTACGTAGTACTCCGTACAAGATGCTCATGTAGCACAGAGATTGCATTGCAGTGATGCAACTAGAAAAGCAAGGGAATGTGATGCAGAAACTCCATAGAACTCAAAACTCGTATTATTACTCCCATGTCTTTTTTTCGAATATTTTCGCGTTTCCCCTTTCTTTTGAAGGTGTCCACTGATGATCTCAGCTCAGACCAATCCGTATCTTACGTATTATCATTGGAAAGCACTGTGTGTCCCTTTCGTGAGCTGTGGTCAGGAAATCGCTGGTGCAGAACCAAGCGATCCATTCGATCTCTGCGGATCTGTAGACTGCGTAGGGAGTACACTCCACATAAATACTAATAATGTATCTTAGTTACTCGATAAAAAGGAACGAACAGTGGAATATATTGCTTCTCCGGGTGTCACCCTATTCTACAGTACACTGGCATTATGATGTCCAAGAACCCCGAAACAGTCGACCTTTGCGACTATTTGTGCACGCGCTTAAAGCAAATCGGTATTCAATCGGTTCATGGCGTACCCGGTAAGTTGACGGTCATTTTAATATTGCTCCTTATGATCACTGATGAAGATATTATGGGGAAGGTGACTTCAACCTAGTAGCCCTGGACTATGTGGAAAAATGTGGTCTCAATTGGATTGGAAACTGCAACGAACTTAATGCCGGTAAAACTTCATCCAGCACTGTCTACCGTTGCATAACGAGATATACTAATAGCGAAATGGAACTACCCAGGCTACGCAGCCGATGGATATGCACGCATCAATGGAATATCGGCATTGATGACGGTGATGGGAGTTGGAGAGCTGTCCGCATTTAACGCAATCGCCGGCGCCTTTGCCGAGTTTGTGCCTGTGATTCACATTGTGGGCAAGCCAAGCCGGCAGGCACATAAAAACAGGCTCTGTGTGCACCATAGTCTCGGGGATGGAGATTTAAACGTCTTTGAAGAAATGAGCCGCAAAGTCTCCTGTCTCACAGTCAACATTGACAGCCCAGAGACCGCAGCCTCCTTGATAGATGAAGCCATTCGGACATGTTGGATCCAGAGTCGGCCAGTTTCAATCTACATTCCTTGCGATATGTACCAAATTCCAATCCCATGTCAAAGATTGCGCAGCCAGTCGGCTTTGGGCCGGGACATGCCTCCGGACGACGTGCATGCACACGAAAGACTTGTTGACGCGGCGATGAGAGAGATACGATTAGCAGCAAACCCTGTGATATTGGTTGGATCATACGGTATTCACCACGGGGCAAAGGCAGAGCTTGACGACTTCCTGTCGAAAGTTGACTCTCCTGTGTTTGCCGCCAGTTCAGGGCTGGGCATTGTTGATTCGAGGCTCCCGCGCTTTGTTGGACTATATGTTGGCTCTTGTTCGAATTTGAAGACGCGTGAAAAAATGGAATCTGCTGATCTTGTCATTTGCATTGGCAATATTCAGTCTGATCTCAGTACGTCTGGGTTCAACGGGGTTCTTCAATCCGCGAAGCTGATAGAGATTGAGAGAACCAAGGCCAGAGTCAAGGGTCAAGCCTTTGAAGGCATCTATGCTAACAATGTACTGAAGGCACTCGCCGGGAGGATTCGGAGATCAACCAAAGAATCCGTCTGCGTTGATGCGTCTCATCATGGAGGTCCTTCCTCTGTTGGTGCCCACCCTCAACGGCCTATGTCTTCTCCAAAGAATACAACTCTCTTCAAATCCGGACTTCAGATTCTCACCAGTCTTCCAGACTATGTCAATCCCCTGTCATACATTTGGCCCAAGCCCACAAAGCATGTGGAATATGCGTCTGAAAAGTCAGCCCCAATCACACACGATTGGTTCTGGCCTAGCCTAGGGAAATGGCTCAGGACTGGAGACATCATCCTGACCGAAACCGGCACATCTAGCTTTGGTATCTGGAATACGACCCTCCCACCCGATAGCATCTTCATAGCCCAATACCTGTGGTCAAGCATCGGATACACAGTGGGCGCCTGCCAAGGCACAGCCCAGGCAGTGCGTGATTCAGCCAATACAGAACGACGCACCATCCTCTTCATTGGAGATGGCAGTCTTCAATGTGGATGCCAAGAGCTGAGCACAATAATCCGGCAAGGACTCACGCCAATCATGTAAGTTATTGGGGGCTGACGCCCAACCTGACGCTCTCCAGATCAGGCTGCTAATCCCCGATAGTTTTGTCATATGCAACAATGGGTACACCGTGGAGCGGTTGATTCACGGCGAGAAGCAGATCTACAATGATATTCAGCCGTGGAATCATCGGCTCCTCCCCGCAGTGTTTGGCGCAGCGCCGGGCACTTACCAGACCCACCGTGTCGAAACTACAGCCGAGCTGGAGGCTTTGTGGCGCTCTGCAACTTTCACCGACTGCTCGGTCCTGCAGGTAAGCCCGCCAGATGAAGACTATTGGACCATGCAAGCGATCGAGACCTGACATCTTGTAGCTTATCGAATTGTGTGTAGCACAAGACGATGCCCCATCCAATCTGGTTGCATTAGGCCAATCACTACAGAAACGAAACGCCTAGTTCTACCCCCTTGCTCCCGAGTCAACGGTGATCCCGGGCTGGATGTACATTTTCTTATTTCGAATCTTCATTGCGACGCTCACATCGCCACGTATGCCCCCGAAAAATACATTTCTTTTTTTTTTTTTTTTTTTTTTCCTAAAATTATTGTCGTATTTGTTGACCCCACTTTCCACTCGCACCGTAGATTGTATAGACGCATTCTCAAGCTCCGTAGTTCACAATTCCATTGAACCATCGATATGGACTCTTCTTGTGCTGTTGTAAAAGGACAGAGCCACAGCCCACTCTGGCTGACGACTACCGTCGGTGATGTCGTGCATAACCAAGCAACAAAGTATGGATCGAAAGACATTGCCGTCTTCCCGTGGCAAGGTGTCCGATTATCATACGCCCAACTGGCCGAACGAGGAGAACTGGTAGCCAAAGCCTTACTCAGAGCTGGGGTCAAGCCAACAGAATGTGTTGCCGTTCTTGCTGGGAACCGATTCGAATATCTTGAAGTTGTGGTTGGGGGTGCTTTGATCGGATGCTCGGTTCTGGTACTCCATACCACATACAAACCCTGGGAGCTTCAGAATGCACTGGAGAAGACAAGTGGGTTGAAGAATGGAAACCTATTTTTGACCTTGTGCTAACCGTTCCATGGTATCTAGAATGTCGTGTCTTATTCCTCGCTTCCAGTATCGGTTCTCGTTGCATGGACGAGCACTTTGAGATATTGAATACCCCAACCGCACGCTCCACTCTGGCAGGACTGGTCCGGGTCGTGCGGGTTGGCGATGAGTCCTGCAGCGAGCCATCGGCGTTGAATGAGGATTATGAGAATTTCCTGTCGTCGGCAGCTATCGAGGTCGATTCTTTATACGAGACAGCCACTCAGTCGATTCATCCATCAGATGTGGCCAGCTTGCAGTTCACGTCCGGTAGGCAGCTCTTGTTGTGGTCAAATTTGACTCGGCTTCAATGCTCACAGCTGTATAGGCACAACCGGTGCAGCCAAGGCATCGATGTTAACCCATATGTGAGTGTCCATTGCGAACCGGGATCGACATAGCATTGAGGCCTATTGTGACTGATATTAGTCCGCAGAAATATTCTCAACAATGCACGCTTTGTCGGGGACAATCTCCAACTGACGGAAGACGATATAATCTGCTGTCCACCCCCACTGTTCCACTGTTTCGGACTCGTGATGGGATTCCTCGCATGCCTCATTCACGGCTGTACAATCGTATATCCCACCGATCACTTCGACGCCGGACTTGTTCTGGACTCGATTGTGGAAGAAAAGTGCACAACGCTGTATGGAGTGCCAACCATGTTCATCGCCGAGCTCGAGGCCAATCAAGCGCGGAGCCGCAATATCCAGAGTTTGCGCAAGGGCTTAGCGGCAGGATCCACTGTACCACTCTCACTGATGACCAAGCTCAAGGAGCAATTGGGGATTGAGACAATGCTGATCGCGTACGGAATGACCGAGACGAGTCCCGTTACCTTCATGTCCAGCTTCGAGGATCCCGTTGAGATGCGAGTCGCGACTGTTGGAAAGATCATGCCGCATACAGCGGCCAAGGTGATTGATAAGATGGGTAGAGTATTGGGGAGAGGGGAGAGGGGAGAGCTTTGCACATCGGGGTATGTCCTACAACGAGGATATCTCGATGACGAGGAAAAGACGATGGAAGTTATGAAGATGGATGAAGATGGAGTCGTCTGGATGCATACTGGAGATGAGGGAATGATTGACGACCAGGGATACTGCCGTATCACCGGACGGACCAAGGACATCATCATTCGGGGTATGTGCTCTTGATTCTCAAACGAAATATGTCATCAACGACTCACAAGCGCAGGAGGTGAGAACATTTTCCCCGTTGAGATTGAAGAGCGGCTTCTGGCGCATCCTGCCATTGCAGAAGTCTGCGTGGTTGGGGCACCCGATCAAAAATATGGCGAGGTTGTAGGCTGTTTCTTGAAGATCTCTGAAGGTGCTATTTGCCGGCCTGGGTTAAAGGAGATCCAGGACTGGGTAAGACCCAGTATGGGATGGTCCCGTACTCCGCAGGTTGTCTTTTGGGTGGGCAAAGATGGGATATGCCTTGACTTCCCCAAGACTGGCAGCGGCAAGCATCAGAAACATCTGTTGCGTGAGTTAGCGGCCGGTCATGGTAAGACGCAACTTGCTGCTTGACTTGGCGGATCATGTGTCTGAAACGCCCGATCGTTATACAGTGGGCAGAAACCAATGAAATTAAGATATATATGATCCGAACCCATGTCCCGGATGTTTTTCTCCGAAGACCAACGGGATAGGTATTATGTCCTGACCCAACAGGCATACCCTGGAGACCATTCCGTACAATAATTACAAATTAAACACCTGGGGCGGGTTTTTCAACCGCCCCGAATCACCATACATGCAGGCGGCATTTACCATCCAACTACCACCTCTGCTCTCACCACCCCAGATGTGAGCCCAGACCACGCCGAGAATGCCATAGCCGACGACCCGCGCAGCATCCATCCACGCCGTGAGATCGAAGAGGTCGCGGAGGAAACCAGCCAGCGAGGCTAGACGAGTCAAGCGAGCCCGACCACGGCGTGACGCACACAACCTCTCCCAGGCACGCTGGGCCTCATCCCAGAAGATCGGTTCTTGACCGGCGGAGTGATGGACGTGACCAAAGACATGCAGGGCGGGACGAACGCGCCATGATTCTGCCAGTAAGTTGGGACAACCGATTGAGTAAATAGGAGAGAGGTCCAGATGGGCTTGGGGTGGTGTATGAGTGACCAAAATATCAGTTTCTTGGGGAACAGTGCCGGACCAAGCGTCGTGCTGGGGCGGGTACGTGAAGGCATGCTCGGGGCCAAAGGGAACAATGGCCGGGATTTGTGGTGCGCCGTAGATGGTCAGGGCGCGCGAGCGGGAGCTTGTCAAAGGTGTGGTTTGCGAGGGGGTGGATGTGTCTTTGAAGGCGAGGGTGACGGCGGAATGTTGGAGGTAGTGAATATCTCCCCAGTCGATGCGGTTATTCAGGTCGAGGGAGTGAATCGAGGCCGCCGAGGAGACTGCTGCAAAGGAGCTGGTCGAGTCGCGGTCCTCCTCTAGGCGCGACCGCACGTCGAAGTAGCTATCATGATTTCCCCCGATGGCGATCTTATGGGGATGGGGCAGGCTGCGGAGCCAGTCGACGGTGGCTTGAATCTCCCGGACAGAGCCATCGTTACATAGATCGCCTGCGTGGATCAGGAGGTCCCCTTCTGGCACGTCGGGCCATTCGAGGGTGTGGGTGTCTGAGATGCAGACTACGCGGATGGGCTGGACATCTGGAGATGGTCGTCGAGGGGGACCTCGCAAACGAAGGAGGACTTGGTGCACGGGATAAAGAAGGGCGACAAGGGGAGAGGCGATGAAATAGTCATGAATGGGACGACGGTCAAAAGGGCTGGCCATGGTTGCGGAGAAAAGAATCCACCGCTCCAGGCGGGGGTGACATCAGTCACTATTACACATGTCAGCTACTAGTTTAGTATCTACGAGGTTATTGTACAGTATATGACCTTGAGACTAAAGAATGAAAATAAAAATAAAAATAAATACAATAGAAGAAACAGAGTCTTGTATTGTCAAGTAGTCCCATTGCTGAGAATATATATACCATAGATCGTCTATTAACATGGGCACTATTGCACCTGAGTCCATACCTAGTAGGTACTTGGCCTTGGACCCTTCCAAGTTCGAATATCCTGTTTCATCTACCTACATAGGTACCTAGGTAGGTATCAAGTGATGTTCTGACGATATTGGCTATTTATTTAGGGCCTCCATGCCGCATTCGCCACCATCTGGGTAGCTGTTTGCGGAAATGCTACAATCATTTACGGTCAAGGTTGAATGCATTTTTCATTTTCCTCGATCTTGAAATCTCCAACTCGTACTAGTAGTGGGCTCGATCGGCGCGCTCTGGACTTGTGGCCGCCATTTCACCTGTGCCTTTCTGTGCCTTCGCCCTGTTCCTCACCCTTCTTTTTTTCATTCCTTTTTTTTTCTCTCTCTACCCTTTCCCATCGTGTGATTCCATGCACCTGACCTCTCATCAATCGGAGATTTCTTGCAGGTTCATAGTGCGCCCCTCATCCACCGCCTCTTAACTTTCCGCTGGGCCAACCAAAAGCCCGTGTGCCCCGCCTCTCAGCTTGACCTCCCAAATCTCCACATCATGGAGGGAGTCGATCTTACCAAGGCGATGCTCAACAAAGGCAAACAAATGGCGAACGTCGCAGCAACAGCTGCCAATGGCAATGGAGGCAAGAAACGAAGAAAGGGAACCGACTTGAAACCTATTCTGACCAACGAAGGAACTCCTGCAGAATCGTATGTGCTGTGTGTTTGGATCGACCCCCGGTTCGAGCGCTAACAGATGGACAGCACCGGCGCCGCCCCTTCCAAACCCTCGGCGTCGCGTTCCTCCTCATCGTCGGGCGAAGAGCTGGAAGCCACCGCGGAGGAAGAGGATTCCGAAGATTATTGCAAGGGCGGGTACCATCCGGTCGCGGTCGGGGAAACATACAACAACGATCGCTATGTGATCGTGCGCAAGCTGGGATGGGGTCACTTCTCGACGGTCTGGTTATCACGGGATACGAAGACGGGTAAACACGTCGCGCTGAAGGTTGTTCGATCCGCCGCCCACTACACCGAGACTGCGATCGACGAAATCAAACTGCTCAGCAAGATCGTCCAAGCGAAGCCCTCGCACCCGGGTCGGAAGCACGTCGTCAGCCTGTTGGATTCCTTCGAGCACAAGGGTCCCAATGGTGTCCATGTGTGTATGGTGTTCGAGGTCCTAGGCGAGAATCTGCTGGGTCTCATCAAGCGATGGAATCACCGCGGGATTCCCATGCCGCTGGTGAAGCAAATCACAAAGCAAGTATTGCTGGGACTGGATTATCTTCACCGAGAGTGTGGCATCATTCACACGGACCTGAAGCCGGAGAACGTGCTGATCGAGATCGGAGACGTGGAGCAGATCGTCAAGGCGCACGTGCAGGAGGAAGCCAAGAAAGAAGCCAAAGAGGATAACAGAAATGGGAGGAGACGCAGGCGAACCCTAATTACGGGCAGTCAGCCGCTCCCCAGTCCGCTTAACACCAGCTTTAGCAGCTTTGACTTCAAACACAGTTCTTCCAACTCACACAGCAGTCTCAATCAGATGGTCAACGAATCTTCAGGTGAGCACCCTCGCCGCGCTTCGAAATGCGCCTGGACTGACTTGAACAGCGACCACCGCAGAAGCCCCCTCCATGAAAGATATGCTCGGAGTGAAGGATGAAGATGAGAAGCAAAACCAGCGGGAGAAGACAGCGTAAGTGAACTGCTTTTGTCAGTGGGCCCCAGCTCACATGTGTTCAGTGATCTTCTGGAACGCGAGGTGTCCGGTATTTCTCTTGATAAGCCCCCTACAAGGTCACTAGAAGAAGAGATCGATGCCAACATTATATCCGTCAAAATCGCCGACCTGGGCAATGCGTGCTGGGTGGGCCACCACTTCACAAATGACATCCAGACTCGTCAATACCGCTCCCCAGAAGTCATTCTGGGTTCAAAGTGGGGAGCCAGTACTGACGTCTGGAGTATGGCTTGCATGGTAAATACACACCTGAAACGAGTCGCAGAACACTTTACTAACAAAATCAGGTGTTCGAACTCATCACAGGCGACTATCTCTTCGACCCCCAATCAGGCACCAAGTACGGCAAAGACGACGACCACATCGCGCAGATCATTGAATTGCTCGGTCCGTTCCCCAAAAACATCTGCATGAACGGTAAATGGTCCAACGAGATCTTCAACCGCAAGGGCGAGCTACGCAATATCCACCGCCTCCGTCACTGGGCGCTCCCCGACGTCCTGCGAGAAAAATACCACTATTCAATGGAAGAGGCGATGAAGATCAGCGAGCTTCTCCTCCCAATGCTCGACCTTTCGCCCGAAAAGCGAGCCAATGCAGGTGGCATGGCCTCTCACGAGTGGGTGAAGGGGACGCCCGGTATGGACGGCATTGATCTTGGGATTGAACCCGGGACTCGGGGTGAAGGAATCGAAGGCTGGGCCGTTGAGGTGAAGAAGCGATGAACGCATTCATTTTAGTCTAGATTTTTCACTGGGCTTTTATTCCCATGCCCTTACGGCATTGATGTGAGTTAACGATCTTTTTCTTTTCCATTTTCTATTTACGGGTTGATACTGGTTGGTTCTATGTCTGGTTTTGCGTTCTTCCTTGCGGTAGTTTGGGCGGGTGTTCACTCTGCGACCTTTCGTACGTCTGTTTCTCCTGGTACCCTGTTGCTTAGCTTTCATCCATAGACTATGGTCGGATTTCCCATTGATCTCGAGGAGGCTGTGCTCCTTTTTCGTATTCACCATTGGTCTTATGTAGGCCCAGCCGAACGAATGTCATAGCCATGCGATGTATGAATGTTGTCCCGATTCTTGATCCTTTGGTGGCTTGGGAGGCAGTGGATGTTGATGCCAATGCCTGCCGAGAGACATAACCTCTCATGCTTCGTCTCCATTCTCCTCGCTTGGAAGGCACTTAGGGAACCACCCGTACTCAACCAAGCTCACATAAATCTCACCCATGCTGTCTGTGGTGACCTCAACGCCTTCTGACTGGAGGACATCGGCTTGGCGCTGCGCACTCCCGGGTCCACTGCAGTCAACGTCAGCCATCAAGGGTGCTCAGGTGCGAGGATCTGAGCTCGGGCTCGGGGCAGGCTGTCGGAGAGCGAAGTCGAGTACTAGGGCTTCACAACATACCGATGAGAGATCATTCCTTTCGAGTTGATAACTCGCTGCCATGGCACGTTGTCACCGTTGAAGTGCGCGCTAGACTCCGCCGGCGGAAGGACTTTCAGACAAACTCCAACTTGGCGAGGGCGCTGGGCTGATTGAGCAAAGGAGTTCAGTATCTCTAATATGACCAGCGGACACAATCCGTACGTTCACCTAGTAGTAGAGCTATGTGGCCGTAGGTTGTCACTTTGCCGGGTGGGATCTCTTGAATGGCCTCGTACACTGCATTGGCCCACCATTCTGCCTCCTCAGATCGAGGCATTGCAAAGCCGACTGAATGAAGAAACCAAGAAACCAAGAAACCGAAAGCTTCCGCGATTCTTTACAGCGCCTCAAATATCCAAACCCCGAGCATCAACATCGATAATCAAGGGCGCTAAGGAAAGCGGCATACAGTTCGGAGAAACTTTGTTCCCACTATCAATCGATAACTCGATTTATCACTGAGCCTCCGCCTACGAAGTACCTCTACATTAGACCAAAATCATGCCGGGCTCGCTTGCCGATTACCTAGCGAAGAACTATCTCACAGCAGACCCGGCCACCGAGCGGCCAAAGAAGAAGCGCAAGAAGACCAAGGCCGTCGACACTTCAGGCTCTGGTCTCATCATTGCCGACGATGATCCCCCAGACATCCGCGCCTCGTTAGGCAACCGACGTGAAGATGACGAGGACAGCCCATACGTCGACACATCTGCTAAAACAGCGGAATTCCGTCGAGCTAAGAAATCAGGCTGGAAGACCATTGGAGGACCGGCGCCCGGTCAGGCAAGCGAACAAGAAGCTGCCGACGCGATCCTTGCCTCCGCAGCAGCCGAACGAGCCGCGGAACAAGACCAAGACAACGAGGACGATCCAACAGTCGACGATGACGATGATGGAGCAGGGCGCATGGAATCGGGCGCACGCGGTGGTCTTCAAACTGCGGCCCAGACCGCGGCGATGGTGAAGGCACAGGAAAAGCGCCGCAAGGCCGAAGAAGCACTCTACCGCGACCCTTCCGCTGCGAACGAAAAATCCCAAGAAACGATCTACCGAGACGCCTCCGGACGCATCATCAATGTAGCCATGAAGCGCGCAGAAGCCCGACGAGCGGAAGAAGAAAAGCGCGAAAAAGAAGAACAAGCACGCGATGCCCAGATGGGCGATGTTCAACGACAACAGCGCGCGGACCGCAAACAAGAACTACAGAATGCCAAAGGAATGACTCTGGGGCGGACGATCGATGACGAAGATATGAACGACGAGATGAAGGCCAAGGATCGGTGGAACGATCCTGCTGCGCAGTTCCTGACTGAGCGCCGTGACGCCGGGGCCAGTGTCACAGGGAAACCTCTGTATAAGGGTTCTTTCCAGCCAAACCGGTATGGAATTCGGCCTGGGCATCGGTGGGATGGAGTGGATCGGGCCAATGGGTTCGAGAAGGATTGGTTTGCCGCACGGAATAAGAAGAGTCGGTTCGAGGCACTGGATTATCAATGGCAGATGGATGAATAGTCGTGCTCATGTATCTTTAATCTATGGTGCTGGACGCCTGTTACATCGAACTTGGAATGTTAAATATAGTAAATCTATATATCTTACTCGCACATGCAATTTTGTAAGGCACTTGATTCCAACCATGAACTTGGAAGGCTCTCTAACTAATTTATTCATGGATCCATGAAGCGTTGGCAATGCAGGACTGATTACTCTCGCTGTGTTGATCTAGATGTCCATGGCGGAGATAAAGAACGCCAAGGTTGCTACGGGAATCTGTTTACCCAAACAAAAAACTTGCCCGCTCTTGGAACCTCCACCTCATCCACTGCAGACCTACTGTCTAGTCGCAAATATGAACACGCGAACTGGAGAAAGTCCCATGGAGTTTGAATGGGAGTCAAGAGGTCCCGGAGATGCGACCTCGCCCTTCTTTCAGCTCGGCGCACAGCATGACAGGAAACGTGGGCAGCCCAGGTGTCTTGGATTCGGAGACGGTTTTGCTCACATCTATCTAGGAACGCATAGCACATTCAGTTCTCCCAAGAAGCAGACTTTCCCGACCCTGCGAGAGCCAAACTCGCAACCTTTCCTTTTCTCTCAGCCCCGTCACCAGCCCGCACCACCGTCCCCAAAAGCCAAGTTCGGCCAATCTTCTTTCATGACGCCGCGGAAATTCGACGTCGATTTCTCGTCCGGAGCAGAGAATATGTCATCGCCGGAATGTGCGGATAACGAGGATACCCCCGAGCAGCCGTCAAAGACAGGGAAGGGAATCGGAGCAATGTTCAACTTCACCAAGCCCCCACAAAGCCCAGGGCGAGGGCAGATCCCGCGACTGGCCCATCACTCCAACGGCGCTGTCAACCGGATACAAAAGAAGCGCCGCAGGGATAGGGAGCTCGGCCGAAGAATCAAAGTGGACAGCGACGACGAGACCGACGACGACCGACCCAGCAGCAGAGACCAGCCGACCAAATTAGTAAAACCGGGCAAGCAGCAGGCCGAGCAGGGGCCTCGATCATCAACGTGGTCTGAATTCTTCAGCATGCTTGAAGCACACCCGAATGTCCCCGCTATTCTGTCATGGTGGGCCCAGCTGGTGGTAAATCTGTCGCTATTCTCTCTTGCCGTGTACGTTGTCTTCGGGTTTGTCTCGGCGATCCGCGGCGAGTTCGAGCAGGCCGCGCAAGAAATGTCCGACACCATCTTGGCAGATATGGCAGTCTGCACGAAGAGCTACCTTGACAACGACTGTGGACGGCCGACCCGAGCACCTGCACTGGAAACGATCTGCGAGAACTGGGAACGGTGCATGAATCGCGACCCGGCGAAGGTTGGCCGAGCCAAGGTCTCCGCCCACACCATGGCGATCATCATCAACAGCTTCATTGACCCCATCAGCTGGAAAGCAATCGTGAGTCTGGTCTCTCGCAAATCGCGGATTCGCGCTAATAGTATTTCTAGCTATTTTTCCTTGCAACCATATCCACAGTGACCGTTGTCAGCAATTGGTCCTTCCGCTCATTCAGACACCGTCTTCAACAGCAGCACTATGCGCAACACCCCCCATCGCAACCCATGCACCCACAGCTGCAGCATAACCCCTCTTTCGGATACTATGAGCAGCAAAATACTCGACACGCACAGACATACGAGAAACCAGATCAGCCTCTCATGTTGGAAAATACTCGGGCGATGGACTTCGTGACCGAGCGCAGCCGCGATCGTGAACAGCACCTTCGTACCCCAAGCCCCACAAAGCGCAGGTTTGCCTGAGCTGCATTGGCATCTGGGATTGTTCGGCGTCTTTGTTTGCGGGGATTGGCAGCATATTCGGCAGCATATTCGGGGATTGCTGGTGTTGGGTTGGCAATTTGTATTGACCCGGTGTTAATCTTATACCTTTTTCCTATTCTATTCTTGTATGTGTTTTGAAACAATTACTTGGCATCGAATGTCTATGTTCACTCCAAATCAATGTACAGGATAGTCCTGCCTCAGATGTCTGTGGATCTTCCTTTTCCCAACTCTCCTGCACTTTACGTTTCCCGGCATCGGTACAGCTCACAATGCTCACTTCCGATTTGTCTCGATGGCAGAAATTGCCAAGACAGTAGAACTAACTCGGAGACGGACCTCTGCGCCCGAGCCAGAGACGCAGTTGATCACGACCCTCAAAGCTCCACAGTACCCTGGACCGCTGCACGAGATAGCACGACCAGTCCTGGACAGCAAGTCGCTCATTTCTTGCTTCCTCTCTTTATAGTCTGAGTGATTGGGCATCATCACATGCATCTATCTCTTGGATTGATGATGTATAGAGCTTCGCCGAAACCGAAGCGGCGAACGTTGGCCGATGGGCGAGAGCTCGGCCACCGGCAGCGGCGACGCATGGGGTTTGCCACGGGGCCGAGTATAACTGATTCCGGGGCCTTCAAGGGTCCTCTGGGCAAGCTCATTCGCTGATCCGTTGACAGGCCTGCAGTTCCGAGGGGAGGGTCCCGTTCCCGATCTTCAGACTTGCCCTCGGCGATTTATCAGGTCCCGCTGCACGTCAGACGCCATGCGGCCTGAACTATGAGGATGGCCGAGTTTGGGAAAATTTTCATAGATGAAAATTTGCAAAATCCACCGATTGATGGCTATAAAGTAGTTCATAGCCATGTAGTTGTTTTGCAGATACAATCAAAATCTTCATTTCACTTCCTGCATAGCCTCAAATAATGCACATGGAATCAAAAGTCGACTCGGCCTCCTGCCCTGAAGGAGGCCTCATCGGCAACCTTGTGGTAGTAGGCAGCTTCAGCGCCATCATGGGTGGACTAGGTTTGATGAACAGCATCGGAATATACCAAGCCTGGATCTCAACACATCAACTATCAAACATCAGCGAAGGACAGATCGGATGGATCTTCGGTATCTACAATTTCCTCGTGTTCTTCTGCGGAATTCAAATTGGTCCTATCTTCGATATCAAGGGCCCCAGACTGCTGATGTGGATTGGATCGAGCTTGCTGGTGCTGACCTTCATTCTCATGGGCTTCTGCACGCAGTACTGGCATTTCCTCATTGTGATTGGCATTCTTGGCGGAACCGGGACTTCATTCATATTCATTGTCCCAGTAGCCAGCATCGGACACTTTTTCTTCAAGCGCCGAGGTGCAGCCACTGGCCTGGCGTTGGGTGGTGGAAGTATTGGCGGCGTGATCTTCCCACTGGTCTTGCAGAATCTTGCTCCACGAATTGGATTCGCATGGGCCAGTCGTGTTGTCGGTCTAATCACACTCATTCTTCTGATACCCGGACTGATCTTCGTGCGAGCCAACTTCCCTCCTTCCAAGGCCCCTCAAGTGCCGTCTCTGAAGAACTTCCTCCCTGATTTGACCATTCTTAAAGATCCTATTCTTGCACTGACGACCATCGGTGTTTTCTTCATTGAATGGGGATTCTTCATTCCGCTCGAGTACATCGCCTCTTATTCGATTGCCAGTGGAATCTCTCCCCGCATGTCATATCTGATGGTTGTCTTCCTGAACGCAGGCTCTTTTCCCGGTCGATGGCTCCCGGGCATCGTCGCCGATCGAATTGGTCGATTCAACACATTGATTCTGACAAATATTCTTTGTTTGATCTCCGTGCTGGCCATCTGGATGCCCGCAAACGGGAACATGGCTGCTGTAATCATCTTTTCAGTTGTATTCGGATTCGGCAGCGGCAGCAACATCAGTCTTGTCCCTGTCTGTGTGGGGGAATTGTGTCCCGTTGAGAATTATGGGCGATACTATACAACTGTGTATACCATTGTCAGCTTCGGGTAAGTCTTTTCGGGATCCCCTTTTGTCGCAACAGGTGGCTAACCATTTCTATTAGGGCTTTGACCGGAGTTCCGATCGCGGGAGAGATCATCCACCGCTGCGAGGGGGCATATTGGGGACTGATTTCGTTTGCGGGCTGCTCTTATGCAGCTGGATTGAGCTGTTTCATTGTTGTAAGGATTCTCCAGTACAAAAGGGCTAAGGTGGAGGTAAAGACCGAGACGGAGACGGTGACGGATGCGGAGAAGGCCGAGGTGCCGCTGGCGGGCGTTCCAAGTTTAGGCTGACCTCCTTATGACGAAAGAGACGAACCATCATGAAGCATTTAGCGACAAAAATAGAGAGTAGAGAATTGAAAAATTTACTTCTAAAATTTATTGATGAGTATCAAGCGCAGTGCCCAACCTTGGAATCTGGATTGGTTTAACCCCATGGTAGATAAAGCCCTTACTCAACTGAGATTCAGCAAACATGAGTCTAGGGCTCCCTCCGGGAACTATATCATATTCAGATCTGACCTGGCTTGGAATAATCAGAAGGATGGATGGTAGCATCCATGGCCATCAAAGAGCTTGTTGATTTCATGGTGACGCAAGTTTGCCATTTGCCATTGCTGGGGCAAGATCTGGATTTCGGCAGTTGTACGGCTGTTTGTCGATAAAAGAAGTTGATTGCCTTTCAAAAGCTGCTCTGTAATTTGCATCAATCTGTTTTCTTTGTTCCAAACCAGATATATACCGTCTTGCAAGAAGAATGGGCTCAATCTCTGGTGGAAAGCAGAATCTCATCATTGTGTCCAACCGGCTACCATTGTCGGTGAAACGGGTTGATGGCTCTTTCCAGTCCTCTCTTTCAAGTGGTGGTCTCGTCACCTCTCTCGCTGGACTGACCAAATCGACTCAGTTTCAATGGTTTGGTTGGCCCGGGCTGGAAGTCAGGGATCTCGGTGATAGAGAGGAAGTATCCAAAAGTCTGGAGGCCCATAATGCGATCCCCATATTTCTTGATAGTACTCTGGCACATGAGCACTACAATGGATTCTCAAGTAAGCACCGTGCCCTAATTCAAAGACATGCTCTGATATTCAGACCGAATTCTTTGGCCAATCTTGCACTACCAGTCGGGAGTAACGTTCGACGATACTCCATGGCAAGCGTATAAACGAGTCAACGAACTCTTTGCCGATGCAATTGTGGAGTCCGCCGAGAGCGGGACCTTAATATGGGTCCACGATTATCACCTCACGTTATTGCCCGAGCTTCTTCGCCATAGGCTTAAGCAGCAAGGGAAGGCTTGCGCCATTGGGTTTTCCCTGCATACCCCATTCCCAGCGGGCGACTTTTGGAGGAATCTGCCGGTCCGCAAACATCTTATCGAAGGTTTGTTATCGAGCGATCTGATCGGGTTCCACACGGACGAGTATAAACAAAACTTTATCGACACCTGTGCCAGCCTTCTGTGAGTGTTAGCTCTAATTCGTCCGATTTGCCCCCGTAGAGACCAAATTCTCATTTTGACACAGCGATGCACGTACCGAGATTCCAAATCAGATCCAGTACAAGAACCGTCTCGTCTGCACCAATAAATTCATCGTGGGCATCGACCCACAGAAATTCACGGACACGTTGCAGACGCCCAAAGTCCAAGATCGCATCCGAACCCTCAAAGAACGTTATAAAGGCGTCAAGGTCATAGTAGGAGTCGACAGACTCGACCATATCAAAGGTCTCACGCAAAAGTTGAGTGGTTTCGATACCTTCTTGGACGATCATCCTGAGCTGCAGAACAAGGTTGTTCTTATTCAAGTTGCCGTTCCCAGCCGCGAAGATGTCAAGGAATATCAAGACCTTGAGCGAGATCTCTGCACCATGGCTGGAAAGATCAATGGCAAGCATGGTAAGCATTCATCTTTCGGGCGAGAGATATACTGACAGAACAGCCACTCCCGAGGGTACACCACTGTTGTATATGCATAGGTCCGTCCCGTTTGCCGAACTGACAGCACTGTATTCCGTGGCCGATGTTTGCCTCCTCACGTCCACTCGAGATGGTATGAACCTCGTCGCATTCGAGTACGTAGCCTGCCAAGAAGAGCGTCATGGCGTTCTGGTGCTCTCTGAATTCGCTGGTGCATCGTCATTCATGTCCGAAGGGAGTATTTCATTCCACCCAGCTAACACGACTGAAATGTCCGAGGCAATCTTCAAAGCCATCACTCTGGATCCGTCCGAGCGTAAATCGAAGTATGAGTATCTTCGAAACTTCGTCAACGAAAACACAAGGTAGGACTCGATCTGCCAGCCTCAAATCGTCAACCACTAACCGCCACAGTGCAAAATGGGGTCAAGACTTTACCGACAAGCTGTCACAACGGTGTAAGCGCCCTGATAAGCCCTGTTGAGGGTATGCTGGATCGCAAATGGCGGCTGGATCAAGATGGATCAAGAAGGGGCCAGTTGGTAGTAGCAATAACAATAACAGAGACTGAATTCCGGTCCGAATAATAACTGTTGTACCTTCGGTAGAACTTGGCAGTATCCTTTCTCCAGGCCTACGTACCGATGTGCAATGCTTGTATGTGCCGCAGGTAGTTACCATGATATTTCTCCCGCACCAGCTCGTTCATCTACTTGAAAATTGATATGGGCAACGAGAGCAGTATCGCCCATCTATTCACAAGAGTATAATACTGTAGCTTGCAAATTGATGTCAGCGCGCTTCGGCGGAGCCCTTCTCAATCACGAAGTGCACTCCTGCAGTACCTGCATCATGTACCCCGGATTTCGTGGAATCAAGATTTCGAGGCACGCTAACCTACTTCCACGAACCAATTATCGTCGAGGATCAGACTCCGTTCCAAACCATTGAACCAATCAGCGAGCCCGAGAAGTAAATCACGAAGCCCTCCGCTGCCCTCTCTTCTTCCTCTTCCCAGAGCTGTTCATCTCTGGCTTTTTCACACATCCGGCTATGCCTTTCGAGGCTATCGATGAAGACCCCTTGTTCTTATTGATCCTCTGCCCCGTTCCGGCCTATACTTCGCTTCCTTGAGCCACTGACACGTTGAGGTCCTCGCTTCGTTTACATTGGTGAGTCGTTTACCTTGTTGAGCCCTATCATACGTGTATTTCGTTACGATTAGTCGTGGGATCCGCTTTTCTGGTTACGTGCCCCTCGTTCTATTGCGATGATTATGTCGTCGACACGTTTACCCGTGGACCCATTCCCTTTCCTGCACGCTTCACGCTTCACGCTTCATGCCTCATGCTTCATGCTTTATCCATCATGCTTCATCCCCCATCTACTGCCTCATGCCCATTGCTACCATGCCATGCATCTCATGAGGTCTTATCCTATCAGCTATCTCACGGCTGACACGGCGCTTCCAAGGTCGAAGGTCTCTGGCGTTTACTTTTCTGGTACGTGTCCCATCTTCCTATCTTGCCCCCCCAAACATCCATCACAACCCTTCCATCCAACATATCATATCATCTGCTTGCTTCTTCCATCCATCATTCTCGCATTTACGAGGAAGGAAAAGCATCTTCTGTTGATTGGGACTGTCATTCGCTTCATGTTTTCTCCTTGGCCCCTCTCGTCACATCCAACCTCCATCCATATTTATCGCATCAACTATCATACTATCTGCGATTGAGTCCCGCTAATCTTCGCAGAGCTTCCAGTGGCATCAGAAGCCTTCGGTTTCCAACTTTTTTTCGAGTGTTTTCTTCAAGCACCTGTTCAACATGCCTGGGTAAGTCTACCCTTTGTGCATGTTAACCTTGGCTCGCCCTCTTGATCAAAACTAACACCAAGTCTCAATAGTGACGCGAGAACAGTGATTGAACATGGTCTCTGGATGATCATCTCGGCTACTCAATCACTCTCTCTGCGGTGATTCGCTGTCGCTGGCCCAGAGCCTGGTCTAAGAAGACTGGTGCTGAACATCCTTGTATGTATATGATGCCTCATTGACCTTCATTTTGCTAACTCCAGTCATTCATAATAAGCATGCCCCTCGCTCTTCCTTCTCGGGCTACTGCGATGTTCCAAATGTCGAGATTTCTGTTTGCCCCCCCGAAATGGTATCAACCATAAGGAACATGCAAACAAGTCTGCCTACGTGAGTCCGACCCAAGTGTCCTTTGAGTTCCTTTGTAAGAGTCTTGGTGAAGCGTGATGACGAAAATATCACTCCGTCAAACTGATCCAGTATGGATTGGAGATGTCGAGAATCTTTTACGTCTGACATCCTATCTCTCTGAGAATCAGGCTAATACCTGCCCACTCTTCCGCGAAATTACTAACATCGTTCATTCCTGGCCAGTTATTTTCATACACAACGAATTCTGGTGTTGGATCTACGGTTTCCGTGGTGAGTCTTCATGAATACCTCCCCTCAGGACGAAATTGGTCGGCGTGATGACCAAACCACATCATCATCATCATGCAAGACCGTGGGGCGAGAGCTTTACGGGGTGTTGAGACAAATATTATCTGACCCGACCTATTCAACCTGCACATTGTTTTGTTATATTTAACAAGTCCAATTGGCTAATGAAACTTGAGAGCAGGGATCCCATTTCCCTACAATATCCATTTACCGGCGGTGATGACCAAACCACATCCATCATCATCATCATGCAAAACCATGGGGCGAAAGCTCTGCGGGCTGTTGAGAAAAATATCGTCTGAGCCGGTCCATTGAACTTGCACACGGGTTGTTATGTTCAGAAAGTCTAATTTGCTAATGGAATTCGATGGGAGGGGAATTTCCTTCGAGGCTTCAGTGAGTCTACTTCATCCCACATCCCTACAATACCCATTTACCGGCGGTGATGACCAAACCAAATACATCATCATCATCATCAAGCATAACCGTGGCGCGAAGGCTCTGCGGGCTGTTGAGAAAACCATGATCTGAGCCGTTCCATTGAACTTGCACAACCTTGAGTGTTCTGATATGTTCAGCAAGCCCAATTTGCTAACGAAATTCGAGAGCAGGGAAATTTCCTTCGAGTCTTTGAGTGAGTCTACCTCCCCATCCCTATCCCTACAATATCCATTTGGCAGCAGTGATGACCAAAACACATCATCATCATGCAAGACCGTAGGGCGAGAGCTCTACGGGGTGTTGAGACAAATATTATCTGAGCCAACCTATTCAACCTGCACACTTTTTTTGCAATATTTAACAAATCCAATTGGCTAATGAACTTTGACCGCAGGGAGCTTTCCTTCGGATCTGCAATGAGTCTACTTCCTCATCCTACATCCTTACGATATCCATTTACCGGCGGTGATGACCAAACCAAATCCATCATCATCATACAAGACTGTGGGGCGATAGCTCTACAGGGTGTTGAGACAAATATCGTCTGAGCCGGTTCATTGAACTTGCAGACTGTTTTGCTTTATTCAACAAGTCCAATTGGCTAATGAACTTTGATAGCAGGGAAGTTTCCCTCGAGTCTTCAGTCAGTCTACTTCCTTATCCCACATCCACATCCCTACAACATCCATTTACCGGCATGATGACCAAACCAAATTCATCATCATCAAGCAAAACCGTGGCTGCGAAAGCTCTGCGGGCTGTTGAGAAAAATATCGTCTGAGCCGATCTATTCAACTTGCACATTACTTTGTTATATCGAGCAAGTCCAATTTGCTAATGAATTTCAATGGCAGGGGGTCTTCCTTCAAGCCTTCAGTGAGTCCTCGTCCCTATCCCCATCCCTACAATATCCATTTGCCAGCAGTGATGACCAAACCAAATACATCATCATCATGCAAAACCGTGGCGCGAGAGCTCTGCGGGCTGTTGAGAAAATATCGTCTGAGCCTGTCTATTGAACATGCACTATCTTACTATATTCAGCAAGTCCAATTTGCTAACGAATGTCGAGAGCAGGGAACTTTCCTTCTACTCTACCGTGACTCAGTCTAATTCCCCATCCCCATCCCCATCCTTACAATATCCATTTGCCGGCGGTGATGACCAAACCAAATACATCATCATCATCATGCAAAACCGTAGGGCGAAAGCTCTGCGGGCTGTTGAGAAAAATAGCGTCTGAGTCGGTCCATTAAACACACACAGCCTTGAATCTTCTGATATGTTCCGGAGGTCGCAATCCCAATTTGCTAATAGGACTTGAAAGCAGGAACCTTTTCTTCGAGTCTTTCAGTGAGTCTACTTCCTCATTCCACATCCAATATCCCTACAATATCCATTTACCGGCAATGATGACCAAACCACATTCATCATCATCATGCAAGACCGCAGCGCAATAGCTCTGCGGGGTGTTGAGAAAACTATTATCTGAGCCGAAAGAATACACAATCTTCTGATGTGTTCAGCAAGTCCAATTAACTAATGAAATTCGAGAGCAGGAAAACTTTCTTCGAGTCTTCAGTGAGTCTACTTCCTCATCCCGCAACCCCACGACGTTCATTCCAGGCATGATGACCAACATAAAACATCATCATCATTCTGAACACTGATGGAAATCGCCAATCTGACCCAGCCTCCTATTCCCGGTGGACTCTTCGACGTCAAATAAGACCAAATTGGCTAACAGATTATACTTAGGTGGAGCCAGTCCCCTTGATTCGCCTTTATGAGTCTTGCGACTTCAACGGTGAGTTTCTTTCTCTTGCACACCAGCCTGTCTATGAATCAACCTTGAAACCTGGGAATGATGACCAAAACAATATCATCATCATCATTCTGAGGCGTGATGGACAACACCAAAAAGATCGGAAATCTTCATTTCTGACCCAGCCCACTGCTTCTAGGGAAATCCATACCTTTCGGGACGAATTGGTTGGCTAACTGATTACACTTCCTACCTAGTATCTATACGGCTTCAGGAATTCACTCAACTCTCGAGATCTCATACATTATTGTGAGTTTCCGTGTTCGTCCCTGAGCTCATATGTCACTCAACCTGGGAATGATGACCAAAAGCAATATCATCATCATCATTCTGAGGCGTGATGGACAACACTAAAAAGATCGAAAATCTTCATATCTGACCCAGCCCACTGCTTACAGCAAAATCCACACCTCCGCGATGAATTGATTGGCTAACTGGTTACACTTCCTTCCTAGTACCTACTCGATTCCAAGATTCAACTCAATCTTCGATATCACATACATTATTGTGAGTTTCCGTGTTCGTCCCTAAGCTTATTTGTCATTCATTCTGGACATGATGACCAAAACCACATCATCATCAATTTGATACCTTATGAAAACAACCAAGATCTGATCCACTCCACTCCTTCTGGCAGATTCTACAACTTCAAGAGAGTTCAATGGCTGACTGATCACACTTACTAGCACTGTCTGGCAAGACTCGACCTTTGTCATCCCGCAACCCTTATTGTGAGTTTCCTTGTTCGTCCCTGAACTTATATGTCATTCAATCTGGGCATAATGACCAAAACCACATCATCATCAATTTGATACCTTATGAAAACAACCAAGATCTGAACAACTCCACCCTTCCTGACAAAGGCTATGTCTTCAAGCGGAGAATCGACGGGCTAACTGATGATATTTTCTACCTAGTGCCTAATCGGATTGACTCGATCGATTTTATCCTATGGGATTCTGGAACCATTATTGTGAGTTGCTCTTGTTTATACGTGCATTCATGTCACCGAAATTCGTTGGAATGATGACCAAAACCAATATCATCATCATCAATCTGATACCCTATGAAATGAACCGGAAATCTTTATATCTGACCCAACAAACTACTGCCGGCAAAGTCTACATCTTCAAGTGGAGATTTGATTGACTAACTGGTTATATTTTTTCCCTAGCACCTTTTCGGATTGGACGAACCTTTATGATCCTACGACCCCTTTATGATCGACCCTACGAGAATCATTGTAAGTCCCCCCGTTCATACCTGAGCTCATAACACTCAACCTGGGAATGATGACCAAAAACAATATCATCATCATCATTCTGAGGCGTGATGGACAACACCAAAAAGATTGGAAATCTTCATATCTGACCCAGCCCACTGCTTCTGGCAAAGTCCGCTTGTTCAATTGAGGAATAGATTGGCTAACTGGCTCACTTCCTAGCACCTCATTACTTTGACTCGATCGGTTTTATCCCATGGGACCCTGCAGCAAGTATCGTGAGTTCCCCTCGTTCGTACCTAAGCTCATATCACTCAACCTTGGGATGATGACCAAAACAAATATCATCATCATCATTCTGATACCTCATGAAAAATAACCGAAAATCTTTATATCTGACCCAGCCAACCGTTTCTGGCAATTTCTACAACTTCAAATGAGGAAGTGATTGGCTAACTGTTTATAAATACTAGCATTTCGTCGGTTCCAAGATTTAACTCAACCCTTGTGAGTTCTCGTCGCGTATTCCCGACTCCATATATCACTCAACCTGGATGTGATGACCAGAGCAAAAATCATCATCATCATTCTGAAGCCTGATGAGTCTCGAAATCTGATCCAATTCACCGTTCTCCGTGGAGATTTCTGAACACAAGCTTTGTTCCCTTGAATGCCTACTTGCTGACCCTACTTGATAACAGAAATCCGATTGGTTTTGCCTTTCTTTGCCTTTCTCATGGGCCCCCAATCGACCTCGTGAGTTCCTTTCTTCTAATCCCGAGCACTCCTCCAATCCGACCTGCACATGATGACCATCCCAACATCATCATCATCATTCAGAGACGTGATGGAAAACAACGGAAGATTTCAAGTCTGACCCACCCATCATTTCTGATGGAATCCATTTTATCGTCCCAAGAAGAACATCTGTGACTGGCCTAATTGATAACAGTTCTCAAGCATATGCAGATGATCTGAGATCTCTCGACTTTTTTATCATCAATGTCGCGAACTCCCTTTTTCTTCTCACGCTGATCCCCATCAAATCTGGGAATGGTGAGCAACGACATTTTCAATGTCATCTGACACGGTCTCCCACGACTTGGAAGATCATGGCAGGTGACACTGAATTTGGCGTTGACCGCTATGTCCGGGCTTGATTAATGTTTACAAAAGCCTTTCCAAACATGCCGTTGCTCTCTTTTATTTTTCTGAGCCAGTCTATCATTCAACCTGGTATAGTGGCCAAGGCCAAAGTTGTTTGGGTCGATGTCGCATGGTTGCATCGACCCCAACGACTTTGGCCTTGGGCACTATGCCAGCTTGAACTCATGTTTTCTGGAAGACCCTCACCTGTCCCCAATGGCTTTTCGATGCTATGAAACAAAAAGAAAAGAAATGAAAAAAATTGAAAAACCAAAAAATGGCAACTTTCCCCCTTGGGCTCGTTCAATAGCACGGGTGTTCGAGTGTCAGTTGAATCTTGGTGAGTATATCGTCCCTGGTGTCAATGCCCTTCCTTGCCCTGGCCATGATGACTTTATCAGTATTCACTACTTCTTGGCGATGCCATAAGGTGTGATGAAAAAAATACCCAGTCTGAGAGCCATGCCGTTTGCTATGCCTGAATTTTAGTTCTACAGCGGCGATTTGCTAATTCAATATTAGTCCAAGCAATCGAAGACTTGCCAAATATTGGCTTCAGTCCAGTCTATCCAATTCCCCGTTTTCCCCAGGCACGACGGACCGCAGGCAAGACCGGAGGCAGAACCGGGTCGGAGGATATGCAATGGGGAGACCCAATCAGGAAACCGAGGCCATTCTCCACATCAGAAAAGGGAGTGGTCTGGGGAGGGGAGAAGCACAAGCAGCCTTCCTGTGCTTGTCCTGTTTCTTTATTGTCCGCATCGAATCTATTCAGTTGAACTGGACCTAATTTTCCAGTGAATTAGCGCTTTACAAGCAGTCGGAGCAATTGACCCTCTCGTACTATAGGCTTCAGCCATCCCTTCATTCCTTTGCCTAAGAATGTCGGACACCTTCGCCGGTCACTTCTCGACTACATTGCATACGAGTGAAGACACAATTGTCGCCACAAGTCCAGCTTCACGAACGTGCAGTAGAAGTAAAGATCGGCCCCACTCGGTTGCGCCGCACATGTGGCTTATCACGACATGCCCAGCAAATCGAAGTCGCGCAAAATTCAGTTGTGACAGGATGTACGAGCTGCCCATGGGGATATTCTCTGTTTCCTCCTCCCCATGAACATGGATAAAGAACCAACTGTGACATACAGGGGCCCCCGAGATGCAAGCACTCGGTCGGAGGCCCCGCGACCAGATGAAGAATTCGCCGACCCATTGGCTGCGCCCTTGAAGCGCCAGCTGAAATCGCGACATTTGCAGATGATTGCGATTGGAGGTGAGACACACGGTCGCATATGGTAAACTACAGTATGTTGACACAGCCGACAGGAATTATCGGGCCAGGTTTGCTTGTCAGCTCGGGGAATGCGCTGGCTGAGGGGGGACCCGCGGGGGCTTTGATCAGCTTTTCACTGGTCGGGATCATTGTCTTTTTTGTGATGTACAAAATCCGCGTTTTGGGGATGAACAGAACGCTAACCCGTTTAGGCAATCCCTGGGCGAGATGGCCACTTTGATCCCTGTGACAGGATCCTTTACCGAGTATGCTGAGCGTTTCATTGACGATTCGCTTGCATTTGCACTGGGATGGGCGTATTGGTATCTGTGGGTGACGGTATGCAATCCAGGCGACGGTGACAGACGCAGTACTAATTTCGCAGGTCCTCGCCAATGAATACAATGCCATATCGCTCGTTATTGGCTATTGGACCGACGCAGTGCCGCAGTGGGGATGGATCCTTATATTCTGGGTCATGTTCCTGACGCTCTCCAATCTGGGCATTCTGGCGTATGGTGAGATGGAATTCTGGCTTTCTCTGTCAGTCTCTACAGCCCAATAAACCCTCAGGTGCTCATACTTCACAGCATCAAAGTCTTGGCTTTAATCGTGTTCTTTATTTTGGCGATCATCATAAGCTCCGGTGGCATTGGGCCTCATAAAATTGGCTTTGAATACTGGCACAATCCTGGAGCCTTTGCAGACTCAATCAATGGAGTTGCAAAGACCTTTGTCGTTGCAGGCACGCTTTATGCTGGAACCGAAATGTAAGTGCCGGTCGACTGATATTCCAAGGACCATTATTTACTGACAGTAACTCAGGGTCGGAATCACAGCCGGAGAGTCTGCAAACCCTCAAAAGGCAGTGCCAAAAGCCATTAAGCAGGTCTTTTGGCGTATTCTGATTTTCTACGTCGGTATGTGCATCTGGAAAATTCACCTATGCAAATGCTAAATATTCCCAGGTACCATCTTTTTCATTGGCATCCTGATTCCTTGGAACGACGACAGACTGTTGGGATCAACCTCGAAGACTGCTAGCTCACCTTTGACAATCTCATTGCAAGACGCTGGAATTCTTCCCGCCGCTCATCTAATTAACGCCTTGATCGTGATCAGTGTCATTTCTGCGGGAAACAGCTCCCTGTACGTGGCATCGAGAACCTTGCTCTTCATGTCTCGGAACCGAAAGGCTCCAAAATTCATCGGGCGAACGAACAAGCTCGGTGTGCCGTGGGTTGGCTTGATTTTCACAAATATCTTTGCCTGTATCGTATTCTTGGGCCAATCCTCCAGTGCGGGCCGGGTGTACTCAGCCTTAATTACCCTTTCTGGCGGTAAAGTCTGACCCCGTCCAATTGACATTCTCATCTAACAAGTCGCAGTGTGCACGTTCATCGTGTGGTCTGTTATAGGAATCGCTCACATCCGCTTCCGCCAAGCGCTAGTCGTGCAGGGCCAAGACCCATCGAAGCTCCCTTACCAAGCCATCTTCTACCCCTATGGAACATACCTCTCATTGGCAGCCAATGTGTTCCTCATATTCTTCCAAGGATACACGTGCTTCCTCAACCCCTTCAGCTCGACCGATTTTGTGATCAACTATATCCTTCTCCCGGTGTTCCTGCTATTCGTCCTTGGCTACAAGTTTTGGAACAAGACTCGCTTGGTCAAGTTGGAAGACATGGATATCTGGACCGGACGAAGAGAGATAGTCCAATCCGATGAGATTGAATCGCCCAAGTCACGAACATGGTGGTCTCGCATTTACTCGATTGTGATCGGATAAAGTTATGAATTGATGAAACACGGAGTGTCGGTCTGTTCTTTTTGGAAAACACGCTACGGCATGCATGCGAGGAGTAGTCACTTCGGCTGGTTTCACTGCCATCCCCGGGCGATTCTCCAGACACGGTCTAGCATCATTCTGTCGCCGCTATCGTGTTCCCAAGAAAGAAGGGGAAAGGAATAGATAGCAAGTATGTCGCGGGGAAGCTGGGATTACGCTTTGATAGATCGTCACGGAAACCGTCGGGCAACGGGGGATAAGGAAGCGATACAAAGAAATTGAACAGTTGCAATCTATTCAGACAGCTCACCCAGACATGTTATCACGCTCGGCTTGATGGAAATAGCCTCAAATGAACTGAAGTTGCTCAATTCATTCGCTTCTCGGCTTTCGAGAACCCCCTGTTAACCCCCACATCCGCTGTTGAAGCATTGACCGCAAGCCAGCATCGTGCCCCTGCAAGGCCTTTAATTGGCCCGATGACCGGCAGACCCTCCATTTCGACTGCAGGACACTAGTCAGGGTCTAACATCGGAGACCACCGGACCCGTCGATCACTTCCTCGGATAGGATGCAATATCCAAATATTGGCTGCCCAGCGACCACTCGATCCTTCACGCTTTCCTTGGAGCTTCTGCAAAAGTCACGCTCACGATGCCACAATATTACTATCGGTGAATACACCTCATTGAGTAAGGCGCTCAGGCTGGACTCCCCTCTCCCACTGGGCATCCTATCTGTTTCTGCGCCAAGTATACACTAGAAGAGCACATGAAATGACTGCAGGTGTAACATCGGGTGTGTCGTGGAATCTCATTCGTAGCCTCGGGAGTAAACACAGTGAGCTTCGTTTGCAGCTCCTGTTGGTAAGATGAATATATAAGGAGCCAATTCCCTGCGAAGACTGAAACCCAGTCAAGCATAGAGAGCATACCAACCCAAGTCCAGCCCGTTTGAAGCAGATTTCCTCCTCCCGATCGCGCCGTAAACATGCACTTCACAAAGGTGAGAGTTACCGCGCAGGTCAAAACTTCTCTCTAACAGACAGCCAGCTCTTTGCCGTCGCGGTAGTCTTCGTCACCAGCGCCCTCTCCGCCCCCCTTGACGTCGAAGCTCGCGCGTGTGCTTCAACCTGCGGAACCGTATGCTATACTAGCAGTGCAGTCAGTGCAGCCAAGGCCGCGGGCTACAAGCTTTACTCGGCCGGCAGCACCGCCTCCAGTTACCCACACGTTTACCACAATTACGAAGGCTTTGACTTCTCTGTGTCTGGCACATACTACGAGTTCCCGATCCTCAAGAGTGGGAGTGTCTACAGCGGTGGATCACCTGGTGCCGATCGCGTCATCTTCAGCACAAGCAACCAGCTGGCTGGTGTTATCACGCATACCGGAGCCAGTGGGAACAACTTTGTGGAGTGCTCTTAAGCTATTGTCATGAAGATTCACATTCACACTACTGCTACGCGATACAAGGGCGGGAACGGGAAGGCGCTGAACGGACAGCGCGCGGACAGGTTCAGCAGGCTGGGCACCGACAGGGTAAGGGTATATACATATAACAGTCGTGATGGCAAGGCCTTTGCACATAGGAATGGACAAACTTGATTCTACAGAAAATCTACATAGAATTGCTCTCTAAAATGTAGGACGATGACCTTCGTGCGGGCGCATTGACTCAAATGCCAACATTCCAGCATCAGCGTCCATTTTATTTCGGTATACCGATGTCCAGCAAGTGTATTGAGAAACATCATGCTGGTATCTTTCACATACCTAGCACCACAAAAAAGAACTTGGAAAGAGAAAGAGAAAGAGAAGGAGAAAAGAAAAAGAAGAGAGCATAAATAGTCATTTATAATTTCAGTCGCCTGAGGCAGGCAAATTTAATACAAGGGCCAAAAAGTCTACATCGAATTGCTCGCTAAAATGTAGGACAATGCTTGTTCTGTGCGCACGTTGACTCAAATGCCAACATACCAGTATTAGCGTCCATTTCCTCTTGGTATGGTTCCTCACCAGTAGGTATATTGAGAGACTCCATACTGGATACCTAATATACCGTGAAATGAGTAGTATATCGAAGAAAGAGAGAGAGAGAGAGAGAGAGAGAGAAGAAAAAGAGAGCATGGGGTAGTCATTGTGATTTCAGGCCAGGAAAAGTTGATACAAGGGCCAGAAAAGCTACATAGGATTGCTCTCTAAAATGTAGGACAATGCTCTTTGTGTGGGCACGTTGACTCAAATGCCAACATACCAGTATTAGCGTCCATTCCCTCTTGGTATGGTTCTTTCCCAGCAAGTGTATTGAGAAACTTTATGCTGGAGCTTTGCATACCAGGTAGTAGATCAAATGATCACTGTAGTGAAGAAAGAGAGAGAGAGAGAAGAAGAAGAAGGAGAGAGCATGGGTAGTCATGGTGATTTCAGGCGCCTGAGGCCAGGCAAAGTTGACACAAAGGCCGAAGTCTCTGCTGGGTCAAAATTTTCAATACTTCCCATCTGGTTGGAGCTTTGTATGCACCACGGGTGCGGAATCTACCTAGGTACTCAATCAAAGCGATGTGCACCGGCCTTAGAATTTAGAAGCAACTTAGCAATAAAAGATGACCACTGAGGTATAGAGAGGTATATGTAAGAACCAACTATCATCATTTCATAGGTGGAAAGTCAAAATATACTTCGATTCAATCTATCCATGGATGTTTTAAGCTTAAATTAAGCGTCTGTGGTTGGCGTGAAGCTAGCTGGTGTTCCAAGGTTACCTTGCGGCTCAAGGAGATACGGTTGTCGCCAATAACCTTGAAGAAGGGGTTCAAGCAACAGGCTTACGGGGAAAAGAAAAACTGTAATCATAGCCCCGGGTAAATGAAATCAATGAATATTGAAACTTGTCTGTCAGACTGGGGCCAAAATCTTCATAAGAATCCAGAGACGAGTCTGCTGGATCATTGCTCTTCGAACCCGTGGCCGATTTATATCCCCACATCGTCAAAATTTCCATTCATTGGAACCAAACCAGGCACAGGTTATCACATAATCGCTTTCGTGAAATTATTTGAATTAGCATATATCGTTTTCATATTTTTCCCATTATCGTGGGTTTGACGGACAACAAGCGTGGCATCCAGTATCGCACACGAAGTCAAAACATCTCACTAGGACGATCGATGATCAATTGATAACAGCGAAAATGGATCACATTATTCAGATATCAATTCGGTCCCTCGGTGCCCACGAATGTCCGAGACCGAGCTTATTAATTTGATTTCATTTTCACGGGCGACGCTGAAGAGCCCCTCGGCGGAGATTCGGACGAAGAACGGACGAACTCACTCCTTCCACGGCGACGGTCAAATCTTCGCACCAACACCCTTGTCATATTACAAACCTCCAAAATTGAAACCAAATTATTGGAAATCCACGGAAACTCAGAGAATTGGGCGGGTTCCTCAAAGTAACACAGGGTACACTTCCAAGGTTGTATAAAGAAAGCCAACGACCACGATAATGTATCATCCAAACCAGCTCAGCACGACTCAACGATATCGAAGCAACAACACAGCTGAACTCCCTTGAACACTACCTAAAGCCACAACAATGGGTTCTACAATCAAGCCAATCCAGCTCTACGGAGGAATTCTCGGACCCAACCCATTGAAGATTGGAATCCTTCTCACCGTCCTCGAGCTACCCTGGGAGCCCGTTGCAGTCGACCACGCCGACATCAAGAAGCCAGCATACGAGGCAATCAACCCCAATGGACGTCTACCCTCCATCCACGACCCCAACACCGACTTGACAATTTGGGAAAGCGGCGCGATAGTCGAGTACCTGATTGAGCGATACGATGCCGAGCATCACAAACTCAGCTTCACACCTCGCTCTGCAGAGGCCGAGCTGGCCCGCTCATTCCTCTACCTCCAGGTCTCGGGCCAAGGTCCATACTACGGACAGGCCTACTGGTTCATGAAGTATCATTCCGAGAAGATCCCTAGCGCTGTGGAGCGCTACGTCAACGAAGCCAAGCGCGTCACTGGTGTTCTTGACAAGTGGTTAGGCGAGCAGAAAGAGGCCAACAGTGCCAATCTTGGAGATGGCCCTTGGTTGGTTGGCAATAAGCTGTCTTATGCCGATATCTCATTCATTCCCTGGCAGGCGGGTGCGCACATGGCGCTGAGTGAGAATGGGTTCGACGCCAATGAGTTCCCACACGCCAAGGAGTGGTTCGAGCGTATGACTGCTATCAAGGAGATCAAGACTGTTATGGATGCCTCCGCTGAGCAGATGGCTAAGAGAATGGCTTCTGCGTAAGCCACTAGGCAGGATCTGATTTCGAGGGTGATATAGATAGGATTGAATCACAATGACACTATTCCACACTTTGCAACACTCGAAGCCTTTTGTGGCTCTAGTATTAATTCGATGCTCGCGGAAAAGTCTTCGAGTCCGGCACCTAGTAAGGTTGAGCAATGTCAACAGCCGTGGATATGTGCACATGTAGCAAAGACCATCATGCCAAACTCATCTGCCGATTGTAACCACCTCTCGATCCGCTCACGTCGGGCAGGAGTGCCTGTCTCTTCCGATTTCCATAGTTCTGATATCTGCAACTTCCCATCTGGCCATTTGGATAGATAGTCATTGTATTCTTTCTCCCACTGAAGGCGGTCGCCAGCTTCCCAAAGGATCTTGCTTTCCGGGGCGATGACACCGCGTAACTCCTCTGCCACAAAATTGGGAAGTGACATCTGGCTGTTATAAACATTGGTGAAGATGTACATGGTGATCAGTGTTCGGCGCTTGCAGGAGGTTGATATCCATGATTCCCATCCTGGTCTAGTGCTCGATTCTTCGGCCTTGCTTAAGAGACCTGCCCGAGCTGATCGGAATGCTAGCTCTTGCATCTTTGTTTGAAATTGGCAGTCAGGTGGTAGTGCATCTTCCGTTGCATTTGTGAGGGGATAAAAGTGCAATGCCATAGAGTACAAAAGATAGGCTTGGAATGAGCACAAGATCTCGTAGTCGTTTTGGAATGTTTCCTGTCAAAAATCAGTATGAGAAGCATGCAGGACTTGTTTCACATACTTGAGTCTCGATCTTTTTCATCTCGTCGTGTATTGTTTTCATAATAAATATCTCATACTCGGGACATTTTCCAATCCAGGTTCGAATATTAGCACAACAATAAGACAAGACCGGTGATGGAGACTGCGTGAATTGAAGCTGATGAACAAATGGCGGGCCCACCGAAGTGCATAAATTCCTCAAATAGGACTTCAACACGCAAGTGAGATACTGTATCGTATGCAGGTTTAGCTCCTTGGGCTCTTGGCCGGTGGAGGCTGAGATATACGGGCGTAGCCAGCGGTCTCGGATTTCACCTGCTGCGATCATTGGGACAAGCTCAATATCTGTCACTCTAGAAAGATCGAGAGACGTTTGAAGTGGCCTATCGGCCTGACAAGAGCTGTGGGATTCTGACGGATGTTGGGGTCGAGCTGCCGGGGTTGAGGCTGGCAAAGCATCTTCGGTGAGATTCTGTGACCGTGATGAAGGGCTGGACAGAGACCCATTGCTCCCTCTGTGGACATTTTGACGTGCCACACGACTGATGGGATATTCACAAATACTGCCTCGGGCTATGCATCTGTTGCAGTTGGGTTTGGCAAGATCACACCGAACTTTGGATTTTGTGCACCTTCGACAGGCCTTTTTGCGAGAGCTTGAGATCTCCGGAGTTCTCGATGGTGCCGGTGTCGCTGGACTCTGTCGTAGGGTCTGGTCGTTCATATTGGAACGAGCCCAGGAGGTTTGCGCCGTAGAGATTTCGGAATTCCGTGGATCAGGCGTCGGAGTTCCGCGCTTAGTCATATGCTCGTTCGCCCCCTGCGCGGGTCCCAGCACTGAGCGTCGTGGGCGGTGGGTGCAGGGACAAATGCCCGGAAGAGATGCCGGGCGCAAGAGGTTGCCAAGGCCAAAAACCAATGGAAAGTTCGGAGTTCCGTGCCAAGCATCCGACGCCGCAATGATATAACCACTCAACGCTGGGGAGTCCAATTTCATTGCAACCAATCCTGCAACTCTCGACCAAGCAATTAGCAAAAAACATTGAAAGCAGAAATCAACATCGCAACCATGCCAGAAGTCTACACAACAGACCACTCAGCCTCAGTGCTCCGCACCCACAGCTGGCGTACCGTGTCCAACTCAGCTCCGCACCTACTGCCACATCTAAAGCCGAATCAAGACATCCTAGATGTGGGCTGCGGCCCAGGATCAATCACCATTTCCCTAGCCAAGCACGTACCGACCGGCCATGTAACAGGGGTGGAATACGTTACAGACCCACTTGAAGGCGCTCGCTCACTAGCGAAAGCCTCAGGCGTCACGAACACCACATTCCAAGAGGGCAATATCCACGCACTCCCATTCAAAGATGATACGTTCGACATTGTCCATGCACACCAGGTCCTGCAGCACATTGCAGACCCTGTGCATGCGCTGGCAGAGATGCGGCGAGTCGTCAAGAAAGGCGGGATTGTTGCGTGTCGCGAGTCGGCGGAGCTGAGCTGGTATCCTGATTCCGTGGGGATAGCCAAGTGGCGGGAAATTACAGAGCGGATGCAGAGTGCCAAGGGCGGTAATCCGCATCCTGGGCGGATGATCCATGTCTGGGCGAGAGAGGCGGGGTTCGTGGATGTTAAGAGGAGTGCTGGGGCTTGGTGCTTTGGGGATGATGAGGAGAGAGCGTATTGGGGTGGGTCTATGGAAGAGCGGGCAAGATCATCTGGGTTTGCTCAGGGGGTCGTTGAAGAAGGGTTTGGAAAGCCGGAGGATTTGGAAATCATCGCACAGGGATGGAGAGGGTTTGTGGAGAATCCGGATGCTTGGTTTGGATTGCTGCATGGGGAGATCATTTGTCGGAAGTGAACAGTTTTCATGTAAGAAATTTTTCCACTTGGCTATGGAGAAGGGGAAGATCTGGAGGAATCAAATATGTAGGAACAGCATGTAGCAATTGTAAATAAAGCACTGGTGTGTAATCCTCGCAATATGCAACCTTTAACCCTAGGAATGAGAAATAGAAAGAATATCAAAAAAGACTGCAGAGTCGCTCAGGCGATCAGCCTTAGTCGAAGAAACCACCACCATCATCCTCGTAGGCCTCATCACGACGACCGTCCTCGTATGCCTCCTCGAGGTCAGACTTCTCAGAGTCCTCATCTAGAGATAGAGTTAGTGCCAAGCTCGGAGGGGTATCAAACAAGGTTTGATAGAACAGGTGACAGAGAACTTACCACGCTCGTGTTCAATGAAAGCACCAGCAAGACCACCGACAGCCAGACCAGCGGCACCAGCAGCGAGATACTTTCCAGCATTGCTGCTCTTCTTCTCAGGAGCCGGCTCCTGGGATTGGTAGTAGTCGGGGCGGTTGTCATAGGGGACGGGAGGTGGGCCCGCGGGCGGCGCATAGTAGCCACCCTGGGGAGGGCCGGGGGGAGGCACGCTGCGCGAGCCATCATCGTAGCCGGCGTAGGCAGGCTGGTAAGGAGGCTGCTCCCATTGGGCGCGGCCGGTAGATTGCTCTACCCAGAAAGCGCGACGCGCACTGGGTTCCCATTCCTGCACCCAACCCTGGGGCAGAGGAGGTGGGGGTCCTGGTGGGGGTCGAGCCAGAGGTGGAGGGGCACTGTAGGGGCTGCGGTCGTATGCTGGGCGGCCACCGTCATATGGAGGCTGCTCATAAGGCCGCTCTGAGGGAGGACGAGCATATGGGTCCGAGGGAGGACGGCCATATGGGTCCGCGGGAGGACGACCATAGGGGTCGTATGGGGGACGGTCTGAGGGAGGACGGGCGTAGGGGTCGCCGTAAGGTGGAGCGTAGGACATGGTGAGGGATTGAGGGTATGGAGGGGGAGAAAGCAGAAGAAGAAACAGAAAGAGGGGGAGGCGCTTTTATGGGAAGGTCAAACGGACACCCTTAATGTATCTCAACATCAACAGTTCCGTCCAGAACCGAAGAGAAGCCTCCACATCTCTGACTCCGACGCTAATGAGATGATCCACTCTATGAGCGTTGTCATTAAGCGCTCACCCCTATGATTAGGCAGATACGATATCGAACCCTCCGCAAGCCCCTCCCAGGGGGGCTTGCAGCTCCCGGTCAGATTCGCAAATGCCACGCCTGACAGGGCTGTTGAGAAGAGGCCGACCAATTGCCTCGATGCCAAGGGCGTGGGTGGGTTCATGTGTCACCGTAAGACGCGCCAGATATCCCAGTGAGCAGTTCGATCCGTTCCAAAGAGCCCAACCCCACACTGGTGGACTATTGTTTCCAGTGTTTCATTTTTGACCCTTTCGGCAGATCCAGTAGGAGTGTGTATATCCTCAGGGGAGCAGATTGAAAAGGGGGGACCCCCGCAGTGGACATAGGGGAAACCGCACTACTGCGCGCCGAGCCACTGTGGCTAAGGCAACCGCGTTGACACAGCCACTCAATATCTCACACGTGGCTGGATATCAAGTCTGTACTCCGTACGTACATAGAGAGTATGGAGTACATTACATTGCGCTTCACTCCTGTTCTGTTTGGTTTCAAGAATATCGAAGTATACAGTAGTATGTGTATGGGAGTGGACACCGGTCATCTCCCGACGCGGCCCGCATAGCATTCCATGGGTCTTACTGTAGGTTATTCTCCGATATTTACGTGGTCTTGGACGACTATACTCCGTACGTAGTACGGAGAACGGAGTACTTTACTGTTAGCAGATGACTCCGCTCCTCGATATCACATTGCCTCACTTCAGGGTTGTGGTAATCTGACTGCAGCATGAGATCTGTACTCTCTCCACATGCACTAGGCCAACCCACTTGTCCGTATTTCCACGTTGGCTCATGTTGTCCTCAATTCTCATGCCATCTGATCCTCGAAATCTAACTTAGATGGTGACTTGCTCAATCTGCCTACAGTGCCTGTTCGTGGTGTCTCCGTCGGATCATTTCTAAGGATGAGCTACGCCGAAGCCGGTCCTGAGCTTTGATCGCTAACGTGAATTCAAGCAGCCGAATTTCAATCCCGGTATTCCGTACTTCGTATGTGATCTGTGTGGTATGAAATCATATGGAGGGAGGAAAACCTGTCTATGTATCTGGTAGATCTATTACCATGGCCGTTACCCATGGACCAAGCATGGTGCTGGAGCCAGGAACCAGCTAAATTTCAGGGACTTCCAAGGTTTCTGTGATTTTCGGCAATAATCAACGACGGGCACTGAGCCAGCCTGTTTGTTCATGGGGCATGCTGGAATTATACCAAACGGTCAGGGCGCGAAATACCTAGTCCCTCGCTCCATCTGGACAACCCAATACTAGGTACGGAGTAGAAGACACGAAGTTGATGCGCGAACCCGAAGAGAAGTGTTCACTAACTTCAAGTGAGCCAGCCCCTGGGCTTATATGAATGACGAAAATTGTGATAGAAGGGGATGGATCGTCGGACTTAATCTTACTTTTTCGTCGTAATATGCTGAAAATCATGAGAGTATTATATTACTACGCGCAGGGCTTCGGAAACAGCAAGATTGGCAAGATTGAAGCAAATTCAGTGTTACTTCGGGTCTTTCAAGGTGTGTATTGACTATGGGATCACCAGAGGCTAGCTGGCCACGAAAGATAGTTCACATCTATTGAAACAACCACGTTCGTATGCGATCATTCTGAGCCAGCGATACTGCTGGCCTGGGCGCTATCAGGATAGAAAAAGGCAGATAGACTGGCTCGGTGGTTAGTGACTGATACACGGTGGAGCAAGTAGGGGCAGTGGTACTTACGCAATGATAATGTACGCTGCGATCAGGAGTACACCTTCGAGGTAGTTACTGCGACCGTCAAGGACCAGGAAGTTGACAACGAAAGTGGTGACAAAGAGGCAGATAGTCTCGAACAAGGTGAAGTAGAGCGACATGTCTTTATCCATGCACCAACCGAGGATGACAACCAGGGGTGTGACGAAGATAGCTGCCAGGGTGGTTAGCAATTAAAATCGAGGACATGATCAGGACGGAGACATACCAATTTGGATACTACTTCCAACAGAAACACCAATAGACAAGTCCATCTTGTTCTTGGTCGCAACGCTGACAGCGGTAACGTGCTCGGCAGCATTACCGACAATAGGCAAGATGATAAGACCAATGAAGGCCTCGCTGACATTCGAGCTGGTAATCATAGCCGGAATAGCATCGACTAAGAACTCAGCACATACAGCGACAAGACCGGTGGACAGCAGGAGCATCACAACAGCAGCAGTCCGCGACATTTCGGGTTCCGGGGCCTGGGAGGCTGTCTCCGGAACTGGGGGGTCGGTGGGATTGGTGAGGCGAGAAGCCCCACGAGCGAACTGCACGGCATTGCCGGCTGGGGGAGGACGGTTGATGTGAGCAGGCAACGAATTACTTCGAGCAATGCCGGGGCGCGCAGCATTGCCAATGTGTGGTGACAGGGCCGGCGACTGGGAGCTGAAGACGGTGTTTGACAGCAGAGAGGGGATGGGCCCGAAGGGAGAGCGGCGCTTTTGGGCCTCATCGGTGATGCTATCAAATCCAACAAAGTTGGGCGAAGGCTGGAGTCCCTTGGCTGCTGGGCCTAGGCCGTTCGAAGGACTGCCTTCACCAGGGGCCTGGATCTGCGCCTGCTTTTCCGCTTTGAGGGCCTTGCGCCTCTTACGATCGCGCTTCTTGGACTTCTTGCTTGCATGGCTATCCATCTGGCTGAGAGCAATTCCAAAGTCGCGAGAGCGAATCGCGGCAGGGTCCTGAGCGTCATCGTCCGCGTCGTAACGAGCTTCTTCGCCGATGTCGATGGCATGTTCGTTGCTGCCGATGGAGTTGGGAATGGAGCTCTGGTTTTCATTGGAAGTGGAGGCCATGGCTCTCTTCTGGAAGGAAGTGCGAGATGCTGTTCCTTTGGAGCTGGTGCTTGACTTGCGGTGTCTGCGATATTTCATGGCCCTCTTTATGCGCTTCGCAGTGGTCCACGACGTTGTTGTGTCGTCAGACTCATCACTTGAGCTAGATGAAGAATCCGAAGAGCTATTCATGAATTCCGCCAAGACACCAGGGTGGGACTCCTCATCAATGATGGCTTGGGGAATACTAGCATACAGGTAGGAGTGGGTCCGAAGCTGGAAGATGATATACAAGATGTACACCAATAGGAGCACGACACTGGTACCACGGCTGACCTTGATGGTCTCTCTGTCGGCATTTACGCTATCGGACCAAGAGGCGTGGAAGGCAGTCGGCAAGAGCAGACTGACCACACTCAAACTGAGCAGACAGGCACTCATTTGGGTGACAGTGCTGTTGTAGATTTGTTCCTGGAAGCGGAGACCACCAGAAAGGAATGCCATTCCCATGATCAGGAGCAGATTGGCCAGAATGGAGCCGAGCAGGGAAGCTTGGACAATTCGGATCTCATTCTTGACGAGGGCGATGATGAAGATGATCAACTCCACGGCGTTTCCGAAAGTGACGTTGATGAGAGCTCCAATTGTATCACCCAGACGGCTAGCGACACTCTCTGTAGCATGGCTGAGGAGTCCAGCCAGGGGAATGATAGCCACTGCATTCATCGCGAAGATGATGGCCGGGTTGAGACCTGCGGCCTCGCAGGCAATGCCCACTGGGACGAAGACCAGGAGGACATTGACCCAGCTATGGCAGATGGCATCTTTGGTGTGGTGATAGAAACGGACGGATCCGTTCCTCATGCGGCGCGCGAGGCCGGGGGTTGAGTTGCTTTCCGTGACAGACCCTGGGGTTGGGTCGTCAACGGGGGCGTTCACTTGTCCATCTTGCGGCGGTTTTTCCGCAGGGTCAGGATCGGCGGCCGGTTCGGGGGTTGTCTGGTCTGTTTGGCCACGAGAAGAAGCGTGAGCTTTCGCCCACGAGTGAATCCGGTCTATGGAGACAAGCATCAGCAGGAGTGGAGAAGAAGGTTAGTTCGAGAGCTCATAGGCACATACGCATGTATTTCAGGAAGCAAGCAGTAGTAGAAACAAGGCAACGAGCCTTTGATGGTAGAGTGAATTGTAAGTGAGAACGAGATAACGACACCTCAGGGGGAAATCCAGACTCTTATTTATCTTTGAGCTTGGCGGTCTTGGCGAAGCCGCCACGACTTATTTTCATCGCGATCCACAACCCAGTCCACAAGTTAATTACGTGGGTCTCAGAATGCTAACATTCCATTGCTCTACTCGCCCTATGGTATCCCTCGCATGATGTCAATTATATTGTCACTCAACGTGTCAACGTCAAATGACGCGTTCTTTGGCGCCCTCACCATGGGCTCTCCCTATAAGGATGCCAAGGGTGAGATCGCAGCAAATCCGGATCCACCAAGTCGTTACAGCGTCTCGTCGATGGTGGCTGCTCATTGGTCCATAGACATCAGGATCGCCGTCCAGGCCCGTCTTACTCTTGGCCTTAGGTCTTGACTGAGCTTGTCACCCGGCTTCTTCGACAGTCTCTTCGGAAGGGAAATTGCAGGGAGCTCTCTGAAAGTCACACAACTTGTCAAATGGATTACAGAAACATCCTTCCCAGCATCTCGACATTTGGGCCGAGTCGGACCTATTCTTGGTCCTCCGTATCACACGCTTGACGAGTCGCCACAGCGCTTCTAGATTACGTCCCCCGGGTTATGCAGCGAGTCCTTATCACGGATGAGGTCATCTATGCATCTTCATACTCCCGAGGTCGCTTTTGGGCTATTCTCGTACCGGAATCTCGTTTAGATACGAATCTTGCTGCGCCCCGGGCCCCTCTCGCCTTTGGTGGGAATTTCACCCGGACTGGCGCCCCACCCACACCTGTGGCTGTGCCGTCAACCACACGCCACACTTCTTGAGCGACTGTGAATGGGTTCCTTGGACTTCCACTGGAGTTCTGGTTTGGACTGTTAGGCTCCCATTATCCCAATTCAATCATCATCAGGTGTTGCAAGCAGGGTACCGAATACAAGTTACACAGCACATAGAGAGCTGCCTAACGAATCCCGAATTATCTGATCGTTTTCTCAGAGATCAGTCATAGTAGATCAGAAAGCAGCCACAATTATCGACTAGGTCGTTTTGAGCCTAGCCCCTGTATGCGATTCGGTGACCGAGACGGGACCCGTCTTTCAAGGTTGAAGGCTGTCAATGGATCCTCACATTTCAACTCGGCAGACTAAGAAACTCACAGGTTTTGAAGTGTTCAGTCAAAGAGCTGGAGTGGTTATTTGTACAACTTATCGTGGAGTTGAGAAAGAATTGTGAATAATCTCCATTTTAAGCAGTCTTTGCCTTCCAAGGTTCCGATGTCCCAGCCAGCGGAAAAATATATATGCCGTCTAAGTAGACGGTGAGTCTGATTGTGGCAAACCAACAGCTCGAGAGGTCCCGAGTCACAGATCTCGGGATAGTCCACAGCCTTACTATAAACATTGAAACGAAAAATCCATGAAACCGTACTGTATGCCATGTACTTTCAGGGCTTCGAACGTGGAAGAGAACGCGATCACGTGCACGGGCGCGTTGGAAACCAATGCCGCCAGAACATGCCGCTTGAAACCATCCAGAAGCTAATCAAATACACTTCGAGAGATGAACTCAAGATCCACCTGGGCGCTGTTGTCGATGTCGGCACTTGTATCGGCACAGATCCATTCGGCAACCCGATCCACATGCGGAAACGGAGTCTAATCCATCTACGCGGAGAATCCTACCTTGTCCTTTTTGCATTCTCCTTCACTTCTGAAGGTCCAATCTATAATTCTTACCATTTCATACCGACTGGAGTCGGTGTATTCACTCGTATGCATTGTTCATCGGTCTGAATGCCGTACAACGCACCTACATAAGTCAACGTCACCATGGGTCATGGAGAGCCCAGGCCAACCTGGGCGACGATGATCAGGTATGCGATTGGGAGAGCCCTGGAGCGGAAAATCAGCCAAATTGATGCGAGCTGACCAATGGAGCGAAATAGATCCAAACCATCGAAATGGTGGTCCAAGTTGGACTTGGATACTCGGACCATGCTAATGATGTTGAAGGGTGCACTAGCACCTACAATTACGATCGCGATGTAAGCCTGGCTCTACATCCCAGCCAAGAAAACACTAACGCATCCAAAGCTATCAAAGTGATGCCATATCTCACATCACTACAACGATCGGCTACCTGTCGGCTTTGATGTCAGTGGTGGCACAAGGTCTCATGCCCAGAGCGAAGTTTCTCAAAATCATGTTCTTTAATTTAACAGCGGTCTGCGTCTCTGCGTCACTCTGTTGCCTGGCTGTGCTGTGCGCGGTGAAGGCTAGAGAGCACAACACCGCTCCCAATGCGAGCGAGAGTGCCCGGAAGGGATATAGCAGTGATGCGTGTGCCGTCGCCGGCATATGGCTCATACTTATGATTTGGTATGTCTGTAAAAGGTTCACCGTCTTTCCTGATTATGCTTACATGGGAAAAGGGGCGCCAATGCACTGCGGGCACTGAAGCCAATGGAGCTGCAAGATCCCATGGTCGCCTTCTCGATCTTCGCTTCGGTAACCATCACCCGCGCGGGGACCTTCGTGACATTGGCCGAGGGTCTTGAATTTGTCTCCCGACTTTTGAAAGGGTTTATGATTGGCTTTGCCGTTGCGACCGGTGTTTCATTATTCATTTACCCAATCACGAGCCGAGGGAACATGTTCCACGATATCAAAGGGTACGCCAGTTCAATTGAAGCAGTGCTCGAGTCGCAGATATCGTATGCCCAGGGGAGTTCCGTCACCGGTCTCCTTTCCGGGGGCCTTCTTCGGCGCGCGAGAACGGCCAAAAGCACCCGGGACAGGCTGGATGACGATGAGGCCGATTGGCAGTCAAAGCAAAAGCAACCGCAGCTGGAAATGGCGAAACTCAATGGCTTGCATAGTAAGATGCAAGCCGATCTATTCTATTCCAAAGATGAGATCGCATGGGGTAAATTGACTGCCAAGGATCTGGGCGATATTGAGCACCTTTTCCGAACTCTTCTTCTCCCTCTTTCTGGAATGTCGATGTTGCCAGAAATATTGGAGTCAATTGTCAACAATGAAGTTTGCGAAAAAGGAGCCACCGAAGTTGGCGATCCCGACGAAGGGGAATTGAAGCAATCGGAGATTCAAAGGGTGGTGGAGACACTGCATGAACGTCTGGTCAGTTCCTCAAAGCTTGTTCAGCAGGGTCTCCACTATTTTCTATTGGCTTTGGAGCTTGCCAAACCAAAACATTTGGAAAAGCACAAAATTCCACACGCTCCATCGGCTGTCAGGGACGAGGAATCAAGGGGCGAAACTTTATCAGCACTGCAGCCAGACTTCCCTGCACGATTTGAGCAGGAATTGCACAGATACTACTCTCGTCGAAAGCACCTACCTCAATTGCTAGCATCCCTCGAGGCATTTGCTGCTACGGAAAAGCATGATGTGGATACATCACCAGATGGACCATCGCATATCGCAAGTGATCCGGATGTGCGGCAGGAGTTCTTCATGATCCTGTACATGGGCCACCTCCAAGATGACATGCTGAATGCGATATTGCAGCTGGTGCAGTTTGCAAATAGCAAGATTACAGATGGGACTATGAGCCGGAGTCGACTCATATTCCCAAAGCAAAGATCTATCCGAGCATGGCTCTCACTGAGCCAGGACAGAAAGGAGACACATGCTCCATCACAGAGCAGACAGTCGTCCAATACCAATCCTTCCGCCATCTACCATGATCAGCCTTCAAATAGGTTTCCAGACCCCGAACACCTGCCCCCTGATAATTTCTGGGAGAGGGGAAGCACAGTGCTACGAACCATTTCCCATCTCATCAAGTCTGACCAGTGCCTCTTTGGATTCCGTGTCGCTGCAGCTTCATTCTCTGTCGGAATCCTTGCGTTTTTGCATCAGACACAGGACTTCTTCATCCGACAGAGGTGCATCTGGGCAATGATTGTGATCGTCATTGGGATGAATCCAACCAGTGGCCAAACTATGTTTGGGTTTGTTGCTCGGATTGTCGCAACGACGATTTCGCTCGTGCTCAGCTTGATAGTATGGTACATCGTCGATGGGAAGACTGCCGGCGTGATCGTTTTTCTCTATCTGGCCAATGTCTTCGAGGTAAGGATCCTGACATGATTTTAATGGGAAATTCTGACTGGTCGATAGTACTATTTCTACATCAAGCTCCCACAGTATTTTGGAGCATCTGTCATCTCTATCGTTACTCTGAACGTCATCATCGGCTACGAGCTACAGGTATACAGTATATCTCCAACCCCAAGAACATTCAACTGATAGCCGATAGGTCCGAAAACTGGGATTCCCAGAGGCAACTTCAAATGGACAACCATACTACCCAATATACCTGTTCGGGCCATACAAGCTGGCAGCCGTGGCAGCCGGATGCGCGATTTCCTTCTTCTGGGTCATATTCCCATACCCAATAACAGCCAAGTCCCAAATGCGCAAATTACTAGGACGAAGCCTCTACGTGCTAGCCAAGTTCTACAGTTGCATGCACACCACCATCGAATTATGGTTTAGTGACGAGCTAGGGAGCTTAGCCGACTCCAACTCTCCCGCCCAAAAGCTTCAAGCATCACGTCGCAAGATCTTCAAGGAAGAAATGCTGCTTCTTACCAGTCTTCGCGCTCACAGCCACTTCACTACATACGAGCCACCCATCGGAGGCAAATTCCCAAAAGCGACGTATGACAGCATCGTTTCTGAGATCCAGAGGATTTTGACTAGCATGTCACTCATGGCGCACACGACGCAAAGCCTTGAAGCACTAGTCGTTGAATCGGATACTTCTCCAGAGACTGACAATCAGTGGATGTCGCGGCTAGCAGAGATCGCGCTGAAATCGACAGATTTCAATTCCCATCGCATTACCTCCCTGCTCTGTCATCTTTCTGCGGCGATCACGAACGGCCAGCCTTTGCCGCCGTATCTATCGACACCGGATTCATTCCCACTTGCACGTCAATTGCAGAAAATCGACGGGGAGCTCCTCAGTATTCGGCATATTGAAGACCCGGCTTTCTCGGCATTTGTCTCCTTGGAAGTGCTGAGGTCGGTGATTAGTTTCAGTCTTCGGGACCTCATAGAGTATGTATTTCTCTCCATTGTGGTCTACATTTGCTGACTGCATTCTAGAAACGTGAAGAAATTGGTTGGTGAGATCAGTTTCGATTTTTATGTGCGACAATCGCGACATCACGCGGAGACTTCAGAATTGATGTCTCATACCGATCGCGAATAACCGTGACAGAAATGTACCCCTCAGCCCTGGCAACATGGTGGCTGAACGGGACACTGTATCTAGTGTAACGCGCGATATCGAGATAACAAGCCCAAGAATATCGCCCAAAGGGCTGAGGCATACAACAAATAACCTAAGAGGAAAAACTCTTAAATGTACAGTGGTTGATCGAGCGGTCTATAGCAACTTGTACTTTGCGGCAGCGGCAACACAGATGACCATGAAGGCGGCAAATACACCCACAATACCAAAGAACCAGCCTAACCCAGGCGTGTCCTGACCAGGAACCTCAACATTCATTCCCCACATTCCCGTGACAAGATGACATGGCACAAAGATAGTTGCCAACAAGGTGACCTTACTCAGACCAGAGTTGATAGTCAGGCTCAGCCTCAAGTTGGTAGCGCTCAGTTGAGCCAGACAGTTTGCCTGGGACCGGCCAATGATTTCATCAATGTGGCTGAGTGTCGACAAAGTGGTGACAAGATGATCCTGAACATCACCAAGGTACATCAGGAGATCACCACCAGGAAAGACAGAATGCTTATCTGGAGACTGGCATCTCTTGACGAACCCATTCAACACATCGACCTTGCCATGGAGACAGCGAATGATATGCGTGATCTTCTTCCGCAGAACATCCACCTGCGGAATCAGCGCTTGCGCATCGTCGATGCGGGCAATGAAGACCTGATCCTCGATGGCCTCGGACTCTTTCTCTGCCTCGCGGGTAAAGGGCTCGAAGCTATCGATGATGTCGTCACTGCATCTGTTAGTCTAATACGGAAAGGGCGATCAGGCTCGCACATACATCATTGCATAGCAGACCCAGTCGCTGGTCAAGATGGACGGGTCGTGCATCTTGCTGACTCGATCTCTGGCCCGTTTCACATGTGCACAGCCGCTGGGCGAGAAAGTCACCACACCATACTGGAACACGAGCATGTACAAGGCCGCCGAGACAGGGATGCCCGGACGATCCTCTTTGACTTTGCTGGCGACGAGGGTTTGGAAGGAGATGAGGTAGTAGTTCTTGAACACGTCGACCTTCTCCCGTGGCTCGCGGATGGCGATATCCTCCGCCGTCAGGGGATGGATGGACAAGGCCTGGGCCACAGCCTCGACGTCTTCCTCGGTGGCGTCGCGCACGTCAATCCACCAGATTGGATGGCTGGCTTCTGGTCGAGTTTTGTACTTCTCCAAGGGAAGATCCTCATTGGGGCCGACCGGGAAGAGATCATTCCAGGTGGCGGAGGTGGTTGACTGTTTCGTCTTGGAGGAATAGAAACTGAACCGATCGGGGATCGACTCGGTCTGCTCCTTCTGCATGGTGTCCATCTTAACGAGATCTCTGGGGGGCAGATTCTCGAGTTCTAAAGTACCCTGCACCGGTCATCGGGTGCCATCTGAAGTTGCGGAGTTACTTCAGGGAGTATTGTTCCCTTGGTAGGCTGATCGAGATTTCATGGATGAGAGGGAATATTTCAGCCCATTCTACTTCGAAATGAAGCAAAGAGATAGAACCTCGAAGGAAGCCTGGAGAGATGAAACTTGGGAAGTTGGGAAATGGTAAAGAAGGAACAGGGGGTCCACGCGAAACCAGCCCTACCCGATGGAATCAGTGGGGATGAAAACTGTGACGGCCCAATGAAGAGAGGTATCATTTGGGGGGGACCTTGCGAACTTGGCGGTCGTCCCGAACTTGCCTTGCTCAGTACTCTGTATACTACGTACTATTACATGATCATAAAGATATCGCATCGCAAAACGCCGTTAAATTGTAGATTCCATACTCCGTACTCCCGATTCCATCCGAACACGCCTCTGACCGCCCGAGTCTACAGAATCCAGATCTTGAGCCCAGTTAGTCAAGCAATTGAACTTCATATTCGATTATGCCGTACCATTCTGCCAATGCAAATCACTCCTTCACATCCGAGCGCGGTGTTTCCCCTTGCTCGCGGTCCAGGGCATAGGATTTACGCAGTTGGGGGTAGATGAACCCGAAGAACACGACCACGGCCAACAGGATCACCAAGGTCGGCAGGAACATAAACACAAAGAGAAAGAGACTCAATCCAAGAGTGAGGTTCTGCCCGCGCAGAAATCGTCGAGCCATTTCGATCATGGATATAAGCCAAGCTGCCAAGTTGGAAAGAGTAATGATCTCATCGATATATAAGGAAGCGCCGGATGCTGTACATAATAATGCTGATGCCTGTGCCAAGTTGCAGTTTTACCCACTCTTGGCGAAAATTCGACTTAATAAAGGTCAATACTAAACAGGTCAAAGGTTCTTGGCGCCCAGAAGGCACCAGCATTTCAATTCAACCCCCTGCCAAGAGGGCAATTTCTTGAGCCTCAGGGTGAAGAGACTGTAGGAGTACGGAGTACAGAGTACAGAGCAGAGTCACCGCACAAACAGGAACCTGGAAAGTGGAACTGATTCACCGACTGAGATCCCGGTTCTGCACCCAGCCTTGTGAAGCAAGGCCAAGGACTGATTTCCACCAATGCGACGCATTTGCGCCCGTAGTGGAGTCCAGCCCTGTGCTTTAGCGCCGGTACGTGTTGTTGTCCATGTTTGATCGGATTCCTTTGTGTACTCCCTACTTCCCCTATTCTGTTGGTAGACGGGTTGAAAATGAAAGTGTGTATAGTACACGACTGTCACGCAAGGGGGTCACAAAAAAAGCGGCGATCATACGTCGCTGGCAGCGATCGTCGTAAAACCAAAACCGCCCCGTAGGGCTGAAGCTTGGCTCGTGGGTCTTTGGCATTCACTTGCAGGGCGAGTGCCGGAAGTTCCGGTGAGAAAAGTATGCTGGGGATACCGGGAGGCTTATACAGTACAGCGTACAGAGTAAAGTCAATGGAAAGAAGTGTAGTACAGAAGAGAAAGGAGAGAGAAGCAAAGTGAAGTGGGGAGTGTCGATCGGTAATTTTCCCCTGTTCAAAACGAATAATCGAAATACAACAAATACTTGATATTAATAGATCCGGGCAATCCAGCGACGTAATCCCAATACAACATTTAGGTGAGCCTCCCCCACATTTCCCTTTTTTCCTTTCGCAACTCACCATGTCTTGGCTCGCGGGGTACGGCAAGGAAAGCACGGAGAATGACAACCTCGGCGTCGATTGGGTGTTACAGTATGAATTTGGAGATATCGGTAGGGACAAGCCTGACAAGCCGGAGCGCAGTGACTGACAACCTCCAGACCAGGCGCAAGCGATCACTGAATTCCGAACGCTAATCGCCGACCTAAGTGAAGCTGGTCTTCGGGTGCAGGTCCGTCATGGCCACGGCTCAGCGTTGCTGGTCTGCATCAGAGTCCCGCGGGACCACCTAGGGAATTTAGTACACCAGTCAAGGTGAGCTCTCAATGACATCGTGACGTGTGTGTGCGACTGACACGGCGCAGAATCAAGGATTGGCTCTTTGGAATCACACATACATTACCCGACGGCGATGAAACGGAAATCGCGGACGCCGAAACACCATCCGAGGAGATTCGCTCGGTGTACCATGCTGTGACCTGGCAGAAGAAAATAGGTGGTGCGGGGATTACGCCCGGGTTTGGAAAATGGAAAAATGTTACTGCCTCATTCCCGCTGCACGACCAGGAGGCCTGTGCGGCCATGCTGCGACAGTGGAATCGAAAGACCATGTTGACTACGAAGGATTTGGATGCCATTCGGGCATTGTTCGGTGAAAAGGTGATTTCACTGCATGATGCGCGGGTGACTCGCTAACCGTCGACAGGTCGCCTTCTACTACGCCTTCATTCACTGCTATTCATTATTCCTCGTGGTGCCCGCCGCATTGGGAATTGTTGGCTGGTTATATCTGGGACCATATTCAATCACCTATGGAGTGGTCCTTTGCGCCTGGTGCATTGTGTTCGTCGAATATTGGAAGATCCGAGAGGCGGATCTCAGCCAGCGCTGGGACGTGAAGGGTGTCGGGATCTTGAAGGTGAATCGAAAGCAGTATGTGTGGGAGAAAGAAGTGAAGGATCCAATCAGCGGACAGGTGAAGCAGGTCTTCCCAGGATGGAAACAGTTCTCACGTCAAATGTTGCTGGTCCCCTTCGCGTCGGTGGCCAGTGTCGCTTTGGGCGCCTTGATTGTCGCCTCCTTCGCTTCAGAAGTGTTTATCTCCGAGGTCTACGACGGTCCATTCAAAAGCTACCTCGAATTCCTACCTACGATCCTCTTCTCGCTATCATTGCCCGCCATCACCTCTTTCCTGACCAATATCGCAACGCGCTTGACGAACTACGAGAACTACCGCACCCAAGATCAGTGGGATCTCGCGCAAACTCAGAAGACCTTTGTGATGAACTTCATCACATCATTCCTCCCAACAATACTCACCGCTTATGTTTACGTTCCGTTCGGTAAACAGATCGTCCCCCATTTGGATATCTTGCGCATCTTCGGCTTGAAGTCGGATCTGTTGAGTGGCCAGAAAGAGTTCGAGGTTGACACCAGCCGTTTCCAGCAGGAGGTTATTTATCTCTCGATGACAGCTCAAGTCTTGAGCTTTGGTGAGGAAATTGTCCTCCCATATGTCAAGCATGTGCTCTGGCAGAAATGGCAAAATTACCGCGAACGCAAGGCAGAGTTTGGGCGCAAGCGCAGCTTCTCTGTGGCCACCGATCTGCTACTGATCGACCCACCCGATGAGGCGGACTTTATGGCTCGACTTCGCAGCGAGGCCGGTGCAGAAGAGTATCACGTTGAGGAAGATATCTTGGAGATGTGTGTCCAGTTCGGATACCTGGCGCTATTCGGTGTTGCATGGCCACTGGTCCCTCTTGGATTCCTGCTGAACAACTGGTTGGAGTTGCGAGGTGACTTCTTCAAACTGACCCTCGAATGCCAGCGACCGCCACCGATCCGCTCCGACTCGATCGGGCCATGCCTGTTGGGTCTCGACTTCCTGGCCTGGCTGGGGACTCTCTCCACAGCCGCAATCGTCCACATCTACCGTGGACCAATGTCCGAAGTGCGTTTGTCTTATCTCCTCCTCACCATCTTCATCGCCGAGCAAGCCTACCTTGGAATGAGGTTCACAGCCAGTGTGGCGCTGGAGAAGATCTTTTCAGAGACCATCCGCCGGGAAGAGGCCCGTCGGTATGCAGTCCGCTCGAACTATTTCGCCGCCAGTCTGGCACGTAACTCAACCCCCAGTTCGGGCTCCCAAGGCTCGCCCAATGGGCGGGTTCGCCATCGGGTGCGTTTCAACGAGCGGGTCAATGTATACAGTGCGAACGAAAAAGCACCCTCGCCCGACGGGTCGCCCTCCCCCACCCGCGAGGAGCCCGAGAACGATGTACTGCGAGGGTCCGACCGTGAAGCCCAGTTCTGGAGCGCACAGGCACAGGGCACGGGGGCGGACGCGGGCGTCAAGCTCATTCGTGCACTGAATTCCAAAGCGGAGACCAAATTGTCCAAAGAGGCTTAGATAGCTTTCAGCCCTATTTTCATAGCATGCTGTATTTTTAAATGAATTTTGAGTGGCTTCCCATAGTAGTGCGGAGTCAGTACGGAGTAAATTACCATCGATAGTGGATGGATCCAGTGGGGAGAATAATCTCGCATAAGACTACCTAAGTAAATAGTAGAGGCATAAGAATAGCAAGGTGGACTCGACAGGGATTCTCAGCCCTACAGGGCTGCCAAGCCGATCCACCCGAGCCCTTTGGAAGACTCCCGTGCTTGCGTGTCTTCTTTCTTCTCCCCAACTACAGCATGAGCGTCATGTGAGCTGTCTTCTTTTTGCGTAATATACAATGGCGACTCCTGCAGACTCCTCCGACACCCTGATTATAACTCCCTCCCCCGCGCACATGTCTCCCAAGGCACCGTCCATCGAAATGGACACCGTTTCCCACGAATCCCCAGCCCCCGAGGTCCCCAAGCTCCTCCGTGAAGCCAGCGACATCACATGGCAAGAGAGTCTCGAATCCACGAAAGACCAAGTCACCCTCGTTCGCCGCGGCGGCCGATTCCACCTGCTGCAACAACAGCAATTCAAGAACAGCTTGCTGGCAAGTGTCGGATACCTCGAGCTGGCCAATGCGGGCGATTTTGCTGCCAATGTCTGGAATGAAATCCCGGTGCCGAGGTTCGCTGCTGTCCTGATGGGGATTGGCGGTACCCTGGCGCTGGGGATGGTGCTGGTCGCGGTTCAGGATTTCCGCTTGAGTTGGAAGAACGTCAAGGTTTTACGGGCCGAGAAAGACCATCTACAACGACTAAGACAATATCATCATAAGAATGCCGAGCTGGCTCGGTTGATTGACAGTCGGTTGGGGGTTTCGCAGCGTGAGATCGGAACGGAATTGGTGGACCGGATTGTGATGGATGTGTTGATGGGGTTTGGATCCCTGCTGGTTGGGGTTGGCACCCTGATGGCAATTGGCGGTGCCGACCCCCAAGTCTTCAAAGCGAGCAACTTGCTCTCCGGGTATATTGGAAATGGTCTAGCGGCGGTGTTTGGTCTTGCAAATGCGGTCTGGTCTGGGTATCTGATCCATCGATTTCGCATGCATGACGCCGCGACTTTTGCTCGGGAGCCCAGCGACGAGATTCGTCGTCGGCTCCACACTCGCTTCCGCCGCTTCCAATGGCATGCCAGCATCAACGGGCTGAATGGCCTTGTTGCCGGCGCTGCTTCAATGGTCACTGCCGAGCGGTGGTGGGGATATATCGTGTTAATCCCGTGCATCATCTCTCTCATTTTGTGCAATTACTTCTGGCGCAAGAAGATCGGCTATGATAGGCCGGTTTTTGGACACGCTTCCCCAGCCAAGATCCAACTGACTCCACTGATTGAGGATTTGGAATATGTGATCCTCATGCAACGGGGGCTGGCAGAGCCCGAGAACTCCCTACCACAGGCCATTGTCCAACTGGACTCAGTGGAGTCCATCCTGCGCTTCATTGTCCGAGAACGCATGCTAGAAACATACTGTGAATCGCTAGCCCGTGACAAGAAAACCCGCCATCTCCTCAAGGAGCTGCCATGTCAGAAGGAATCACCCGACCAAATCACCATTTCTTTGGAGGCTCTCTTCCGCCTCTCGACCAACCACCTAGAAATCATCTTGGCGCATGCCAAGAAATTCCTCCAAACCACCGGCGTTCTCATCTTCACCCACCGTGAACGCCACCTCCTCGAACTACTTGGCTTCGCCATCTGGCAGGATCAGATGAACGAAGTCAAGGAACAAACCATAGAGCAATCTTAATACCATGTGCGACTTGATTGATTCATCTCGGCTCTCCCTCCTGGACGCGAGGTTGAGGTTCAGACTGGCGACTGGTCGCCGGCTCATTTGATCTGGGCATTTGCATTGCATTGCGTTTGTGATATTATGAACACTTCTACCTAGGTAGTCATGATCCAATCCAAAATCTACTAAATTTTTCCAAGGTTACTCTTGAGTCTTGACTACATTCTGGATACGAGCGACTTGGCACGTCTGATTCGCCCGTACTACCTAGGTAGGTAACGACAGGGATGTACTTAATCCAGAGCTTGCTCGACAAAGGCACGTAGATCAGAGGAACATCGAGGAGCACAGACCGTTGGGCAGAGGAAGCTTGCATGCGGAATCATGCATCTCCTGTACGGGTTCGTATTACCAATGACCGCACAGGCAGGTTGATAGGCGCCAAGAATACCATCTAGGAGCTCAAATCAACTTGACATTGAGCGAAAATTAGGCAAAATGAAGATCCAGCAAAACTCGCCGACGAGGTTTCCTCCAGTGACAGCATTCAAAGTCAAAGTTCAAGCATTGGATTGGCTCAGACATTGCGTTCCCTTTAATCTCGGCAACGTACAACATTGGCATGACGTTGGATGAAATGATCGCTGCGCCTCTCCCGCCTCTGCTTCTCGCTAGCTTCGCCTGGACTACATATTGGGCATCTTTGCCTTCTGGTGTCATTCGTCATTTCACCTGCGCTTCATACAGAAATCGTGGGTCGGACGTCGATCATCACATCACAGCCCAAGGCCAAAAGTCGGATGTCTGTTGAAACAGAAAGTCGGTTACAACTGTATCTTCGGGTTGGAATCAATCATGAAATATCGTTATTGAACGAAGCATGAATCCATGATGCATGCTAGGGCAAAATGGCCTGCTGGGGAGAATGTCTGGTCAGATGTACGCGGGCACGCACGCTTCCGCCAGAGGCATTGGTACAAGTAGTAGCTTCTGTAATACCTCGAGTCGATTCTATTCTGTAGCTGTGGCTCTTCGGTGGAAATAGTCAGCCCTGGATTCCTTGATGGCTTGATGGCTTATCGGACGGTGCAGTGATATCAGCCACCTCTTGCTCAGCGATCGAGTCAAGGCATTCTGCTGTTCGCTTGATCCCAGATGAGACACAGTCCAAGTTGTGACGAGCTGTCAGGTTGTTGATCCTGTCAGGTGGAGTGTGTATCATTCGATCGCTGATTGGTGTCGAATTGGCCGGTGTTTTGCTGTCGGATCTGTCTCCATTGCCGGTTTGCTGGTTATATAGAGACAATGGCATCGTTGCTCAATGTGCCGGCACTCCCATGGGTGTGAATCGCGTAGCTCTCCGATCGATGAGTAGCCGCTTGTTATCATCTCAATCACGATCATGTTGTGGTCCTTCAAACTTCAGTAATAGCTTCCACACTTGTGATCTATGATGAGCAAGCAAATGCCCACGATCACTGCTCATCAATATGCGTGTATCTGCCAGCGACAAGAGTGAGAGTGTTGACCTTCACTTTGACGGGTCCTTCAATTCGAGTTCCTTCCTCTTTCGGGATTTCCAGTCTACGTCTTCCCTTTCCCCTTTCTCACTCGACTTCACCTTCTTTCACTTAACCTCTCTATCCCACACGGACCGTCATATGTGCATCCTCAACAGAGCTTCCGAGGTCTAGAAGCTTTGAGCCTGCCTGCCTTGTCTTTGAAAGCTCTGTGTCCTTTGAAACAACCCCGACATCACTGTTTCTCGTCTGGAGACGTGAAACCAAGAATCCATCTATGCTCCCCGTCATCGATACCTTGCTTGGATCTCAATTCAGTAAGTCCCAAGCATTCTGGCTGCTTAAATTGTTGAGTTGCACTAACTTGACATTTCAGAATTCACTCGATTCAATCCACTGCAACCCACACAGAACAAAGGCGACGATCCCGCCATGGATGATCCCGCCATGGATGATCCCGTCGTGAATGATCCCGTCGTGAATGATCCCGACGTGAATGATCCTTGGGGGAAATGCAGCTTTTGCAAAAGGGTCGGGACCAGCACAGCTCCGCTTAAGATATGTAGCAATTGCAAGGCCGGATGGTACTGTTCGCGGGATTGCCAAAAGGGCGGCTGGTCCAGTCACAAGGCAGAATGTGCTGAGACCGCCCATATAATGGGTCCCAACGGTGGAGCTGCGCGGACGGCCTTGGCCAACAAATTGGATGAAATGCATACAAATCTTCCATCCCGCCCGGGTGTGCTTGAGCTCGCTGTTTCCGATCCCTTCGTCAGACTCAGGGAGGGTAGATGGCTGGACGACCGCCCCAAGACAGACATCTACAAGCTCCTTATCGACACATATCGGGTTCTAATGAGCGATACTCACACACACACCGGTTTTGTCTCGAAGGACGGTCTTACTTCAGTGAACGGATTCAAGCGCTTCCTGGGGAGGATGCATATTGAGTGGCAACTTCTGCCAAGCTGGTGGGCGCCAAACAATGTGGCAGAGTGTTGCGTCCTTGGCACCGAAACGACAAACTGGATGCTGAATGAGCCAATCGAACTGGACCGCATCGATGCCCGCTATGGAGAAACGCTGATGGTCACACAATTACGAATGTTTGGTGGATATTTGCCCTTGGCTGGGGCTCGGAGCATCTAGGCTGGTAGCATCGATATGATGGAGTTGAATGGCGGGTGAAATGGGAGCAGAAAGTACGCATGATATTTCTAAGAGATTCCTTGTCAGGGGTTGTTTTTCAATACTGACTTTTAAGACTACTCTCTCTACGCTCGGGCCATTCTATCAAACACACGCTGCTGGTCCTCAACCCATGATCCTGATGTAGACATAGCCTTCCCGCAAATCTATATTTCAAACGCTCGGGGCTGCCCGAAACATAAGTGACGTCCTCTTTCATTCGAACACCATTCATTTCAACTTGGAAAGACCAAATAATTTGGACATGCCCTGTCTCAAACCAAAAAGCGGAATCCACGACGGCTTCCTTCACCAGGAACAGCGCCCTCGACCTCCTCGCCGCGGTCAAGCTGTTTGTTCAGACGGACAAGCATGAAGCGCAGTAGAGTCGCAGACAAAATAGCAACAAATGCCGTGGCGCAATTCACCGACATGGCGGGCACTATTCTGAGGTTAGCAAGCGGCTCCACCCAAGGATACAAAATGCCTACCGAATCGAGGCGCATGGCTATCGGGATACATATAGCTGGCATAGATGCTACTAGCATTGCTGACACAGTTGATAGCAGCAAGGGCAGCAGCACGCTTAGACGCAGGGCGAGGCAGCGTGTTCGAAATCCAACCTAGGGCCACGACGTATCCGGCGTAGAACGACGGCACCATAAGCATCATCGCGACGTAACGAGGGGCTGTTCCTGTTGTCGTCGCTGCAATGATAAATGCAACGACGGAGATGTATAATGGTGCAGTGACATGGAAGTATCGCTCGCCTGTGCGATCGGCGTGCCATGCGTTCGCGAACGCACATATCACAGCCAGACAGTAGGGCGGGGCAGTGAGGAGGAGAGTCTCGATGTTCCCATAGTTCAGGGTCTTGACGACAGTGGGAAAGAAGTTTGTAACAGAGGCAGAAGAGACAATGCACAATATCATGAGCATCAGAATCCACGTCTTGATATCCACGACGGCAAGCTTGGCGCCATGCAAGAAAGTTTGCTGCTCACTGTCTACCCAGTCATCCTCGCCGATATCCTCTTCCAGTCGCCAGATAGCCAGATCCTTCTCTTCCTCGGATAACCAGCTCGTGGTGCGTGGGAAGTTGGGTAGAATCCAAATGGCCGCAAAAGCAATGACGATCGTGATGGCCCCTTCGATGATGAATAGCCATCGCCATGCCCGCATTCCGAGCACATTATCCATGTTACTTGTGATGCCAGCGGCAATAAGTCCGGAGAATGCACCAGACAGCAGAGATCCAGAATACAGGGCCGCGGTTCGGAACCCTAGCTCTTTACGCGTGTACCACGCGCTCAGAAAGTAGAGACAGCCTGGGAAGTAGGCTGCTTCGACAAAACCAAGGAAGAACCGGATGACAACCAGGCCAGCGTAGCTTTCAGCTGCGGCTGTAGCGGTAGAAATGATACCCCAGAGAACCATGGCTATCGGCAGGTAGAGGGCTGGTTTGCCGAACTTGTTGAGGAGCAGGTTGGACGGAATCTGCATGAGCAGGTATCCGACGAACAGGATGCTGACGCAGGTTGCGAATTGGTTGCCTACTAGACCCAGGTCATCTTCCAGACCTGCTAGTCGGGCCGAGGCGATATTGTTTCGGTCGAGGTAGTTCAATATGTACATGATGATAATCATAGGGAGGAGGCGAATATCGATCTTGCGGACGAGGGCCTTTTCAGCCTTGATGCGCTCTTCGGCTGTCAGGTTGGCCACAGAGGCGGGTGCTTCTTTTTGGGCATTGGGTTTGTCGGCGTTGGCGATTGCTTCGACATTTTCCAGGACTGGCTTGTCCACATCGGGTACGATATCTGGATTTGGGGACATGGTAGATCGTATATATCTTGTAGAAGAAGGCAATGAGAGACGAGATTCGAGTGGCTTTAATAGCCAAATGATCTATGGATATCAAAGTTGATCAGATTCCAAAGCAAGCAAGGGAGACAGAATGAGAAGAAAAGAGAACCCGCCAAACGTGGGAAGTGACCATCCCTGCAATGTCAAAATCAAGACATGTGGCGCTAGCAGCCGGTCTGAGAGCCACAGATACATTGGCATGCAAAAAGACCATATCACTGCAACCCTCGATACTTCTTCCCCGCAACACGGGCAGTTGGCCTGTTCCGGCACAAGCGACCAATAGGTTACACCCCGCGGAGATGGAAACACGGGGAAGGCCTCGTCCCCGGACTTACCCCGAGTCGAAGGGCTTGCGGGGAGTGAGATCGTCCCTCTGGCGTGGGGGTCTACACTTCAGCATAGGGACTTGGCTTGTCCGGGATGCGTGGGGGTGGAATTCTCGGACAGTCAAACTTTGCGTGTCGGGTATTTTAGCTGAACACAAAGGTTCAATTGGATCCAAGTACGATGTATGCAGCATGCCAAGGGTTGTAGGACGTTTCCCTCTGGGCCTGGCGCATTCACCTCAACCGATGCAGTGACTTTCGGTTTATGGGCTACACTAGCTCAATTGGGGGTGTTCCGAGTAACTTTGAGGAGACAAAGAACCACTTGCGTTCAGATAGCAGAAGGCTAAAGATTCGGAATGTCATTATGGGTAGAGTTGAAGGGATTCCAGCGATATTCGGCGTCAAGGGCCGATGAGTACTCCGAAGTATCTACGAGGATGTCCCCGTCCGACGTCAAATTAAAACCTTCGAATTTGGCATGAAGATCAGCTCTTCCATGTTCTCGGCTTCCCGATCCCTTCATTCTTGAACCCTTGGCTTGTACGTGCTCCGATGTCTCGGGCGTTCTGTGCCGATGACAACTGGTATCTACCGGTATGTGCTGAACTGGTTGTGAATTGGTCAGTCTCCAAGGTGTACTTTCTGAGTCGATATCCAAATCTCGGAATCCACTCCCGGGCTTATGGTGCGGCATTTGTAAGGGCGAAACTGGATCTGCTATGTCCATGCAGTACCTAGGCAGTATAGGCGCCTACAATTGACCTCAGGAACTCGCCATGAAGTGGAACAAGTGGTATCTCAGGGTGTGTCCATGTCGTCTTAGGGAGACTGTCCAGCCAGCGGTGGACTTCGGATAGATGGTGCTCCGTGTTAGCCCCTACGGAGTGTACGCAAGTCGGTCTCCAAGGTTCTATTCCTGGTTGATATCCATCCTGGATTGTGACAAGTCAACCTTTCCGCCAGGGTACTGCCCCTAGGTATTGCAAGTTCTCGAACCCTGAAGGCTTTCACGACATGCAGATTTCAGATACAGGGTGCTCCGGACCTCCGGAGGCAGTGACATATACAGCACTGCGTCAACCATGAACCTAGAACCCATACTCTTAACCTTGGAACCGAGAACGGGAACAAGTTTAGAACGCAGTCCCCACAGGACATCCATGGATCAATCTAGGTCCACGGGTATCCGAGTCATTTATGGAGTAAGCAGATAGCCAGCACGATTCATGAAAAAATATCCAATTGATACCTAATAACCCCAAGGCTACCACATACAAGACACATGCCCATTAATCCAACCGTGGACGCAGCCACAAAAACGAAAACGAGGTACAGGGCCAGAGGCTCAAAATGGATTCTCAAATATGAAAGGGCCCAGAACGACCATGAATGTGCTAGAAGACAAGAGAAAGGAGAGAAAAATGATAAAAGGCCAGTAATCCACGCTCCCAATACTCAATGACAATGATTCAGATGCACGATGCAAAGGAGAGAAAAAAGTTCGAGGGAAATAAACGATCAAAGCAGAAGAGTGGCTCCGATTAGATGGAGGACATTCATTAGATTTCAGAGACGGGGCCAAGATTGAGCGTCCGGCTTTTGTGGGCTCCGTGGGGGCCGTGTTTTTGGTATTTCGGATATGGATGTGGTCGGTGGTAGGTAGAGGTTCATCAAACGCCTTGTTTCGCCGGTGATGCATGTCTAAAGACGAGAATGCAGAGTGAAGGGCCGGTGGAATGGCCTCACGCGTGCAAGAGATTTCCGCCCAAAACTTAGATGAAGTGAGTATAGATTTTGGAATTTTCGTGAACTTCCATCTCCTAAAAAAGAATTAGTATCCGTCGGGAGGCGAGAGAGGAGGAGAACGTACCATTTTGAAGTTGTTGATCTCCTCCCGGATCTGCTGAGCAAGCAGAGGAGTGAGACGATTGCAGGTAGCAATTTCACCGCGACGGTCGTACTCGCCGCTGGGCCAGGTCTCGTGGAACTGGATGCGAGGGCTGAAGACGATGTTTCTGTTGCCGACCGAGTGGGGAGTCATGGGGGCGCTCTTGGACTCGGAGTTGAAACGTCCAGCGTTGGAGAGGAAGTAATCTTCGCCAGCGATCTTGACGGAATCATTTTGTGCCGGGGATCGCGCGGACTCGTCGGGAGTCGGGGGTGCGCTGGAGTGTGGTGAGTCACCAGCAGACAGTGCGTGTGCAGGCGAGGATACACCCAAGTCCGAGTGAGTTTCTGGATAACAGTTAGAATGAAGTCGAGAGGATTGATTAACCAGGGTACGTACTTTTCAAGATGCCCTTCCGAATGCCAGCCAGGATTTCGGCACGTTCTTGGTCCCCTCCAACAATGCTCTTACGCGATTGAAGGTTCTCTGATGCGGCTCGTTCCCGGATCGAGGTGGATCGTCGGATCTCAGCGGCATTGCCTTCGACCTTGGGGAAGACAGTGGCTCCACGGGGGAGGTCCGCGGGGTCGGGGTTGACAGCGACGCTCTCCCGCTCGGCCTCGACGTTCACCACGGTGATCTGCGGAGGTGGAGCATCCTTTGCACCCTCAACGGAATTGATACTGGCAACCGATTTAGGACGGAACATGCCTACTAAGGAGCGAGTCGATCGCTTCATGCCCTTGCCCATCTTACGCAGCATCATGGACGCCGAGGAGGCGGTCGAGGACACTGAAAGATTGTCGTTGGATCCCGTGAAGAAATGGCCTTGGCCAGAGTAGATACTCTCGCCCAGACCACTCAGCTCCTGTTGTTCCGCAATCGCTGCCTGCTCAGGACCCAGCTGTTGTCGCAGAGCCTCACGGCGCTCCTGCTCCGCCGCGAACGCTTCTCGCTTGGCGGCATTGGATGCTGCAGATGACTTGAGAAGCTCAGAAGCACTTCCAAACGAGAAGGCCCGTCGCAGGCGTGACTTTCCGGGGCGTTTCGGATCATTTTTCAGATCATTGAGACGCTTCGCAGCCGGGGATTCCAAGGGTGGTGGTGTCGCTTTCCGGGTGGCTTGGGGGGCAGGTTTGGGGGTTTCTGGCTCGGTCGACGCGGGCTGCGATAGTGGCGAGGGCTTGCTCGTACGTTTATCCTCGGGCTTGCTCTTGCTGGCAGTGGAATCAGGTGTGCCTTCTCGTACCTAGAGACATCGGGACGTTAGTTTTGAAATATATGAAAGATTCGTATTATCCCTACCGAGGATGCAGACGATTGTGCCGATTGGACGCTGCCCACGCTGTTTCGCTGAGAGTGAGATGAACCGGGTCTTTGGTTATCAAATGAGATGAAGTCGTAAGATCCTGACTGTGCAGGGGTAGTGGCAGGGGCAGGGGCAGGGGTGGACGTTGAAAGGTCCAGTTGCAGATTGGGATATGCCGATGCATCCATGTTACCCACGCTGCGTCGCCGATACCGCTCGGGCTGTGTCCGCTCCGCATGGGATGAATCGTCCACACTCGAAACCCGAGTGTGAAGGGTCGGTCGAGTGAGTCTGGGGGTGCTCATGTCATCGATCACCACGGTCGGGACCGCAGTAGCCGGGGTGGAGGCAGCGGTGTCGGCTCGCTGATTGCCTCGGCGATACCGATTGGGGGATGGCTTAGGGGAGGAAGCGCCTCCCGCGACGGGGGAAGGGAGATTGGCGATGGACAAGGGGCGGACGGGTTGATCGGTCCGGGGCTGGCGTGAGGGGAGAGCACTGTCGTCCTTGGAAACGGATTGGAATGAAGAGTTGGAGGAATTCGATACAGAACCAGCTGCAAGGTGTGAAGTTCGGGGGGTGGCGCCGTTGGGGGTCGAGGTTCCAGGCCCTTGAGCGGGAGCGGAAAAGGTGCGATGCTCAGGACGCAGGTGTGGTGACCACGACTGGCGATTTGTGTTTTGGTAGGCGTAAGGAGCCACAACCGGGTGGCCTGCTCGATAGTTCCCCGAGTTACCATTGAAGGAAGACCACGACATCGTCTGGATGCGAGACGGATGGCTCTGAGGGGAAGAGAAGGTGCCCGAAGAGGAAGAAGGACGCGTCTGAAGCACAGGTACCGTGCCACTCTGTTGCGGGATTGTTTGGACCAACGCAGCCATATTGTTTCCCTCCCCCAAGGAAGAGAAAGGAGATCACTTTCGGGGATTCGTACTGGAGAGAGCGGATGCCCGAGTGTTGTCAAATGGGGACCCGAGGAACGGAGCGAGATACTGTAACCTGTCAGTCCCTGCTCGCGGTTCGGGCGTTCTGACAGGGAAAGGGGTTGATGGTTCTTTTTTCCTTTCCCCCCACGAGACCGCGTCAGCTAGGATCAACGTACCGTGACTATCAAATGGATAACTATACGTAGTAGTACAGTGATTAAACCAGGCGAACAGAAAAGAAAAAAAAGAAAAAAAAGAAGGCGAAAAAAAAGGGAGGCGACGTGGTCAATAAGGGAAAAGCGAAGAACAGCGACAAGAACAAGGACGTGAGAAACTCGAAACCAGGCGAGGAAGAAACGAAGGTGTGGAAAATGAATCCCAGAGGTCTCTATGCAGCGACAGCCATGTACAAGAACCGAAAGAAACCCCAGAAACGTGTCGAGGAGGAAGAGGAGGGAAGGGGGTGGAGAAGGAAAATAGGAGGGGCTATGTAGATTAGGGGATGTCCGTTTCTGTCTCCGCTTATGAATGTACTACGGAAATGAGAGATTCAGAGATTAGAAGAGAATAAGAGATGTACTATTACAGAGATTTCGAGATTTCGAATGTGAAGCATAAAGGGGCTGCCCCTTAATGCAGCCATTCTTAGACATCTCCATAGCTATTTAAATCCGACCCGTATAGCCCGTGCGAACTAGTTATGCGTTCTGTGCAGTTGCCTTCAAACGTGGATCTGCAGTTGTGCAGTACTCTACCTAGGTAGTAGTAGTACTGTAGTATAGTAGTAGTCGTATACATACTCATATTCTACTGTAGTGCTATCAACTATCAAGTACAGGATTGTCTCCAGTGGAGCTTCGAAACATCTCCACATCGCTTACTTGAGATCGTGTGATCCGAATTCTCGATGAACCACTCGGGCCTGCCCTATTCCGTCTCATCCAGAGATACGGGAACTCACTACTATATACTATACCGGGCAGTATAGTACAGTACATATAGTATAGTAGTTACCATGATCCTTATCGCGAAACAGCGATCCACAGAGTTCCCGCGTGATCGACATCGACCCAACTGTTTTCAATACATTGTGTCTACTCTTCGTACGGAGAACAGGCGAATTTTCAGTGGGGTCCTACGCCGTGTGCAATGGTACACTGGCGAACTAGCGCTCACTTTAGATTAAGAGGGGACCCCATTGCGCACAGATGGATGGGAAACTCGGTTCGCATTGTTTCCAAACCCGTTCATTTCGTATGCTCGACCCTACTCCGTGTACGAGTAGAGGGTCTACCTACCTAGTAGTAATGGCAATGGTTAATTCTTCCATATAATTGCCCGACCTCGGCTGATATGGGCGCATTAGCTTGTCACTAAGGTTGTGGTAGAGCGGGGATGTGGAGTGGTCGTACGTTGTTGTACTTGCGCGCCGTCCACTGTACGCCAGTCGATCGGGGATGTCTTTGCGACCTTATTTCGGCGCAGGGAATCCGATCTGACAGAGACATGGGAATTGAATGGAATTGCTCGGGTTCTTTTTCCGCCTCACCGGATGAGGAACATATTTGTGCCCTCCCAGGGATTGCTTGGCATCATTCTAACGCGTTCTACGCCACACGGGTTCGATATGCAGGGTAACAGAACCTGGTGTTTGTCTTGGCACCTGCGGGATTACGAGCACCGCAATTGGGGTATATAATTCTATTTTCTGCTCTATAATCTCAGAGGTCCATATCATCGGATTCCTCCATGTCATCATCAAGACCCTCGAAGACCATGAACTTCTCGTTCTTGGCATCCGTATCATCGGGAACCACGTTCCCGTCTTGGACCTCGCAATCCTTGAGCACGGATTCACGGCCAATCTTACTCCGCCGGCCAACGATGCAACCAGTCAACTGAGCCCGGGAGCCAATGACCGCGCCATCCATCACCAGGCAGCGGGTCAACCGCGCACCGCTCGCAATGTGGACATTGGCGCCGATGCAGCTCTCCTTGATCACACACTTCTCCTCGACGGTGGTGTTGCTGTCGAGGAGGCAGTCATTCTTTGTCACGGTACACCGTTGCGCCACGCCCTGCGGGTAAGCGATCTTGGAAGCGTGAGCGAAGGCAGACGCTTCGGTGCGGCCGACTTCTTCGATAGACTCCAGCTTAGCCAGACGGAGGGAAGTCGAAAGCAGCAGGGCGGAGGAGTCGACTCGTCGCACAAATGGTGATGTACCCCTCTGGATGTAGGCGAGCAATGGGGGGAGTACAGGGCTCTCCGTGGATTCTTCGATATGAGACTTGGGTGCTGAGGTGGCTTTGGTAGTGCTCATGCCGGGAAGATTGATCTCCTCCTCGAGTGCACCCTCCCCGTCGACGGATTCACCGTCGTGGCTAGCATTCTCGTCCACAGAGTGACTCCGGCTCTTGCGCTCAAAGATCTCGTTGATCTTCAGTTTTTCGCTAAGGCCTCGTTGCCACTCCGCCTTGGCCCACCACCCGATCAAGTCCTCGCTGACAGACTGGAACTGTTCGTTCAAGCGGGCCATGTCCTTGACCCACTGCGGAAGAATATAGATGTGTGCATCGCGGAAGCTGGTCAGCATTTTCACGTGGGCATGCTTGTCCACCAGCGAATGACGCATGAGGAAACCCTTATCATTCTCCATCTTTTCCTTCAGAGTGTCCATAGGCATGGACAGAACGACCTTGGAGAGCTGCGCGCGCAGCTCTGAGAGGGACACAACCGGAGACTCGGATTGTTCGAGTGGTGCAACAGCCACAAAGTCGGTAGCCTCGCCCTTGACGCTCTCCTCCCGATCCTTTGTTTGGTAGTACATGCTCAGGCCGTTCCGGCGGCCCTTCTCGCCCCCGGAGACCATCCATGCCTCAAGCAGAGACTCGCCGGGAAGATCACAGACAAGATCACAGGGGAGGAGGAGGAAGTCGGACTTGATGCAGTTTTGGACCTCGGGCAGGCGGAGGAGCTCGGCCGTACCGGTTGTCATTTCCAATTCCTTTGGCGCGATGACGGATGGTGTGGGGAGGGAGGTGAGATGCGGGTTTTGACGAAGGGCTGCTTGGAGAGGCGCAAGAGAGGAAGGAGGTGTGACCAGTGTGACATCTGATAGCTTTAGCTTCATGGCCAGGATTCGGCGCGGAAAGAGTGCAGATGTCTCTCACCAGTGATGCCCATTCGTCGGCAGAAATCCAGAACATAGTAGATCATCGGCCGATTCGCGATCGGAAGAAGACATTTTGGGTACTCCTCAGGGTTGGAAGTAAATGTGTTGAGAGAGACACCAGGGCCACTATTGAGTGTCAATCTTGCCCGGGATTTCTTTGGAGTAAATATACTGACCAAAGTACAATACTTTGGAAGCCCGTTGGGGGCACAGGCACCGAATGAGGCATACTGCTGGGCCGAATTATCGCACTCTGGGATGATATAACGATATAACGCCGTGATACAGGGCTGGCAATGCGACGAGTCACAGCTGGAGGGGTGATATAAAAAGTGCCTTATCGGTTTTGGAGTCATCGTTACATAAGCACTTACCTAACGCATGTGGACGGTCACGTGCGGCTGCCCCTGGTGACCCGCCTCCAGACTCCGGATGCAAACAGGCCAAACTCCCAAGTTACTCCGTAAACACCGCGGCAATCAATGGCCCAGCCACATGTTTCTAGGATCCGAGGAGAGCCCATCGTCCTCCCTCCCCCATTCTTCTTTCCCCACCCTCTTCTTTTCCAATTCGCCGAGTGATATGCGACCTGCGAGTCATTGCGACCGCGTCTGAAAACTAATTAATGAGTGACCCCTAATCGAAACGCGATCGCAATGTCTTTCCCGAATGACCGTCGCCGCGGCGGAGCCGGCGCTGGGTTCAGCTCATCCGGTACACGAACCGCTTTGGGATATTGGCTCCCCCTAGCCCTCACAGCTGGAGTCGCCACAGTCAGCATTGCAGCTTGGATCTGGAGTGAACGAAATGACGAGGACGACGAGGACGACCGCCCCCACAACGGAGGGCGCCCGTACCAACCCTCAGCTCAAGGGAGTGACTACCCTCCACCATCGTATGCCACCGGAGACTATGCCCGGAGTGTAGGCACTGAACCGTTGCCCGGAGATGCCCCATATGACCACGGTGTGATGGCCCGAATGCAAGGTGCCCTGCGCCGTACGCCGAGCCCTCAGCAGATCTTCGATGGTGCCAGCAAAAGGGTTGTGGCGGGTGTCACTGCCGCTGGAGCCTTTGTAGGCGGTGCTCTTACTTCTATTCGCGAGGACAACAAAGGCGAGGGTGACTTTGAGGATCACTCCAGGTGGTCTGAAGAGGCCCGCGATAGGGCCCACGAAAGAAGCCAACAGCAAAGCGCAGTCGCACCGACTATGAGCGGTGGCTTGTCTACCCGCGGCGTTGGTCTTCCCGACAAAAAGAAGAAAACCGTTGTTATTATTGTCTCGTCAAATTCATCGGCCGACTCAGATGAGTTTAGCTCTGAGCATGCAGTAAGAAGATTCCCGCCCAAACACTAGACTAGCCTCGCTAACGATGATAGTCCATTCTGTCCCATCTTCCTGAACACGTTGATCTTGAGACCTCCAAGATCTTTGTGTTGATCTATGCCCCAGAGCTGAAACACGCCATCGCCAAGGGTGGCTCTTCACGCCCCACGGTCTCCATCACCTCGTCGTACTCGAACATCGCCACCGAGGAGGCAGCATCTGCCGAAGACCTGACGACTGGAGGCTTGGCCTCGGTGGAGCCTCGTCAAGATGACGAGTTTGACGGCACATCTCGCTTCTTCAGAACATTGTACACCCAAGCTCAAGCTTTGGTCGAGAAGGACACCATGATCATGCCATTCAGCACTGCCGGTGGCTTTGTGCACCTCGTCCGTCACCTCTCCCCAGAGCTCGTATACGTCCAGGAATCCTTGACCGGAGACCAGGGCGAAGCCGTGCAGCATATCTCTGGCTGGGTTCGTCAAGTCATCGTCGTTGTTGGAGACGAGGGTGGCCGTGGCGGACTCATTGACAGCGACGATGAATCTGCACTCGGCGAGAAGGGTGATAAATGGTGGCAAAAAGAAGGCACCATCGGAATTGGAAAGCGCATTGATGTGGTTGACGTTGTCCGGGTCGGAGATGACTGGCGACGACGGGTGCGTGGTCTGGACTAAGTCCCGAGCTGCCCAGCATGGTCCTATGATTTTGATGTTGATACTTGATTATTTGTGTCTATACCTGTTCTGCTTGCCCCTTGATGATTGATTGACCCTATTCCCCTGTTCACTTGATGTCTTTTTACACTTTGATTCTTTACCATCCATATTCCACGACTACGTGCCTTCAATTGAAGTTCTGAATTGTAACCTCTGACCTGACAAGCTGCATTGCCTGTTCTTACTTGGGCATGCCACCATAAGGCGTCAAAAGAGATTGTACCCGGATGTAGACCACTCATCTGCCCACCTGGCCCTCGTGGACATTGAGCTCGATGTGATGAGTAAGCAAACTAATCCCAAAGCGGGCGCGGTCAGGTGACGTCCTCACGTCTCGCGGGTGGCTTGGCATCATCAACTCCTCTGCAAGACTCGCCCAGCGTCTTCTCCGATCCATCCCTTCCTAGAAGCTCTATCGGACAGGCGTTTCTTTCCAATCATTCTTTTAAGCCATTTGGCTAACCTCCGCTAATTTATTCGCATTGATTCCAGCTGTGCTGGAGACCGGTGCCGCCCTCCCCATCCCCACATGTCTCGCGCATCGGCCATCCAATCCAGTTCCCGAGCAACGCTTTCATTCAACATTACCAACCCGGCATCCCGATAAGTCGCATCCATAGGCCACTGGCTACCCTGAGCTTGCGCATCCGGCGCAGATACAATGGCGACCGCAATCTCCAAACCGACGCCCTATGCCCAGAAGATGAAGCGACCGCCCCCGCCTTTCGGCCAGGCCGCGGTCAACGGAGTCAAGGGCCACCACCTCTCATCCTCACCTACATCTGCTGCAAAACGCCCCCCGGCGAGTGCTGCGATCAACGCAGGCTCCCACCTCACCAACGGCGCAGGTCATGTGCCCAACTCCACAAACAAAGGACCTTTAAACCGGACCAGGAACCAGGCGCAACGGTCCATTGATCAATCCTCGCGTTCTGGCCGGCCAGTAACGAGGACAGCGGCCTCTGACAATGCACACCGAGCTGGGAAAAAGGCGCCCGAGCCTTATGGTAAGCATTTCCGGGGAGCCCCCAAGCCGCAATGCGCTTTGGCTGACTTTGCTTGTTTTTCGCGCGCTACAACAGTGAAAACAACATCTTACATCCTTAAAAAATACGCCAAATGCCCTCCATCGCTTACTGTGCACTTACACCCAACGCACTTTCGATTTGAGCAACAAGATGGGAGCTTCCCTTATAACTCTGAGATGAAAGTTATCATTGAACACATTCGCGCCGGAACGGTACCTCACGATCTTATCGAGGAGCTTTTGCGAGGCGGTGTGCCTTTTTATGAAGGTATATGCTAGCCTTGCCGCATGGCACGAGGGTCGATTGCTAACAATTGGCAGATTGTCTCATTGTTCGTGTCGTCGACCACAAGTCTGCGTCAGCGCAAGCAAGAAAGACATCTGCGGCGTCTTCCAATGAGAACAACACACCATTTTCTCTTCACAATTACAACGAGCATGTCACGCCATCACCCTACGTTCCATACCCAAAGCAAAACCACCTTACATCGGCAACACAAGGGGCGAAGACTGAAGGTGCCTCGAGCACTAACCAGTCTTCAAATGCCTCGGCGCCTAGTGAGCAGCCTGAAGGCCAGGACAACTCTACGTCCCAAAAGAACAATGCCACCCTCAAGCCTCGAGTCTTCACCACGGTGCTCCACCCCACTGCGCGGAGTTTGCAAGCGGAGTTGACATTATTGCTTACCACCCCCAAAGAAATTCCGAGTCAAGCAAACCCTGCATCTGGGACTTCTGGTTCCCAGGCAGACCGTGTACACGTGGCAAAGAGGCAAAAGATGATGGTTGAGCCGGAACAACGTTTGGACTGTGAATCGAAAATCATTCATGCCTTGGCCCCTCCTCTGTTCTTGGACCCAGTTCACACTTTCCAGGCTGCCCAAGAGCTCATGAAACATTTGGAAAATCCACTCCATTGCAACCCGCCACCTTCACCGAAGCGCCGAAAGAGAACCGTCGCCGAACTTGCCGCAGACGAAGCCTTGGCCGCAGAGGAGGAGAGATTCATGCTCATCATGGACGAGCGTTTGGAGCCCACTGCATCAGGCCCTGGTGGTGCCGCCAAAGCTGCGGCCGTGGACGATACAGGCGGCGTGGTGCCATTTGAGCCTCGCTTCTCTCGATTCAAGACCCTTGAAACCATTCGCATGCAGCTTGAGGACAAGGCTAAGCGTGAACACGAATCGAAGCTCAAGCAAGAAATGGTCAAGCGACAGCAGCAGGAGCAAGATAGAGAGCGACGCCGCGCAATTGAACAGCGACAGGCCGAAGACCACGCCAAAGAGGAAACAAGAAGACAGCAAATTGCCGCTCAACAAGCGCAGGCTCAACTTGCAGCGCAGCAGCAGAGCCGTCACCCTATGGCTCAGCCGAATGGTGTCAGCCAAGGACAGCAGTCCTCGCCTGTTGTACGTAACCAGACCCCACATACAGCGTCATCACCACTGGTTGGTAACCCCATGCCTATGCAGGCGGTTCCAATGTCCATGACTGCATCTGGATCTGGCAGTCCTCCACGACCCCCCTCCGCCCTTCAGCATGCGCACCCTAATGTCATGAGCCACCCAATGGCGCCCTCGAGAAGCCAACAAGGACCAAGTCGACATGGCACTCCACAGATGACCCAAGGCACACCGGCCATGTCACATGCTACGCCGATTTTGCGGAATGTTACACCTACCCAGCGTATGGGACATGGCAGCCCCAACAACCCCATGGGCCAGACGCCTGTCATGAATCAAGGAATGGGTAACGGCGCTCCGATGAATGGCATGCAATTTACTCCTCAGCAACAGATGATGCTGCAGCAACATCGACAGCAACAGATCCTTGCGGCACAGCAAGGCCATATGCAGCCTAATCATTTCACACCACAACAAATTGCCCAATTACAGGCCAATGCACACGCTCAGCAAAATATCCAAAACCATCAACAGCAGCAGCAACAACTTCTCCAAGCTCAGCAGCAACAGGGCAACCATCCTGTTCAAAAGGTTCCCCAGCACGGCCAACAGGCTTATCAGGCTCAGCTCATGCGTGCTCAATATGCTCAAATGCAAATCGTCAAGCAGCAGCAAGGCGGGCAAAACCAGCAAATGCAGGGCCAGCAGAACCAGCAACACCAAAACACCCAACAGCTGACGCCACAACAGCAGCAGCAGATGCTCATGGCTGCTGCCCAGGCAAACGGGGCTCAGATGGGCCAGAACGGGCAAAATATGAACCCTGCACAAAGATATACACAATTATATCAACAGAGATTGCTCCGCATGCGACACGAAATGTCCCAACGATATATGGCTCAGTACGGCCCACCCAACCAGTACCCGCCAAGCATCGCGCAACAATATGGTCCCGGTCTGGAAAAGACCGCCAAAGCGTGGGTTCACGAGGTCATGCGTCGCGAGCGAGAAAATGGCCAGCAGCATCAGCAGCAGCGTGCTTTGCAGGCCCAGCAAATGCAAGCACAGGGCTCGATGCACAGCATGGGTGGAATGAACAACTGAGCTTTTCCGCTCGAGCTGATGTACCACTAACATCTACAACTGAAATCTTCCAATGGGACGAATTTCCCGTCTACATTGACTTCGCTTGGTCTTCTACGGCACCATGAAGTGCAATGGCCGGTTGCCGTTGCCTATTCTTGCCCTATTCTTGGGATCTTTCTCTCATCGACTTCCTCATTCTCTCCTTCTTACCTTCAATTCGAATCCCGGGAATTTGTACAGAGACCAGGCATCGTGGAGATCAGACAGGTCGGCGTTACTATTTTTGCCATGGTGTTCTCTCGCGGATTCACTTCTTTTCTTCTGTTTTTTCTGTACTATTTGGGCACGGCTTTTGGTGGGAATCCTGGGATTTATCAGACTCGATACCATTCTGTACAGGAGTTTTTGATCTATGCGGCTGGGGTCTGGGGTCTTTTTTTATAATTGTGAAATACTTCGAAATTTGATATCACGAAATGCAAGAACTGGCTTCTCTATTTTGCGTAAAATGAAATTCAATGGTATGACACCTTCAAACCCCTCCAGGGCTGGAACAAGGCACGCCCACCAAGCCCAGGCACCAGTAGACTACTGTACTACGTGCTGAAAATAGGCCCTCCAGGGCTAATCGAGTATTCAAAGAAGTCGCTTTTAAGCACCATGTGCATAGCATCGGTAAAATTTGATTCTGGACGTGATAGCTAGCCCCTTGCGACAAGAGCCGGCATCACTCGACATCCACAAATGCCGCAAAATCGCCGGAAAAGCGCAAGGAACTTCCCAGATTATGCCTCTAAGTAGCGACAGGAACCAGCAGCTCCTGGCGCAATCAAGGGACAAGAGCTGCATTGCAGGCATCAGCGGGCGTTAAGGGACAGCATCCGTCAACAATAAGCGCACAAGCACTTCCAAGTTGAGCTTCGCTGCGGTCGTACAATCAGGTCCCTGACTGCCGAAGCAGTCGTCGGAATCATAACATTTACAGAATTTACGAATACGGGATGTTCCAGATCTTCAATGGATGTTTGCCACCTCGGGCGAACCGTAGGACAAAAATCTAGTACTCACTGGCTAGGGAGACGTATCTCCATTTCGATATAAGCACTTCTTCGGCGCGACCGCGGCCATGAAAGGGCCGGATCGCAATTTGACATCCGTGCTATCTGTAAAGAGAGAATGGAAGAGGGAATCATAGTAAGTATTGTATTGTAGACTGATATGGAGAGCTGGGGAAAGGGTTGATGATTAGTGGAAGCCGTGACCGCTGTGGAAGGCGTTCGTGAGACAGTTCTCTGGTCATTCGGTACTCAGACTGTTGAGCTTGATAATTTGACACTCATGGAGAAAGTCATGTCAATAGAAAAGGTGATCATCACAGTAAGGAAAGACCAGAGTTGTGTCCTGCGAAATGGGCACACGAAAGATCAGGACAATGCGAAGACTCATGCTCATGAGAAGACATTAATCTCTTGCGCAATTGCTTCGCAAAGGCTGTGCGTGGTCGAAATGGTCGAATGTATCAGGGTAGAGAAATGGGAGTCTGTTGGATCGGTGCGTGCAGAATTTTTATATCCATGGATCACCTGATTGATTATGTAATGAGGAGCCCCGGAGTCCGGCCTCCGGATGGGGCTTCGCCCAACTGGGCAAAGTGTCAACAATCAAGTATCAAACCCGCGAGATTGTCTTCTGGCAGGCTTCGATTGGGCCAATGAGTTCGGGTTTGGCGACAAGTGGTTGTTGAAGAACAGTATTCATAACCGGCATTGGATAGTACCAAGCAGTCATCGGGTCTCAAGGATTGAACGTTTGCGAGTAAGCACAACACACGAGCATTCAACGATCATGGCAAGCTTTCGTGGGAGATTCGAAAGCTCGAATTACAGGTGCAAGTTGTCCGCACCATATGTGTTCTTCAATTTGGTGAACTTGTGTCGAAGACAAACATAGCAGTTCGCCGATTTAAATATGGAAATGACAGCATGATCGAGGAGGCCGAATTCAATAAGAGAAACCTTGAACTCTTGACCCAGCCTCAAAGTGCGGTGAGCAGGATATAGTTGTATTGATCATACGTACCTCGAATGGGTCAAAGTTGAAGATCTCGATCGCCATGAACAAGATCCTGGTTAACGAGTATACCGACTCAACAAACTCACCCGATTCAGAGAACAAAAGGAAATATGAGACAGTGGATCGAGCTCCGCACCAAATCTAGGATGTGGAAAGTGCAGAGCCAAAACCGGCTTTCCCAGGTCCGAAGCTAGGGATGATCGCCGCACATCATCCGAGAAGCCAAATAGATCAGCAAGAGCAGACCTCATCGGGATACTGTACATCCTTCCTGTGTACGGAGTAGCCATTCCAGTTTGCGGGCATAGTTTGGAGCAGAGTTTTTCGATCGAAGCTTCAATGCATCGCCTCGCATTGGCATGGTCTAGGGGAAGCGGTGGCCCGTAAAAATAGCTCATTGGCAGACAGCAGTCTAGAACACGTTAGTACAATGTCACATTCCAATGCATGCACGGAGTGGTTTTCGTGCAGTAGAACGCTGTGCGGACTAGAAGGCCACGATAGGGAACAATGTCAATTGTACGGTGTAGGTAAACTCCTGTCCCACTGCTCGTATACAGCTTGCCAAGTTTCCAGGTGACATATTTGGTAGGTATCTAGCCATGCAGTTTCGAACTTTGAATGATGTCTCAGAATACTGCATCGAATGCTACGCCATACAGTGCACTAATATTCGATAGATATCGCACAGACATGCTTGAGTACCGAGGCTATGGGTGGCAGGTTTCCAACTGGTCAAATTTCCTCGTGCGGTTGTGGAATAGAATTGACTATTAGGCTATGCACCATGAATAGTGCATAAAGCTGGCGCTCTGTGTATTCGAAATATCGGAGTAATCCCTGATCGCGTCCATTCAATTTAATTCTCACTGCAAAATTTAACATTTGATTGCAATGAGCATGATTATTGGACACATGCCGGACAAATGATAGGGTTTGACTGTCTGAGAGCCTATGTACTGAGCCCAGCAGCGGAATTCCAACGCGCGTCGGACATCGAGTAGAATGGGTGTTACACGAGCTCTATAGCGGCACCCAAGTAGCTAGAACTGCTAGGTCCCGAGACCGAACAGGAAGAGTTTAAAGGGAAAAAAGAATGAAATTCAAAGAATGGAATAACACAGAAAAAAGAAAGCAACGGTGGCTTGGGTACCGTTTCCACGTACCATACCGCCGGGAGGCCCGATACCTGTTCCCGATTAGTACTGCGTGGCATATACATAGCGCAGTGTAACCGCAGGTCGCCTCCAGGGCTGGAGAGCGTGGGCGTCAGAATAGGTACAACCTCGGTACTCCAGACGGAGTACTCCCTACTGAGCACATATTTCAACGTCGACCTCACCACGTACTATGCCAAGGTCAGTATGGCGGTTCGGATATTTGAGGAGATTTTATCTCTGGGGAAGTGGGACCAGTTGATCTGACGCCCATTCCAAGATTCCAAGAGAAAGGCTTACGAAGACCATCTTTGGAAGCAGGAATCCTGGAGTGTGACAACGAGCTCGCTGCTGGGCACTAGTGGATTTGTTTTTTGTACTGTACAATGGAAACCGTATGGCGTACGGAGTACGGAGTACAGAGGGCTTGGGAAAGAATGGGCATGCCAGGTCCTGGCTAGACCCGAAGGAGCAGTACGGAGTAGTTCTCGAGTTGGATGCATAGGCTTCCAGCCAAGATATTCCATGCACGAAGATCATCGATTCCAAGGAACTGCCCAGTCGCACTACCCTGTACCTTGGGGCTCTGGGTGCTTGACCACGTAGTACTGGAAAAAGGTGGGAGTAAAAGTGACCTGTGAGACCCCGACACAGTGGCAGGCGTCTGAGAGGAAGCGTGGCTTCTCCATAGTACGACAAGTGCCCCGTACTAGAGGACTTCGGCCATGCAAGTGAGTTAGTGCTGCATCCCGGTCTCGTTCTCGCGTTGGGCTCAGACTTTTTCTCTCGTTTTGGCGCTCCAGCGCTAAACTTAGGATACACTAGACGTGGCACTGACGTCCACTATTCATGTTGAAGAATTTCGGGCACAAGACACAGGATAGGAGAGTCGACCCCACCTGTCTGATAGGTAGACGATTGCGCTGTCGAGTGTGGCGCGGGTGGAGTGGAGCATAGTTCGTGTCGGAAGTTCGCGGTGCGTGCTTGGGGGTCCTGTGTTCCACATACTTTCAAGGCCACGTCGTTCGAGTCAGAGGACCTAGTGAACCAGAGCCGCGGTGTGGCGATGATGACATGGCCTAGCTGAAATAGGGGACGACGTGGAAAGGCGATCCGCTGGCCCATTGGGACAGGAATGTGGAGGGTTCCAACCGGGTCAAGGACAGATGGGTCAGGCTAGCTGCACCCGTCCCGATTCATGAGGCTCCACTAGATAGATCTGTTTGGAGAGATCCAGGAACTAGAGATCTAGAGCGGATAGTGGTGTGATCTGTAACATTCTTGTAGCGTGCCACGACGCCCCAGGAACCGTGGGAGAATGAAGTCAGAATCGCGTGTCACAAGGGTCGCAGAAGGACTGGTCTATTGACTTGAAGATATCCAAGCTTTGAATGGGGTGCGGTATTGCAAATCTTTGATTTTTCGTATATTATGCCACGAGCTGTGGGAATGGTAGTACAGACAAAATAAAATAGAATAAAAAAAAGATAACAAGTTGTAACAGAGTGTACAAGATCGCCAACCCCTGAGGGTATTCCTCCCAAATGATTATCCCATAGGCGATCTCCCAGAACAAATGTAACGCCAAATGAACCCCATGGTCATTCAAAGTACCTCCCAGCCTTTGGCTCCGGACAAATTATGCAAGAGAAAGGAAATGAAAAAGGAAAAAGACATAGAAAAAACGTAAATAAATCAAGGTCTCTGAATACCAGAGACATGTACAACGCCAGTGCCAATTGGCCTGTGATGCGTCTGCCGTTTCATATAATCGATCCTCCAGACACGGGGTATCAAAATCCAGGCCCAAGTTTCTGTGAACAGTTTCTATAGTGCCATATTTTCTTTTGAGAAAATACGGTGGGAATCTTTTTTTGGTTGTTTTTTTTCCTTTTTTGGTATTTCGACGTTCGGTTTTGGATGTTTGCTTTTTTTGTGGTTTTCGGTTTCGCGTGGGTAAATCGATTAGTCGTCCCAGCCATCGACGCTAAGCTCGCCGCAGTCAGGAATAGCATCTTCAAGCTTGGTGCCGTACATGGGGCGTCCGTCGGCGGTAAGTTGACCCCGGAAGTCGGGATCGAAGTCGGGGCTGGTCTCGTCGAGGGTGGCGACATAACGATTGCGACCACCTCGCTTGCTGTGGGTCTTTGTATAATGAGCATTGAGATTGTCGCTGCGGGAGAATGCACGGTGGCACCCAGGAACCCAGCAGACGTGGGGCTTTTCCTTAGAGTGGCTCTTCATATGGCGCTTGAGGTGCTCCTGGCGCTTGAAACGGCCCTTGCAGCCGGGCTCCTTGCACTTGAACTGCACCTGCTTGATGATCGGCGGGAGGTTCTCGAGGCTGAGCGTAGATCGAAGGAGCTGTTTCTTGGAAGGCTTGCGGGAGGGCTGGCGGTGGCGTTGGATCAGACCATCGCGGTAGACGGGTGAGAGCTGGAACTCGTCGGGATATTCGCCGTGGGACATCCGGCTGATGGGAGTGTCGGATCCAGACGGGGTGCCCATGGAGACCGAGCGGTGAGGGGTGGAAGGAGTGTGGGCCTTGTAGGTAGGGATGTGGGTGGGGAATTCAGAGTAAGAAGAATGTGGCGGCGTCATAGGAGAGTGCATGGCCTGCGAAGGAGTGATGGTCTGCGGGACCATTTCCTGCGAGGGCATCCATGGGAACATGTTGCTCATTGAGGCGGAGTTGGGCATCCGGTCGGTGGATTGGTTGAAGATTGGCCGTGAGAGGCAAGGATTGGAAGCAGATTCTGGAAGATATCCAGCCTGCTGAGGTCGGTGGTAGTAGTTGCGAGCCATTTGGCTGTACTGAGGCATCTGGGCCTGGTAAGGAAATTGAGACTCTTGGTACGTCTTGGGGACATCCTGAGGAAGCCAGAGCTGGTCGACGTTGTCGTCATATCCGGGCAGGTACTCGGGAAGAGGAATTTGCTCTTGGCGGTCCATGTTACCACAGGGCATGTTCATCATGCCGTCGTTGGAGGTGAGGTCGGCCATCTTGAAAGCGCTGCGCAATGGGGTCTGCGAAGTGCGGCGCTCCATGGGCATGCTGTGGTGATATTGCCCGGATTCGGGCCACCCAGGTGAAGCCATGGAGCCTTGGCTGTAGATGCTGGTTGGCGTAGGAGTTGGAGAGTCCAAAGGAGAGAAGCTCGAGGTCATCGAGGGGCATTCACTGGGGCCCAGAGAGTGGCAGTCGACTTCAACGGTCAAACGGTCAGAGATTTGTTGTCCGTGCGATCTCATATCGTCGAGGTCCTCGGTCTTGAAAGATTGAGATGCAGCTGGGTTGGTATCACCTGCCCAGGGCACTTTGTTTTAGTATGTATATAGAGATGTTGGAAGTGATTGTGTGGAAAAGACGACAGTGAGGTAGACAGTTAAAGAAAAGAAAAGAGAGGTCGAAAGAACGATATGATGTCAAGGCAAGTGAAGGGATAGAAGACGGTCAATGAAAGCGAAGGAACAGGAATAGGAAGACAAGAGAATGTGTATTAGGTCCCGAAGTATAGGGAAAAGAAAGAATGTTGGAAAGCTGAATGGGAATGGAGGACAAACGAGCAGAAATAAACAAATTGGTCGAGCATAGAATCCCGAGTGGAGGTGGAACTTACAGCTATACGCCATGGTCTAAGCTCAGATGAACTGGATTAGCGGCGCGTCGCGTGTCAGGCACCAAGCAAGGCTAGGAATGTAGACTATGGGATCCTCCGTTACCGCGGCAAAGAGCGAAGCGGCTGGATCTGGGCTGGGATCGACTGGAGGTCCTCGAGGGCTGCGGGTTAAAACGCGATGTTTCGCGTTAATATGGACCCGGACTGCCGAATAGAGACAGAAGAATCGGCTGGGATGGAACACCAAGGACCAGTTGGGCGATATTGGTGTCAGAAAGCCCTTTGACGCGGTTGTTCGATTAGGCGTAGAAGGGGCTGGGTCTCAGATGATGTTCGAGGTTAGACGGCAGGGGGAGGGGAGATTATATGACCAGGGCTCGGTAAGGAGGGATGAGAAGTCGAGGACCAGCGGATGTCTTAAAGAGTTTATAGTCAAGCAATTAAAAGCAATGATCCACGGGGCACACGGTGGTTCCTGGTACCTGTTCTGGGCTGAAGGTGTCGCTGATAGAAAAGACGACTTGGATCGGCGCATTGATTGCCATCCCTCACCTTTTCTTTTTTTTTACTGAAATTCTTTTTTTAATTCTGCTTATTTCCAATTCGGATTGAAGCGTAATTATGGAGAAAATGATTTCTTTTTTCGAAAATGGGATTATTCTCTGGGAAATTGCTTTTTCTGGATTTCCGTGACAATTTCCAGGGCCATTTAACCTTAGGGCTCTGTGATTAGAGGGCAGATCATGGAGGAATTGGGAAAATGATAATTCTTTTATGCATCTCGCCCACTACCCGATCTCCAGCTAGCGCATCCTAAAGCATACTCTACACTGGAATGTTTAGGCTGTGCCTCTTGGATTCCGTGAAATGTGAGCAGAGTCTATTTGGACATGCAGTGCAAATCGCGTCCCCGGACTTTACAGCCGTGTCGATCACACCTGAGACCCTGATCTCTGATCTCCCTCTCCACTTGAAAGTCTCAGATCGGGAGTGGGTTTGACTCTTATTCCCTGAAACTGCATTCTCATACTCCAGTAGTACATCTGATCTCAAACCTATTTCACTTCGATAACATAGAGAAAATGAGCACGAATCCCGAAACAATGTGGGCTTTTTTATTTTAAAAATAAATAATATGAGCTCGCTCGGACATGCAGTGGGGGCTTGGATCGATCGCATAGTACTTTTGCGACAGGTCAGACGTTAATCACCTTCTGGTCTGTGCGAACCCGGTTGACACTGCAGCTTAGGCCGGAGAGTAGTAATCTCAGATTCCAACATTCCCCTAATTCTCCGCGTTATTTCTCTCTGTGGCGATCAGTAATGGATCGTCATTGTCTCATTGTGTCTTGGGATAATTCCATTATGCTTCCACAATTCCTTTCTCGTCAATGGCCATCACGGACTTTGGCCTCTTGCCCAGCGTTGGAATGTCGGCGCCAGAAATCCCCCATTCACCAAGACCAGATACCGACTACGTAGTACTCTGTGGAGAGATAGGTGTCGGGGAACTCTCAATCTCACCTCATTGGGTTTGAGAAACCGCAGCCCGTCTTGCCCCAACGGTTCGGATAGTATCGGCCTAGGCTGAAAATGCACCTGCGTCTGATTCATCACGCGTCAGTCGAGACCCAAACGATGGAACTCCCCTCTGGTTGGACTGCGATACTGCGCCTTGACCTGCGTGGCTAATGGTCACAGGCAGAGTTTCGCGTTCCAGTGTTTGTGGCCGTCGTTTCAACACCGTTCAAATGGCGATCGACTGTGAATGGTTCCCCAGTTGTCCCTGCGGGGTCGCGTTAATTAATTAGCTCTTTATTATTATTTTCACATGTGCCTCAGTTCGAGTACCAACAGGTGAATTACCATAGGTTCAATATTGTAAACCCTATGAACTGGTTAGACTGTCTGTGTATCACATTGCACTGGCATCTTTCAGTGGGTCCCAGTGCAACAGACTTTCTACTATCTTCTGTTCGGGCTAGCGTTGAATAGACGAGCGTTTGATCTGAGCCCTAAGGCTAAGCGGCTGATTTATGACAGCTCCCAACCTTGTCTGCCAGAGCTCCCCCCTTATTCGTAGGGAGTTAACAAGAGAAAATAAACATGACTCCCCAGAATATCGAGTTTACCAACCGACTTGGTAATCTTGGTGCGCTTCCAGCAATCTCGGCATTTGCTACGGCCCCCGTATTGGGATTGTCGATCCCTGATTCTCAGATCTGGCCTTTGCTCTCCCCACCTCGATTATTCAACCCTTGGATTTCATGCATCTACTAGTACACTATTTCTTTCCCCATCCTTTCACCACGGTTTATTGATATAGGACACACTCGCAGCTCTGGCCGTGTCCCATGAGCCCAGAAACCGGTTTGACGCGCTTCTTCACAACTGGCTAACGATACGATGTATCACGTCCTGTAAATCATGGTTCTCCAATCCCTGGAACTCGAGAATCGTTAGGCATGTTGATCCTTTCATTTCTTACATACTCTGTTGAGTTCCACATCTCGGTACCCCGGATATTGTGCCCATCAGGTACGCCGGACTCTAATTAAACTCGACCACTCGGTTCTCCCAATCAGAAGTCATCGTATGCAACTTTCGCACCGTAGTTTCCCTTCATTCGAGCCTTTCGTTGGCCAATCCCTGGAAGCACAGACCAAATCGCAGCAAGGGCGAATCTCAGAAGAATCAAGGCAGTCCCCCATGTCTTGAGCTAGACCCCTGCGTCTGAAGGGGCCCCAGTACGTCGCTCGTTTTTCCCCACGAACCGGTCAAGCCGAGGCCGTCAGTGGCTTGTTGGAACTAGGGACCACTATCAACCGAAACACCCCACAGTGGTTGAGATCAGATTCGAAGATCAGTGGTTCGTGCCCTCCCGAGCCGACAACACTACTGTAGAATATTTATCGACTGCATGTAAATACTACGATCCTCGCTCGAGAGTTCGATAGTGGCTCTCCGAATCAAGTTTTGGTCGCATTCATGCCATAGTCTCTTTTGAGCTGCAGCCAGAGAACCAGGCCGTGTGGCGCTGTGGATGGTACTGTGGCTTATCCGGGTGATCATCCGGACTTCACCGTTGCGTACATGCCTCCCCTGTGCATCGAGATCTACCCTTTTCAGCTTGCCACATCCCAATGGGGTGCGTGCTATGTGCCCTTTGCGAATCAGTCTTCTGATTGCGTCGGAACTTTGCTGTGACTCACTACCCATTGTTACTTCGGAGGCTCCTGACAATGTGCCGTCAATCGCATTGTTTCGTCTCAAATCTCTCCCGGGCGTGGCGACTGAAACACGTCGATCATGTCTAGAGTCGACAGTACGTACACTTCTTGAGATCTGTTCTGTCCGCACAGTTAGGCACGACTGACTATGGATCGAGGTAGACTACTGAATCAGTGTACTGATTGTAGACTCAATCGCGGAATCGTGCTGAATCTGGAAGGATGGCTTTGATAGATCAGCCAGCGTAGCGCCAGTGAGAGTAGACTTTATCGGGGGTCACATTCATGGGGTTCTGGTTGCATTAGCACGACCTCCCTCAGGTACCAGGTACCCGGGCCTTCGAAAATGGAGCTATCAATTGACATTCGCAAACCCCGATCTCCTTTCCATTCACCTTCAGATGCCGAAGAACTCCGTACTTGATCTTCCACTTGCACCATGGCCATCTGATCTCCAATGCCTCGAGAATCTTAAACCAACAAGCTGCGTAAGCCCACCGCCATGTTGGCCCGTCTCTGGTTTTGCTTTTTTCCATCCCTCTCCCAAATTGCTTCTTCAATGACGCCGTTGATGCAAAATCAATAGATCCTCTTCCAGCATACCATGCGGTAATATTGCTTCCTGCTTCACAGGCATCTACTGGTCGGCCATTGCGTCCGCGCTGGTGCAAGTTGACATTCTTCGGTATGCACCTACCTTCCCCCGAGGCTGCAGCACGGCCGAACGGCTGACTTTTCCAGGGCTGCAGCTGCGGGCGTGTGCGGGGCAAGCCACTGATGCCATTGTGCCTAGTTGTGTATCTTCTCAGGGTTCGTGGGCTCTGTGTAGGTTTGGGCTTACAGTAATGTTTTGGTAGGCATTTCACCCATTCTTGTGTTCTTGATACGGAGCATGGAATCCGCCTACTATCGCGTAGAATTTGTCATGCTTGTGCTTTGGGCTTTTTGCTCTTCTTTGGCTATGACCCAGCCAAGCAAGGATGGCATCAGTTGTCAGGACAGTCGGGGAAAAGATTCGGTCGGAGCTGACCTTTGTCCAGAATCGGATACCCGGTGCCCTCGACGGAATGACCCGGTCAGGACTTGAGTATCGTAGAGAAGCGTTGTGGAATTGGCAAGCTGCAGGCAATGATTTGTGAGGAAGCTTAAGGATCTGGGCTCACGATGCAGGGATAAAGCTGATCGACCTATGAGAGGCGCGTATTTCGGATGGAGGCTGCAGAAGTGGTCAATAGTGTGCATTTGAGAAAGTACTTTCTGCTCCATGCACGATGCCTAAAAAAGTACCCTCTCTTTTCGGGATCTCGTACCTGAGCGTTTTGGTCGCTCCCTTGCGTCTGTCCTCTTTTGATTCTTTTTTCTCTCTGCAACGGTTGGTTCGCTGCGTTCAAGACAACGGTTTTCAGCCTGAGTTGCTTTTTTATTGGCTTTTGACTTTTTCTTATTTTCTTTTTCATCAATTTTGTCCTAACTTGACTTGCATTGCGCATAGCCTTGCATTAAGTGTTCCCGGTTTCCTGGAACTCGACTTAGCAGCCACCACTTGACCACTGGGGGCACTCAACGTTCAGCGAAAAAAGCACTGTGGGATCCGGTGGGTCGTGAATATTCCAATTTACATTTCCCAATTCGATTGACCTTCAGGGGTTCCCCAGATCCCACCCTCGTGTAGGCCCTTCAGCCTGTATACCTGTCCAGGAGCGCGATGTGAGTCGCGACCAAGGGCAATCACTCCTCAAACGCCATTTCCCAAGCCCAAGGATTCGCGTTTATTCATCTGTCGCGTCTGGATGGGTTCACAATACACGATCGTCTACTATATTAGGATCATACTCGAACCTTACAGTGTTCCAGATATGCAACGTTGCAATAATGTCGCCTGTATCACATACCACAAGCACACTGACCCCATTCCCTGTTTCAACTCAGTCTACGCAAAAGTCAATCTTAGGTAAACATCTCGGTACTAGTGGCTCCAGTAGTCGGGACCCTTTGCAGCCAAGCCCAGCGAAATGCCGCCTCATTAAGGCCCTGATCGACCGTGCAGATGGAATTTCCTGTGGAGAATGTCGGACATCGCTGATTTGCAGGTGGGACCCTGCAAGCACGAACCACCCTCAGCCGGTGAGGTGAAGGAGCTGGACGTGATTGGTTTGGCACAGGCGATCATCACTGGGATTCTGGATGAGATCATATTATTCGGGGCCCTTGCGCTGAATTGAAGCTTTCCTCGCTGACTTCCCAGGTTGGCGTACGTACGGAGTACATGCTGTTAATTGGCGCTGGTCTCATTTCCTACATATAGACGGCTGGGCCGCGGTCTCGGTCTGGCCAGGTCACCTCGAGTATTCTGGCCGTTATGCTGCATTGACGTCGTGATTTTATCGGAGCAGAAACATTGGATTGCGTCTCGGATGATCTGCCTGCACCGCCGATCAGCCCTCCGCCATCTGCTATTCGAGCATTGCTTCCAAGGCTGTCATTGAACTCTGCGGACCCAGCACAAGGTCCATGGAGTATTCCAATATTTCATTATCCTAGCAAGCCAGGGTTGTGTAATTTCGTAGTTGAAATGCGGGTTTCAAAAGACAACAATATGCAGGCTTGCAAACATGTTTATTCACCGTCAGATCGGCCTACAGAGAGCCCCGGTCAGTCGGTGGGCGCTGAGGTGACATGGTCTCGTAGTAATCTCCAGGGCTCGAATGCAGGACTCGGGCCTTTGGGGTTCATGTGGTGTCTGCCTAGATGCATGTGTGGTGCTGTCTCGACCTAGTACGGTGAACTCTCTGCTGCAATGCAACAGTCTCAGAAAGGGCCGATTCGCCCCCGGGCGTAGACTTTAGTGTGCTGTCATTAGGAAATTTCTATCCGTGATGCCCGCGGGTGAATTTCCCTGAGCGGGAACCACCTGGACAGTATGCGCGGTATATGCAGATCCCAGGATATCCAAGGACATTCGTTAGACCTGCCCCATTGTCGAGGTGCGCGGCATGAGACCTCGGGAGCAACAGACTTCCGGAGTGCCCGGGTCAGGACCAATCTGCGATGGTTTCGAGCAGCATTATCTCACCGACACCTTTCATGGCCAATTTCGGCTGTATGTAGAAGTCTCCCGGGGTTGGTATATGTGACCTTGGTCGTCTGTGGTTTGTGGAGGCAGGTTCATGTACACTTTGATTAGGATTGACATATTGCATGGCGCCGTCGTTGTCCAACTTTGGAAGGTTTGGCCTCAACGACCTCGAGACTCCGTGATCTGCCCCCAAAGAAATGGATTTGGATTTAATTGCAGCTTTTATTGAGATGCTGTAGAAGCCAGCATTGCGTACAGATCGAGTCAAGTGATGACCATTGTGTACAAGCGTTCACCGCTGCCTGTGCCGTTTCCAGTTGATATCGAGAACCCCGAAGGTTGGATGCCACAAGCGTATTGAGGGGAACACTGTATTAGCGCAATACCTAGGTAGGATAACACTCAGAGCATGGTGTCTGGCTTTGGGGGCCACTTGTGTGAAAGTAATGAGGTAGTCTAGTGTTCGATAATCTGTTGGTCTTGACCTAGATGTATCCCAAAGTCCTCATCCCTGAATATATTTCCAGGTCGCTAATACAACCAACGCGTAAATTTTCATCCATAATTAGCAGTCTTTTCGCTTCTGTATCATCCAAGGCTCTGAAGTCAAATGTAAATCCATATATACATCTATGAGTGGACGTGAAACAACTTCAGAATTTGTTTACTTTCCCCTCCACCTCCAGGGCTGGGCCGGCTGGGCTTCTCACCCACTCCAAATCGACCCAGAACACGGCCAAAAACCCGAAGCTGTGATATTCGACTCTTCTCAGGAATGAGTTCCCATCTCATCTCAACGTGAGGTCTCTGCGCATCGAGGCCGCTACCACAGAGCGTCCCGAGTCCTCTAGACCACCCTGGCCACGGCAGCCTTGGTTCTCCGTACTATTGAGCACGAGCAAGTTGGCTTGTTGGTGTGATTCAGTGATGCAACGTACACTAGATGCGCAGATACCTAGGTAATGTTGGTCCGTGGAGTTTTACGCGAGATTCCCCCAAGCCGCGGTTGGTCGATGGCAGTGTTTTGATCACGCGAAGCACGAGATCTCGACTGACGTTGAAAGCAGTTCGCAGTGACCCCGGCCCTCCATCGAGTCCTTTCCGCGGAGTAGCTGCATCTATGAACAACCAGCGAAGGATGCATTGTGGCCACATCCTTCCCCGTCACACGTTAACGCCAGACCCTAGAGCTATAGCCAGAGCCAGCTCGCGGTGGGAGCCCCATGGCCAGCCAGCATAAGATGATACCGCCGACCCCAGCCCACTCAACCTTCTAGACCTTGCCCAGAAACACCAAGCAAAATAAGCAAGCCCACGACCGATCTGTCTCATCGCGGACAACATCTGCAAGCCCACCGAACGCGTTGCACCCACGGCATGGGCGCCACCCGACACGGCTCGTGCAACGGCAAACCGCAGCGGAGAAAAAAAGCAAAGAGGACTCTCTGCTTAATCCCCCGAAGGAATGACCCGGCGATTCTCCGCATCTTGATCCAAGCCAGTCCACTTCCAGATCCGCCGGTCGGATTTCCAATTTCCAGACCTAGCACCGGGCGCGTGCATTTGCAACCGCTATCCAGGGGACGGAAGCTTACAGACTGCACGTCAAGCGGATGGGCGTCGGTTTGTTTCCGCCAGACTTCACGGCTAGGCTTCGAGCGAAGATCGGGCTCGTTTCCTATTCCGGAGCTCTGTGTGTTTGCCAGTGTTGAACTTGGGCCTGCGGCTTACACGCTTGGGCTGGACCAATTATGAAGACTGGTGCAAAGCTGGGTTGGATATGTCAGAAGTACCCCCTGGGGGGACCCTGGCCTGGCGATAGTGCGGTGTGGTCAGTGTTGTTATGCCACGTTGTTCTGGAACATGAGTCAATGGCGACAATTGGTAGAAGCCTTTCGATGGTATCAGTGGGAGCCTAGATCATCTCATCGGTTTTGACACGAGTCAGATTGGGGGCTCCGAGCTCCGGTGAGCTCCGAGATGCTCCGTACTCAGCCCCTTAAAGCACTTGAGATATGCATTGCTGACTCGATAATACCCAGGTAGTGCACTCCGTACGGAGTGCGGATTATAGGAGAAAGGGGGGAAAAGAACAATGTAGGATGGCAACATTCACACGGAGAACAAAGAAACGAAGTCCGAGGTCCGACATTCAGCCCCATTGGCTTTTGATAAGCAAATGGACGTTGTAAGCACTTAGATGGGGGTCTGTGTAGACTCTTAAATATCATCCTTGGACCTGGGGCATTTCAAGGCTTTTCCAGGGGCCAAAACACCTACAGGTTTCCAGCCATGACACAGCTACACAGCGAGATAGACGAGACACAGCCCATGTTGGCGCACACGACCAAGTCCAAATCAAAGAAATTGCTCGTCTTCATAGTATGCGCGGTGTTCCTATTATCAGCCGACTTTGGATTCTTCATGTCCACTGCACCGCAATTGGCGGTTTTCGAGGACATCATCTGCCGGGATTACAAGGCAACTCTGCATCGCACTGGCGATGTGCTGACACCGAGCCTGTCAGGCCCCAACCCATGCAAATCCGAGGCGGTGCAGGGTGAGCTGGCTCTCGTGATCGGATACAAAAACACCCTAGAGGTGCTGCCTGGTATGGCCTACGGGTGGAGGTTGAGATCTCGAGAGTATCCGCTAACGATTGCCCTCGATAGGTCTTCTGCTCTCACTCCCATATGGTGTTCTGTCAGATCGCTATGGACGAAAGCCCCTCTTTTACCTTGCCATGTTAGGAATTCTCCTTGGTGAAGTCTGGATAAGAATTGTTTGTACGTCCTCCCCTTCCTCCATGCGGTGCCTCGTTAAACATGTCCACAGGTATTTGGTCAAATGTTCTTCCATTACGAATGGTCTGGCTCTCAGGGCTCTTTCGAATCATCGGCGGCGGCGACCAAGTCCTCACGTCGATTGCATTGGTGATAGTCGCCGACGTATTCTCCGAGGATGAAAGGTAGGACCCAGAATCTCCTCTTCTCCTGCACCTCTGACAAGGCCTAGATCAACGGCGTTATTCCGCCTTCAATCGTGCGTCTTTGTCGCGGAGATTCTGGCAGCTCCTCTGAGCGCGTACATGCTAACCTTTGGCCCAATGGTCCCTTTCATGTTATCGCTTGGTCTCATCATACTTGGAGCCCTGCCGACTCTACTTCTCCCCGAGACTCTCGAGGACGCCATAGCAAAACGGACTAAGCGAGCAGAGCCCGATCAGCATGGCCTGCAACCTGACAAGACAACAGTCGTGCAGGAGCTGACCCGAAAAGCCCGCGAATTCACAGAATCCACCCGGTTCATCTGGTCTGATTTCAACGTCTGCCTGATGGTCATGGTCCTCTTCGTGACCGTCATGGGCCGACAATGCACCGATCTTCTCATGCAATACGTATCCCAGAGGTTCGACTGGAGCATTGGTCGCGTACGTACTCCGCCTTGCCTTTCACGCCCACGGGTGTCGAGTCATTTGGCTAACCTGCAAACAGTCCAGTCTTCTCATCTCCCTCCGTGGGATTTTTGGTCTGGTGACGTACCTCCTAATCATGCCATCGCTATCGTTCCTAGCGGCCAAGTATCTCAACTTACACGGCAAGCAAAGCGACCATGTCATGAGCAAAGGCAGCGGCATACTGTCCGTCATTGGTTTCGCTGCTATTTTCATCGGTCCGACCCCTGCATTTTTGATCACGGGTCTGGTTATTCTGTCGATCGGCTCGGCGTTTTTGGTGACAACGCGCAGTCTGGCGACTTCCCTCGTCCTTCCCGATCATGTCGGGACGCTGTATTCGGCTATCGCGATTGCACAGGGCCTGGGGCTCCTCGTCTCCGGCCCATTGTTCGTCAACCTCTTTCGGCTAGGCTTGCATCTCGGCAAGGCGTGGATGGGCCTGCCATTCTTGATGGCTTCGGTATTTTTCTTCGCTTCTGTGGTGGCTGTCTGGAACGTAAAGCTCGAGCCCTTAAGCCGGAGCGATGAGGAAGAGCCCTTATTATCATAGAATCCTTCAAATTGCATTCTCGACCATTCACTTGACCACGGGGTTTTGCGTGGAGTATCGGACGGGATCGTATCTTGGACTAAGCGAGGAGCTCATGAAACAAGCATCTGTCAGATCCGCGTCGATTTGGTTCCTGGTAATCTCGCGGGGTTACGGAGATCCGAAGGGGAATGCAACCTCCCCTCTCACATCTCAGACGAAAACCGTCGGCCTTGCGCCTAGTGTCGACTGCGTTGTGCATCTGGGGTCATCGATTGGACGAGGTGGAAACACTCGGCGCGCCCCGGTCGGAGATCGACTCGGTCTCCCTCCACTTTCAGCTACTCTCGACCATGCAGATTATTCTACTTGACACTATACTCTTCGCGGCCACCAAATATGGAGATTTGTCTACAAATCAAATCCCAAGATTGGGCCCATGTGGAAGGTTTCACTGAACCAGGGACCAAAATATAAAAGCTACACTGACCCTGCAATGATCACTTCAACCTCCCACCTTCACCATACAAAATGAACAAAGCCATTGCCCTCGCGGCCATGAGCCTGTTCGCAGGCGCAAATGCCGACCTCCAAACCTGCTCCACCACCTCAGGCTACAGCTGTGCTAGCTCATCCACCACCCCAACCTGCTGCTTCAACTACCCCGGCGGTGCCCTCCTGCAGACCCAATTCTGGGACACCAGCCCATCAACCGGGCCCTCGAATTCATGGACCATCCACGGCCTATGGTAAGTTGAAGACATAAATACATAGTACCGACGCTAATAACTCCCAGGCCCGATAACTGCGACGGGACTTACGAGTCAAGCTGCGATTCAACCCGCGCTTACACCAACATCACCGATATCTTGCAGTCGCAGGGTCGGGACGATCTCATCGACTACATGGATGAGTACTGGGTTGACATTGACGGCGACAATGAGTCGTTCTGGGCTCATGAGTGGGGTAAGCATGGTACTTGCATCAACACCATCGACCCGGACTGCTACGAGGGATATACGGCGCAGCAAGAAGTGGGCGATTTCTTCGAGAAGGTGGTGGACCTGTTTAAGGGGTTGGATACTTACAAGGTATGCGCGTCGATTGTGGTATTGCGTTCGATCTAACGTCTGGCAGGCCCTGGCTGCTGCTGGCATTACCCCGAGCACTTCCAAGACTTATACTCTGAGTGCGATTCAGGCTGCGCTCACTAAGATGCATGGCGCGTCGGTGTACCTGGGCTGTTCGAGTGGGAAGTTGAACCAGGTTTGGTACTTCTATAATGTCCAGGGCAATGTTATCGATGGTTCTTACAAGGCCGTTAAGACGCGTAAGTGGTCTTGTGTTGTGTTTACTGGTGTGATTTTACTGACATATTTTAGTGACCAACTCTGGCTGCCCCAGCACTGGAATCAAGTACGTGCCTAAATAGAGGGTTGAGATATGTGGAACTGGTGCGAGCTGTAAGGTGGTATCTTGCTGAAGTCTCCTGGTTTGCTCTTTCGATTACTAGTTATGGCTATTATACATGAAGATATGTCAGATTATGTCTCCCCCTGGTCCCGAGGTCTGTACGATGCAGTGCGTAGCTCATGGGTCGTAGAATTTCCATGGGTGTTAGTGCGAAGACTTCGATCCTACATGGATATCCATGGGCATTTGCACCTAGCCAGGGCTGGGGATCCTCGCCGTTGCCAATCAGCGGGCTTTGATGGCTCTTTAAAAGAGTGCGACAGCGGACAACACCACTGCTGTCTGAACTGCATCCAGGGGGTTAGTGTTCGATTTCTTGAGAGCCCAGGAGTAGTGCCTGTTCCTGGCAGCGAAATTTCTGCTGATTGGGTCATCAAAGGATGTGCTTTGGCAGAACCCTGACAGGCAATCCAAGTCAGAGGCGACATGTGCCAATACACAGAGGACGCCGGAGATAGAAGTCTGAAGTCAGCTAGTGACTCGAGACCTGAATTCACATGCCCTTGAGGCGTGCTTCGCGCCTTTCCTCCTCCCGCTTGTCTTCCATGCGACCCAAGAAATCCATACGACCCATATAGCCCTCCTTGGCTTTGCTGTGCGTACGGAGTTCGTCCTTGATACCAGCCTGGTCGACATACGAAGCCCAGTCGAGTCTTGACTTCTCCACGGTATTGATCTTGGGGCCCTGCGCATCCTTCTCGGGAACGAGCTGCTTCTCCCAGCTCTTCTTAATCGCGCCGGTCGGGTTGGGGTCGAATCGCGAGATCTTGCGGAGTGGTCGGCGTATGTTGAGAGTTGTGGATGCGTCTTCGTCTGTGTATTCGGCGTTCTCACCACTTGAAAGAAACGCCTTAGCCTCTGCAGAGTGCTTGGGCACAACTTTCTCCTCTGTGATCCACTCGCCGGCAAACTTATAGGTGCGCTTGATCTTGATCATTTCACCGGGCGCATCGGCTGGCTTGGTCTCTCTATCTGGGGTCGGCTGGTCCTGCGCCTTTGCTGGGTCTGTAGTCTCGGGCTCGGGGGCGGTTTCGGTAGGTTGTGGTGTTTGGTGGCCGCTCGGGGGCTGGGGGGCGTTCATCTGCTCCCACAGGGCATTGACATCAACAGTCGCGCCGTCAATTTTGGCCAGTGGTTTGCGCTCGGCTTCTTCCTCTCGGCTGCAAAGATTAGCGCCTAGTACGTAGCAGGTCATAAGCAGAGCGAGCTTACAAGTGCTTTTTCATTGCTCGCGTTCGCACGAATCCGCCCGTGCCCCCCTCATCATCCATGTCGACGTCGTCGTCATCATCGTCGCTATCACGCGCTCGTTTTCCCTTGGTCTTCTTTCCTTTGGCCCTCTTTTCTCTCTTCTCCTTCGCCTTTTGGATTGTGATTTCATCGCCAGAGTCGAGTTCTGGATCTTCTGGGGCTTGTGATTTGGACTGTATTTTGCGCTTCTTCTTGGAGGGTTCGTCGGCCTCGTCGGCGTCGGAGGAAAGATCGGAGTCGTCCTGCGCTGCGCCTAGCTCGAAATCTTCATCGTCGGCGGAATTGTAGGCATCTTCATCCCCATCCTGCGTTATTGTGTTGGTAGGGTCGTCAGACATTGTGAGGGTGTTGTTTTAAAGAGCGCAAGGAATGGAGCTTCAGAAAGATGATGATATTCTGCCACGGGCGGTGACGGCTATCCAGAATGCCCCTGTTTGTGCTCGCCAGGTCCACTTATCTGATCGAATGGAGGATTTGTGTGTGTGCACAACATATATGTATTTTCTTTTTCGAAACCTCGTCGAATAAATTATCACCGGGAAATGATGCAGTGTCACGAGAATCTTTGCTCCAAGCACAATCAGCATTTTACTTCAAGGTTGTGACATTAATCACATCAAAGCCATTGCGCGCAGGCTTTACAATCCATCTAATTGGCTCTGATCTTCATATCAAAGGCTGTAGAGATATCTCTTGTTCACTTGGACATTGTTATGTGATGAGGTTATACGCCCTTGACTTTGCACTTAGCCCCAGAGATAGAACAACCCGAGAGAGAAGGCTGTCCGAAATAGCGAAAATGATTCCCTAGAAGTTCGTCCAGTAAAGATGATTCGACAGTGTCTTTTCCCTGACTGGAAACACACTAGCTATTTGTTCAAGGATCAGTCAAAACGCGAGTTTACTCTTGTACATCTCATGGACTTTTCGTGAGCACGATCTTACTAGGTACTCCAGGTTCTCGTGAGTCTCCATTTGTTTTGTAAGACGAGTGAGCTGTCGGGGGTATCATTGACCAGCTAATGTCTCTTTGAAACGAAACTAATATGTCGTTTAAACATTCATTGCAACAGCAATCAAACCACCCATCAGCATCATCGGTGCAGATGATTTGCATGCGATATTGCCAGTAGCAGCAGTGGTTGCAGCAGTAGTCGTAGCAGAGGTTGAATCAGAATCCGCGCTGTCCTTCGTAGACGAAGTATCTCCATTCGAAGACTGAGTTTCCAATGCTTCAGTGCCAGTCGAAGTCTTCGTAGCCGTGCTAGACGAAGATGCAGATCCTGCAACCGCCAACGTAGCCGAGTAAATCTCCCGAGCAACAGTACTTGCCGGAACATTGTATATATTTGTCCTGGTCGTAGAGTGGTGTGCTAAATAAAGTTCCTGGGTATACGAGCATGTCGCAGTCGTGGGAGTCGGAGCACCAGCGAATGTGCAGCCCGAGCTCGTATATTCCTCCCAGTCAGACAAGATAATATTGTAAGCTGGTCTGTCAGTGTCTCCGTACTAGGTAATATTCAAGTCAAGGGGCCCAGCTTACTATTTGATCCTGCAATCAGGGTCATGGGAGAATCCAATTCAATGCAGCTGGTGACGCTTGCAGGACAATTCACCTCGTAAGTTGTTCTGTCGCCATCCTTTGAAGTTCCAAGTTAGGATGGTTACACGTCCATGCGTAGGGCAGACTTACAGTTCCTACGATCTTCCCCTCGTAGCCGTGAAAGTAGTTTCCGGAGTATGAGTACCCAACCCACGGGATCGTCTGTTGGTCAGCGGGATCGACGGGTGCCATTGATTCGACTTACGATCGCTGGGTCTGCCAGGACGCAGGCCAGCTGGGCTAGCAGCAGAATGTATTTGTGCATGTTGGATGAATTTAGAAGAGATTTCGCTGCAAAATTGGGAAGGGGGCCAGACGGAGTAAGCGGCTCTAACCATGTTTTCTATAGCTCAGTGGACTTAGCCTATTTGGGGAATCGCGTGAAACCGCCTCCAATCAGACGCCGAGCAGGAGGGACAAGCCTTTTCCTGAGATCGGGAATATTGAACTCGATGAGGTTTGGATAATAATTGAGTATAAATCTGATCAAGGTTCGTTTGGTCGCGGCGTTGACGGCCAGTGAAGCAATTGGCACATTGGCACAATGGTGTTCGCAGCACACTTGGGAGGCTACGACTGAAAGACATGGCTTTTCCCCGGGTTGTTAAGAGAAGTACAGGCCGTGGATCTGTCAAGTCAATATCACTTTCCTTTTTCTCTCATCTGGGATTATTCCTTCCGAATTCCTTCCTTGTCTTTCTCTGCCAATTTATCCACAGGTAGATCATGCATTCAGACGCTGACTTTGCTTCTATTCTCGCGTCAATCATCACTAGCCATGTGGAGCAGACAGAGCTTCGAGTATCAAAAAGTATCAACGGAGAGCTGTATTTTGAATCGAAGGAAACCGGTTCCCGTACGAGGTTCTAGCTCCCTGCAGGGCTTCTGTTTCGGACTGAATGAGCGGTCGGCACCCGCATGGCACACCAATTGGCTGGTAAACCAAGAGGTGTAGGGATGTGTCGCCTATTCTCAATCTCGGAATGCCAGAGTATTTGGCAATGCCTGAATCGCCGGTTTGAATATCAATTGAAGATCTTACCCAAACGCTAGGGCTTGATGCCTCAAGTCGTCATCATTGATGCCATCGGTACGAAATGTGATGAGGCAACATGGGTAAGGTATACACACGTCTATCCTGCGTCTAGGGTCTAGGATGCCTCAAGTTGAATCGTTGCAGGAACCGACGTGGGATACAATTGTCGAAATCAATACGAAAGGGTCCCCAAGGGTATCAGATCTTTTGGGAGGGGAAGATAAGACGCCCACGAAGTATGCATGCAGAGCCAACGGAATTCATTACAGTACACGTTCCAAAGTTGATGTTACCCGTGGCTTGACCGGCTAGAATTGCAGAATTGTTGTCAATAGGCGTTATGCTACCGAGTACATGACTATATCTATGAATGATTGCTACTGGTTCAAATCTAACCAGACAATAAACACGGTGACGCGGAGACTTAAAGCAATAGCTGTAGAAACATGAATCGCATGTTGTATACAGCAAAGGCGCAAAATCAGGCAATCTCCATGGTATATGGCTTCACGATTTCAGCCACAACCCCTAGCGTTAAGTCAAACTACTTATGAACCCCATTCTCCATACAAAATCCGATACAAACGAAAATTACGAATAGACAATCAAGCAACTGACCACGCGAGAAGTGTATTCGTACAACTGTACAGTAGAACAGATCATACGACCAAATCGCATAACGTTACCAGTCTCACCACTCGGAAAATATAACCCCAACCCACACCCAACCAAAAGAAGCCACCTACTCACATCGAGGCTCATATCATATCTCGTGATGTATGATACTAATATTCGCGATTTTCATACTTCGTAAGCACTATGGGATATTCACAAATGACACCGTTCGTCCCCAGCCACAACCTCCACTGATTGTCGCATTATCCACAGTATCTCCATCGCTCCACACCGCGAAAGCCGTGTCAATTTAGGGTAATTTACGCAGACCCACCGCTCCACATTGGGCTGTCTCGCTTATCAGGAGTATACCAGTAGGATGATCACTTATTACACGGACATACATGGTGTAATGGGGCTGTTGCAGGGGTTATTCTAAAATGATGATGATGATACTCAATGCAGTGTTACTATCAAACCGAGTCTGCTACACGAACAATGAGCAAGTGATGACGATCAAGGGCTACACTAGTGCGCGGGGAAGGGACATGAACCTAACACTAGGTGATATAGCAGTTACGTAGACTGGAGAAACCCCATGCCAGAACCAGAACCGGGGAATCAGGCAGGTTAACTAGGTATCAGCCCGGAATTTGAGCGGGTTTGTTCCAAGGTTAGGTGTCTACGCAATCATGGGATCATACATACACTCACATTCACATTCATAATCATATTCATTAAATTCACTTAATGGCCGCGTGTCGGTACCACCAATTGGGGATCCATGAGGCCTGTTGGTTTCGTGATTCTGGTGGATTCTTGCCGTTCGCGGAGTAGTACATTTCTCCATGAGGTTTGTGGTGTAGAATGACTGTGATAGGCTATGGGCCCTTGCTACTATACATACATAATGTAGTCTACTGTACCGATCGGCGTGAGGAGTCAGTGGCTGACACCAAGTGGGTGGATGGGCTATGTCTGATTGGTGAGGAGGCAGCCGTTGGAAGACCCTCTCGATTGTTTCAGGGTCACTGTTTCAATTTTGAGATGTACTCGTAAGCTATATCTACAGTAGGTAACTATATACATGATGCTAGACTCGGTACTAATCTACATAGTATAGTTCTACACTCACTATATACTAAATACAGTACAGAAATTAAGAAACGTGTTCATCGTAATATTTTGTCCAAAAACTAATATACATTTTTTTGGAATGTGGTATGATACATATCGAAAGCAGAAATGCATGTACAACGTAGGCTAAGATGCAAAACGTGAAATCGTAAATGGTGATACAGTCGTCATCATGACGAAGCCCCGGATTTGGGTGGGTCCAAGTGGGTCTATGACGTTCGGCATGCCGATCCGGTGGACCATGACGTAGAGGGCGTCTTAGTTCCGTCTGCGTTGCTTGCCTGGCCAATCGATCTCAGGATGCACCACTCGCATGTCTGTAATGTAAGTTAGCGTATGAACGTATGGGGTTCAAGGGTGAAACTTACGCCTTGTGAGAGCATCGTTTCGGCTGAACGTCTTGTCCTCGTTACAGATGTGACAGCGCACCTTCTGCTTCCCGGCAGTGTGGATCGTGTGTTCGTGTCGGGTAAGATCGTAGGGACGAGAGAAGATAGAATTGCACGCCTTGCCCGTAGACGGGTTGATGCGCTCGCACTTGTGGGGTCCCGCCTGGGAGTTGCGAAGCGACGTGTCGCGGCTAATCAAGTGCCCGCCCGGCGTGGTTTGGCGGTGGGCCTCGCGCTTGTGTCGCTGTAATCGGGAGGGAGAGTCGAAGCGGTAGGCGCAGTTGTGGTAGGTGCAAGTATAAGTGCCGGAATCCGAAGTAGTGTTGCCGGGTCGCGAAATGTTCTCCGTAGGCATGGGGATCTGGCTTTGGGGAGTCTCGGTCGATTCCACGGTAGGAAGGGAGGGGAAGTCGGAGGATTGCTGGAGGAGGTTGTTGCGGCTGGGAGGTTGGGTAAAGGCGAATTGAGGCTGGGACATGGCGGGCGCGCTGTACTGAGGGAAGGCTTCCATCGATCGCATCGAGCCACTGTCGCGTCGCAAGCCGAGCGCATCGCCCAGATTGAAATCTGCCTGTCCGGTGGGGATGCCGTTGGGGAAGAGAGGAGGCATGGCGGGGTCCTCGGCGTCCTGGAAATCCAGGACGGCATCCTTCGGGGACATGGTCTTGATGTCGCCAGTGTTCTGGTTCATGTTCATTCCATGCATGGGAACGCTCGTGGCCTGGGGCTGCTGAAGGGCCTCACTGCCCATGTCTCCGGCAAAGGGAGAGGACGGGCGGAAAGGGGAGCGATCCCGTCGGTTGACGGGCGATTGAGAGCGGGCAGACATATGTCCTTGGTTGGCGGCGTTCAGTCGATCGGCGATAAAGTTGCGAGGGGTCAGGTTCTGTCCAGGCTTAGCCACCTGGGGAGCGGCCATCACCGCGGGATTGTAAAGTTCATCCTGGTAGATATCGGAAATAGTGCGGTCCAACCTGGGAACTCCCATAGGCATGCCATTGTTGTATTCTGAGGCATCAAAATGTAAGTATTGGGTCATCCACCGGTCGATTTCAGGGTTTCGAATCTCACCATTGCTCATCGACTTCGATGCGTCGTCGAGCTCATCGAGACTCGTCTGGGGGGTCACGGGGGAATTGTGGCTCAAGGTTGACACTGAAGGGGCCAGAGAGTAATCCCCCTGGAGCTGCTGAGGGGATGATTGCTTCTGCTGGTCCATGATTGCCCGCCGCATAGCTGTTTCAGCCTCGGCGCTGTGGAGGTCCTGTGATGAGGGGTCGAAGTTCTGGAAGGGTGTGGCGAGGAAAGAGTTCTGCAGCGGGGTTTGCACCGGCGTGGGCAATGGCTTGTTAGCGCTGGTCGACCGGCGGTGGTAGCCAGGCATGGATCGCGAAGTGACCGAGGGCGAGGATCTCTTCTGCACGCCGGGGTAGGGAATGCGCGCGGGGCTCAACAATTGCATGTTGCCGTCCCAGGCCTGGTTGCTGGGGAGAGGTTGTTGCGCCAACATTGGGGTATAATATTGCTGGGGGTATTGAGGCAAGTAGTGAGGCGAAGCGGAACCCTGGATGTCGTACGACGGGTTGTATGAAGAGGCGGGGGTCATCGAAGGAGCCCCGTACGATTGAGAGTCGGACGTTTGCGGGTAGGGGATCGAGAAAGTTGGCGAGGAAAGAGCAGGCGAGGAAGGTGTGGAAGAAGGTGGGGAGAGCTGTACAGTCGGGTGACACTGGAAGGGTGATTGCAGACGGTCCGAACAGTAGGACTCAGAGTAGAACTCAGGTGGGTACTGGTCGTCTTGTATGATGATGTCCTCAGAGTTGTATGGATCGGTGATGAGACCCTTACGTGGGTACATAAGCATAATGTCACAGGTTGGAGACGTCAGAGGAAGTATGGACAGGTTCGCCACCGGGGGAAGGCGAGCTTTTATAGAACCCGAGGGTGCAGGGTCCGATAAAGAATTCCTGATCAATTGTGGCCGTGCTTCGAAAGTCTGGATTCAAGACTTTGGTTCAAAGTTTGGTTTGGTGAAGAGTCTGGAAACGTCGGGAGAGTGATCGAGAATTATAAGAGGGTTGGAAGTATAACGAGATCTGGTTGAGGGTGAGTGTTTGGTTCTGGAGGATGACTCGACCGGAGGGATCTTACCAGCTATGATGATTATAAGAGTCAGAGTGGTTTAGTAAGGATCAAAATGATATTGGGAGGAGTGAGTTAATAAAGACAAAAAAGAAGTGTGCTTAGATGACCTCACTTTAAGCCGGGGAGACCGATTGCTATTCGAGTTTACCAAAAATACCGTATCGACTGATTTGGCGTCTTCGTTTTCTTTTTTTCTTTTTTTTAATTGGACTTCACGCTAGTCCAAATCGGGACATGCTTGGTATGGTATCTGTCATCTTCGGTATCGTTTTCGTATCATGCCCGCACGATTCCCAGTCCCACTGATCTGCTTGGGTCTGGGGATCGTCTCTTTCCGTGTATCCCACTCGCTCCCTTGCTCGCAATGAAGTTGTGGCTTACATTAACAGAAGCCACAAACTCCACTCGTCAGGATTACTCAGTGATTGGGCATTTTGGGCGTTCACGGTGATTTCAAATTCAATTCTACTTTGACAAATTCTATTTCCGCCAAGCACCTCGTTGCTTTCGCTTAGGGAGAAGAAAAATCTGCATCCCATACATAGTCTCAAACTAGCTCCGACAGGACTCGGGTGACCATGGCCAAAATTAGGAAAGAATGGGGGTGGAGTCGACCAACCGCGAAATAAGGCTGAGCCACACCTTAGTTCGGTTTTTGGGACACTTTCGGGTTTTAGGATTCTACTCCGTACTGTGCGGGTAGCTCACGGCCCAACTTTGCACCGGTGAGTCAAACAAAGTGTCCTGTACGGAGTACGAGGGAATCATTGGGCATGTCAATTCAGGGCTGTGGATCGTAGATTCGGAGAGATGTGCTCCTTTCAGCCGAGGTATCCGGGGAGTACGGACATGCATTCGCGCTTCCAATCGACACTAGCCACATCCGGACTGCGCCATGTGGCTGATGTCCACGGACTCGGGACCACCGACCCCAACGTTATTTCTTTCTGGGGATCTTGGATAGCTCCGGTATGAACGGGCTCATTCTTTGTGGTTCTGTAGACCGCACTCGTACTCGATGATTTGGCATTGTGGCTGTGTCAAAGAGTGTCTTGCGATTGTCTTGCGATTGTCTTGCAATGTTGACCCCGCCAATCGGCGGGTTCCGCTCAAGACATCCCATTCTTCTCGGCCGCAGACAACCGCGAGAGTCAGCTGACCATGTCTGCACCTGGGGCTAATGGCACGATAAGCTGAAGTTGGACACGGGTCCATGGATCTACTGGGAATTTGTGACCAGCTGACTCTCTCTTGAGTCACCCTAGCCAAATACCTGCAAGCGATGTGTCTTACAGTGTAAGCGCTTGTCTTTCTATACGGTCGGCGGGATATTCCCAATCCGGGATCTTGTCACATGGCTGGCCTGAATTTTCTGGCATCTCTTCATCATTTCTCTGTTAGCACGGTCTTGGCTCGGTATTCCCGGTGTAATGGCGCTGTCGCGCACTCAATTACAGGATTTTGGACATCAAATCTCTATTTAGTGATTGGTCGCTAGTTTCTTCCATATCCAATGCCCAGGAACGGAGTACGCCCGGGAACAAGGCATGCAGAATGCATGTACTGCGGCTTACACTCGAAATTTTGCTTAGTGCCGTATCCCGTGCACTAAAATGTTAAAGTATCAGATCTCGTTTCGAGGACCTCTCACCCGAGCAAGACTCGGGTGGCAAATCCCGATCTCCATGTATTCTATTGGCAGGCAGAAACAATACCTTACGATCTCATGTGACCAACAAAGCAACTCTTTGAAATCACTGCATGATCAAGAATCCGACCGGGATGTCCTCGGATCGCAGCACTTTTCGGTCTGGACACGCCGAAACGGGTCCGGGGTCTGCCGTGCCTACCGAACAGTCTGGCCCAATTCCAACGACACATCCCATTCCTCTCGATCTGGATTCCCATCTGCGGATGGAGAGTCGCGAGGAAATGCCCCAACGTGGCCCCTACGCATACACAGACTCCGGGGAAGTGGCAAACCAGCACCAGCTGATCCGAGTGTTGAGATAGAGATGGCCCACCAAAGCCACAAACATGCCACATGTAGATCTAAGGTTTTCAGCTCAAGATCGGGGGCATTTTCCCTCGTGCGATCATGTACCCCGTATCTATCAGTACGCACGTCGCTAAATTCACCTTCTTAATTCGGCAGTAGACATAGACTCATGTCGACCAACCGTTACGAAACGCTACTCCCCTTGCAGCACTTAGAGTGAAAAAAAAATTTTCACCGGCAAAGAGACCCGACAGATTGATCGTCAGCACCTTAAACCGAGTTCTCGGACTGCGCTACTCGATTTTCATGCAGGTATCATATTTAGTAACGGGCTAATGCAAGACGATAAAACTTTTCGATGAGAATGACTGGTCCTTGAGTGGTAGGGCTGCACAGCCACATCCCGGTAACGCCGTTACAGAGCTCAAGTTGCCGGTTTACCGTACACGGTATGGAAAACAAGCAGGTTGACTGCCAAATGCTACAGGTCTTGGTAATTCGGTAATTCTGGTACGTTCCAGAAAGTTGTTTCGTGGCTTGCACATGCAGCTAATTCCGAATTAGGTCTAGTGGCTTCGTTCTCAACATTCTGGAAGCTTTCTATTTTCGGAACGGGAAGTCGGCTTCTCTGTATCACCGAATCGGAGGATCATGCTCCTTGTTCGCGTGGGCAGAGTTTTTTAGTTGCATATCATGACATTTCAAACTAGAGGCTTTATCAGCATTGGATTCATGTTACTGATCATTCTATGAGTCATTGGAAGGGGTCTCCGAATACTGGACCAGCCGCGTGGGTGAATTCCGTATACTCCTCCGCACTTGGATTTGCGTCGTCCATGCGTCGTCATCTCGACTCATAACCTGCTGGTTGGGATGACTCTCGGACAATGTGTACGGCTGTGTCAACGGGTATCGGGCATTTGTGGCTCAGTGCTTCGTCGCACTGGGGTAGCAAGGGATGTGGTTTACTCGGTTGCCTGTCGTCTATTCTGGAAGGAATGCGCCCTTGCTTTTGGGAATGTCACATGTCCCTTATGGGTACCCGTGGACACTCTCTTAACCGTATCAACGAGGTATGGGTATGAAGAGGCATCTTTCAAACTTGGTACGTTTGAACACCTGCCCAGGTGGGCTCCCGAGTCCCCTGATGCCACACCTGGGCACTAGAAGTCAGCCTTCCAAGGTTGGAATCTTGGAAGTAGCAACCACGCCCACCTGGGCATCTTTATGTCTCATACTACCTAGGTACCTACCTAGGTAGGTTGAGACATTTGCTTCAGCACTTCTCTGTAAATTTCCAGGATGAGTCAAAGGCCCTTCCAGATTGGCTTTATGCCGAATATATATAGATCACATCCGTGGATCCCAAGGCTCCAAGGTTCCAAGTTCCGTATGTCCATTTCACCCTGTACCTAGTTAACAGCATGTTTGCACAATTCAATGAGCAACATCCGACTGGGACTTTCCAAGTTCTACAAAGCACCGGGGTTGCCTAGGTCGTCTGGGTAGGAGGCATATACAATCCATGGATACTAGGTATGCCGAGGTTTGGCGCCAGGGACAATAGTACCTACCCAGTATGCCTCCAAGTGCGAGATCGAGTTCGAAGTTGGGCTCGGGCGGGGTATTCCACGATATATTCACCATTCCTCGAGTGTCCCCCACCCAGGTACTCGTATGTTTGTTGGGTGTCTTCAACGAAGTCATTACCACCCAAGAGCTGGAAACGGACCTCTTTCGCCTCTTTTCTCGGAGCAGGCTAGTTTGTCTCTCAAAGGCCGGCAGCGAAACAGACATGTAACAAGAACTCCAAATGATGGACTCAACCTCGGAAGAGGGCGGACTCAATATTCCGACAAAATGGAGTCCAAAGATGCACGTGTCAAGACTCATCAAATAGACCTGGTTTAAGGGGTTCAGCAAGCCACAGACACTGGGGGTTGGTTGGACTGAAAGTCGCGATCACAAGAAGGGTGGACACTAGGGTCGTAGGATTTCCAGATGAGGAGAAAGAAGCTTTATCCCCGAATGAGATCCACCAAGACATGCATTATCCCGAAATAGGTTGTGTTCCAGATAGAGTGCGCAACAGGAAGTTAGGAATGCCAAATCCTCTACCTGATACCCGCCAGAGAGGCCTTGAAACCAGGCATTGGATAGAGCAAAATCCAAACCAGCCTAACATCGAAGTTCTCAAATCGCCGGGAGCGCGGATCACGAAATTGGGGGGAACTCCGATGTGGGGGCGGAAATCCCCAAACAGCCGGACTCCCTTTTGCATCAACCACCGAGGTCGCGCACTTCCCCTTCCGGGTCTAGAAACATCATGGCATAGAGCTACTCAACTGCATATAATAAAAAAGAATCAAGATCACCCAAGCTGGGTGTTTGAACCATCTCACTACCCCGGCGCTTCCTCCAAAAAAAGCCCTTCCAACCCACGACGGGGATATACAACATGGGTCAAACAGCCTCAAAACCGCAACCCGGCTCATCAATCCAGGTCATTGGGGCCGGGCTACCACGCACAGGAACTTCATCATTCAGCCAAGCGATAGAAATCCTCCTCAACGGACCAGTGTACCACTGCGGGACGCAAATATCGCGCGGCCCACCAACAGAGATCAAATCATGGATGCCAATTCTGCAAAAATGGTTCAAAAAAGATACAGATTCACGCTCAACAATGCTATCCCTCCTGCATCGCCGATTGGACGGCTACGTTGCCATCACCGATTCCCCGGGTTGCGAGTTCGTCCCGGAACTCATGGAACTTTACCCCGATGCCAAGGTCATTTGCACGACGCGCGATCCTGTCTCGTGGGAGACAAGCATGTATCATGTACAGACGTTGACGGGCGTTTGGTTTGCGCGGGCTGTCCTGCTGCCCCTGGAAGGTATGAGACATTTCATTCCGTATGGGTATCTTCTGGCTGCGCAGTGGGAGTCGATCTATGGGAGAGTGATGGGGATGCATGGGCGGGAGACCTATGCCCGACATATCGAGTGGTTGAAAGAGGTCGTTCCGGAAGATAGATTGGTCTTCTTTGATGTGAAGGATGGATGGGGGCCGCTGTGTGAGGCTCTGGGGTTGGAGCCTCCGGTGGATGTGCCATTTCCCCGTGTGAACGACTCCGAGGCCATCGAGCGCACGATCCAGCATCACCTTCGGAGAGGTCTCACGCGATGGGTTTTCATCTTTGCTTTCATCGGGACTGGAGTTGCAGCTTTCCGTATGTGGAGATGAGACCGCGGCGTTGGTTGAGGATTCGAGAGCTTGGATTCCAGGTGCTTCAGGGCTGTCGCCTTTTTGGTCTTGAGCGTGGCTCATCGGATCTGTTGGGTAACGCCAGTTACGGAACACATTAGATGTGAAACAAATGTGATTTGCCACAGGAATCTTGTACAAAGATTGAACCGAAATACATGTACGGAATATGTGCAAATATTATAGCTTTTGACAAAAGAAAAGAAAGGACCGCCAATTTTAAACCGGATTTCAACGACGAGCCCGCTCGAACGATGAGTTGTAGCCCTCGTAATCATTGTTCGTTTCAACGGTGGTTTCAATCTCCGTTTGAGTGAAGATCTTCCCGTCAGGGATGATCCTCTCTTCGCTGGAGTTGCTGGCCGCACCAATGTTGGTACCCATGGTCATATCTTCCTTGCCATTAATTGTGGCAAGGGTGATGTTGTTAGGGTCGGTAACTTTGTTGAAGCCAGTTCCGTATCGCCTGTGGGTGTTTTCGCTTGTCCAGGGTCCGGACTTCTTCCCACTGCTGTACTCGCCAATGAAACGGGGCAAGAAGCGGGATGCGATTGCCTTGAAGGATGGAATCGATGCGGCAAAGATTCCGATATTGGTCTCGATCACAGACCAGTACATAGCACCAGCGATGTCATAAGTAGGGTCATCCCCATAGAGCATGGCGGGGATAAAAGTGATTCGGATAATTGAAGAGACGCATGCACTGTCCACACGAGTCAGCGATTGCACTAGAGAAGCAGGCGAAGACTTACAAGAGACCAAGGCACAGAATGACGCCGAGAACGAATTTCTGTTTTTGGGGAACCTGCAGGTTGAAGATGACCTTGATTGGTAGGGTGTATGTCAGGACGTCGGTGACGATGTTGAGAGCGGCGTTGCAGAGATAGAAGAGGTTGATGTCGACGCATTTTCCGGGTCCGGTTTGGGTCCAGGCTTTGCTAATTGTCTGGCACTGGAATGCTGCAACGAGGACGAAGGAAGTGGCTTGCGCGCCGACAACTGCCATCATGACCCAAGAGAGACGAGTGAGGTAACGGTCTCCAAGCCGAGTGTAGAAAGAGAGGACAGAAGTCTTGATGAATCCCAGACAGGCAAGATAAAACATGGAGCTCAGCCAGACAACCTGGGTAGACGTTAAGAGGTGAAGAAGTGCTGAATGAGGTGCGTCCATACAAATGAGTAGGTCACGAGCTTGGTCTCGTCGATATCCGCGGCGTGTTTTCCCAGTCCATTTTGAACGGCTAACTTCAATTAGAATGACTCTGAGTGTGGTGGGATGTGTAAACGTACCGACAATGGTGACGGCAATGAAGGCCCACGACAATAACTGTTGCTGTTAGTTCTCGCCTTGACGGCATAGTTAGGATGTCTTACACAGGCGGCGATGATAAGATCTAAATCTTGATTAGCGGTGATGGGAAGGTGCAGATGTGGATCACATACAGTCGTCGACGCCCATCTTGCGCAGGACATAAAGGCGTGAAAACAGACGAAGCGCTATGACAATAAATGTCACGACGGCAAACGCCACAGCGATACCCACGACCACGGGGCCTTGGGAGCCATTGCTACCGGCCATGGCGAAGGAGGGAATGGAAGTTAAGATCAGAGAGAATAATTAAACGTAAAATTGAACGAAAGGCACAGGCAGTGGTTTCACACTCCTCGCAGAGAATGAAATCATGGGTTTAACTGCAAGTATCAGTAAAAGCATCAAAGGGACCAACTCGCGGCACTCTGGATTTCATTTATAAGTGTGGTTCAATCCAAGGCCCCTGGAGCTAGCTTGAACAGAATTGGCCGAGTTTACAGCCCAGATATGCGAGTAGTGTGCATGGTCCTACTGTACTAGTAAGTACCCTCGAGATCCACCCACCCGTTTAAAGCACATTCGCAAAAACAAGGCAAGGATTGACATGGGGCTTGTCATTTTACCTTCTAAAAAGTCCCGAGACCGAGACACGAGACACGAGACTGTCAGAAGCGACGACCTCCACCTTCTCTCGTCCAGTCCGAGGCCGTCGCTGATCCCTGCGTGAGCACTAACAGACGCCTGCCGTCTTTAACTGGGGGCTCAAGTTTCACGATGGTGGCAGATCTCAGAGGCAAAAGTCTTCGTCTCCAGTTGAGCCGTGATTTGCTGCTCAGACGCGGTCTCTCTATAATTCTTTTTTGTCATGATCTCCTGGGGTTTCGCCGAGAATCCAAGAATCTTTTGGACATATCCACTTAGTTGCGAGAGCGATGGACCCAATTGTCTGGATGGGACCCCCGGAAAAGCTCGTTGCCTTTGAACAGGTTAATTGTGATCCACTTGCGAACAAGGATCGGATTGGCTTGAGCAGGGATGTCAGGACATAGTCTTTCAACGTCTCAGAGACGATCATTTGGCACTATTGACGGGCATATAAAGTAACATTCAATATTAGGCATATCATATGAGGCTAAACAAAGAAAAAGGATGCGACAGAGCATATTGACTTCAAAAGGAAAAAGGAATTTACTAGTCCTCCTGGCCCGCGGGGGCGGAAAATGGAGCGGAGGGGAGCCGAATGATCTCTCCGATCTGGTTTATTTTTATTTCTATCGAGATGAGCATCGAGATGGTTCCGATGGTGATCTTAATTCCACTGTGTTCGGACCACGAGAATGCATTGTACTCAGTAGATTCAAAGGATTCCTAGTACAATGAAAGTCCCCTTTTGCATGGGTTGACAGGGGGCTGCGCGAAGTCTCACACTTTATTTTGTTTGGAACGACTAGAATCATTGTCAGAACACAGCTTAATTATTCTTAATAATTCCGTCAGGCTTCATTAAATCTCTGCAAATCATCCCGAAATTATACGAGTCAGGCCAAGAGGATCAGCACGGACAGACGTTTCAAGCCAACTCTTCCTCTCGCAATGATCCGGCTCAACGACACTACCCCTAATGCAGAGTGAACCGCCAATAATCATCCACACAGAGCTCGTTCGCTTCCGATCTGCACGACCCATTTGCCTTCCGACCCGTCTACAGTGGAGCCAGTCCACACGCCCCATCACAGCTGTGTCTTGCTAAGCGAGATTGGCTGTCAACTGGTCTGGGTTGCGAGGTTGGGTGTGCAGGAAAACGTTGCACTAGAAATCTTGACTCGAACAGAGTTATTAATTGAAGAGTTCACGAAATATGGAGATGTACAGTAAATTGCATGAAGTCATTGTGCAGTGACAACTTAGACACCTGAGCTAGGGGCACAGATATCATTTGTGATATGGGATGCATGTAAGTATTTTCCAATGCCAAAAATGAGACTGTCCATACGGAGTCGGGGGTAGACAAAGAAGAATTGAGGGCTTACATTAGTACTCTACTAGTCCATAGGGCTTACTAGTCCTCCAAAGTACTAAGTACAGTCCTCATATATATTGTGCTAGTACGCCATATGCTCGTAGGGCCAAGACGGATCCAACCCCCGCCAACCCCTTTCCCTACACGAAAAGCACGCCAGCATGGAGTTGTAGTTTTGGCTGAGATCAACACCGCGATCTTCTAAGGTATGCACAGTACTACTGTACAGTGCAGTAGTGCCGCTCCAGGGTTCATCTGGACCGACAAGCATACTACCCAGATACATCCATGGACTACCTAGGTACAGTAGCATGTGGTTTACTTGTTGCAAACCGGCACTGAATTGCACATGCTCTCGCACTCAGTTAGGCACAATTTTTCTTTTTTTGATTTCGGAGAGACCAGTGGAGCACACTTGACGTCCCCACTGTCAAAAGTTGGAGACTAACTCGTTTCATCGCAAAACTCGTAATCGGGGATCAGCCCCCAGGGCCCCGGGCTCCAGATGTCCGATATACTGCTTATGTGCACCAGAATCACAGTCCATTCAGATGAACCATTCGACCTGTCGCATCGTGATATCGAGGAATCTGCTCTCTTATAAACCCTGTGCACGAGGCAAGGTGCCCGGGCCGCCCCTGGCGTCTGCCTCCATTTAGTTGCGAGTTGCCCCGGCCCAGTGAGATCCTGTTCAATAGTGGAGAACGCCACGGTCCCTCGTTGACAGTACTTTGTGACTTTCCTAAGCCCAGCCCTCGGGATTGTCTCCAATTACACTGGAGCCCGAGGCGAACGCTGACGTTCGTACGAAGTGCGGACTCAGTTGTTGATCAATGTCTCATCCATTGATGGATAGCAGCGGAATGCCTTCCTGAAGTGACGATGCCGAATGGCCCGTCAAACACCCTTGACAGTTGGGGTATCTCCGGCTCTGGAATATCCTTACTTCATCAGGAAGCTCCAGCACAGTGGGAATGGGGCCATCCACGAAGCTGCAATTGCGCATTAGCGAGCGGAGTCGCGATCGCTCGCACCGTTGAAAATGCCTTGGATTGTTCGGACTAAGGACTCCATAAGGGGGCAATGGTTCTTCAATGGCCATTGTAAGAACGATCTAGACATGCATTACTCAGGCAAAGAGCCGTCGTGGAGTAGCCTTCTTAGCTGCATAGCCCACTAGCCAATGCGATGTTCACCCTTACTACAATTTGCACAGACGTGTGCGAAGCTAAGGGAAAGTAATCCGTATATTTGGACTGGGTCATTTCCTCTTCTCTTCTGTCCAGTTTGCAACCGCCATGGGTCTGATCGGGAATGTCCTGTCACTGTTGACAGTGACGAACTTGTTTCTGGGATTATTTGCTTATGTCGCTCTCACATTTGGCTGGCAGATTGTCTACTATAGATTCTTCCACCCACTCGCCAAGTTCCCCGGGCCCTTCTGGGCTTCGGTCACTCGCCTTTGGATCGCCAAGCACAGTTTGCAGGAAACAGAGGTGCCCACGGTCTACGCACTGGCAAAGGAATATGGTATGTGCTGCAATGAATGCTGAATTCCACGCTAATCGCATTGTCTTGTAGGCCCCGTCGTTCGCATCACCCCGACATTGCTGCTGGTCAGCGATCACGAGAAGCTCCCCGAGATCTACCACCGAAATGTGGACAAGACCGGACACTATATCACTGGAAGCTTTGGCGAAACCGAGTCGCTGTTCAACATGAGATCCCACAAGACTCATGCTGTGTTCAGGAAACACGTTGCTGGCCCTGTATGACATTCCCATTCGTGCAGTACGCAATGCCTCCGCGACTGACACCTCCTGCAGTACAGCTTCTCGAATATCAAGAAAATGGAGCCACTCATCGATGCGCGCATTGCGGAATGGACCACCAAGCTTGACAGTACCTTCTCCAAGACCGGCGAAGCCTTTGACTTCTCGTGGTGGGCCGTGTAAGTGTTTGGCAGGCATACAAATGGAGGACCCACTAACATAGAGAACACAGCTACATGGCGTACGACATCATCAGTGAAATCGGCTTCGGCGAGCCTTTCGGCTTCATCGAAAAAGGCGAGGACATCGGTGGCCTCATTCAAGGATTCCACGACGGCCTTCCCGCCTTCGGGCTGCTCTCTCGTCTGCACCCATTCACCTCATGGGTTAAGACGACCTTCCTAAAGAAATACCTCGTCGCCACTCCGGCAGACGACTCCGGAATCGGAGTCTTGATGCGCTTCCGAGACCGCCTCATCGACCAGCGCATCAAGGACATCGAAGGCGGCAAGAAAATCGAACGCACTGACCTGCTCCAGACTTTCCTCGAAGCCGTCACCGAAGAGGGCAAGCCCCTTGATCTGGAGTACATTCGCGCCGAGGTCCTGCTCGTTCTTCTCGCCGGTGCCGATACCACCGGCACAGCCTTCCAGGCTCTGATCCAATTCCTCATGACCCACCCATCAGCATATGACCGCATGATGGAGGAAATCGACAACGCATCTCGCAAGGGCCTCATCTCGGACATGCCGCAATATCAAGAAGTAATTGAGCACTTGCCGTTCTATGTCGGCTGTATCAAGGAGACCATGCGTCTTTGCCCGTCTGCGCCTAATATCTTCCCTCGCTATGTCTCGGAGCCTGGACTCGACCTGTACGGCAAGTTTGCGCCTCCGGGCACGGAAATCAGCTGTAACCCGTATCTGGTGCACCGTGATCAGAAGCTGTATGGCGAGGATGCGGAGGAGTTCAAGCCTGAGAGGTGGTTGGATGAGGAGAAGGCCAAGTTGTATAACAAGTACAACTTCTCGTTCGGTTATGGATCGCGTGGCTGCTTGGGCAAGGATATTGCCATGATGGAATTGTTCAAGGGACCTTTGCAGGTAAGTGTCATATCTTGGGTAGTAAGGATTTCCCACTAACGTCAGTTCCAGTTCTTCCGCCAGTACAAACCGGAGGCTGTGCCCGGTAAGCCCGAGGCAAAGTTCATGATCATGGGTGGAATTGGATATTGGAGAGACTTGTGGCTCACCATCTCTCGCCGACCTGCCGTTAAGGCTGAATGAAATTATGTATACCCTACGTTAGGAGAAAGTATGAAGTGGCAGATACCATAATATCATTTACCGAAAAGTATATATGAAAAAGATCACATCCCACTGAGCAGGAAATTACAAAGCGGAAATATCAACTCGAAGTTTTTTGAAAGCCCACTTCCCCCGCCGTCAATACATGGAAGATGAGGGCGTTAAGCGTGAAGGTAGAGGTGTCCGAAAAGGTATTTACGATGACTCGGTACCCATCACAGCAGCCTGCAGATATGTTAGCTTGGGAACCAAAAGTGAATCAATGCGATGTTAGGGGTAATCTTACCCGTGCCTCGTGGTACAAGGGGGTGATACCAGTCCAGTGGACGAACTGGTGCACACCCTGACCAACCAGAACCTCCAATCCGGGGATGGTGCTCCATCCGGCATCGGAAGCAAGCTGCATCAAGGCCGTAACAGCAGGCTTGTAGGCCATCTCGAGAAGGACCCGGGGCGCCTCAAGCGTCTTGCCAACCACGGTGCCGTCGACCTCCTGCGCACGCTCAAACATGTGGCAGAGGGTTTCGCGCATGCCGGCGTCGATGGGCTGGTCAGCAGGGATAGTTCCGATAGCAACACGAGGAACAGAGTCGAGCTGGCTGTGGTTGTCAACGACACGGATGTCGTAGTTGGTTGGGAAGGTCGCGACCATGCTTTCGAGCTTGGCCGCGGAGCGCCCGACCACGTAAATGGGAGAGAAGCCCATGCTGTGGAGGGCGAAGATGGCGGCGCGGGCGGTACCACCGCCGCCGACCACTACTGCGCTCTCATCGCCATTTGAGCCGTAGACTCCGCCGTTGCGCATGCAGCGAACCATGCCCTGCCAGTCGGTGTTGTAGCCGATGAGGCGTGTCTTGTCGCCAGTGGGGACGGGGACAATGGTGTTCACGGCACCGATGATCTCAGCCTCTTGAGCGACTTCGTCGAGAAGGGGCATGATGTCAAGCTTGAGGGGGATAGTCACGGACGCACCACCGAAATCGGGGGAGCGGATGAAATCCTTGACGTCTTCGGCGTTGGTGGTCTCCATACGGGTGTATTCGTGGGGAAGACCCATGGTACCGAAGAGGGTGTTGTGGAGAGCAGGAGAGCGCGAGGCCGAGACGGGGGAGCCGAAAATGGCGAACTTCTTGGCCTTGATCTCACCCATCAGGGAAAGACCGCGACGGATCTCAGTTGCGGAGAGCTGGCCAGGGGCGGCCTTGAAGGGGAGACTGGGGTGAGAGACGGGGGTCATGAAGCCGTTCAGGATGCGGCTGAGCTGGCCGGTGTCACCCATGTTGATGGCAATCAGAGGCGTCTCGTGAGCCTCTGCAGCCCAGTTCTTGAACTTGCGCAGAGCGGTGTTGTCGTCGAGGGTCTTGGCAACGCCGACAAGCTTAATCACATCACCATACTCCAGAGCACGGTTGTAAGACTGAATCCAAGACCAGTTGGACCAAGAGAGTGTTCCCTTGGGATCATGGTGCGACGCAATGATCTTGGAGTGACCCTTCATCTCAGTGACGGTCTGAAGGAGCTGGTCAGGGAATGCGATCTCGAGATCCACAAATTCACACCCGGAGCGGAATGCCAATCTGTACAATGCCAAAGCTTCCTCGTGAGCAGTATCAGGGAAGAGACCGCCTTGGCTCTTGGTGCGAATAGTGAAAATAAGAGGCAGAGCTGTGCTGCGACGCAGAACGGACATTTGCTCAGCGACATAGTCGATGGAAGGGATATCACCCTGAACGGACGGGTCCTTGAGCAGATCGACACGCAGCTCAACGGCGTCGGAACCAACGCATGCCTCGGTAATGATCTCGCGAGCTGGGCGAAGATCAGGCAGAGTCAAAGAAACAAAGAAGCTGTGCTTCTTCTTCTTAATGGCATTCAAGCTGTCCAGTTGGCCAGAGACCATCTTCACGAAGCGGTTGAAGTCCTCGGAAGCAAGGGCAAGCTCTGATGAGTTTGAGTGGGGGCTGAAGTACTGGATGTTGCTGCACTCCTGGAACCAAGGCTTACGGCGCAGCCACACGCCCATCATGTCTTCGACATAAGCAGGACGAGTCTTGTCAATGTTGAGGAATTCCATCACAAGCTTGATGTCACGCATGATAAGGAGAACGTTGCCCTTGTTCTTGTGGTAGTCACAGAGCAACTTGCGTGCCTCCGGCATTTCGACGACACCTCCACCGCAAGCGAAGACGTAGCCGGTAGGGCGGTCCTTCATGCAACGGTTGAGAACGGCCAGCTCAGCGTCACGGAAGGATTCCCAGCCACGGGTCTTGATAATCTCAGGGATGGTCAATCCCTCGGTGTTTTCAAGCTCGGTGTCGAGATCCACGAACTTGCGGTCGAGAGCCTTGGCAACCCAGTTGCCGGTGGTGGTCTTACCAGCGCCGCGCATTCCGATGATGAAGACAGACGCGCTGCTTCGCTCGGCGTGGGTGGAGGAGGCGTGCTCTTCTTCCTTCAGCTCCTTGCCATCAAGGCTGACGCCGAACATCTGCTTCAGAGCATCCCACCAGCCAGGCCAGGTCTTACCAACACATTCCTTCTCAAGAATGAGAGTGGAGGTAGGGGCAACGAGGGACAGGACGCTGAAACTGAAAGCGACGCGGTGGTCATCGTAGCAGTAGACACCGCCGGATGGCTGGCGGAGGGTAGAGCGGTCGATGCCATCGATCTCGAGACCATCGTCGTGCTCACGGCAGATGACTCCGAACTTGGCAAGCTCGTCCTTCATGGCCTTGATACGGTTGCACTCCTTGACACGCTGGTTGGCAATACCGTAGATGCGAGTGGTGTGGTTGGAATCCTTGCCACGGGCAACAGCAGCGAGGACGGAAGCAGTGAGGAAAGCATCAGTCATGGGCTCCATGTCCACGTTGGGCAAAGGCTGCAGAACACCATCAGCAGGTCCGGTGACAGTGGTGGAAGTATCGGTCTGAACGACAGAGCAGCCCATGGGCCGGAGAATGTCGACTGCGAAGCGAGCATCACCCTGGAGAGACTTGGAGCCAATGTTGGGAACGGTACAGGTGGTACCAGTGACAGCGGCAATGGCCAAAGGATAGGTTGCAGAGCTGGCGTCACTCTCCACAACGTATTCGGGAGGGTTGACGTAGCTTGCCTGGGGAATGTGGTAAGTGTGCTCCTCAGTCTCGGACTTCTTAACATCAATACCGAAAGACCTCATCATGGCGGTCGTCATATCAATGTAAGGCTGGGAAATGGGCTTGCCACCAACCAGCTTCAGGGTCACGGGCTCCTTGGCGTAAGGCGCACACATGAGCAGCGAAGAAACATACTGGGAAGAAACCTTGGCCGCTAGGTTGATCTTGCCTCCGGCAAAGCCTCCAGAAGCAGCAATCTTGAGGGGCAGACTGCCCTTGCTTTCCACGTATTCAACACCGGCTCCGTTGACGGTCAAAGCGTCAACAAGATCACCGATGGGTCGCTGCTTCATGCGGTTGTTACCAGTCAGGATGCTGTGATCAACACTGCTGGGGGTGGCAAGAGTGGCCACGGTAGTAAGGAAGCGGGAGGCGGTTCCAGCGTTACCCAGGTACAAAGACTCAGGGCTAGCGACGATCTTTCCGCCCTTGCCATTCACGACCAGGACTTCACCTTCCTCCTCCCAGGAGAAAGTGGCAGCGCCAAGGCGCTCCAAGGCATTCAGCATGACCTCGGTATCATCGGAGTGCAAGAGGTTCTTGATGCGGCAGGTTCCGGAACCAAGCGCTGCAAGCACAAGAGCACGGTTGGAGATACTCTTGGAGCCGGGGGGTGCGCAGGTGACATTGAGGGTCTTGGGGACTCCAGGGTGGACTTCCACACTGGGGGCGAGCACAACGGCGATGTCGGAGTTGGAGACAACGCTGGCCTTGGGCTCGTGGGTACGGCCAATGGCTGACAGGAGAACAACCTTCTTCTTGGGGCCATCGTTCTTCTTGTCCAGGGCCATGTTGAACAGCAGCTGGTCAACGGAGCAGTGCTTGCCAGCAGTCAACTTGCGGACGCGGGAATCCTTCATGGAAGTGGGCAGACCATAGGCGGAAAGACACTTCACGACACGAGCGACCGCGACACCCTTCAGGATGCCGAGGTGACGTGCGAGCTCTGCCTCCTTGACCATACCAATGGCAACACACTCGCCGTGGAGGACCTGAGGGGTCAGAATGGCTTCAATGGCGTGTCCAATAGAGTGTCCCCAATTCAGCAAGTTGCGGAGACCACCCTCGCGCTCGTCGGCAGAGACAACAAAGGCCTTGTGACGGGCCGAGGCCAGAATTCTAGCCTTGAGGATGTCCCGGATTCCGTCGAACCGGCCTTGGCCGGGCTTGGCCTCGGTGCGGACAGCAGCCAGGATGGCGTCCGCGTTGATCTCCAGAGCAGTGAATTCCTCCTCGCTGGAGATGGCAGCGGTCTTAATGACCTCGGCCATACCGTTGATGAACTCGCGAACGGGCAGAGTCTCGAGGAATTCGAGATCAATGTAGATCCTTGACGGCTGCCAGATGGATCCGATGAGGTTCTTGCCATGCGGGGTGTCAATGGCAGTCTTTCCTCCGATCGAGGAGTCCACCATGGCCAACAGTGTAGTGGGCACCTGCACGTAGCGGACACCACGCATGTAGGTGGCTGCCACATAGCCGGTCAGATCACCAATCACACCACCGCCCAATGCGATGACCACGGTATCTCTGCCACATGGTGGGTTCTGGGTCAGCATCCAATCTTCGATATCGGCTTTGGTCTGGCGGGACTTGGAGCTCTCGCCGGGGGCGACATTGTGGACGAGCAGTCGTGGGGAGGGGGTGATGGAGGCGGCGGCCGTCTCGAAGGTCTTTTGGAAGGTGGAGGTGTAGAGGGACCCGAGGTTGGTATCTGTGATGAGCACGTAGGTCGTGGAGGGCAATTCACTGATCAGGTCCTTGGCGACATAGTTGCGCCAAAGACCGAAATCAGCGACAATGCTCTCCCGGCCCAAGATACTGATCTTGGTGGGATCGGACATTATGGATGATGGGTGAAGGCAAGATTCAGAGATCAATTCATTCTGGTGAATATTTGTTAGTCCCACCCTGAGTCATAGTAACTTTTAGGCTTGCCCCCACTACGGGACTAGCAGCATGCATAGATCAATTGCGAGCCCCTGAGAGCGCTGAAGAAGAAAAGAACAGTATCAAGCATACCTATGTCCAACAATCTTGGAATCTTCTTTTTTTTTTCTCGAAGAAAGTCTGCTGATCTTGTAAAGAGGGCCGAACAGAAAAGTAAAACACGAGCTCCGAAGTCGCGGGCAGTTTGCTGACCGCCTCGCAGGTTAGGCAATCTGTTACCCGTTGTGGACTGCGCCTTAGCATCGACTCTCACGCTTACTACCAACACTCCGTCCTCACGCTATACGTGGATCGTCCACATCGGACATATCAGATGTTACTGATTCGCCCTACTGCTCATATTCATCTGCATTTCCCTCAATAGTCCCCAGGGTGGCTTCCTAAAAGGCTTCCCAACAGAAGTCCTCGAGAGTCCTACCCACATTTAATTCTCCACTACTCCTATTCAGCTCTCCAAATGGTCTCCTGCGGCTGATCTCAAAACCCTAATCGATGGCATTGTATTTGCCGAGTTCGTCCGGGCTGCCGTGTCTGGCGATTCTCCCTGCCGATCTCCCATACAATCAGCTTTGCTTACATTGTGTGCGTACTCCGTAGCCCCCTGGGCTTTGTTTCGCATAATTCACTTTCCATGGATCTCTCCAATGCGCTGCTCCACCGAATTCGGGTGACCCATTCAAGTTCCATGATTGGAGACTCCTGGTTATGTACTCACATGGTCCTCCCGATGTCCCGCTCGGGGTCGATGCTCGATCGTGTGGGCTCGCTGGCCGATTGATCCACATCAGAAAACACGACTTTGTTTTGTTCACGCCTTTTGATGTTGACATGGATCCTTCTCTGTCATGGATGACCGAAAAGACCAGAGCTTGCCGTCCCCTGTACAGTATTCTATATGCTGGCCTGGCGGTCGTGAAACCTCAACAGGCAGACTACAATCCATTGTACCACCTCACACCACAGAAGGAGTAGACCCTGACTCATGGTCTCATCCCTAGACAACCTATGACCTGGTACGGACTAACCCGTAGTCATTTTCTATGAATATGTACTCCGTACTGGAAAGGCCATCCAGCATCCAAGGCCTCCAGGAGGACCCCTCAAGGTCAAAAGTGTACCCAATGTCTTTGTAGCCTGTCTACTAAGCTTGCTGCAGGAAATATCTGCAGACTTACTCCGTACTGTGATCTGCATGCACTCATGGTTTGAATATTGCCCGGTTGGGTTCATGGAGTATCCGACAAAACCTTGATGACTTGCCCTCCTTGCATTAGTACTCCCCCCCCCCCCCCCCCCAAAGAATGAGGAAGTAAGAAATGAGAGGGAGGAATAAAAACAACCTAACTAGAAAAATTTACAACCCTTGGAACTGAAGTAAATCCCCGAGGGTCACAACAAACCATGATAGAACCTTGAAACATGACCCCCAAGGGCTGCAGTTCCCGAGGTCGGGTGTGCCAGGCATTGGTTATATATCATCATGGATTTACACCAGACCCGCAAAAGCCACCCATGCCAGGTGGATGAAATGAACCCCAAACCCCACAACTGGAACTTTGGTAAGAATACTCTGTATGTAAAAGGTAACCTTGAAAACTTTGGAAGTAAAAAAGCCTCGTGATACTCGATTGCCTTACAAGGTTGCTATGTACTGAACAGGCATATTCCAGGTGGTTTTCATTCATCGTCCTCGTCCTCGTCCTCATCATCCTCATCCTCGGCCTCAGAAACCTCCTCTCCAAGCTCCTTAAGGCGTTTCTGGCGAATCGTTAGTAAAATTCCAAATTTGAGATGCAGCAAACATACCTTATCGTCAGTTCTCTTAGCCTCTAGGTCTCCAAAGACAATGAGTAGGTCTTCCAGTTCTGATTGTGCCGACTGGCGAGCTTCCTCCTTTTCTTTGGCATCCGCATTGGCTTTTTCAAGTTGTTCCTGAACAGCCTTCAGAGCTTCCGCGGCAGCGCGAGCATGGGACTCGGCCGCCTTGGCTTTGGCCTCTGCTTCATTGGCTTTGGCCTCTGCTTCATTGGCTTTGGCCTCTGCTTCCTTGGCTCGTGCTTCCAGTGCAGAGGTTTGAGAAGCGGTGCCTTCATTAGCTGTCTCAAGGTCCTTGCTGGACTTCTGGGCTTGGGCAAGCTCTGATTCAAGGCTTGCAACAGACTTCTTCAGGGCGGAAACCTCCACCTCATGTTCCTCTTTGGCCTTTCTCAAGTTTGATTCCAGAGTTCCCACCTCATCCTTGTGGGCATTTGTTGTAGCCTCATGACCCTTTGTGGCTGTGGAGAGGCTGGTTTCTAAAGTAGTGATTTTGCTCTTGTGATCGCTGATATCCTTTTCGTGTTGCTGTTTGGTTGTGGCCAGCGTTGATTCCAGAGTCTGAACTTTCTCCGCAAATTCGGCGTGGGCTCCCTTGATGTTTTGGAATTCCGAGAGCTTCTTGTTGAGTTCGGCAACTTGCCCATCGTGGGATTTCTTAGTTGCCTCTAGATCCTGGATACTCTGCTCGAGGCTTTTAGCCTGCTCAGCCTGAGATCTCTTGGTGGCCTCCAGATCTTGAATATTCTTTTCAAGACTCGTGACTTGCCCGTTGTGGGATTCCTTAGCTGCCTCAAGATCATTGATCTTATTTTGAAGGCTAGCGACCTCTGCGCTATGAGTATTCTTCGACTGATCGATACTCTTTTGTAATTCCTTGGTCTTGTTGTTCAGGTCAACAACTTGGCCATCATTGGTTGCTTTGATGCCTTCGAGAACCTGAATCTTCTTTTCGAGATCAACCACCTGATTGGCGTGCGTGGTCTTCAATTGGCCGATATTGCTTTTCAGCTCTTGAACTTTTTTGTTGAGATCCGCAATCTCTACTGTGTGCTGGCCACGGATACGAGCAAGTTCCGCCTCCATGCCACGAATTTTCTGCTGTAGAACGGACGTTTCTCGCTCATGATTTTCCTTGGCTTGGTTCGCCTGCTTAGTATTGCCTTCGGCTGCAGCCGAGGCCTGCTTGAGTTGGTTTTCCAGGACTAGAAGCTGCTCGCTATGCTGCTTCAGTAGTTCCTTTCTGGAACGGTTGTGTTGATCTTCCAAATTCGCCAGTTGCCGAGAAAGCTCCTGCGCATGATTTCGTTGAAGAGATTGGCTCGACTGCTGGACCTTTGACAGCTCCACAGTGCCAGATTCTTTTGTTTTCCGATGGTCCAGTTGCTCCTGATCGAGCTTTCTCTGGATGTCCACAAGGTCGGACTCCAACTTTTGAAGGGTTTGAGTCCTATCTTCAATCTCAGCGCGCAAAGAGTCCACAAGCTCGCGAGAGATCCCCTTTTCCACGCCGTTGGCAATGACCGAAATCTCGAAGCCAGGTTCGCGATCAATAGCACGCAGCAGGCGGCTGAAATTATCCTTGAGGAATTCAACAAATGCACGATCGAAGAAAACCTCTGGTAGTCCTCCTTCAGGTTGACTGGCGGCATTCTGGGGCAAGACCTCAAAGTCTCTAACCAGAGGACACTCTCGAAGCCGCGTGATCTTGTCAATATACTGTTCTCTGCCGAGTTGCTCCATGAGTAGTTTGTGGAGCGTAAGCCGAGGGATTGGTGAGTCTTTTGTAGAAAACTCATATATAATACCCAGGAGGACCGTGCAAAGGCCGGGTACCAGCTTGCTGGGTGCGCGTTGGTGTTTGATTTCCTGGAGCAAGGTTTGAATGCTGCTGCCCTCTCCTAGGAGGTCATTGACAACATCTGGGTCCTCAAACAACCAGCCGCAGAGTAACATCAGGTAACCGACTGTGATTCTTTCATCATCACCGCGCTGTAGTCCAGTGATGAGGTTGCCAACCACTGATTGTACGCTTGTGACAACTTCTTCTCCACTTTCAGCGTCCCCTTCAGTAACCTTCATGGCGGTTGCTTTCGCCTCGCCATCGTCGAAAATCAGATGGAACATCAGAACGCAGGCCATCCACACCTGATATGGGTCGGCATTTCCCCGCAACTCGGACGGAGTGAGCAACACCGATAAAATGTTGGGGATGGCATCTTGTCCACTAATGTGACCCTCAATGGCTCGCCTGAGCACGTGCATGCGAATTCCCGGATGGTGAGCAAAGAATGCTTTCATACATTCACAAGCGGCAAGGCGGGCGTCTAGCAGGTTGTTTGGGGCAGGCTCGAGGCTGAGTTTCAGGAATGCCTCAATGACATTGATTCGTAAAGGTTCTTTGGAATCGCCATTGGTGTCCACATCACCGCGGGTATGCGAGCCCCACAAGACTTCAATGTCACCGAATCTTTCTTGCAATGGTGAATTGCCACGAATAAGATCTGCGCAGGTGGACAATGCCTGGAGCAAGGTGTCAGTTTCGAGAGCGGACAGTGATCAAACCGAGGATGGAATCTCACCTTTGCGGTTACGCCGACACTAAATCTTTGGCCGAATGCAATGCTTAGAACTTGTTCTGTTACACCATTTTGCCAGAATGCGGTTTGATTTATAGGGGTGCTCACACCACCACGGATCAAGAACAATTGGATGATAGCCAGAATTCCCCAAACATTCTTGTCTCGGTGGACCAAAGTCCACTGTGGTAGCGGTTCGTCACCCTCTGGTTCTTGCTGGCACTCATGAAGAAGATGCGTGACCTTTTTGACACAACCGGTTTCGCGAAAAGACGATTGGTTAGAGACATTGAATCTTAGTAGATGAGCCAAGAGGGACAAGCAATCTTCGACGACCTCGGTTCCAAGACTCAATGCCCCCTCCTTATTGATAAGATCGAGTAGTATTTCAAACGCGTTCTCGAAGGCCACGAGCTTCTGCAATTCTTCCGAGGTAGGCGTGAGAGCAATTAACAAGACGAGAGCCTCTAAGAATCAGAAGCAGAAACATTTAGTCAACCTTCATCGATCATGTCACAGATGGTTGGTATTCCACACAACGTACCGTTTCGCACAGGTTCCCTCGAGTCGGTAAGAACGTTGACTAGTTTAGATATGCCTAACGGCGCTGTGAAAATACACTCTTGTGTTCGTTCCGGTCGTGCGCTGCAGATATGGGAAATCAATTGAAGAGAATACAGACGAGAGTAAAATTCTCGGGCTTCAAGGAGATCAAGGAGGGTGGTGATATTGTCTTGTCGCTTTGGTAGTGTTAGTACTTGGTCGTTGGGCCGAGGTATGGATTCATACCTGAGTAAACGAGTCCGCGAGCCACAGAGCAATCTCATCCGATGCTTCAGGCTGTGAAATAGTCCGTTAATATCTGGCGCCTGAGCTTTGAGTGATCGGAATACTCACGCTAGACTCATCTGGCGTGAAAAGCATCAATAGAGTCTCGAGGACCACCTTAATGGTGTCCACATCCTCGCCGTCATTTTGCAGACTGCTGATCAATGATCGTAGACCACCAGAGGCAACTGACGCGGGATATAGCTTTGCAAAGCTTCTGAGACCCTGGATCGCGGCCCGCCGATCTTCCAAGAGAGTCGCATTCTGCAGCCTACTGCTCAGAACATCGATTGTGTCCGTTGCCGTTTGTTTGGCCGGAGCTTGTGATTCAAGAATTCGAAACATTGTGGTGGGATTGCAATATCATGGTCACCGCCGGCCGAGGGCGTAGGAATTGACAGTCATCTAAAGAAAAACAAAGAAGTGAAAGAAGATAAGTTGAATAATTCGCTGATCGTAGTAGCAAGCTGTCCTGCTACCGCTGGCAGAGGAGGTACCGCTCTAGGATGTATCGGCAGAAACATTGACCGCCCACGATTTATCTTTTCGTCAACCGGGAAGCTCGAGGTCACCTCTCAAGCGCAGCACCGCGATATTTTCAGCGGTTGCATCTTCTTTACCTCTTTGATTGGGGGGACACCGAAATCTCACCCTTTCTTCACGCATACTCCCGTTTGAAACACCGTGGGTTTGCGCCAGCACCTGCGCCAGCACCATCGCTGTTGACTGATTGCGACAAAGCGCTACCTGTCTTACTGAAGCTTTTGATTCCACAAGTGTCGCATCGCCAACATGGGTGTTCCCGCGCTGTTCCGATGGCTCTCCAACAAGTATCCGAAGATTATCTCTCCGGTTATTGAGGAGCAAGCCCAGAAAGTGGATGGAGAGGAAATCCCGCTGGATATCACCGGTCCCAACCCTAATGGCGAGGAACAGGATAATCTCTACCTGGATATGAACGGTATTGTTCATCCTTGTACCCACCCAGAGGGTAGACCACCTCCTGCAGATGAGCAGGAGATGATGCTGGAGATCTACAAGTACACTGACCGCGTGGTCAACATGGTTCGCCCCAGAAAGCTTCTTATGATTGCTATTGGTATGTTATACTCCCCAGCTGGCTGATGATGCTTGATATTCTCATTGAGCTTTCGCTCGTCCCCAGACCGTGGCTAACTTATCTGGACTGGGTGTATAGATGGTGTCGCTCCCCGAGCCAAGATGAACCAGCAACGTGCGCGTCGATTCCGCTCAGCGCAAGAGGCCAAAGAGAACGACGAAAAGAAGGAGGAACTTCACAAGATGCTTGCTAAGCAACATCATGCAAAGACGGGCGAGGAGTACATTCGAGAGGAAGTTGTTCAAAAGACGTGGGATAGCAATGTTATCACGCCAGGAACACCTTTCATGGACATCCTTGCAGCCTCCCTGCGCTATTGGATCGCCTACAAGCTCAACACTGACCCTGGATGGGAAAACGTACGTTTCAATCTCAACCCTGTCCGAAGGTGCCTACTAACAGTTCCAGTTGAAAATTATCATCTCGGATGCCACGGTTCCAGGAGAGGGAGAGCACAAGATCATGAACTTTGTGCGATCGCAGCGAGCCTCGCCTGACCACGACCCCAACACCCGTCACGTCATTTACGGTCTAGTAAGAACCAACCCCCACTCCACCTGGATCGACGCTTGCTAACCCAGCCAGGATGCTGATTTGATCATGTTGGGTCTTGGTACTCATGAGCCTTACTTCCGAGTCTTGCGTGAAGATGTTTTCGCCCAGGACTCTCGGCCTCGGGGATGTAAGTTGTGCGGACAGAATGGACACAAGGCTGAAGAGTGCCTTGGCCGCCCCAAGGAAAAGTCTGGAGAATTTGACGAGAAGCAAAATGCAGCTCCTTTGAAACCCTTCATTTGGCTGCACGTCGCTGTTCTCAGAGAATATCTTGCTGTAGAACTTCGTGTCCCCCAGCAACCTTTCCCATTTGACCTAGAGCGCGCACTAGATGACTGGGTGTTTATGTGTTTCTTTGTTGGAAACGATTTCCTTCCTCACTTGCCATCTTTGGATATCCGTGAGAACGGAATTGACACTTTGATCGCCATCTGGCGTGACAATCTGCCCGCCATGGGAAGCTACCTTACCAAAGATGGAAGTGTTGAGCTGAAGAATGCCCAAATCATCTTGCAAGGATTGGCCAAACAAGAGGATGCTATCTTCCGTCGTCGTAGACAGGCAGAGGAGAGGAAACAGGCTAACGAGAAGAGACGCAAAGAGCAAGATGAAGCTCGCAATGCAGAGCGTTCTCAAAAGCGCAGACGCAGCTCTCCTCAATACGATGCCAAAGCAGGTGGTCGCTCTGGTGGACCCCCCGAGGCGGTTCCCCCTATGGAGTTGATCACCCCCGGTCGCGGTCACCTCGCTAAGGAGACAAGGGAGCTGACCCACGACATGGTCACCAACCGCGGCGCTGTGTATCGTGCCAATATGGAGAACAAGAGCGCTGCCGCCGTTTTGAAGAGCAAGCTCATGAAAGGCAAGCAGAATGAGCCCGAGCCCAGTGAGCCTTCCACTGAAGATGCATCAGGTGAGGCCACAGCACACACATCCCTCGGAAAGCGCAAGGCCGATGCAGCCGACCAAGAGGACGGCGAAGCAGGCACGCCAGGCCGAGACTCCCCCCCACCTCCCCCAGCTGAGAAGCCCAAGTCAGATGAACCTCCAGAGGACACCGTCAAACTATGGGAACCCGGCTATGCCGATAGATACTACGAGCAAAAGTTCAATGTCGACCCTAAGAATCACGAGTTCCGCCACCAGGTCGCTCGCGACTATGCTCTTGGACTATGCTGGGTTCTTCGCTACTACTTCCAGGGATGTCCCAGTTGGAGTTGGTACTACCCCCATCACTATGCGCCGTTTGCTGCCGATTTCGTCGATATTGCAGACATGCCGGTGGAGTTCGAGAAAGGCGCACCATTCAGACCATTTGAACAGCTGATGGGTGTGCTTCCTGCCTCCTCTAACCATGCGCTGCCGAAGGTCTTCCATCCATTGATGGAGGATGCGAACTCCCCTATCATCGATTTCTACCCCGAGGATTTCCCGCTCGACCTCAACGGCAAGAAGTTCGCCTGGCAGGGTGTGATCCTCCTACCATTCATCGACGCAAACCGCCTTCTCGAAGCCATGGGGACTGTGTACCCTCTTCTAACTGAGGAGGAGAGCGGTCGCAACACCCATGGGTCGGAGGTTCTTCTTTTGTCGGACCGAAACCCGCTGTACCAAGATCTGGTTGCGAATTTCTATTCCAAAAAACCAGGTCCTGCGCAGTACTCTATCAAGCAAGACCTGAGTGCAGGCCTTGCTGGTATCGTCGAACGTAGCGATACCTATATTCCCCACAGCTCATTGGTATCGCCACTGGAATCCCACGGCATGCCCGGAGTTGACGATGATCGTTCTCTCACTGTTTTGTACACACTCCCCAAGTCGTCGCACGTTCACAAGTCCATGCTACTGCGTGGCGTGAAGCTACCAACGCCAATGCTGGATTCAAGTGACATCAGAGCCACCAAGGGTCGTGCTCAAAACTCAGGCCGATCATTCGGTGGCGCTCCTTTCCAGGGTCGAGGCCGAGGTGGCCGGATGAACTACCAAAGTGACCGTCCTCAGGGAGATCGCCCGAACCCATTTGCCGGACATCTTGATCCTAACTTTGCCCCGGGTCCCCCAGGTGGTCCTGCTGGTGCCCATATGGTTCCCCCTGGATGGGTTCCCCCTGGCCAAGGATATGGAGGCTATTCCAGAGGACCACCTCCTCCCCCACGTGGTGGTATGGGCAACCAATACCCACCACAGCAAGGTTATCAACAGAACGGAGGCTATTACAACCCTCAAAACCAATATAACCAGGGTGGTCAGTACAACAACGGCTACCAGCAAGGAGGTTACGGCTCACAAGATTATCGAGGAGGCCGAGGCGGTGGTGGGTACCGCGGTGGAAGAGGTCGTGGAAACTACCAAAACCAAGGTGGAGGTGGATATGGTCGCTACTAGAAAGCGGCATGATCTAGCATCCTTTTCTTCTTCGTGATTATTCTGTGTCTTTCAATACTGCTGCTATATTATCTACAACACTGGGAAGTGGCCTTGATGCTCTGGGAAGAAATGGAGTTGGGGGTGGACATAAAATGAAATTTCAATTATGCTTTGCAATCAATTTCCGGGATGCAGTTTCTTTTGCAATTAAGCTATCTATCAGCGATATGTATGGAGGTTCCTAGTAGTATAATCCAGGGCTTTGTAGAGTCCTTCCATTTACGGCAGGCGGTATGGCCTCCCTATGGAGGGGTGAAAGACCCGCGGGCAAAAAACCGAGGTGGGGTGAGTCACTGCCGTTGGCTTTGTGAATTGCAAACCTCTCATTTCCGCAAACCAATTCAGCAATGTCGATTGACTTCCCCGCGGAAGAAGAGCTCGTGCTCTCTCGGTGGAGGGAGATTGATGCGTTCAAGCGCCAGGTCGAACTTTCTAGCGACAAGCCTCGATACTCTTTCTTCGACGGTCCACCTTTCGCTACTGGATTGCCTCACTATGGCCATCTGCTTGCCTCCACTATCAAGGATGTTATCCCCAGGTATTGGTCTATGAAGGGCTACCACGTCGAGCGTCGCTTTGGCTGGGACACCCACGGCGTGCCAATCGAGTATGAAATCGACAAGAAGCTCGGTATGTCCGGTCTGCAGGCCGTGCAGGAGATTGGTATCGAAAAGTACAACGAGGAGTGCCGCGCAATTGTCATGCGTTACTCTACGGAATGGCGTCAGACCATCGAGCGTCTGGGTCGTTGGATCGACTTTGACAACGACTACAAGGTACATAAATACAACCTCGCGTGCTCACTGGCTTTTGCTAACGAGTGTCGATTTCTAGACCATGAACCCCTCTTTCATGGAGTCGGTCTGGTGGGTGTTCAAGGAGCTCTTTGACAAGGGCCTCGTTTACCGTGGATATCGTGTTATGCCCTACTCGACTGCTCTCAACACCCCTCTCAGTAACTTCGAGGCGCAACAGAACTACAAGGATGTTCAAGACCCCGCTATTGTGGTAACTTTCCCGTTGTTGGATGATCCCGAGACCTGCCTGCTTGCATGGACCACCACCCCGTGGACACTTCCTTCGCACACCGGCCTTTGTGCCCACCCCGCTTTCGAATACGTCAAGATTTACGACGAGGCCACGAAAAAGAACTACATTCTGTTGGAGGCTCTTCTTCGAACCATTTACAAGGACCCCAAGAAGGCCAAATTCAAGATTGTCGACCGCATCAAGGGTTCTGATATGCTGGGATGGAAGTACACACCTCTCTTTGACTACTTCTATGACGAGTTCAAGGATTCTGGCTTCCGGGTTCTGAACGATGAATATGTTACCGCCGAGGACGGTGTGGGTATTGTCCACCAAGCCCCTGCCTTTGGTGAGGAGGATTACCAAGTTGCTGTGAACCACGGTGTTATCAACGAGACCCGCCTTCCCCCCAACCCCGTCGATGCCCAAGGTTGTTTCACCGCTGAAGTCCGGGACTTCGTTGGTCAGAATGTCAAGGCCGCCGACAAGGGTATCATTAAGCTCCTCAAGGGCAACGGCCGTGTCCTTGTTGACAGCCAGATTACTCACAGTTATCCCTTCTGCTGGCGATCCGACACCCCTCTCATCTACCGCGCTGTTCCATCCTGGTTCGTGAAAGTAAAGCCTATCATTCCCGACATCCTTGAGGGAATTGAAAAGTCCCACTGGGTTCCATCCAATGTCAAGGAGCGCAGATTCGCTAGCTGGATTCGCAATGCCCACGACTGGAACGTTTCTCGTAACCGTTTCTGGGGCACACCCCTGCCCTTGTGGGTCAGTGATGACTTCAAGGAAGTTGTTGCCATCGGTAGCATTGAGCAGCTCCGCGAACTGAGCGGTTACGAGGGCGAGCTCAACGACATCCACCGTGACAAGGTCGACCACATCACTATCCCCAGCAAGCAAGGCAAGGGTGTCCTTCGCCGAGTCTCTGAGGTCTTCGATTGCTGGTTCGAGAGTGGTGCTATGCCCTACGCCAGTCAGCACTTCCCCTTCGAGAACAAGGAGCAATTCGAGGACAGCTTCCCCGCCGACTTTATCGCCGAGGGTCTCGACCAAACCCGTGGTTGGTTCTACGTGCTTTCAGTTATCGGAGTCCACTTGCGCAACAAGTTGCCCTACAAGAACGTTGTTGTTAACGGCATCGTTCTTGCTGAAGACGGTCGTAAGATGTCTAAGCGTTTGCAAAACTACCCTGACCCAACGCTGGTGATGAACTCTTACGGATCAGATGCTCTTCGCCTATACATGATCAACTCCCCTGTCGTTCGTGCTGAACCACTTAGGTTCAAGGAATCAGGTGTCAAGGAGATTGTCGGCAAGGTCCTTCTCCCTCTGTGGAACAGCTACAAGTTCTTCGAGGGCCAGGTCGCGCTCCTCAAGAAGACCTCTGACGTTGACTTCGTCTTCGACCCGACCGCAGAGAGCACCAACGAGAACGTCTTCGATCGATGGATCTTGGCCAGCACTCAAAGTCTGCTCAAGTGGGTCAACCAGGAGATGGCTGCATACAGACTCTACACTGTTGTGCCTCGACTCCTAGAGCTCATTGACAACACCACTAACTGGTACATCCGCTTCAACCGCAAGCGTCTCAAGGGCGAAAACGGCGTCGAGGATACCCTGCACGCCCTCAACACTCTCTTTGAGGTTCTCTACACCCTTGTCCGAGGCCTTGCTCCCTTCACACCTTTCCTTACCGACAACATCTACCAGCGCCTCCTCCCTCACATTCCCGAATCCCTGCGTGGCGCTGACAGCCGCTGTGTTCACTTCCTTCCCTTCCCTGAAGTGCGCGAAGAGCTCTTTGATGCCACTGTGGAACGCCGTGTCTCCAGAATGCAAAAGGTCATTGAGCTGGGACGTCTGAGCCGCGAGCGTCGTGCCATTGGTCTGAAGACCCCTCTCAAGTCCCTTGTCGTGATCCACAATGACCCCGTTTACCTTGACGATGTCAGGTCGCTCGAGAGTTACGTCTGCTCCGAGTTGAACGTGCTTGAGCTTGAGCTTTCATCTGATGAGGTCAAGTACAAGGTCGACTACTCCGTTGTGGCTGATTGGCCTACCCTGGGCAAGAAGCTGAAGAAGGATGTGCAGAAGGTCAAGAAGGCTCTGCCCCTGCTCTCCAGCGATGATGTGAAGGGATTCCTTCTCAACAAGAAGATCCTCGTCGATGGCATTGAGCTTGTTGAGGGCGACCTCGTTGTCAAGCGTGGAATCAAGGAGGATGAAAACAGCAAGGGCTTTGAGACGAACACCGACTCTGATGTTTTGACCATCCTCGATGCCAACCTATACCCCGAGCTGGCTCACCAGGGCCTGGGCCGTGAGATCATCAACCGTATCCAGCGTCTTCGCAAAAAGGCTGGTCTGGTCCCCACCGATGACGTGAAGATGGAGTACACTGTCATCTCAGACCCCGATAACATTGGTATCAGCGAGGCTTTCAAGTCTCAGGCCTCTGAGATCGAGAAGGTCCTCCGACGACCTGTTGACCAGAGTGATCTCTCCGTCGACAAGCTACCGACCGGCGAGGAGGAAGGTACTATCTCCCAGGAGGAGCAAGAAGTGCAGAACGCCACCTTCTTGCTGCGCATTCTCAAGCTCTAGACACCTTTTTAGAAGCGCATGTGTAGATAGCAGCTTACTGTCAAAATTTCTTTGAATGAAAACGTGCTTATGATGTTCCATTGAGAATGCATATTATGATACCTAGGTATCGTAGGACCAAGTTCGAGCTCCGGTCTTAAAAGTTAGAAACAGCTCTCATTCCAAATTCACGCCGATATATGTCCATGTTGCGCAAGAAAAAGAGGTCCAAGGTTTCAAATACTGTCAACCCCAGTTATGTTGGCTTTTTCTATCTAGCCCTTCTTAGATGCGGCCTGCGGTGATCGATTAGCCCACCAAACTATCCATGGATGGACCTTCCAGGACAAGCATAGGCGAATAACTTACAAGGTAGCAGTTCTTCAATCTCATGAATTCTTTAGCACACATATCTTTATGTACGGAGTTGTAGTCTGAAACGACACACTTTCCGTATGCCGCCACCTAGAGAGGCTTGTCAGTCGTGTAGCTTGATAACGGACCGACAGGGCTACCGACCTCAGTAGAGCACTGAGCTGAAGCTTTAGCAATCTTCTCAACAGGCCGAGTCCTTGCAGGCATTTTCAATGGGTGAATTAAAGATCTACAGCCCAAGCGGACGTTGAAGCCGCTGTAGAATTCCTGGGATGTTACGTAACGTCACGTGATCTGCATGTTTGTGTCGCGGCAACCAAAACAACCCGCAAATCAGTGCATTTGATGCAGGCTTTCCTCTGTTTCTTTGGTTGAACGTGCTGATCAAAGCTAGCATCCCCTGGCGCATGTATTTTACCTTTGGCGCCCCCCGCTTTCGCGATGATCTATTTGGTCCCGCAGCTCTACGACCCTAATGCGACAAGCGCGCCTTGAGATCGCGAATTTTCGATGCCTCCGATATCCTCTCAGCGCCGAACTGTGACCGAAGAGAGTTCATCTCTTACAGACGATGGTAAGTGTCAATCTCAGACTGCCCTGAACGCATCCTCACCACGCTGCAGATGTCGGCTTTCTCTACCAGGTTATCTCCGGCGCTGAGGTCAAGCCCGAAGTCGATCGACTACCATTCCGCGCGCTATTTGAAGCATACGACGAGGCCATTGGTCAACATGGCGTCAATGCAGACCCGGGACATGCCTGCTTGCGGTTTTTATTCAAGATGGGATCCAAAGCCGTGGACGGCGAATCGCTTTTTGACAAATTTGAGAATGCGCTCCAGCAAGTGGGCATCGTGATCGAACTGGGCGATGAAGGATCGACAAATATCAATGAAACAGGAGACCATGACCAATATACCGCGGAAGTGACCCACAGCCGGACTGTTGACTATCACAACGACGGCCCTCTTGAACACTCTTACCTCCCAAATGGGGTGCCGCCGACCCCCAAACGGCGCGCATCCTTCAACACTACCTACGATATTGGCGATGACGCCACCCAGAGAAGCTTCATCAATCGTCCAAGCTCTCGTTCTTCCATGTCCCGCCTTGAGGTTGGCAAACCTGACTTCTCAAAACCAAGATCATCGCCCTCGCATGGGAAAGGATCAACGCCTCTCAAGTCTCCAGACCGTACGCAATTGATAAGCCAGTTTCTGGACGTTGGCCGACGGCTTCTGAGCAGATTTGACGGTGTAGAATCTAAACCCGGGGCCTCAGAGCCCCCTCCGCTGACCAATGGAGTGCTTGCGAGATCAGCCGTCACTCGTGATCGCTCAAAGAGGGCGGCGGAGGCTTCACGTTCCAACCGATCTCTTTCCATCGAATCATCCGATAGTTCACAGTCCCAAGAAGTGGAATCGATCATGTCGCAAGGTCCAGAGAATGATTCGTTCGAGAAAGAGGAGGTGCCCCCTGAGTTTCTTTATCGCCCTCAGCTTTCAGATCTACTGCGTGACGCATCGACGTTCAACATGTATAGGCAACGATCGATCTGTCGTCGAATTTTGACACTTTGGCTGAAGAAGGCCTTCCAAGCACGACAAGTTCGCGAAACAAGAGAATCCTTAGCGACAAACTATGACAGGAGCCTTCTGCTTAGACAAGCCTTTGATCCCTGGCTTGGTGTTATTCAAGAAAAGCGCCACTCAGCCCGCACAGATCGTTTCTTCAAACATCTTGAGACGCGCGCCAATCGAGCACGAGAGTTATATCTGATGACCAAAGCTTTCAGTCACTGGGCCCAGCTCACATCGGAAGAGGTAGCACGGACATCCGCTGCTCGCAAACATGTTCTCAGTGTGAAATACTTCAAAGCTTGGCGCGAGGTCACCGCCATCAATGAGTTGAAGGCCCAGCGCTTCGCACTCAAGCGACCATTCCATGCGTGGCGGAAAAAAATCCAAGACCTGAAGGCGGCGGAGAGCCAGGCAGTCACTGTGCGCAACACGAAAACACAAAGATCATCGTTCTGGAACTGGCACTGGTGTTTCTTATATCGACGTGTCGTCGATGTTTCCGACTATCGACTGAAAAGGCGCTCACTTCTGTCTTGGCTTCGAAACTTCCGAACCATTCGAGAGCGTGATCATGAAATTGATCTTCATAATAAGCGATCATCTCTGATGTCGGTGCTTCAAACATGGTCGCAGCACTCTAGAACCATCGTCAGCGCAGAGCAGGAGATTCAGAATTCTCGGCGGCAGCATGACCTTAGGGGAACTTTTGACGAATGGAGAATACAGACTCGTCTGGCACCGCCTGCTTCTCGGGTGTCCCAGATGGTTGACACCAGAATCTTACGAACCGCTCTTTCGAAATGGGTGGACAAAGCTCGAATGATTCAGCAAGCAGAAGATGCAGATCGCTATCGAATCCAGCGCAACTCATGGAACTCATGGAACGATACCCTTCGCTGCCTCGCACTTCGTGCCAGGATTGACGAGCGAATCAAGATGGAGGCCATGTACAAGTGGATCTTAATGGAACGATACGAGTTGATGCGAAGAATACGGGAGCAGCGCATCAAACGAGAAGTCTTCTCTCGATTCATTACAAACACACGCGAAACGTATACTCGTTTACTGTTCCACGCAGAGGCCTATGAGGAACGTCAGGCCGAAGTTACAGTTCAATCCAAATTCGCAATTTGGCGTGAACAAGTGCAGCTTCAGCGCGAGCGAGAATACATTGCATCGGAGTTCTATGCTCCACGGCTAGCAGCCGAGTCTTTGGGAATTTGGCGGGCACGACATCAACAAGTGATTAAAATGGAAGGTTGGGCCCAGGATGCACGTTTCTATTTCTTAATGAAGAGATCAATGAAGCAATGGCAGAAGGCCAAATCAGATTCTGGTAAGAGGCGACGTCAGGAGGCGTATGCAAAAGTGCGACGAATGGTCAAAATCAACATTGCGTCCAAGGCATTGGCCACTTGGGCATCGAAAACCCGGGTCATTTTGGACATGGACCGACAAGCTGCGGAGGTCGATCGAGACAAGCTGCTGGTTGATACGTCTGATATTTTTGCCCAGTGGCATGAGAAAACAAATAAGAGGATACAGGAGGTACAGGATGCCGATGATTCATACTTCCGACAAGTTGCATTCGATCAGCTGATGCAACTGTCCGAAACCTTCATCATACGCCGTGAGATGGAAGATCAAGCAGACAATGTCCATCGCTTGCATGTTCTGCGATCGGCATCTGGTGCACTTCGCAAGCTCAGCCTTCGCATCTTCCAGGTCAGCAACCACGTTGAGACTGCCGAAGCTATGCGCGAGCGAAACCTCCGCAAACACTCGAGAAACATGTTCCGTGACTGGGTGGATAATGCCCGCCTGAAGATTGAAGCTCGTGATTCCGCCGGTCCATCCATGACCCCGGGGCCGATGTCAACGTTTGGGAACGGCGAGGGCGCTGGTTCAGCCTCAGCGATATTTGACCCATGGTCGCAAGATCCTGCGGAAACTCCGTTCAAACTGAGCGACTTCACTGGCACCTCCCAGTCCACTTCTCACGACCCGATCTCTGCAAGCCCCTTGGCAACCCCCAACTTCTCAGCCTCCCCCTCTAAACGAGCAGCCCGAGCGCGCGCCCTTGCTCAAATCTCCACCACCCCCGCCACACCTATGCGCACACCATTCGCCAGCCGTCTTCTTCGCGCCGGGACCACCACTGCTCTCACCACATCCTCCAAACAACCACGAACAGGTCGGCGCAGCTCGGTCGGTACCAGCGTTCGCTTCGTGGACGATGAGCTCCCGGATTCACCGACAGATGGCCGCAAGTCGGCGAACCGGCGGCCTTGATGCCTTTTGTTTCAACCTTGGATATTGCTTTGGTTCCATGTAAATCAGCGGTTCTAGCTTTCCTCTTATTTCCTGTCGATACGTGCGACTGTGTTTTATGCATCATCCGGCGCAACATATAGCGAGTTGAAGGGTTCTGGGTTCTGGGTATATTGATTCTGTATTATTGCCATGATTGAATGTGATGATCAAAAATAAAGCGGACTTTTGTATATGAGTTTAGCGTATTCGTCGTAGATGGGTGAATTTATCAGACTAAGGCTTCGGGCATACCGAGGTCAGATATATAGATGCTTATCGCCTTGAGCTTCCAAGTTGATGACATCGCCCTGATTTTCCAAAGTTGTTTTTTCAAAAACATAACCCAAATGTCTCGGAATACATCTGACTCGCACAACACACCCTCAAATCCGAACAAAAGGAGCAGAACAAAGAACAAGTGTGGCGTGGCTGTGAGGGTCGTCTCACTGAGTGGAGCGGCAGCGTAATTGATCTCCGCCTCCACTACGTGTATTCAGACAATCCCCCCCAGGTCACCCATCCTTCCCCTTACCCACGCCTCTGCCACTCGAATATCCCAGCAATACTTTTCGTGAACCTGGCAATGGTGTAACGTGGCTCTGAGCGCAACGAGCGTCCCACCTTTAAACCAACCGCCTCTATGCGAGCGGTACTGCCGGGCAGACCCCCAGCCAAGCTCCAGTCGTTAAGCACGGCGCTTTGGAATGGTATTCGTGTGGTTGTATGTATCCTGGCAGCCCTATTCCCCGACTGCAGAGCTCTCTCGCTCCACCCAAAGTTCTTGTCCGCTGACTTCGACCCGCGCGCTCAATAGGCATACATCTCCGGCCATGCGCTAGTCATTCTCGGCGGCCCGCAGACGCTCCTCCAAACAATATACGTGGACGATACCGAAAACCTTGAAGCTGTGGTAATAGACGAATCATCTGGGAAGATTGCTGTTTGTGGTGGCCCCGATGTGTTCGTGTACCAGCCATACGGTATCAAGGGTGAAACACTGAAGGTGCGCATATGGCTCACCCAAGCCTGGTCGACCAAGTCCAATGGCATGCGAAGAGACTTGCGACTGATATTAACACATGAGTTGTTTCTAGTGGTCCCTGCTTAATACGTTTCGCGCCTCCGATGACGATGAACCAATCTATACGCTATCATGGGGTTCCGCGAATGAGCTCTTGGTGGGCAATTCCCGACTTGGTCTTTGGTTCATGAATGATGAGCCGCGCCTAGTATGGAAACGAAAGCTTGCGACGCCGGTCAAATTCGCACAATTTTCCCCAGACTCAGCTTTGATTGTTACAGTGGGACGGTATGACCGGCTGGCCAAAGTCTGGCGACGACTCGCCTTTGGCGAAGACGAGGTCCGATTCGAAGTCTCGTATCTGCCCCATCCGAACATTGTCACTGGTATACACTGGCGACTTCCTCGGCATCCCGAGCAATCTATCGATAATGTCCTTTATACATTTTGCGCAGACAATATGATTCGAGTATGGGCTGTGACCGATCACCAGGCGCTTTCCGCGTTACAGCTCTGGGCAGAGATTGACATGGGAGAGTCGGTTCAGCCCAGAGATGCATCAGACCAGCATCACGGTCCGCAGCGGCGGTACGGCTTCATTCTAGATGGGCGTGATTTCTGCGTTGCCACGGAGCGTGCCATACAGCGAACCAGTGGTAACGAGGCGAACCATGCGCTAGAGCACATAATCGAGGTCGCAAGCAAGGCTCCAGAGATCTGCGTTGTCAGCGATGGCCAGGGGCACATGTCTGCCTGGGCATTGGAAGATGTTGGCTCTAAAAAGAAGACCAAACTGAGTGTCTTCAATATTCTGCATGTGGAAGGCTTGGACTTCGGGTTTGCATTTGACCGATCACCACATGAGGACTATGCACAGATTCGCGCGTTCCAGAGTACACCGTCTGCTGACAAGTTGAGTGTCCTGGTCCATCACTTCGATGGCCGAATAGAGTGGTACGATTCTCATGTCGACGTTCTCTTTGATCCGGCACCACGTACGAAACGAATTACCCAACGAGCGTCTTGGTCTGGCCATACTGCCCCCGTGAAAAAGATTGTTCGCAATGCGACTGGCGATACGTTGGTTTCGCGTACCAATGAGAATAAAGCCACTGTGTGGAAACAGCGGCGCCGAAATGGTGGTTCAATAGCACACAAAAGCGTCCTGCTTTCTGATGAACATATTCACCGGACCTGTGTGATTGAAGATTCTGATCTCCTTGTGAATCTCCACCACAACGGAATTTCCCTTTGGGACTTCAGCGTAAATCATGCTAAGAAACTGGCTTTTCTGCCATTCAGTGTGCCTACAAAACCACTGTGTGTCCTACCAATTCCCAGCACCGAAGCGATTCCAGGCGTTGCCTACGTGGCAACCATATGGGCAGATATGCGCGGTATAGTGTGGGAGGTGCGGATGCCCGGTCTGGAAGCTGGAAACACAAGCTCCGAAACCATCGAACGCCACTCACTACGAGAATTCTGTACCTTTGAGATGGGCTTGGATGAAGACGTCGCATACATTCTTCCCGTAGATCCAGCTGGCCTGAAGGCCGAGACGTCAACATTCTTCGATTCATTTTCTACCGACATCGCACTCTCGTACACCTACAGTGGAGTCGTGCGGACATGGACAGCCCGGGTCGACCCAACAAATGTTAAGATTGACTGGCTACTCCAATCGACCGTGGATACAGGGATCACAAATCCGGGGCTAGCAAGTGGGAGCTCTATTCGTAAGGCAGCCTTGGTCGACGAAGACAAAACCCACCTTACGATTTGGGATACCAACAATGCTCAATTGGAGTTTGAGGAACATTTCGCTTCACATGATGTTATTCGGGACCTTGACTGGACTTCCACACCGGACAAGCAGTCGATTCTAGCAGTGGGATTCCCCCACAAGGTGGTCTTGTTGTCGCAGCTTCGCTATGACTACCTAGATTCTCGACCGTCGTGGACGCAAGTTCGGGAGATATGGATTCGAGATCTCACACCCCATCCCATAGGGGACTCCTGCTGGCTTAACAACGGCCATTTGGTCATCGGGGCTGGAAACCAATTATTCGTTTATGACAAGGATATAGATGTTGGAGATCGGCTGGTTTCTGAGCTCCGGATGCCCTCACGAGGACTTTCTTCGGTCGATCTTTTCGATATTGTCAGTCGGCTCAACGGTCCATTACCCGTCTTCCATCCACAATACATAGCACAGTGTATCCTTTCCGGAAAGACCAGCCTGGTGCACTCGATCTTGTTGAACTTACACAAGAAGCTGAAGTTTTACATCGAGGGCGATGAACTGGACGGCTTTCTGGAGATGCCTGTTGAATGCTTCTATGAAGAAGATGTAAGTGTCGAATGCTGTCGTCATTTACTTTATGTTTTTTTCTTGCTTGGAAAACTGACAACCATAGGCTTCACAACAATTGAGTTCAAAGGAGCTGCACTCTTCCTATCTTGATTCTACAGAAGAGGAGTATTCTTCTGTCATAGACGAGAAGACCGCCTCTGCGCTCAATGAATGTTTGGCAAAGATTGCCTTGCCTCAATTGTCAAGCCATGAGCAATTCCGCTTAGCCGATACTATTGAATGTGTCGCTATGGTGGAGAAGCACCGACGGTCGATGGATGATAATGCAGCACGCTATCTTTTGTTCTTCCGACAGCATATGTTGCGAAAGAGCCAAGGAGTTGCCAACAAAGACACCGTATCTTGGCGAGAGATTGTGTGGGCCTATCATAGTAGCAGCCAAGACATCCTCACAGATCTTGTGTCTCGGCAGTTCAATGCAAAACTCACATGGAAGGCAGCTCGCGAAAGCGGTCTTTTCATGTGGCTATCAGACCCGGGAGCTGTGGTACGTATCTGTGAACTTGTCTCACCCATTCCAGTCTAACACTCAGTAGAAAGCCCAACTTGAAATACTGGCTCGGTGTGAATACACCAAGACAGAGGAGAGAAACCCAATCGATTGCACGCTCTATTACATCGCACTAAGGAAGAAGAACGTTCTCCAAGGCCTTTGGCGTATCGCACACTGGAATAAGGAACAGGCAGCTACTCAGCGTCTCCTCGGCAACGACTTTACTGAGCCACGCTGGAAGACATCCGCCTTGAAAAATGCCTATGCTTTACTTGGGAAGCGACGATTTGGTATGCGCACATTGCGTTCTTTGTTGGCCAGGACGGAACTAACCGTTCATAGAGTACGCTGCATCTTTCTTCCTCCTTGCCGACCATCTTCGCGACGCTGCCAATGTCATAACCAACCAGATGGGTGATGTCCAACTTGCGATCGCAATTGCCCGAGCCTACGAGGGTGATGCTGGTCCCGTTCTACGGGAGATTTTAGAAGAAAAGCTTCTTCCCTTGGCGGCTTCCGAGGGCAATCGTTGGATGGCCTCCTGGGCTTTCTGGATGCTAGGACGGCGGGATATGGCAGTGCGGGCGCTGATTGTATGACCTCTCCCCCCTCATTCTCACAAACGTGCTAATAATATCCAGTCACCCGTTGAGTCCCTCTTATCGCCGGGAACTCCTGCGACACCGGGAAGTCCCGGACATGCAAAGCTACAGTCCAAATCATACCTTTCGAACGATCCCGCATTGGTGGTTTTATACCACCAGCTTCGTGCAAAGACCCTCCAAACTCTCAAGGGTGCGTCTAAAGTACACCCAAGAGAAGAGTGGGAATTCGTTTGCCGTAACGCCAGACTCTATGACCGTATGGGGTGTGATCTCCTCGCTCTCGATCTGGTTCGTCACTGGGAATTCCTCGGCGGACTCCCGACCCAGGATACCATGAAGCCGGATACATCCCTTGAAATGAATGATAACGGCGTGGATTACCGGAAATTACTCCGCCGCAGGAGTAGCCTCGTTGTTGCTGATATGCCGGTGCGATTGGCCAGTGCAGTGCAACAGCCTGGGGCACCCGAGGCAGCTGCAGAGGATCCAAAGGAGCAGCAGAAGCCAAAGCAGAAAGCGCCCACTATGTTCCATGAGCCAGATGCCAATTCCTTGCTGGACAGTTTTGGTTTCTAAGCGGGAGGATAAACGGAGGGAGAGATTTACTACTGTTCCAATCATGTCAACGCCTCACGGGCGTTCCCATTAACTCAATCGATCAAGCGGAATTAAGAGAGTATATCAATGACTTTTAATTCATACATAGTATACACAAATGACCTGGCAAATTCATAAACATAAAGATGACCGCTCAAAAACCAATTATTCTGAAACATCTCGTCTAAATGAGACGAGCGACACGATTGCGCAAAACAGACAATCGTCGACGAGCCATCATGGTACGGTCACCCGCCGTGGTGCCATTTGGCGAGGCCAGATTCAAACGAGTGGAATTGTGCTTCCCAGAGACAATCTTTGCAGTTTTGTTCTTCATCAACTCCATCATCTCATGCACAACCTGCTGGCTCTCCGAATGACCAGCATTGTTGATACGACTCTCTTGGAAAGGCTCACGATGGCTGTTCGAAGCCTGGGAGCTCCATGAATTTGAGCTCGAGCCCGGAGTCTGGATGTTGTTGATGTCTTCCACTGAGGTCTGCTTCTCAGTACGCACCGGAGCATCAGGCTGGTTGGTAGGAACACCTTGTTGCGTATCGGCCTGCTTTTGCTCTTCTTTGCTTGGCGTGGGGGGACTTTCATGAAGTGGGCTTTCATCATCGCAGACGAGATTTACCCAGATTTGGCTGTATGCTGCGAATGAACGCTGCTCGCATTGGCTTACTGCGACGCCGTCACGGATCTCTTTGGTGATGAGGGGTGGGTCGATGCATCCTGGGACCTCGTGGATTGTGATGTTGCAGCCGCTGCCGCCTTGTAAGAATGGAAGGTCATGACGGTGTGAGAGAAGCTCTGCATCGACGGAGATTGCGCTGACAAGACTGTGCTCGTATGAGGGGACTGCGATGTTCTTGCAGCTGTTCACTTTGATATCTTCGGATGGGGCGCTTTCTTGATAGTTTTCGTATGTGTCGAGCTTGGAGAAGGCATCGCCTGGACAGTTGGGGTAGAAATGTGTCCAAACCCTAGCGATACTCTCTGCAGAGATTGTGCTGGATAGCAAGGAGAGGGCGAGAAATGAGGTGAGACGAGGCATGTTTGTGAGTGATGATCCGAGCACTAGAGATTGATACTAGGATGTAAGGCTGTGATCTTGATTGGGGAGAGCATGATGGGTCTCAAGGTGTCTTATATACGCATCGATCTCACCATTGACCTTGAAGACCACGTCAAAGAGATGGCGGGGAAGAATGGACGGAATGAGTATCATGTTGAACTTCAAGTGCGCTTGAAACTTCAACGTCATACTCAGGGGCTGGTAAGGACCCTTCACTCTGACTCTTCTGTGAATCCATTGGCCAAATCTACATTCCAGCCCTAATGTGTCGACAAATCGCCGATCTATGACCACGCGTGGTATGCTGACTCCCCCGTACATTCCAGAGAACGGCTGTTCGCCTCTAAGAAGGATCCGCAATGCTCGATTGCGAGAGAACAGCACATGATGATTGGATGTTTGTCTCTTCTAGATGACAGGTGGAAGATAATTGGCTCGAGGTCGGTGAAATCGACTTCTGGAAGCACCTTCATTGGTGATTCTTGACGATCTCCTTGATCGACAGAGCCTGTGGAACAATCCGAGGTGAGCTTGAGTGGTGATTTGGCTCCATTCCATTGTATCTTAATTTCAACAAGATTGCAGGATCAAATATATGACGAGGATATGATTCAATTCATAGAAAACCTTCCGACGGAGTACAGTTGAGATCATCTCCACTACATACTAGTATGACCTCCTTGATGGTCCTCGAGGTCCAAAACACCAAGCCCAGATGTAGATCGCATCTACAACCCCAGCTTGAACCCTCCCCAGCTCAGTGTGGAAAACACCTCCGCTGGGTCATAGGCGGTTTTGATGTTCCTCATTCGCGCTACATTTTCGGCAGGGAAGCCCGCGTACGGATCTTGCCAATCACCAGCGTCGCCCATGTAAACAAACTCGGACGAAATGCCCAACTTTTTGTTGATGTCGTGCAGATGCTCGGTCAACTGACGAGACCAAGCTTCCATGCGGATATCATCCTGGGCCAGGTCCCACCCGGTGCTAAATTGCCAGACTAGAAGAAGGTAGTTAATGATCAAGTCCATATTGGTAAGCCCGAGGGTATCATTAGACTTGACTTACTGATAAGAGGCTCCTCCTCGAGACCCCAGACATTGCCGACGCCATTAGTCTTCGCCACGCGGACGGAAGAAGGAGAGATGACGTTGGTGACAAAGGTCGGATAAAGGCCTTGGACATCGGAGATTTTGTCGACAGCAGCTTTCCACGCCCTGTAGATGGAGTAAAGAACTTTCGCATCAGGCTTCATGGTTCGGTGCGAGAATTGAACTCTGAACATCTGTTTGGGAGAGTCAAGTGTCTTGGCCCACTGCGCAATAGATGTGACATTATTGATTCTCATTGTGGCAGGGACTTTCGTGAAATTGGAAAATTGCGAGGGGGGCTTGCTGACGCCTTCTTGAACACCCAAAAGAGATCCCTGCGCGATTTTAGTGGTGGCATTGTAGGTAACAGTTGCGATCATCCCGGCGGCAATAGGATCTTTATCGTCCAACTTGGCAGCCTCACAGACAGCAGAGAGGTACTGAGGAATGTGAGTCTCATTGAAGACTTGGATGGTGGTGCTGACTTTGGGCACAGCATAAGTCTTGAGCTCGAACTTAGTGACGATGCCGAAATTGTTAGCACCACCCTTCAATGCCCAGAAGAGATCGGCGTGAGATGATTTGTTGACAAAAATTTGTGTGCCATTGCCGAGAACGAGCTCATAGTTGATGACATTGTCCATGGCATATCCGTACTTGTTGTTGAAGTAGTGGAAGCCACCGATCAACGTCAAACCGGGAACACCGATTGTCTTCATACGACCACCGACGCAGACACGACCGTAGGGCTCAAGAGCAGAGTACACTTGGTACCAGTTGAGTCCAGGACCGACCTCTACGCTGCCTTTCTTGACATCAATGGAGTTCAAATTCGACAAGGCAATTAAAACCCCAGCATCAATATTGTTGGAACCCGGATACTGGCAAAGAGTCAATGAAATTTCTCTCGATACCATCAGGACTACTCACGTTCATATGACCTCCACCGCGAACAGCAAATTGCGAATCACAGGCTGTGATAACCTTCAGTGCTTGCGAGACCTCATGAGCAGAGTTAGGCACGAACACGCATGCTGGCGAGAGGTTCGCCCGAATGTCCCAGTATGCATCGACGGTTTGAGTAGTATAATTTGAAGATCCGGGCAAAATCACAGTCCCTGGAATCGATTGGGAGAGCTTTGCACATGCACAAGAAGCGCCCTTCGGGATTTCAAGGGTACCAGAGGATGTGGCGAGAGATCCAGTTAGAGTTGATGAGGCAAGAGCATTGCTGGAGCTGGCATATGCCAACCCAGAAAGGAGCAATCCAGTGTAAGGAAGAAGAAGCATTTTCTGAACAGCCAAATTCATGTCGCCGAGGTTTCAGCAGCGAGGAATTTATTCTTATAGAAGAGAGTGGGCCCTTCACGATTGGTTAGCATTGGAGCGACGATCCGGAAAGGCTTTTTCCCGTCCATCTGAAGCTCGAGTATAGTTTCAGCATCTGTGATGAATACGAAAGAGTCTCGGGTTCGGGTGACGATCATTTCGTGCCCGACCATCAGTGTTGAAAAAGTTGAGTCTGAAGGCAGATGCATTCAAACGCAAAAGATATTTCCCACATAGATGCCTAGATGAATCAGATCCAGCAGTCCTTCACAGGAAGGCCACCTGAAAGTAGGTAGTGTTCATGGACCAGCCCTGTGGATGTTGTCCGAATACGAACCCGAGAGGGTGATCAACCACGATCATTGGACTGTTCATCTCGGGTTCGCATTCGTACCCGAGGGCCGTTCCTTCGTTTTATGTTTGATGTGACTGGCACAAAATTGGGGAAGGAACTTATCCCCGAGAATATTTGAGTACTGGTTGATGTATATTATTTGAGTGGAGGTGTGCTTTGCTGCCTTAGATGCCCCAGAGCTATGTTTATCATAGATAATGCCTTTAAAAGGAGAACGCAGATAGCATTGAATGCTGTTCTGCTAAAATGTTATGAATGATCCACGACCTGCGTCGAGGACATGGGGCACTGGCGCTGAGGCTCAGGGGTAGAGGTGAGAAAACTTGTAGCATGGACCTGACCGGTATCGCGCGCACTTTCTTTCTGTGGCAGCTGCTTTAGTCGATCATATGACTTTTGGATATCCTCAAATATGAGACCCATCATCGAAAACAGGTACTCGTCCCCTGATATTTTGTAGTCGCAAAGCGAAAGATCATTGAAGCGACAGCAGAATACGTCGAGGATACAATCGAAATCAATGGTTTTTCGCGCAACTCTGACATCCCATTCAGGAAGATGGGGAATCCCCACAGTCAGTCTGTATATGATGGTGATGGTATAGATGAGACCCGACCACTGAATGTAGGAGAGGTTATGGTACTCGGATGTTGGGATTGAGAGAAGAGTTCGAACAAATTGCTCAGCTGACTTCAAGCACAGAAAGAGCACTTCCAGATGAATTTGAGATTTGAAAGAAGAGCTTGACGGTTCTGCGTAGTCCGCTGCCTGCCTCATTTTGACAGTAGCCGATATAATGACACCCATCTCGAAGACATGCGCGGCAGCAAGGTCACATATTAGGTTGGCACTAGCCATGACGTCTGAGAAGAATTAGCGCTGGATCAATGTAAATGTTGAATAATCGAGCCTACCTGATTGTTCAGATGTGAGTGGAAGTGACTGCTTCCACTCTGAAAGTTCAGCTTGGAACGATTGAACTTTGGTTTCCAGGTTCAGACCACCTATGTGGTCAAGCGTTGTGTTATCAACAGCTGTAAAGTTGTAGTGATTGACCTCGGCCAAATGTTGAAGTTGGATCAGTGGCAAAAGCAATGCATCTGTTGAACGCTCTAAATCTTCGCCCAATGACCTTGCACATTCAACCATATAGCTTTGGAATCGGATGCCGTTCGTCTTCATTGTAGCCCAGCAGGTGCTAAAGTTGGTAGCATCAATCAGCCATGAGGCCACCAGAAGGCTGATATATTAAACTGTTCATGTATCCCAGTGAGAAGACTTACACACTCGATATGTAGAAGCATCCCAAGTATGCTCGACGTGCCTCACGACTGAAGAATTCGTCATGATCCGCTGTAAGGACACCGGCTTTGCGGTAGTGAGCCAGTCGAAGCGTTGCCTTTTTCTTCATTGCTTCGGCGGGTCTAAGGTTCAGGCCCATGTCATCAATCATTCCAATTGCGATGTGCAGCAACTGATTGAACTGATCGTTGCTGGGGACATAATGAAACTGATACCTAATGGCGCTGTTGTTAGCTGAGCTGGAAGTGAAAAAGAAAAGGAAGCTGTCACCCAGCCCAATGTTACTCACCAGGCTAAATAGATGAGGATTCCATTGAGAAGATCTAAGCTCCTTTCATTCTCAATCATGATAGCGTGGAGAGCGCATGTTCTAAACTTTTCGCCAAGTGATTTCTGTAACCTCCTGTCCGCGGAAGCTGCTGCCGTCAATGCTGCCACCAGGGCAAAAGGCCGATTTTTACACAAATCCAATATCGTAGCGTCACTGTCGAGTGCAACAAATGGAAAGTAAGATGTCATGGTGTGGAATTGCTTGAGGAATCTCTCAGCGGTATCGATAGAGAGGCCACACTCAAGCAAAACCATTGTGCAGGAAGTGCCGTGGATTCTGGGAAGACCACCCCAGTCATTGATTGACGCATCGGCAGGATTCGAACTCGTGCAGCTACTCTGACCCCTGATAGTTGACCCTCGTTCTCCGCGGGAGGATGACGACGAGGAGGTAGGAGCTTCGCTCTCTGTGGATTCATCCAGTGGCTGCGAGAAGCCTTGTGACCGACATAGGTGGGATTGACTGGCTAATGCAAGCAAGTCATCAACTTTTGACTCCAATGCACAAATTCGGGCCTTTGAGCCACTTTTTGGCCTGGCTTGGCGTTGGCGAGGTGGTCGCTCCAGAAAAACACAGGGCCTTTTCGACTTCGCACATTTTTGGCATGTATTTGGCTCCGAGCTAGGCAGACATCGGACCTTCAGTGAGCGGCATACTTCGCAAGCTTGAGAGGTCTTGTGGGGCCCCATCGAGACTAGTCCTGATAGAGAGAAGCATGCGATGTCAAGGTTAAGGTAGGTCAAGCCTCAGCTCGCAGAGTTGTGCAACCTGAGAGAGCCAAAAACCATCGGCGTCCATTCACACCTCCGAAGGACGGAGCGGAACTCGCGATTTTGACCTCCGATCCGCGATTTTTGATGACTCAGCTGCATTTTGACGCCAAGGGTGAGATGCAGGGGAGCGGAACACATCACGTTTCTTCATCCGCTCCGTGATGGCCACTGTGATGGGAATCAGTAGCTGATCAGGATGGGAAAGGGGAAGCCGTCAATGGGGCCTTGACGCGCCTATAAAGTCGGCCTCAAGTGCTGGCTCTTTCCCTACTTCATCATCTTCGCTCTCATCTTTGCTTTCATCTCTCTACGATCAGATCATCCACCATGGCGCCCATCCAATTTGGCATTATTATGATACCATTCCAGCTTACAGATGTTGCTGGGCCTGTGGATATCCTATCCAGCGCCTCAACACCTTATCTGGAAGAATTTGGCCGCCCAGACCTAGCGCAGCGTGGCATTGACATCGAATTCCACTACATTGGCAATGAGCCTGTCACCCATTCTGCGGGTTTCAGATCCCAACCTACAACCACCACGGCCGACTGTCCCAAGCTTGACTATCTCCTCATCGGCGGACCCTCGCCGAAATATATCCAAGAGATCCCACCAGCCATAGCGAGCTTTGTGCGCGAACGCAGCGCCGAGGTCAAGAACGTGTTCACCACCTGCACTGGTGGGATGTTTGCGTCCGCACTGGGCCTACTCGATGGCCTGAATGCCACGACAAACCACGAGGCCATCGCACTTGCCAAGGACCTTGCCCCGAATGTCAAGTGGACAACAGAGAAGAACTGGGTCATTGATGGCAAGTTTTGGACTGCGGGTGGCGCATGCGCTGGCATGGATATGATGGCTCACTGGGTCATGGAGAACTACGACAAAGATGTGGCTCAAGCCGGGTTCGCAGCTCTTGCGTATGAGCCGCGTGATGTGGATGGAAAGCAGGTCCCGAGAGCATGCTGAAAAACACACTAGCTGCATGGGCTCCGTGGATCGAGCGAGGTCAACATAGATAGAAGGGGAGAAAGGATCAGGACCAAATTGACCAACCTTCCACGTGACTGTAGTACTGTAACTATGTACTTCCATTACAGCGATACGGCCCCGGGGTGTTTAGAATTGGATAGTCTTCCGACTGCAAACCTTCACATTTCATCCCTCTTCGTGGAGGCTAGTTTCCAACAGTGTCAGAATGACAAAAAGGCTGCCTCTCAGTTGTGAGAACTGTCGACGTAGAAAGATACGTTGTTTCGGATCTGGTGTACCATGTGACACCTGTCGAAAGCGTGGAGTGGCATCGACTTGTCAGTTCAAGCGCGATGTTACTCAACATCCCCCGCCTGGACCACAGCAGGGCCAAGAGCTTCTTCTCAAGCGGATAGCAGATCTAGAAAGCCTGCTACAGAAAAATATCGAATTGACCACGGCCTCCAACGCTCAGCATAGCCACACTCTCCGTTCGCCCGTTTCCGAGGATTCCATCGTTTCGATACAGGATGAGCTGTCTGGACTCCCCTTCTCCACCTTGACGAATGGTCATACTCCCACTCGCAGTATCACCCGAAATAGACATGGCGAAGTTGGAAGCATCATCGCGTCCTCATCGGGCCATGTGCGATACGTTCCTTACAGCACCTCTCGCAATCCGGACGTTTTCCATTCCCTCCAAAGTCAATGTCAACAGGAGCCTCCGCCCGGCGGACTGCTTTTCTCTGACACGATTCCCTGTAGGCAGTCACTTCTAGATATGCTACCACCGTTTCGCCATTGCGACGAACTCATCACCACATTCCTCAATGTGTTTTCTCCCCTCTTCCACATTCTACACGATGAAGTCTTCCAGTCAAATTATCTCCAACTCAAGCAAGACCCTCAACAAGCTCCGCTATCTTTCATCGGTTTAGTATTCGTCGCTTTGGGGCTGGGAGTTAGTGCCATCGATAAAGAGAGTTTTGTCCTGGCAGACTTAGGCCGAGAGGCTTCCCCCGCCGAGAGTGCGAAGTCATTGGCAGCAAAATACCGACAAGCGGCGATGAAGTGTCTGGCCGCTGATAATTTCATGTGGCAACACAATTTACATACTGTGCAATGTCTCGTCTTGCTTATATATGCCATTAACCATGCCCAGGGACCGGCTTGGAGTCTCCTTGGAACGACTCTCAATATTGCCATCGCGATTGGCTGCCATATTGATCCTGAAATTCTGAAATTACATCCCATCGAGGTTCAAGAAAGGCGACGGGCCTGGGCGGCGTTAATGATGCTCTACACAATCCAGAATTCCTGCTTGGGAAACTTGGCTCCATTTGCGGTGGAGAATAGTGTTCAACTGCCAGCGGATGTGGAAGACAATGAGATTTTCCCAAGCTCATTTCATGAAGGCTTGAACGAAACGGACCCGCCACTGGCCCCCAAAGGCCCGACGAAGATGTCTTATCTTTTGTTCAAATTCCGCTTGTATCACTTGGCTTCTGATATATGCAACATTAACACCAATTCCTTGGACAAGATCAAAGTGTTGGATGATCAGATTGAGGCTGAAGTGCAAGCACAAGCACAGCGATTCTCGGAGCAACGTGATCTGCCTACGTGTCACCAGGCACATTCATTGATTTTGAATAATTACACCAACCACCTCATCCTGCTCCTGCATCGAATCTGGCTCTTGAAGCCAGAAAGACTCGAGGATGGGGGTCGCACAGCAAGTTACGAAAAGTGCGAACAAGCTGCTCTTGCCATCCTTTCAAACTTTGATATCCTGAATTCGCGCCATGATCTGAGACCCTATAGCTGGTATGCCCATGGCCTTGGAGCATTTCACGCATTCTTAGCAATATCTACGCTACTAGTTCTACTAGGAAAGCCCCGCGCCACACAAACCCCACGACACCTCATATGGCATGCTGTTCAAACTTGTTATCAGCGATTCCACGACATTTCTTCATGCAGCGATATATGCAATCGAGCCTGTTTGATACTGGATCCTTTGGTCTCCAAAGAGGAGTTCTCTCTCACCCAGTTCCGTGCATTCTCGGACGGTGGGACTGACCGGGGAAGCACAAGTGTCAGACCGACTAGCACCATAACGATGGACCAAAGCGACCAATCTGACAGCTTTGACTCGAGCCTTTGGTCATTACCGGAAAGTTTCGAGGACATTGTATCCAAGATTCCATGTGAGCAGTGGCTTTCTCCGGCGGGATTTCCGTGGGCAGATCAATGCCCTTTGGATGAAACATATCATGACAGCATCATTTGATCACAGAGACGACAGTAAATTTGCAGATAAACCCCCTCTTCCATGTATCTATTGGTCTCCAGGGCTTTGAATACTCAATATTTGCCCCTTGCGAACCTTCACTTTCAGACAGACAACGAATCTACGATTATCATAGTGCCATACTCCAGGACGCCCCTTGTTTCCAAACTTCCCGAAGTCGTTATGATTGAGACAATATCAAACTTGGAACGACTCTTCAAACTTCCGCAAGAAAAAGCTTTCTATCATTATGTTTGTCTCATTTCCATCTATGAACAAAATTGGTGATAAGTACACGGAGTCGCAAAGCGATTACATCTGCGCCAGAACTGCATTCACAGTTCGATCAACATCTTCAAACAGATGCCAATGCCCCACATCCTTGAGTATCTCAACATGTCCACTTCCCGACATCTCAGAGTACTTTTGGCACAAGGCTGGCGGGCTGACCTTATCCTCTTCGCCCGTCACAAAAGAAACAGGAATGCGGAGAAGCTTGAGATCCAAGGTCTCAGCAGCAGATCCAGCAAGTGCCGTACATGCCTTGGCATATCCCTCAGCATCTTGACTGAGAAGCGAAGTGCGAACAGCAGCAACACTTAATGGTTTATTCTGTTGGACATAGGCCGAAGTTCCAGCCTGCGTGACTGCATCTACAACCGCCAACATTCCTTGCTTCCGCACAAGGGCCGCTCGAGCATAGGAGCCTTGGCTGCCTGCTTCTGGAAGTGGGCTCGGGGGAGGACCCATGAGGATGAGCTTGGACACAAGTTCAGTATGTGCCAGGGCAAGCTTCAGAGCCACGAGACAGCCCATTGAGTGAGCGACCACGGTCACGCCCTCACGAACCCCAGCCACCTTGGACATTTGGTAAAAGTCTTTAGCGAAAGAGGCAATGGAGAGGGTGCTGAGTGCTGATGTTGGGGAAAGACCATGTCCTTCCAGATCTAGAAGATGCAATGAATGTGTCGACTGCAGCTTTGTCACAAGGGGATGGAAATAAGTTGTTGAGCCGCCCAGTCCGTGAATGAAGAAGACCGGAGGCCCATTTTCGAGGCCCAGTCGTTGATAGAAGAGGTTCTTGCCGTTCACGTTTGTCAATCCCGAGCCAGCGGGCGCCTTGAGATTGGAAATGGGAATGTGTGATTGTGCGCGCTCAATGGTGGTGTTGGCTGCGTCGATGGCAGCAACGCGGTTTTTCAAAGTTCCAAGTCCTGTCACGGAGATGCTGATCTCGTCTCCGGTCTTCAGGAACTTCATAGGTCTGAACCCGAATCCCACACCTGCAGGGGTACCGGTGGCTATAACGTCGCCGACTTGCAAAGTCTGACCGGCACTGATGGTGGCAATAAGATTCGGCACACTGAAGATCAGGTCACTCAGGTTGGCCTCCTGACGCTTTTCTTCATTGACGAAGGTCTGAATCGTCAGGTCCTGCGGGAGACTTTCCTTTGGCACGGCAACAGGACCAATCGGACAAAAGGTATCGGGTGATTTGCCGAGGAAAAATTGCTTGTGGTCACGCTGGCGCTCTCGTGCAGTCATATCGTTGATGATGGTATAACCCCACACATGATCCAATGCGTTCTCCTCTGTGATTTGGAAACCTGGCTTGCCCAAGATGACACCGATCTCTCCCTCATAGTCGGCCGTACTCGTGAAGTCCGAGTGCAGCAGAATCGGGTCTTCGGGACCAATTATGGAAGTGGCACGCTTAGTGAAGATGACAGGGTGTGTCGGTTGGTCAATCTTGTCACTGGCATCATAGCCCGAGGAATTGAACTCGCGAGCATGCTCAACATAGTTTTTCCCGACTGCAAGCACATCGCGGCCCGAAATCGGGGGCAGGTGTTTCACGCTGGAAAGAGGTAAAGGCTGCTCGCCGGATGCTGTGATCCCCTGTTCGCCGACCACAATCACTTGATAGAGATTCGACAAAGGAGTCCCCGACTTGAAGGACAGAGGGGTTATAGTCGCGCCATCGAAGTCGAGATGGCCGATTCGAGGGCCCCTGTTCGGCTCCAGGTATGCCACATAGTTGGTGAGTGTTCTAACTTCGTCGGTAGACATTTTCGGACGCTTGATGAGGTTCAAGAGTTTTGGTCTGTTCATGAACTATTTGAAATTAACATGCTTCTTTTTTATATCACACAAGTCGTTTTATCCACAGGGGGCGATGGATTTTGTTTCTGCCCCTCTATCGGAGATCTGTGGCGTGATTGATTCTTCACGGCGGACCTCCGCGGTTCTCCGCGATCCCCGCATCGGCGTTGATCACCTAGCCCATGTCGACCAATTCAATATCAATTGGGGTTTGGGTTTATGTGCTCGGGTTATGACGAGCGGACCGAAATCCTGTAGATATGACCCTGTGGTGAATGCAGATGAGGTTCTATTGTCGGAATTGCAAATACACTACTTTGGTGTCAGGATCGTAGGACTTGTCACATCTCTTTCACTTCATATTGCCCAGTGGGACCCGGGAGAATTTTGAGTACGAAGGGTATAGGCGAGAAGTGTGTAATACATGAATTTCATATCTATTCACAATATAGAATTTCAAACAGACTATCGGTTCTTCCAGGATCCAAAGTATCTCGGTGGCTCTTTAAATCGGTTATCTATTCCTTGCGTTCGGCCAACACGCAATGGCCGTCCCCATTGATTCATCACAGCCTTAGAATGAAAGCGCCAAAATTGCCAGGAGCAATCTTCCCCAACGAAACTGCGGATGACTGTGTCGCCTCCTGGATGCTCTTCGATGAAGTTGGTACAGTCGTAGACAATATTTTCCACAACAATCCAAGCATAACCTCGGTTCTGCGAGAACAGTAACCGCTGATCTCGAACCACTGCGGGCGGAATGAAGGGCAAAGCATCATCGGGAACAGATGAGTCCTGGAGTGGATAGGCAAAGGAACCTGGCTTATCGTAGATATCTCCGACGCGCTCGATGTGTTCGAAGTGCTCAGTGGAGGCTTTCAAATCAGTGACTTCTGTATGCACCTGATGAGAAAAACTTGGCTCGTGAAGTCGGCTCGGTAGACTAAGCCAGCCCATAGTGATGAGGCGATAGTTGCAAGGTCGATCTTGCATGTTCACAGAAATACCCGTCTCCCCCGAGTTGCGGAGAAGCGCGGAGTGATGGGCGTGGTCCGCGAATCCAAAAAGGGGCGAAGTACCTTTGATTGGTGCCCACTTCTCAATATTGGAACTCGTGGGGGAACCATAGTGTTGGCCCCCGGGGCCATAGACACGAATCACTTGTCAGTGATTGAAATTGATATAAGATGCTGGCACACGTCTTTGGCACTTCCGACAACAAAACATTGCTGATTCATAATACATGAGCTGCCATACTTCACTTCACCATGACGAAGATCTCGTGGATCTCACCAGACTACCCCATCGAGAAGTATGAAGGACCACCCCGCAACATTGCGTCAATTGACCAGCTTGACTTCGACTCGAACCTTCAACCCGTGAACTATGAGATCGCAGGCACAGCCTCATCCTCGAGGATTCTTATCTCAGATGTCGAAATTCTAGAAGCGACAGGCCGGGAGCTTTACAGGGGAGACGTCCTCATCACAGGTACTTTACCAAGCTTCAGGCTTTGTCTCCAAATATGCACCATGAAGCATGGCTGACGATATTCTGTATAGGCGAGAGATTTACTCACGTAGGCACCGTGCCCAATAAAGACGAGCTACTCGCAGATCCCAGTGTGCGTATTTTCCATGGAAAGGGCAGGACATTAATGCCAGGCCTGGGGGATTCCCATACGCATTTCACCTGGAACGGGGGAGACTTAGATCGACTAGGTACTCTTGGCGTCGAAGAGCATACGCTTCTGACTGCGAGAAGCGCCGAATGCTTTCTAGACTCCGGATACACAATGTGTTTCGGGGCTGCATCAGCTAAAAAACGTCTGGATATCGTGATTCGGAACGCGATCAACGCAGGAGATATTCCGGGCCCTCGTTTCCTGGCTAATGGCCAAGAAATGGCACGGAGAGGAGGCGAGCTCGTAGGATCAATCACTGCCTACGCAGATGGCGTTGATGAAATGAGAGAGGTGTATGTTTCCATGTCATATATCAGAGATATGAACCCGATCCATCGCTAACCAGAAACCAGGATCCGAGAGCATATCGAGCTGGGCGTGGATCAAGTGAAACTGTCAATGTCTGGAGAATCGGTAGGACCGCAGCACAATATCGCCAGCACACAGTGCTAACAACCTTTTACTAGATCACAGAAATCCGAGATGCAGAAGATTGTTACTTCACCCCAGAGGAGACAGCAGCATGTGTCGATCAGGCTCACAAACTCAAGAAGCGGGTTTGCTCGCACGCACGAGCCCGAGACTCCGTTCAGCAGAGTATTGATTCTGGAGTCGATGTGATATACCATGCATCATACATCGATGAGAAAGGTACTTTGCTTGCGAGATCTCTGCTTATACAATATAGCAAACTAACCACGACAGGAATGGACGCACTCGAAAAGAACCGATCTAAGCATGTAGTAGCACCCGCCATCAACTGGTTGATAGCCACCCTCTACGATTCCGCCATGTTCGGCTATTCCACAGAGGCGGCTGAAAAAGTGGGATACCTCAAGGAGCTTAATGCTGCCGAGCGTGCGATGCGGGAGATGCATCGAAGAGGAATTGTGGTCCTCCCTGGGGGGTAAGTTTTGCATGTGGCCTCTTGTGGGTAGAGAACTAGAATACAGATCTCTGACAACCTGATTCTAGCGATTATGGATTTGCCTGGACTCCACACGGCACTTACGCGCGTGATCTCGCTCATTTTGTGGATCGCCTGGGCTTCACACCACATGAAGCTATTATTGCAGCGACGTTCGGTATGGCCAAGCTGTTCATGCGCTCTGGTGAAATGGGCCAGATCAAAGAAGGTAATTATGCAGACTGTCTCGTGGTCGACGGAAATCCACTCGAGGACATCACTATTCTACAAAATCACGATCTGTTGAACATAATCTTGATTAACGGTCGTGTCCACAAGGCACTGGCGAAAGAGTATGTCTTTCCCATGGAGGAAATGAGGAATATCGACTCTGTGACGAGCAAAATGGTTCAGTTGGTGTGGTGAACACCGGTCAGGTGACCATGTTTACCCCAGATATATAGCTCGCTCTCTCCCTCCGTTTGCTTTTCCCTTCATCATCTATCTGAGTGGAATCCATCAACTATCTCTGTCTTCTTACTTCCACCAGTAGCTGGCTCATCAGGTTATGAGACTCCTTCTGCTTCTCTTTCAACGCTATCGTTAGAAATTGAAGCTGCTTTCCTCTTTGGGTAGGCCCGCGCGCCGTTTGACCCGTCAGATACCCCGCCAACACAACAATCAACGCCCGCTTTCAGAACCTGTTTCTTGCCCCAGTCATGACTGATCCTGCTGTCCTTCCTCCCGCCCGGCACAAGCCCAACGCAGCTGACAGCTGGGCCGGTGTTATCAATTCGTTCATTTCGGAATCTTCAGAAATCACTCAGGACTTTGGTCTGCCTGCAAGGAATTTAATCAAACTTTAACCCATCAAGCCGAGCAGGTCAGAAAGGCAGGCTCTGTCATAGGCATCAAAGCACTCGAAGTGAATGGACTTCATCGACTGGTCGGCTTCGAGTACCCCCGTGTATCCTCAAGCTCGATGTTGATTGAGTTGACTCCCCCTGCAGTACTTGAGGTCTACTCAGAATGGCTCACCGGATCTTGGCCTGCCAGTGGGCTATCATAAGTGGTCCTCAAGTACTGCGAGGGGGGTTAAGCCAATCAAACTCGAGCTTGAGTTTGCTGTTGGACGGGGGTACCCGAAGTTAATAGACCTCACCGACTGGTCGACACCGGGTGTCTCCGTCTAACGTGACGGCATCAATGACGAGACTTACGGCCATGACTACGTTCCCCACATCACTGAGACTCCAGTACCCCCGGCCCCCGCCATCAATGGTCCTTCAAGCCCCACAAACGTGACGTTTCTTCGGGTCCCAGAAGTCAAGCCCGCAGCCTCATTCGTCGCGCAGCCCCCATAAGGTCACGCTTACATGCCATCGTATGGATGACATCTTTATCCCGGTGGCAACAATGAAATCCTCGCAATCATCGAGGAACCGCATGTAGGCTGGGTCTTTGGTGGTGCCAGTCTCACCCCCGCTGCGTTGACTGCGCTCGAGAGTTGCTGCCGCAACAACTTCGGCAATGCAGCAATGGACCAGGCCGCCAAGATTCAGGCCTTTGCTGTGACCTGAGTGCAGCAGCTTGCCGGAGGTCTTGCAGGCCAGTACGGTCCTGCCGATAGGGCCAATTCTGCCGTAGTGCTTGCCGGCTTCAGGAACACTTTCAGCTATAACGATGACTGGAAGTTCAGTCTTCCCTGTCTCGAGCTCTGCGTTGACACCTCAGACCTCGCTGGCATCCACATTGTCAACATCAAGTTTGGGTTCCAGTCCCGCCTCAACCAGATGAACAGGCGCCAGCGACTTACGCACTACATCAGCAAGATGCACACCGCTGACCTCCTCGCATGTGCTGAGCACAAGGTATGGCCCGACGAGCTCGATACTGGCGGGTACCTGTAAAGCAAACCCGCCACTCTCATGCCCTGGGGTCTACAACCGTCCGACTATCTCCTCAATGGCCGACGCCTCTATCTCGCCCCTTCTAACTGGCAGACACCCGAGGACGTGGGCCGCTTCTGAGGCACCGACCACAGGACTGCATTCTACAACTACAGCAACACTGGTACCTGGCGCACCAACGACTCGAACCATGCCGCTCTCAACAGTGCGGATACCATTCTTGCAGGTGTCGACAGTGCGATGCATAATGCACGGTCACGGGGCAGTTCTATCGCGTGGTGTCTCCTGCCCTCAATCCTCTTGTCGCTGTCCAGTCCCTGACCGGCCGGATCGCGCCTCTGGCAGTGTCCCCCCATAGTCTCCGACAACATGTCATTTGTCGATGTGCTCATTTCCAACGGTCCTGGTGCTCGCACGTTGGGCCACGCTCACAATGCGTCGATCGATGTCATGATTGCGCGTTAGTGTCCCTGTTCCAGTGTCCTATTATCCTATACTCTGATCCTGAGGAAGAAGACTCCGGGCAACAGACAAACACCGCGAAACCCCGGGATAGTGGTTTTTTTATGAAGGCCATTCGTACGGATGCACGATTCTGCTGTTATAATGGTAGGCCGGTATAATGACCATTATGGAAAAAACACTACCCAGGGGGTTTCGCGGTCTTTGTCTGTTGCCGTGTGCCGTTCCCATCCTGAGTTATGGCGTTCTCGGGCTTCTTGTTTTCACCAGTATCTAGGTAGCTGTCTCATCGGTTGGAAGTTAACGCATGAGTGTTTTCCTAACCGCGGGTGTATAAAGGGGCCCTGAGTGACATCAGCCCACATACATGACATGATAACAGGCCTTTTCTCTTCCAATTTTATGGTATCTTTCATGTTTATCTTACATAAGTCATGACCTTGGGTGTCTTAGGGCTTTTTCCAAAATTTTTTTTTTTTTAAAAAAAAAAAAAAGATTCGTAGTTGATCGGATATGGTATGTAGCACGTACAGTTCAACACAGGCAGTTGGAGATTCACTTTATCTAGTACATCGCTGCATAACAAAACGATCAGGATACTAGATATATTTTAACCAGGTGGTGGACAACAGATAGATATCTAGTAGGTTTCGATAAGGGAAAGAGCTATCTACCTAGGTAGGAATTTCTGGGAATAGACATAGAGGGCCACATGCGGTGGGGTGCCAGGTGGGCCGTTGGGTAGAACGCGCTCCGGGGCTGGACTCTCCAAGTGTCACTTCTCCGAGGTCAGGCTTCGTCCGTACGAACATATAACAGAACGCTGCGTACCTAGTACTTCCGTGGGATGTCTTGTCTTGTTTTTACCTAGGTAGTTACTTTCTTTTTCTTCCAATGATTCTAGTGGACTGCCGGACTCTAGCCATGTTTCCCATATCGTTGCGAACAAGGAAAGACCACTAGCGTTGCGTGCTCCACCTCCGCCGGAGTTCCATCGGGGCTCCGGCATGGTCAGACCAGAATTGTGTGGCCATTTATTCGCGCGATACACCGTAGAAGCCACACGCATCCGGGTCACAACCTCGATCAAATGCTTACCCTGAACTCGTGATCGCTTTGGCCAGTGATGTATGGTGCTGGCCGGGGCTCTGACCCCATTCGTGGCTAGCGCAGCGAGATAGCCGAAGTGGCGTTGGCAATTAGGCCGACGTTGCATCCCAGGGGTGGTGCTCGCTAAAGCTTAACTGAGTCAAGCTTCAAATTCCAAGAACTTAGCTGAAGTTAACATTGGCTCCCAGCCAGTCAGAATCCAGCCTTGGAAGGAGTGACCAATTACATGCTCCAAGATTAATCTACCCCCAAGCATGTGGCCAATCAACTTCTGAGTTTCCATATCTTCGCCATTGGAGTCCGATATAAGGCTATCGTCTAGTTTCATTTAAACCACGCCCGCTTGGACCCGTGCGGCAAACACCGATGAACCAGTTATAATTCTTACAATTGGATTACGACTCGATACCAAGGCCGTTAGATGGCGCCTCTATTGCTTGTTTTCCCTGCAGCTCTTCAACCCATGACAGTTCTTGTTTTCGCTCCATAGAGTGGAACACGCGCAGATAATCGTATGCCAGGTAAGAACACGATGAGCTTACTGGTCGCTGCCGAGCATCCACTTCAGAAATAGATTATTTGCTACGATGATAGTACCAGAAGGAATTCGGCAATGACCTGGGACCGTACAGAACTGTAACGTAGGAATGAATTATTGGACTTGCCTCTCCCCACACTGTCTCAGCTGCCTTCGAGCATAAGTATTCCCGCTTTGCCCTACTTCCGTTTTCTCTGGTTATCTGGCTTTGAATCATATCGCAAAACCAGCTGCTACACCCTACGTGATGTCTACGTTTCCAGGGCCCATGGCCGTCACAGCTCCGACAGAGCAGATACGGGAGACCGTAGCATCCCCCGAAGAGACACGCAAGATGACCGAAGACGGGGCCCATCCAGGCATACGCCAACGTCAATGGGGTCTGGAAGCTCGCCTCGACCCAACCGTCACTTTCGAGGAGTACACTTACTGGGCCAAAATCGAACGGGAATTGGAGGACGAAGACCGCCACATACACCAGACTGTTGAATCGGGCGGACCATTGGGATACATCAAGAGCTATTTCACCAAGAACGCTTACGAAGATGCCAAAGTCCACGACTCGCGTGAGCTACAAATTCACGAGGAATCATCCAAGTGGAATGAAAAGCAGGCAGCTGTAGCTTCTGACAGCGACAAGGGCACCCTCGGCCCCATCCCGCCTTCTAATACCCACGATCTCGACGCCGAATGGCGAACCGCCGCCAGAGCCCTCCGCAATGCTGGCTGGGGTGCGATATTTTACCTGATCACAACGGATATCCTGGGCTGGAGTCAAACACCCTATGTATTTGCCAATACTGGGTACGGGTTGGGTGTTGGAATTTTCCTCCTGATGGGAATTGCAGCATTTGCGTCCGGAATCATGATCTGGCGGACCTTCCTTGGTCTTGACTCGGCTCGATATCCGATCATGAGTTTTGGCGATCCCTTCTTCCGTCTCTACGGTCCGAAGATGCGACATTTTATCAACTTCATGCAATCCTTGCAACAATTCTTGAGTGTTGCTGTCCTCTGCCTTGGTAACACGGGTATCATTGCCCAGCTGGCTGGAAGCGTGAACCTTTGCTACATCGTTTGCGCTGTCATCTCTCTGGTCGTCGGTATGGCGAGTGGATATATGCGATCGCTCAAACATCTTGGCTGGTTCTGCAATTTTTCAGTGTGGATCAATATTGTTACTTTCATCATTATGTGAGTACCTTCTAGATTTTGATGAGTGTCTGCTAAACTTGCTCATCTCTAGTTGTGTTGCTGCAGCAAAGCATGGACCCGACCCTACAGCGGCTGTCAACAATGGAATCCTGCCCAAGGCGTGGGCCAACGCAGCTACAATGGCGCCAGTCAAGACATTCATTGACACCCCTCCCGCTGAATATCAGCCTACAGACAGCAATCTCTTTGCAGCCCAGTTCAATGGAATTAACAGCATGGTTTGTAAGTCGTATACTAGTATTCACACCCTAAAGGCTCATATTACTGACGCTTTTGACCAGACGCATACTCCGGGGCTGTCCTGTTTGTTGCTTTCTTGTCAGAAATGCGACGCCCCAATGACTTCTGGAAAGGACTACTTGTGGCGCAGACTTTCATCACAGTTGTATACATCTTTTTCGGAGCTTTTGTAAGTTAAGCTGCGAGTCATGAAGCATGGAGCATATGTTCGAAAGACTAACTTCTTCACAGATCTATAACTACTACGGGCAGTATAGTTATAGCAACGTCAATCAGTCTGTGAACCCCCAGAACCTCCAGATTGTCGGCAACGTGCTTTCGCTCTTAACCGGCTGGCTCGCCATTTGTAAGACTACCCACTCTCCCGAGGTCTTGAGTCGACAAATGACCGCAAGCTAACACAGAAAAACTAGTCCTCTACTTCAACGTCGGCATGAAAACTATCTACCTCGAAGTAGGCCAAGAGATTTTCAAACTTCCCCCGATCGCATCGAAGAAGGGCAAGTTCTGCTGGTGGGGCCTCGGTCCAGTCTACTGGATCGTTGCCTTCGTTGTGTCCATGTCCGTTCCAGAATTCAGCGCCTTCACCAACTTTGTTGGCGGACTATTCGGCTTGAACTTTACATACTCCTTCTCAGGAATCATGTATCTGGCTTACAAGATCCAAGACGGTGCCCGACTGCCCGGCGAAGGCTTTGATCCCGCGACTGGAGAAACCACCCGATTCGATTCCGGCATCAAGAGGTGGATTCGAGGATTCATGAAGACTTGGTACATCAGCGTGCCTGTTTTCATCTTCACTGGTAGTGGTCTTGCTGCATCTGGTATGGGAACTTGGGCTGCTGTGTCTGCCCTTGAAGCGGCTTTCGGTCCTGGCGGCTCGGTCGTGACTTCCTGGACATGCGTGAACCCGTACTATAGTGGATAGAGGCGACATGTGGTGAGATCTGGACTTGCACAATAGGCCGCGTTGGGCCCGAGACCACGGCCGCGAGCCCGGTCGCGACCCCACTGCTGGGCCCCCAATAGCCAGAAAAGCCTTGTGGGCTTCGGCCCAGAGCCCGACCCGGCCCGGCCCAGTACGCTTTCATATCTTATTTCAATAATTTCATCTTTGCAGCTATCTTCATGTTTCTAAATTTGATCCGCAGAGCCTCTGCCTATCTTTTACCCCAGGTTTATCCCACGGCCCATAGAGCCAACATTTATTCCCAGCTCAGCGAGATCAATAAAGAAGGGGTTCAACAATATAATTGCATGGACAGTGATTGCCTAGGCTTTCGAGAGCTCAGAGCCTAGATTGAAGCTAGTTAGTAAAAATAGAACGCTTTGAACAAGCCATTTCACGCCCCGGGGCCTGGACCCTAGTGTATGAAGCGGATCTACTCCGTCCGGGGTATTGTTCTGGTTAATGACCACATGGGGCTATGGGATTTCCATCTGAGACTCCGATTTGTGGTGTGCAGTGTAGATGGCTGCGTCACAATGGTTTATGAGAATCGGAAGGGCAAAGACCTTACAGCTAACAGGTCGTTGCCTATGCCCGGAAAGGGTGAGTGCAGGCACCAATATCGGCTGATAGCGCCAAATGATGACCTGCGGGCAAAGATAGAAAGAAAATGATAGGACCAGAAGATCTTGATTAGGTATATTGTCGGATCTGGGCCGCACGATCAAAACTCATAGTTGCATCGTTTCCTCATAGCCCTCATTTTCACCCTTGCCATTGCCCAGAATCTCAGCAGGGTGGTAGATGTTCTCAACAACCATCGCGCCCCACATCAACACCGCATCGAAAATGTACATGAAGACCTCGGTGGTCATGATATATCCACCGTATCCTTGAATGTATTCAATCAAACGGAAGATCGACCGCACAAGAATCAAGAAGCTGACGAGGTATAGGCCGATGATGATAGTGAACCAGTTGCGCTGCCTGAAGCCCTGTCCACTGGTGAGTTCGCGATCGGCTCGCGATTTCGAAGTTGGGTTGCGGGAGATGCGGAAGTGGAAGACGCCGGTCACGACCACGAAGAATCCAAAGAACAGGAGTTGGACGATCAGTCCGCCGATGGTAATATTCGAGCCGAGATCGTGGTTGTCACCCGTTGACATAAGACCACCGCCTATGAAGTGTTAGTTGTCATTGTTGAGGGTTTCATATTTCGAGGGTGTGACTGGGGTCCATGGATCGTACCGGTGCACTGCATGAGGAACGAGATGACATCTCCTGCCACGAAGAACTTGGTCATCCAGCCCACGCGAACCAAGCTCAACTTCTCGGCATGTAGATAGGTGATTGTTCGTCCTAGGATCATGTAGACTGATGCGGCGTAGAGTGGCGGAGCAATCAGGATGAAAGTCGTCTGTAACGCATAGAGAGTGACTCCATAGTAGTTGTCATGGGAGGCGGCTCGACAGATGTATCCTAAGATTTGGACTGATCGAAGTCAGCTTCTGGGATCGAAGAAATTCAATATCGCAAGGGACTCACGGATTCCACCAATCACGAAAGGTATGAAGTACCAGCACCGGGCTTTGGCAAGTTGATAGCAGTGATATCCCGCTGAGGAGCCAAAGAGAATGATGAAAATGACTGCGGCAGGCAAGGAGGGATTATACCCGTAGATGTTGCGCTCGTCTGCCATTTTACTTGTAAGTGATGGTCTTACGCATCAGGGTAGGGTTACAGCTTTATATGAAGAGGTCGCTAAAGTACATCTGAACAGAACACACAGCCCATTTATTTGGATCCACTATCATCTAGGCGACCACATCTTTCCGATGAATTGATTTGATCATGCTAATTATACCACGTTGAATCTCTCTTGGCCGTGTGGGGTGGCTTCTTAGCGGGTGTCGTAGCCGTGTCCGTGTCCGTATTCGTCCTCGTATTCGACTCCGTATTCGTCCCCGTGTTCTCTTCTCCGTATCCGTTCTCGAATTCACCTTCTGCCAACACTGATATTCGACAATGGGTGCTCGCAGAACACATCGAAAGTCACGGAACGGTTGCCCAGAATGCAAGAGACGCAGATTGAAGGTAGGATTTGTGGTCCTTGCTCAGTATTCACCCTAACTTTTACAGTGTGACGAGCGTTATCCTTGCACAAACTGCGTCAAGCACGCAATACAGTGTTCCTACATTGAGCAAGATGTGTCGACTCCAAGTGCGACTCCAGCGACACAGCCGGATTCGCTGCATACGGGTAGGCATTCGCCCTCAATACCCAGATCATACCCGGCGACCCCGGGATATGCAAGCGCTCCGCCCGAGAATAGATCGGACTTGCTGCATTTCCTGACCGACTCGCCCAATGAAATTCAGACACTAGAGACGGACGACTGGGCATCTGACCTTGAATTAATGCACCACTACTGCACTGTGACTTGCAATACTCTGACGGTTCGCGAAGACGCACGTCATGTTTGGCGCGTTGTTCTCCCGATCGAGGGGTATTCGAATAAATATTTGATGCATGGCATTTTAGCTTTATCGGCTCTCCATCGCGCTCATTTATACCCAAGATGGAGAGACAAGTACATCAAAGCGACAGCCTACCACCAAGCAGCCGGGTTGAAACAGTTCCGAGAGCTGATCGCTTCGCCAATTGATCCCGACAATTGGCAACCTGTCTTTTGCTTTTCCTCCATGATCATGGTATACGTCTGTGCTTCCCCCGTCCGGATAGGAGAGCGCTGGCCCGCTCCGATATTGAATATGGCAGAGTTGTTCTCTGTCGTCAAGGGAATGCAGAGCATTATGGAGCCATGGCTACACAGCCTGAAGAAGACACAGCTTGCTCCACTTGTGAACAGTGTGCATCTTGAGAGTGACCTCATCCTAAGGTATGTTCTCACCTATAGATGCCTAGGCGTTTGTCAGTCTGGTATGCTGACCTCTTTAGCCCGGCCATGATGCGACAGTCTTTACTTCCTCCTGGTACTCACGAGCATCTATCCCTTTTGCATAACTTTGTCAATGATTACCCTTTTCCCGAATCCGAGGAGAACCCCGAGACACCTGATGGGCAGCCAATGCCCGATCATCGAGACGATTACAAGAAGGCCCTGGCTTTTTTCGGAAATTCTTTGCGTCAAATCGACTTGGCGGGACCACATATCGAAATTGGAATGGTTCTCATGTGGGCATACTCGCTGTCCAACCGATTCCGTGATGACTTGGAGGCGTACCGGCCGCCTGCTCTAGTTCTGCTATCTTACTGGTGTGTTTTGCTGCATCTTGTCGATCATTCCTGGTATATCAATGGTGCTTCCAGAGAGTTACTGGGAGACATCGAGGAAAAGCTCCACCCAGCCTTCAAGGATTGGTTGACGTGGCCAAAGCAGGAGGTTTTTGGACATCGATGAAAGGTAAGAATGAAAGCATTGCAGTTGAAATTTTTTCTTGGTTTTCTTTTCATTTCTTTTCTTTGCTTTTGGAGGAAAAACTTGATATGGGGGTTGCTTTATTGGTAGGCTGTAACTTGAAAATCAACGATACTAACTAGCAAGCAGGTGTCAAAACTCCGAAACTCCATCTTGTTCAAATCAAAAGTGGAGTGCACTAATTGACAGGAACTTTGATATATTCCCTTCCCTCCTCCTCGTTCTCACTCTCTGAGTCACATGGAGTCGGAGTCTTCTCTGTCACTGGAGAACTCTCCTTGCTCTCAGAATCCTCAATCCAGACCTTCTTGGTGCGGGTCTGACGATCCTGAACAATCTTCGGCAAAGTGACATTCAAAATTCCATCCTCCAACTTGGCCGAAATGCCATCAACGATGACAGAGGCCGGTGCCGCACGAGTACCAAATCGGACCTCGCGTTCAAAGACGCCTATCTCTTGACCACGCTCCTCCATTGCAAGAGCATTATGCAGCTCTTCGTTGATACCGGGACGATAGACTACGCCTGCCAGATGCAGAACAGACTCCTCGGCATCATAGTCGATGCTCAAATCACTCTTCTTCGCGCCAGGAAGTGAAGCGTGGATGACATATTGGGTGGGAGTGTCGAAGACATCAACAGAAGGTCTAAAGTCAACACCATCTGCTGGCGTTTCCATTGGGAACCCGAGTCCGGCTCCGATCTGGCGCAGGAAGTCGAACGGGCCCCCAGGTGGTCCTCTATGTCCGCGACTACCTGGACCTCGGGGACCTCGAGGTCCAAACCCGAAAGGCCCGCCGCGGTGTCCACGGTGGTCGTGGTGGCCTGGGAAACCATATGGGCCGTGGTGTGGACCATGCATATGCTTTTCAATCCCGTACATTCCCTGAGGGCCAGGTCCAAAGCCGAAGCCGCCTGGGCCGTGGTGGCCATGGCCATGTGGGTGGAAGCCATAGGGGCCAGGGGGACGATGTCCGCATTTCCCCTTGCCGCCTCTGCCACCTTTGCCTCGGAATGGACCGGGCCCATGCTGACCTCGGCCATGCTGTTTCTTGTAATCTTTCTGGTATCGGCTGTGTGCAGAGTCGGATTCGGAAGACGAGCCGTCGCTGTTGTCTGCTGCGGCTGACGGTTCAACGTCTCCGCCTGTTTCGCGTGCGTTGAGATTCTGGGATTCGACGGGCTGGGGCTCTTTCATGCCATGGTGACCATGATTATTGTATCCATGCTTTCCTCGGGGGCCCTTTCCGTGATGATTGCCGCGGTGGCGGTGGTTCGGGGAGTCGAGATCCGATGCTGTGGCTTCCCCGCTTTCCGCAAATTCCTCGTTCCCAAGAGTATCTCTGTTGTGATGGGGGTGCGGGCGTCCGTGATGTCCGTGGCCGTGGTGACCACGCGGAGCAAAGAATGGGTGGTCCTCCAGGTTGCCGTTGACGAAATCCCAGAAGGGACTGGATGGTTGGTTGAGCTGATAGATGGAAGCCATCTTTGACTGATACTTGGTAGGTAAGTATACTTTGATGTTGATTTGGACTTGTGGAGAGATGTTGGAGACTGGAAGATCCGAAAGAAGCAGACAACCGCAAAGACAGTTGACCTGGTACTACAACAATCACAGAAAGTCTTTGCCTTTTATATCTATTTGCTTCTACAAACAGGCAGCCAGGTTCTCCGTGCTTCTGGAAGTATACGTACTATCACTCTGCCTAATTGCCGGTATTCTCTACGCTCATTCGCCAGCTCGGGACCGAGCTCGGTGCCGCAAGTAGCAATTTCTCGGAGTTGCTGAAACCTCGCCTCTTTGAGTGGCCAGTTACGCGAGAGTGATGCATTTAGGAATGAAATTCGAAACTATTCGACTCAGAGGTATACGCAAGCTCACAAACAATTCCTTGACTTGGCAATTTCCTCCTAACTCCGAGGTGACTCAAGGACGCCACGCTGCGCCACACTTCGCCACAGTGCTATTCTGCCATCGTCACCGCCCGAACTATATCCAGTTCATCAACGGAATATCCAAGGACATCGCCAAAGACGGCTAAATTATGCCGCAAGTCCAACTGAATGGGCCTCAAACAAAAGCCAGGAATTAGCCTGGTCGAGACGACAAAAATCGCCTCTAACACTGAATCCCAATGTGCCCAGGTGCCCAAGTGGTGAATCTAAATCACATGTGATAGCGCCAAGCATCCACGGATCAGACCACACCTATGTCACATGATCTCCCCAGCCAGATCAATTTAATAAACCTCCCTTTCCCTGCAGAGCTCGCCTGTGTTGATATCTCCATTATCTTCAAGTTCAAAATCTTCAGTGCCATGTGAACAACATGTGGGATCCTCCGATGCTTTCCGACGACACGTGCACCCTGCTCTCACCGATCGCTCCGAAGGGTTCCGGGTGTCTCCACGAGCTTAAAGCCACAGCTAAAGATCTTAAACATGTTCACGGGAGCAGACTTTCCGATACCGTATGAAGCCGGAGTGGACCTGGATTGTTGAGTTCCCGATCCGGGCCTCCCCTATCCTCATTCAACCGAAAATGAAGTCATCAATGTGTCAGCGGTGTATTGAGACCACCGAGGCCGATGCCGGATAGTCCGCGGGCTTTCTGAAAAAAGAATCATATACTGGCTAACATCCTCCAATTGACTAGCACAGAAAGCTATTACTATTTTGAGGCTCTGGTCATCGAGCGCAATGCTCCCAATGCAGCGCCTGACTCTGCGGTCCCCTCTGGCAGCTCGTTCTCTTCGCTATGCAACTATATCCCCCATTGCGCCGCGCAGCACACGAAGATGTCTCGCAACACAGACAGAAGCTACAGCTACCCTCCCACGGTCTGACGATAAGAAAGAACGCGTTGTAATCCTCGGATCTGGTTGGGGTGGATACACACTCTCGCGGAGGCTATCACCAAAGAACTACTCGCCCCTCATCATTTCACCTCGCTCCTACTTCGTTTTCACTCCTCTCCTCACCGATGCGGCAAGCGGATCTCTTGATTTCTCGAACATCGTCGAACCTGTGCGTGATCCACGCGCCAAGGTCGACTTCATCCAAGCAGCCGCGCGAGCTGTCGACCTCAAGAAAAAGACAATCCTGTGCGAAGCAACCGTCGTCAAGAGTGGAGTCACCGAGTCCCCCCGAACAGAAGAAAGAGAAACCGAAGAAGGCCCGGAAACAACAAACAAGAAACCCATGCATGACCAGCGTCTATGGGAACAGGGAGAGATATTCGAAGTTCCTTATGATAAGCTTGTCATTGCAGTTGGCGCCGTCAGTCGCACGTTTGGAACTCCCGGAGTGCGAGAGAATGCCATGTTCTTCAAGGATATCGGTGACGCGAAACGTGTGAAGCGACGTGTGCGAGAATGTTTCGAGCTTGCCGTCTTGCCAACTACCACAGAAGACATGCAGAAGCATTTGTTGAACTTTGCGATTGTTGGAGCTGGTCCGACTGGTATCGAACTTGCGGCATCCTTGCGCGACTTTATCTATGATGACATGATGGCTTTATACCCGATGCTTGATGCTGTCCCCAGAATCACATTATATGATGTCGCACCCAAGGTGTTGTCGATGTTCGATGAGTCACTTTCTCGCTACGCGATGGAGACCATGAAGAGCGAGGGTATCGACATCAAAACATCTCACCATGTCAAAAGCTTGCGATGGGGCCCCCCAGGCGCTTCGACGATTCATGAGATGGACCCCAAGCGCTGCCTGACTCTTGAGACTGAAGAAGAAGGGCAGGTGGGCATCGGAATGTGTGTTTGGGTAACTGGAAACGCGATGCCCAAATTCATCACCCAGTCTCTCGGCACCGTCGACTTCCCAGCCGACTCGGTCAAATCCATCGACGGTTCTCCTGTTTCCGCCAATGCCGAGCAAGAATCATGGCAATTTAAGAAAGGCCCAAGAAAAGGACCACTGCTAGTGGATGGCCATCTTCATGTCCAGCTACAGAACCAAGCTGGCCAGACCGCAGTCCTCAAAGACGTCTTTGCTCTTGGTGACAACGCGATGCCAGAGACTGGTGCCCCTCCTGCCACAGCACAAGCTACTTTCCAAGAAGCTAAATGGCTAGCTTCTCGCCTCAACAAGAGTGACCTCGACCAGACTCCAGGCTTCTCCTTCCGTAACATGGGCACAATGGCGTACATCGGAAACGAGCGTGCATTGATGCAAATTCCGCATGAAGATGATGGAAACTCGCGGAGGTATCTGCCCGATGGTATCAAGGGACGCACTGCCTCGCTGGTTTGGAAAGCAGCTTATATTACCATGAGCATCAGTTGGCGCAACAAGTTCAGGGTGGCTTTCCGTTGGACACTGAACAAGCTCTTTGGGAGAGATGTCTCCCGCTTTTGAGCATATAATGGTACTAGAAAACACCACTCCATATAACCCTTTCTATATATTCCTATAAAAAAAGCTCATTTCGGTACGAACCTTCATTTACCCGTGGACCTGGTATGAGGCCTAAAACCTTGGAATCGCATTTATAGGGGCCTCGAGTCAATCATATTCCAAGGTTGTCATCACAGATGCTTGACAGTAGATCACCATATCTGCTTGACCTAACACCCACTCGAGAGGTCAGTTGTGACCCAAGCGCTACCTAGTAGAGCTGTGTTTTGACGTGGTCGAGTACCCCGGATCCTTTAGTCTTACCCCACAGGCTTGCAGAGCACCATTAAGTGGGCTCTGGTTTAACGACCAACACTGTCATATTCATGGAATAATAGTCTGCCTCTCAGTGCCGGCATATCCCATGGGCATGGACGTCGTCTGGTCAGTTTATAGTATTCCTGGCGCTTGTTTATCTTGCCATGTCTTCCGAGGCTTGCAAATCCATCAGGGATGAGAAGAGATAATTGCCCATCGCCATCCCTTGAAGCCTAGGCAATTAAAAAATTTATTGATCTTTCACGGAACGCCAAGAATTTCGCAAAGACGAGACATGGCCGGGGGTGGAGAAATCGCGGAGTGCTCGGCTAAATTCCGCGATGCGTTCGACATCTGGAGCAGACAGATGCCTTGGCCTAGGAGAGGTAGGAGTGTACTAGTAGAAGGACCAAGCGAAAGCTTAAGCATATTGCCAAGGTGACTGTCTCGAAGTCAAAGCCAACACAGTAAGTATACGGAGAAAAATCAGGTGACGGCGAAAACGCCGTTTGTGCCGAAGTCTGGGGATCTGCTCCGTTTCCCCCCATTTCCCCCTTCTCCACCTCCGTCATGGACAACCAATATGGGCTCTCGCTGCTTTTAGCCTAACCAGCCTAGGGAGGTGCAAGCCTGACCGGATTCTCGGTCTAAAGTTCCTCGGGCTCCAGGAGAAGCCGCACAAGACCAATGGGCATAACCCCACGACCTGGAGCGACGCCATCCCGCAATTCTCTCTCGGATTGCCGAATTCAGCGCCCGGGTAAAAGCCTCCCCAGATTCAGCCCCGCCGTGACACATTGCCGGATTCTGGCCCTGGAATCATGGACATCTCCCACCGGGATGTAACCGTATTGGACTGCTCGTGACTTTGCCTTTCTCGGCCGATCGTCGAGAGATGACTCGGACTCTGGCCGTGTTTGCGCGGGGCTCAGGCCATATAAAAGCCTGCATTGCCGCGATGTCGCGACTTGCAAGTTTGTGGTTTACTCTTTCATGATACCCCGCAGATTGGTCTGCAACTATTCATCTTGATCTGTCGTTTTGCAGATGCAACACTAAAGCGCTGCCACTTTCACTTGCAATATAATATCATCGGCTAATATATTGGCTGGATCACCTTCAAAATGAGTGACAAAATTCCAGCATGGAATTTGGTCCACAAGCTGGAGAAGCGATCGCTTCTCATCGGCATTAATTGCGTCGCTGCGCTGTCAATCCTCTTCTTCGGTTACGATCAAGGAATGATGTCTGGTGTCAACAATGCGAAAGACTACATCGATCTTATGGGCTTCGGATACACGAAAATGATGGACGGCGAAGCGACCCCCGTGGTCACAAATTCCCTGCTCCAGGGTGGAATTGTCTCGGTCTACTACCTGGGAACACTGGTCGGTGGCCTTTTCGGAGGATGGCTGGGAGACCGCATGGGACGAATCAAGACCATCGGTGCCGGTGCGATTTGGGCCATTGTGGGTGCGGCTTTGCAGTGCTCGGCCATGAACCACAATTGGATGATCTGCGGTGAGTCAAGTCAACTTCTGTGTCAGGTGCGCATCTAACGTGTCCAGCACGCATGGTGAATGGAATTGGAACTGGAATTTTGAACGCCATTGTTCCTGTTTGGGCCACTGAGACAGCCGAGCATACGTCTCGTGGACAGTTTATCGCCATTGAGTTCACGCTGAATATCTTCGGTGTTGTTTTGGCCTATTGGCTCGAGTTGTAAGTCTGGCTTGTCCGTTGGTTCGATAATGTCTAACACTTGGCAGTGGTCTATCTTTCATCGATAATGGAGAATCCGCTTTCCGGTGGAGATTCCCCATCGCATTCCAGATTGTCTTCCTGATCGTTCTCTTCGGAGCAGTCTGGTTCTTCCCCGAATCACCCCGATGGCTCGTCAAGGTTGGCCGCGAAGAGGAAGCCCGGTACATCCTGCAGCGTTTGCGTGGATCTAGCGGAGAGGATCTCATCCGTGCCGAGGCTGAGTTCCAGGACATCTTGAGCATTGCTGAAATGGAAAAGACCGTGGATCACGCAGACTCGTATTGGTCGATGCTTGTCGGCTATAAGTCTGGAGATCTCCACATCGGTCGCCGAGTGCAGCTGGTCGTTTGGTTGCAAATCATGCAGGAGTGGGTTGGCATTGCCGGTGTGACCGTTTACGCACCCACTATTTTCAGCATCGCTGGATTTGATTCAACAAAGAGCCAGTGGATCAGTGGACTGAACAATGTGTTCTATATGGTATGGCTCCTTTGACATGAAGAAGCAGCAGTGCTAATTTTCCCTAATAGTTTGCCACGTTGGTTTGTGTCTTCACAATTGATCGCCTAGGTCGACGATGGACTTTATATTGGGGCTCAGTTGTCCAGGGAATCGCCATGTTCCTCGCGGGTGGTTTCTCTCGGCTCGCCATTGATGCGAAAGCTGCTGGCGATATGGGCAAGGCCTCGTCATACGGCGCCGCAGCGGCTTCGATGATCTTCATCTTCACCTCGACCTTCGGAGCCACGTGGCTGACCGTGCCATGGGTATACCCTGCCGAGATCTTCCCTCTGGCTGTTCGCGCCCGAGGAAACGCATTCGGTGTTGTTGGTTGGAGTATTGGCAATGGATGGCTGGTAAGTATTTCACTCCTATCACATCAGAATTGCGCTCACATCACCCGCAGACTCTTCTGTGTCCCGTGATGTTCAGCGCCATCAACGAGAAGACTCTTTACGTCTTTGCTGCCAGCAATGTGATCACAATCCCGATGGTCTGGGCACTATACCCCGAGAGCAACCAGCGCACACTCGAGGATATGGATCTGCTATTCGCGGCCAAGACCCCGTGGGTCTGGGACGCCGAAAAGACTTTCGCGCGTCTGAAGGCCGAGAACCCGGGCATGGTCCAGGCTCTCAGTCGCAAGGGCAGTGTAGTTGATCCCGAGACTGGAAAACCACTTTCCATTGGGGCAGCTGCGGCTATGGCGGCCTCCAAAGGAGGGGATGACGCCACGGGAGCGGAGCATGTTGACCGCGTCTAGATGAATATCATCTACAGACCTTAGGAGTATATTTGTGCGAATCATTTACGAATGATGTTTTAATGACAGCCGATAAAGGTCACAACTTGGAAGTGTCCAATTAATACCTAGTAGCGACTGCGACAAATAAGAATTCTCAGCTATCAAATACCTAGTATACCTAGGCATCTGCCAATTTCAGTATCTTCAAGAATAAGGGAAAAAAGAGGCTGAACATCCGAGCCGATCGGACTTGACCACGCCGAAAAGGAAAATGGTGGCCCTCTTATTGGCCACTTTGAGAACAACCAACATCAACCTTGAAGTAAACAGCCCGAAGATCCATCGCCCTTCCAACGTCGATTTTCTCGCCCCGTATATAATCAAACAATCAAACACAAAGGAAAGTTCTCCAGAGAACCGAAATCGCATGGTAAGCCCACCTGAGTAGCTCCGAGGCGCGTCTCACCGCGTCGCCGTATCCCAATAACTGCAGCTGATTACAAAAACAGCCAACCCAGCCAAGGAAAACCCATGTTCCGAATCCAATCGGGACCTTGCATACCTCAACCAAGTGACAGACCACAACATCCAAAGAAACTGCACACATGGAAGCCATGACCCTGCCCGTCAAGCCTACAGGCTCACCAGCCGCAGTCCCAACTCCAGAAACAGCAAGGCCAGAAAGAAATGAAGAAAATGAACCTACCCAGCCATCAACGCAGACAAAAAAATATCTACACCGCATATCCCTTCATCCAACACTAACACCCTACCGCCGACGCGTCTATCGTGTCCTCCTCTCTGTCCCAGCAGGTCGCTGGACGACTTACTCTGCAATGGCGACGTATCTGGGGTCCAGTGCGCGCGCTGTGGGAAATGCAATGAGGAGTAATCCCTTTGCACCGGAGGTGCCGTGCCATCGTGTCCTTGCGGCGAATGGGACGCTGGGTGGGTATAAAGGGGAATGGAAGGTGGATGGACATAAAGCTGGTGGGGGATTCTGCGAAGAAAAACGCCTCAGACTTGAAGAGGAGGGGGTGGTTTTTGTTGATGGGAAAGTGAGCGGTGTTTGTTTCAGGGAGTTTGTCGACTTTGGAAAGAAGTGATGCCTTCGATATCGAGGATCTGATGTTTAATGACCGTTCTACTTTTTTTTTCTTTTCCTTTTCTTTTGCTGCATCTTGTCACTCTGTCTCCTGTGATTCTTTTTAACGGAGTGAACTGAGATCCGTTCCCGACCATATACAGAACGGGTCGTCGGTTTCCGGATTTTTGCACCTGCTAACAATCTCAAGGCATTCGTCAATCTCATCATGTTTGCGCAAAGGGGACACCACCAGACAGCAAATGTCAGACCTCGGAGCCTGAAAGCACCTGGATCAGTTCGCAATAATTGGACTCACAGGCTCATTTCCGAACCTAGAGCTCGATGCGAGTCACCACCGATAAAGAGGAGACATCCAGGGGCGCAGGAATGTTGCTGACACCTGCCAACTTGTCGGAGCCAGGGTAGTGTGAAAGCCTTCGGATTTGAACCGGCCATTCAAGCAATCCACCAGCCTATCTGGCCTATCATGAATGCCCTGCGCGAGTATTTACCCTCCACTGAAACCGTTCCAAACTGGATAGGCATTCGAAGATGAATACAAGTATATAGTGTTGGACTGAAAGCTTTTTGTTAAAATTGGAACGATTCCTCGGTTACCCCTGCCATGAACATGCGTACCTTGCTCTGGTACATGATATACTGTTTAATAGCCCACACGAGCGCATACCGAGGAACCATACCATTTGAACACCCCGAAAAGGCCACAATTCCATTTGTTCCCCCGATATACGTCTCAGACAAGCCCAAAACATACCCAAAAGCATGTCCCGGAAACACACCCATGACGAGAGATCAATGGTGCGAGTACAGCCTGTGGACAGACTATACAGATACCGTTCCCGACACCGGAGTCACTCGGGAGTTCTGGTTCGATGTACACCAAGCAACATTAGCACCCGATGGACGACCAAGATGGGCGCTTGCAATAAATGGATCCCTGCCCGGACCAACGGTCGAGGCAAATTGGGGCGATACAGTGGTTATCCACCTACGGAATAGCCTGGCAGATGTCAAAAATGGAACAAGTCTTCACATCCACGGACTTCGTCAACACTTCACAAATCCCATGGACGGTGTAGTCTCCGTCACGCAATGTCCCATCGCCCCAGGATACACCATGACCTACCGATGGCGAGCGACGCAGTACGGCACAACATGGTACCATTCCCACATAGGGCTTCAAACGTGGGAAGGTGTATACGGAGGCGTGGTCATCCACGGACCAGCGAGTGGGAACTACGACGAAGACAAAGGCGTCGTCCTACTATCCGACTGGGATATCAACACCGTTGACGAGCTCTGGGGGGAGGCAGAAACTGTCGGGTCGCCGACACTCGATACCGGTCTGATTAATGGAAACAATGTTTTTGGAGACGACGATGACTCCAGTCAGACGGGGAGCAGATTCAGCACCTCGTTTGTTCCGGGAAAATCATACCGGCTTCGCGTGACGAATGTCGCGTGTGATACTCAGTTCAAATTCAGTATAGATCATCACACTCTAACGGTTATAGCGATGGATTTCGTGCCTATCAAGCCGTACAAAACTACTGCTATCAATATATCAATTGGTAAGGGGGCTTTCACTGCGAATACTGAGAATGTCAACTTATGGAAATTGAACACAGGCCAGCGCTACGATGTAATTGTGCTCGCAGACCAAGCCAAAGTTGCGTCGTCTTTCTGGCTCCGCGCCACACCGCAGCTGGCATGCTCGTTCAGCAACAATGCAGATAACATACGTGGTATAATTTATTATGAAAGATCACCTGGTGCATCTAAGTCCTCCTCCCTCATCCCCAGCACAACAGGGTATACCCTGACCGATAGCTGCGACGATGAGCCCGCGTCAAAACTCATTCCCATCGTTTCTAAAAGACTCTCCCTCGCCGCATCAGTCTTCTACTACAACGAGAATCTCCCAGTCACAGCAGCCGTGAACGAAAACAACCTCCTCCGCTGGTACATCAACGGAACCAGCATGCACGTTACATGGTCTCAGCCAACGTTACTAGAATTCATCCAGTACAGTGCCAACCCCGACAACCCTACAGAATCAACAACCCGGGACCGTGCAGTCCTCTCCATCCCAAAAGCAGATACCTGGGTTCTGGCAATCATCGAAACAGCCATGGAAGCCCCTCACCCGATCCACCTGCACGGGCATGATTTCCTCGTCGTCGCGCAGGGCAATGGATCATGGAGCACGACGTCTCGGAATCTGAACCTGGATTACGCGGCTGGCGCACTCCCGAAGCGTGATACCGCTCTACTCCCTGCACTGGGTCATTTGGTACTTGCGTTCCGGACGGATAATCCCGGTGCATGGTTGATGCATTGTCACATTGGATGGCATCTTGATCAGGGATTTGCGTTGCAGTTTGTTGAGCGGGAACCCGAGATCAGGAGGATGTTTGAGGGGGGGAGTGGGCTTGGTGGTTGGTGGGGGTATGGGGGGATGATGAGGGAGAATTGTGAGAATTGGAATTGGTATAACCGTGGCGGACAGGTTGTGGAACTTGGGGCTGGGATCTAGATCTTGAAAAGTGGGAGATCGGCGTTGGTTTGGGAAGTCAAAGGATCAACTTGGAAAGCATTGGATTGAAGCGGTCTGGGTGTCCCGAGTCTGCGGTTAGAGGTGCTACAGAGTTGCATTTGAGTACAGCGGGGAGTCGAATATATTCCAAGGTATATTTCTCGTTTTTGGTTCGCTTTAGATAACTCTGGTCCTTGCTTCCGTCGGGTATTTGGAATAGTTCTTGGCCGTCGAGGTTGCGTCCTTATGCCGCTTCATGCATGCAGATGTGATACAGTGAGCCGAGGATTGTACTACATGAAGGCATTTGTGGAAATTGGTTCAAATATTCAAATGAAATAACAAATAAGAAAGACCATGCCGAGACTCAAAATAATATATCGTAATCGTAAGCATACATAGGCATTCCACCATTAATGGCGCCAGTCTAGCGTCTAGAACATAGGCTCGAGGGCCTCAAATAACAAATCGTAGAAGCAAATCATCTATACACGACCCATTCCCGGGCAATGCCCACATGCAAAGAGAACAAATGAAAAAAGTCGTAATATCGTCAAGAAGATACTGTCGGGCAATCATGAGATATGCTTAGCGGATCTCTTGTTTCCGTTCCGCTTGGGCAGATCCATGTGGTGGTATGCGCGCAGGTGCTCGACGAGGTGATCCTGGCGCGGGAAGCCATTGCTCCCCTTGCGCGGGCAATGATCAATGGGGCAGTTGCGGAAAACAGGGTTGTGCACGCTGGACTGGTGGCGCTTGAGGTCGGCGCAGCGCGTGAACCCTTTCCCGCAGTCGTCGCAAGCGAAAGGCTTAGCAGGCCTGAGCGGGATGTTAGCGAATTCGCATTTTCGGCGTGGGCTCTACTTACTTGGCTGAGGTGGAAATAGGAGCTGGTGAGTCGCATCCCGAGTCGTATGTCACCGGGTATTGGGGCAATGAGATGTCCTCGGCTGGGAAGTTGAAGTTGCTGCTGTAGCTGCTACCGCAGCTGCTGGGGGCACTTTGAGGGACCATGTGTTGATCATAGACGGGATAGTCATGGGGTGAAGTGTAGGTGAAGGGGCTGCTGGTGACGCCGTAGACGTCGGGAGTGACCTCTTGCATGGGGAATGAGGCGGAGTCGAGGTCGCAAAGCGAGTCGTAGACTGGCTGGCTCCCGTAGAAGAAGAAATCCATTCCTCCGGGGGAGGAGGAGTAGGAGGAGAAGGAGTCCGAGTAGCTGAATGGGGATTGCATGTCGATTGGGGTTGAGGAGAGGGAGCGATGCGACATCATGGGAATTGGCATTGTAGTCTTCTTGAGGTTAGCTTAGCTACCTAGGTATAGCTTCCAGTCCACAAACCATGATGAATGGAAGGTCAGAATTATTCCACAGAATCAATTGCACGGTTCATTAAGTGTAAGCAGAATTGAACGGGAGGGGGGAGGCCTTTTATCTTTGTAGTCCGTGAAGCCTGCATGACAAGAAAGCGACTAGTTGGACACGGGACAGGCCACTTTCAGTGCATGGCTGTGAATGGCTGCGAGGTGCATTTCTAGAAGACTACTGGATACGGGTTGAAACATTATGGGACGTTGGTAGTGCTGACGGAAAGTTCCACGGCCCTTCTAGTGCGGCCGTGTTGGCTGATGATTGGTGGGATCGGGGTGATTGAGGCTGTATGGGCCAATCCTCGGGCGTGATAAGCAGCAAGCGGTCAGAGGTTCCACATTAGAGAGTTCCCCTCACGGGCGATCCTTTGCTGATTGGTCCATGGAAGGTGTTTGTTTTCTAGCGTGGTTCTAGCGTCGAGTTTCCTTTGTTTTCGTCATTTCCTGCTTTGGGCTGTTTTTTGGACTCAGGAGTACAGCAGTATTTAGTATTACTGTGGAAGGCCAAGGTTGGGACAAATATGACAAAAATAAAATATAGTACTACTGCCAGTATACTCCTGCCAGTACACTACTATACATTATAACAGAATGTAGTACTCCGTAGTAACGTGTAGTATGGCCAGGGCAGACACTGACGTAGCCCAAATCGGCACAATCGTGCCGAGTCCAGCCTTGCGATGCTGGACCCAATCCCTTCCAATCCGGGGTCTCAGATCGACCGATGATGTATCCATGGATGCCGCACAGCCCCTCCACTAGTTTCCCTTCTAGAAGGGAAAAATCCCGCACATTGCCAAGCCCCTTCTAGTGCTTCGTACTGTACGGGCTATGCCCCGTGACGTGGGACTGGTCTCCAGGGTTCTCGCAGGCTATGCCCCTTTCGGGTCACTTTGATCACATCCATCTCCGCGGACGCCAAGCCTGCTGCCGCGGGCCACTGCTGGGCAACCCGCGAACCTAACAGACGACGCGACAGACCTCGCGGAAGGAGCCTACCTGCAGCCGTGCCGTCCCCGGATTTTCTAGATTTCTGGGTTTCCGGTTTAGCGACCGCCTGGTCTGCATGGGCCCAATCCGGGCAACGGTGCATCGGGTGCGTTGTTCGATCGACCCCAGATCCAGCCCAGCACCTAGGTCAACAGGCATTGTAGTTCAGGTACTGAGGATCTACGGGCGCAGAAAGCGTGCGAAATACTTGTGATTGGACTTGGCTGGGACTCGTATTACGCGACATAAAACACGGCATGCATGGATCATTGTAGGGTTCGGAGAACCAGAAGAAAACACTCAAACGAAATTGAAAAAAAGAACGCCCATACCACCGAGGCCCATTCATTGCACTCATTGCCCGATGCCCTTGTGAAAACAGAAAGTGAACAGCCCGAATCCCATGACAGATGGTTCAAAGTTCCCTCCCGCATAGCCTCAAACATCCAGCCCAGTCTATGGTCATAGCGTCGGGCCACAAATTTCCCGAAAAGAAAGAAATTCGATCAATGCAGGGCGAATACAAAACATATGAAAACAAGTCAACTGTGCAGGGTTGGTTTGCTCAGAGAGGACGGATTATAATTCGTCCTCGAGGTATTTGTACACGAACTTGAAATCGGCCTTGCGGCGGTTCATCCTGTCCGGGTCAGCGCAAAGTTCTCGTCGACTATGGACTTCCAATCAACTTACCATGTACTCTCGTAGTCAAAGAAGCGGTAGGTGCCTTGCTCGAATTCCTCCGTGATATTCTTCGGCTCCTCGTGGCGCTGGAACCATGTTTGGTACTGCTTGTGGAAGCGCCAGCTTTGATTGCGCAGCGCCTTGGCGGCAAGATATTGCTGGTAGGTGCCTTGACGGTAGTAGAAGAGGTAGAAGAGAGTGTCGGTGTCGACCCGGCCGGTATCGTAAAGTCGCGGGTCATCGAATATTGAGAGGGGTTCCTGGGGGTAGTAGAGTGGGGTGCTGTACGGGTTCTGGGGCTTGTAATGACGAGGCTTTTCGGCATCGCCAGCCTCGGGACATGTTGTCAACGAGGTAGCGAGCAGTCGTTGCACAGAGGGCGATGGGTTGGCCGAGGCCCGGGTCTTCGTCACCTCGAATGATTGGCACAAGTCTTGAAGACCCGGAGGCAGGTGATATATCGACTCGGTGCTTTCCGTGCTCTCGGTGTCTGGTTTCCCATTTGTTGATGCTTCCACCTTGGCTGGTGCAGGCGATGACCTGGCACCGGCGAGAATCTTGGATCGGCCAATGGTACCGAGGTCTTCTGACACGGTAGCCGCAGCAGGGGAGACTGTGGGTTTGGGAACTGGCTGTGCGGGAGCGACAATGGGCGAGGCTGTGGATGATTTGGATACGGGCATAGCCACGGAAAGAGCGGGGCTCAGACCAGGTGGGGGAGGAAGAGGGAGAATTCCCACACCACTTTTATCGCTTGCAGCAGCCGCGGCGGCGGCGGAGGCGTACTTAAGGGTCTCGCCAGGGGGTCGGGTGGGTAGCGGAGCGGGCTTCATACCAGGCGTGGCACTAGATGAAGCAGCGGGGTGGAGAGTGGCCAGGACGGGAAGCGGGGATTTCATCTGGGTGGACGGTCTTCGTGGGGCAGCCACTTCTGGTTTGGCTTTTGATTTAGATTCAGGCTCCTCGTCTGGTACTGATTGGGCGTCTTGTGATGATACGCGATCACCCTCGCCTCCCATGCCGAACTGCGCCTCGATCTCCTCACCAATGTTGAGGTCATCGTAAAGAGTCTCGTCCTCGCCAGAGTAATCAGGGCTGCCACCTTCCTCAACGTAGTATTTGATACTTTCCTTGAGATCTTGCACTGCACCAACGTCCAAATTGCCGTTTTGTAAGGAGCGATTGAGGAACTCCAACTTGTTCACGTGCCACTTATGTCGTTCGGTTACGTGGGAGATGTCGGCCATTCGATCGGCCTTCTTGGTGTCTTTCTTGCCCTTCTTCATTTGCGCATGGAGTGTTTCCTCCTCGGCCTCGAGGGCTTCGATCTTCAACTGTAACTCATCGACCATATTCGATAGGAACTCGGAACACTCAACCCGCTCCTTCTCCTTTGGATCGAGTCGGGAAGCTGCCGATAGCCCTTCTTTGGAGTACGCTTTAGTCTTCATTTCCTTCTCGACGGCCTTGAATTGTTCCATGCACTGCCGAGGCTGTTAGCCATTGTCCCTTTGAAGCGGAAGGCCCCTAGTGGCCCAGTCGCGAACTCACCACTTCAATGGCTTTTCGCTGCTCAATAAGCGGAGCTTTATCCTTGACTTCATTTCCGGCGGCCCATGATTTGATCTGATCACGGAACCTTTGCAGCTTCTTGATCTCGCGCTTCAGGTGGTCTTCGAGCTTATCCCGTTGCGTTGGATTCGTGGCTTGGCGGATCTTCTCGTAGATACCTTCAAACGTCTGGATTCCTTCAGCGACCTTCTTGAAGGTCTTGTCGATTTCTTGTTGTGTTTTTCGTGCGGCCATTGTGAATGCGTTGGCGTGGACCGAGCCGTCCACTGGCGGTTGAGGTTAGCGGGCGCGGAGTATTGGAGGGCGTTCGACCCGAAATAGCAGTAGTCCGCAATCGAGTAAGAAGAGGTGGAGGGAGTTTGGGGGAGTGCTGGTTCAACAGAGGGCACAAAAGATCCAAAAGCCAGTCGATTCCATCTCCGCGTTGAGTGGAAAGCTCTGGATACCGTAATAGGGAGGCGGTAAGGCAGGGCGGTATTGGCGGGCGGAGTTCCACTGCAATGGGGGAGGGGCGGGCCTCTGTTTGCTCTCTCACTTTGCGCCGGACTTGCCCTTCACCTGGATACTTCACTAGCACGTTACAATTTGATCGGGGAATACCTCACTCTCCTGTGATATCACTTCTGTTAACCCCCGAACTGGTGGGTGTTTCCCCTAGCTTTCCAATCTAGTGCCCTTGCTAACATCTTAGTTGCTGCTTTTATAGATCGCAAAATGAAAGGTCGGGACATGACGTCTATCCTCTACATCCATGTCGCTAATATTTACAAGTTGTCATACAAAGAGTGAAGTCGGCATCCGTCACGGTTGATTCAGAGTTAATCTCGTCTATCGGGAAAGGACTGCTCGTCTTTGCCGGTATTGGTAAAGAGGACACTGAGAAAGAGGCTGAGAACCTTGTCAACAAGGTGCTTAAAGCGAAGTTCTGGCCCGACGAGAACGGAGCACAAGTATGGCACTGTTCCTATATACAGGCGGACAGCAATTGACTTTGTCGCAGTGGAAAAAGAATGTCCAAGACATTGAGGGTGAAATTCTCTGTGGTATGTCTTGACATTCACTTATTCTCTGTTCCATACTAACTGCTGTGTCTCTAGTCTCCCAGTTCACCCTCTACGGCAAAATGAAGAAGGGCAACAAGCCCGATTTCCACGATGCAGCCAAGCCAGACACAGCACGCAAGCTCTATGATCATTTCTATGGAAAAATGTGCGATGGCTATCAACCGGACCGGGTCAAAAATGGTGTCTTCCAGGCGATGATGGAGGTTGAACTCAAGAATGACGGGCCGGTGGGTGTAGACTACTGCAGCGAAGACGCGGCGGTACATTTTGCCTTCCTGGCTCCTTTCCTCGCCGCCAAATACCTCTTACTGACTTTTTTGGAATGCAGGTCACCATTGAGATCAACACCAACCTGCCTAAGAAAGAGCCCAAGGAGCAAAACAACGACAAGCAGCCGGATGAGCATGAGATAAAGGGATCATACGAATTCCAAATACCGGCCGAACTGCTGCAATGATTATAAAAGGTAAATGGGCACAAAATATAGAATAATATGTACATATATAGACAGATACCCAAATGTCATTGACTCACATTAAGAACTTATCCTGTATTGTGGCGCCAACCATGGAAATCATAGGTGAGGTTTCCCACCAGCCTTGAAGTATATCAGTGCCCAGTGGATTGAAAATCAAGTATACTCTCTCTCGGTGTTTGAACGTCAGGAAGGTTCCTACCTACCTAGGGTATTACAGGAAAGAACTTGGAAACCTTCAAAGGTTGGAATGACACCTTGTGTCTAGTCCTGATTCATGGGTACATGTAGCAGAATTGAGGACACCCGTTTCTACCAACCTTACAAGACATAACATTTTGGTCGTCACTTTGCACCAAGATCGAGCCTAAACCTCGGAACGGTTGGAGCGTTACATCATATGGATGACATTATCGTCAAGAGAACATGAAGCAATGTTCTAAAATACATCATGGGTCATTGGTGACAAAAGCAGTCCCGTCGTGAATCGTGATGGAACATGAGATAGCAAATCAAGGTGGACACTTAAGAGAAGAACTTCTGGGCAGCAGCCTTCTCCTTGGCCCCACGCTCCTTGACGGTCTTCTTGACCTTGGCAATCTCGTTCACAATTCCAGCATCACCAGGAGCAAACTTCTCAGCTTGCAGCAGGTCCTTGAGAGCAGAGTCCTCCTCCTTCAGACCCTCGTGGGCAAGAGCACGACGGTAGTGGGCCTTGGCCTTGTCGGCATCCTTGGCCTGAGCAGCATCAGCAACCTGGAGCGCATAGGAAGCCCAGTTCTGAGCCTCCCGGTATTTCTGAAGCTTGTTTGCGAGCAAGGCAGAGTTGGAGTGGAGGGTGAAACGCAGAGCCTTCATCTGGGGGCCGAGCTCCTTGGGGTCTTCGTCAGCAGGCTCGGGGAACTCGTTCAGGTAGCGCAGGCCCTTCTGGTACTTGTCAAGACCGAGGGTGAGATCGCCGCTCTTGAAAGCGGCGTTACCGAAGCCCTTGATGTCGGAAGCGATCTTGAAGGCAAGAGGAGCAGTGAGCTCCTCGCCCTGGTAATCGTCGGTGAAGTCCTCGTAGGGGTCACCAGTGATATCAGGAACGCGCTTGGCCGCATTCTCATAGTCCTCACCAGTGAGCTCACCACAGTTCACCACAGTCACATCCTGGGCGGGCTTGTCGTTCGATGTCTTCATGCTCTCGATCTTGCGGACAATGCTCTTGCCGTTAATGACCTCTCCGAAAACAACGTGCTTGCCATCGAGGTGGGGTGTGGGGACGGTGGTGACGAAGAACTGGCTGCCGTTGGTGCCGGGGCCGGAGTTGGCCATGGAGAGCAGGAAGGGACGGTCATGCTTGAGGTCGAAGTTCTCGTCGGGGAATTTTTCGCCGTAGATGGACTCACCACCGGTACCGTTGAACGCAGTGAAGTCACCACCCTGGATCATGAACTGCTTGATCACGCGGTGGAAAATTGAGCCTGCGGGGCGGGGTGGTTATTAGAAGTCCGATGCGAGCGGGGTACGGTAGACATGCCTTTGTAGGTCAATTCCTTGCCCTGGGTACCAATGCCCTTCTCTCCAGTGCACAGAGCGCGGAAGTTATCGGCGGTCTTGGGGACGACTGGTGGTCAAGTCAGTCGAGTTCAATCGTGGGGGAGATTATGCCGTACCATCGCCGAACTGTGTTGCGCTTGTTAGCTGCGAGCTGGTCTCCAAACATAGCAAAAGCAAAGTATGTAGAAACTTACGAGTTCAAATGCGATCCGACCGGCGTCGGTATCGCCAATCTTGATGTCAAAGAAGACGCGGGAACCTATTGTTGTTAGCGACGTCGATCAGTGTCCCCGCATTGGACTCACGCTGAGTAGCCATGGCTGAAATCTAATCCGAAGATGTGAAGAGGAAGTGGAGAGGACGAACAAAAGGATAGACGTCGCGTTGTGGGGGAGAACAGCTTTGGTTCAGGAAGCTTCCATGTCCCATAGCCGCCTTCACACTCCGCCCTGCAGGTGCGGGCAATGCAACTGCATGCACTTTCTCGATATCCCAACAATATCCTCAAGTCCTTTCTATTTATTTTAACGCTCCCATCGCCAATAGCTTCCACCTCGGCATGGCTAATGTGGGCAAATGCAAAGCCAACATAATAGAATCTCCGAACAATATCGGCGTCAACTGGCTTGGCACAAAATGGCAACACTCATCAGGTGTGGGTTTCTTGGACAGTCTTACTGCAATCCAACCCTTTATTACTATGGAATCATAGAAAACAAAACCCTTCAACTCCGTTGCGATAGAGCCCTTTCGGTAATTTCCTTCTCCGATTCAACTTGCCGAAGCATGTCGCTTCTAATTGAATCCATTGCAATCGAGTTTCATGACAGTCGAACCTCCCAAAATCCCCGGGTCTCATAGCCCATGAAGCGAGCACTGGATTCAGAACGTGGAGGCATGATCCAACCAAGCTAATCCGTTCTGTTTTTATCCTGTACATCAAAGCCACAAGACGTACCCAAACATGGGCCAAAATCCATCTCATATAGCCATACGCAGCGCAGGCTACTGACTGAAAGGTGCCAATATGCACGCGCCATTATACATATACGAGATGAAATTCCGGACATAGTACTACTCGCGATTGACAGACTGGAATGTTGTCTGGACTGATAGAGCAAGGTTGGTCAAAAGGGTAATGTCTGGGTTAAATTCGCGAAAGCCACTAGTTTCTGAATCGAGTAAAAAATCTATATCCTATCAGTCTGTACCTTCGAAACGGTACGTAGCTGTAGGAGCCACAGCTGCATTGCCCAAATATGCTCTTGGGATGTCGAGATGTCAAGGGAGTCAAAACATTGTGATTGGGTCATTTTTCTTGCAGAAGTTTGAAGCCTCAGGCATACAATATATTTCGACAAGACACCATGGACCCAGAGTCGATATTTGGAATGTTTTGTCCTCTTGTAGACGTTGTAGAGAATCATCGATTCCTCTAAAGTATTTAAAAAGGCGAGCGGCTCCATGTGCCAGGTGTAACACGGATGCCAGCCCCCTTCCAACGAAGGTTACTATACCTCCAAGGTTCTACCTTATATTTTGACCCTTAATCCCCTTCAAGCTTTTTAAGGTTAATTTGGTAGCTTGGTTCAAGGTTGACTCCAGTTTGGGTGTTGAAAAACCTTGGAAAGTTCAGTGGGATGAGACCTTTGGGCACTGATGATGTGTTATATATAATGAGTCTCACTCAAAAGACCTTCTAGGGCTACTACCGTCCACGGGTGGACCTAGATAGGCACCAACTTGGAACCATCCAAGGTTGGTTCATTGTGACTTAACACCTTCCCAGGCAGGCAACTCTTATAAATGGGGCGACTCATACTACCTAGGTAGGTACTCCGATATAGATTTGTTCTCACCACCTGGGCATTTTCCAGCAGCTAGTCAACCTTGGAATACCCTTAAACGGATGTATGTAGTGAAGGCCTGTTAGGCTACGGTATGGTCGAGAGGACGACGAGAGATGTACCTCTCGACCCTATCTACCCTATGTAGTGTTGAGTCAGTGATCAGTGAGCGATGTGCGACCCAGTGCATCAGTTTGATTCGTGACCATACTGCTGTAGGTATGACCTTGGAACACGTGTGAAATGTTTCCAGAGCTCTGCGCTCAGAGGGAAATAAAGTTTCCAAGGTTAGCTGCAGCCCTGGAGTGTCCCAATGAGTCTAATCTTGGAATGTGTCAGTATGCATTGGAATTACCTACAATGCAGCCCTGGAGTGTAACATCGATGTTGGGGTTTCAAGCCTCCGCGGCTGTACCTTGGAAGCGGGGATGGTTGATCTTTATAAGTCAACAAATGCTCCAGGTGAGGTAAATCTCTATTCAGTGAAATTAACAAATTCAAGATCTTTACTTCGAACTCGAACCGAGTCCAACATTGTCTCTCTACTCTACAATCTTTTGCTAGTGCAGGGAGTTTATTCATATAGACATGACAGACACCTACAGTCAGACAGAGGAAACCCTTCGAGCGTGGTTGCGAAATGTTGGGTTTGACCTCCAACAACCAGTCCGACCGTTTCACACACAACTCTACGCAGAGCTCGAAAACTGGATCATTTCTCAGGATCTCCAAGAAGACGAACTAAAGCGCATCTGGATGCTCTTGTCAGCATGTACCAGCGCCGCAGACAAATGGTATCCTCATGCTAGTCACCAATTGAAACGATATATTGCGCTCTCCACCACCTTTCTTCTTTATGTGGACGATAAAGTGGAACAAGAGCCTGAAAATATCCTCACTGATCTCCAAAGAGTTTTGTCTGGTGCCTACAATGGGCTTCATACGCTGAAATGTGATGATTCTGTCGTCAATTTGTGGTTGGAGCTCGTCGCTACCGAGACTGGAGCGTTTTATGGACCATATTCAACTGGGGTCATCACCAAAGGGCTAATCGACTTCATGCTGGGTAACACGATTGAATCAAAAGTTGCTGCAGGGTTGAAGCTCCCAGCAAAGTTTGGAAAAAGAGCATCCAAATTCGTGCGCGACAAAATCGGGGCTGGGGAGGTCTACGCTCATTTCATATTTGCGGAGCACCTCGTGGAAGAGAGTAGACATTTGTCGACTTATGTGCCTTTCATTGCATGTATGTTGCATATCATTGACGACGTCAATGATATACTATCCTTCTATAAGGAGTCGGTGGTTGGAACCGAGGCGAACACAAACATCATGAACAGAGCTCGTACCTCAGGTTGCAGCCCTCATGATGCACTGAGGCAGATTTGCGGGGAAGCAGCTGAGACTATGGATGTCGTCAGTGATGGATTGGCAGGAAAAAGGGTTACTGAAAATCTTTGGAAGAATTTTATCAATGGCTATATCATGTGGCACATTTGTGAGGATCGATATCGACTGAAGGAGATTGGCCTTGCAATGACAGTCGGACAAGACCAATAAATATGCCAGATAGTGATAAAAAAGTGAATTTGATATCTTGCAAGTCGTTGGTAGTTTCTTCTTTTTGGGATCTCGAGACTTGTGGAGGAATCTTGTACGGAGTAGACCCCGGAGGCTTAGAAAGGCGCTAAAAAGGACCAGGTGATACACTAGAACTAGAAACATATCACTCTTGACTTGGCAAGTTACGTGGATGATAAAGCTTGCTCAATCTGGCTTAGGTCGCGGACACGAGTCAGGAGTGATTTCAAAGACTCTCGGCTTCCCTGATTCCAAATCAATCCCTGAATTCAGGAGCCGCCATGCCCAACAACACCTTGAACCCAACTTCATCTATTCTGATCATCGGGGCTGGAACCTGGGGATGCTCGACGGCTCTTCATTTGGCTCGCCGTGAATTTACCAATGTCAAGGTACTGGATTCCTTTCCAGTACCGTCGCCCATCGCGGCGGGAAACGACATTAACAAGATCATGGAGCACAAGAAAGTGAAATGTAAGAGAAAAGATAGAATGACGTAAAATGAACAAAAAACGAACCTTTGTCTAACAATCCCCAGCATCAAGTTCTGACGCCCGGAGCATTGCCTACGCGACGTGCACCCGAGCCGCGCTGGTCGGATGGACGACAGACCCGATCTTCATGCCGTACTTCCACGAGACAGGATTCATAGTTGCGGGGGATACTCCTGAGTTAATCCAGCTTATAAAAGAGGAAGATTTTGATAAGTGCGAAGGGAATTTCGATATCTTGGAATCAGCTGAAGACTTCCGCCGAACAATGCCAGCCGGTGTTTTGACCGGGGACTTTCCTAACTGGAAAGGCTGGATGAATCGTTTCGGAGCCGGATGGTTTCATGCAAGAAAGGCCATGATCTCCGCATACAAGGAAGCCCAGAGGCTTGGCGTGGTCTTCTTGACAGGCTCCCCTCAGGGCAATGTCGAAACACTAGTCTATGAAGACGGTGATGTGATTGGGGCTCAAACCGAAGACGGCGTGATTCATCATGCTCAGCATACAATCCTCGCGGCAGGGGCTGGCAGTGACAGATTGCTTGATTTCAAAAAGCAATTGCGCCCGACTGCTTGGACATTAAGTCACATTCGAATGACACCGGAGGAAGCCCAAAAGTATCGAGACTTACCTGTTCTGTTCAACGTTTCCAAGGGATTTTTGATTGAGCCCGACGAGGACAAACACGAGCTCAAGATCTGCGACGAGCACCCGGGATACACTAATTTCGTGATGGATTCTGACCATCAACGCGAGATGCGGAGTGTCCCATTTGCCAAAACGCAAATCCCGCTGGAGGCTGAGACACGAGCTCGAGAATTCCTGCGTGACACTATGCCACATTTGGCAGATCGGCCTTTCTCTTTCGCTCGAATCTGCTGGGACGCGGACACGGTAGATCGTGCATTTTTGATTGATCGGCACCCTGAAAACGCTTCTCTTGTTGTCGCTGTTGGTGGATCACGCTTTGGAGCGATGCAGATGCCCAACATTGGAGGATTCATTGCGGATACGTTAGAGGGAAAACTACAAAAGGATCTGAGCGAGGCTTTCAGATGGCGACCTGAAATTGCAGTCTACCGAGACTGGTGGTCTACACAAGGTCGATTTGGTGGTCCAAACAAATTGATAGACTTCCAGGATCTCAAGGATGGCGAGTGGACAAACATTGAATAAAGCGTATAGATGATCTGCTATGAATGTTCTTCAAATCACTTGCTGGGATGTACATGGAACAAAGGGCCCTGGCCATCACATTGTTTCCATTTTCGAGTTGAATATCACTTGCTCGCGAAAGCGCAGTTGGTCATCTCTTTCTTGAAAACATCAGCCTCAGGACGAATGTCGAAATCGAAAATGTCCATCGGCACCGAAAGGGTGGTACATGTGTTTGGAATGTCCACAATTCCCGCAATATGCCCTTGCACTGGAGCGCAACTGAGCAGGATGTAGATCTGATAATCGCTATATCCATAACGCCGAAGGTACTCAATCACACGCAGACAAGCCTGTCTATAGGCAACAGTTGTATCCAAGAAGTGTTGTTTACCATTCTCGTCCACCGAGAATCCCTCAAAGGTCAGGTATCTCCCAGAGCCGAATTGAGGTTCCACAGGACCTGCATGGAATATTGGGGATTTCATGTCAAGTTTGGCCATGCCGTTCTTGATGACGGTGAATTTGAGTGTGATCACGCCGGACATTTCGATGCCACCACAGAAAGAGACCTCTCCGTCACCCTGAGAGAAGTGCAAGTCCCCGACAGAGAACTTTGCCCCCGGGACGTGGACAGGAAGGTAGATCTTGGATCCACGCGAGAGGTTCTTGATGTCGCAGTTGCCACCATTCTCCGGACGTCCCTTGCTGATGTCAATATATGAAATTCGAATTGGCTAATTCATACTTACTGGGATAGTCCGCGCGCCCTCCTTGGCAATTCTGCTTTGTACATCACCTGCGGCATTTCCGCCATGAGCATTCGTGGGATTGGGTGGCTGAGCGACGATTTGATCGGAAATTGTATTAGCTGCAATGAGTTCGCCTTCGCGATGGTTCCATTCAGCCAGGATCTCTGCTGATGGAGCGCAGCCCAAAATTCCTGGGTGAATCAAACCCGCGAAGCGAACGTGTGGGATGTGGCGAGACGAGCAAAAGATCCCTTCAAAGTCCCAAATTGCTTTGGCACTGTGGCTCTGATTAGTATGATACAACATGCGGCATACAGTGTGCATACGCTTCAGGGTAAAATCTGTCCAGGAAACCGCCACCATTCTCTTTGTGGAATACACCTGAGTATCCCCACGGTTGATCCTCAAAAGGCTGCACATCCTGTATCTCGACGAGCAGGACATCACCGGGCTCTGCAGTCTCAATATCGAATGGACCAGAGAGGTAGTGAATCTGAGTTAGATCTACATTCTTGAGATCGTCTGCAAAATCATTGTTTCCGATTTGACCTCCTGTCCAATCAAGACATTCGATCTTGACGACTTCGTTGTTGGCGATCTTCCCGGCGGCCGGTACTGCAGGTCGTCAATTCTTGCTCGCATGTACGATGATAGTATGACAAAGTACCTTCTGGGTGCCATCTGTTCTACGAGATCATTAGCAAAAGAGAACAATGATAGCCAGAGAAACACCTACATGTAGGCCCGGCTGTTCACGAGCAGGCTTGTCGAGGTCTACTTTCAAAGCAGTTCGGATTCCCTTGATACCCATACTGGTGATGCGCGCGGCTGCTTTTGTTTTCTTGGGGCAAGCTCAACCGAGATATGAGAACAGTTGAAATGTATGAAAGATGGCATCTCACGGTTGGAGTCGGGGGTAACACGACTATATCTAGACCCCCTCATGATAACGCCCTACCCCGCATAGACGGTCCATTCAGGCGTTGGCATGAATAATAGATACTTGCGGCGCCGTGAATCTGGCTTATCATTCCTGTATCTTGTATAGTTCGGGGTCAGATAGCGTCGCTAGGATCCTCGGGATTTGCATTGGGTCCGGCATTTGGAACGCGCTCGTTTTCATCACCCCAGTGGGACTACTGCACAAAATCTTATCTATTGCTAGTGGTTTCGTGTAATTGCTGACTTGCAAGTTCTATTCGCTGCAGTTCTTGATAGAACATCATTGACAATAGCCCTGGAGGCATAACATTCACGGGTTGGAACTTGGCTTGGAAAACCCATTTGCTGACTGTATTCAACACTTTCTCTAGGGCTCCAGGGCTCAAGTGTTGAATTCCAAGTTTTCCAGGTGTCTTGAAGTGATCAGGAGTTCTTACTCGATTGTCTGCAAGTGAAGATAGAGAAAAGGGCTAGGTAGACCGATCCAATCCAGTACTGAGGATGCAATGTATGAGTTGGCGGAATCCAATGCAAGTAACTAATGTATCGGGAAGCCTTTTTCATCAAACTCCTTTTTGAAATGCCAAGATGCACGAAATTTATGTGCATGATGTTGGGTGGTTCCCAGAGCCCCGCAGGGTGCAATGCGACCCGAAATCCACGGTTGTAAGGCTCATAGGGTCTCAAGAGAATTTCTTCTCAGGGGCACCCGAGTCAGTGCTAGACCGGCCTTTTTCAACGTTGAATTTATCAAGGTTGTCAAGAGACAATTGTAGGAAGTCATGCTTGTTAGCCCAAGTGACTTGGCTCTCGGCGAAGCCCTCGCTTTCAGCCGGGGGTGGAGGGGGGTCAGTGATCTTGGTAACGAGGTATGCCGTAGATGCTTGTGCAATCCCATACATGAGAACACCGATGTAAGGAAGGCGCATAACAGCCGTGAAGGCAAAGGCAAAGCCAAAGAGGACGCCTTCGCGGTCCCGGAACCATCGGCGCTTTTGCTCGGGCGTGAACTTGACGCGCGAGAAGTAGGGCTCGAGCTAAGGGATGTTAAAAATGGGTCAAATTTCGGAGACATGTCGGACTCACAAGTTCGCGCATCAGACTGCGGGAAGAGAAGTAGGTATGAAGGAAGGTCACGAGGTATGATTTGGGGAGGAAAAGACCCGCTCCAAATATGGCAGCAGCTGGGGTACTGCCCACATGGTTTCGGAAGGTGTAGAAACTCGCTGCAGGCATCACAAATCTACCAATGATGACAACCATGGAAAGCAGATAGAGCCCAAGCATCATGCCGATCTTCTTTGCGTAACGATGGAAGAACGCCATGAGAGCCTCAGGGATTGGGCGAGAGCCACTGGTACCACCCTTGTTGGAGTACATCTTAAGGTGGGGATAGTACATCGCTCGAAGCTGGTTGGGGTCCTCTTTCTTGTGCTTCTGAATGTAAGTCATGTCCACCCATTGGATAGACTGCATGAAGCTAGGGACGGTCAGAGCGAACGTCATTGAAGTTGGAAGACAGGTACATACATTTCATCCAGCGTCGGCGTGACATATCTCATCAGAGTCATCAGCATGAATGGCACCTGGAGAACTGACTTGGACATGAACTCCAAACCATTCAAGAGCTTGTCATCCCAGAGAGCATCCTCCATATTGACCACCCATGAAAGTAGCCATATAGAGAACTTGACACTCAGAATCTGATTGAATGGTTAGTATCCATTATGGGTAGTGAACGCTCTGCCCGAAATTACCGGAATCTGGATAATCAACTGGATGACGATGCCAACAGCTATGGCAAGAGCTGCTTGACGGAAATGATCATATTTGAAGAGTTCAGGGTTCGTTAATGCACGGACGGCTATAAAAAAAAGTTAGCAACCCGAAAAGAAGTTTCGAGGTATCTCGTTCCCATGTCGGTGGGAGAGTTAACTAGTGACCAGGCAGACTCTGAATGGACAGACGGGGTACATGGCACTCCTGGATCGGAGGCTTGGCAGATGCCGAGCTGTAACAGGACAGGCATGGGGCTGTAGATGCTGTCCAAGCAAAGGATACCTCAAATCACTTGAAACCACTCGAAATGGAAGACAAGCAGCAGTGGATGTATTGGGGACACATACTTCCTACCACCGTGAGCTGGAAGCCGCGGATCACAGCGTTTGGCTCAAAGTTGGACATTGTGGATGTCTGAGATTCCTGGGCGCAAATACCAGAGAAAGGTCCAAGGAGCTAGCAACCATGCATTCCTTGAAGAAGCGAAATCACCGAAGCCTGGCCATTCCTGCGTCATGGTCACCTGACTGTGGCCTGAGGCCAAAATGCGTCTCCCCGCGCAAAACCCGCAGATAAGCCGCGTCTCCTGCATCAGGCACTTGCATATTATCTTTTGTACAAACATGTCCTTCTAATACCTATACTCTACTCCCTGTATTGATCGCATCCATGAACCATGCCTGAGTCTCCAAGCGAGCTAGGTCAGATACACTCCCTCCGTCGCTCCGTCACCCTCCCCGTCAAATTAAACCCGCTCACGCAGCGTCGCTCGAGTGTCCCGAATACCCCGGAGCATGTAATCTATTATCACCCTTCGGCGAAAATCGTGCATTTTGCTCCAAGGGCACTCGCCCCTATTCCGTCCAGTTCTGCACCGTCCGACTTCGATTACCCCGTGGACACCATCGAAACACTTCCCTGGCGCTCTGCTACGGAGCGAACGGTCGCAACTGCGCCCCTACGACTGGAGAAAGTCCATGGCTCAACCGCGTTCTTGAAATGTGGAAATGTCGTCCATGCGATCCTAAAGAACTCGCAGTGTTGGTGTGTAGACGGGGTTTCCAAATTTGTTTTGCGCATTCGACCTCTCACATATTATCGCATCGAGATTCCATACGAGACAGGGGATGATCAGAGTTCGGTACAGGAGCTGAAGCTCGCCCTGCCAACCGTGCTCCGATATGAAGTCACACCATGCCCTTTCAAGCGTTCCTTCAGTGTCGAGCTACCCATCAATGTGATGGCCCCTCGACGCAAAAAGGCCTGGAAACCGAAAGACCAACGACCCAGGGTTCCCACAGTGTTGGAGTTGCCACTGGAGGCATCTTCACCCTCCTCAACTAGGTCGGAGTGGTTGGATTCTGCAAGCACCGGAGATGACACCGATGGCAACTTGACTGATGACAGCTGCTTCACGTCGCACAAAGCAAATAGCACAATTTCGGAAATTTCACATGACAGTCACCATCTGTCCCCCACCGAGACACCGAGGCCTTCGTCATCTCACAGTATCTCCCGGCGTTCGGTGTCGGAAACCCCGCAGACCTTTACCAGCCTGCTCGCAAAGTTCCAGGCCACACCACTCCTAGAAGATCGCGATTCAGAGTCCAACCCCGAACCGAGGCTTTCGCCAGATGTCGGGAATGCAGCATCGAGCCATACTGAAGCAAGCCCTGCCCCGGCAGATGACGCGCCTCTGTTGCCAGCTGATGGTGGGGTCCAAAGCTCTCCCGCATCGATAGCTGCTGCTGGATCACCAAGCGAGGTGGAACCGCAGGCCAAAGCCGAGTCCGACGTTCAAGCCACGACATGCCAGCAGTCTCCCGGTGAGACTGCTGTGCAGTCTGAGACTGCAGTTCAAACCCAGGCTGGAAATGTGTTAGACACAGAAACGCCGGACTCAACTGAACCTCGGATTACGATCGAATTCAATGACTCGCCACACTGGGGAGCTGAGGATGACGAGGTTCGGCCTATTGACGAAACCTCCTTGGAGATTGATCATGATGCATCATTTGCCTCCAGCTCCGAGTCATTCCACTCTGCCGAGCCCCAGTCACCCGATTCGGTTTCCACCCACCCTACTTCCGTCGGAGGCCACGATTTGGCAGAGCCTACGGATATGTTCAGTCTATCCAGTGCCAAGGATATGACTACTGAAATGGAGTCAATGCCAGCCAACTCACATGAGGAGCCCGCGCTTACAACAGTCGACCAAGTTGGAATACCTGAAATCTCCAAGGAGGAAGACACGCCCACCCCTGCATCAGATCGCCTTAGCCCAAATGACGTACCGACGACTGTTTCCAATAGATCTTTGGATGCACCCTCGGCAATGGCTCACACTAGTAAAGCACCTCGATCGACTCGGGCCACAGACATGTCTCCCGAGCCAACGCTCCCCTCTCTGCCCGTTTCTAAGACTCCCGAGTCAAGCACAGATTTCAATCACATGAGTGCAGAGTTCCGACGCCGTGCCCAAGCGACAAGAGAACGAGAGGTATCACCAATGCCCCATTCCTCGGCCTTGTACAAACCAAACCCAGGCGATGACGCCAAGTCTTTCATTTCCAAGGCTATAACTTTGGTCCTAATTCCTCCTGCCTATCTTTTCATAATTCTTCTCCACATCGCCGCTCGCGTTGTGATCAACCCACCGCCGACTCAGCCAGCTGTCGGCTTCCGCCCGAGTGGTTCGAATTCCAATTCTCGCAAAGCCAATCGAACTTCTGCCACCGGCGACGATTTCGATTTTCCACTGGAACCTCAAAGCTCTTCCGAGTACGAGGATGCCGAAATCACCCGGAAGCTTGATCCCTGGGATCTGGACTAAGCCGGCTCATCTTGTTATCACTACCATCTTCCTTTCACCTTCTCTTCACAGTGTGATTTTACCGCCATCCTACACCTCATTTAATTCCCCATGTACTTTCGCTTTTACCCAGGCCTTCACGCATCTTAATATCTTCTTGTTATGAATATTTAGCACCAGCCTGGACGACTCATGTTTGGATATACTGTCATGGTTTTTGTATTAACGGGTCAATTCTTTTTTCTAGCGCCTATCTATCATCGGAGGGATCGAAGCTCATTGGAATCAATTAATTTATGACAAACACTCTTTCGCCGATCGAGGACCTCAATCGATGCCCAAAGGCCAGCATGTAACCTCTTGTGTAGTATGTCTACTCCGTAGAAGGGAGGGAAATGTAAACAGTGACCCTTTTGATAAGATCATCACCAGTCGTAATATTCAAGAATCGCCATTTTAATTTGCCATGAGAGATATATGGACAATGACAGCGCTCGTGTAACACAAGTGCAAGGGAATATGTACACCTGAGAAGAAACCCTCATCGAACTGGAAGCAAAAAGGAACCAGAACCACCCTCGAACGCCAGCTAATGCATGAGAAATCGAAGCCATCAACACATCGCATGTCAGGTCCGAGCAACGTGAACGGAAGTCGATGGTGTAATATGGAGGAATAGGCAAAGGGGAATTCTAGGCCTTGGTGGCCTTAGCAGCTCCGCCCTTAGTCTTCGCCTTGCGGCCACGGCGGTCTCGCTTCTTCAGGCCAGTCATGCCTCCCTTGCAAACCTCCGCATAGCGAGTGTAAAAGGCCTCCAGGTCTTCGGGGTTAACGACTGTTGAGATCTTGATCTTTGTGGACTTGCTCTTGGTTATCTTTCCGTCTTTGCTTGCGGACTTGGGGTTGGGCGCATTGGTGTTTCCATCGGTGGCTCGGATGAGGATTGATGGTTGAGCGCTTGTAGTTGTGGCACCGGGGACGTCGATCAAGGGCTTTTGAGTAAGGATGACGGATCCGCGGGCCTTTTGCGAAGTCTTGGAGAGTAGATCGGCGAGTGATGAGAAGAACTAGAGGTGGTAGATATTAGTGTCATAGCTCAAGATTGGTGATCTGGTCGCATGTGCACAGGTATAGCGGTCAAGGAACATGCGAATTGATATTTACCTCATCTTGTCCCATATGCGGCGCCATGGTTGGGTTTGATATTGGAATGCGCTCAATAATTGACTGAGCTGGAAGCTGGAGCAGTGATCAATATGCAATTGACAGCTGGGGGAACAACTGCTCGGTGGGGGGAGGAAACTCCGCTGTGGGTGCTTGTCCGCCTTTGTTTTGATGTGGCAGAAAAGTGAAAAAAGTCCCCGACCGCCCGGGATGTCTGACATCGAAGTCTGTTTGAACTCTTCGAAAGCAGATCATAAGCTACTACCAAGATGCCACGCCCTCGGCATAATACAACAGCTCTCCCCCGGAACCTCCGGTCCGAATTAGGTATCCGTGATACCTATGGCGACAAGAAGCGCCGCCTGAACGGACCTGCCTCGCGCAAAGAACGCCGCCAAAATGAACGCACGCAGAAGAAGTCACGACATGCAGCACCGCCACAGAAGAAGGTTTTCCAGCGACCCCAAAGCCAGGCCCAGGGAGACAGTGATGACGAATTTGACGATGACTCGGACGACATGGACATCGACGAGAAACCTAGTGCGCCACAGAAGAAGTCGAAGTCTACAAAAGAGACTACCGAAAAGCCCAAGTCAATCTTGAAGAAAGCTGCGACTAAGCCTACGCCCGAGTCAGAGTCCGAGTCCGGATCAGAGCTTGAGTCAGAGATTGATCTAAATGAGGACGACGACGAGGACGACGAAGAGGAAGATGAGGAGGATGAGGATGAAGAGTCAGATGAAGATGACCACGACGATGAAGATGAAGTGGATGAGCCTTCTGAAAACTATGTCTCGGGGTCGGTCAAGTCCAAATTAGCACAAGATGATGCCGAGATCGCTGCGTTGGAGAAGAAGCTGGGTCTCAAGAAGGGAGGAAAGTCCAAAGCCTTCGAAGACGATGGATTGGACGATATCCTGGGAGACTTGGGTGGTGGTGGTGATGCCTCCGAAGATGAAAGCCGAAAGCGCAAGCGAGAAGCCGACGATTGGCTCCAGGCCAAGAGACAAAAGGCCAAGGCCCAACAAGCGCAGGCCTCTAAACAAGAGGACAGTGAAATGGACAGCGACGAGGATGTGGACCTTGATGAGCAAATATTCGGAAGCGATGACGAGGATGCTGCTGATGGCAGTGACTTTGATGGTTTTGATGAAGAGCCCAAGGAAAAGAAACCAAAGGAAAATCCTTACATTGCCCCCGTCACGAAAGAAGCGACTGCTCAGAAATACATTCCACCTTCACTCCGAGCGCGCCTCGATCCTGAAAATGAGAGCCTCACGAGGCTCAAGCGTCAGGCCCAGGGTCAGCTGAATAAGTTGTCCGAGGCTAATATGCTCTCCATTGTTGCGGAGTTTGAAAAGCTATACCGCGACTACCCTCGACAACATGTCACATCTACCCTCATCAGCTTGCTGATGGGTCTCATTTGTGAGAGAGCTGCTCTGAACGACACTTTCCTCATCCTGCACGCTGGTTTCATCTCAGCTTTGTACAAGCTTCTGGGAATGGATTTCGGTGCAGAAATTGTACAAAAAGTTGTTGAAACTTTGGATGCCGGAGGAGACGAACGTGGAAAATTTGAAGGAAAGGAGATCCTTAACCTGGTCTCCCTTCTCTCCCAGCTTTATAACTTCCACGTCATTGGCTCACCACTGATGTTTGATTACGTCCGTCTGTTCGTGCAAGAAATCAACGAAGCGAACACCGAGCTTCTTCTTAAGGTTATCAGAAGTAAGCTTGTTGTCCATACCCTCAGACCGAATCTCGCTAACAACTACACAGACTCTGGCCCTCAACTTCGCCTAGATGACCCATCTGCCCTGAAGGACATTGTCCTGTTGATCCAGCCCGCAGTAGCGAATGTCGGAGAGGCATCTCTCTCTGTTCGAACCAAGTTCATGATCGACACAATCACCGACTTGAAGAACAACCGCTCCAAGTCTGCGGCCGCCGCTGGAGCCGGTATCACCACTGAGCATATTACCAAGATGCGCAAGATTCTTGGCTCTTTGAACAACTCTCGAGTCATCCGTGCTTCAGAACCCATCAACATTTCCCGCGAGGATATCCACAACTCTTCCAAGAAGGGCAAATGGTGGTTGGTGGGTGCAAGCTGGAAGGAGGACCCTCTTGTCGCCGCCCAGCGTGAAATGAGGGATGCGCCAATCACCCAGGCCCAAGCACCAGTCCAGGACGATGAAAGCGATGCCGAGCCTGACTTTGGAGACCTTGCCAAGGCCCACCGCATGAACACTGATGTTCGTCGGTCAATCTTCGTTGCTATCATGTCCGCCAACGATTTCCAGGATGCGCATGTCCGACTGATGAAGTTGCGCTTGAAGCGTGCTCAAGAATACGAGATTCCTCGTGTTCTCCTCCATTGTGCCATGGAAGAGCAGGCCCACAACCCATACTATTCGCTCATTGCGCGCCGCATTTGCGGTGACATGGGACGCCGAATTAAGATGTCATTCATGTTCGCTCTCTGGAACATCTTTAAGAAGATGGGCGAGCGGGGAGACATGGAAGACGACGATGATGATAACGTAGATCCCGATGACCCCGAGAATGGTGTCAGCATGAAGTCCGTGGTCAACCTGGCGAAGATGTACAGCTATCTCGTTGCAGATGGTAGCCTGACATTGAGCATTTTGAAGAACCTCAACTTTGCATACCTCCAGCCCAAGACGAAAACGTTCTTGGAGGTACTGATCATTTCCATCATGCAACAATCCCAAAAGTTCAAGAAGAAGTCCAAGAAGTCTAAGACGGAGGAGCCCCGGAATGAGGAGGCTCTGATGCAGATTTTCTTGCGTGTCAAAGAGACCCCACAAATCGCCAAGGGCCTGATCTACTTCGTGCGAAAGGTTGTTGCAAAGAGCGATATTGTTTCTGAGGAGGACCAAAAGCTGGTTCGCTGGGGTTGCAATGTCGCTGCTGATGCCCTCAAGGCTGTGGCAGACTAGCATTGTATTGTACTGCATATAGAATATACCCAAGTTATGATGCTGCTCATTCCAATTTTCGGTCCAAATTTGCGCATTCCCAATCTTTCCATAGTAAGACCTCTAAATGAGTTACGAGTAGCCTGTATATGTTAGTGTTGGGCAAAACTTTCGTTCTGCTAACCACCTGGGCAGTATTGACAACAGACTTGAGTGAAACATCAGTAATGCAATTCATTGAAAATATGCTATGGGTATAAAGGTGTCGTTAGGTTCGAAACGATATATTGGAAATTCCGTCGTTGACGGTATGCCTGCGAATTAGAGATTCGCAAGCACATGGATCAGATCCCACTCCATAGCCACAAGCCACGGTTCTTTCGGTTCATGTTGCTCCTCATCTTCCAGTTGATTTTCGGGGGACATGGCAATGGGAGTGGTGTAATTGGACTGAGGTTGACTCGGAAAAGTACCAAGCTTCATGGTCCAAGTCAGTCCTCGATGGATTCCTACAATATCTCCTTGCCGGGGTAGCAGGCCAGGAGGGTCATGGCCTAAGTCGGGTTTTGAGCGTGGATGCCCCATGATCAGGATGTTCAGTGAAGCACTGGCATCGAAATCTTGCACTTTATGGCCGGCAACAGGGTCAGCTTGTACAAAAGCCAAAGAGTCGCAACCATTCGTTCTAGTATGAGTAACCTTGGTGACACGGACAGCCACTAGATACCTCTCCAAATCTGCAGGTGAAGGCACTTCTGCCTGCGAATCCGCAGACTGAGCCAAGACGGGCTTCGGCAGCTGCTCGCGTTTGACTCCCATTTCCAAGACCCAGCTGCGAAGCTGCGCAGCCATCCCGCCCGGTACGTAATTGACCACGCCGCCGCGCTTCCGGCCACGACGACTGAGTGTCCGCGAACTGGGGGAGAATGGGGCAGGGATATAATCGGCATCCGGATTGGGAGACGGCGAGCGCGGCAAAACAAAAGTCGGTTTACGTCTCTCCGGTGGTGATACGGCCGGTGTGCTCGGCTTGAATTTGGGAGCAGACTGGCTGCTCGGAGGCTTGATTGCCGAAGAAAGCATGAAGCGGGGGCGGCCTCGGAATGGTGTCGTCGTGGCGCCTGGTGTAGAAGCGGGAAGAGCAATCGGACGTGTACTAGGAGCTGGGGTTCTCATAGTCCCCATCTCCCGGGCCACTGGGCCGCTTCTAGACACTTGAGGCGTGTGGGTAGCATTTGGAAGCGCGTGTGATGCCTGTTGCGGTGATGACAATATCGGATCGATCTGGGTTGGCCTCGTTGAAGTTGATGGTGTGCCCGTCTCCATGCGGCGCCGTTTGTTACCCTCCCTGATGGACGCAAAGATGGCATCAAATTCAGCGTCAAGAAATCCAGCACCCTCACCTTCTTCGGGTGGGCTGCTATCAATAGCATCATCCGGTATGTCTTTCCTAGCTCTGGTACCAGCAAACCCATCCCTTATCTCTCCTGCATAATCGATGTCCTCGATCACGTCGCGTTGGCGCGAGCGAACAGGTTGAGAGGCAGGATAGACTTGCGCGTCATGACGCGTCGAATGCGATTCATCATCGTCTATGACATCGTGATCCTCGGTGCTTTGCGTAGCACTTTGTGACAGCAGAAATCGGGGTGTAGGTGCGAACTGGGGACGATTGCGACGCGCGGGTGTTTGTGAAAGACGGAATGGGGGCGTCTTGAGCCAAAATAATTAGCCGAGGGTATAACAGATATTGAGCTATCACATACCGCCGGGAAAGGCATCTCAGCCAAACGAGAACATTGCAGATTGGAGTTGCGGGGAGGGCAGAAGCGGTTCGCCGTTGAGGCTCAAAATCCAGGTTCTCTGCTCCCCGGGACATTGCGGCTCCAGATTGGAACTTGGAATTCGCTCTCCCACTCCCCATGAGTGTCATTTCAGAACAAATACTCGACATCGAAGATGCTCTAATCTCCCATGAAAATTCAGCTCGTGGTGAAGACACGCTTGACTACGAGCGATGTGCCAGACTACACAATTACCTGGTCGCATATGGCTCGATGGCCCACCATGGAAGAACAACACCCGATCTCGATGCAATAGGTTGGGAAAGGTGGTTCTTCAGAGAGCCAGCTGAGCAGATAGACGCCATAAGGGAGCGTCTGGTCTCGCCCCTGAATCTTTCCTGGATTTGATTTACGACCCCCAGCCGGCATTCTTCTATTGGGTGAACGGCCTTGAGATGACACTTTGCGATGAATCGTTTCCTGGTGAACACAATGAGCCTGAGAGCGAGGGTAAATAGCGCTTCGTGGTGATTTATGACACTGTCTCAGAGCTGGGCTCTCATTGTCTCGGCGTTCTTTACGATCAACAACACAACCGAGCCTCATTCCCGATGACTTTGGAAAATCCAGAAAGTGTGGAACCTGTCGACGAACACAAGGAGATGTGGCTCCCTCTGGAAACTATCTTCACCCACTGAATCTATATGATTCGTCTGGGCAGGGTTGTTCCTAGGCTGCCTCGGTGCAACTCAACGTCAAGATCCCAAATCGATCTTTGGTCGTGGCTTCCATATCGCGATTCCCAGATTGTTAGCACTATAGCTGCCATGGAGCACTACTCAGCTACGGTCGAATTGCGGATGCCTTCGCATTCACTTTTGCCTATCTCTGCACCGCTCTTTATTGACACAGACCTTGATACAGCCTCCGTGCCAAATGACTGCTTCATTCCAAAGTTTTTAACCGGAGTCAAGACTCCGCACTTTAATCTTATCGCGCCTGGTCTACGGGTCCCAAATGATAAGGAGTTTGCGAGGCAGCAGAGATTCACTATGTTACCCCAAAAAGAGGACTTTGCTCCAGCAGTTCTACTATTTCCAACCTCAGACCGGCGAGTAGATCTCAACTTGGAAAAGAAATATTTGTTCTTGCAAGACGGTGAAAGCTCCGCCATGAACGAAGGTCATTCCATCTCTACCGGGCTGTATAGTGAACCTCTATCTCGAGATCGTCACGACACGGAGGAAGCAGCTTTCCGCCTTCTTCTTCCTTCTCCGCTACGACTTGATTTCCAAGATGAAGAGGCAGCTAGGATGAGTGATGGCAGATTACCTAGGTAGTCAAATCGGGCTCATTCACCGAACTCTTCCAGCATGGCTTGTTTCATCCATTTGGGGGTGAACGTCGGTCACAGAGACTAGTTGATTCAAATGTTGGTTTGGTCCAAGTTGCACAACAACAGATGAAACTTATGATTTCTAGTCTACTAAACACAAACAAACTTCCCGTTTGTGAGAATAAGTCGAGAGAGTTGAATATTCCCTTTGTCAATTCAAATGATTTTGTTCAATTATGTGCTTGGCAATGCTTAGTTCATCGCTCTTAGCGAATTTTGTTGGAACATTCGGGATTCAAAAACTGTGCCCAGAGGACCCCATGGCCCTTGAGGGGCCCATGCTAGGTGCTCCGTTGTCTGAACGGTCATTCATTGACCTTGTATCAGCGAACCCAGGCTCCTGGTCCAATCTCGTGAGGGGAAATTCACTGTCCATCTCGTCCATGCCAAAGGTTTTCTTCGATGAGCCGTTCTTACTCAGAATCGGCCCACTTGCCGGTTGAGTGGTATAGCCAGCCTTCGCGCTAGCAAAGAGAGCAGGAAAGGCGGCTTTGAGGATAGGTCGAAGCATAGGTGCGCAAGCATTTGCAATGGCCAGGGCAGGCTCGGTGACACTCCAGAAAGCGGCCCAAATCATGGAGTAGGGAAGGTCGTTGAAATCAACAGTTGTAAGAACACGGATGCGGATGATTGTGATGGAGGAGATGCTGGTATCGCGAGTCAGTTATTTGAACAATAGTCTTGATATGGCTCGGCAACATACAAAATTCCCAGACCGAAGATACCATATAAAGCCACTTTTGTTCCGGTGGACATCTGCAATTTCCAGATGAACCGCATGGGCAGAGCCATGATCATGACATCCGTGACAAGGTTGAATGCGCCAATTGTCGAGAAGGCCACGTTTTGGCTTGCACAATGACCCGGAAGTAATGGATTCCAGTTCTTTTTGAAAGGTGTGCATATGAGGAAAACTTGAAGAACACTGCCGGTCCAGTATGCCCCTGCGCAGCCCATACAGACCCATGTGAGAATGCGAAATTCCTGGCTCACGAAGATTCGCAAGTAGAAGAAAAGATATGAGAATTTCGCAAAGACCATGGCGTTGTAATAGACAATTTGGTAGATGATTAGCATCTTGGCAATCAATACCGTGTTGTCTGGATCGATTTCCGTGACATGGTTTCGCATTCCTACCCGCGCATAGTGATATTGCATCGCCAACATGCCGTATGTGTGCAGCAACCCGACGAGACAGCACGCATCGTCCCACCCAATTGCACTTTGCCGGATCTTCCGTGAAACACCACGTAAAATCACCATAAGAGTAGCTAGAATTACTAGCACTGTATTAGCGACCAATTGGTCACGAACAATGGCGAAGGCGAAGACATTGTATAGCTGCATTGTGCCATCGGATGGAGAGTGTAGATTGAGAGCCCTGCATAAAGGGCTGAAAATTGGCCTGCAGAACCTCTGAAGAAGTTCCCCATAGTGTAGGCGGTACTTTTGCCATGTGTTAGCTCGTCAGGAAACTTGGAAGCAATAGGAGGTTTCAAATTCTCCAGTACTATCACCGACAAAGGTGCAGATCGGCAGGGATTGAATAAGATGACCATTGTGGCGGACCGTTAAAGCGGGCCGAAGGATCATTTTAGCCCCCAATGGCTTAATATATCGAGTGTCATTGGAAACACCTCCCCTCCTAGCATGGACCAACTTGAACACCATGCATTCGGCTAGAAGCCCTCGCCCCACCGTGACATGCCTAGCGCCATACACTAGGCTTGCGGCCCATCACCGAGGCCTTGACACGGCATGCTTTTGGCCTAGTCAGCATGCTTGAATCCCGATTTAATTCGGAATACCCCCTTCTCCTGCGATTGATTGCCTGTGGCATTTTCAACCGGGAACCCTCCAACTATTTCACTTGATTGAAGATACGTGTTTCAGTATGGACGAATATGACTATATCATCATTGGTGCGGGGATTGGTGGCCTGGTGTTAGCCAATCGTCTCAGTGAGGATGAGTCCGTGAGGGTCCTCCTGATCGAAGCAGGTGCCAACCGCATGGGCGATCCTCGCATTGACACCCCGGGCTTTTTGGGCACGCAGTATGGAGACCCAGACTTTGACTGGGACTATATGAGTGTTCCTCAGGTACATGCCTGATTACCATCCATGTCATTCGGAAGCATCATTCTAATAGAGATTCAAAGGAACACGCGAAGAATCGTCAAATCGGCCAACCTCGTGGCCGCGTCGTCGGCGGGTCCTCTGCCATGAACTTCTCGATGACTATGTATCCCACGGAATCCAACTTCGAGGCGTGGGAAGCACTGGGCAATAAAGGGTGGGGCGCTGAAGAGATGGCACCATACCTTCGTAAATTCCATTCCTATACCGCGCCCAGCGAGGCCACTGCAAAACTGCTTGATACGACCCGCTATATGAGCATTGACAAGCAGGGTTGCGATGGACCTGTGCCGATCTCTCTTCCGGATGTGTACGGTCCGTTCAATAAAGCGTGGGATGAAACCTTTGCGAAGCTGGGCTGGCAAACCGATGCCGATCCTATTGAGGGACGCAAGTTAGGCGCTTTCACCTCCCCGTTGACGGTTGACTCCAAGACTGGAAAAAGAGGGTATGCGGCGGCGTATTACTCTCCCGAGGTCGCGGCGCGACCAAACCTGCGACTTCTTCCGGAGACATTGGTTGAAAAGATCGAGTTCAGCCGAGAGGATGCGGAGTTGCTCGCGACGGGCGTCAAGGTCAAGACCGGGGACAACTCGTACACCATCACAGCGAAAAAGGAGGTTCTGCTCTGTGGCGGTAGTCTCAACTCCCCCCAGGTGCTTGAGCTTTCCGGTGTTGGAGATGCCGCTCTTCTCCAAAGCCACGGTCTTCCTGTCTTGATCGATAACCCCGCTGTGGGTGAGAATCTGCAAGACCACGCGCTCACCACGATCAGTTTCGAGGTTGCTGATGGCCAGATTTCCGGCGACATTATGCGTGACCCCAACGTCGTCCAAGCCTTGATCAAGTTGTATGAAGAGACAAACGGGGGCCCGCTGGCGGGTATGCCCCTCAGTGCGGCCTACCTTCCATTTGTGGACGGCGATGGCCCAGTGCCTCGCGAAGAGGTTGAGACTCTCCTCGCCACATATCTTGACAACGAAGAGACCCCCGCCAACTTGCGTTTGCAATATGATCAGATCCGCCGCATGATTCTCAACCCGGAGACTTCTTCTTCACAATATCTTTTCCTCCCTGCACAGCTCCACATGAACCCCGGTAAAACCACTCTGACAGACGTGTTGGCCAAAACCCTCCCTGAGAACTACGTTTCTTTCTTGATGCTGCACAGTCATCCATTCTCTCGCGGTTCAGTGCATATCACCTCCAGCCGAATCGAAGACAAGCCCACATACGATCCCAAACTTCTTTCGCATCCGCTCGACCTGGAGATGATGGCAAGACAGATGCAATTTGCGGGTCACATTGCTGAGACGGAACCTTTCGCCGGGCTGCTCAAGCCAGGAAAGTCTATGCCCGAAAGCACGAGGGATATGTGTGATCTTGATCATGTCAAGGACGTTGTGAAGGACAGGCTTTTCACTTGCTTCCATCCGGCGGGATCCTGTGCCATGCTGCCTAGGGAGAATGGTGGAGTTGTTGATTCCGAGTTGAAGGTTTATGGAGCGAAGAACCTGCGAGTGGTTGATGCCAGTATCTTCCCTCTTGAGCCGAGTGGGAATATCCAGTCTGCTGTTTATGCCGTCGCGGAGCGAGCAGCCGACCTGATCAAAGGTGTCAAATGAGTGTACGTACTACACTGAAAAGAGTCGCGATGGCTGTCCGACATCGAAGATAAAACTTTCGACGGTCCTGAATCCACCGTTGATCCTTCAGTAGGGCTCAATAGTCGACTCTACAACGAGGTCACATGTATTGCCCAGGTGGCGCATACATATTTCCTGGGGCTATCATGTACGAGCCGCACCTGTTGAGTTGTCGCGTTAATCCAGACACAACAAGGCTAAATACAAAGCTCAATGTCTGTATAGAATACCCTCTCATGAACCTTGAAAGCGTTATGGTGCTATTTCCGAGTCAACAAGCCATCAATTCCCCTGAGCTTCGAGGGCTGCCCCGCAGTAGACATCGCCGAGTTCCTCGGGGACCAGACGATAAAGCCCGTTAGTGCGCATGTGGACCTCCCAGGGGCACCGACAACCGTTAGATAAGGGGCGACTACCTACCTAGGTACCCGTGGACACTATATCACATTTGTGCGTACCTAGGTACTACTAGGTGGGCTCGATGGATTAGACAGACCAATGAAAGATCCTTGTATGAAACCCCTCTTTGTAGCTCTCGGCGTCTGGTCATTTGCAGACCCCGCCTGCTAGTGACCCTCCGGTGACTTTCAGTTGCTTGTCACTTCCAAAAGCTACAATCTGTTCGGGGTCAGTCTGCATCCCATATTCACCATGAATTGTCGAAAGCGGATCACACTTGCATGTAACGGTTGTCGATCAAAAAGGACTAAGGTAAGGCTCATTTTTTGGCAAAAAAATAATATATGTAGATTTGACGCTGGCCTGTGCTGATATATGTTTCCCAAGTGCGATGGAATCCAACCAAAATGCAGCGCCTGCAATTATCGAGACGATGAATGCCACTATACTGACACGGAGAGTAAGCGAAAGTAAGAACAAGCTTCAACTAGCTAGTGTTGTGCATCTCAAGTTATCTGACAAAATATCAGGCGACCAACCAACGCATACATAACGGCCTTGGAAGCACGTGTGGAGTTTCTTGAAAGTCGACTGAAAACCACTGAATCGATTTCAACTAAGATTTCCCCCAAAGGGTTCCGGGAAGATCCAAGCCCGACGACCTTTCCTGGATCCGAGAACTCAGTAGATGATCTGACGGAGGCGCTTGGGTGTTTTACGCTGGGAGACACTGGAGAGCTTCAGTTCTTCGGTGCATCCAGCAATTTCAGCATCATCCAGAATCCCTCGCTCAAAGTCGCATCATCACTTGAGGCTCGAACCCGCGGTATCGCAGCAGCCAAGCAAAGTCCTGAATGCTTCAACCCCTCAGAGGAGCTGCAAAATCATTTGCTGGGTTTGTTCTGGCGATGGCAAAACTCGTGGCAGTACATCGTATCCCGGGAGTCCTTTGTCCGTGATCTCTATATCGAAAGAAGTGGTCGTTACTGCACACCTCTCCTCTTAACGGCTATAATGGCGCTCGCTTCTCGATATTCAGCCCGACCCGAGCTTCGCACGGACTTGGCGAACCCAAACACAGCGGGTACTGTGTTTGCCAAGCAAGCCAAAATCATGCTGGACTGCGAATATGAAGCGCCCACAACATCTACAGCCCAGGCAGCTGCAATAATGGGTATATACTGGGCCTCAATTGATAACGAAGGCCTCGGGTTCATGTATATTGGCATGGCATCTCGCATGGCCATGAACCTGGGATTACATTTGGACAGTTCTCATCATGTGGCTCAGGGTTTGCTCACACAGGAAGATTTGGAAGAGCGAAGTATCGCTTTTTGGGGTATCTATCTGCTCGACAAGTAAGTTGCCAGACCTGGATGTGTCTATGTTCCTGATTCATTTGATGTAATCGCTTAACAGGTTATACTGCCTTGGCATGGGACGTCCCGCAAGCATACAAGAGTGCAACATCACCACTACAAGGCCAATATTGAAAGGTTACTCGTACGAACATCTGCCCGAAGGAATACGAAAAATCTCCACCCCTTTTGATACTGCTCACATCACCGACAACTGTATTCATACCTGCGAGCTATTCATGATTACCTCCGGGGTTATTGATAAATTGTACAATGACCCTTTCTACATCCTTTGGCTACTTGCATGATCTGACCTGAGTCATAGGTATGCACAGCGCTCGGAATGGACAGACTTAGAAAGGGAAGACCAAGCAATGCGAACTCATCTGGAGGCCACAAGATTTTTCGATGGCCTTCCGAAGAGTTTGAAGATTTCAGAATCCAGTGCACGGCCTTCTGCTCCCTACGTATATCAGTTCCAGTATGATCATTTCCTTTCAAAACTCATCAGTCTACGAAATGCCTAACTGGTTATGACTTCTAGTTTACAATATCACCATTCGATCATTCTACTCCACCGTCAATTTCTGAGGCCCTTCTCGATATCTCATCGGCCAACAGAATACGATCCCAATGGCAAGGATATCCATTCGAAGTCCTGCCTTTTGGCCGCAAATAAAATATCTAGCATTCTGAGAACGTTTGGGAACAACTTCAGTAATGTAGTGGCTGCCACACCCAATACCCTGGTGGACATGGTCACTGATTATCTTACTATTTTCTTTTCAGCGATCATTTCCGGTCTCCGCTGCTCATCCCGCTTTCACAGCCACAATAATTCTTTTGCTTGACAAAACAATGCGGAAGGAGGGTGATGCTAAGAGGACTATCAATTTCCTTTCAATCTGTCTCAGGGCTCTTTACGGAATGAATATCAACTGGAATTGGGCTAATAGATCCATCCAAGCCGTTTATTCATTGGCAGCGCAGTGGAAAGTGGACTTATCGGTACTTGATTTACAAAACGAAGTGCCTAAAGAGAACCTGGATCACTACAGTCGGTATTCTTCGGAATATATGGGGATCGATCAGGAAAATGTGCCTGTGCCTCAAGAGTTGACAAATGATTCTCTGCCTTTCAATTTTGATGAAGTGTTCGAGCCTCAGAACGATGCAGACTTTTGGTTCAATATGGCCTTGATGCCGGAGGGGTCAGTCCCATAGGAGGCAAAATCTTTCTCTTGTCTTGTTGCTCAATTTGACCTTTCTTATATAGAGTTCAGATTCTCTGCTAAACGATCGACTCATGCATGGATATATACCTACTAGGTAGGTACTACGCTATGATTTTGTTGATAAGGCCAAATCCTACTAGGTACCTACCTAGGTATCCATCACGACCAATTTATCACCAGAGACCGGATATCAAACAAACGGATATCACGAGGTGATCATAACGCCAGCTTCCAAGTTAGTCTTTGATTAAACGTTGTCTATCATCCCAGTTCCAATCTCCAGGGAACATTATCGACAATCTGGATATCAATTTCCCGGATACCCCGCCCTTCCAAAGGTTGAGCCCGGGGATATTTGTTACCCGGATAAAGAGAGTGGAGAAGTATACTATCAACTACGAAGTACCTGCAAGTAGAATAGGTTATAAAAAGAGAAGCTCTCAGTCCGATTTCAACGCTCTTCAATATTGTTATTCAGTATATAAGATCAAGATCACTCTACTTCGAATCTCTGCTACCCAGAATGTCTGCCAAGACTGTCAAAGTTGCCGCCATCCAGGCCGAGCCGGTATGGAACGATCTCGAGGGGGGCGTAAACAAAGCAATTGCTTATATCCAAGACGCTGCTTCTAACGGAGCTAACGTCTTGGGATTTCCGGAGGTATTCATTCCTGGTTACCCATGGTAAATATCAATCCTCTCCCTATCTGCGTCACGGCTAAGTAGAATGCAAAGGAGCATGTGGGCCAATTCCCCGGTTGATAATGCAGCTTTCATGGACGAGTATTTCCGAAACTCGCTCCCCAAGGAGTCGGAGCAGATGGACCGAATCTGCGCTGCGGTGAGAGAAGCTGAGATGTTTGTTGTTCTCGGATACAGCGAGCGCTACCGAGGAACACTTTACATCGCGCAGGTAAGTAACTCCCCCAGAAAATTAGCGCAAATACTAATCTGTAAAGTCTTTCATCGACCCAACTGGAACCATCGTGCACCATCGCCGCAAGATCAAGCCGACTCACGTGGAACGAGCCTACTGGGGTGACGGCCAAGCCGATTCCCTCCAAACCGTTGTTCCCTCGCCTTTTGGAAATATCGGCGGACTCAACTGCTGGGAGCATACCCAAACTCTTCTTCGCTATTACGAGTACTCTCAAGATGTCGATATCCACGTTGCTAGTTGGCCTCTGATTTGGGATATGCCGCCCAAGGAAAATGGGTCCTGGACACACCAAATCACTCCGCGTCTCAACTCTACTCTCTCCCAAACCATGGCTTTTGAGGGTGCTTGCTTCGTTCTCGTTTGCACTCAGATTCTGACCGAAAAGAGTCGCGAGAAGTGTCGTCTACAAAACTTCGAATGGGCCACTACCCCGGGTGGTGGGTTCTCTATGATCTATGGGCCCGATGGGGCTCCACTGGTGGAGCAGCCGCCCTCTGGTGAGGAAGTGATCCTCTATGCTGATGTTGATCTCCATGACAAGGCTGTCGCAAAGCACAATCTGGATCTTGTTGGCCATTATTCCCGACCGGATCTTCTGAGCCTTCGTGTCACAACTGACGTGGGAAAGCCGGTCCACTTCAAGGAGTAAAGATGCGTCGTCTTCTGAGTCTAGTATGCGCTTTTGCCTAGTCTGCTATCACTCACTGTCATTGCCCAGGTGAATCACAATGAAACAGATCATGACACACTTGGCGTCGCTTCCAAGTCTTGGGTTGCAATGCAGTCGTAGCCTCACAGATCTCACATCATACCCCTGCATGTAATAACTACCCAGACTTCACACCTAACCTAGTTTCCCCTCTTTACTCTTTCCCCCTCTTTTCAGCTTCCTCCTATATCGATACTTCTTCCTCTACACTCGATCATTGCAGGCTGCATAAAATGTCTGGCCCGGAGCTAGGTCTTGCTATCTTCGCTACTGTTGACATCTGCTTGCGGTATGTTCCAAGGTTCCAGACCTATACCATACGTTCTCCTTCACTGATATTTTTTCTTCTTTTCTTTTCCCACATTAGACACGTAAAATTCATCGTGGAGAAATACCATACCTTGAAGAATGCGCGGACTGAGATTGAAGAACGGACACTTCTTGTTGAAGCTACATGGCTCAAAACCTCGCAACAGCTGGCATTTCTGCGACGTGTCTGGGGAAGTCTCAGCGTAGGCCACCAAGAGCTACAGGAACGTATCATAAGAGTTCTAGAAAGAAAGCTTGATGCCGTCGTCCAGCAAATAAGCAAACTTGAGAAGCACTCTAATCAGGACTCCAGTGCTACTTTGAGAGCAAGGCAAGCGGGAAAATATGCCTTATGGGGGTTGAAGGAATCGTTCGAAAATGCCCTTCGAGACCTCCAAGCATGGCAATCGGAATTTGACCTGTCATGGCTCTGGGTATTACATATAGCCGATCGTGTCATTGACATCGAGTTGGCACGCCCAGGAGCTGATCAACTATCTGCTGCGAAAAAGGTCCGGCATGTGTTGCAAATGGGCCCCGCACAGGCAACTGGTGTTTTTCTTGAAGGGAACAAGCTTCAGTCAGCCAGACGTTCGGATATTCCTGATTCGACCTTTCAACTTGTGGAACTCGCAGACTCTAAGAGGTTTATATTGGACTCTGCAGATATCCCTGTCGGGAAAGATCCTTCCATTTTTCGCAAAGACATTCGATACTTGGCTGCAAAGCTCCAACAGTCTGCTGCGGACTCATTCCCTCTTCTCAAATGCCATGGCGTCGTTCCCAAGAAAGACTCTAGGACAACGGAGACCCTTTCATATGATTTCATTTTCAAACTGCCCAAGGGGGGTTCTGAACCCCGGAGTCTTCGAAGCCATCTGCTTTCCCAAAAAATTTATTCTCTCGGTGAAAGAATCCACCTTGCTAAGCAACTTGCTATGTCGACAAACTACATTCATGTACTCGACATTGTTCACAAGAACATTCGCCCAGAAAGCGTCTTGATCTTCAAAGACAACGAGCAACGATCGAAACTTGGCCGATCGTTTCTGTTAGGCTTCAAGAAGTTTCGAATGGCTGACGGCAGAACGAATCTTGCAGGTAACTCCGCCTGGGATGAGGAGTTATATCGACACCCTGATCGACAGGGAATCGAGCCTAGACGAGAATACATCATGCAACATGATATCTACAGCCTCGGGGTATGCTTCCTTGAAATTGGACTCTGGGAATCATTCGTGACTCCTGGGAAGCCTAACAATTCCTTGGCTGAAAATGGAAGTCTGAAGGACGGATTCGTGAAATTGGCCAAAGAGAAACTGCCGTCCAAAATGGGCGAAAAGTACATGAACGTTGTTGTCAACTGTCTGTCCTGTCTGGATGCGACAAACAAAGATTTCTGCAATTCAGCCGAGTTCGAGGACAACGATGGTATTATGCTTGGATCCAAATACATTGAAAAGGTAAGTCTGCTTTACGTAAAGTGATTGAACGCGATGGTAATAAGGCTGACTGTTATACAGATCCTTCTGATGCTTAGTGAAATATCAGTTTGACTGGCAAGATCTCACGGCAATTGTGACTTGATGATTTGGAAAGTGCATAGTTGGAAACAGAGAAATAGAACCATTTCAAGATTTGTTTCTTCGTCGTCTCACTAACACCGGTTACGTTAAGCTAATTTGAATTCACGAGGCGCTTTCCTGTACGAGTTTAGTTTGCAAATTTCTTCTTGTGGCAGGACGTTATCCATGTCTAGCTTCACCTACCCTCTGGTAGGCATAATTGTACAGAAAGAAACAGTATGGGACAGAAAAAAGTATAAACTCATAGGAAACATGGCCGCTTACATTTCAGAGAAATATTCATCAAAGTTATCTGCGGCGACCTTGGTACAGTCGAAGCCGTAGATCTCCCGCTGCACATCGGCATCAGCCCACTTATCAGGGACAGGGCCCTTTCCAGCGCGGAGAGCAGCGAACTGCTTATCACGCTCCTCCTTGGCAGCACCTTCACCCAGATGCAAGGCACGGCCAGAAGCGGTGGCCATTTCCACCAACGCCTCAGCGCGGCTCTTTCGGACTTTCTCGTAGACACGAAGAGCCTTGTTGATGGACTCAGGGGAGGTATTGGGGAGTTTGGAAAGAACAACACCCAGAACTGCACCATCCTCGATAGCCTGGGCGGCTCCCTGGGCAAGGTGAGGCAGGGTCGGGTGGCATGCATCGCCAACCAGAGCGACGGAGTCGTGCACCCACGTAGGCAGGGGGTCGTGGACGCGCAACTTCCACTCGCACACCTCGCCTTCGGGGACGTAGTTCAGCATGCGCTGGACCATGGGGCAGAAGTCGGAGAAGACGCCCATCATGGCGGGCTTGGAACCCTTCGTTGTGTAGGTGGCGTTAGTGGCGGCAGCGAAGTTGGTGTCGGGTTGGGTGGTGGAGAGGTTGTAAATGGTGTTGTTGGAGACTGCATAGGCAATAATGTGACGCTTTTCGCCGATCCATCGTGTAACACGATTGCTGTTGATGAGCGCAAGTAGTTCAGGGTCGTCCTTGATTTGCTCCTTGTGGATCATAATTCGGTATGCTGCCTGCTGGGTGTCCTTGACACCCACATCGACACCAAGGCGCTTCAGCATTTCTACGCGAGTCACGCTCTTAATACCGTCTGCGGCGAGGAGGACATCGCATTCAACCTTGTAGGGAGCGGCTCCCTCGGCACGCGGGTTGGCAGTGAATGATGGCTTGGGGCCAAAAGATTTCACATTGTCGGCGTTGATACCGAAGTGAAACTTGATTGAGGAATGTTTCTTGCAGCCTTCGTAGAGTCCATTGGCGAGTGAAGCGCGGTGGCCAACCATGTGCTTATATCCGTATGTTGCTTCAATATATTTTAAATCAACGTATGCATGCTCTGTATCCGTTGCACCATCTTCATTTCAAAGTCAGCATGCGCTCAGAATCAAAGTTGCCTCTCTCACCCACCTCGCACTGATGTGTCCTCGATATTCACGGCCTCGGCCTCAATTCCCTTCCAAACGCCGAGTCCGTCCAAAACCCGGGCCATGTTAGGGGCCAATTGAATACCTGCTCCAACAAATCCAAGATCGCTAGCATTCTCGTAGACATCGATATTCTTGAAGCCTTTCTGCGCCAGAGCCAGGGCGGAGGTCAATCCGCCCATTCCGGCGCCCAAAATGGCAATGCTTAAATCCTGGGGAGTTTTCGTCATATTGAATATATATGGGGTTCAATCTGGGGAAAAGAAACCAAAATGTGTCCAAAGCAACAGGGAAACACCAGAGAGATCTTTGACAGTCTTAAGTAGCAGAGTGCTGTCCCCGTTGGTTATGGCCACGGCGGAGTAAATCTTTGCCGCTCCCACATTCCCCCCACACATTCGCCGCCGACAGGCCTCGGATCGAGAGTCATTTCATCATTTTCTGGGGACTTTATCCGGTCATTGGCCCCGAGCGTCCTACGATTTATGTGAAGAGCCAATCACCGCCACGGCATTTGGCCTCTCGGTCTTTAGCATCGAGGCTTCGGAGAATACCAAAGTCAACATATTCGGCATATAGCATCTCCAGACCTGGGGATTTCCCTCCAGCTTCCAGCTTCCCCACAGTTGGACTTCCGGGTTGCTTTCCCGTTGTCCTTTGGTTTCAAGTGGCCTTGGATCTAGTTGAAGCGCAAGCATATGGCTTTGTCCCTTCAAGGCGGGCTCTTTCGCAATCTACACGCACCTACAAATTCTTACGATGGGGTGAGAGAACAGCTTTCTGTGATCAAAATAGCTTTTTCCATTTTAGTATTTCTTTCCTAGTTTTTCGTGTTTTTTTTCTCCTTTATTATTTTCCTCCTTTTTTTTAGTTTTTTGTTCTTTACTTGCCTGCTCTCGGCATTCTTCCTAGGTAGCTACTTGCGCCTCACCAAATTTCACTATAAATTCTCTTCTCAGACTCAGAACTCACAAGACTAAGGCGAACGGTCGTTGAACAGATATGCGCGGTCAACCTTGAAAGCACCTTTGAGGATATCAAGCTGATGAGACAGAATGCAAGAGATCGGGTGCTCAGTAGTACCGGTCTTCTCGATAACAGGGTAGGACACACAGCGCGGCTGGGTGGTGTGCATGGCCTTGTCAGTGACCGTGAATTCCCCGGTCTTCACACGCTCAAGGATAATATCTAACAGCTGTTGGTCAGAAAGGGCTTTGTCTGCGGGCTTAACTGGGATTGTGACCCACTTAAGGTGCTCATCACTGTGGATTTCGTGGATAGGGACGCCAGTGTTGCCGATGAAGATCGTGCGTCGCGTCTCGAGGAGCTTAGGCATTGAAACAGGGGAAGGCATGATGATCTGGATCTGTTGGTTTCTGGTTGTGTTGTTGTGTGAGATGTTCTGTATGATTAGCTTGGCTGTTGAGTAGATGTTGTTTTGATATGCTTGTTACTCGAGGCAACATGTGCCTTTTAAATACCTTTGCTTGGTGTCGGACCGAGTCCTTAGAAGAACATTTTCTTTCTGTATTCTCAATGGCATTGTCTGAAAGGGATCATATTTTCTTTGAGAGATTCCCTTTTATTCTTCTGCGCTCTCGAGTCCATTTTACATCGCCGCAAGACAAACCCATTTTTTTGCAGAACAAGGGCCAAAGAGGAGAACAAGGTCAAATATACAAGTCTAATGGGAGAATTCATTCTTTGTTCACTTTTCTGCCAGTCCGACGATGCACTAAATGTAGCTTATCGACTAGCGTCGGGCTAAAGTACTGAAAAGCGCAAGGCGGATATTCCAGAGCCGGATGACGCGTCTTCGTCGTCGCCCCGTAGAAGAGAATATGAAGTTCGCAGATGCCTAGGGGATTCTTATCTTGTTGAAAATTCTGCATCTCACCAAGCATTTGAAGTGTCAATACCAAAATGCGACCTGTGTCGCTGCTCCCGCTACTTGGGGCATCCGCCCTCTCCACGCCGATCAATGAAACTAGGAACGCCAATCACATTTTCAATGCGATCCAAGACTCCATGCGCCAGTGGGGATCTTCTCTTCACCACAACGGCGTTTCTTACTTCCTCGCGAGAGTTCCCGCCGGAACACAATTTTATCATGGAACTTCCAAGGACACCCCAGTGACTGGCACGGAGTGGTTAGCTTTTGAGCCCGAGCATGCGATGGTATTTGCACGCCCGCGCGGCCCTCCACCACCACCTCATGATGAGGTCGAGGGAGGAGATGGGCATAGAGAGCTACGCAAGCGCGATGGATTCGAGCGCTACGGGCCGCCTCACCAGCCCCCACCGGAAATGATGGACAGCAAAGCCGGATACTTGCATACATATGCTGCGAAGAAGGATCTTCGTCTTCTCTATGTAGACGGCATGTCTGCAGCAAAGACAGACAAGGGTACGTTGGAGTCCCAGGACCTGGTCTTGTTCAACGGTCTACTTGACGACTCCCCTCATGGTGGATTCCAGGAGAATGAGCGAGCGAAGCTTGCATGTGAACTTGCTGCGAACGAGTGGGAGGGCCGTATTGATGGAATCCTCCGCATGGAGGCTGGTTTCGAGATCATTCTTTGCGATTTCGAGCGCGATTTGGATTCAGTACGCATCACACAGGTTAAGCAGGAGACGAGGGGTGGACCTCCTGGTGGACCTGGCCCTATGGAGCATGGTCATCATGGTGAGCCACGGAAAGAATATCATGGCATGCGCGATGGTCCTGGACCTCACGATAGAGACATGGAGCACCGCCGGGGTCCGCGCAAAGACAATAAGATGCGCCACGCCAACGGCCCTGACGGCGAAGATGAAATTCCCCGACACAGGCCCGGTGGCCCTGGCGGCCCCGGAGGACCAGGAGGACCTGGGCATGGTCCCGACTCGTCTCGCTGGATGCGTGCAGTGACAGCCCGCTACAACGGCATCGGCGGCAATCGAGTATCTCTCAACTTCGACCACTTCGTGTCAGCATTCTCTTACGACACCGACCTATTCCAAAGCAAAAGTCTTCCCAGACTGTCAAATCTTTCCCAAAAAGAGCTCATTTCCCTCCGCGACGAAGTGACACAATTGATCAAAGCCTATCACCCCGCTGAAGTGTGCGAGGATTGGCAAGCAATTTCCGATATGATCGTCACCCGGTACAGCAAGCAGATTTCGTACTTTGCCTCTGGTAAAATCACATCATTGTCAAAGCTTCAAGACGAGATCGAAACCCTGATGGCCCCTTTCATTGACTTCGCCAACCGAGACTCTCGAGCAGAGATCGAGCGCTGTGCACTGCAGTTCATGCCCGAGCAAACACTGATCGAGGATAGTCTGGCAGGCGCGGCTATGTACGGAGTCGCAAAGAGGATTTGCTCATCTTTGTTTGAGGCTCATGACCAGAAGAGCCTCAAGAAGGCGGTCCGGGTTGTTCAGGACCTCATGCATTACCTGAATTGGGCAACATGGAAGCAATGCAAGGGTTGTGAGGATAATGAGATTTGCGTCGTGCCTATCTGGCCCATGGGCACGGTCGAGGACTATGAGCACCCAAAGTGCAAAGATGCCGACAACCCTTTTGGACAGGGAGGAGAAAGCTACTGGGGTGGATTCCACTAGTGGTTTTGTAGAAAAGACAATTCTTTCTAAGGTTCCTCCTTAGGGACGCGTTTGCAGATGTACCTATATCTATTGTCGTTCAAATTTGATACATTTCACAATAAACAATTGGAAGCACTAGCCGGTCCATTGAGCACCTCACGTTCCAAGGTCGTAGGACAGAATTAGAAGATTGCGTGGGATCTAGATCCCAGTTCCGCTTCGCGTGAAGGCTCACAATTGATTCCAAGGTTCGTTGTGAAGTAAAAGAAGCCTAGTTCTCAGCGACGAGGATAAGTTTAACAGTAGAAATTGGGATATATTTTCAAGGAGATATATGGTTTCTATACAATGTGATACAAGATTTACTCATAGATGCGATGAATGCAATCATTTGTTAATCAACGCTCATAGAGAAGTGAGCAATATTTCGATTCTTAGCAGTGCAGAATCTTAGCGGCGGCGGCCTCAGCAACAACCATGATGGTGGTCTGGATGTTACCGGTGGGAAGGTCGGGGTGGATACTTCCGTCGACAATGAACTGAAGAAAATCGTTAGTAAGTACATCGAAGTCAATGGGTTCAGATAACTTACCAGGTTGTCCACGCCGTACACCTTGGCGTTGGTGTCAACAACGGAAGTACCGTTGTTGTAGCGGCCATCATCGGTACCCATCTTGGCAGTGGTGGTGTAGTGGTTACCGGAGGTTTGGGCCTTCAGGATGGCCGAGACATTGGTGTTGGTCTGGAGCTCAAATCCGGTGGAGGGAGCGGTGATCTCGTCGACCATGTTCTGGACGAACATGCGAGCAGCCTTGCGGTCAGAAGCGGTCTGGAGGTAGGGAGACTGCTCGAAGATGGTCTTGCCGGTGGTGTCAAGTCCGAGAACACCGGAAGAGGTAAGGCCGTGGGTGAGGTAGCTGGTGATGGTGACGACACCCTCGGCGGTAGGGGCGCAAGAGCCCTGGAAGTATTGGGTGTGGCCATCGATCTCCTCGGAAGTGAAGAAAATCATGCGGTGCTTGCCCTGGGTCAGGACACCGCTGTTCTTTCCGTACAGAGAGATATCGCGGGTGTCAGATCCGTTAAGGACGCCATCGTAGTCGACGAGACCGAATGAGGCGTTGGCGCTGAAAGCGATGGGGAAGATGGGGTGATCCTTGACTCCGACACCGACGGGCAGGTCAATCCACTCAGCCTGGGGAGGCACAGAGACACCGCTCTTCTGGGCAGTCTCGATCTGAGCCTTGTGGCCAATACCGGAGTTCCACAGGACGCGGGGAGTGCTCAGAGCACCGGCGGCGAGGACAACACGGCCGTGGTTGGCAAGGGTGATGATCTCAGTGCGACCAGCGGCGTTCTGAACCTCAACTCCGGTGACCTTGCTACCAGAGCGGATCAGACGGAGGACCTTTGTACCAAGAGCGAGCTGGAAGTTGTCGAGCTTGAGGGCTTCGGGGAGGTAGGTGCGGACGGGGCCAGCGCGCTTCTGGTCCTGAACGTTCCAGGCAGGGTAACTGTAGACCTTGGTCTTCTCATCGGGCTGGGCGCTCATGTCAACAGACTTCCAGCCAAGGCCACTGAAGAACTTGGAGAGCACGTTGTAGAGCACCTGGTCGTAGCGCTTTCCATCGGCGGAGGGCAGCAATGTACCGGGGTTGCGGCTGTAGAGCCTGTCAGCGGCAGGCTCGACGTCCTTCCACTTCCAGCCCTGGGGCCACTTGTCGTCGAAGTCGCGGGCAGGGGGGTGGACGAAAACCATGTAGTTGACAGTGACACCACCACCAAGGACACAGGCGGCCATTCCCTCGGTATCGGTACACATGTACTCATTCCACACATCGAGAGCGCCGACGTTGGCAGACATGCCGGGTAGATCAATCGCGGTCAATTCATCGTTCCAGACGAGAGTCTCGTTGGCACCGGTAGCCACGGTAGGGCCGACACCACGCTCGAGAAGCAGAACCTTCTTTCCAGCCTGGGCAAATTTCTCGGCACTGATGATACCGGCGGGACCACCACCCACCACAATGTAGTCATAAGTGTGGTTCTGGAAAACGGACGCGGAGGCCACTCCGGCCACAGCGGACAGCGCAGCTGTCAAAGGACCTGCCTGAAGGAATCTCATTGTGAATATGGATGAGATCTATATGCGGAATGCCGATCAGCAACCCGGGGGACAGGCCCTTTTAACTGTCACAGCCATCAGGCGTGGAGTGGAGCCACATCGGGACTCGTTTCGCCTTCACACGGAACACTTTCTGCGAAACTTGGGCTCGGCAGGGAGTTTCATTTCGTCATGCCCAATTGGGACTAGTGCGATCAGATAAGACCAGAGTTTGCCGTTCCTGACTAGTGATGTGCATCAGTATGCAACTTCAGAACCGCATGCAGGCCATTAATACTAATTCCTCGGTCATATAATGCGTCAGATTATTATCAGTCTCTCCGAGTAATTCAGCAACATTCAAAGCAAGACCAGAGACGGCATCCTGCCAAGCGGTTAATTCTCGGAGGTTCAGGGAGTCTCGGCGCACGCGACCCAACCCAAGGATTCGCCTCCACCCGCGTGGCAGACCAACCCCTAACGTCTTTAGATTCACCTTATTTTGCCGGCAAAGCGTTTTCCCTGCTGCCACTGACGTAGAGTTTAGACTTCTGACTTTCCGCCAAATTCATTTATCGTACATGAGGCGCCATCGTATCACATCGGTTTCTTGCGCAGCCACTGTTCTATTCCCCTTCTAGGCAGCCAAACTGAAACCTTGGATCCTGCCAAGGGTGTGTGGATACTAAACCCTCATTACTAAGCACGGAATAAGCCAAATGCTCGAGTAATACCCGAAGACCCACATCTACTAAGCATGCATAATCACGTCTAGACAGGCTTTTCACATCTCTAATCGTACGTCCCAGAAGACGGCCTGATTCCGCTCCTCGTGGGAGCCCAATGATGGCATTCAGTTTCTTGTGATGGACTTCTTTTAGATTCTGGCCCCGGGATGGTACGCTTGATACTTCTGTCTTCTTCCCTGCGCCACTCTGTACTGTACATACAGTACTGTGAATCCTTTCGATCTACTCCGTAGGCATGCACCAATCCTGCAAACTTAAATTTTTCCCCTAGTACAGCGTTTCACCATTGATCCCAATAAGGTGTGGCTCTAGAACACATCTATTGGTATTTACTAGTACAGTGGTGAGGGGTCTCGCCAGAAGCCCCCAATGTCTCTACCAAGGGTTCTGGGCTGTTTTTAGTAGATTGGCACCGCCCCACGGCCCGGCCTCTGACTGGATCTGTCCCGATCACTAGTGCAGGGAAAACGGTCACTGTCATTTCTGTAGGGCTAATTCCCCGACGTTGAATACTTTGCGGCACCACGACTTTGGAGAATGTATCGACTGTTTCGAGTTAAGAGTAACAGATACGAAGACATTTTTCAAAACTACATATCTGAAGCCCCGGTCTCGGGGATTTCTGGTGCCTTCTTTCCCTGGTGAATATCCAAGTTCATAGATCATAATTACATGTAGGAAACAGGACACCCAATCTAGTAAGTCACGAAGCATCCCCGACAAGATAAAAACAAGCGTATCACATCACAGGATATAAAAACAAACGCCGGTGCCATGTACAAAACAACAGACATCACGATAACACACCATCTCATTCCCACTGGCCTTTACCCAACGCACCGAGACCACCGCCAGTATGTTTACCCAATAACTTGGCAATGTTCGAGCCGCTGTTACGTTCCTTGATACGCAGTTCCTTCTCGCGCTCGCGCTCACGCGCAGCTGTGTATGAATTGACAGCACCGCCCTTCTTCGGACCAGAGGCTGCAGCCTTGGAAACGCGGTTCGATGTGCTGGAGCTACTGGAAGACGAGCCACCAGTGGTAACGCGGCGTAGGAGTTGGGGTGGACGGAACCCGATGGGGCCCTCACTACCACCACTGTTGTGGAATGCGACCTTGGAGTTCGCTCCGGGGTTTGTGTTTGCGGAGTTGGATGATGCTTGGCGAAGGAGGGCGAGCCGGTCGACGACAACTCCACGAGTGCGTCGTGGGTTGCTTGGTTTGGCGAAGTTGGCGTCTTCTGGGTCTTCGTCTGCTGCACCCTCTGTCGGGGTATTTTCGCCTTCTTCGTCTTCGCCATGGGCTTCTTCTTCGAGAGATGCATCCTCGCGGAATGAGTCGTATTCGGGTGTCTCAGTCAGGAATGACAGCGTTTGACGGATTTCTGCTAGAGTGGCTGGCTTCTTAGACGCTGCACTGGGACGAGTGCGGCGAAGATGAGGCGGTGGTCGGTTCTTGGCATCTTCAGTGGATTGCTCGAGAGGTCGCTTGAGTTTGTTTTCTGTGTCGTTTGATTTCTCTTCCGAGGGTGCATCTTGGGACATTTCCTGGGAACCGGCTTGTTCCTCCTCGAGGAAGTCGATGTTGAAATCATCGTCCATTTCACGGTCCTCAACAGCTTTGAAGAATGCTGCTTTCTTGGGATTCTCGGCAATCTCGCCGATCTTTTCATCGGCAAGTAGAGCGCGGCGCATCTTTGCGAACTCGCGCTGCTTTTCTCGACGACGAGCCTGATGTTCATCATCGGAGTCGTCGAGATCGAGATCGTCATCTGCATTCTTGCGGCGGCGTAGAGCTCCAGTAGTGATGTCTCGCATCAGCTTAGCAACATCTTTCTCGTCGCGGTTACGATCATGGACACTGTAGATGTTAGTATAGCCCATCGGAGGGGAGGGAAGGGGTCGTACGCGTTAAGTGCAGCTAGTTGCTTCTCGTCAACCACTTCGCCGCTGTTATCATTGATCATGTGTCGATCAATTGCGTTCTCTTCGCCGTCACTTTCGTCGCTGTTACCGCCAAGGCCTGCATACTCGTCCTCAGACTCTTCCGCAGCTTCGTCAACGATATCTTTGGCCTTGCTGTTTTTCTTGTCGTAGCTCTCTGCCTGCTTCTTCGCTGCCTTGGACTTTTTCATGACATCGAAAGCAGTGGGGTTGATTTCGAAACCACCTTCTTTCTCATCAGATTGAGCCATCTCTGTTGCACGTCCCCGGCGTAGCATCTTGCGTTTGCGGTCTGCCACGGGCGACTGGGTTTGGCCCACCAGAACGGTATCCACCGTGGAAACAGGTGGAGTGTCCCTGAAGCGTTTCGAGGGGTCGAAGGGCGAGAACACAAAGCCTTCATCCTGGGTAGGGTCAGGCAGTTGTGACTGCGAATACTCGGAGAAGGCATAAGGAGCGGGTGACTCTGACACACGAGTCACGTTCTGCGAGTAGTTATCGGCGAAGTCCTTATCATGAACCTGAGGTTGGCTGTCAGGCGCAAGAATTTCGGAATCCTCCTTGCGGAGTTTCGCTGCCGGCTGGCCAGGGTCAGGGAGAGAAAAGGGTATCGTTGAAGAGGGAGGTTGGCTACCAAAGCCATTGCTGTCCAATGTGGAGGCAAAGGCTTGTGTCAGACCAAGAGACATATCATCCGGAGTTCGTATTCCAGCAGGGAACTTAGGGCGTTCGGCCGACTGAGCGGTATGGGTAGGTGCTTTCAGAGGCGTTGATGGCACATGAACTTGTTCTTCGTCTTCATCGTCGCTGATGACCCGGGTAGGGTGCTTGCGCCTGGTGGAAGGCACCTCTGCGTCTGATGGCTCATCATCGCTGTCTTCGTCGTCCTCTTCGTTTGCCTCTCGTTCAACGAATTCACCTCCGTTGATACTGTCATTTTCGTCTTCGTCTTCGTCTTCTTCATCGTCCTCTTCTCCACCCTTGTTGTCGTCATCGTCATCAGATCCAGACAGCTGATAGTCATCATCCTCGTCTTCGTCGTCGTTATCGTTATTTTTCTTCTTAGCAGCTCTCTCCAGGCGGGCAATCTCATCCGCTTCTTTGCGCGCCTTCTCTACAAGGTTCTCCATGTCATCTTCCATGGCCGCACGTTCCTCTGCAGTCTCAATAACAACGCCCTTGGCCCGGAGCTCTTCGATGCGCTCCTTGCGTTCCTTGGCAGCTTGTTGTCGGGCGCGAAGTAACAAGCTTGCGGAAAGCTCCCCAGGGCTCATGGAATCCCCTTCCTTCTTATCTGTCAGGTGGGCCAATGCCTTCAGCTTCAGCATGGCGGGACTCTCTTGCTTTTGTCTGGTTGGCAGGTTTTCAAAAGCAGCTAGTCGGCGGCACTTCCCAGGGGAGGTAACGATCTCAAGCTCTTCATCTGAATCGTCCATTTTCTGCCTCTCGGCAATCTGTTGTCTTGATATCCTCACACGGAATGGACGCTGTGTGGACAATGAAGCTGACTTAGCTTTGGCAGTATTGGTCTGAGGGGATGTATCCTTTGTTGTAGGTGCTTTGGCCTGGAATCTTGGTGGGGAGAGGCATTCGTCTCCATCCGTATCTATAACGGCTTGTGTGTTCTCAGAATCAACGGCTGGCTGTGACTGATTTGCAGGACGAGCTGGAGAAGTTTGTGGGGTATCTTTGTTTTGTGTGCGTAAGTCTCCATCAGACGTATTCTGGGAATTATTTATTGAAGAATTTGCTGTGGCTTGGTCGGTTGAAGGTTCAGGTTGCATGAAGTTGAACCGTGCAAAAAGGCTTTCCTTGGTGATCTTCTTCTTTGTCTGGGCTTGGTGGGCCAATTGCATATTTCGACTCATACGCTGGGTTTCTTGCCTCATCTCATCCAATGCCTTCTTGCTAGCCTTTCGGGGTTGGCGGGCTTTCTGAGAAAGCTTGTGCGCAGATCCAGGATCGTCCGCGCCGCTCTCTTCGCCGGACATGATCTCAGAGCTGAAGTGTTCCATCTGGGATCTTCTTGCGGCTTTCTTTTCAGCTTCCGCCTTTTCGCGCTCCTCGCGCTCTTTGCGCTTTTTGGCGACGAGGGATAGGAAACGCTCATTGGCTTTCGGCTTTTCCGTTTCATCGGCTTCGTTGGGACTTCCCACATCAGGCTCACCCGGGGAGGATACGAACAGCGGCGACACTGATCGGGCAGGAGAATAGTTTGCTTCCGGTTCGGGTGAATTCGACTTGGTTTTATTTTTCCTCCTGGGGCCTCCCACAGGTAGATCATCGTCGCTGTCCTCATCCATTGTCACTTCCGCCTTGGCCTTTTGCTTCAAGGCTTGAGCCTTCTCGGGTGGGGAACCGTCAGGCATGGTTGTGTCGTTTCTGGGTCGAGGAGACGTCGCTTTGTTACCCTGCATCCGAGCCGCCATACGTCCCTTGGGGCGCGCGACATCATCATCACTTTCAGAGTCCGAGTCATCAGCTGGATCGTTTGCGCTTGGTCTGGAGGCTCCAGGTTCACGTGGATTAAGCTTTGAAACACCGCTTGTCGATTTGGCAATTCGATTGTCGTCTTCTGAGTCGCTGTCAAACTCTGCCATCAAAGCCTTAATTTTTTGACCAGGTGTGATAATGTTGGGTGAGTCGCCTGCGGGCGAGGCGGACCGCGTCGATTGTGGTGTAGACGGGGAAGACATGATAGATGTGTGGATCGGAGTAATGCTTGGTTTTCAGTGATCTTCATGGAGTCAATCCGACGCTGGACTGGCACCTAATGTAGTTTTCCAGGCCAGGTAGAGTGGACGCCGGGACCAAGGGTGCATAACCCGAACGCGATGCGCGTCGCGTTATTGGAACCCCGACACGTGATTCTTATCTTATCGAGCTTCAATTTAAGTCGGGAGAATTAGCCCTAGGTGAACACGTCTACAGGTGCTATGTGTTACCCTGTGGGACATTCTAAGGTTGAAATTGCTCTTATTTAGATTGGATTGAGGTGGTTTCTTTTACTCTTTTTGTAGTAGGTTCGTGTTTGCATGTAATAAAACTGAGTAGGCCGACCTGGACCAGATGCCCAGGCTGCCTCCATAGGTAAAGTTCATGATACAAGCTTGATGCTATTTTCTGGATTTACCTCCGGCCGCTAACTCCTCAAATTTCGCAAATTTTGGCACAAGATGTGGGGGAAATAATACAGAGAATAAGGTCACAATGGGTCATTACATTCTGCCCGGTCACCCTTCTGGAGCAAACCCACAAGATATTTTTCCCGACATTGATAGTTCTGGACGAAAAAGCAGACATTAGATTTCGATATCAATATCCATGTCAAGTGCAGCAATATTCTCGTCATCAGTGTTGCGGTAGCTAATCATGAAGCCGTTCTTTGGCTTCGCTGGAGTGGTCTTAACAGCGGCTGCTGAGCTGTCATTGGACTTGGCAGCCTCCTTGGGGGTGTCTGCGGAGGTTCCCGCGGGGCTGTCGGTCTTGGATGCATCATTGACATCGTGGTGAGTCTTCGCCACTGTACGAACCCGCATGAATGGATTCGGGACAGCTTCTCCTCGAGCAACTGCAGCGGCAGCCTTGCGGGCGGCCTTTCGCTCGTCGATCTGGGCACGACGCACATTTTCGTAGTTGAGCTTTTGGTTGCGGATATTAATTTGATGAACACGCTCAGCCTCCGAGAGACCCTTGTTGTCGGATTCTTTCTTAACCAGAGAAGTTCCCCATGAGAGGTTGGGGTTTAGCAGTTCGTGGAGCTCCTTCTCTAATCGCTCGGCTTCGTTGTCATTGCCGTTGGCCTTGGCGAATGACAGATCCCTTTCGACATCAAAGCGCCGGAGCACATTCTTCTTCTGGTCGAATGCACCTTGACGGCGCAGCTTCTCATTCAGCTCATCACGAGTGAATTCGTGGTTAATAAGATTGTTGATATCGACAACTTTTGTGGCAAGCTTGCCCTGAGTTGCCATCTTCAGATCCTCGACGGCCAAAGTCTTGCGGTAGCGATTGTATTCACCCTATCTCTATGTCAGCACGGATCCAAATCAAGGTGTGTTGTTTTGGGGGGATTCAACTAACCTCGGTAAAAGGAGAGTCAGAGCAAGCAATGAATGGGAACTCCTTTATGGCCTTTCCATGTGCCAGCTTAGCGTACTGGTCTGTGACAAATGGACGGCCGTTGGCGGCATCCATGGCATAAGGCTTTCCCGTGGTAATTCCAGTGATCAGGCACATGCGGTATTCCAGTTGTCCGGTCTCGTGGTGAGGTCCGACATTGACACGTGCGTAGCAGTTGATCATAGCTGCCTCGAATCCGGGGTAGAAGCAGACCTGGGCGAAGTTGCTTCGGCCAACACGAGCACGCTGAATGTCACGCAGCTCGGCAGGAGGGTCGTCCTTGGGAATGGAGGGGGAGCGCCCAACACGGTCATCCAGTTCTAGGTCGCTTTCGGCATCCGCATCGTCATCGGACCCATCTGATCCAACAGAGCGAGAGCGACGGCGTGATTGGGTTGGGTCACGTCGGCGGAGCTCATCCCGTTTGCCCTTCTGTTCACGCTGGCGCTTGTAGGCTTCGATGGCCCCAGATGTTTCTCCAACCTTGCGGCCACCAAGAGTCGTCTTCTGTCGGGAGCTTTTGCGCTGGTTCTCATCTAAGCCGGCTGAGCCTGCCTTTCGCTTCGCCTTCTTGGCAGCTCGAGCTTCATCTCGGGATCGTGAGGCGAGCAGACGACGGAGAGCCAGATCCTGATTGTGTCGGTCGACTTTCTGCGCGCGCTCGGACAAGGTTTGCTCGCGGGCAATTTCGGGTAGGGCCATGATATCTTTCTTATCTTGCGCGGAGTGGTAAAGCTTCTCGTACGCGAACATTGGCTCGCCTTCGTCTCCAAAGTTCTCTGACCCCGAGTCAGACTCCGACATGGGAGCAGATTGAAGTGAGTGGTGGGATTCATCGTCGGAGCTAATTCGTCAGCCTCAGGCTTCATCACTTTGGCGGGGCGCTCACATTTCTCCTTCGGACTCAGTCTTCGTCTTTCGAGACCGGCGGGCTACCGGTTTAGCGGTTCCTTTGTGACCCATATCGTCTGGCGAGTGTTCACGGTCTTGGTTATGAGAGGAAGTTGAGTGAGCTGGAGACTTTGGGGGAGGTGAGTTTTCCTCTTCAGAGTCACCCGCCAAAGCGAGCAACTCAGCATCCAAATCATCCGCCATTGTGAAATCGTTCTCAATAGAGATATACCCTTTTGAAATGCGCTATATATTGTTCTGGGCTCAAACACTCTCAGAATGACCTTATTGATGAGCCTTTCAATAATATAATTCGTTTGTATAAGGAGTTCTCGTGGAGATGGAAGATCTGACAGGCAATGCCAAAAGTGTTCCAAAAGGGTCAAAATTGCAGGTTTTCGTTGCAGGCCACTGATGGGGCGATAGGGCTTTCTTGGAAGGCAAAAGAGGGCAAAAAAGGTCCGGTATCGTAAAGGAGTGCGCGAGTGGTCGTCGCAAGTTGGCCTTTGCCGTGGTTCATGACGTTTAATGCCTGCCAAGCCATAGACCGCCTAAGCGACTGCGGAGCTTCATCATGCCGACCTCACCATATTCCCAATCGCATACAATGGGCTTACCTATCCTGCGCCAATGTGCGCTTACTTCTTCCCGGAGGACTCTCAGGGTTCCATCCCCGGTCTTTCTTGACTTCCTGGCCCCATCGGCAATCGGACACAAGCAATGTCGCAACGCCTCAACCGCCACCGGAGGTGAACCCAAACCTCGATATGTTCTGAGCAAAGAACAGCGAGAATTCATGGATAGCGCTCTTCGTGTCAATCAAGCTGGAGAACTGGCCGCGACTCTGATTTACACTGCACAAACACCCCAAATCGTCCGCTCCTACCCGCACCTCCGGCCCTTGATGAAACACATGTACGACCAAGAAGCAGGGCACCTGAAAACGTTCAATGGCCTTATTCAAAAGCACCAAATCCGTCCAACCGCCATGTATCCGGCGTGGGAGGTTGCTGCCACATTCCTCGGGTGGTCGACTGCGGCGTTAGGTCGCGAGGCGGCGATGGCTTGCACGGAGGCAGTTGAGACGGAGATCGGATCACACTACAACGACCAAGTACGCGAAATCTTGTCATGGGAGGCCGACGCTGCGCGCCGAGGCGAGGAATTGGACGAGGAGCTTAAGGAAATGCTGGCCACCTTCCGACGGATTCGCGACGAGGAATTGGAGCACCTCGACCACGCCGTGGCTAATGACTCTAAGGAAGCCAAACCATATGACCCGCTTGTCGATGTCATTCGCTTTGGATGCCGGGCTGCCATCAAAATCAGTGAGAAGATTTAATTACACTTCCAAGTTGTGGGCGTGGTACACCATTTGACGATGCTGAGATAAATATGTTTGACTAAGCCTTTTGTACAATATTGACTACTTCACAATCTATATTTAAGAGCTGAACTCTCCTTCTAATCGCGGTAACTGTCCGCAGGGTATCAAGGAACATCCCACCGAGTCTGTAACCATGATGGGTTGACTTTACTCCGAAGCCGCTTTGTGTTCCACATGGTCCAAGAAGTTCCGGGAGAATCGCACAGCTTGCTGGTAGACCTCCTCAAAGCCGTTGGCACCACCATAGTATGGATCCTTCACGACCTCGCCTCCACCAACACGGTCCGTCAGCTTACCACCCTTGCCAAAGTCACCGAACAAACGAACGTCAGCGACCTTCGTATCCGGGCTGTAAGCGCCAATTGCAGCATCGACGTGGGAGCGGGTGCTCTTGGAGCTCGGCTTGTTGTCGGTCTTCCTCTGCAGTGTTGCAATGACCGACTCGCGGGTGTCCAGCAACTCACGCAGATTCGACTTGTCCATGGCGAGAAGGTAGTCGAAGGTCAGGAAGTCTTCCCGTGTCACCTTGCGAGCGGCATGTTCGTACTGGGTGATTTCGTGGCGGCGCAAAGTGGACATTGTACGGGAGTCGGGGGGCTCGAGGCTGTGGTAGGCGGCTGTGCCGGCCGAGTCGATCTCTCCGATGGAGGGGTGGGTAGCTGCCAAGTCCCGGAATACACCTTCAGCCATTGGAGAGCGACCTGGAGGGGTTAGCAATGGAGTCCTCGTAATGGTCGTGGCGCATGACGAACAGATGTTGCCCAGGCAGACAAAAAGCACACTGGTGCGGGCGTTTGACTGAGACATGGTGGGGTATGGGGATTGAGTTCTCAATTGAAGATCTCAAGTGTATGCGGGTGATGGATGAGAGTCAACGGCTGTATAGCCAAATGCAGAGGGTTACAGGTTGGAGGTGGGGAGTATCGCCAGGCCCTAAAACCCCACCTGCCCTTGCATTACGTAGAGCACAGTGCATGATATATTTCGCCGCAACAGGAAGTGAAGATAAGTTCAGTACGAAAACGAAAATAGAACGAGAGCCCCATATATATGTCCACCGTCTCCAATGAAGCTAAAGTAGATCTATTCATGGAACATCCAGGCAGCGGTGTTCTACTGTAGTATTGTAGACACCTCAGGACACCAGCCACAGGGTGACTAAAAAAAGAAAGCGTGAACCATGGAAATGACGAAATGGCAGCCACCTGCCAAGAGGTGTGGCTGAGTGCCGGGCAGGTTGGCCCAGTAACGACACAAGCAGTGGAACTTGCATTCAAACAACCGTGGCTCTGAGATGTTCCTGATCTTTGGTTCTTGACACTGCATCCTCATTGGGCTCTTTTGCTCCGAAGAAGAATCTGCCTTTGATCCTGTCTCATTTGAGAGGCTGCACCACTCAAGTCTATACGACGGGTCAAATCAGCATTAGAGCACCACCTCCACAAGGCAGTGCGGAGCCTAGCACAGACACTTCTGATTCGCCCCCATCTCCACCGTCATCGTTGCTGGGATCGGCTAAAGGCGTCGTAAACACCAAACAGAAGGGGCATCCGGGTTAATTCCACTATTCCCTGATCGCTACGCTTCCTCACCCTCTTCGCAATCGTGTGACAGCCTCCATACATCCTTCCCCCATACCAAACTGCGCCTGCAACCTCATACCTGAAACGCCGAGAGTTCGGGTCCGTCCATCGGACTAGTAATCTCTCCCGCTGACGCTGCGCATTCCACCCGCCGCTCCTGGCGCAATCTCCAACAGCCCCTGCTCCAAAATTTAGGCGGCAGATTTTCACACCCGAGGCTCGCCATGGCCTACAATCGAGTCGGAAACGGTCAGTGCTCTTCCTTTATTGCAACCTCTCTTCCTCCATATGCTCCGCGCAGTCTCCATCTGAAACATCGGAACCGTTCAAACCAGTGCGGGTCATTGATTTCGATGGTTGACATCCCATTTGCGCTGTCCAGCTCTTGCGATCTCATACTGTTGCATAAACCCAACTAACCATGTCGCGACCAGACCCATTTGCGGACGAACATGGCACTCCCATGTTGAACCCTTCCCATCTCACAGGATACAGTGCGCGCACTCCTTCTCCCGGGGGCTACCAGCTCCAAGATAATCCATATGCGCAACAGTCGCATCTTCCTATGCCATCTAGCGACCATTTGCTCGAACAGCCCACATACTCGGTCGAGAATGTCTCCAACTCATATGGGTACCGTGATAACTACGGCGCCCAGCACCCTTACGCCGGTCACGAATATGCGGTCGATCCAGAGGCCCACCACGATGCCTACTATACCCAACCTTACGAACCTACACACACCCCTCACGACGATTATGACTTGGGCCAGTACCCGGAACCCGGCCACACTCCCTATGAACAAGTTGAAGAGCCCATGCTCGCCCCAGGCGAGAATCCCTTTGGTCCTGACCCACACGAGTACGAGGACGACGTGCGCCCGACCCCCAGTCCACAGCCGATCCGTCGCTGGAAAACGGTCAAGGAGGTGCAGCTCTTCAACGGCAACCTGGTGCTTGATTGTCCCATTGCGCCGAGATTGCTGAGCCAGGTCCCCCACGCCGAAGCACCAGGACGTGACGAGTTCACTCACATGCGTTACTCGGCCGCTACTTGCGATCCGGCTGATTTCTTCGAGGAACGGTTCACTCTGCGTCAGAAGCTGTTCGCCAAGCCTCGTCATACCGAGTTGTTCATCGCCGTAACTATGTACAACGAGGACGACTTCCTCTTCGCACGCACGATGTCCGGTGTGTTCAAGAACATTGATCACATGTGCTCGCGCACCAGCAGCAAGACCTGGGGAAAAGATGCGTGGAAGAAGATTGTGGTCTGTGTCATCAGTGACGGTCGTGCGAAGATCAATGCTCGTACGCGTGCAGTGCTCGCTGGTCTAGGCTGTTACCAAGATGGAATTGCAAAGCAACAGGTCAACGGCAAGGACGTGACGGCTCATATTTACGAGTACACCACGCAAGTTGGACTCGAAGTGAAGGGCACGCAGGTGCACCTCAAGCCTAGATCTGGACCCCCGGTGCAAATGATCTTCTGTCTGAAGGAAAAGAACCAGAAGAAAATCAATTCCCACCGATGGTTCTTCCAGGCCTTTGGTCGTGTTTTGGATCCCAACATCTGTGTTCTTCTCGATGCTGGTACCAAGCCTGGAAAGGACTCGATTTATCACCTCTGGAAGGCTTTCGATCTCGAGCCCATGTGCGGTGGTGCATGTGGTGAGATTAAGGTCATGTTGTCACACGGCAAGAAATTGCTGAACCCGCTGGTTGCTGGTCAGAATTTCGAGTACAAGCTCAGTAATATTCTGGACAAGCCGCTGGAGTCTTCATTCGGCTTCATCACCGTGTTGCCTGGTGCGTTCTCCGCCTACCGATTCGTGGCACTACAGAACGACAAAAATGGTCAAGGTCCTCTAGAGCGGTACTTCATGGGTGAGAAGATGCACGGTGCCAATGCCGGTATCTTCACAGCCAACATGTATCTTGCCGAAGATCGAATTCTGTGCTTCGAGATTGTTTCCAAGCGAAAGTGCAGATGGCTCCTTCAATACGTCAAGTCCTCTACTGGTGAGACTGATGTACCAGATCGCATGGCTGAGTTTATCCTTCAGCGTCGTCGTTGGTTGAACGGTAGTTTCTTCGCTGCTGTGTATGCCATTGCACACTTCTACCAAATCTTCCGCAGTGACCACAGTTTCCTCCGCAAGTTCATGTTGATGATTGAGTTCGTTTACCAGACTGTTGCCATGATCTTCGCCTGGTTCGGTATCGGTAACTTCTTCCTGGTCTTCCACATCTTAACGACATACCTTGGATCGGACGATCTACTTGGTACTGCTGGTAAGGTGTTGGGAATTGTCTTCGAATGGCTGTACTTGGCAACTCTCGTTACTTGCTTCGTCCTAGCATTGGGTAATCGACCAGGTGGTTCCAACAAGTTCTACATGACTATGGTATACTTCTGGATCGTGATCATGATCTACCTTGCATTCGCGGCTATTTTCGTCACGGTCAAGTCAATTCAAAGCGAAGTACAAACGAGTGGCTTCACGGCTAGTGATCTGATCACCAACGATACCTTCTTCTCCATCATCGTGTCTCTCGGATCAACCTACGTGATGTGGTTCTTGGCTTCCTTCATTTTCCTCGACCCATGGCATATGTTCACAAGTGTGAGTATCTTCCGTTCTTTTGTCGCAGTCTCCACGCTAACCAATTCAGTTTATTCAATACATCCTCCTCACGCCAACATACATCAACGTGCTCAACATTTATGCCTTCTGTAACACCCACGACATCACCTGGGGTACCAAGGGAGACGACAAGGCCGAGAAACTGCCCTCCGCCCACCTTAAGCCCGGTGGCAAGGTCGACGTGAACATTCCCCAAGACGACGGAGACCTGAACGCACAGTACGAAACCGAGATCGCCAAGTTTGCCATGAAGCCCCCGAAGGAGGTCGAAATCATCTCCGACGAAGACAAGCAAGCAGATTATTACAAGGGATTCCGCAGTGCTGTCGTGCTCGCCTGGGTCTTCTGTAATTTCGCACTTGGTGCCGTTGTTCTCAGCGCCGCCGGCCTGGAAACCTTCGACGAAACAACCGACAACGAAGACTCGACGCAGAGTGAGCGTTCCATGATCTACATGAGAGTTGTTCTGTGGAGTGTTGCTGCTCTTTCGATGTTCAAGTTCGTCGGCGCGATGTGGTACTTGGTTGTTAGAATGGTGAGTCCCGTCTATCTCAAGACAATCTGTTTCCTATGCTAACTGTTTCCAGTTCCGTGGTGTTTAATTTAGCGTTCAACATTACTCTGCTTCTAATGCGATACTATCCATCAATGACTACCACGGCAGGCCCGGTCTGGTAAATGGGAATGAAAATGAGGGTCATCTTAAATATGCGTGACGATTTTGTTATGCTTTTCGTCCTTGGTGACATGCGAAATGATATCGGGGTTTCTCTGGGTTTGTTTTTTTGGGGCATCCATATACCCTCAGTGTGTTTATTCATGTCTGCATGCTCGGGTTTCTGGTTTGTTTCTGTTGGTGGGGAATTTTGTACTCTATCTGTAGATATGGTGTGTTTGATTACTCCTTGCCAGTAGGCTTTTTTGGGTGGAAATGGGATTATCTCTACCTAGGTAGATGACAATGAATCATCTGTCTAAATATCAATCTTGAAACCAAGTGTTCGACCCTCTAGTTACACCTGGTGAAAGAATGCGTGTTCAATGGAAAAAAGTAGTGGGAGTGTCCCTCATCTGGGTAATGTTTCCAGTTGATATATATAAGTGCTTGGGGAATTGGAATCCAAGATTCCATCCAAAAAGCCGCCTAAGAAGACCTCAGCTCTGGAGACATGTCCATATCCAGGACACATACGTTGGTACCTAGGTAAGAGCAACAAAGTGCAAAATTCCAGGAGTTGAGACGATTGATGGTTGCCCTGGTGCTCACCTGGGCAGGGCTCAAGTACTTTCCTCATCTCATTCACTTCTTCCCACTTCTCTCTTCTCTTCTCTCTTCTCTTTCTTTCCTTCTCCATTACGACCTCATGTTGAATATTTACCCTTCATGTACTACGCCAATCTTGTCAGGACTATCCAAGCAAGGGAAACTGGCAGCGGCCTCAAGTCGCCACGGTTCAAGATGGAGGACACAAGAGGAGGAGCGGTGCCTGGTGAGAGGACGAGGGGGTACGCCGCAGCAGGCCTCAAAACCTGACTTTGGGCGTGCCAGAGGATGAAGCACGCTCGGAGCTCTTTTCTCGGACACAGTGGGCAGCGTCTTCTCAAGCCTCGGCGTTTGCTTAAGCAACAGATAACAGGGGACTGTTCTTCTGAGAATGCGGACTCTGGTGGTGGGCTTCGGGGGAGCTGGTGGGTGGTGGGATACTTCCAACCTTGAAGGGTTTGCTCTGTGATGATTCAGTCTAAGATGATGCTGTGCATCCATCGGACTTGGCGACACCCTCTGGGAGAGCCGGGCAAGCTTGATCGGAGGCTCGCATTTGGGATCTGAGAGCACTATCCATTGAGTTGGCAACAGGAAGGCTCATCAGATTCAGAGCATGATTTGTCTTGAGAGCAGCAATGAATTGATGATACTGAATGCTGATATGTCCAGAGAATCAAGTTGAGTTGACGGGTATAGATGGATCGGCTGCGCACGGACCAGTGCCGGAAGCAACGTACGGAGTAACGACATCGCATTTCCCCAACATTCAAACTAAAGACACCATGGATCCCGATGCCAGCATACCGACCGAACCCGAGCCTTCGGTTTTCAGCTACGTGCTATCATTCCTTCTCGTCGGCGTAGCATGGGGCTTCACGACCCCCTTTATCCGGCGCGCCGCGGCAGACTTCAACGCCCGACAAGAGAAGCAAGCAAATGAATCGAACCGCGGACGATCAAGATCACGATCCGAACGAGCCACAGAGAATGGATTCACAGACACCCCCGAGGAGCAGGAATTGCTCTCCCAGAACGAACAGGACACGGAACCGGGACAGGAGGATAGCGTGCGGGACCGAAGCATCAGTCGGAGTGACGTGAATCGCAAATCCAAGACAGCGGGCACAGAGAATGATTTGGAGGGCGAAAGCTCGGCCCAGAGGACAGCTTCCAATACCCGGAGGGCGGATGAAGAGGACGACCTACCGATGCCGGCTTGGAGGCGTGGGTCTGGAGCAAAGCAATCTTGGCTGCGCGCGAAGGTGGTTTCGATATTTTGGACGGTTGTCAATCTGCTACGGACGCCTGCCTATGCTATTCCATTGGTCATCAACCTCACTGGTAGCATTTGGTTCTTTTTGCTCGTGGGAAAACACGGTTGGTTTGATGAGATACCATGTCCTGGTCTATGCTGATGTTGTCTTTTAGAACTTTCCCTTACCGTTCCGCTGATCAACTCGAGTGCTTTCCTTTTCACTGTTCTTGGTGAATGGTATGTTGAGCGCAAGGTGATTGCGAAGCAGACGTGGTTGGGCATGGGTCTGGTTCTGGGAGGAATCGCAGTTTGTGTGCATTCCAAGAACCAAGCTTCTTGAATGGTTTCCATCTCGCTACGGTCTGCATCGGATGATGCGTGTAATCCACCAACCATATGTTAACAATCTTAATACGTCTCTTTCTCAAATCAGACATCTTGACTGTCCCCTATTTGGAAACCCCTGTACTGAATGGCTATAGGGGGTGTAGTTCCAAGGTTCGACATTTTACGTCTATCTTCCGGCCTTTGGGTATACAATTGCGTGGCAATTTGTTCGAACAACGCAAGACGATGGTTCAGCTGTCCAGAACAGTGACTAATAGGAATAGTCCTCGAATCTAAAATTCCACAGAGTCTTCGCCGAGTCATCAAACCCATATTCTTTGGAACTAGTAGCTCCGATATGCTGCAGTAAAGACGGGACTACTGCCCAGCGCGTCCAGCCCTCACGGTCAGCTATCTTCTCTACCCTCATGTCAACCAGCCAATCGGTCGTCAGGTCCGTCTGCTCAAGGAACTCGGGTATGATGGAACGAGGGAAGACAAGGCCCTGCGAGCAGCATCCGCATTTGTTCATTTCATGAACGCCACGGGACAAGGGCCACACCGTCTGTCTTCCCGCCAAAAAGTGAAGCGCAATGGCGGCGGGAATGAAAATGCAGGATGTGATCATGATAGCGTTGGTTGGAATGGTCCTCGCTTTGACTTTGAACGCTCTTCTCGAGGCGACCATCATTCCCGTAAGAAGAGCCCAGACCATGAACGACCATGCCAGGTATCCCGGCCATTCTTCTGAATTCCACCCCAGAAGCGAATCGACATAGAAGAGTCGCATGTATATCCATTTCTTATTCGTGTTCCGGCTTTCCACAATATCGAGAGCCTGCAAAGCGGATGGGAGCCAGCCCTTGGCCGCTAGGGTATCATCTTCAATCATCGCCACGTAATTAGCGCCAGTGTCGTAACAGTCTTTTAACAAATGGGTATAGTTGTAAATCGTTTTGTTTCGATACCATCCACCTTCCTCCCAGTGTTTTATACGCTCAAAATCAGGATCACCCTCTTTGTACGTCAGTAAGTGGTCCGGCAACGTGCCAATCCATCTCTCTGTGTAAATTGGATGTTTTGACGGGTCTGTGTTCCCGATGAGAATGTGCAATGAGATGCTGTTTCTATCTGTCTCACTAAGACCGGCCAAAAGAGAAGCCACTGTCAACCCCACATATTGCTCTCCCCTTCGCGCGACAGTCGCTATTCCAAGACATATCGTAGGGGTCCAGTTTTGCGGTCTTGTTGGTTGACTGATGCTATTAGCATCTCGGAGAAACTTCTCTGCCTCCGCAATTCTGATAGATGAGTATCGACGCTCGTAGGCACGGGAGGGGTCGAAAAAGTAAGAGGTGGGATCTCGATGGCTGGCGTAATGAAAGTAGTGAATGGAGAGGATGTACAGGAAGGACCAAATGCAGAAAACCCCAGCAGATACCGAAGGCTCAATGAACATCTTGAAGCTCAAGTGACTGCACAGAAAAAAACGATGAGATAAGGCGACGAGGAGATGGCATGTTGTGGTGTCGTGGAAGCGAGATCCCCTGAGCCTAGCAGGGGTGTTTAGCCTGGGCACCTGAGCTTCAAGATAATCGCAAGTAGACTTACATGGGCATTCATCGAGTTTCGGAGGTTAATTGATGTCAGTTTAAGAACGAAGAATCCCTGGATAATTTTGGTTTAAAGATGTATATCGAAATAAGGCACTCATCTCACCAGATACTTACACGCTCATAGCTATTCAGGGGGCGTGACGAGGATAATACTAGCCCCAGAGCAGATTATAGGATTGAATTTCAAGGATGCATAGTTACTGGCCTCCTTCCGATACCTGGTGAGAGGTTGATCGTAAGGTTCGCCGATCTTTGAGGAGAGCGTTAGATTTTCAGAGAGCAGTAGGTATGAGGAAAACTTGGAAGGAATCATTGATTATTTTGATCTCCCTATCTGCGGCGTCAGTCCGCCATCGCGCTCTTCCTAATTCCAAGGTTGGACGTGGGAATTTATTCAATAGGCGAAATACTGACCTGTGGACTGCTCCAAGGTTCCGGTTTTGGGGGGTTGGATATCCACGCGCGTGGACACGGCCCGGTCCGCCGCAACGAACTTTCCAGGGTCCACGGTTGAGATATTAAATGCGCGTGTAGTACAGTTGACTCTCAAGTACTAGGGGCGGGTATAATGAATTATTTCAATGAAAATGCCATCTCATGTCGACCATGAACGGATCTCAGGAAACCTGGGTGGCTCAAATTGATTAGAACAGCTCCTGAGTCCGGCGTCTCACATAGGGTCCAAATATATACAGTGGAAGGGCTAGGAACAAAATCGCCCATTCAATACCCGCGAATTCATAAAACATCTTTTCGACTCCCTCCATTGTCATCCAAGAATATGACCCTTTAGCAAGGCCGAAAGCAACCACATTCTTCGAGGCATTGACAAGGACCAACGCCTCACCACTAGTGCGCGGGTATGAGTCGACAACGTAGGAAAGCATGACCGATGGAACGAGGGTAAGTCCAGCAGCACAGATTGCCGCACCAACAGCAGGGCGAACGTAGTGCTGGTGGTTTGCCACAGTGTATCCGAAAACGATCAACCCCACAGGGCAGATAAGGAAAGGGAGTATCAAGGCTGGAAGGCGATGCTCTGGTTTGTGAATGCCATTATTGCGAACACGTAACCAGCGAGATAGATGATCTGTCAGAGGTCCAGCGATTGGGGCAGCGATCACAATTCCTGCAAAGCTGCTGAATGTGAAAAGACCGAGTTCAGCAGATGAGAAGAGGTACGGGGGCGGAGAGAACAGGTCGGGTGCAATGGTGGAGATAATGACAACACTAGATTAACTTGTTAGTTATGTATCGCCCGTTGATACAAATGAGTACTCACGCTCCCAGTATAACCCCATACATGGCAGAGGCAATCAGAACCCCAGGGATGAGAAGGAGTGGAAAAGGAAGAATGAACAAGTACGCCAAGTGCCTGAGGACTCCTTTCTCCTTTGCTTCCTTGGAAATTTGGAAAGACCAAAGACCCTCCCAGTAGCTTGTGTAATCCATCTGAGCACGGGTCTCTGTTCGAGTGTCGCTTCGAGTAACCGTCTCGACATGGCTGCTCACATCCTTTTCTATATCATCAACGACCACAGGCTCCGGCTCGACTTCGTACAGGGTTTCGGGGAGGAGGAAGATTGTGGTGATGAAGTTGACAGCGGCGATGATGGCACAAAGAATGAAAAACCATCTCCATCCTTTGGCTTGAATCAAATAACCTGCAATGACAGGGCCGATCTGAGAGCCACCTGATAAGAATGCAGCGTATATGGCCATCGCGCTTGCGTAATTGCGTTCGTAGAACAGATCTGGATCGTGAGCCTAGGAATTGAGCCAGAATAGGTGTACCTACCAGCAAGGATACTTGGTCCAAGGGATTCGATCGAGCCATATCCTATGACATAGTTAGCAAGAGCAAGAAAGCCAACCACAACGATAAGGTGACATACCAAAACTAGCAAAGACCCGAGAGGCGAGTAGACTGTTGTAGTCTTTCGCAACGGCACTCCAGATAACACCGCCCAAAAACATCGCCATCGATATCAACACGATAGGACGTTTTCCAAATACCAGAGCCAGGGGCATCCATATCAAATTAGATAGGCCCATGGCTAGAACAGAGTACGTTACTAACTCTGATAGTGTCGCAAAGGGCAGATGCAAGTCTGCAGCCAATGACTCGAAGCCAACGGCAATGCCGGACTGTGAACGTTAGAATTGTCCCTTGCTGGGGCAAACCGACGTACCGAGTACATATTACCCATGAACACAAACACATTGACAGTAAGCAGGGCACTGTAAGTGACCCGCTTAGGGAACAGCTGCCGAATCTTTAGCCGGTCTGCCTCATCGGACGGTATACCTGCACGAAATACACACCCTAGGATCTATTGACATCTTGTGGCCTGATGCTGAAGTATGATGTGGGGCCGATGGGGGAAAAGATGCTAACGCAAACATCAGGAGATCAGGAGGGAGGATATGGCTACATATAAAAGCCCTCCCCGAGACTTCGGTTGTCTGGAAGCTTTGGCTCAGCAAGTGATCATAGATCCAGTACCGACCTTCCCCGCAAAGTTTCTAGTGACATGTGGATAGGCTAGACTCTGCGCCTTTCCTATCTGGTACTGTTTATACTTCGGTAGCGTGGATTTGGCGTGTCTGGGGAAACGCCCCAGACCTTTCGGGTTCTCCGTGGAGGTGGACGCCGCTCGGATGCGGTTCGGGACCACCTCAACAAGGTGCTTCTTTAGCGATATCTTCAAGACATGATTGGACAACCATCATTCTGATAGATTAATAAATCAAAATTGACATGAATACGGCAAATTTGATTAGGAATATGTGCCACTGGGAAGTCCGACCTTGCAATTGCCGAATTGCTGTCCAATGGTTGATTTATCTCCCGAATTTCACCAAAACCACGAGATCGTCCACTCACGCGAGATCACATCGATTCCGCTGTGAAGCTACTTCGGCTCTATAATTTTCTCAAGCGGACGGATGGCCTTGGTAGTATTAGTGATAACAGAACAAATATGCGTATGATAGCAAGATTCATGAATTCATCTCATAAAATACATCATATAGTCCTATAGGCTGGAATAACCTACCAGACAATTTCCTTCCCGTTCAACCCCTCAACAGCCGGGATGAGGGGACGTAGTGCCTGGCCATAATCACCTCCATTTGGTGTTCGCAGAAGGGTATGAATGTGGAACTTCTTTGGCTCTTCGTTGTTCAAGAACACACCGGAGTGGTGATCAAATTCAACAAGGATAACTGGACTTTGAATCCTATAGTAGAAAGGATCCTCATCTCCATATCCTCCGATCCAACAGAAGTACGTCTCCGCTTCGTGGGCGCGCACCTGGTCGATTTTCATCGCCCGCGACTTTGCCGGCAAATACAAAAGATATTGCTCCAGAATTCCGTACATGAGAGCCTTCTGTGCAGAGTCGAATGTAGATGCCAAGATTCCTTCGTAAGGAACTTCGCGATTGTCTCGGTACGCACCGCACAAATGGCGCTGGTCGTCCTTGTTCCAGCGGCCAGGGGGCATGGCTGGATCCTTCATTTGCGCAAAAACGCGCGCCGAGGATTGAAGTTCGGCCGAAAGTGACTGCATAAGCTGTAGCCCGAGCTTTTCTTCCAGTTGCATGATTCGTGTGCCGGCATGTGGACCCGCGTCGATCTCGTTCGGTTCTGCGCCTGTGAACCATGGCGACGCGACAATCTGTCCCTTGTACAGGAAAATGTTCAGACACAGATGATGGCCATAGAAGGACCAGCCCCAGGGTCTAGTTGTGGATGGGCGGCCGAAGAGAACGAAGTTATAGGAAAATTCGTTCATCACAGCGGGCGACTTGACCAGTTCGCCGAGGAAATGATTGATTCGCATGGCGCTGACGGCCTTTTCATATCCCTCTGGGGATAATGTGGTCTTCAGCACGTTCATAACTGCATCGCGAGTCTGCGAATTCACTTCGTCAAGTCGGATTCCCTTGTGCGCGAGCAGGAACTCGGGGTTGGACCATGTGCGCCATTGCGGGGAGTCGATGTGGTAGTTGATGGCTTCTGTTTGCTTATCATCTAGCAGAGCCGTGACTGCCTCTGCTGCGTTGACAATCTCCTGGATTGGAACATCTTCTTCTTGTAGTGTGAATAAGCCCGGGCGGACATTTCCTGAGCACTGTTAGCCACGGAACTGGAGGTAGATCGCCGGACATACCGTCGGTAGTAACGCCCTTAAATGGCTCTTGCAACAGCTCCAGCCAATGCATGTACAATGCGTGTAGCCATGGCGGTTGGTGTCCCGTCTTGAAAGCATGCGCGTATTCGTGGGCATCCTGCTGGCACATCACCTGGAAGCGCTCCAGGTTGAGATCCGGCAGATACTGGCGATACTCGCCGGTGGGCTTTTCCAATGTGTTCGTCATGGTTCCGTCTATAATTGAAGCAAGAGGGGTCAATTGAGAAGAGGAGAAGCCGAAGAGATGTTATAGCTCCAACCCCACATGAAGAGGCCTCCCCACGAGCGTGGGGACGGGAAAATTCTTTACCCGCCTCTGTGGCGAGTTGGCCAATCCGGATGGTCCGGAAACCAATTTATCAGTTCGGTTTCTGTGTACTCATGCTTTTGACGGTGCACTTTGACTGGCCATGCGCGTTGGATGGTCATTGTGAAGTGTGCGCAGTATGGGGTAAAGCAGTCGCGTCGCCGGCTGTTGGACGCGTCGCATGTCCCGCGCATCAATTTCCAGTATAATTGGTGCGTCATACTCTTTGCATGTAAATCAACGTACGGACCTACAGTACTCTATGCTCCCCATCAGAGTCTCAAATAATAAAACACAACGCCCAAACGAAGGACCATGGCATTGCACCTCAACCCCAGTATTCGAATTGGCCCACATGCAGCGGGAATGCCTCACGACTCACGAGGCCTCGAAGTGATTCGGATCTTCCGCCGGTTTCTCCGGAAGTTTTCCCCGCATGTCGTTCCTCGAGCTTTAAAATGCTCGGACTGCGGGGGAATTTGAACAACCAGCTTTCACAATGTCATTGAACTTCACCAACCAACCGCCTGCGTCGCGGGTGCCGTATGCCATCCCCCAATTGGAGGGCGAGCGCATCACAATTCCCGGCAGCAAAGGCGTCTTCCGCATCTTGACCTCAGCAAAGCAAACCGGGGGGTTGATGGCCGTTTTCACAAGTGGTGCTGTCCTGTCCGATGCTCCCGGGTTCCACTACCACAATCATGCGCACGATGTCTTCCTGGTTACAAAGGGTTTCTTGAAGCTATGGAATGGGGACCAGTGTCGGATCATGGGCCCTGGTGACTTTGCCTACGTTCCTCCGGTATGTATCCCCAATGATCGAAGACCTTTCGGTGCTGACTTCCGCAGAAAGTCGTTCACAACCCGGAGATGATGGGTCCGCACACAGAGCTTCAAGGCTTAATCACCCCTGGCGATTGGGTAGACTTCTTCCGCTATGTGTCCGAGCCATTCGAAGGCGTCCTGGTCCCTGAAGGAGACGACCGCGACCTGAAGTCCATCCTCATTCCCAAGGTGATGGCGGCCAAGGAGAAATTCGACGTTGTGTTCCAGCCCCACTATGTGCCTCCAGAGGTCACCGAGTGGTCAAAGGAGGACGAAAAGCTGCCAGAGGGTCCCGCGGGGTACTTTTTACGCGCTAACACCGGCCCTAAGTGGCTTCTTGGTGGTGTTATGTCCCGCCCGTTTGTGACTACCACACAGAGCACAGGCGTATGCGCGATTTCCAGCATTGAGTCCTCCAAGGACTATGGGGAGACAGCGTTCTCCAGATACATGACCTTCCCAACAGTCGACCACTGCTTCTGTATTATGGAAGGCGCATTGCGAGTGAGCTTGCAAGGTGAAAGTGACGCTGTCTTCCGTGAAGGCGAGACCGTTGTCGTTCCCGCTGGCCAAGCCTTCTCCCTTGGCTTTGAGAGCAAATTTGTAAAGTTCCACTCTTTCACTGACGGCAATGGCATCGAATCGTTGATCCATGCTGCGGGTCAACCTTTCCAGGGGGCAGTGCTCCCTGACGTAGCGCCTGAATATAATCAGGCCGATGTGGAGTCGGCTGCGGCAGGCCTCAATATTGCAATTTGAAGCGATCTCATACTAGCGAGTATTTTTAGAACACTGTATAGCGAATCCAATCATTTGAGATCTCCAAGCTAAACTGGTTCCTATTCGCTCATTTCTTATGCATAAGGTACCCCGGACTCAACGATCCAAGATGCGGTTCCAATCACGTGGAGCGCAGGGTGTCCGGAATTTCCGGCCTCGTTGATTCCTCATCTGTACTCCACCGTTAGCGTAACGCTCCAGATCGATATATCAACTGGGAACCATCGGAGAATGTCTGCATAATGCAGAACCAACCTCTTGCTCCTGTTGATACCCCAGCGGCCAAACGCGCGAAACGGCCACGCGCGGCGCAAGCTTGCGACCGATGTCGGCTGAAAAAGTATAAGTGCGACGAGCAGTATCCCTGCCTACATTGTAAAAGTAAGAAACCCGGAATGATCAAACAACAGCTCCTGACCGATCCACAGAAAATGACCTGGTCTGTGTATACCAGGGCAATTACAGGGAACGTGAAAGTGGCCGTTCTGCAAAGTAAGTTGTCTCTCGGGCCGATCGCGGTGCACACTGACATCGCCAGCTATGTAACCGACCTCGAGAGAAAGGTCGAGGAATTGAGCTCCAAGCTGCGAGCTTCGGAGTCAACACAAGGCGCATCTCCACGTGGCCCGGGGGCTGAGACAACGCCATGTTCTATGCCAAATACTTCCACGCCGCAAGAGCTGGCTAAATTACCCGAGACACGCGCGGAATCCGCCGACAGCGGCGAGAATGAAATCAACGAGTTCAATCACCACACAAACGGTGTGGAGTTCCACGGAAGTACCTCTTCGGCTGCTATTATCGGCCTGTTGAAAAAAGCCCGAGACCCCAGAGGCCAAGAAGAGCCTCACCCTCGACCTGGAGACGGCTCCTCACTTATATCCACGCTTCATAATCCAAGCTTCTCGCCGTCATATGTTGCGTTACCGGCGCAGATCCTATCGCTGGAACAGCACAACTACTACTTTGACCAAGCGCATATCTTCATGAACGGGTATTTCGAAAACATCCACTTCGTCCACCCTTTCATCGACAAGGAAGACTTTTTAATCCGCGCGAACGATTTATGGTTCAACCGATCACGCACCCCTGAGCCAAGCTTTGTTGCGCTATACTTGAGCATTCTATCAGTCGGATCATTGGTGCGTGTCTGGGATGAAGGAACCTTAGCTGGACTAGGGCGCTTCGAATGGAGTCGCAAGCTTTTCGCGGAGGCGCAAGTCTACTTGAATCATCTGAAGTTCTCAAATGATCTTGAGACGGTCCAGTGTCTCTATGTGATGGTGCGTCTGAGTGTTCAATTGGTCGACCCTAGCTAACCCAAGCAGGCCAAAGTTTGTCAAAACGAACTCAACCCAAACCGTGCGTTTGCCCTCCTCTAGTGAATATTTTGTCAAACTGACAATTCAGTGGCCTATATGTATCTTGGTTTGGCTGTACGGACCTGCCTTTCCGCTGGCTTCAATCGGGATGTGCCGTCCCCGGGGGATAACGGGCAGCGCTCAGGCTGGATCTCGAAAACCTGGTGGTAAGCATCATAGATCTGTTGTCTTTATGCAATACTGACGAGACAAAGGGGATTATTTTCACTAGAGATGTATGGAATTCACTTCGAGGTTTGTAACCAGTGCTAACACAGACCAGTGAAATGAGTTTCTCCGTCGGACGACCCGACACTCTCGGAATGGATGAGTATCACAACAGAAGCATTCCGCCACGCGATGACTCTGAGTTTGCCATCATCCCATGGATGATTGACTTTGCTCAGATTATTCGACGAGTATCTGTGCAAATCTACCACTCTCGCATTTCATTACAGGAAAAATTACAGATTGCCTTGCAAATCGAGATGGAAATGGATCGTTGGCTAGCGAGACTTCCCGAGAAGATCAAACCTGATATCGGTGGCTACAGGTTGTCTCGCAGTGCCCTGCGTGACCCAAAATGGGCAAGAAGACAACGGCTTGTATTGGGGATCCGTGAGTCTAATTGTTCTGCCTTGAAAATATCATACTGACCTTCCAGGATACTATAACGTGAAAATGCTTCTTTTCCGGCCATTCTTAAGCCACTTTACACGAAAGCTTCGACACCCTCCGACTGAATTGGATTTAACCATCGATAAGTGCTTGGACTCGGCTATGAAAACACTCCAAGTGGTGCATGATATTTACCGAGTCCACACTTTCTTCCGCTGCTGGTGAGTCTCTTCGTTGGCCCTGTGATCAACGCTAATCTCATAGGTGGTACAACACAACATATGTCATGTTTGCTACATCGACCCTCCTCCTTCCGATGTCAAAACTAGGCATGACTCCGGAGACTATGCCCTTACTGCGATCTGTAGAAATGGGTGTGGAGATTCTGGAAGCCATGGAAGAGTCCGTAGTGGCCCGGAAGTCGGTTGAAATCATAAGACAGTACCTGAGGGATTTCCGAGCGACAGGAGCCCCACAGCCTGGGGAAGAGGACCTCCCCGCTCCAGAAACGGCCCCTGGGCAGAGTTTCGAAGTGCCTGTAAGTCATCCCGCTCAATCTGCGTACTTTGCTGACAAGAACAGGAATGGGCCTACGGTTTCGGCTTCCCAGATTATTCGTTTGAAGGAATTGCTCGGCTGTTTGACGATGTTGGGGGACTTCCGATGCTGGATGAATAGTTCATTTAACCTGGTTTGTAGTCTCATGTATGCATAACGCCTCTGATTTAGTGAATAAACTATAAAATGCTACAACCCCATGACGCAGACTTCGCAAATACTTCTGGGTTCTGCAACACCGCTGTTTCCACCTCTTTGATTGCATCGTATCCATACAGCCAAGGCTGCACTTCGGGACAAGTCCTATGGTCGTTAGTGTCTCTTCTTACAATCCTCGTGGATTAACTCACCATCGACTTGGGAATGCACCCTTAATCTCCTTCCCGAGTTGAGAGAGGAAGAGTTGATCGCGCTTCTCCTGTTCTTCGCCGTTGGGCATATGGAAATCGTGTCGCTATCTAGTCAGCAGTGTGATTTGGCAACCAGACTAAATGCATACCTGTTTGAATGTTTCTCGCACAATCGCTTCTCCTCTGGACTTGCGCATGCTTTCGTAAAGTCGCAGGATTTGAGGAAGCTGACTCTTATCTGTCATATTTCCCAAAAGCATACCAAGCACGGCACCGTCTTCCAATGATGAGTTGGCGCCCTGTGCCAGATACGGAAGCATAGGATGACAAGCGTCTCCAATGAACACCAGATTCGAAGTATCATTAACCCAACGCTCCATTTCACCATGATGCATGAGCTTCCACTTGTCCACGTTGGTCACGTAGTTCAAGAACCGATTCAAGCTGATCAATTAGTACATTTTCGACCATGGCAGTTGGCAACTCACATCGGATCCCAACCAACAAACAGCTCCCGCATCTCATCAACAGAACCAGCCTGTCTTGAGATACCAGCGGGCAAATTGTCCGGCACCAAAAGAACAATATTGAACATGTTTCCACCACGCAGCGAATAAGCAACCGCGTGAGCACCCGGGCCTGCCCAGAAGTGCACCTCGGGGTTCTCAACCAGCGCCTTCAGCTCAGGATCAGCGATCTGATCCGTGCTCAGCACAATCCGATACGCCAAGTCACCCGTAGGGATTGGCTCATCTTTCTTCCCGACGAAAGCCTCCCGACACCTCGACCACAGCCCGTCAGCAGCGATAATGAGATCACCCGAGTACCGGTCGCCAGCGAGTGTGTGAACAGTCGTGGAATCGAAGTCTATCCGATCGACCTTTTGGCTCATGTGGAATTTGACACCTAGCTCCTGAGCTCGAGCGAACAGCGCCTGTTGGAGATCGACGCGGTGCAAGTCGACAAAGGGCGCATTATACTTAGCGCGAATATTTTTATCGAAATTTTCCTCTCGTGCCAGGACCTCGCCCGAGTATCGATGCACTGTGAGCTTGGTTGGCTCAGCAGCTGCGTCCCATAGGGATTGTGGAAGGTTCCAGTGTTTCAGAAGCAGGGAAGCGTTGGGTGTGATTTGGAGACCAGCGCCAACTTCCGCCAGTTCCTTTGCTTGCTCGATGACTTCGACTGAATGTCCTGATAGTGCGGAGGACACTGCAGCGGCGATACCACTGAGACCAGCGCCGACAATCACAATGCGGAGACGAGCTTCTTCGGAGACCTAGTGTTGTTAGTCGGGGCTGAGAGGGAGAGGGCGTTGGTGCAACGAACCATATTTGCGAAGTTCCGTTTTGTGATTCAACAACAATCTGAATGGTATCTTGAAGACCAAGGTCATGGAATTCTTACTATTTTGAATCTCCGCAGACGCGCTGAGCTCCCCGGAAACACCGACCCCACGACTCGGGAAAGCCGCTCGGGTTTTCCAAGCAGGTCAAGGCCATTAGCGATCAGCGATCCGAGCGCATTGCCACGTGAGATTTAATGCGCGTCGGTCGATTCCGACTTTCTGGGGTATCGCGGTGGAGACCGTGGCTTTACGCTGGTGGAGGTTCCTCTAATGGCGAGCTGAAGGGACTGGGCATTCTATCTTCAAAAACTGGTGATTGAACGCTGATTCAAATTCTTTACGTATCTTGCTGTTGTCAAATTGGATTTTTTATCTGATTATGTCGGCTTGCTTTTTGAGAGGCTCAATAATGAGCAGCTAACACTCGTTGATGTTGCTCATGAAAGTCTGACACCCCCACTTTCATCAGTCTGCATATCATCAACATCATCATGTCCGTTCTATTCGCTTCTTGTATCAGCAACCCAAAGTAAAGTTGAGCCATATCGACTCGTCGATGCAATCATAGTATCATCAGGAGAGAAGGCAATAGACTGCACACTAGAACGGCATGTAGTCGCTGATAGTTCTTCTTTGGCGTCAAGATCCCACAGACTCAATATCCCCCTATTGTATGATCGTCCACTTTCGTATACTGCAAAAAGCTTAGCCTTGTGGGAAAAGGCTACCCTCGAGTGTATGAACTTGCTCTTAATTTCCAACACCATGCGTCTTGTCGAGAGTTCCATAAGACAGATGTTCCGGGTACGTGCGGGGTCCAGGTACGCTATATATTGCCCATCCGCAGAGATACCCAATGCATCACCTCCCACCGGTAATCTGAAACAATGCTTTGGGGTATCTTGATCAATTTCCAGCTTCTGGAACTTGTCTGCGCGGGCAAGCCAGATGCTTTTTGAATCGGACGAGAAGGCAAGATGGATCGGTAGTGGACGACTTTCTAGGGCAATGTGGAATTTGAATTTGCGGAGGTTGGATCCCTCAGCAACGTGTCTGAAGAACACAGTGTCATTGACCGCACAAGCTACCATCTTGCTATCTGGGGAGAAGATAACAGATTGAGGATAACCTGTAAGATTATGAGATTCGAGCGCGGTGCGCGTTGGAGCATCCCATAGCTGCAAGTAGTTGAAAAGGCCACATGATGCAAATAGCTTCCCGTCTGGGGAGAAGGCGATACACAGCCTTGCTTTTAGTCCGGGAATCTCAGAGTATGAAGACATATCCCAGAGTCGGAGCGGATTCTTCGACCCAGCAACCGCTAGGACTGTGCTGTCGGCCGAAAACACAGCTTCCCCTTCGCAGCCTCGGTGAAAAAGTTCCTTGGCCACTCGAATTTTTCCACCGGATAACTTGATTGAGTCTCTTTGTATCGGAATATTGAAGTCTTCCCTGGTCCCTTCATGTGGTCCATGCTTAAGGGTATCATTGGATGTTTGCCGGGACGACACTGTATCCCAGGGCGCGAATTCCTCAGTAGATAAGCCGGTGCTCAACGCTTTTGGTGACGGCGGGCTGTCCAGTGGGAATCCAGATCCCGCCCTGCTAGGAGGGGGGGTATTCATTTCCTTGAGCCATTTGTGATGAATGGCTACATCAGCTGGGGCCCTATCCTTAGGACGAACGCCCATCAGAGATTCGATAAATTCGATACAAAGATGAGTTGCGCCAACATCAGCAAGCAATCCACTCGGGAAACCTTCTATGTCCGTTGCGTATTTCGCAAGCCGTCCGAGACTGTCGAAGGCAGGCCTTTTGACAAGCATGAAGAACAAAGTCGCGCCGACAGCCCAAATATCAGGGGCATATGGAGATCCTCGCTCGGTGAGTTCGTATAACTCAGGGGCTATGTATCCAGGCGTTCCCTTCAGCAACGTTGAGGCCCCTGATGCTTCCTCGATGCGCTTACTGAGCCCAAAGTCCGAGAGCTTGACCCACCATATATCTGGCGGGTGCGACATAATCAAGATATTTAATAATCCCACAGTCAGAAGAGAAGATAAAATGATTTGCTGTGGAAGTTCGAACAGGCCATGTACTCACGTTGGGTTTCAGATCTCCGTGCACGAATGCGTTTTCGTGCATCATCGTGAGTGCTTCGACAATCTGCGACGCAATCACTTTGGCTTCCCTTTCTGGGAGAGGTGGTCTTCCCTTCACATAGGCCAGTAGGTCGCCTCGTTCAAGGTATTCCATGGCGATGAAGAGGTGTGTGGGAGTTTCGAACCATCCAAAGGAGGTGGTAAAACATCGATCATACTGTCGTCTTTAGACCTCATGTTGAACAATTCCTGCAGAGTGGTGAAATACTTTTTGATGTGAAAACCTCGTAATGGCCTCCAATTCCCGATGATAGTCAATATGGCCATTCGTCGGAAGTTGCTTCACTGCCCGAACGTCCAGCGCGCGGCCACCCTTGGTGCACTTCTCCAACCAGACTTGTCCGTAGGAGCCACTTCCAACCTCATGCTGTCGTTGCCAGTGCTCTAGCCGGACCACAACTCGGCGCCCTGAAGCCAGGTCGGATTCATGATACGTATGGATGGTCTCTGCACCGTGGTTCTGAAACTGCGTTTGCAACTTGAAGTCGCGTACAATATCTGGGATTCGAGTCATGGCGAGTGTGCGACTTCAGCTGAGAACGAAAAGCGTCAAACCCCTGGCCCCCGCCTTGTACTGGGCATTACGTCAGGCACAGCCATTGAGAGCCTCGCTTCCTTGTGCATTTCGAGGTGCACCCGGGTAAAGAAAAGTGGCCTAACAAGGAGCTGCCCGGGTCTGAGGGTCTTCAGCCCGGGTGGTTCTGCTGGGTCTTCAGGGTCCACTCTTAGATCGTGTGTGGGACCGAGAGAACAGGTTCAACATACAGTATTTAATATGACCTCGGGAATAGATAATAGAAATAAAGTCAATATATTAAGCATTCATGGATAGACACTATAATTTCAACTAACACTGCCGCCCTTGGAATCACAATTCAGTCCTAAACAGCGCGACAAAAACCCCCATTACTCCATATAACCTGAGATTCCAGATAAAGCATCATTCGTGTATTTTTCGCATATCGGATCAAGTGATTCTAAGATCGTCATGGTCAGGAATCAACTCATAGCCCCCCTCAGAGGGCAAGACCTTAGCAGCCAGAATGACTGCGCCGGCGCAGAACAGACTGATGCACCAGCTGACAGTGCAGAAGACCCAAGATTGATCGAGTTTCCAGCCGACAAAGAACCGATCTTCATTGTCAAACAGATACGCCTGTAGCGCATTAGCCATGGCCCTCGATCTCTTGGTCTCTCAAGATCCACGACGCGACTTACCACAATCGACATGCCGGCAGCCTGCACAATGGCCGACAACCCGACCATTAAGCTGAGAAAAGACCACCCGTTCTCGCGCAAGCGCTTGCCCCCGGAGAGAATGACCAGGTATGTCACGACGCTGATGCCCTGGAGCACGATCGCAAAGGACATGAGGAACCCGACCGAGCGCCACATGGAGCAGAAATACCGATCTTCGCCATGGCAATCCTCGCGCTGTGGGAAGCTTTCGCAGGTGTCTGTGATGGAGGAGCAGCGGCGGTGGAGCCCGTAGGAGTAGTCATAGTTGGGCTAGATCGTTAGTCCAGAGCTATAGTGGGGCACGGGCAGGCGGACCTTGTCACTTTGGTAGGTGACCCATTTGGGAACGACGATGGATGCTATAGTCAAGCCGAGAGCTGAGGGTGTCAGTCGTGGTGCTGGGGACTGGGAGTTGGGAGGGGCGTACAGGCGAGGAAGATGACTAGCGTCCCGGTGTAGACTATTGTCTTGGTAAAGAAGCCTGTGTAGTTGCGGTCAGTGCCGTGGGGCACGAGGTGGAAGTCCATGGCTGAAGCTGTGCACTTGGCCCAGAGTGGAACTGGGCATCTGAATAAATGGAGGAAAGAAGGGGGTGTCCAGGTCAAGGTGATCGGCGGGAGAGATAAGATCACGAGGGCAATGCAGCCTCGCACAGTACTGTAGGTAGTGTCTAGGAAATCTTCAGAATCGCGAGTCTAGGGGCTTCCCCGCAGGTCAAATCAAGGCAGATGTCCAGCCGCGTTCGGCCAATCAGAGGCGTTGGTCTAAAGCTTCACCTCGCCTCTAACCTGCCGAGGTCACTACGTAGGAAGTACAAGACTACTTAGGAAGTGCAACACTTGAGGTGCATAGCGATATACAAAGAACATCCATTTGCAATCATCGAGGCATACGTCTTGAGAAGACAGCCCTTCGGAACAGACATCATCATTAGAACTAAGAGCAGAACGAAGTCATAATATACACGACGGCATGTGCCAGAACAGGTCGTGGCGCGAAGGACCCGAATGAGTAGATGGGGATCTAGAAAAGAAAAAGGCATAAAGAGAACCACCGAAGTAGAAACATAAACAAAAGCAAAGCAAACGCCAACCCAATACATGCCGTAAAAGAATTTGCGCCAGGAACACTGTCATTGCACTTGGACTTCATGCCGGTCACTTCTGCAGCATGGCGCGGAAGTCATCGTTGCTCTTTTTGGGCTTCTCGCCGTCGGCCGTGGTGTCCATCTGGTCAGCTGGGGTCTGTTTCGGTGCGTGGGCGGGGGTGTGTCGTTTCAGTCCGAGGCCACCCTTCCGACCCGGTTGCTGAGGTCGCTTGATTGGGGCGGTGGGTTGGAGAGCAACCTTCTTGGGTTTGTCGTCACGCTTCACCGATGTGACGCGGTCGTTTCTCCACTCGGCGCGTTGTTGCTTCATCTCCGCGACGGTGCCCAGGTGAAGTGGGCGCCCGGACGCAATTTCCTTCCCTTCAAGGGCCATCATGGCCTTGCCGGCATCATGGACATCGACAAATTCCACGATGGCACCTTGGTGGTCAGGACGCAAGGAAATTCGGACCAAGCGCCCGAGTGGCTCGACAAGAGCACGGATCCGGGCTTCGTTGACGGTGTCCGGGATGTTCATCAAGGCAATGGTACGCTCGGCGACCTCCCCGACAGGGACTTCCAGTTCCGCAGTGCCGTTGGCCTCTACCGACTGTCCCCGTCCGGCGACTCTGGAGATAGTGGTGGCACTGACTCGCTTGTTACCACCAGGGGTGGCAATCTCAACGCGAACAGCGCGCGATTTGATCACTTCACCGTTCATGGCGAGTGCCTGGTTGGCTTCTTCCTTCGTTTTGAAAATGATAAATGCGTATCCTTTGCTGGTGTTATCGATCTTGCGAGGAAGGTTGACCTTCTGAACTTCTCCGAACCGAGTGAAAACCTCGCGGAGATGATTTTCGTCGACACTCCAATCAATGTTGACGATGTAAATTTCCCGACCTTCATATCTAGGACCGGTGCGCTCGGTTTTTTGTGCAGGGTTAGAGATTTTCACAGACAGCTTCTGGTCTTTGTCGTAACGCATTCCATTGAGCTCTGTCGCATGGAGAGCTGCACTCGGAGTTGAGAAGTCGACATAACAGAAACGTCTGTCCTTGTCATACTTGAGAGAAGGGAAGCGGACATCAATCACTTCGCCGTACTGTGAAGAGTCAGTAATCATGTCAATTATAGGGGAGAGCGGATTAAGTACCTTGCTGAAGAGGTCACGGAAGTATTTCTCATCCGCAGTTGGCGGCAGATTCGTGATCCACAGCGTTGTTCCCGCACCCATTACCACATCGATGACATTTCCGTCGAACTGTTTCTGGTCACGGGTCAAGGCAGACAGAGCCTCATCTTTGGTTTCGAACTCGATGATGGCTTCCTCTGTCTGCTTCTCTTCCCTGTGGAGCAGTCTGACACGGTTGATGGTGCCACTGTGACGGAAGAATTGCCGGATAGCGTGCTCAGTGGTACCCTTCGGCAATTTCTTAACCATGACAGTTGCGTTTTCCCGATCCCGTGAGAGGCTAGGCTCCGGTTCCGGGGCAGCTTCAGAAGACGGCGCCTCATCGCTGCGGGCCTTCTTAGGCTCCGGCATCGCATCCTTCTCGTCCTCGCGCTTTCTTTTTTCTGGCGAGGCAGCTGTTTCCATGGCGGCCTCCCATTGCTGCTGTTGCTGCTGTTGTGCTGCGGCGGCGGCGGCCTCTCGTGTCTCCCTTTCTCTCCGAGCGTTGACGGCTCTCATGGCCTTGCGAGTCTCAATAATGGCAAGCTGTAGCTCATCGGAGTCTTCATAGTCTTCGCAATGGGTGATATAGGTTTGGAATATCTTATCAGGCCAATCCAAGTCTGTTCTCTTGATCGCCTGCTTCAGCACTGCGGTGGCATAGCTGGGATTCGGCGTACGCCGGGCCGCATCGACAGTTGCTTCACCCTGGACGAACTTGCTCCAGCAAATCAGTTCCCATGAATAGTGGGCAAGCCAGAACTCGTAGCTTCCACCACGGCGGGCGACAAGCCCCCTGAAGGTTTCGCGGGCGCTGTCCCAGCTGCCGCTTTCACTGAGGAATCGAATATAGATCCGCTCGAGGCGGAACATAGGGTCGCCCTGGTAGGCCGGTCCGTACTTCTTTTCCCCCAATTCCTGCACGCTCTCGATCGCGGAACGAATACCCACTTCGGCGACATCGATGTCTTCGTCGGTCGAGTCAGACAGGAACGCACGTCGGCGAAGATAGCTGCACCAGGTCACGTGGACTTTGAGAACTTCTTCTAGTCCACCAGCATCAAGCAGGCCAGTGCTAGTTGCCTTGTGCTTGATGTTCGAGATTTTGTTGAATGATTGGTTTTCTCTTTCCGAGCTCAGCAAGTATTGGGACCAAAGGTTTCCGGACCACGGGCAGTGGCGTGTGGCACGGTCCAGTGTGGATATTGTTGTTGTAGAGGCATGGCGATGAATTGATTCACTGATCAGGAACATGACGTAGTCTTCCCAGAGTGATACATCGGTCGGGAACTGGAGAACGGCGCGCTGGTAAATGGCGTTGACTAATTCAAAGCTGAATTCCCCTCGCTTGCGGCGGTTTCGAGTCAATTCCCACTCGATGTATTCGGAGTAAACGGTCCACTCAAGGGTATACTCGCCAGAGTCATGCGCCTTCACCAAGCGGTGTTCGAATTCTTCTCGCGCATTGTAGAGCGCTTTGGGTTCGGCAGCGCGAGCGACAGTCTCGGCCATAATATCTTCGTACTTGCTGTTGCAGTAGGTAGAGATGAAGCCAGAGAACTTCTGGAAAGTCTCGTCCCAGGTGGCATGGGGGGTCTGCAGACGAACGTCATAGAGTCCGCGAAGATGGTTGATCTTTTCCTGGGAAGGACCGCGTGCAATATCCTGCGCATGGAGATCGAGAAGGCGATCCCAGACCAGGTGGCTGTTGTTAATCCTCCACTTGGTAGCCTCAGCGCCACGCTGCCACACTTCCAAGACCGACTCCCAGGTGAAGACTTCGCGACCAACCATGCGATCCTCTTCCGTCCACTGTATGCCAGTCTCGCCGTGGGTAGAGTTGTACAGGTACAACACCCACTCGCCGTAGATATTCCATAGCTTCGTGCTACCGAACTCTTCGTCAACTGACCGCTGGCAGAGATCCATGACGCCGATACGCTCGTCAACATTCTGAGCAAGCATGCTCTCATCCTGAATCCACTCAGCCCAGAGATCCTCCCCCATGGCGAAGAGCTTGTCCATCTCCTCCCGGGCCGTCTTCAGGTCGTTGAGTAAGTCGTAGCGTCGTGGATCGCCGTGCACATCTGGGTTGTTGGGCGGGTAAACATGGTTGACAAATCCAGCATGGAGCAATCCGATGAACTGAACGTGCGCGTCATGGGTGTGGGGGTTTTGAGAAATTCTACGGAAAAGCTCAGTCGCCGTCTTCTGCGCGTCAGGTTCTAGAGAGGTCGCGGCGTAGGTTCTTTGCGAGGGATCGCGCCCGTCGGACATGGCGATGCCGTAGGGGACGAGAGAGGTAGGGGTGTTGTGATTGACTGAATTGACTTGAGGGTGAATGGTTGAAGGGGAGAGCTGGTGTTCGTAGGACTCGGTATTCCGAAGCATAGTGGTCGGGGTTGGGCGTTGCGGCTGGTGGTGCTGCATGGAAGCTAAATCCGCCAAAGTATCCATCCCAGGAGTGGGAGGCTGTCTCGACGGTCCGTCAGTCGGGGAAGACCCGTTTCCCCCTGGCCCTGGCGATGGTTCACCGGCAGGAGCATAGATCTGTTGTGCAAGAGGCGAAGAGACCTTTTGTCTTCTTCTCGAGCCTGACCGGGTTCTTTGAAGAACTTTGTGGGGGGATGGCCCTGAGGTGGCCGGTGCGTTTGACGAAGGATGAGGCACGGGCGTCGAATTACCGGTTTTCGGATTCGAGTCCGGCGAAAGAAGTGAATTGATGTCCATATCGAGCACGTTTGGCAACAGCGATGGAATGTGTCGTAACCACGGATAGTGCTCGTGTAGCAGAGATCCAGATCATACGACAGTCTATTAGCTACCTCCACTCGTCCATTCCAGCATTGGTCGCAGGTATTTCAGATTATCCCCCCGTGGTCTTTGGCTGCGATACGGTCTCAAAGGCCGGGTCGGGCAAGCCGATAGAACTTGCAGGTTGGGTGTGAAAGAAGCGGGTACGAGTCCGCGGCAGCTATCTGGAAAGCTTTCCGCGAGTCGAGAAGGGTGTGAAGCGCAGGCTGAGGCCTTGGGAGAGAAAGACGAGAATGTAGGAGGGTGACGAAAAAGAGTGAAGAGAGAAAGGACTGAAAGAGGGAAAGATGAGGGCTAGTGGATACTGTGGAGATGATTTCGAGCAGAGAGAACAGGCACGAGAATGAACATGCGCAAATTCTGTGGCGCCCAGAACACGTAGCAGAAAATCCAGCAAAAAACAGGCTCCTACTGCAGGTCTATTCTCGTCTCCTGTCGCATTGTGAGGTTATTCTGATCGATCAACTAAAGGTGCCTCAGGCTCCGGGTATCTGCACAGACCACAAGTGCAGGGAATCTTTCCACCTTTTTTCCGCGTGCACTTCTGACAACAACATCAACAGCCACCATGGTCTATCGTTCAGGGCAATTGGTCCGGTCAGGTATGTCTGATGTTAAATATGACTTTCTCTCCTCCTCGCTGACTTTTCAATAGCCGCCCGGACCGGCGTCGTCTTCGTCCCTCGCCGAACCCTCACCTCAACCCCCATCCGTTGCGCCGCAAACAATGCCGAAAAGAAGACCGGCCTGCTCGCCTCTTTTAAGAACATGTTCATTGGTGACAAATCCAAGGTCACACACCGACCTTCCGCCCCTCCAAAGGAGGAGGGTGGTCTTGGAGGCAACTCCATCTTCGGATCCGACTTGACTGCACCATCATCCGGTCCCGCGCCATCACGAGCCAAGCAGGGTAAGCAGGGTGATGCCGAAGAGTCACCCAGATTGGAAAAGCGTGATGCCACTCGTCTTCGAGCCGCACTCAACCCGAACCCGAATGCACAGTTGCGATGGGAGAGAAAGATGGCGATTCGCGACATCCGGAAACGAGGCCGCCTGCCAATGAAGGTTCAGATCAAGCGCTCCGAGCGTGAATCTCTTTCCAAGTCCCAATGGATCAAGACCTCATTGAAGAAGCTCGGTCCCTTGGCCCGTCAAATCGCCGGAAAGAACATCGACGAAGCCATCCTCCAGATGCGCTTCAGCAACAAGAAGGCCGCCAGAGACGTCCTGGAGCACCTGGAGCACGCAAAGAACGTCGCCGTTGTCCGTTCCGGAATGGGCCTTCCCGTCCCCGCCGCCGAGAAAACCCAGCCCATTACCGTCACACTCAAGACCGGCGAGCGTAAGAAGATCGCCGACCCGTCCGCCATCTACATTCAGGAGGCCTGGGTCAACCGTGGCCCTTACGGATACGAGATGGACCACCGTGCCCGTGGTCAAATCAACCGCATGCGTCCTCCCACCACCAGCATCTCGGTTCTGTTGAAGGAAGAGAAGACCCGCATCCGCGAGTGGGAGCAGCGCGAGGCCAAGGCCCAGCGCGAGCGCAGATCACAGCTCTGGACTCAACTTCCGGATCGCAAGATTCCTACGCAGAACCAGTACTACAGCTGGTGATTCGTTTCTAGGCGTTTGTATTATTTATATTAGATGGCTCGCGAGTGGACAGTTATCTTTCACCCCCTATTTTTGAGGCGAGAATTGCATTTATGGAAAAGTCGCCATTGAGCGACCCATGTACAATACTGATTGAATTTTGGATCTGAAATCTTCCAGCTCCAAGTGCCCCTGATAGGGCAGCTTGTTCTGGCCTTCCACTTTGTAGAATCTCGCTATGATAACTCCTGGACTGCCAAGATGATTGCTTGGTTTCCGGACTTTCAGCCAAATTTTTCGATCGAATGACCTCGAGGCATTGCAAGGTTCCTACCTTGGCCTTTGTATTTACCTACCTTGCTGTGCTATGTTACACCCGTGGATGTTCCCGAGGTCGACACCAAGCAGTCAGCTGGACAGTACTTATTGTTCACCCGTGCTGGCATCCCCAACATCATCGGGTTTCTGCGCCTTCACCAGCACCGGAATGACAGCACCCGTAGCCAACGCAAACTTCTGGTGACCCAATACCTCCAGAATGCTAGTGATAGCCCCAGAGTGAGCTGTCAATGAGATATACGTATTTTCATCATTGGAGAAAATGTCTTCAAGAAGACTGCGCAGACGTTCGTTGCGATGATCATCTGATTCACGGGTCTTGGGATCCCAGAGCAAGTCATCTTCTTCGAATCCAGCTTCGAATCGATAATGCGGATATTCTGCGGCAATTGCCGTCGCACTGGAGCGACGGTCACATGTGTGTTCGCCCATTGTTTCACGAACCAACTAGCCATATTCAATATGAGATGGGTCTTCAGTTTATCTGTCTTGGGGAAACGTACCTCTTTGATGACCGGACTGAACGGAGTGATACCGGCAATGGGGAGGCCATCGAACGTCACATGGGCGGTCGCCAGGCAGCGATTCAGAGGACTCACGTAGAAGGATTGTGGTGGTGGAATGCCTGCTTGGAGTTGGTCTTTCCAAGCATTATGTGCCACTCGTGCCTGCTCGATTCCTTTTTGGGTCAGACGGGCATCAACCCACTGTCCATGTGAGTCTCCGTCTTGGAGGGACCAATAATCCTAATATTCTGTCAACAAATGACTCAATCTTAGAGCAGCGGAGGTTTCACAAAGCTCTATCAACTTACATCCCACAGTTTGGTACCGTAGCGACTCTCCGCGACATTATGGACACCCTCGCCGTGGCGTCCGAGAAACAAAACTTTGAATCTCGGACCATCAACGGAGTTTAAGTGGTCCACATGCTTTTGGAAACGCTGCCACTGGCTGTCTTCGGAGCTGGCTATTTGATCTTCGGTATATTGGCGATCAATAAGGCCAAAGTTCTCCTTCACCTGTTATGGCATTAGAAAATACGAAGACACAACCGCAGGTCAGGGGCTGGGGCCGTTAGAACTCACGTAGTCGAATGTTTTGGGGTCGGTAGAAGGATCATCCTGCTTGAAATACCCCGGGACTGTAGTCAGGCGTAGTTGAGACATCCTGGATATGGCGGATGCGAGGGATGTTGTGCAGGGAGGGGTTTTGGTTGGGGATAGGGCTGAAGTGGGACGAGTCGCCCGTCACGACTCACGATGTAGCCGAAAAACCTATCGAATATGCGCCGTGCATTAAAGTGAAAAACAATGACAGAAAATTGCGAGTGTAACTTCATGAAATGTTAAAGACAGTGGCTTCTTTACTTCAGGGGTTTTCCTCCCGATATTCGGGCTCAGGTCCTTAAGCAGCAAGTCTATACCCCAGCTCGTGGAACATTGGAACAGAGCTCGAGTCAGGGAATCAAAACAATTCACAGTCATCAACAAGCGCGTCTGCTAGTTTATGCTGTGGCTCTCAGAATCATCAGAAAGATTATATCATCCATGGCCGAGCATATCAAGCGCATCGCCTGCGGCAATGCGCCTCGCCGGCTGAAATCGCATGAGTCCTTGGATCACATCACACAGAGGCTTAAGTGTGGTTTCCAATTCATCAAGTCTCTGCTCAAGCTTGGTTCCTCCAGAATCTTCAATACAAGTCAGCAAGCCTCCTTGCATGTCTGGATATACTCACCTCCATCTGGCCCAAGGTCGTGTTTGGAGCCCTTAAGCACCGATTCCCACTTTGCCTCCCACTCGTCTGGTAATTTCCCCACAAGGCCAATCATTTGGTGAACTAGAACTTCATCATCACCAAGATACCAAAATGGCCACGCTGCAAATACAAAAGAGTAAATCTTGGGCCGCAATCACTGTCAGTAAACTTCTTCGACGGAATAGACCAACCTACCATGCACCCCGTCCGCCACAAGTCCACCCTATAACCAAAAGAATCAGTAAAGATGGTCTCTGGCACCCGATGCGGCCCGGGCTGAGCTAGCTTCTCAGGCTCCTGTCCTTGGAAGAAGCTCTCTCCCAAGTCGAGAATACGGATATCTTCTTCCTCCTCTTCTATCCATTCATCCCACTCTGCAGCCTTGACCAGATGCTTCGGCAATCCGACTTCCAAAGGGGCGCCATCAATTCGACTGAGTGGCTCGTGTTCTGGAAATCCAAGAATCTCAAAAAGTTCGTCCTCGGTGCCTCGGGAGATACTTTTACAGGTGAAAGCAATGTTGCGGGCACTGATATCTTCGAGAGGATATTGACATTCAGTCTTCACGTTTCAAAGATCTTGAAGGAAGCATACATACCCCCATGACACAAGCCAGAGCTATGAATGAAATCCACAGCTTTCAACAGTTGCTTCGAGATCCTTAACAAGATTTCCGGCTCGAATTTATCGCCGTCAGAACGATAGTCTGCAAGAACCTGAGCCATTGATGGGCCAAGCAACTCAAAAACAAGGCACTGATGAGCTCCATTGGGGCCCGTGTGGGTGAATGTATCAAGCAACTGGACAATATAGTTCGAGGAAAGACCACCCCGGGTCTGTAAGATATCTAGGATTCGTAACTCTCGGGATATCGGCGAATTGGCAGTCAAAATCTTGATCGAAACCCATTGGCTACGACTGCCAGCACGTTCCAAGGTTAGATCTAGGGATCGGGGAGACGATGAGAATGGGAGAGAAACCGACGAATTGTCCATTGCGAGCCAAACAGTCGAATATCCACCCCATCCCAATTTATGGTATATTTTGTAGCGGCCATTCTCGAAGGTGTCACCGAGGTTGACTGGATGATAGCCTCCGGGGCAGTATCGTGACAGTGACTCCTGGGTATAGAGGAGATTGCTTTGGCAGAATAAAGACTGGTCCATATTCAAAGCTTGTACGGAGTAGGAGAGACCATGGAGCTAAGAGCCTTGGCAGGATAGAACATTGAAACTATTTTCCGCCCTTGAAAGCCAAAGGGTCGTTGGTTGCATAGGGTGTCTTGGCATTGGCCACAGTCACTGGGGAACCCAGCCCTCGGCCTCGGGTTGTGATTCGAACATGGACTTCTGGGTGAAGATCCCGAGGCTACTATCTAGCTAAAGCCACCCGTGGACTGCTTGTGCGATGAGACTATGAGTATACTACTACCTACTATATTGACTGGCAAGATTGATATATAGAAAACTTGATTTTCTTAAGCTAGAGTTTTATGACATGGGGCAGTATGGATATTACCCATGAATGTTTCTATGCAAACAAATTGATGAACCTTGGTCTGTCAAGGCGGCCTCTTCCTCCACGGAAGTAGGTCCAGTTGAGCCTGAGCTCAACAATGCCGACCTAAGTCCTCATAATCTGCCAATTGAACGCCTTCCGAGCCGATAGCAGATACCTGCCAGCCAAAGAAAGTCCCCGGTAGAGGGCTCCTTCAACCTTGTTGGTTGTAGAAAGCGAAATTTGCGCACAAAGCGCGACAGAACTAGAAAGCATACCGCCAACAGAAACGAGCGAATGCACCAAGCCGTTGCCGAATATTTCTGGCGAGCGATCGACACTGCCAGACAACCCAAGCCGTCGTGGCGAGGCAAATTGGTCTCTTGGTAGAGACAGCATTCCTGCAGGAAGAGTCGATACCGACAGTCTTTGCAGTCCTGGGGCAGTAGAAGTTCCTCCCGGGTGGATTCCACGAGGAACAGGAACAACTCCTGACAAGATTGTGTCTGGTACAGTAGTTCGGACGTTTTGAGAATGAACGTCCAGAGCTGTGCAAGACACGGCTGATGGAACACCAGATGGAGTCGCTCTGTCGGTCCTCGTCGAGACTCTCGACGACGAAACACGCCAGCGCAGACTTGAGCCACTTGGCAAGCGAGTTGTCCCAGGCGGGTGGGTGGATTGACTTGAGACATGGCCGCGGTTGGCTGACGCCGTCTCTGTGGCCTTGCCGGATAGTAATATGTCGTGGCTGGCGGTGGTGCTGGACTTCTTGCCAGAGATTATTATGTCGTGACCCGCAGATGAACTGAGAGCCTTCTTGCCAGAGACAATGTCGCGGCCAGAAGAACTCTTCGCGAGCATGCTGGATTGGACAACATCGCGACCTGCAGATGCGCTCGAAACATTCCTTCCTGGTGGTGCAGTCTTCTCCAGAGTCGAAATCGCATTCTTTGCAACCAACTTGCCCGATTTGATAACCATGTCTTGAGGTGACATGTTGTTGAAACTCGGGACGCCTGGAGGCATAGAATCTCGTCCTGGTGGAGTGCTCTTTTGAGACTTTGGTCTGACAACATCTTGTGGTACACTTGGTAGTTGGATTATCGTGTCGTGACCAGAGGATGAGCTTGGAGACTTCCTGATCGGTTTGACAGATGGAAGCGATTGAAGTTGAGAGGACGGGACTTGTCCTGGAGAGACTGGGTAGCGACTGTCGCGAAGAACCGAGGTTTGAAGTCTCAGTTGCTCTTGGAAAGCGGCCGTGTTTGGTGACTCGTTTGCAGCGGCGCGAGCGGCGGCCTTTTCCAGGCAGTTGCACTAGTCACGTTAGCCTGTTCTAATGGCGAGCATGGAAGATACTCACTCTCTTGTGTTGCTTCTTGTGCTTTTCGCAGGCTCCATACTTCCGAGCCTTGATGTAGTTCTCCTTCTGTGCCTGAGAACGAGGTTTTTGCTTCTTTGGAACGTTAGCTGCCGCGTTCATGTTCAGATCGAGCACCATTTCCATTGCTGCCGGAGGTGGTGCCTCTGCGGCGGTAGTTTTGGGACTGGGGATGGGCGATGTGCTTTCGCGCATGTAATCGGACCAGCTGGGGGAGGAGAAGCTGGTGTTGGAGTCCGATGACATGTCGAGATCAAGAGCAGTGGCATCACAGAGGCGCTGGAGATGAAGGGCAATGGCAGCCTCGCGGCGTTTCTCCTTTATGGTGGCCACGCGGGGGTCGGCGGCGGCCTGTGCCTCGACCATGTTCCGGAACGCATTGCTGCCATCGTAGGGGTTGTATCCCGTAAAGGACGCATCGTCGAACAAAGGAGCAGCCGGGTCGTTCATGAAACCTCCGTCCATGGCCATGAAGTCTTGGTCATAGGTGGTGGTGAAGGGTGTCATGGCATCGACCGGCGAGGTGAATTCACTCTCGTAGGGCAGTGCCAGATCCTGAGGCGAGATTGTGGCTGACGACTGGTCATCGTAGCCTGAGGGAAGATCCAGGAATTGATCAAAGTCCACCCACTCGGGGTTTTCCATGGGGTAGAATTGATCGACGTAAGCCATAACTAAACAAACAGACTAACAGATCGAAATAAGGGTATCACAGGGGTATCAGAAAACAGTACGGAGTAAAGAGAGAAGAGACCGCCAAGCAGGCAGAGTTGACAAGTAGCTTCCGTAGAAGGTGAAGGACCGACCTGAGGCAGCGGATTTCCTATGTATGCGCTGCCCTTCTCCAGACGCCATTCCTCTTCGGGGTCCCCGACTCTGCGCTAACCCCTTTGGGACCCCGACCCCCCGCCCCGATCGCTCTAAGCCGCAGTATGACTCAACGGGCATACCCCAGAGGTACCTGCCCGGGCTTACTGTTTACTATGCGCATCCAGGTACCCTGCAAGTCTCTTTTTTTTCCATCAGATCCTCGCAGGAGTTCCATGGTTATGATGTCGCTACTCCGTACAGCCCTGAGTCTGGGACATCCAGGGACCCTGAAATCTATATCTTATGCACGGAGTAGCAGGCTGAGAACAAAGAATGGACAAGTGAGGCTGTGTTGCATAGCCCGATTGAGTCACGGGAAACATCCATGATTGCCCAGGTGCTTACCTAGGTACACCTCAGTCCTGGGGAACTTGATTAAGCCCAGAATATCAAACTTGGAGCCTGGTTGCATTTATCAAAGCTTAAGCTGCTGCGACATTCCATTTATTTGAGACCCACCGTGACTCGGAACTTGAGCCTCGGCTTGAAAATCCTTGAGCCTAGAGCTGGGTTCCGTTAGATTCAATTAGCTCTAGCTAGTGAGATACACAGACCACCGGGGAAATGGATTTACCGTGCATATTCCAATATTATGACTGGTAGACTGGAATCTGTATGAGTGGCAATTCCAAAGTTGCTCTGATGTACTATTTAGCCCTAGTGGACGGATAAATAAATATGTATCAGGAGCTATGGAGTGTCGATGATATCCTATAAAACCGGACATCCATGGATACCTAGGTGTACATTGCAAGCACAGAGGTCTCAAACTGAATCTAAGTCCACAATGTAGACACGTTGTGCTGCTGGTGACCACTACCCTAATGGGGAGTACACGATCGTGAGGTTCATTGCCCACTTGAGACATAGCTTAGTAAGGGCCAGAATCCCAGAATCCCAACGCCAGACCTCCAGACCTCCAGACCTCCAGACCTCTAGACCTCTAGACTTCGACTTCGACTGAAGCGCCTTGTTCCCATTGCTGGATATTCCATTCCCCCGACTTCTCACCCCTGAACCACAGTGACCTTTACCCCTCCCCCACCTCACAAAACTGCCAACTTGTCCCTCGGTTCTATTGTGGGGGAGACTCGGACTGGTATCTCGATGCTTTGAAAGGGGCAAAATTATCGAAAATCCTGGAACCAAGGCTCAGTCGGCTGCCTCGGACCGTTCAACCGGAAAATCAATCACGTCACCATGGCCGCCGCTTTCGACGAGGAAGACCTCGCTGTCCCCCTCACTTCCGATCGCGATCGTCGGGAGAGAAGGCCACAGAACCCAAACTCCTCTGCCATGGCCATGCCGCCGTCCAAGTCGACTGGGAAACCGGAGGACCCGCTGCAGTCCCCCTCGACCACGCGGGACATGCAGCGCCTCGACCAGTACCAGACCATTCGGGTGCTGGGCGAGGGGTCCTTCGGAAAGGTGAAGCTCGCAATTCATCAGCCCAGTGGTCGTCAGGTTGCCTTGAAGATTATCTCGCGACGCAAGCTGCTGTCGCGAGACATGGTTGGTCGCGTGGAGCGTGAAATCCAGTACCTTCAATTGCTGCGACACCCTCACATCATCAAACTGTATGGATGCATCCCGGACCCCTTTACAGTGGATCCCAAGCTAATTGATTGTTTCTCATAGCTACACCGTGATTGCGACCAAGAGCGATATTGTGATGGTGTTGGAATATGCGGAGCGGGAGTTGTTCGACTACCTCGTGAGGAAGGGACGCTGCGGCGACGACGAGGCCCGGAAGTTCTTCCAGCAAATTATCTGCGCCGTCGAGTACTGCCATCGACACAAAATCGTCCACCGTGACCTGAAGCCCGAAAACCTGCTCATCGACAACCAAAAGAATGTGAAGATTGCGGATTTCGGATTGAGTAATATTATGACGGACGGCAACTTCCTGAAGACCAGCTGCGGTAGCCCCAACTATGCGGCACCCGAGGTCATCTCCGGAAAGCTCTACGCCGGTCCCGAGGTAGACGTGTGGAGTTGCGGAGTGATCTTGTATGTTCTGCTGGTCGGTCGGCTGCCCTTTGACGACGATTACATCCCCGCGCTCTTCAAGAAGATCGCCGCGGGTACCTTCCACATCCCCGGATACATCTCATCAGGGGCAGCTCGTTTGATCCGTGCAATGCTTCAGGTCCACCCCGTTCACCGAATCACCATTCCTGAGATCAGAATGGACCCGTGGTTTACCAAAAACCTCCCCACATACCTGCAACCACCACCCGAAGAGTTCATTGCGCCCGGGGTGGATCCAAAGAAGATTGATAATGGAAAGCTTGACCCCGCGAAACCAGCACCGGTACAACACAAGATCCACAAGATCGCTGTCACGAAGCTTGAAAGAAGCATGGGATATGGCAAGGAGGACATCGAAGAGGCATTGAGACACCCAGAGCCCAGCGCGATCAAGGATGCTTTTTCGATCGTCGTCGAGAACGAGATGATGCAGACTAATTCACCCACGGACGATAACATGATGGCTTCGAACGTCCAACCGAGAGGAGCTGCCCCTTCATCCGCAGACAGAGCTCCCGCTCCACGGAATCCACCACAGTCTGCGGCCGCCAGACAACGAGCTACCAGCGTGTCGCACCGCAGAGCCTCGGAAGAACCCCAATTAGAATCCGGAGAAGAGCCTCGTATCAGCCACGTGCGAATCCTCCCGACCAGTTTACCATATGTGCACGAGCAGCTCATGGAGCAGCGCGAACGGGAGCGGAGAGCCCGTAATGAAATGCTGGAGCAGCGACGCCAGGAAGGTTCTGACCATGGACACCCAGACCAAGCTGCATACCGCGACATGTCTCCAGAGGAACAGGCTGCCACTGCTCGGGCATTGAAGCCCCACGCACGCAGTGTGGTTGACTTGGACAAACTCCGTTTCGAGCCGCCAACGGGCCAACCGGTCGAAAAACAACCCAAGAGAAGCCGCAAGTGGCAATTCGGCATTCGCTCACGAAACCAGCCTTACGAGGCCATGCTATATCTGTATCGGGCAATTGCTGCCCAGGGTGGTCTGTGGGATATCCAGCCCGTCGAATCAGGTAAGACAAGCAACCAACATTCAATTTCTCAATCTCACATCTCGCAGGTACCAATATCGGCCCTGATGCGGTCCCATCCGCCGAAAAGTCCAAGGCCCTACAGAGCAAATATCCCGACCTCCCTTCCGACTACTACATCCCCAAAGACCCATGGTTCATCCGCGCCCGACTATTAAAAGAAGGCATCAAAGCCCCCGGCGCCAACAACACAAGTGTCTTCAACAGCCGCAGCGACCTCGAAGAGCTTCGCCGCCGCTTCCACATCTCCGGCCTCTCCGTGCCCACCGAAGACCGTCACCACCAGTCCTCCGCCCCAGACAGCGGTCTCGCCTCCGGCGCATCATCCGCCACCGGCCCCACCGGTCTCCCCAACATCACCTATGGCGTCTGGGTCTTCCTGGACATCCAGCTCTACCAACTCGAAGAAAACAACTATATGGTCGACTTTAAGTGCGACGGATACCAGAATGTGATCCGGGCTAACGGCGATACCGAATGGCATCCTATCAGCAAGCGGTACATGAACAAGGAGAAGGAGGTCACTAGCCCTTACCCCTTCCTGGACGTGGCCTCTGATCTTGTTGCCCAGCTGGCTGTGGCTAGTTGATTCTTACTTTTAATTGTGTTAATACTGCTTGCCGGGTTGCATTGGAGATCTTGATTTCTCTTGCATTGTGTGTTTCAGCAAGCGTCTATATTGTATGGAGTATGTCTAATCTTTTAAGAAAATATCTGCCTGCTCGGGGGATGTGTTTGTAAATATCACTTGCAATTCCATTAAATCTTATATTCTCCGTATGTTTTGTCCAGTGTCTTGATATCCCGATTCCTTGGCAACATATATCCCTGGATGGATCCTCAGCTTTCAAAGATCAATTGATCGCTGTGTGCCAATGCCCCATCAAATGATCGTATCATCACAATCGTCTCGCTTTCACATCCACGGATCCCAGTACAACTTGATGATATCAACAAACTATTTTTTTTGGGTGTTCCTGGGAGTTCTGTTCTGGAGATGACCTATTCCCACGTCGCTACAGTGAGTTGCTGTCCTCTTCGAACTTTCCATCGGTTGACTCGATCTCTTCGGCTTGTCATGATATTTTCGTTCACACCTCAGTTTAGCTTTCAGGTCCGCAGGCGAAGAGTCCAGAAAAATCTCGCGTAAGGCACCCGCAGTTCATTACGTTTTTCGGGAACTATTCTTCTGAACTAAGCTCTTCAGAGGGGGTCTGAGCTCGACAACGCTTTCGCGTGCCTGGTGACAATGGCTCCTCGACGCCTTGGCCTAGTAGCTGTTTCTGATGTGCTGCTTCGGCAGACGAAAGAAAGTCACAGAGCTCCTTCGATGAAATAAGGATATCTTGATCGAGATTAGGGTATTTCTGTGAGATGGTCTTGGGGGCAAAGTCCCTGAGTGAAAGCTGGAGCGGCGGTTGTTTGGAATCATCGACTGGAAGTCCGGACTCCGTTCGAAAAGGCTGTAAATCGTCGGTCAGTGCTGAAGTTTCTTGAGGCTGCGGCTGAAAAGGAACATACCATCATCTCGATCACAGCCTTTGCTTCGAGTTCCTTTACCCCATCCACAGTTATTTTGTTCGGTCGCCAAACAGATATAGTCGCCTTTTTAGACCCTCTATATTCAATATTGAGGGCAATCACAGCTTTCACGCTCGCATTAGTGTCGAGGATGTAATCCTCTGCCAAGCCCGCAGCAGCTCGAATTTTTGGTGAATAGCACACCTCTATGATGACACCGGGATATTTAGCATATTCGTGTATAAATGATGCATCTGGGCATCGCTGGGAACAAGTCTGCTTTATATCATTTGTATCATTCGGCAGCCGGATGTTGGATGTCGATAAATATTGGATCTTTCTCGCAAAATCACCGAAGGCTTCATCACTCTTTTGCAACTCTGTCAATCGATTCATAATCTTAGAGACTACCTCGGCGCAAAATATTTCGTGTAGAGGACTCGGGTTCCGGATAGTTAGACGGGACCGTCTGGGGTCGTAGTCGAGCCTGTAATACAACATAACAAACATGCCTTCAATGTGCCTGAAGATTGACACTTACCGTATTTCGTCTTCTACATAACCTCGAAGAGATTCGTCACCATCCAATACACGTAAAACGTCCGCATATTGGTCCGGAGTGAGCCGGTGTTGCCACCAAGATCGTGGCCTTTGACCTTTACGGTGGAGACTGAGACAGTTCAGCACATTTTGAGCACTGGTCGACAACATTTTCTCTTGTGAGGGCGAGGGTGTGATTTTCGTCTCCATGAGGTCTGATTCTGATTCAGGCGACATCCTTGGGGTGCGATGCCTTCGGTGAAGATAGGCAGAATACTACCGGGTGTAGGGGTTAGGGAGGGACCCGCCGGGGCCCATCCCTCGGAGCCCGGTTAGACAACAAATTTTGGCCCTGCCCAACTATATTGTTTCGTTTCACTCCGCATGACTTTCTGGAGGCCCCAGGCCCCCGAGATCCCTAGTATTTTGGTAAAAAGGGAGCTTAAACGTCCAGTGTAGCCGTTTACGGCAGCCGATTTACCGTCAATTAGCGTTGTGGTGAAATCCGTTTCTGTTCTCGCTATCAATTTTTGTATTTTCGATTTCTCAATATCTCTCACAGTAAATCCCTTCCTTCTTCCCTTTCAACTCCAACAGGTCGTCTCACACCGACCTAATCCAAGACCGGGCGGTCTTCCTCCTTCAAACCCTTCTCCTCTTCCTTCTTGGTAGTGGCGCCGTTCTTCGGCCCACGACGGGGCATCCTGTCCAGAGCCTGCTGGAAGACTCGGTCGCTTCGCCGCTGTTGGCTAGCGGAATTGCCTCGATTGGTTCCAGCGCGCCCAATCGCTCCGCGGCGCCCGCGAGGGATGGCAGCCGCAGGAGCTGGAGAAGAACCCCGGGCCTCGATTCTCTCCGAGCTTCGGTGAGATCGGAAAGGAAGAGTGCTGGTCTGGAGTCTGCGCTGGGGACCCTGGACCACCGTTCCGGGTTGCACTGTCTGGTTGGGAGCAACCCGGGCCTTGATGTTTCTGTTTTCCTTCCCGTTGTTCAAGGGAGGAGCAGTTGCTGAGCGCTGCCGAAGCACGGCCTCTCGAACCCAAGGCTTGAAGTTTGGGAGGATCTCGATATCCGGAAAGCGGACCATGCTAGGAGCTGGGCGCAGCTTGTAAGGGTGGACCTTGGTCTGGCGCTTTGATTGAGTCCGGATTGCAAGGGCAGACTTTCTATGCTCTGCGCTGGTCGAGTTCTTGAAAGGATCATCCTGCTGGGCCTGCTGCTCTTTTTCTCGAATCCGCAAAGTTATCATGTACTCGCGGATTCTTTCGATGATCTCGCGAATCTGGTCGAAAGAGAGGTGCTCGCCAGTGCAGCCACGCAACCAGTCTGGTGCGGGCGCGATGATGGCAGTGGGATGCTTCCGGCCTGGGCGAGTTGCTTTGATGACCCGGCGTTCTTCTTTGGGGATTTCCCTTCTAGCCGGCTGTTCGATGCTAGCTTCGGCCACGCGGATCTTCTCACGGCGGCGGAGGGTCAGCTCGAAGTCAATGACGCCGTTCCATTCTTCCATTCGGCGTAAGGATTCCATCAGCAGGTCGCACTGGGTGAAGGGCCATTGATCTGCTCGGTAGCGGGCACGTTGGTAGTGCTTGCGGCAGTAATGAACCCAGACTTCCTGGGGGAAGATTTTGGTGACGGCTTTGTTTCTGCCAAACACGTGTGAGACGACTTTCCGGAAGTGCAATCCATCAGGGGATGCGTCCATTCGACAAGGAGCCGCGAATTCACATTGCAATTCTTCTTCCTCGAAGTCTTCGGGCTCTCCATCAGTCGCGCAGCTAGGACTGCGTTGTCTGCGAAGGGGATCTTCTGCCTCGATGGATTCGTTGCCGCTTTGGTGCTCAAAATGAAGAGGTCCAGTCGCTTGGTAAGCACCATCTGGCTGCTCGAGATCTCTGCTACTGTGATGTCCGCCATCGGAGGCTTGTTGTGCGATGGCCGCTTGGGGGACAGGGTGCGAAGACTGGTTCACAGGGACAAACCGACTCGGGTAGTAGTTTGGCACCACGCCTGGATAATAATCATGGAGCCCCTGAACTTGGTTCATGCGGCGAGGGCTGCGGCTCCGAGCTCTTTCTTCTTCATTTCGGACACGATATGGGTTGTTTCCATCGGCCTGACGCATGAGATGGTCTCCACGCGTGAAAAAGTCACCCGACAGCAATGTTGGAGGGGTGTAGGACGAGGAGAGATATGTGTTAGGAATAGTAGGTGAAATAGAGGGGGGAAGAGGAGAAGGAAGCTGATAACCGTAGTCATAATTGCTAGACAAACGAGGCTGAACACGGGGGCGAGAGTACAGGAACGGACGAGGTTGAATCGAAGCCGAAGGACTCAGCAGAAGGTGATCGAGGGGATTGGAGGCTGGCTGGTGATAAACAGGCTCAGCAGTATCACTGAGAAATATGGGTTAGCAAGGAACAGGATATCAAGCAACGCTTGCAAAGCAACGAATGAGTGATACAAGAGTATCGAGTGGTTGAACAAAGGGGACTCTAGGCATGAAAGACGTCATAGCTCTGGGTTGTATAGCCCTTCTACATACCGAGATACACGTTGATCGGGTGTGTTGCTGATTCGTCTGAAGGAGATTAGCAGTGTGCATGGAAGTTGATGTCCACCATGTTGCAGCATAGATGGGGATAGTTGCCAGCGAGATAGGACAAGGTGCTGAAGCTCGCTAATGCACAAATAATAAACGACGATCCTGAATGCAACATGATGGTAGATGTGTGAAGCATTCGAAGAGGGGATGATAGAAGTTGATACATACCCACGCTGGCGGCCAGATTCTCGGCCCTCTTGATCTTGACGCTCCATCGTGAAGATCAAAGGTGGAGCGGCACCTCAAGACACTGGTGAATGCTCTTGATACTCAAGAGCTGCGTACTGCAGATAAAGTACAAGGGAAGTGATCGAGGATAGATGTAGAGTGATAAGAGTAAATGATGCAGGTCTGTAGAGATAGGATAGAGGATGAAGAAGGTTGCCTTCACGATAGGATGGCTTTTATACTTTTTGAAGGAGACTTCCGTTGTTTGCCCGAGCTAAGACGATTTTGAGAGAGCTGCTTGACTTGGGACGACTCGCGGGTATTTTAAGCATATCTCTGCTTGATCTTGGTTCAGCACACTTTCATCCAGTCAACCACGTGGTACACTTCCACTCAACATACATCAAAGGAACTCGCCTCTGATGATGTTCTTCCACTTCTCCTGGACCATCTGATCAGCTCTTTGATGATCGCTATCACCCAGTTCGCACAACAACGTCACTTCCATACTACTCAAACGTGGTATCTATGGCAATATGTTTAACTGTATCGCAGAGGCATTGCAACCAAACTGATCTGTGATCTTTTAGGCGAGAGACTTCGACAGTTCCTGTTCTGACGATTGCTCCGTTCCAAGCTTCCAAAGTCGTTCCCAGGTGGCTGCCTCCCGAAGCCCTAACTTTCACCCTCCTGGACCTAGAAATCTGGGAATCCCATATTGTAACGACCTCTAGGAACTTGCTTCACTTGGCCAATACTATGCCAACGAAAAACTGAGGCTTCCTTATCTCGCTGATCCAGCCGCCGCCGTTCTCCGGAGTCTCTAGATCCGAGAGTGGGTATGGGGCTCACATTTCCGATAGGCAGTCATTTGCGCGACAACGTAAGTCTTGACAGCCCTGAAGAAGGAATGCACAAGGATACAACGCCAGCCAAACGAATTGGCACCTGAAACATACCATGGCGAAGAGAAACTTCACAGCTCGTCACAATACGGCATGAAGGGAAGACTCCAAAGCAGAATGACAAAATCAATCTTCCCACTTGGGTCACCCTAGACTCTGGAGCAACCTAGATATCCATCAATTGGGAGGAAACAGCCTACCCGAGACCAAGAGCTCTCAATAAGAGCAGGAGGCACTGGGAAGTAGCGAAGCCTCTATCTCGTCCCCGGCAGCCGCGGATGGCTAATGAGGGCACAGAATCAAGACTATTATCACATGCTAAATAGTCCAGCCAAAAACCTCGATCTGAGGGAAGACTACGATACACCATACGGAATACTTTTGAACCAGAAACGCCAAGTTCCTGGCGCACCTGGGGGGTAGTGTAGCCACACACAGGGTCTCGAAATACTACAGCATGTACGGTGACCTCGCGACTGACCAAAACCGTGCACTTACTGGCTAGAGTGGGAGTCAATACGGATGCGGAGTTATCAATATGAAATAATTTCAAGGTATCATCAATGCTATGTGTACATGATTCCAAAATGTGCAAAACTGAACTCAACCAAGACGCCGAATTTGCCGGATATCTGAAATGCAATCTGAGAAACCGAAAAGAACCAGGAAAGAAATATCAAACAGGACCCGGAAGATTGTACATAAATCATCTTTTAGATGTGAATCGTTCAACTGGCATAGCCCATCGACGCAGGTGCCCGAGGGATGTATTTGCGCATGGCACCGCGGCCAGGGCTGCACCCAGAAGCGCCGATATCAATAGTGCTCAGCTCCCTGCTGAGTGCATCCATGCGGCCCATGTTGGGGTTTCCAGACATGACGGGATAGCTTGGGCTTCCACCGGAGATAGGAACCTTGCTAGGGATCGGCGGGCCAGTGTTGTAGTCATACAATGGGGACCGGGCGCTGGGACTCGGCGAGACGGAGCCTCGCGATGAACGTGGGCGCTCAGCTGAGGTAGGTGTGCTGTAGCCTCGACTTTGGTAGCTGTCGGAGCGTCCGCGGGAATAGTCCGCCCGAGGCGGAGTCCGAACAACTGCACCCGGGCTTGCGTGGTGAGAGGGTGTATACTTGCTCGGGCGCTCTGCGGGGTAGGTGGTGGTATGGGGACTAAATCCGACACGAGGCGGGCCAGATGAACGAGGAGCAGGTGCATCATTGCCTCTGGAAGTTGGTCGAGGCGAGTGCTTGAAGCGAATGATGACTTCTGGCTTGCGGTTCTTCCTTTCTGGCTCAGGTGCCCACGTATCTGTGGGCAAATGATCGGAGGGATCAATCTCGCGGCCATCGTCTCCGATGATCGGTTGGTCCACATCGCGCTTCGGTTCAGTCTTGCCACGCACAACCGCATCCCTGGCTTGCGCGGGTGTGTCGTACATCGGTGAAGGTTCCCTGCTGGAAGGTCTGGATGTATGAGGATTAAGGGAGGAGTAGGAGTCGGGGGAGAATGGAATCGAGGAGCCACCGCGGCCATCCGAGGAAGAAGGTCTCGAGCTGATTGATTTGCGAGTAACCGCCCGCGCATCAGGGCTCACACCTCTGCTGGAAACAGGCCGCTGGTCAATGGCGGGGCGTGGGGATGTTCGAAGTGGGTAAACAGGCGCATCATAGTGAGCGGGTGCGGCAACAGGCACTGGCGCAGGCGCGTCGGAAAACATCATCTCATCGTCCCATGGGTTGCTGGGCCTGCGCGCCGACCTCTCAAAGGCTGCTCTTTCTGATGAGTCTTCCATCTCATAGCCAGCGACCAGGCTAGCGGGAACAGCAGGCGAACTCCTGCTGGAAGTAGACTCATGATAGCGACTACGAGAGGGTGTGGACATGTTGGAGGGAATGTGGGCGGCTGGGGACCTGGGTGCAGATCGAGGCGTATAAGAAGCGTATGGGCTGGGTGAAGTATGTGGGGTGGGCAATTGAGAATTCGCTCTCCGGGATCGATGCGCTGGGGGTGGGGGCGGCGGCACTTCTTCTTCATCCTCTACACGTGGCTGCATCCCAGCGTACTCCGGATGCCAATCATGTGGGCGGGCAGTGAGCTGCAGGGGCTGAGAACCACGTTGACGATACCTCACGTCGTCTATCGTGTCGTGGGCAGGATCCACCAAGTATTCCACCCCTGGAATATCGTGGACGGACGGGGCACCATGGGACATGTGCTCTGAATGGTACCTGGGTTGTTCGGGCTGAATGTACGGGTCTTGGTGTCCGGGATGATACATAGTCTCTCGTGGATCCGGTTCGTACATCTGTTCTCGAGCCACGCGATAGTCTCGAGAAGGAGGTTGATCAAAGTCGGAATGGCTCCGAGGTTGTAGTGGACGTGTGTCATAAGCTGGTTGGACTACTTCCTGAGGGGCGTATGCGACTTCTTGGTTATTTTGTCTGCGGAGAGGGGCGACAGCCGGGTTATCCCATTCCGGTGCATATGCCGCGGCGCCATCGTACCCACTCCATGGAGGAGGCGCAGGGGAAGGCGCTCGATAGGCTGACGCATCATAAACCGGCTCTGAATGCCTGACTGGTTGGACAATCGGTTCAGGAGCACTCGAAACGGAGTTCAAATGTTCAGGTATGGCTGGACGAGATGGCGCCGGATGGTGAAGAGGAGGAGCTGACTGTGTTTGCTCAAGTACAGCTGGTCTCGGTGGTGGTGGTGCCCCAGCAGGACCACTCGGTAATGGTCGTCTTTTAACATCCTTTAACTGTCGGGGACCAGACAAGCCCGTGGTGCTGGGAGTGCTTGGGACTTTGCCCTGCACTCTGTCTGCGGCCTCTTGTCTGCGTTCAATTATAGCTTCATCTTGCTGCCGGGTGTCGTAGTAAGTCATCTCAATTCGAATTTCTCCGGCGTATTTTCCACGACATTGCAACGGGTGCCAGTGGTCGTTCTGGCTTCCACCAGCAATGATCAGGTTCTGGAGATCAACCCAAGTCTCGCCAATCATGTCTGTCTTCTTATCGTCATTGAATACAGAGACCTTGAGCTTATAGTAATCCGGTGACTCGTGCACTGTGAAGCGGAGTTCCGAGTCCCTGGTGCCGATTAGTCTCTATTATCAAGCGTATATCGGGGAAAGGCCTACCATCTCGGGGTTTGTCCTCCTCTCAAATCGGTTTGTGTTTTCTTTGCTTCTTTGCCCAATCGTGCTGCGGCGTATGGGTTCTGTTTGCCCATGGTCTTGCGATTAGGCAGGTTCTTGGCCCGGTCGATAATGGCGACCAGGGTGCCAATGATCGGGCCATCGACGGAGATATCAGCGAAGATGCCGGCCGCATGGTTGACCTTGGTGATTTTCGACATGGTGTATTCTTAGCGCATATAGCAGGCAAAGAGAACCATTGGCAGTGTCTCAAGTGGTTGAGGAGGAAGAGGGGAAAGAAAAGGAAAAAAGACGATAAGAAGCTCCTGCCTGGAATGTCCGATGCGGTATTGGAGGTGGCTGGGGTGTATCAGATCTGGGGCGATGATTGCCGATGATTGGCTGGACCCCCTGGCGGCGGTGTCCAGACTCGGGCCTTTTACAATACCAAAACAGCGCTTACATCATTTGATACCAAAGTAAACAGTGAACATCACGACTTTCATTCAGAACGTGTGTGGCTTTCATGTATTACAGTACTCTCTCGACTCTATACTCCGTATGGAGATATATTGCATGACGCTACTGATCATTTGCTGGCCCAACCCCTGTTAGGCATTTCAACAAAGGTGGAGCTCGATCGCATCCCCAGCCACCGGAGATTCTGAGGTTTTACACATTCCGGACATGGAACAAGGCGAAGACTACCGACTAGGGCCATGATTGGCGACTGGTCTAGGCGAGATCGTCATCCCTCCTGGTTCGCTCAGGTCAATCCGGTTTCATCTGCACTGGGGCTTCAATAAGCTGTCAAGCCGTCGCGGCTCCCCCCCACTTTTAGGGTTATGAGCTGCACTCCGATGGATCTGCCCCCCGCTGAATTGCCATAGCGACCACTCCTGTGCCAGAGAGCCACTGCACCTGTATGCACCTTCATCTATGAAGGATCTCATACATTGCCAATATTATTGAGACTGTCTCGTTGAGCCAACGTACTAGTACGGAGTACACCGTACTTCGCATCCCCTGCGGAGCTCTCTCATATTTATGAATGCTGCCTGTCTCACTGCCCGAGTGGGCTTGGGCAATCTGACCTTGGCGAATGATTTGGCCCCAAGCCGAGACTATTTCAACACCAGAATGTGGAAGCCTGCAGTACTCGTATGACTATATGAACACTAGTTGTGGGTCAATCGATACGAGTGCTCCGAACGGAGTACTTAGGATTGCCCTTGAGGGTGACTCGTGAGGGTTTGGCTACCCACCACCCCGGTTGGAATGAGTCTGTCACCTGTCAACCACGCCCAGGTGGATTGAGCGTCGGACAAGAATGTTCTTGAAAAGAATTAGCACGCGGCAGGGGTACACAGGCGAAGATCCGGGGGCTGGCAAAATTCCTTCTGCATACTACTAGTAGTTGTGTCCAATTTCTCCATACTGCGTACTCCATGCATCTATCCATCTGTACGGAGTACCAACCTTGGAGATTCATATTCAGATCGTCCTAAACATGCATTCCTACAGAAATCCGGCGGCAAAGTCTGCATTGTAAGGGTGATATTAGGTCATTAGGACGTTGCTATTTCCATCACAGGCTGGATACTGTACATGCTGCATTTTTTAGGGCGAATTGGGACCGAGTAGTGACCTCAGGAGATTTACTGGGAACAATGCTGAAGACCTGGAATGTTGATGCCTTATAGCCTGAGGCAGAATGTCTGTGACCTTACATGGTATGGCTGCCTCAGGCAGAATAAGCTACCGCCACCATTCCCGATTGGGCGAGACGAACTTTTTTGATCGGCAGAAAAAAGATGGTCTTGAACTTCACGATAGCACTCCAGTCGGGCCAAATTCACCACGCTCCAGTTCGCTCTGGTCGCCTGTATCATACATATACCCGGTCCCGACCGACAATTGTCTATCCACCGCAACCATGGCGGCGCCCGTCCTGCCGCTGCAGCAAGTGAAGCTTGCTTCTTTGCCCTCAACGCAACTCACCCCGGAGCAACAATATTGGCGCACCTTTAAGAACCCTCTCCTGATTCCCTCACCAGCCAATGGCCCCGTCAATCTTATCACCCAGCCCGCCGTCCCTTCCTCCGCTGCAGCGTTCCCTTCCCTTACACAGCCGCCCGATGTCTTCACCGTTACGACAGGCGCACGAGTCCAGATCTACTCTATTCGCACGCGGAAGCTCCTGCGAACAATTACTCGATTTGAGGACACTGTGCGCAGTACGGATGTCCGTCCCGATGGCCGTGTCTTGGTGGCAGGTGACGACACCGGTGCCGTGCAGGTTTTCGACGTCAAGTCGCGCGCCATCCTGAAGACATGGAAGGAACACAAGCAACCCGTCTGGGTGAGCAAATTCTCACCCAGCGACCCCACGTCACTTCTTACGGCCAGTGATGACCGCACCGTGCGGACGTGGGATCTGGCTTCGCAAAACAGCTCGCGCTCTTTCGTTGGCCACACCGATTACGTGCGCACCGGTGCTTACATGCCTGGGTCCATGGCCTCATCGGGACTGGTTGTTTCTGGCTCTTATGATCGCACTGTTCGTCTTTGGGATCCCCGTGTGGCGAACCGTGCTGCCATGACTTTCAAGATGGGTGCGCCAATCGAGAGCGTCCTGCCCATGCCTGCTGGAACTACCGTTCTGGCTGCTGCTGATAACAAGATTGCTGTGCTGGATATTGTTGCCGGTAAGCCTTTGCATATGATTCAGAGCCATCAGAAGACCGTCACTGCTCTTGCGCTGGCTTCAAATGGTGAGCGTTTGCTCTCTGGTGCACTCGATGGACACATGAAGGTCTTTGAGACTACTGGATGGAACCCCGTTTCTGGTTCCAAGTACCCGTCGCCTATTCTTTCGCTGCGTGCAATTACCTCCGGAACTGAACATGAAGATAAGCACATTGCTGTTGGTATGCAGTCCGGTCTGCTATCTATCAAGACCCGTCTCTCTGGTCAACAAAAGATCAAGGAGAAGGAGCGCCGAAAGGAAATGGCTGCTCTGTTGGAGGGCAAGTTGGAGGAGCACGATCGCGAAGTCGCCAAGAAGAAGAAGACCCGCGGTTCTGGCTGGGACAAGCGTCTGCGTGGACGAGACTTCGTCGGCGAGGGCGTGGAAATTGTTATCGAAGGACAGGACGGCAAGAAGCGCAAGAGAGAGGCACAATGGGAGCACGACCTCCGCAAGGCTCGCTACGCCATTGCTCTGGACCAAGTTCTCGCCTCAGGCGACAAGACCTCCACCCTCACATGTCTCACAGCCCTGCGCCACCGTTCTGCCCTACGTGCCTCCCTCAAGGATCGTGACGAAGTCACTCTTCAGCCTGTTCTTCAATGGGTGCATAGTCACATCCGCGAACCGCGTCTCGTCGATCTCAGCGTCGAGATTGCCATGAACCTCCTCGACATCTACTCCGGTAACCTCGGGCAGTCTGCACAAATCGACAAGATGGTGGAGCGTCTGCATACTCGAGTCCGCAACGAGGTGGAGATGGCCCAGCAGGCGTGGCAGACGAAGGGAATGCTTGACATGTTGAAAGCCTGATGTTGATCACACTTGGAGTTCGGGGTATCTGGGATTCGCAGTCGGTGTACATGGCGGGCCATCAAATTTTTTGTACAGGATTTGCATAGAATTAAAAGTACTATTACCAATTTACTGGCCGTAACATCATCTCATACACATATATCCGTTTATATACATCACGTCAATTTGGAGAATCCCTCCGCAGGAGGCTGTAACCAATTCCGTGCATCATAATCCCATCCCTCTGCACCTTCGATCACATGGAAGGTATACGCATACCGACTGTTGGGGCTGGTGTTCTTCTCGCTCTTGTGCAAAACATTGCCGTGAATAAGCACCAGCGATCCGGCCTTGATATCGAGAATCTCCAATTCCTCATCCGAGGGCTCTGAGCTCTTCTCCTCCTCCATCCCCTTTGGCAAAGCAGGGCCCTGGTTCTCAATAAACTCCGTACCCCCACCATCCTTCCTCACAAACCGCCTGGTAATATGGCCACCCTTCCTCCCCGTCTGTGATCCCTTGTACATACCCAAAGTGCCATTCTTCGGCCCCGCATCCTGCAACGCATACCACCATCCCACAGCCGATGGCGGATCGGTATACAAAAACTCCGAATCACGATGCGAAGGCACCGCCCCACCGATGGAAGGCTGCTTACAGATAACCATACTCTGCAAGACTCTGGGGTCGACGAATCCCAAAGAACGTGCGACAGCGGCGTTGCGCTCGTTCAGCGAGACAGCCTTGAAAGGTGGCGACAAAGTGTGCAGCGAGTGCCCTATTTTATTCACGGCACGGTTCTTAGGCTTCATGAGCGCGGCACGACCCGTGAGAGGATCTGGTTCAGAGCTGAACGCGTCCGGTTCGAAGAAGAAGCGCACTTTGTCGCCTGATGTCAGGAAGTAGTCATCGCCTACATGGTCGGCTTTGTCTTCTTCTGTCGTGAACTGAGTGAGGGGGTGTGATTCTAGAGGAAATTCGTCGAGGAGTTTGTTTGTTTCCGTCAGAAGGGACGAGAGCTCGGTTTGACTGAGGTAGTCAGGGAGAACGAGGTACCCGTTCTCCTTGAAGGAGGCGACTTGGGCGTCGGTAAGTCCGGACATGGTTGGAACGATGATTGATGGTCCGTTGCAGCTGCGAAGCTGGGTGTTGGCGAAAAGCGGGGTGATAAGCGATTTTGATACGCCCACCATTGGCTTATCTGCGTGGACGTCAACTCAAGTGCTCTGCCCTGGACAACTCTCGACCTATGCTGTTCCCTTTGGCTCTTGCATCTCCAGGCCCCTCGGCGGCACCGATGGGTCGTCGCCTCTGCCATAGAAGGTCTTTGCCGCCGCAGGCAATGAGGCAAGAGGCAAGTAGGGCTTGCCACGGATCGGGAGCTTGCAATTGTATATAAACATGTCAGACTTGAGAGTAAATTGAACAATTAACATTGCATATAACGAAAATATCAAGTGACCGTACGACACACAATCTTCTCATTGTTTTCAAGATCAAATTCCTGAAAAAATCGCTCCAAGTGGACCAGATATATCTCTTCATCTCTCATCTTCCACCGAGCGCCACCGTTCATCACGATGTCCGACTCTTTCACAAGTTCCTCATATTATTACAGTTCCACAACCGACGGCAACGACGGCAAGAGCACAACAGGACACCGGTACTCAACAACCTCTCACACACAAGGCGACGGCACGACCATCGTGCGAACCGCACAGCAAGAGCTTGGCCAGCCAGCAGTGGTTGAAGAGCGACGTTACGACAGTACAGGTCAGGAGCAGCTCGCCCTCCCCGAACCAAGTACATCTGCAGGAGGCATTCGCCAGATCACTGGCCTAGAGAGCGATATCGACGATGATTCCGCTCCGTCTATCTTGGCTGGCGCTGGGGGTCCGGCGGCTCAACTCTTGGATGGGGACGGGGAGGACGATTCGTTTGATCATGTTTCTGCGCCGCTGGGGTCTAGGATTTATGACCCTATGACCGGAGCCTACGTCGAACATACTGATTATGATGTTGGTGGAATTACCCGCCGGAGCCATGAAGCGAGGAATGCTGCCGGGCGTCGGATGAGGCGCCATGTGGACTTTGACTCGGATGGCTTGTCATCATCAGCGAGGGAGCACCGGGCTTTTGAGAATCCTAGTACTGGAAGTCGACTGCGGAGGCAGTCGGATATGGATGTCTCAGATGTGCTTTAGTGGACTGGTAAGTACTGCTTAAAGGTTTGTTGTATATAGAAAATGAACATGTGGGTGTGCATTGGAAACTCCTAAGTTGAACTTAGTTGTCCAGACGTAGACGTCCCTCCGACCAGCGGGAACGTCCCTTCTCCAACCACCCCGGAATCTCGTAAAACCAGTGGCAAAGCATACCAGCAAGGAAGCCAATCGCGTCATTCTTAAACCCAACCAACAGCCCCACAGTCACCATCATCACAGTCCACCGGCGGTTTCGTTCCTCGTCAGTGAGAACAGGACCCAGGTGTTGCTGGGCGTTGGCCAGCAGACCGACACCGGCCTGGTTGAGATCCCGAGCACCAGTAGTGTTGAGACTCTCACCAACACCCAAGAGCTCCACCCCAGCAGCAATCACCATGACACCGAGGAAAGCTGCCGGGAATCGATACAAGAGATCCACCAATGTCTCACCAAACAACAGCCCAATGACCAACTTCAACACACCAAGGAAGATCACACTGGACCCCGACCGAGCGCCAAAACGGTACTGGGCCGCCAGCCCTCCAGAGCCATGACAAACAGGCATCGCGCCAAACCAGCAGCCGAGCAAGTTCATCCCGGCGACACTCAACCCGACCTGTGTGATAGACGGGCCGTGCACGTTGGGCAGCAGATCATTCGCCAAATGAACCACAGCAACAATGGAGTTGAGCGTCGTGAGTGGAATCTGCCCAATACCAGCATCAATAGCCCCAATCTTCCACTCATGCGGCAACGGAATCACAACAAAGGGATGCCACACCGCAAAACCAGGCATATGCCCCGCCAAGCTCGTCCGAATGACAGCAAATACCAGGCCCAGAACCAAGACAGCCAGCGCATACGGTACGCGTCGGTAAACATTACTGACCAAGAGGGCGACGAAGGCGGCGATTCCCCAGAGGCGATTATCCGCCCAAGAGGGGCTGACCCAGCCCAGGGGTTGAAGCACGCTGCTGGAGGCCGCGATTATCAAGGATAATCCCGCGCCGACTTGAATACCCTTTACAACGGGGATGGGGATGGCGTTCGAGAGCCATCGTAGGATGCCAGTCAGGCTGAAAACCAGAATACATGCGCCCACGAAGATCCCCGCAGCAGCAATGGTGCCGTTTGAGAATGAACGGGCGATCGCGACAGCGGCGATGGCTTTCATGGGCTGGACTGGTAGTGGAATTCCGAAGAATACACCGGTGAGAATGTTGAAGATCCCAGAGAATATCAGGGTGCTAGTGAGGGAGACGGTGCCGTTGATGGCCAATGCGATAGCGATGGGGAGGAAGGTGCCCAGGTCACCGAGCGAACCTGAGATCTCAGCGACATAGTGGCGCCGAAAAGTGCGGAGGTTGTAGGCGTTGAGTTCCCGGAGAGACTGGATCGCCATTGTGAGATCCAGAGCTCAATGTAGGCGAGGTGAAGAGGGATGTTGGGGAGCGGGTCGTTTTGTGTCCGGAGCCCGCCGATCAGCCCCGCAGCCGCTGATGTCGTGAATTGATAGCGGAGACGCGATGGAATCCGGTTTGCACCCTGGTGTGTCGATATTGGTATTCATGAAGCTTTCTCCACAGCATATCTGCGGATGGAGATTCCGGTGACCCTTTCTTGCATCATCTCGTGTTCGTTCCGGGATGTTTATTGGGCGATTAGATCGACCTGTCAGATTAGGTGACTTGGCATTGCGATCAGATGACTGATCTTATTGAAGCTTCCGAGGAATGTGAGTACGACCTACGCAGTAGTTCCTGTGCTGGTGATCAATCCTGAGATGGCCCATCTGAATGTCGTGTCCAGAGTAAGAGAGATTAGACACCTATTTCATGCCAGGTTGCTCCGGATCATAACAAAATATGATCTATATCAAGCTTTAAAGAATCCACGTTCAAACGGTCACCGTCCGCGGGAACGAAAAGCTAACCTTGGAAGGGAGTTCCGAAGATTATTTCCCCGGTGACATCACACACTCCAAGGGTTAATACTACTCATGGAGCAGGTATTGTCAAGCTGGATCATATGATCAATACTGTTACCACTGAACAATTGTGCCCCTTGCTGAGAGCAAATACTTTGAGGCAAATTGCAATGGACCAACTTCGAACTTCCAAGGTTCAGACTTGTTGATGCTTAACCAAGAGATCGGAGCGAGTTCCCCCGGAGACCAGAATATAAATAACCAGCACTCAATAGATCTCGGCTTGGCAAATAAGCTTATGGGGACTAGGTATGATAGGATTTTGTTCTATGGCTTCTGATGAACCATTCGGCTTAAAGTGTATCGATATGTCCATGGCCTGGGGAGGGTTCCAAATTCGGCTGGGCACCATGGGGTGGTACTACGCAGGTATCATAGAGACCTTCCTAGTAGAGTACTTCACAAGACTTCCAGGAGGTAAGTCAGAAAAAATGCAAAAGGAAATAGCCGACGAGAAGCCCACTGGAGCCCGATCGGAGTAATTGGATTCGTGACTTGAAGTATCAACTGGTCGCGTCAGCTCCGACGCGACATGGTTCATGGTCCCTTTGGCGGACAGGCTGCACGCACAATTGTACGACAATGAACACCAAGTCCCTGAATGCGGTAAAACCACCAAAGCAGCACTTGACTGCAGTGTAACTTGCCGAACCCTGTCCCGAGGTCGTGCCCAGCTTTTGATAGGCCATGGCTTTCTCTCGGAGATGGCAATATTGAAAATATTGCGAACTTTTTCTGAGATGAGACCAGCCAAAGCTAGGGAGCAACAGAACTGAGAATTGCACGCGGACTTTCTGTTACCGACATGAGGATGCACTCCACCGAGGGTGCACTCAACAAGCAGATCAGGGTGAGTTTGAGCCTCACCCCGAGACGGCACAAGGATGCCCTTCAGATCTTGAGGGAATAGTTTCTCAGGTTGCTCTTTTCCTCTTCTCCATCCAACTGGATTAAAACAAACCTTTCGTGATATATCGGCAGTTTATAGGCCTTTGATCGCCCAGAAATCAATACCTGATTCCTCTCTCTTTCTGATTTGAAGCTGCCTTGGTTCGGCAGCAACCCAAACCCAGCCGCACCCAATCACCATGCCACTGCTTTTCGACCTCGTTCGCCGTGTCTCTGATGTGTACAACGAAGCCAAACGAAGAGATCCAAGCCCTCACTGGATCCAAAACTGGAGAAAATGCGACCATAACGCATCATGGGCACCTGGGAGAGACCAAAGGATCTCACGGACAAAATGGAGTCGCGGTGCTGTGAGTATCAGGGCCTCACAAACTGCACCAGCCATCTAACCGACACCGACAACGCAATAAGCGGAATGCTTGTGATAGATCCCATCAAGTTGTTGGGTCTTTTCAATTCGGTAGGACTCATATTGAAGACTCCGGAATCGATTAACCCGACGTGGAAGAACGACGTGATACCGCTGTCTTTTGTACATCAAACTTGACCCGCTTGAAAAAACTGAAGGGCGATCGGCTCTCGTATGGGCAGAAGGTGGGGCTGTTCGAGGGCGACGGCCCCGGGGCAGAACACCAGTTGACGCCTCGGGAGCTGACATCCGTGACGGGGCACACCTGCCCAGGTGGGCACCTCGGGATCAGCCTTGGAAGCACCGAACTTTGGAACGCCGGGATTTGATATTTCGGTTGATCAAGACTGGCTTCCTACGTGACAGACTCCTACCCGTTGAACTGAAAGTGACTTTCGGTTCATGGACCCGGAGTCTGAGCTTAAAGCCTAACTCCTTAACCCCAGAGGCGATAGCAAGAGCTAATTTAGCCGATAGTTAGGGGGCGTAAGTGTGCCCAGGGCATATGCACAACGATAAAGCACCATCATGGCGCTAGCGGAGATAGAGAGCTCACTTCCAAGGGCTAGATGTTTAAATCCGTGCTCATGTTGGCTTTCATAGGATTGTCGTATTGTGCCCACGGGTACGGAGTAGGGAATACTCCGTGTTCCGTAAAGGAACATGAAATCTATTCGGAGTCGGAGCCTTACCCACAAGGGAACTTGGCAGTTTGTTGATGTGAGTGGGGCATGATCTCGGGGCGCATCCCCTATAATTCACAAGCAAGTGACACACACAAGCGAGTGGCGCACCAAAACACAGCCTATTCAAGCACCCACCATGCCACCAATACGCACCAAAACCCCCCAAAAATCGGCAGAGCAAGAGGGCAGGATCTTAAAAGCTCTCGAGGCTATCGAAAAGCAAGAAATCAGCTCCCTGCGCGAAGCAGCACGCCAATACGATGTACCCCAATCCACTTTACGACGCCGCCAAAAAGGGATCAAAGACCGCGCGACCGTTCGCGCCAATTCCTCCAAATTGACCCAACTTGAAGAGGAATTGCTCAAAAGACGGACCCTGTCCATGAAATCACGCGGAAAGGCTCCCAGTCGTGCGAATATACGAGAATTCGCGAACATTCTGCTTCTAGAACGTGATTCCCTTTCCCCAGTCCCTCGGGTCGGTAAAAACTGGGTCACCAACTACCTGAAAAGACATCCCGACCTAGCATCCTATCTGTCGAAACGTGACAAAAAGTCCCACTCCGACATTGGCATCTATCTCAATGACAATGGTTCAGCCCCTATTGAACCTGAGCAAGTGCCTCAGTCGAAGATTCCCGATCTGAGTGAGGACAGCGATGAGGAGCCAGATTCACCACCCACGACCCTTGCTGAATTGCAACAACACGCCACATCAATGGAAGCTTTCATTCGCAAGTCACATGGGAATGAGAACCCACCATATCATGTAATTGCAGCAATAAATCAGCTTTTCAAAGATACCCAACTCGCCATCCATATAGTTGAAATTTTCAAGAAGAGACTCGATTATGTGCAAAACCGAGCTAGATCCACAGGACGGATACCTTCGCCCGAAGACTCATCAGTTTTGGAAGGCTCGGCTCTGATATCGCAGCCATTGGAAGCAATTGAGCCCCCATCGCAGCCCCGAACTAGGGCTCCACGAAAGTGCGGAAGATGTGGAAATACAGGGCATAATCGAACTACATGCAAAAATATGCCTAGAACCTAGTTTATTTGATTTGATGCTTTGGTTGAAATAAGGGAGTTTGAAAACTACCTACGGAGTAGCATGGGTTGGTTAAAGTGCGCCACTCGCTTGTGAATTACATTCTTACTTTCAAAGTTTGATTTATGCGTAGTTGAAGATCCACCCGTAACGGACAGAACTCTGGAGAAAGGCCGGGCTCGGGACGATGGGAAATATATACTCTTTTCCGAGAGCCGAATTGTCGAGTGGTCATTGATGCAGATCTAAAATCATATTTCGCGGAACCCGGAGCCTTGGTCTGAACTAGTAATTGCCGTTGGCGGCTATTATTGAGCCTCCGTACTCCGTACACCACACGGAGGACATGGCACTGTGCTGGGAGTTATGATTGTTATGTTTATACCCAATTTTAAAGTGACGTGTCACAAAACGGAGAGTTGGATATTTTCCGCTCCGTACTTTGGATTGCGCATGAATCACATTTAAGAATAGTACTGTACGGAGTAGCGATACCAGAGAACATAGATATCGTCCACGGGTCCCGAGTGAGGGGCCTTGAAATTGAACGTCTAGTAGTAGTACTGGTAAATATTCACAGACCATGAGTCAATATGTTCTTTTTTTGGGTAGGGGGCCAGGGGACAGGGGGCGGGTGGAGACAATCCGCGTACGTTTCATGTACTTGATACGGGGTACGGAGGACGGAGCTCGGGGGTCCCGAGATGTACTCCGTACTACTACTGTACTAAAGGAGGCAAGCCTACTTCAGAATGACAATGTATAATCCTGGAAGGTTGACTTGTACCCCCATACCTTGCGAGGTTCAGATTGCCACATGACGAATAATGTTGTCAGAATCCAAATCTTGGAATCGACCTAGGCACTCAGAGAAATATTGAAGTGTTAAAGAAGTGAGAGAATGGATAGCAGCAATCTTGGCCCCAGACACTCCGTATTGTGCTGTGAATTGCTGGCGTAAGGCAGATGAATTTCAGCGCTGAAAACGGGAGTCAGGATCTCATACATATATGTCTCTGCATGAACCTGCAGCCTCCCGCTAGGGATCTGGTACGTGGCTGTGAACTCGTATTACCAACCTTGGAGGCCCCACTTATGCAGTGTCAATACAGTACGTATTTGTACGAAGTAGATGAGCTCGCAAGCTGACGTGAGGTGCCCCACCTACGCACATGAAGTTAATGTTCAAAATCTACGATACGAGGGGACTCGGGAGTCGTGACGTATTCATTGTCGCGATAACGAGCTTGCATTTCATCTGCCCAGGTGGGCATGCTGAGGTGAGATAGGAGGCCTAACATGTGAACAGCTCTGCCAGCACACTCCAATATAAAGACGAGACATTGACACGACTAGTCCGGAGCAATGGTATATGCTGACCCAATCTTGGAAAGAATAAAGTGGGCGATCGTAAATAGACTGTGTCCGGAAACGGGATAAATTGGACTCCCCGGAGTAATCAATCCCGTATGATAGCGTCAGAAATCGGGATGTCAACGTGCTCAAAGAGCCTAGTGAGATCCGGCCCAACTCGTCCGAAAATTAAAACTCGGGAACGGAGATAAGGGTTCACATACCGGAGGCCCAGGTGTGCCCCCTAGAAGGGTATTGTGTTCTAGCGCCAGCGATCCCGGGCCACGGACCAGGCTCTGTTCGACCGAAGCTTCGTCCGAGATTTCGTCCGACCTGTTCTCTGTTTCTTATGTACGGAGAACTCCGTACTAGTGCTAGTATTTCGGTACGGACAACTCAGTCAAGTTTTCAAGGCTCATCGCTACCAGTCCGGGAGCATTCAGGGCTAGGCGTAGAAATGATGACCTCATTGAAAGGTGTCAATTTATGAAGTTATGCTCATAATGAGTAATAATACCCAATCGAGACGGGATCTCCAACATCCGCAGATCCAATGGACTGCCAGCGCCTTAAGAGGAAGAGCCGCTGACTCAGCGGATGTCCCGCCCCCCGGTCCCCGACAGAGTGCGGCGGTTTGCCAAGCGCCCACCGGCGTCCAGGCCCCCCTGGCTCAGGCATATCTGACGCCTCCATTGTGTATTGATACACTCCACTTACCACTATGTATTCTGCGTTGCTCCGATGCCGATGGGACCCACCAGCTACTGCTTGGAAACGGTCCCTCGCATCCGAGCTCACTGGTTTTTTTTTATTTCCGAACTAATAAGTATCTGACATTTCCCCCCAGGAGGGGAGCTTTGTTTATATTAATTTGCTCACACATATTTCCACGTGTCTCTCACAACCGACGCGATGGCATCGGACGGCTCTGTTGAGCTTCGGGAGAAGGAGCTGGGGGTTGATCCCCAGGTGCCCCGGAGCGGAGACTCCTCGGCTAGTACTATGGGAGAGAACCCCATGAACCTCATCAACGATGCTGATGTAGAGACCCTCACCAAAATTGCCACCCAACACTCACGCCGCCAATCAACATATGGCGGCGAGGACTCTTTGACAGTCCTGGCGCAACAGGACCCATCGCTGGATCCCACTTCGGGCAAATTCGACTTGCGCAAGTGGCTCAAGACGGCCATCAATGATCGAGGCCGGGATGGCGCTCCGGGTCATACATCGGACGTCGTCTTCAAGAACTTGAACGTCTACGGATCGGGGGCGGCGCTCCAGTTCCAGGATACTCTGTCATCCACACTCTCGGCACCCTTCAGATGGCCCCAGCGTCTTCGACAATCGCGTGCTCCTCAGAGGCGCATTCTGAAGGATTTCAATGGTATTATGAAGAGTGGCGAGCTTTTGCTTGTCCTCGGTCGCCCCGGTGCTGGGTGCAGTACCTTCTTGAAGTCATTGACCGGAGAGCTTCACGGGTTGGATATGGACAAGGAGAGCTCCATCCACTACAATGGTGAGTATGCTGCGCCATCTGACCAACAACCGCTAACAAGAGCCAGGAATTCCCCAAGATCGCATGATGAAGGAGTTCAAGGGTGAAGTTGTCTACAACCAAGAGGTATTGTACCAGCACATATGACATCAGAAACCAGCTAACTCGTGAACTAGGTTGATAGGCATTTCCCTCACTTGACCGTCGGTCAGACTTTGGAGTTTGCCGCCGCTACACGAACCCCCGCCAATCGATTCCAAGATATGACGCGGACTGAACACGCCAAATACGTGGCTCAGATTATCATGGCAGTCTTTGGATTGAGCCACACCTACAACACACGAGTTGGTGATGACTTCGTTCGCGGTGTCTCCGGCGGAGAACGCAAGCGTGTCAGTATCGCCGAGATGGCTGTCGCCCATGCCCCCATCGCCGCTTGGGATAACTCGACCCGAGGACTGGACTCGGCTACAGCGCTGAAATTCGTCGAAGCTCTCCGCCTCTCTGCGGATATCACGGGCTCATGCCACGCAGTTGCGGCCTACCAGGCAAGTCAAAGCATTTACGACATCTTCGACAAAGTAATTCTGCTTTACGAAGGCCGACAAATCTACTACGGCTCTGCCGCTGGCGCTAAGTCTTACTTCGAAGATCAGGGTTGGGATTGCCCCACTCGACAGACTACTGGTGACTTCCTTACCTCAATCACCAACCCTCAGGAGCGCCGCGCCAAGCCCGGTATGGAGAACCGTGTTCCTCGTACCCCCGAAGATTTCGAGGCTGCGTGGATCAACTCTCCCCAGTACAAGCATGTGATTGATCAGATTACTGCTTACGAGACGCAAAACCCCGTCAGCCCCGACGCACAGGCTCTCGCTGACCTCCGAGACACCAAGCGTGGTGCTCAAGCCAAGCACACTCGCCCCAAGTCTCCCTTCCTCATCAGTGTTCCTATGCAGATCAAGTTGAATACCGTTCGTGCATATCAACGACTCTGGAATGACGCTGCCTCCACGATAGCAGTGGTCACCACCAATATCATCATGGCTCTTATTATCGGTTCCTGTTTCTACGGCACGGAAGACGCCACTTCGGGTTTCCAGTCCAAAGGCGCAACTCTGTTCTTCGCCGTTCTCCTCAACGCTCTTACCGCAATGTCTGAAATCAACAGTCTCTACTCCCAACGTCCAATTGTTGAAAAACATGCATCCTTCGCCTTTTACCATCCTGCCACCGAAGCAATCGCGGGTGTCCTCAGTGATATCCCGGTCAAGTTTACATTGGCTGTCGCTTTCAACATTATCCTCTACTTCATGTCTGGTCTCAAGCGTGAACCCGATACCTTCTTCCTTTACTTCCTGATCACATTCATTATCACATTCGTCATGAGTGCTGTGTTCCGTACCCTGGCTGCAGTGACGAAAACCATTGCACAAGCCATGGGTTTGTCAGGAGTAATGATTCTCGCTCTCGTCGTCTACACTGGTTTCGTGATTCCTGTTCCCTCCATGCATCCCTGGTTTGAATGGATCCACTACCTCAACCCGATTTACTACGCATTCGAAATCTTGATCGCCAACGAATTCCACGGTCGCGACTTCCCTTGCTCGTCCTTCGTCCCATCCTACGCCGATCTCTCAGGTGATGCATTCAGTTGCAGCACTGCTGGTTCGGAGGCTGGCTCATTGACTGTTAGCGGTGACCGTTATATTCAACTGAACTATTCCTACAGCTACAGCCATGTGTGGCGCAATTTCGGTATTCTCATCGCATTCCTCGTCGGCTTCATGCTCATCTACTTTGTTGCCACCGAGCTCAACTCCTCCACCACCAGCACTGCCGAAGCCCTGGTCTTCCGTCGTGGCCACGAGCCCGCTAGCATGCGCCAAAGCCACAAGGCCGGATCTGACGTTGAAAACGCCGAGCCCTCCAAGCCTGAAGTCTCTACCGAGTCTGACGACAAGGGAATGGGCGCCATTCAGGCCCAGACCGACACCTTCACTTGGCGCGATGTTTCGTATGATATTGAGATTAAGGGCGAGCCTCGCCGTCTTCTCGACAATGTCTCCGGATGGGTTAAGCCCGGAACACTTACTGCCCTTATGGGTGTCAGTGGTGCCGGTAAGACTACTTTGCTTGACGTTTTGGCCCACCGTACTTCGATGGGTGTCATCACTGGTGACATGTTTGTCAACGGTCGCGGTCTCGATGCTAGTTTCCAGCGAAAGACTGGATACGTTCAGCAGCAGGATCTTCACTTGGATACTGCGACTGTGCGCGAGTCTTTGCGATTCAGTGCCATGTTGCGTCAGCCTGCCTCTGTCTCTACCCAAGAGAAGTATGACTACGTTGAGGATGTTATCAAGATGTTGAAAATGGAGGAGTTCGCCGAGGCCATTGTTGGTGTTCCCGGTGAGGGTCTTAACGTCGAGCAGCGCAAGCTTTTGACTATTGGTGTTGAACTTGCCGCGAAGCCCAAGCTTCTTCTGTTCCTGGATGAACCTACTAGGTATGTGACTTTCCCAGTTTGTCATTTGGACCAATTTCTAACCCTTTTTTTCCTTCAGTGGTCTCGATTCTCAGTCATCTTGGGCTATCTGTTCGTTCCTTCGCAAGCTTGCCGAGCACGGCCAAGCGGTTCTTTGCACCATTCACCAGCCTAGCGCTATGCTGTTCCAGCAGTTCGATCAACTTCTCTTCCTTGCTCGCGGTGGTAAGACCGTTTACTTCGGCCCGGTCGGCGACAACTCCAGCACTATGCTCGAGTACTTCGAATCCAACGGTGCCCGCAAGTGCGATGATACCGAGAACCCCGCGGAATACATGCTTAACATTGTCAATGCTGGTCAAAACAACAAGGGACAAGATTGGTTCGATGTCTGGAAGCAGAGCGAGGAGTGCACAGGAGTCCAGAACGAATTGAACCGGATCCACGCCGAGAAGGAGAAGGAAGCCCCCGCTGTCGAGGAGGATACTTCCGCCAGCCACTCTGAGTTCGCCATGCCCCTTTGGAGCCAAATCTCTCTGGTCACCGTCCGTGTCTTCACACAATATTGGCGCATGCCTTCTTACGTCCTGGCCAAGTGGGGTCTCGGAATCGCTTCTGGTCTTTTCATCGGTTTCTCATTCTACGATGCCAAAACCTCTCTGCAAGGAATGCAGACGATTATCTACTCTCTCTTCATGATCTGCACAATCTTCTCTTCGCTGTCTCAGCAGATCATGCCCGTCTTTGTCACCCAACGTTCCCTTTATGAGGGACGTGAACGCCCCAGCAAATCCTACTCTTGGAAGGCCTTCCTCATCGCCAACATCATTGTCGAGGTCCCCTACATGATCGTGATGGGTGTGTTGACTTATGCCTGCTACTTCTACGCCGTTGTGGGAATCCCAGATTCCACCGCTCAGGGTACAGTGCTCGTCTTCTGCATCGTCTTCTTCATCTACGCCAGTACCTTCACCCACATGGTCATCGCCGGCCTCCCCGACGAACAAACCGCCAGTGCCGTCGTTGTGCTCCTCTTCGCCATGTCTCTCACTTTCTGCGGTGTCATGCAACCCCCCGGTTCCTTCCCCGGCTTCTGGATCTTCATGTACCGCGTCTCGCCATTCACATACTGGGTCGGCGGCATGGCCAGTGCACAACTGCACGGCCGCCAAGTCATTTGTTCAGCCTCCGAGCTGTCAATTTTCAACCCCCCATCCGGCCAGACTTGCATGGAGTATCTGAACAAGTACGCCACCGCGGCTGGAGGTCAAATCCTCAACGGCGACGCAACCAGCGATTGCCAGTACTGCCCTCTCTCTGTCGCTGATCAGTCATTGGCCGGGTTCGGCATCGAGTACTCGCAGAGGTGGCGCAACTTCGGCATCATGTGGGCTTTCATTGGTTTCAACGTCTTCATGGCTGTCATCATGTACTACCTTATTCGTGTGAAGCGCTGGAACAAGAAGGCTTGAACATGAGCCCATCGCTGGTCTTTCTTACCGTCATGTTCTCACTCACATACTCCCGGCCTCATAGGCCATGTCTATACTCATTCCATAATTAGAGGCGCCTCTGGAGTTTATCTTGTCTTACACATTTTCCTGTTACAATAACTTTGTGATACACCTTACATATACAAGCACTCAAAATAAAGATTTTCTTCATTCTTCATGAACTCGTTCCAAACCAATCAGTAACAATGCCTCCAGGCCTTCGAGGAATCTTTGAACTAGCCCTTTGTGGGTTAACGGCGAGATCCACCATCAGCGCACAGCATCCCTTGCGCTTCAACCAAGCGCCTTCTAGCGCGGTGAGTCTCTCTGCCTCGGGCATCCAGTTCCGATGTTTCGGCATCGCGCGGGAATCTCCGTGTCAAGTACAGGTGGCCCTGCCGAAAGGCCTTGATGTCCGGGTCGTCGCGTCCAAGTTCTCGCTTCCGAAGGTCTGCCCAAGTCCTCATCGTTTGGTCCCGGCCGCGAATCTGATCAGTCATTCTTTGTCGCTCTTCCTTGCTGAGTGCGACCTGTTGCCCTTCGTTGGTGTCGAGAAGTTGGACTGATTTTCCCACCTCGAGACTGTAGCCCACTGTCTTGGACGAGGATGTCTCTCGTGCTTTGGGACGTATTGGGCCTTGTAACAACAGTTCGTTGGCGTTGGAGGTTATTTCCTATTTCGCAAGCAATTTTTCGGCCGCTTGGGAGTGAGGAGGGTTGTCGTTCCCCATTTCAGACGTGTTGCGTATCTCGGCTGGATTAAGTGAATCAAAGCTGAAAGTTCCTTGGATCTGATCCAGTACTGTCTGCATCCTGTCGCATCGTGCGGCGAACAGCACGAACCGTTGTTGTAACAGGCCAGCGGTGATCTCGGAAACCTTCGATCCTTGTGTTGCGAGTCATAGCCCTAGGGCACATGACTCCCTGGATTTCCCGAGGTCTAGCTCTTCAGTTAGTTCTCAGTAGTTTGATGTGAATCTGAGAGATGAGGCCTTCAGAGGGTCATCGGCGCGAACTCTGGGATCGGATGGATATGGCCACCTTTGGGACCCTGTCAGAAATCGCGCAGTTAACCCGTCCAGCCAAGGTGTTGGGGCTACCAAGACCAAGGAGAAAGCAAAGCAGAGACTTGATTCGACTCAGCTAGCGAAAGAGAGGGAAGAAGCAAGACCCCATACCTACACCCTACACATAAGAGGAACCTAGTGCGACCTGACTAAAATGTCTTCAATCCCAATAAGCCCGGCTCACGAACCAAATTTTCTATCACAATGTGACAGCCTAATCTTGTTGGTCGAAAAGACTGTCGTAACCTGCATCGAACCATTCTACAGACGGTTGAACATTGAAAAGCTCCCACAATAGCCCACCATCCCAAACCGAGTTTCGATCCGATCCAGCCTGATCACTTAATTGACAATTGACCGAAAGCCGTAGAATCCGTGTTCTGGCTTGTATTTGCATCGATCTCAGCAGCCACTCTAGAAGCCATCACTTCCTGACAGTGAATTATCAAGAGAATCCTCCGATACCACGTGTTGAGAAACCTTTGGCGAGGACAGGTCACCATGAGATCCACTATTGTTTGCACTTGATCCTTTCATTATCATCTAAGTAAATCCCGCGTATTAATATTTTTCAATGTGTGTGCTTACAGCGGGCGATGGAGTGGCTGGCTCATCGACGCAAAGGAGAGGAATGAAGACCATCTGCATATATCGATGGCTGGCTGACCTGAGGGTGCGATCCGGAGTAAGACTGAGGGAAGTGTGCCTGACGCCATTGCATGGCCATTGCAATGAGCAAGGGTGTCACCGTGCATAATTAGCGAGGGATGTGCGCCACCTCACGCCAGTCGTTGTTCATACGAGCGCTCAGCAAGGATGCCAACAGCCTTGGAATTTTACTATTTTACGGTGAGTCCGACAACAAATGAGATAAAACACTCACATGAGACGTCATTGGGAACCTGCATGAACGGGGATCGCCCGCCGGTCCTCTTCTGGTGGGGACGGGTGGAGACGGCGATGTAGATCAGAAAACTTTTTCACTGGAACGAAAACTGCTTTGCCGTCTTCCGTGTTCTTTTTTGGCTCATTTCTCCTGTCTTCAAGATTTGATTTCTGTGAAATCACCTGGGCGCTTGGAACAATGGCCTTACTCACATTACCAACTGAGCTACTCTTGTCAATACCGGCATTCCTCTACACAGAAAAAGATATTAGCTCGCTCTCTCGATGCTCTACTCGTCTGCATACAATATTGACGCCATGCTTATACCGATATAATGCTCGCCACGGCGCAAGCTCTTCACTATCGTGGGCCGCCAAGACTGGGAGTGAAGCAACAGCTCGAAAGTCTATCCAAGAAGGAGGTGATGTCTCAGTCAAAGATGACAGCGGCTGGCAGCTTCTATCTCGAGCCGCGCTGCATGGACATGAAGCAGTGGTGAAAGTGCTCCTTGAGACGGGAAAGGTCAATATCGACTCACAAGACGCCGAAGGTCGAACAGCCCTCTTCTGGGCTGCGGCAAATGGACACGACGCGGTGGTCAAGCTTTTAATCGATCAATCGGCAGATCCAAACTCCAAGGATCTAGTCGGATGGTCAATATTATTTTTGCCCGCATCAAACGGACACAGTTCCGTGGTGGAACAGTTGCTTGCAACAGAACGAGTCGATGTGAACTCCAGAGATGCAGAGGGTCGAACGCCACTGTATATGGCTGCGGCTAAGGGACATGAGGATGTCGTGAATTTATTGATCAACCATGGCAAAGCTGATCTTGGATCGAAGGACTGCCAAGGTCGGTCGTTGTCATATTGGCCCATGGTAAATGGGTACAAGAAAGTGAAACAAATGCTGCTCGACGCGGAAAGGACCCATGCCTTTACTGCTACCACTGCCTTACCGGTTCTCTAGCATAGAGAGAGCGCTGTCCAAGTGGGTACAAATTTCAAGGTTGGATATCACCATCGTCAGAACCATTATTCACCCGTGGGGGTACCCGTGGACAGTTTGTTTGGCTAGAGCAGATCACTGCGGGTGCAAGTCAAGCTTCCACGAGTACACTATCTATCTTCCAAGGCTTTGCCTTTGAATGAGTTCCCGGAGCATCGTTCCTTTTTATTCCTCTATGGCTGTCCACGCCTCCCTCCTTGGCACTTCTCTGCTCCAGTCAGTTGAATGCACGTTTTCAACACCATCACATGGCGGCATTGCATTTAAGCGGTACTTTCGGGCATATTGACATCTCGCAACATACCATATGACGTGTAGATTCTATACAAATGAAAGATCAAGGTGCAAAGCCCCTGAACGATCCATCCATATTCTGGTAACGTTAGTAAAAAGGCAGGACGGGAAAAGTGTATACGAACCCGATCTATCAGATCTATATCCATCCATTGCCGTACGTCAGTCCATTCATCAAACAGATTTTCAAACTGAGTACAGTCGGTAACTGTGGCTCCGATCGGGGGATCCGCTGTGCGATTTTGAGCCCTGGAATGGATACTTAGTCAACTGGAATTGCCAATGCGTTGGGGCGTAGCTTACTGCAAATGACAGAGTATGCCATAAGCCCTTGAGCAAATATTGCTGCGCCCAGAGATATCTTTCATTCGGAAGCTCAAGCTTTCAAGCTCTCCCCTCAAACACTCCACATCATATCCATGGTCAGGCGAAGATGATATATCTTGCAGACAAGAATTGAGCGCGACGGCTGCATGAAGGGCTTTCAAACTTGTCACTCCATTCAGTAACCAACGATAACTTCGAAGGAGTGGAGATTCATATATTTGTTTGTGAAGAGAGATCAAGGCCCGACTCGACCTGATGCACGTTTCTCTGGACGATGGAAGGAATTCGGCCAGTCCGGAGAGATGAAACGGTCGGTGCAAAAGAAGGTAGAGATGATGGGCGAATGTCTGTAAAACACACCAGAATGCGTAGCTTGTAGGATCAAGAATGCTGAGAGAGCCATCAATCAAGTAAGTGGAGTCCCATTGCTGTTGTTCCTTAGATATCGCCGCATCAAACTTCTGTAGACAATGTCGATCTAAGCGCGAGGGACTTGAGATATGAACGCAGATTTGAGAAGATAGCTGGAAGAGTCGATATTTGCTGAGAAAAAGTGACATCTGGGTAGGCTGGACCCGGTGGGACGGCTGCAAAATGCCTTCTTCCGTTATATCAGCATCATTGACATCCGTTGGTAGGGAGGCCTTGATATTAAGAAGATATGACATATCGACATCCCGAAACAAGATGCCCTGGTAAGTATGCAATGTGAGAAGACCAGTCCAACAGCGACGCCGCCTCTCATCTTCCACCGGATTGAGCTTCTGATCCACATTGCACCGTAACGCAATGCCCATGTTAAGCGCTATCCCCAAGAGGCCCCATCCCTGGTCAACGGACTCATTGTGGGAAAGATTGTAAATCACCATCAACAAAGCCTCAAATGTGCTGAATTTGTGGTTGATGAAAAGCCCATCCTGCAAGAGACACGTCACTGCATATCGGAGAAGGATGCGAGACTCGGAAGCAATTGCAGAACCCTGCGTGGAACTCAAAGGCAGCTTACTCCATATATCTGCCAGCCTGGGATCAGTCTCATCCATGGTATGTAGAGCTAGCGAGCACACAGCGAGAAGTAAAGCTAACCAAGGTAGCTCAGCCTCATGAGGTCGTTGTACAAATTCTGTATATTTTCTTTGGAAGGTTGGACCATGGAGAATAGGAAACAAAGGCGAGATTATTTGGAAGAAATGAGAGATGAGATAGTCACAACACGGTTTGGAGGGAAGCGAGTCAATGATTTGTTGGACAGGGATGCATGGAAGCATTGAAAGAGGTGACAAGGTGTTGTGGGCATCAGCCTCCGGGGGCGGTCGTTCGAATGCAATTTCCCAATTCGTGTCGAGTGGCGTCTGATTGGGCTCGCATCTGGTCAGTCCAGGCTCTGGAGGTGTGACACTAATGCAATTTTGTCTCGATGAAGCAGAGGGACGTTGGTTTTTGTTGCCTCGTCCCACTGAACTACAACCAGTGACGATTGGCCTGTGGGCTTTGCCTGAGAAAGAAACAGGTGGACGAGCCTCGTACGAGCAGCCGGCCTCACGACCACGACTTTTGCAAGATCCACACGGACATTGGCGATCGCATCGTAATTTTGAGCGTCGGCATTGCTCGCAATTCACAGGTCTGCGCTTTCGGCGATAGTGGTCGGGTTGCTCAACAGGTTGCGTGGGGCTGGCATGGCTCATCACGGCTGGAAAAGAGGGTAAAAACGGACCGTAGTCGCAAAAGTCGGATGGGACGTGAAGATTGCAGCCCGGGGATCACGGGGTTGAGAAAGGCATCCATACCTACATAGGTACGGAGCACGGAGATAGTAGCCATCGGAGAACCCATCTCCGACTGCAGCCCGAGATCGCTGAAGTAGCCCCTCTCAACAAGACTGAATGTACATGAAACATCGACGGAGCTAGATAGGCCGAGCGAAGGGTAAATGGCTTTTGGTGTGTCAACAAGGCCTTTGATCTCAACCGCGGACAGCATATATCTCCTCGTCGGAGAAAGGGACAGCCTATCGGCTTCAAACATCGGAGAAAGCGACCACGGTGATCGTTTATCGGGGAAATGGCCACCGGACCAGCCTGTATGGCATCGGGGATATGCTCGGCATTGAGCTCTGGAACTATCAGATGCTGACAGTTCAACAGGACACCCTGGGACCCGTCAACTGACGCGGTTACTTGGGCCCTTCTGATCAAACTTCCCGCCCTCCCATTTCTGCCATGATGGCTTAGTTTTTGTTCACTTTCAATCCTGCATTCTCTCTTCACCTTATCCTTGTCTTTCGTTGACATCCTGCCATGGAGAGCTATTTTCAATACCGAAGGGTGCGGCGAGCGGTTCGACAGCACCTCGCTGATATTCAAGGAAATTGCAGCTGCCCTACTCACGTCGTCGGATATCCTCATGGCTTGACGTAAGTTATACCCCAGCCCCCATGGATCTCGGTTTCCCTGACACGAGAGAAGATGCTCGCTGAATACCCATTGCACTGTGGAAAAGCAAACCCCTACACTCTCAGCCATTTCAGATGAAAATGATGTGATTGTCGTGGGATGGGATGGGCAAGATGATCCGCTGAATCCTGCAAATCAGAGCACCACACGGAAGCTCTTCATGACCCTCTTAGTGTCTTTGATTGCACTATCGGTCACCGCCGCATCGGCAATTGACGCATGTGGTGTTAGAGAGTATAGCGAGTTTTTCCAAATATCCGAGGTTGTTGGTTCTCTTGCAACAGGTACATCCTCCCTCCGTCCTGTTATCTGTCTTTTCCCCTCTACGGTAAAGAACAAAATGGAAGCTAATTCTTGTACTGCCGGAAAGGTCTTTTTTTAATCGGATTTGCATGCGGCTCCCTTCTATCCGGCCCGTTCTCCGAGACTTTTGGTCGTAATGCAATTTATCTCATTACCATGCTCTTCTTTCTGATCTTCATTATGGCATCTGGGCTCGCCCCAAATCTCCAAAGTCATCTCGTCTTTCGCTGTCTCGCAGGCTTCTTTGCCTCTACTCCGTTGAGCTGCGCCGGTGGGACGGTCGCAGATCTGTGGAATCCGGTACAGAAGGCCTACGCATTTCCCGCCTACGCCATCCCAGCATTTGCAGGGCCGATGATCGGTCAGATGATTGTTAGCTATATACCAGTCACGCTGGGCTGGCGTTGGCTGGAATGGATAATGCTCATAATGGGCGGCATGGTCCTCGTTCTGGTTCTTTTACTTCAACCCGAGACCTACGGTGATCTGATTCTCTACTGGAAAGCTTCGGTCATCCGAAAGGAGACTGGAGACAAGAGATATCGAGCCCCCATGGAGGTGAAGCGTGAAGGTCTGAGCCAACGTCTGAAGATCTCTGTGTGTCGGCCTTTTGCAATGTTTTACTCCGAGGTGATCATCATCCTTGTCTCGCTCTACTTGACGATCATATATATCGTCCTGTTCACCTTCCTGGAAGGTTTTACATATATTTTTGGTCAGACATACGGTATTTCAGAGGGTCTGACAAGCTTATGCTGGTCGGGTATGTTGGTCGGGATCTTGCTCGTTGGCTTGGTGGTGCCAGTGGTCTACACTTGGACTGCGAAGGCCTACGCCCAGAACAAGACTTCTTTCGCTCCTGAGATACGACTATGGTATACAATGCTTGGTGGTGCACCTGCAGTGCCAATCAGCTTGTTCTGGATGGCGTGGACCAGCAACGTGAGTACTAGGCATTCGTCCCCCCAAGACTGATTCACAAAAGTCTGACCTTTTGATCGTTATAACACAGCCAGGAATCTCAATTTGGTCCCCCATCGTCGCTTCGGTTCTCTTCGGCTATGGAATCACAACCATATTCATTGTGTCATACATGTATCTCATCGATTCGTACGAAACATATTCGGCCTCTGCGCTCGGTTTCCTCGTATTCACAAGATATGTGGTGGCTGGCGGTATGACTATTGCTGGTGGGCCAATTTATCGGGCCATCGGTGTGCAGTACACACTCACAATTCTGGGATCTATCAGTGCAGTCATGACGTGCGTGCCTTATTTGCTATACCTCTTTGGACCGAGAATTCGCAAGAGCAGCAAATATGCGGTTAACGTTGACATTCAGTGATACACCTACTACCTAGCATTGGGGGGGACCTTTGGAAGGAATGGGTACAACCTCCGAACCTCGGGTCACCACATTTTGACCGATTGTCCAGAAGAGCATCCACGGATATAAGACAAGTAATATAATCATGCATGTGAATTGTTGTGTCACATGGTACAAGCCAGTCACTATTCGAATCGATCTGTCCAACGCCTGGGCATGTCGTCCGATTGTCAAAGCCACATGGTTCCAATGTTAGGCCGAATCACTTCGAAACGGAGTAATTCCGAAGATCTCCGAAGGTCTCGACTCAAGCGCTGACTTGTTCCAAGGTGAGGCTTGTATCTGTACTTCTGTACTGTAGGGTTTGGCCTAACCCCTGTTGCCGCATGGAACCGCCGATCCCAACTCATCTGGGCATGTGGTTCCGGGATTCGGCAACTCGGGAAGCCGGGGCCATGGGCTTTGACACGGAGCCGGATCTTCATCTCATTGGTCACATTGGGAAAAGTGGAAGTGGATCCCGGGGACGGAACGTCAGATGATTGGTCTGCCCCGCCAACCCTACAATTTCCTAATCTTACGTCAAAGCCTACGGAGAATGTACATATGTTGGTTGGCCTGCCAGAAATGTCAGACTGGGTTATATTGTAGAATGTAATGTTGAAAAACGAATGTTGTTAATTTTGTCATTGAGCTTAGGTTTGTCATTGAGCCTACTCTTCCAAGGTCAGGACCTTGAATACGCACATCAGGAGGGCTGAAAACAATTACAGTCTTGGCGAAATTCACTTTTGCCTGATCTGATTCATTTCGTAAAACTTGAAACCTTAACTGATGAAAACGAACATTTTCAAATACACCGTGCCTAGGCCCGAATCTCCGCCGCCGACAAAACAGTCGCAAAACCATCCGCCAATTCAAACAACGCAGTATCCACAAGATTCTTCGCCTTAACGCCGGGAATGTGCCGGTCACCAACCGCATCCCGAACAACAATAACATCATACCCCCTCTCGGCTCCAGCCCTCGCAGTCGTCGAAACACAAAAATGCGCCATATACCCCACAAGCACGATCTTCTTCCCGACATCACCCAATCCCTTCAGATACTCATCGAGATCCGTATGAGCGAAGGAACTGGGGAAATTTTTGGTCACGACCTTCTCCCCTGATTGAGGGGTGAGCTCACTGAACTCTTGCACTAGGGAGGTCCCCGGCGTGAAGACTGGTGCACCGGCTGGTTCTTCGTGGACGACGTGGACGATGTTTTTGCCGTTGCCAGTACTTCGGTAAAGGGATAGGAGGTCGGAGATGACCTTTCGGGTTTCGTTCACGAGTTCGACCTGGAGGTGGCCGATGGCATATTCGTTTTGAGCATCGATTATGATCAAAGATGAGTCTTCGGTAGAGGCCGTGGAGGGGGGGAGACCGACTAGGTCGCGGAAGGATTTGACGTTTGTCATGGTAGGTTGAGTGGAAGTGATTTTGGGGTTGCTTTCAAGTTCTCAACCGATAGTTTAACACAAATTGAATACCTAGCTGTGAAATCAGGATCTGAGGGGGTTTAAATACATCGGAATCTGTCGCTCATCTCTTGGCCCTCGAGGCCAATTTTACTCAACACCTTGAAGCCCCGGAACAAATTAAACGCACCGTCAATCTGCCACGCTTATTCAAGGTGACTCCAGAGTCCGCGCTAGCTCATTTCACGCCAAACCTGCAACGGCAGATAGAACCCACTTTGAAATTGGCCAACTAGGTAGTGTTCCGGTCGGGTACACGGCAGTACGTCCTCACCTTGGAGGTCAGCAACCAAGGGCCCTTTCCACCTGGGCATCCAAGGTTGTTACTATGTAGTAATGTGCTGCCGTAGGCCGGGGAATCCGTTACAAATCGATTACACCCCTGGAGGTCCCTGTCCACGGGTACGCTTCTCCTTTTTTCGATTGGGCGAGTAGTTTGACCACCATTGCTTTCTCGAGTTCTCTTTCTCATACTTTGCCACCGACATTGTTTTGATTTTCCCATCAAGTCGCAAAGTATCTAAGGGCCATTCATGCGAAATTTGACATTCCCAGCCTTCACGAATTCCTAAAAAATCACCCTCTCGGAACTCTCACAACTAAAATCTCTTCGCCAGGTTTCCCATTCCTCCAACCGAGCCATATTCCCTCGGTCATCAACACCCCGAATGTCTCCAGCGAATCTGCCAGCAAGCTGTCCTCCGGGGACACATGGCTAGACAGAACCCTCAAAGTGAAAAATATTGATCGAGTCTGCGAAGGCTATGATGTGAGATCCCTTAACTCCGAGGACTCGGAGAAAGCGACGGAGTACAAACCTGGAAACTTCAAGCCTCTGTGGGGCAACTTTGGTATTTTTCGGATGCTAATTTGATTGGGTAACTTGTGAAATACAGGCAGGGCGATATTTCCGACATATGGCTTGATTCTCGGCCGATAAAGCTGTATTGGAGGATAAAACCAACGTCAATGCCTAGATATGGCAAGGAAAACCCGAGAAGAATGACCTGTGAGCCTCCTACTCAAGACAACATTTGCATAGCCTAACCTTTTCGTCCTCAGCCCCGTCGTTTCCACCTAATCTTCCCGTCCCACACGATGACGGAGCTTGCAACCATCTGCTGTTGAAACCGAACGTTCCGCCAGTGTCCCTTCTGGCTACCGATGCGACGTCTGTGAATCTGTTCACCATCCCAGGGCTCACCATTGTCTTTTGTTACCCTCGTACTGCTGGTGTGAACGAGATGATCCCCGACTCCTGGAATAGCATTCCTGGGGCTAGGGGTTGTACACCACAGGCATGCTCATTTCGCGATAATATGCTGGAGCTCAAGCGATTAGGGGTTGCAAGAGTTTACGGCTTGAGTACACAAAGCCTGGCAGATCAGCGAGAAGCACATTCCAGGCTACATTTAGCCTATAGCTTGCTAAATGATGAGAAGCATGAGCTGATCACAGAGCTTGGCTTACCTACGTTTGAATGGAATGGCAAAAGGCTGGTTAAGAGAATCACTCTAGCCATCCATAATGGCCAGATCGTTCACCATTGGTATCCTGTGTTTCCTCCCGATAGGAACGTGGATGATGTTTTGCGCTGGTTGGCAGAGTCAACTTCGGGAAGGAATAGTACAATTGTGTAAAATCTGTTCCTTTACGTGTGCACTCAATGGTCTATGAGACACCTTCATGTACCCTTATGTGACAAGATAGTGAGTAGTAGTCTTCCATAGATTGTGAAACCAGGTCCCGGGCTTTTTATCGGTAACAATATCTTTGCGGTGGGCACCTGGTCACCCAGAAAAACAACCCTACCTAGGTAGTGAGTTAGGGCCGGGGCCGCCCTGCACCGCGGGTATCGGCCAACAAGCCACGCGCTACTTTTAACGCCCAGTGCGCACCAGTTGACCCAGCCCCGGGGCCCCGGGGCGAGATTGATATTAGTCATGCCGCCCGGCTCCCGAGGTCCCGAGGTCCCAGCCCTGGAGGCGTGGAACAATGACACGTATCTTTAACTTGCTCCCGAGGTCCAGGCCTGGAGGGCTCCCTGTGCAGGGCTCCAGGGCCGTTGATCATAGTTTTGCCGCTAACCTTGGAATGCCCCCTCCGTGAGCTCCTTCACACCTCTGCTTCACGCATATCTTCCGTACAACATACGATTTCGTCATGCTTTCTGCTGAAAGTTCTGATGAACACTCAATTTCTGCACCACCACCGGATGCCAGAGACACGCCATCCCCTATGGAAGTTGAAGCCGGACCAGATACACCTCTCTCTCTCGGTCGCACCGTTGCAATCAATGGTTCTCTTACCTGTATTACTGGTATCGGAAATCTGCTCGCTGGACTGCTTACTGTCTGCATTCCGGTGATTTCAAAAGACTTGCATATTCCCCCAGATTTGCAACTCTGGCCAGCCTCTGCTTTCGCGCTCGCCTGTGGCTGCCTGCTACTTCCATGCGGTGCGGTTGCTGATGTCCTTGGCTGTCGGCGCTCTTGCTTGCTTGGTGGATTGCTTCAAACCGTAAGCGCACTTGGCGCAGGCCGTGCAGCCACATCGACTCAACTTATCGCATGGCGAGTCACAGGGGGCCTCGCAGCATCTTTCTGTCTCCCGGGAGCTATCGGCGCCGCTGGACATGCCTTTCCTGCCAGTAGCAGCCCTCGCCGTCGCAGTATTGCGTTTGCCGCTATGGGTGGTGGCTCGGCTGTGGGCTTCGGACTGGGCTTGGTGCTGGGAGGTGTGTTCTCTGATACTGTCGGCTGGCGCTGGGGCTTTTATGCCACCGCTATACTCAACGCCGCGGTTCTCGCCTTGGCAGTATGGGCGCTCCCCCATACCATCGATGGTAATTTAGACAAGGCATCGATCTCACGTCTTGCACATGATGTCGACTGGGTCGGCGCAGGACTCATTAGTGCATGCCTCGCCATTCTTTCTTACGAGCTGGCCATAGCAACGGCATCGAATGCTGATCAGAGCATGCGGAAACCCATCAATATCACCTTACTATGCATAGCAATAGCTCTTCTACCGGTGTTTGCTTTTTGGATGCGTCGCCAGTCTCGATTGTCTCGTCCCGCTTTAATTCCAAACACTCTATGGACCAACTTGCCATTTACGTCTATGTGCATTACTGTCTTTCTTGTTTGGGGCACTTTGAACGCAAGTGAACAACTCGCGGCCCTATACTTCGAAGATATCCTAGGCAGGTCCACTATGACAGCATCTCTTTACTTCTTACCCGCACCGATATGTGGCTTATTAATGAATATTGCTATCGGCGCATTCCTTCCGAGTCTGCGTCCATCTATCGCAGTCCCCGCAGCCTGTCTTATGAGTGGCATCGCCCCATTACTACTAGCCAGCTTGTGCCATCTTGATGGGCCAGATTATTGGCGTGGTCCTTTCCAGGCAATGGCCCTGAACCCCCTCGGTGCGGACCTTATGTATACGATCGCCATTTTAGTAATGACAGCCGCGTTCCCATCTGGCACACAGGCCCTAGCGGGGGGAGTCTTCAATATGCTATCGCAGATTGGCAAAAGCGTGGGCATCGCGACTTCGGCATTGATTGCGCGACAGATCACAGCCCAAACAGAGAAGCCGGACACTTTGGAGAGTTTGTTGCTCGGATACAAAGCCGGCTGGTGGTATAACTGTTCCTTGGGGCTCCTGTCGGTGGTGGTAAGCTTTTGGGGTCTGAGGAGTGTTCAGAAGGTGGAGGTTAAGAGGGATTAGTTTGAAGGATTTTGTAGAGCGAAGGCAGATGGCGATATAGTCCGTTTGTTGGAGATAAGGTCACATGGTTCCTGATGGATCACGTCAAGGTCTCTTCTTCCCCTTCCTCAGTTCTTTTGCTTGCTCTCCAGCTCTCAATCAAGTGATCGATCTCCCTTTCTCTATCAGGCAATGATTGCTTTGCCTGATTGAGATGTTTACGGAAACCCAATCAGCCTCTCCTCAAAATTACTAGTCCACAACCTCACTTGCCCCGCTCGACTCCGAGACTGGCCAGCAGAGCCTCATCTTGAGCCTCATCGGTTGGGTCTCACTCCATCGCGCGGAGCATCTCTAATAGTATCACGAAAGCCTTGCAGTCATCGCTTACGCCATCGTCAATTTTGCTGAAACCTCACCTCATCTGTGGTTGACCCCGAGTCATCGCACCCAAGCCTATTTACAGTTGACACTGAGTCATTGTACCCTACACAGAGCACCAAGGTCACCCCGAACCTACCCCAACCACCGCTCTTTGAAGATCCTCCTTACGAAGGTTCTAGCTCAGCACTCTATTGCTAGGTACCCCCGAAAGATCTTCCAGGGTGGAAAGGCAGAGACCTTCTATGTCGGCGTGATTGGTCAGGTGGAGAGGGGGTGGCTATCAACTACTGAAGCGAGGGAGCAAACAAAGGGGATGATAAAGGTAAAGTCACCGTGGCATATGGCCATGGTAGCTAGTCAGTCTCTGAGATTTCCTCCACGAGGGATTGGAGCCCATTGATAATATCTCTTTGGAGATCTTCGAAGGTTTCGACTCCAACGCTGACTCGTAAGATGTTGCCTTCCTCCAGGTGGTCTGACATCTTCCTCCACTCAATCAAACTCTCCACACCACCAAGGCTAGTTGCATGCTGGAACACACGAAGTTTGCTTGGAAGTCGTCGCGCAAAGCTTTCGGTTTTCATGATCAGCCCAAACACTGGGCCAAATCCGTGTGGCATTTGTTTTTCCAACCATTCCGAGTGCTCTACCTGAAGACTTGCGTGCGTCATTCCTTCAACCGTAGCATTGACAAGATTTGGTGTAGAATCTTGAAGCTGTTCGGACAGCCATTTGACTAATGAGGCGCAGCTCTTGCTTTGTTGACGACAACGGAGATCCAAAGTTCGCAAGCTTCGGAGACCAAGCCAGGACTCGAATCCGCCGAGGATATTTCCTAGTGCACAACGATCTTCCCAGAGACCCTTGAAAAGATCGTTTCGACTAGGCGAGACACTGATTATGCCACACATAATATCGCTGTGACCGCCAATGTACTTAGTGCCGCTGTGGATCACTATGTCCGCGCCCCATAAGAAAGGATCCTGGAGAGCAGGAGGCCCAAATGTCGAGTCAACAACGAGGTACAACCCTTTTTCCCGAGCAACTTTTGCGTATGCGGCAATATTACGCGCCTCGCCTGTCGGGTTGACCGGGGTCTCGAGGTGAATGACATCTCCGCTTTCCAGTTGATCGATCTCGTCAAGGGTAACTTTTGTCGTCCCTGTTAGACGGTGATGAAGTTCCAGCACACTGTGCGTACCATGATATCCACCGCTAATGGCGACTTTCTTTGGTGTCAAACGGACAAGATAAGCGTGAATAGCAGAGAGTCCGGTCGAATAAACTAGCGATTCGCCGTTCAGAATGCTTGTCAGAACATGCTCGAACCGAGAGCCCGTGGGGCGGGCAAGGCGCGCATATACCATCTCAGTCTTCTGTGACCATGCAAAAACGCCGTTAGCCTTCATCTGGGTCTCCAAACGCATCTGCAGCGTCTCTTGCTCCGGTGCCGACCAAGAATATCGACTTACTGAAAGATCCTGCTGGGGCTTTAAGTCATTCGGGTTGTAAGGATATCTGAATGTGGTACTTGGATGCATTGCAGGGGCAACATCAACGCCCGCGTAGCGATCATCCATATGGATGGCATTCGTGGCCAAAGAGAAAGACGCCTCGAGATCCTCAACTGAAATCGACATGCTGGGCGCTCAGGCTTTGGGCCTGAATCGAACAAAAGGACAGACGGTGCACCAGTTCATGTGTTTGTCCGACTAACGCAATGTGGCGCACCGCGGGTGATTTTATACCCAAGACTTCTCAGGCTGTACGGGCCGCTTCTACCCTCACTGACTCAAATGAACATGTCATATCTATTCCGTAATTATCTTCCGAATAGTCAAAATGCACGATCAACTCGGAAATAAGAATTGACGATCGGGGCCGATATTCGGCCCCGATCCCACGAAACATGAGATTCCGAGTTGAAATACGATACGATGCATTTCCGCTGCCCCCTTGAGCCTCTGCGGAGATGGGCCGGCGTTAAGTCCGAGCCCAAATCCTAAGTTTAAGAACTCGATTGACAAAGGAAAGCTGATCTCCAGGGCTTCTATGGTTATCACAAAGTCATCAACTACCCAGGTACATATCTGACCGCCATATTAATGTCCTAATCACTCCAACCATGAATGCAACGTATGATTCTCAATCCCTAGAAGGCCAAGGAGAAGTCAGGGCGCCACGCGGCGAATTCACAGATTTCCTCCCTTGCCCAGAGCGTTGTACTCGATCCATGTCATGTACCGATACCACCGCCGCGCGGCCAAATTTGACTTGTCCCCCTGCTGATACATCTTCATCCGCTGATCTGTATGGCTCTCCTTTGGCCCACTCGAGATATCGAAACATCAGGTAGGTGCCTCCAGTGACCCCCAAGATTGAGGCGAAAGCAAGCTTTTGTTTTCTGATCAGGATAAATTAGCGTCAATCAAGTTATGGGTGATATAGAGGTAATATACCTGCATGCCGCAAAGAATTTTCCAGCCGGCCCAGTTGGAGATGTTTGAGAAGACATTTTGAGGTTAATACTTCGATGTGTATTGTGAAGAAGGCGACGAGATGTTTAGAATTTCACAATCTCTGGTGTGATCCGGTTCATGCTGTCGGTTCTTCAACCAGGCTTTATCTAACCTAGGTGAATCATCGACGTCGAGATTGCCACATACCTAGTAGAGAGAGATGTCAGTACTTGATGCTTCAGTTTCCGGGAATCGGAAGCTCGGAAGGCTCAACCAGTTGAGTTTTGACACGGACCTTCAAATCATTGGTCGGAATGTCTAGAGCTTATTCACTTACTAGACACAAAGTACATGCAATGACAGAATCTTCGTCATATCCCTGGACATGGGTAAAACTGTTCTCAAATCCCCGACTGGCCACTCCAGCAAACCAGCTCGGTACGGTGATTTGACCTTCAATGTTTGCCATTTCAAACACTCGTTCCTACCCTCCTGTCCAGGAATGCATGGTTTTTCCAGCCCTGGGGAATATTTTGCATTTACGACCCAAAGGGCTGTGCTCGGAACTCTGATGGCCAATTAATCATCCCCACCGGGACTGCTTAGCATTGTATGAACGAAGAACATTGGGTTCGGAGAAAAGGGTATCGGATTTCGCGGTCGGAGATAATGATATCACGGGGAGCGTTGCCCCAGTGTGAACGGAGAAAGTTGTGATCGGACAAGGAATCCTGGGCACAGCGCGTAATGCCGTGGCGGTTTGCAGTCAACGCATAGTCTTCCTATTTAAATACTATGCTAGCCAATTCGTCGATCATTCTCTCTAAACCATCGAAAAACAAATGGATAACGATGGGATATTCCATGATGCACAAAATGAAGTCCTTGTGCACCCCTTTCACATCCTTCAAAGTCTGTTTTGAAAAGGATCGTGCGGAGAACGGGCATGTGAACAATAAGGATGACTTCAAAAACGGGTTCGTCAGGCCATGGCTGTGGTTTCCACGACACCAGTTTAGCTAAAGTCTTTAACAGACTCAGTCCAAACATTCAAGAGCTCCCTACGTCCATGGCCCCACCACTACGGGAAGAAGGTGTTATATTCCGGAACAGTAGGTAAGATCCTTGATCAAATGAGACCAGTTCACTAATTGGAAGAGCAGGCGATCAATGTTTTGGAACTTGCTGCAGAGGCTCGAATTTCAGTACTCAGAATTTTCGTTGAGATAATCTTATTCACCCCCCCCAGCGAATACAGATGATGTTGGAAGCAGTCATGTGATGCTTCCTTTTCCATTCATCCATACCAGGTAGTTCTGGTAGTTCTAGATCTTGCTCTCTTTTTCTCTCTTCTCTTCCTCGCCACTCAATACAGCGCTGTTTTTCCTGTCTTTCCATCCCGATATGAGTAATCCCTCCTTATGAGATGACTAGGGTCAATGATATTACCTCACAAAAGGGCACTCCTGAGGAGATCACCGAGTGCCTGCAGAGCCGATTGTAACGAAATTCGAATGCCCAGCGCATCTCAACCCCTCGCGAGGTCTCTTCGCCTTTCACTTCACTTTCATTCCTCTGCTATCCATCGATTTTATTGCTTTTCTTTCTCCCTTCTGACTCTCATCTCCTTTTATAACTTACTCAACCAAGAGCTTTGGCTCCAAAACCCCTCACTTTCTGGCTCTCATCCAAGATCTTTGACGCCGAAAAACCCTCACTTTCTGGCTTCGCCAACCTAAAACGCTATGAAGATTACCAAAAACGCCTCCGATGGGGTATCTACCACCGAACAGCGCACGTTGCTGTTTCCTACGGATGAAACCGAATGGTTAAGCGCTGCGATGACACGAAATAACTTCTGTGATAAACACCGACATGATGAAGAAACCGCCGGCTGCAGTCAGCCCCGGAACGCCACAACAGCTGACCCACCGGGATCAAAGCCGGTACACTCCGGCCAAAGACTTCGTCTCGAAGGAATCTTCGTCTCGAAGGAATGGCCGACTGGCACCTGGTCTGCGCGCCACCGAGCCCAGGCGCAATCCGCACACGGGAGGACCTCGACAAGACCGGTTTCGAAAAATACGCCTCAGGTCGACGCCTAACTGATTTGGGCGTTGTGTTCGCCCTACTCACGACGCACCCCGGAGGTCAATTGTAGCGTGCCGTTTAATTTGCAAACCAGTACTGGGGTGAGGATTGCTGTATCCATTATTGAGACGTCAGGGAGGCAAAGTGGTGTGTGTTAGGTTTACTTGATCTTAGAAGAAAGTTCTTGGATAGTCCCGGTGGACTCAGATCTGTTAATTGATGACTGATACCAAACTATATGAAAACTACCTAGTACAGTTCAAAGCCTCATAACGATGGTAAGTAAAGCGATCGAGCCCATTCTATCACCAGAAACCCATTTCACTCCCTTAATTCTGAAAAGCAGAGCTATCTGTGGAGTATCGGGATTCGAGACGTGTAACCAGCATTCCTTTCTCGGCGTATGACTCATAATAGCTATTCGTCTCCCCCATGCAGGAACGAGGCGTCCTCAGAGCATTTGTATCCTTTTGAGTTTGATTTCCCAATCACATTGGGGCCTGGTACTGGAAACCCAACATCCTCGCCCTCGATAGTGACACATTTACCTTCGCCATTCACGTTTGCCACAAACAGTTCCGGGAGGGATTCGAATGTATTGGCATCCGTTGCGTGGCGACTCTCTTTGGAAGTATTTGCTGATCTCAACAATGGACCTCCAGTTTGGGTTGGTGCTTTCATTTCTTCCACTCCTTCGTCAATGGGAAGAGCGAGTCTGTCAATCAGGTGCTCGGTAGCGTTTATGGTAACCATTGCACAATTCATGTACATTTCGCGGTTTCCAACCTTGTTGAACCAAGTCCAAACAAACAAAGCTTCCCCGTGGGGTGCATCTTTCGGAATTCCGAATATCCACTTTTTGTTGATACCGCAGCCCCCTTCAACTGAGAGAAGAACTTTGAAGCTTTGACCCTTGTCATAAGTTAGGGCAAGCTGGCAGGAGCCACCACCATGGTCTGCATTGCCTTCGATCTCAGTTTCGTATGAAGACCCAGGTACATAAATCTGCTGAGAGATGAATGGGTCGTTGGCAAAACCTTTGCATGGGTAATCTGCCCCAGAAGCCTGCAGTGGGTTTGTGTAGGAATAATCCTTGATTGCGGTAGAATTGAGATTCAGGGGGCTTCGGATCGGATACGGCTTGCTCATTTGCATGTGAGCCAACACCCCGGAAATACAGAGAGCAAGCAGAAAGGTAAATTGGGCTTGAGTCGACAGTTTCATCTTTAAACGGCCACGGGTCTAATTTCAAGTTTGATGGGCAAGACTGGCGGAGTAGTCAGCGTCGGTTGCAGTGAAAGAAGGGCAATATCTTGCTCCATGCCTAGGTGTATATATCACTGACCTGTCTCAAAAGTGGCGACTTCAAGGTTGTGTTGACTCGACCTCGGGAGGTAATGACACAAAGATGTCTCACGATGTTTATAAAGATCAAGATGAAAGAGCTGATTGTCTGGTCTATCTTGGAGATTTTATGTTTCTGCCCAGCGGTTCTCGCCCATGAAACAAATGCCGGGATTCAGATTCCCGAACGGCAAAATGATGCCGGGATCGATATGTGCATTCCCAAGAGTTCCAAGCTCACCAGGAATATACCTAGGTATTTTCGGGCGCCCTGTTAAGTACGAAGTATGTACATGCCGGGATGCGTTTTGATCGACGCACAAGGAATCGTTTTGTCTTGGAGCATCCAGGGGAACCCCGCGACATGTCCACGGGTAGCAATTCCAACCTTGAAGGTTTCATAGCGCGAATCAACCTGGAGGTTTAAAAAGGGTCTTACTCGTATCACACCTCAAATCCTTCCTACCACAGCCATATTCCTTGCTACCACACCCCTCTAACCTGACTAGGCTCACCACCTTTGATTTTCACATGACCGCTTTGCCCCGTAATTTGTCAATACGCAGGGTACCTTCTATCATCTGATCATATTGCAGTAAAGCTATGCCGCACTCGTAAGATGTAATTCCAGTAGTAAGATGATACATTGCCTGCTATTTGTGGTGTCTACCTTCCCAATGTGGTTATAGGGGCGTGGTAGCAAGCAATATGGGTGTCAGGGGTACTAAAAAATCGAATGAAAGAACCCTCTCTATGACTATGGTACACAAATTTCAAACATGGAAGGTTTTATTTGGACACCGAGCTCCTTTCCCAGCCAGTACCTCTCAGATTTTGAAGCGACTTTGTAGGGTGCGGTTTGCTAGGATCGCTATATTCAATCTGATAGGGATTCGGGTCGGTCGCTTGGTTCAAGTTCGACAAAGTGTGGTTCACCTCACGGTGCTTGGCTTCGTCGGCCCGAATATACATGATAAGATCCCGCATGGAGCGTTGACCTTCCGGCATCTTCCAGTATTGTACTGCAATATCGGGCGCGGTGACATGATCCCATCCTGGAAGTTTACCTGCTTCGATCTCTTCAATAGCTCGGGTGTATGTGATGACAGCTTCTTCTTCAAGGTACCCCACGAACCAGTGGCAGATTCGGGGAGACATCATGTAGGAAAGGGTAAATCCGTTGAAGAATACACCTTGGGCGCCGATAACCATCAATTTCATAAACCAGCCTGGTTCGCTGAGTTTAAGGAAAGTGAGGAGATGCATGCGTTCGTTGAATGACTCCTCTAGCAGTGTTTCGATCCTGCGACATTCATGGTAAGTACTTGTGGAAATCATCATCGAGATAGGAAATACTCACCATCCGTTGTCGCGTTTCATTCGTCGAAGACTGCGTAGATGTCGCAACATGCCACCGACCATTCCAGGAACACCCGCCACGCTTTCAAGAAAAATGAACCTTACAAGCCATTTCTTTTCGGTCATCACAAAGCGACGGGATAGATCCTGGCCTGGCTTTGGGTGTTTGTATCCAGTGACGAAATCCATACTTCATCTGAAGAAGCGAACCGTCCCCAGAGCGATCCAGTCAGCCCAATCCTTGGCCTCGCGGTGGGCTACTTTAATATCGCGGGTCTGGGCATCCGAATACCTGGGGTGAGTCTTAGCCAAAGAAGAAGACCGAACAAGTCAAAACCACGGGTAGTCTTACACCGGATGGGACCATACTGTATTGACTTGCTTGATACCTGGAAGTTTCGGAGGCGGAAAGTATTCCTTTGTCTGGTGTTTCGGCGAAGATGACATGAGCCGTCTTGAAGAATGGCCTATTCCAATGGCTTGCATCTGTCGGCGGGCACAGATGGCTGCCGAGTTTGACGCGCTCTGGGCGAGGATGGTGGCGGCCATGGGGTGCTTTGGAAGTATCACTCGTGGGACCATCATAGCTGTCGATGTATTTAATTCAATCAAAAATTTCCAGTGAAAAATTTATGACAGATAGCTCCAAAGTCACAACAGCGGCTGGTGACTTATATACCTTGCAAGCCCTCAGGATGCCACAAATGTCAAAGCCCATGGATTGACACTATGATGACATATTAGAGTCTGCTGGCACCCGCGGACCGGTGGAGCCGACGTTTGGTTGACTCGGAGGCGGAACGCTTCGTGGTTGGGTACCAAAGATCTCCCTCGGGAGCCTCATTCGGGTCGCAAACCCACCTTTGGTACCAGGTATGTAGCCCTGAAGGTCCAGGCTCTGAGAGAAGTACTTCGGTGCTAGAAAAAAAAAAAAGGAAACCATAGAATGTCTGCCTCTGTAAGAGTGAAAGATCTAAAGACTACCTACCGAATATGATGCATCCTCAGCAGAAACTCTTAACATTCTGTGTCCCAAGCTTTGGGGGCCCGGATAAGCTGTAGATCAACAATCAAGGCTCATCTAACGTTTCCAATCCTGCCGTCATTGCTTTTTGAGCCAAATTTGTACTATACGTAAATGTATGTGCTACGTCATATTCAAACGGCATCGTCCACAGTAGCCAAAGACACCTGGTGCCCAGGATTCTTGTCATATCGCCAAATGGTGGTTGTTTTGTCATTTATTAAGTTGGAGTCGACCTTCTGAGGAGGGTTTGCTTTGGTGACATTGGATTCCCCTCGGGGTCCATTATACGTAGTTCAACATGGATCCAAGTCATCCTAGCCACAAGAAATCATCAAAGCTGAATGGAAGAACCTTGCTCTGCTCGTCCAAAAAAGCGTCAATATTAGATGACATCTCCGATTCCATCATTCTTGACTTCCCCGTCGAGGAATAACTTTGGTTGCTTTCATTTGGCAAAATGTTTTCCGCGAGAAATCCCAAGGCTTTGGTGCATTTCATCGCGGAGTCTGAAACTTCGCTGTAGGTCTTGAGCACCTCGATGGCGGTATTCCATGTTTTGCACGCTTGGGTTTTATCCATTTTGTGGTCTTGAGCTGCGAGGAAGCGCTCGACAAGAATCGTTGTGGCGGCAGTGTAAACATCTAAGTGAGAATCAACGGTCAGCCGGGATATCAGAGCCAAATACTCCAGTTAAAGTTCACCCAGGAGCATACATAGTACTGAATACCACCATGAGGGTAGTGGGCCGGCCAAACTTTCTGGGGCCAGTTTTGCTTTAAATAACTCAATCATCTCCCGAGCAAGCCGAAAGCAAAGACGAGAGCACTCCAAAAGCATAATTCTGGAGACACTTGTCTCGTCGACAGTACCTGGCTCCGCGGAATATCCTATTTTGGTGTACATGACGAGAGCTGGGCGAAGTAGTAATATGCGAGCGTGTAGAAATCTATGTGTGTATTAGCTTGAAATGATAGACTGGATCAGCTCATCGAGCCGGTAATAGACGAGCAGACGACGGGTCTCAGAAACTGACCGAATTTTCAAAACCGTCGCTTGTCGATTGAATATCGGTTCGAGGTTTCCTTCTTGTTGGGTGTGGAGATGGATGGGAAGGGACTTTTTCCAATCTAACAGCTTCTTGTCCATGGTAAGAATTTGGATCAACTTGTCGTCGAACCTCTCTTGTGTCGGTGCAAGGTACATTTCGAGCAAAACATTATCCAAAATCTGATAAAGTTCGAACGCCTTCACAGTGAAAGCCATCACAGAAGGCTTTGAGTGTAATCCGGCTTGAGCTTCAAGTCCTTGTGTATCCAGAACTTCATCGTCGAGCATAGATGGCAAAGGCGTCGAACCAAAAAGCCACTGAGGGATCATTCCAGGGCGACCGAGTGTGGCAGAAAGAACACTTAGGATATGTTAGACCTATGAAGTATAGTCCACGGAACCGTGATCTGCAAATTTGGCGATGGGAGATAGAAGCATGGCAGATGGCATAATGTTGGGGAATGCAGAGGGAAGAGGGAGATAGAAGGGGAAAGACTCACCGATCCAACCATATGCAACCATGCCAGATGCGCCGTTTGTGCTCTCTATGACGGACAGACTCGGAAGGAGAATGTTGCTCGCTGTATAGTCCGAGACTCTGGGCCATACGAATCGCCTCGCCAACCGTCATCCAACATCGAAAGGCATCCGGTGTGCTCTGGATAAATATGGAATGGAGTAATAAAAGCTGCACTTTTTCCAACTGTGGACCGGGTCCCGACCTTTGGTAAAGTAGATCTGCACGGATGAAGAATTCCATTCCCATGGGCCCACGATCCTTCGTCGGTATGGAATCGCAATAGTGGCAACCAAGAGCTAGGCAAATATTGATGATACTCATCAATATTGCTGGGCAGTCGGTCTTCGTGCACCATAAATTCTGGTAGGCAGAGTCAATATCGCGCCGGTCGACAACAGGAAACAATGGCCACTCAAAATCCCAGTACGCATGCATCAAACCATCAGCCAAAGTTCTCGGCGGAAGAACAAACAGAGCAGCCTGTTCCTGAGGGGACATCCACCCACGATTGGAGCGGTCAACGATTGATGCTGTTGGAATGGCTTGGGTTTGCGGAGGTGACAAGCCTTGCTTAGCGTTGATGGCAGCTTGGACTTGTCTCATGAAAGTTCCTGCACTGCTACTTCCGAAGATTTCCCCCGTCCGCTTGTCTCCTCCGATGTCCCCATTCATCGAATCAACCCCGCACATCTCAGCGGATTGCTTTGCCAAATTAAGTGAAGCAGCAGGTGTGGATCGATCCCCGTTCGGCACGCTAGCAGGCAGCACCCCTTGACCGCTGAATTCATTAAGAGATTGTGAAGCTGGATACTCCGGCAGGCCCCTTGTCGTACTGTGTGGGTCACTGGAACGGAGAGTCGCCTCACCGGGGTTGTGGTTAATCGGGGCTGGTTTGCTCTCTGCTTGGCCCTCGGGGTAGCAGCACCTCGCGCGTTCTGGGCTCTTTCTACAGCCTCCGCATACTTTAAAATCATTAGGTACCCCAAAGCGCCTAAATCAAGGTGGGAATATGCTTACTTGGACGCACAGCATCACATTTCATTTTTTTCCGGCGACATGGCACACATGCGACCGAAACCTTCTGTCGCTTTCTATACGCGGTGTGTGGCGGAAAGGCAGCTGATTCAGATTGGTGTGATTCCATTTCCGAATCTTGTAGCATGAGCGGGTGGTTATAATCGAACTCTTGTAGTCCTGACCAGATCCTGATGGAGCAATACCCTTTCCAAGGGCGGTCGCCCGTTTCCAGCCCTGAGGATCAACGGGTCACCTGCTCAGGTGGGCATAAGCACTTGATGATGTAATTATCCGCGTCAACTGGTCAGCGACTACACCTTCAAGACGAAATGGTATTGGGGCATGGACCAGATGAAGGAATGGCAATTCTAATAGCCCATATGAGTTGAAAAAACCAACAAGGTGACCGGGCGGACAGCGACTTCCCGTGCTCCTGCCGCTTGACCCGGAACCGGACCGCTTGCTGATTGGCTGAGATGGCTCGATAGTGGATCCGCTGTATAAGTATATCTTCTCACATTGAGAAACACGCTGAATTCCAAGTTGTTTATCGCCTTGCTTGCGGCATCTCCGTTGAATCATTGGCTCTCCTTTCCCCTCTGAGACATACCTTCGACCCTGGGAAGAATGCAATCATTCTTGCAACACAGAAGAATCAACCAGGCAGTCAAGCTTCGGTATGATGGTCCCTTGGCGGAGTTGAAAGGTAAGTTGCCTGCTCCCTGAGGAATTTTTTCCGAGCGACGCTAATACAGTTCATTTAGAGATAGTTCCGACAGAGAGCTCAACCAACCCAGCAATAACCAACCCAGCAATCGGAGACGGGGTTTCGGTCGTTCAGTGGGAATCGTGGGATCTGCATCTCAGCCCCCGATCATATGGACCATGGAGGAAATCCGCTATGACAATTCTGGTAGCCTTGATTGGACTGGCTTGCACCGCTGCGTCTGCAATTGACTCAGCGGGTGTAAAAGAATACAGTCAATACTGGGGGGTCTCCACAGTGGTTGGGTCTCTAGCTACTGGTAAGTTCTTGAGATGCGACTGATTGCGGTCATCCTTCTAGCCCCATCCATTAGGTATTGACTATGGACAGGTCTTTTTATGATTGGCTTTGGGGTTGGATCTTTCATTTCAGGTCCCTTTTCGGAAACGTTCGGCCGCAACGCTGTCTATATGGTGACCATGATAATTTTCCTTTTGTTTATCATGGCTGCCGGCTTAGCACCAAACGTTCACGGACATCTTATCTTTCGTTTCTTTGCCGGGCTTTTTGCTTCCACGCCCCTCACGTGCGTTGGGGGTACCGTGGCGGATCTTTGGGATCCTCTGCAAAAATCATACGGTTTCATTATTTATACGATTCCCGCCTTCAATGGCCCCATGATTGGCCAGGTCATTGGAAGTTTTATTCCCCCGACACTCGGCTGGCGCTGGCTGGAATGGATAATGCTTATCTTCGGTGGTGTGATGTTCATCATGATGATCTTCCTACAACAGGAAACGCACCAGGATACTCTGCTGACTTGGAAAGCATCGGCCCTCAGGAAGTATTCTGGTCAACAGCATTGGAGAGGACCACTAGAAGTTCGGGATACTACGCTCTGGCAGCGCTTGAAAATTGCCATCTCTCGACCATTCACGTGGATCGTCACAGAGCCAATCATCATACTGACATCTCTGTACTTGATCGTGATCTACCTCATCCTTTTTCTCTTTTTGGAGGGTTATCGATTCATCTTCGTTGATATTTACGGATTATCGGAGGGCATGAACAATGTCATCTGGATTGCCATGTCCGTGGGTTGTTGTGGGGTGAGCCTTCAGGTTCCTTTTGTATATCGAATCTCAAAGCGTCAACAACAGGAAATTTCTCGGATCAAGCCCGAGACAAGATTGTGGTACGCCATGCTTGGAGGGGCGCCAGCTATTCCGATTAGTCTCTTTTGGATGGCTTGGACGAGCTATGTGAGTTTGAAATCATTCCAAGTTTCAGTTCACTGGAAAATCCCATAGCTAACGAACATCTCTTTTAGCCTCACATAAGTGTGTGGTCCCCAATTGTCGCATCTGCCCTATTCGGATTTGGCATCACCACGGTCTTTGTCAGTGCTCATCTATATGTCATTGACTCATATGAGTCTGGTGCTGCATCTGCATTTGCTATGCTTGTCATGCCCCGATACATTGTCTCGGGTGGTGTCCTTATCGCAGGAGGCCCGATCTATTCGAGCATAGGGGTGCACTATTTCTTGACTATTCTTGGAGCGATTAGTGCGGCTCTGGCGTTTATTCCATATTTGTTCTATTTCTTTGGACATCGCATACGACGTGCAAGTCCTCATGCTGTTACTCATGAGCCATGATTCTATTCAACCCTTGGAGTACTTCTGCGTTCTTGCAAAGTTGCAGGACTCTATTTATATTACAAGAACCTGGATCAGTGATCCATCACGCACCTGGGCATTTATCGGGTCCACGTGGAAGATAAAAAACCTCCGGGCTCTACCTACCTAGGTAGGTACCAATCAAAATATTTACATTGCCATATCACCAAATCTACATAGGTACCTAGGTAGGTACTCGTGGGCTGTAATATATAACCCAGTGCCCAGGTGGCCTATGCCACATATTTGATGTACTGTGCTATAGCTAGAGCTTTCCCGTAGTCTATGCACCGTAAAAACCTACATGTAGGTAGAATTCCGATGCCCATGTGGTCAGCTGACCATACCCTCCCCGCCTCTTCTAAACGATTTTCACGATGGATGTCCCTGACATCCCCCAGAAGTCTTCCGTTCTGGCATGACTCCGAAGCCCAAACCCTGGTAAGCCAAAATCGACTGTCATGATCATGTATACCTCTGTTAACATGATTGCTATTCTAGTGATAATTGCAGGAGTATGTGATGTCACCCCCCACCCCACAGTCTTTGGAATAGCAAGACTCATCATTCCCATGAACAGAGAACCATTTGAAGTGTGAGTGTGCTCTGGAGGCTTTATGGTCATGCTCGATAACCCTGCAGACCTCGGGATCTGACTGCGATTAGGTGATGATGCGACCCCAAGATGTCACAAATGTCAAAAGTCTGGCGGCGAGTGCATACGTCGTGAATCGACACTCCAGTTCCGCAATACTTCCATCAACGGAACAGTTGTAAAAAATCCAAGTACTTGTTCCCCTCCCCCCTGGACCAATCATTCAAGGTTCAACATTTAGTTAGGACCTACCACCCTCCACTATATTGACGAGACATCGAAATTCACTGGAGCTCCTGTGGATGTTGTCTCTGGCCCAGGTCTTACAGATGCAGCCTTGTCCGCCAAGTTGATATCAGAAGATGCAACAACAGATTCTGATGAGTATCAGACAAATCCGAGTCCCATAGTAAGTCAAATACGCCATATCCGAAATTAATCACTAAGCCATTGCAGCAGCCACCATTTTCATCAACGGAGCGACCGATATCATCCTTAGAGATCAATATTGGGGAAGCATTCTTACTGAGATATTTTGTGGAAGAGCTAGCAAAATGGGTAAGGTCAGGTCCCCCATTATGCTTCATCAGCTAACCGAAGTAGTTCGATCTCTGCGATCCGGAGCGTCACTTTGGCTTAGTTGTTCCGCAGCGTGCTCGTAGCTGTGCGCCTCTGTTAAATGCACTCTTATGCACATCAGCAAGGCATTTCACCACGTTGCCAGAGTTCCGGCAAAAAGAATTCCGTCTGAGGCTCAGCTTAATGCAAAATATTGTGATCAACGAAGAAACAGTATTGGATTATCACAACCGATGCATCTCCCAACTGAGGTTTTTGGCCGGGGAAATCGATGCTATCATGGATGAGAACCTTCTTGCTGCGGTAGTTGTTCTTCGATTCTATGAGGAGCTCGATAGTAGGTAGATTCATTGTCTGAGAGGGCCCTTCTAATGTGTTAACAGACCCATTTATGTTCGAGTCTCTGACCGACACAGCCGTCCGGGGGTTTCAGTTATTCTTGGAAGCGCAGGCAAGCTTAGCGCTCTCTTCCACACGGTTTCGATCTGCGGTTTTTTGGGTTGGCTTTCGTCAAGAATTCCATCTGGCGTATTCTCAACAACGACCACTGAGTATACCGCTTCGGTTTTGCGATGACTATCTCAATGATAGTGATGCGCCAGACCATGTCTTGGTCAACAGGTTGATCATAATCTGTGCACGCGTCGTCCAATTCTGCTACGATGATCAAAGTCCCGCTGACTTGGCGGCCTACGAAGAATTGGTCAACGTCTACCACCGATGGCTCAAAAGTCGGCCTGTATCTTTTCTTCCCATATTCTCTGCTGGGCCAGATAGAGGGAGAAACGAGGTTTTCCCGCAAAAGTGGTACTTGGCCGACTACCACATCCTGGCTGGGCATAGTATCGGTTTGATAGATATTCTACTGGCGGCATACGATCCAACCATTGCGCGGATCGGACCTGGCCAGAAAGGCGCAACGGCATTGCTTGACAATAAGTTGAAATCAAGCGTCCTGGAAATATGCGGTATAGCTTTGTCGAACCGTCAGTCTCCCACGGCACTGCTAGCAGCATGTATTGCCATCACTGTTTGTGGCGATCGGTTCACAGATCGATTTGAACAGGATGCATTGATGTGGGTTGTGGACAATACGATTCGCGAAACAAATTACTGGTCTACGACGGTTGTCAAGACCAAAATGAGAAGCATTTGGGGTTGGGGTTCATGATCAAGGGGGAATCCCACGCTACATCTGTCGCAAGCCCAATATACTGAGGTTAGGACTCCGAAGTTGCGTACTTTAACACATCTTTGAAAACAACCCTACTTCCCTGTTTTGAAACATTTTTTATCCAATCTTTTTACCTAGGTACCTAGGTAGGTACCATACATCTCAACTATCCATCTCATCTTCATTCATCTTTTCGATTCAGTGCCTTTCACACTGTTCTAACTTTCTTAGCTACCTAGGTAGTTGAGATGATGAAATATTCAAAGTAGGAAAGCAGGGTTGTTTTTTCAAAGATGCGTGAAAGTGCGCAGCATCTGGAGGTCAAATGGGCAGTTGTTTCGCAATGTATGAGTCCGAATATGCATAAAAATGCGCAGCTTCGGGGCCATACACTGCAAGACAACTGCTCATTTTACCACCAGATGCTGATTCTTACTCCCTGACCAAGCCCCCGAGGGATGGCAGCCACGACGCAGATTCACATCGAATCACGGGACCAAGGATGTGAGGGTTAGGTACAGGATAGGAAAGAGTACCAGATTTCCTAAAACCATGCAAAGCGCTTCGAAAGTGCCAGAAAGCGCTCTGGTTTCAATTACCCAAGGTGAGGGAAACAATGCACCTGGGCATCCTTCAGATCCATGGATATATGTTCCTAGGCGAATCTAGCATGCAACAAGTTTTCCAAGTAAGACATCAGAATGAGCCCTGGAGCCCAATAAAAGAAGCCCAGAAATGAGGCTTACTACTGGTCAATACAGAGACGAGTATAAGTTCTTGTTGTGATACCGGCCATTGGGCTGTCTCAGACAAACGGGCTCTTCGACAGTTTCTGTAGGAAAAAGTAGCTTTCTTTCCCCTCATAGAATGGATCGCACTTTTCTTTCGTGCTAGGTATAGTCTTCCCAACAGTTCTCGTCAAGAAAAAGAAGAAGAAGAAGAAGAAAATCGGAGGAGTTGCGGGGTGAAGACAGGTCACCTGACAAACAAGCCACCCAGCCAATCAGAAGCCTCATTGATAGCAGATTTTCTGAGTCATCGCGATAATGCGTGGAGGGGCACATGGTCAAAGAAATTCACATTCTCGACCTTCAAGACAACGTGAGAACACACCCTTGACTTGTGCAGAAATATTGAAATTGACAAGACTAGCGTCCCGAAAACGTGCACAATGACGACCGAACAACCCCCCGCGCTCAATGACCTGAGCATCGACGAGAAAACTGAGACCAAGGCCGTTGGGCAGGTCGTGACGCCCTTTGATGTCTCTGGAGGAGTCGATGAGTCCGGCAAGCTCTTGCCAGTCGACTATGAGAAGCTCACCAGGGAGTTTGGCGCCACACCTATCAATGCAGCACTACTGGAGCGCTTCGAGAAGGTGACTGGCCACCGGCCTCACCGTTTCATGCGCCGGAGTATTGTGTTCAGTCATCGTGATTTGTCCAAGATTCTGGACAAGCACGAGAAGGGCGAGCCTTTCTTCCTTTACACGGGCCGTGGACCGAGTAGCGACAGCATGCACGTCGGACACACCGTGCCCTTTGAGTTCACCAAGTGTGTTTTGCCTACCACACGCATAGTCCTCTGCTAATTGTAACAGGTGGCTCCAGGATGTTTTCGATGTCCCCCTCGTTATCATGATGACTGATGACGAGAAGTTCATGCACTCCCAGAAGATCGAGATCGAAGATTCAAAGAGATACACCCGAGCCAACGCCAAGGACATCATTGCTGTTGGATTCGACATGAAGAAGACTTTCATTTTCAGTGATTTCGAATTCATCGGCGGCGCATTCTACGAGAACATGTGCCGCATGGCTAAGCGTATCACGATCAACCAAGTCAAGGGTACTTTTGGTTTCAATGACAGCAACAATATTGGAGAGTTCCACTTCTGCGCCACCCAGTCTGCATCTGCCTTTGCGACCAGTTTCCCTCATATCTTTGGCACCGAGACCAAGAAGGTCGCATCAATCCCCTGTCTGATTCCCTGCGCTATTGACCAGGACCCCTACTTCCGCCAATGCCGTGAACACGCCGAGAAGATGAAGTTCAAGAAGCCATCTCTCATCCACTCCATCTTCCTTCCTGCTCTTCAGGGTCCTGGATCTAAGATGTCTGCCAGCATTGACAGCTCTGCCATTTTCATGAGCGACACCCCCAACAAGATTAAGAACAAGATCAACAAGCACGCTTTCTCCGGCGGCCAGGATACCGCCGAACTGCAGCGTGAGCTTGGTGGCAACACCAAGAACGATATTCCCTTCCAGTACTTGACCTTCTTCCTTGAGGATGATGAGGAGCTGGAGCGCATTCGCACTGAGTACGAGGGTGGAAAGATGATGACAGGCGAGATTAAGCAGAAGTGTATCGCCGAGCTTCAAACCTACGTCCAAGGATTCCAGGAGCGCCGGGCCCAGGTCACCGATGAGATCATGGCTGAGTACATGCGTCCGCGCCCCTTGGAGTGGAAGGGAAACCCCAACCCTGTCGTGGTTGAGAAGGCTAAGAAATGAGCGTCTGGGCCATTGCCCGGGGCAAATTAAAAAATATCCATGCGTTTTCATAGCCTTTCAGCATCCACCAATACCATCAAAGAACCGTGTATGTTTCCATATCGTGCAAAATCATTAGTTATCCACAAGCGTTCGCTAGTTGCGCTACGACAGAGAGATTTGGCCTCGGAAGAATCCTCTTACGCCATTACTTAACCAACATGGCTCCCCGTCCACAAGGTCCTTTCGGGAAATACTCTGTTCAATGCAGAATCCTCGAGATAACGCATATCGTCGTGTTGTACCTTGATTGCCACCACTGCTCAAAGGAGGCGTGATCCACATGTGGCCCCGGAGGAGGTATGGTGTGGTGATGCTGCCTTCCATGATCTCGTCTTCCGGATTGACCACCAAGACCTCTGAAGTGTCTGCTAGGGAAATTATACCCATCCTGAGACGGGCAGAAGTGTATTCATCCCGCGCGGTGGTCTTGTGTTTCGTAAATTTGGATGGGGTGGTGGGTACAGAGTCAACGTAGACGCACCATGCCGACTGGCTCGAGGGTGGGTGAAGTGAGGGAATAAACAAGCCCATTGAATCAATTCCCGCCGTCGGATTCACCTCGACCTTTGCTTTTCCGTGATGATCAATTGCGATTCGCAACCTCCACGCTTTGGTCCGATCCGGTATCGACGCGTCGAGGTAGTGTTCAAAGCTCTCGAGATCTTGCCCGAGCCATTCCACAGCCTGGTTCCATTGGAAGTCGCGAGCAGCTGCTAAAAGTCGGTCTTGGTGGTAGCGCAGGAGGTAGAACGGGGTCTTGTCGGGATCAGGGTAGCATGACGAATAGCGCGCGGCTGCTTCTGGGAGCGCCGGATCAAAGCGAAGCGAGGAGATGATCTGAAAATCGGAATTGGTAGCCATAGCTGTGAGATCCGGTTAGTTCTGGGATCATTCAGACGCTACAAAGTCGACATTGGCGATCGAAAAAGCAGCGATGACGGTTGAATCCGGAAATTGTTTGGTGGAGAACTCGAGCGTTGCCGGCGCAGCGCACATGATTGGGCAAGGCGGCCAACGGAACTCTTGACTTTTCCTCAGCTTCATCATTCCCGTCTCCCTATCTCTAACTTCTTTTGTCGAGGTGCGCCATTGTCTTCCATCTCAAGTTTGTCGAAGCAATACTAACTGGACTTGTCATCTAGACTTAGCGTCACTTTCTGTGGTTCTTGCACATCATGTCGAACCAGTTGCCGCTACCTACGCCTACCCAGGCCGCCCAGAATGTGGTCCTCGACACATCAAAGCTGAGTGAGCAATCATCGGCATCTGTCTGGGATCGCATCACCAACTGGGTTTCCGATAACAAGGCTGCTGTGTACACCATTGCTGGTGTCGCCGTCGTTGTGACCGGTGCCGGTGTCGTTTACTATCTCAACGACAACACCAAGTCGACCCCTTCAGTGCCCAAGAAGAGCAAGAAGCAGCGACGAACAGAAAAGAAGAAGGCCGAGGAGTCAAAGAAGACTGCTTCAGTGCAGGATGGTAGGTGATTTTGATCCCAGCGCGGCGGTCGCATGACTGACATGGGACCAGAGTCCCCGAAGAAGACCGAGGAGCCCGCCGAGGAGCTTCCTGAGGTTGATGAAGCCACTGTCGGAGAGCTTTCCGAGGAGGTATGTCGATATCCAATGTTTCGATATTGCTTTTCGCTCACTGTCTAGACCCGCAACGCCTACGCCGCCAAGCTCAAGGCCGCCGGTAACAAGGCCTACGGAGCCAAGGACTACCCCAACGCGATTGAACTGTACGGCAAGGCCATCATTTGCAAGCCCGACCCCGTTTTCTACTCCAACCGCGCCGCATGCTACAACGTCCAATCCAACTGGGAGAAGGTTGTCGAGGACACCAGCGCCGCCCTCTCCATGGACAGTGAATACGTCAAGGCCCTCAACCGCAGAGCCATCGCCTACGAGCACCTGGAGAAGTACAGTGAAGCTCTCCTTGACTTCACCGCCAGTTGCATCATTGATGCCTTCTCCAACGATGTCAGTCGCAACTCTCTCGAGCGTCTGCTGAAGAAGGTTGCCGAGAAGAAGAGCCAAGCTATTCTCGAGGCACGCACCAAGAAGCTGCCCAGCGCCACTTTCGTCTCCAACTACCTGCAGAGCTTCCGTCCCCAGGCCCTGCCTGAAGGCCTGGAGGAGTCTGTTGAGTTGGATGAAGAATCCAGCAAGGGCCAGCTGCGCAAGGGTCTCATTGCCATGAGCAAGAAGACTGGCGACGGCTATGAAGAAGCCGCTGCTGCGTTCGAGAAGGCTCTGGAGCTTGGAGACCTTGGCGACTTCGAAGGCTTGGCTCTGAACATGCGCGCCACCTTCACTTACCTTGGCGGCAATGCTACCGGTGCTCTCACCGACCTTAACAAGAGTGTGGAGCTCTCCCCCTCTCTTGTCCAGAGCTACATCAAGCGCGCCAGCTTGCACCTCGAGCTGGGCAACAAGGATGCCGCCGCCGATGACTTCGAGCTTGCGATTACACACAACAAGGACGACCCGGATATCTACTACCACCGCGCCCAGCTCCACTTCATCTTGACCGAGCTTGCCGAGGCCGCCAAGGACTACCAGAAGTCCATCGACCTCGATAGCTCCTTCATCTACTCCCACATCCAGCTCGGTGTGACACAGTACAAGATGGGCTCCGTTGCCTCGGCCATGGCCACTTTCCGCCGGACGGTTAAGAACTTTGAGGATGTCCCTGACGTATATAACTACTACGGCGAGCTTCTGCTCGACCAACAAAACTACTCCGAGGCCATTGAGAAGTTCGAAAAGGCCGTGGAGATGGAGCAGCAGAGCAAGGTCATGGGCATCAACGTGTTGCCCCTGATCAACAAGGCCCTGGCTCTCTTCCAATGGAAGCAAGACTTCCAGGAAGCCGAGAGCCTTTGCCAGAAGGCTCTGATCATCGACCCAGAGTGCGATATCGCTGTGGGCACCATGGCCCAGCTGCTCCTCCAGCAGGGCAAGGTCTCCCAGGCCCTGAAGTACTTTGAGCGCGCTGCCGAGCTGGCTCGCACCGAGGCCGAGATTGTCAATGCCATTTCCTACGCCGAGGCCACCCGCACTCAGCTGGAGGTCCAGGAGAAGTACCCCCAGTTGGCTGCTCGCCTTAACACCATGGGCGCCATGGGTGGTGGTGCCCCCGGCATGTAAACAGGTGGGAGTCACCTGTTAACTATTCCGCATTGCCTCATTGGGCTCTTTACCGTGCCAATTTCTCTTCCCGGGCTGATCGCCTCGCCGTCTCTGCGTGTATCTACTATCGGTTGACATATTCCCCGGCCGTGTTTTTCTTTTAATTCTTGTTTGGGCTAGGAGGGTTACGGCAGACTACAAGTTCATCTGGGGGTTTGACCATGTAGTAATTTGTGTACAATAGAGAATGAGATTCCAAAATTCTACTACTCAGTCTATACTCCGTACTGTGTACTATACGGATGACTATGACGTGATGATCCTCAGGCCCCACATCAGCTGACCCACTCTTATCACTCCAGGACTCTCTTTTGACTGCGTCGACACTTCACTCCAGGGCTGGTATACAGCTGGTTACCTCTCACTTTTCTCGCAGTTCATCTGGGTAGGTGATCGGATTTCACTTGGTCGTCACACCAGGAAAGCCTTCTCCAAAAGTCCCTGCCGATCAGGCTGCACACATCCAGGCCCAATACCTTATCGTTATCACTTCTCATACATACCTCATTGTTCCTGAGCTTCCGGCACCGTGGCTTTCTTCTGACTCGGAAACTCCTCGTCTGAAAGTGCCGTCGAAACCGACCGGGTTAAGACGACCTTTGGGAGTTTTGCTCAGCGGTGAACCTACTTCCGACCTGATTCATCAACTACCCCTCATCCTTCCTTTCTCCTACACCCTTACCTGACTCACGCTTGGTTTTTATTTTCCTCTTTTGAATCACTACTGCAGAGTGCAAGGTGCAGTATTCTCTGTGATTTCCGTGCGGAGACTTCCGGACCGCCTGGTTTATCATAGCCTTTGCGCATGTAAGCTTGCAGCCTGGAAACACCCGGGTAAGCTGTCTTTGTTCCCTCTTTCCACCCCTCTTCCCCTCCAACATCTCTTGATGCAATACATCTCTTGATGGGTCCCTGTGCTCTGAATCTAACGATTCTAGAAAACTTGCAAACTTCACATCTTCACCGTCAACCACCAAAGAGTGAAACAGTTTAACTTTCACTATGTCGGGCCAACACGGTAAGTGTCGGACTGTCCTCAACCAGGATTATGTCTTGATAAAGCTAACACATATATTCCATAGCCACTGTGACGTTGGCTCCGCTTAGCAACGATGACCACCGTCGACGACTCCTTATCCCCAACCCCATCAATAATCAACTGGCCGTGTCCGTTGGTCGATGCTCTCGCCGTGAGATCAAAAAGCGAACCCCCGCTCCAGATAATGCATGGTATGATTCTCGGGTTATGTCTCGTGATCATTGCATGATTACTTTCAACCCGGAGCGACGAGTGAGTATATCTCCCCCATTACCATCGCTTGAAATGTTGACCAACTGGTAGAATTCCCATGTCTGCGACATTGGATCTACTCACGGAACCTTCTTGAACGGCGAGAAGTTGATCACCAATCTGCATACTCCTTTACATAATGGAGATATCCTGCGCTTTGGTGTTGACGTGGACCATGGTCGAGGTATGTTTGATTTACACCCTCAACTCGTCGTCATCTAATGCTGTTGTAGACACTTTTCGAGCCGTCGAAGTTAGCTACAAGATCGAGTGGCCGCCCGCGGTGATCGTCATTGAAGATGAAGATGACGACCTCAAGCAGAAAATTCTCGTCCCCCCTACCCAGGGCCGTTCCACAAACACATTTGCTGTTCCCGAAGACGAAAGTGATTTCAACGAAGGAGAAGTTGATTTTGAGGAAGGCGAGAGCATCGCCGAAGATGAGAGCTTTGATGGGGACTCGTGTCTCGCATATGACCTGGAATCTCAGGATGGGCATCTCGATCATCCTAGCGATGACTCCAAGGAGTCTATTCCACGATCTTGGGAATCTATTGTCCTTCAGCCGATCCAATCATCGCCCGCCTCGAGCGTTGATAAGACTGAGAGACAAGAGGCGGAGGTGGATCCAAAGCCTGAGGTTCGGCCTACGGACGCTTCACGTGTCTCAGGCATGGATCAGAGCAAGACGCAAGAACCAGATGTGAACCAGAAACCGGAGAAAGAGCCTCACTCTGCCGTCATTGATCTTGGGGCCCCAGACCAGCCGGCCTGTGCCACATCAGGATGTCTTGAGCCTATGGTCTTGAATCCTGTGAGGCCACTGACACCGAACTCACCCCCATCCGATAACACTTCATTCTTTGGGGCCCAGTTGAACTCTCTTGAAAGTTATGACAAGTTTCCGGAAACCTGCTACCAAATGGTACCCGACATGACTTTCTGCGACTGGAAAATGATGAAGCCCACCTTCATGCGCCTGGCAGATATGGCTTGGGGTGAATCTGACCACATCCCAGACGTCGACTACGAAAATCGCGTCATCCATGCCGCCCGCCGTTGCTCTCTATCACAGGACTCGTACCTGGTTGATGACGATCCCAGTTTCGAACCACAAAATGGTATGGAGGTTACATTTACGCTCGAAGACGAGGAGTCGGATACCTCCTTTCACAAAATGCCCGGAGGCAACCTCAAATACTGGGTTGTTGACAAGCGCCAATACTGGATCATTCACGAGGATTCGGACAGCCATGCAGCAAGTGATTTGTGGTGGATTGTCGAAAAGCCTTGGGACATGCTTGGCGATGAGGTCAAGGAGGATATCATGAACAATGGCTTTATTCCTGAGTGTCAAAAGTGCTGGATTGTTCGGGCCTGGGAGCCCCAGATGGTCGGCGGTGTGTGGGTGAGCTCACCTCCATACTGGGATCCCAGCTTCAGCCAGATATTGGTCTCTGATGCTGAATCCGTTGACTCGACCGACAACGATTGGGACCGCGAATACGAGGAGACGCCCGAAAGCTTTGACCCTTCCGATGCAGTGGAGCCCCCCCTTTGCGACATTCGTGGGATTTTTGGAATCAACACGCGTCAGAGATTTGATTCTGAAGACAGTTCGAAGGCCTCAGCGAATTTGGATTCCGCTGCAAGCTCGTTTGATGAATACCAATATGAAGATATCCGTGAGTCCAGCGTCTCATGCGATCCTTCTTGGAATTCCGAAATGACTGGGAACGGGAACGGATCCGAATCTGGAGAATACTCTGAAGGCTCTCGCGATAATAGCATGGATCGTACTAGCCAGCCATATGACTGTGATTGGGCTTTTTCGGACAACTTCCTCGCCAGCGAAAATTTCTCGGGGAGCCCGAACGTCACTGGATGCCGCAGCCTATTCCACAGCCAACCCTTGGAAGTCGAGGGTTTGGACAGTCAAACGCATGGTTCTCACGGTTCTCTGAAGTCTTCAACTCAAGTGAAAACTCACCTCCATGGCCTGACAAACCCAGGTTCCCAATTCCCAGAACACGGCGTGTCTTCAAAGCTACCAACTTCTTGCCAGGTCAAACCTCGCACTTTCAGCTTTGATCACTCGGTCGTGCCCGAGAGCCACGTTTACCATGATGGGCCATTCTCAATCAACACTAACTTCGACAAATTGAATACTGCCCAGCTACTGTCGCCTCCTCCCACGACTGGAAGTATGAAGCGATCTGCCTCTGATATGGAGTCCTCGGATCTTCCAGATGGGGGCACTCCTCCAACTGCCGAGCCGGTCTGTCTTGACGCCAAGATCCAGACAGATTCTGCCACAGTCTCTGCTGAGGCCAGGGTTGCCATTGCCTCTGCTCTTGCCGAGAATGATCGCCCCGCAAAACGGGTCAAGTCGAGCCACAGACCCTCTAGCAAGTTAGCCAGTCACGTCACCACTGCGTTTGTTGGTGCTCTTCTGGGTGGCCTGGCGACCGTGGCCACGCTTGCAGCTTTGCCCAATGAGTACTTTGCTTGACCCAGCGTTGGTCTCTGCCATCAGGTCTTTGGCTTATCTTTGTTCCTCGTTCATCTTTCCCGATTTACCCCCTTTTCGCTTTGTGTGGGGCTTTACGATTCTATGGCTTTTAAGATTACCCTGGCGTTCGGACAGGAAGGGCGGTTCTTTGCTTTTCGTTTTCAGTTTTATGGCCGAATAAACGCCAGCGTCGGCTCTATCTTAACGTGATAGCTCTGCAGGTTGTAATGAAGAATGACTTTTTTCCTTTTTATCCAACGAGTGTAACCCTGCCAGGTACCGACTTTGTAGTTTTGTTTTAAAATGCACCGTGATATCATTCCGAGCCTCGGTTTCAGCAACGCATGTGAGCTCATTTCATATCTTCTCATGCACATTCGTATCTGCTGCCGATGTTCGGAGTGCCCATGACTCTGTCTCTCTTGGACTCTATCCGGCCTACGTCGAGCTGGATCCAGTTGACACTCCAATGAGCAAGTGAGACCGCGATCTGAAACCCTATCAACCCAGAGACATTCCAACCCACGAAACAAAGAAACCTCAAGCCCACATCGTCTGCATTCACAATGAAAATTGGGCTGCAGGTATCCCACAAGTTCGTATCAGCTGACCTGCACGTACAACGCGAGGTTCTCACTGTTCCTTTTCGGCGTCCTCGGGGTTCAGTGGCACCAATGACAAGACAGACGATCAACGTGGTTCCGAGTCAACCCTCGGAAGTCTCATGTTTCCTCGAGGCCGATGGAACATTCTCTGCTTTACCGCCAATGTAGAGCCTTGACCCGCAGCCCAACACGGAATCCTGGCTTAGCGCGTGATTGAAAAGGCTGGCTGCATGGACCGCCTTCAACGGACCTCTTCTCGCCCCTGGAGCCCGATGTCCGTATTCCTGTGCACGGAGGTCTATATCCGGGATCGACAGAGCAGATCCAGCAGATCTCGTCAGCTCTCAACGCGTTCACGATGCAATGGGCGGAGGCGCAGCATATGACTCGGCCGATCATACTTCCACAAAGGCTAAACGGCTACCAGGAACCCCTGTCACCTTGACTTGTTAAAGGGCCACCTGGCTGGGCCTGTCCTTGCCGCGACCAGCCGGGTAGCTGCGTGAAGCTATGTCACATCCACGGCGCCTCGGGCTCTCGGACATTAACGATCATTGGCTGGATGGGCAGTTTTTGGCCGCTGTTGGTCTCTGATTGGCGACTCACACCTCGCACACTTTCTTTTCACCTCATATCATGCATTTCGGGTCTCTTTTCTTTTTCAGACCAGCGCTTGTCAGGTCCGTGTATCCGCTTTTGCTTATCGGAGATTGTGCTGACCATGCACTACACTACGACGTGTGGAGATCAATGCATGAGTTGATCCCGTTGGCAGATCCGTGCGGGAAGGCTGATCCCTCAAGCGTTCCCAATTGAGTATTTGCAAATGAGTGCAGGTGACCATCACGTTTGGGGTCTGCATGGGACTATTGTCCTTTGGTCGGGATGGAAAGACCATTTCTTACATACTACGACATCTTACGAGGTCCACTCGGCACCGCGTCGAATATCCGGCATGTGGCCTTGACATCTCGGGAACTAAGTGGTCGCATGGTCTCAATGCAGCCATCCGTGGTTGACATGCTTTTTTCCTTGAGCTGGGCATTGATGTGATGGTCTAGGGAGCAACAATTGGCGTTGACGCAGTGTCGTGATACGGGATGGCGGTAGCATGTCTCCGGGATGCCTCAAGTGCCTGCGAAACACACGAAAAAATTCTGATTCGGTAGCCAAGGCTCGTTCCACAAATGTTCTCCCACGGCATGAGACCAGCCAATATGGCTCTTTTGCGAATGACAGAAAGACCGGGTGGCTCAATCGGTGGAGCAATCGACACAGAATCCTCCCCACCAGCTCCTGTTTCAGCAACCCTGCATGCTCGTCATACATTGAACAGGCACGCATCTACGGCGGGGTTCGACCTCAGCTAAGCCCAGAACGGCCTCTGCGCCGCCGTTCTTAGTCCTGGTCCTCTCTTTTTCCTTGTTCTGGGAATAGTCCCGAACATGACCGAAGGATTCGAGCGACACTCGCCCCTAATTATGCATGTAGATTGCATGTAAGTTGAAATGAGCCGAGTCACCCATCTGCCCTATCATCGTCTTGCTTTGACTACTGACCTGGTGATCCGGAGTTTGGACTCGATGCTGATCCGTCAATTACAAGGTCTGTCGCGATGCATATTCTGCGTATGTAACACCTGAAAGCCTCGTGAGATTAGTGAACCGGTGCCACGGCTGCTTTTTGAAAGGAGAAGGTATAAGATATCCGTTCGCCGCATTCTCGGATTCGTTATACTCTGGCTTAGACGAACTCCACGGCTGATCAACCCCGACTACGCAATTGTTTCCCTTTGTCCCTGTCGTCCAGGGATCATAGTGTCTCAACTCTCTTCCGAGACAAGATAAAGAATCACATCACAAAGCCACCGTACCTTTATCAAGCACTCGCATCCCTCCCATCTCACCCCACAATGGCTTCCACCCACGCCTTGTTCAATCTCGACCCAGAGCATATCTCATGCATCGGAGGACGGACAGTAGTCACATGCAAAAACTGCGCCGGCAATGCCCCCAGGTACTACTCGTGGCCCCTCTGCATTTCAACCAACCACTGACATATCCAGAGGATCCATTTGCTCTAGCTGCAACGGTCGTGGCTTTAATATCTTTGTTTGCGTGCACTGTAACCCCGCAGCTGTAGCCGCCGCCGCAAAAGCCATGGCAAACCCCACATCTGCATCCGCAACCACTCCCAGCTCGTCGACTCCCTCCTCGCCCGGCTCCCTCAGCCGCAGTTCCTCCACTTCGTATCCTTCACATCCTGATCCCAGAGCGGGGTCTTATGGACGATATGGGGATCGAGGTGGTGCCAGCTGCGGAAGGATTGACACCGATGCCAATCGCTCGCGGAATCCCTGAGTGCCAATCCTCTGCTTATCCAATGGCTTGATGGTTTGAAATTTACAATGTCTGCTTGGGTTTGCGTTACGAAATAAGATGGATACGGGACGCGGAGTTTCGGATAAATAGGAGTTTGGGTTTCGCAGTCTGATATGACCATCTGGAATGGCTTTCTTTAGTCTTTCATTCCTTCTCAATCGCTACGCTATATGCCGTCGATTATGTACATATTCTTTTGGTTTATATGAAAACGCATATGAACAATGATCATTGTCCTTGACCACGCCTCTGTGCACTGCACTTGATGTGACGTGTATCTACAGGGGTTCGACACGAGCGTATGTACGGAGTACATGGTTGCATTCTACGTTACGCGGACGGCGTCCAATCCCCAACGGCCTCCAAAGGCCCCCAAAGAGGCCCGACGACGGGGGCTCAGGCCCCAATGGTGAGCAGACAAAGCACACCCGGGCGTATGCCTGAACTAGATTGTGACTAGAGACGACGGGGTGCAGATACATGACTTCGAGTGACTCGGCATGATAAAACATCCAAGGCTATGTGAGCATTAACCTACCACTGATCCCACATCACATCACATAACTAAGAATCGACCAAAGTCACTCTAATCCCATGGATATCCTCACAAGCCATCTCCCGGAGACCAGAGCTTATACCAGCGAGTATCGATGCCAGGATCCTCCTTCTCATAGAACCTCAAATCCGTACTCAAGCGGATCCGGTTCTCAGGATCTTCATTTCGACCGCTTGCATGTATGCTATACGGATCATGAAAGACAACGTCCCCAGCTTCATAATTCGTGACCAACCACCTATGGTCTCCATGTGCAGAGTGCATTGCTTGAAACTCCTGCGGTGAGTTCGAAATCATGCCGCCATCGAGCATATTCACATTGAATGCGGAAATTCTTTCCTCGGGCGTGAACTTCTCCGCACGCTTAGTGTAATCTTCTTCTATTGCTCGGCCTAGCGGGAGTGAATTTTCGAGATAGCAAAGGCCCCCACCTTGGATGGAGATGTCTCCTGTTCTTTTTCAGTCAAGGTCCGGTTTTAGAAGAGTCGAGTCTTACCGATGGGCACCCAAGCCGTTAGGAAAAACCCTTCCCCTCCTCTGAGGAACAGTTTATCGTAGTGGATTCCGGTTCCTTTCCCAAGGGGTACATTGTGACGCAGCATGGTTCGATCCAAAATTCGATGCTCTTTCCATCCCATCAGGTCTCTGATGAACTTTGTCAATGCTGGATGTTCCACAAATGCCCGATATTCGGGCTCTTTGTGAGCATCTATGAGTATTTGGTGCTCGATTGGATTGGAGGGTAGGCCCTGTCCTCCAATCCCCTTGTGTGAATCGGGAGAAGACGATGCGTTGAAGATACCCTCCCGTGGTGATGAGCCTGGCTGCAATAATGAGGTGTTGGAATACTGCTTGAAGTAGCTGAATGGGTGAGCACTGCTCATATCAAGAAGCAAATGGACTTACTGTTCCCTCGCATCGAGAACATCTTCTCTTGGAATGACACCTTTGACGAAGAGATATCCATCTTCTCGAAGCCGCTGCTGTAGCTGATCTACCGACATGCCTTTCGGAGTTGGTTGAAGAAAACCGATGTTTTCAGTGGCGATGCGGCCACCATTCTGTCCCAGGCCTTCAGGGAGAGAATCTTTGACTGCGCCACGGAACAATGGAGGTGCACTCTGTACTGCAGCCATATTGGAGGTTTGCAGAGATAGAGTGAGGTCCTCACAATTCAGCCATTTTTATGAACGTCATGTGTGCGCGTTACGCCAACAGCCCTGGAGTGTGTGGGACAGGTCCATACTGAAGACGAAGATCTATAGGCCTTGCCCCGCATCGAAACGACCACCAATCGAATTTCATTCCGTCGAGGCTCAAGTCGTTGAAGGCAGAGAGAGGAATATGATTGGCTGCTTCAGGTGCTGACCCGCTCAATCCAGTGGTCGATCTAGCCGTATTGGGGCTAGAGTCGCCGGTGCTAACCGCTCTTGTCAAATACCGGCGACGCTAACCTTGAAAAGGCCAGGCATCGTGAGCCTCTTCTCGGGCGAACTGAGCAGCCGAATGTGATTTTGCAGATTTTTTTCGCCGTTTTCTATAAGATATAGCCTGTGGACTCTTCAGTAGGCTTTAGATCGTACCCGTGGACCTTTTGAAGCTCACCAACATCCGTGGACCAGGCCAAAGAGGCTCTTTGCTTTTCAGCAAGACTCTTGCACTGTTGGCTAAGTAAACCGTACTGTCACCAATGTGGACTGTTGCTTCAGACCAGCTGACTTCCAATTTCATATGTTCCAACTACCTACCTAACGTACTATCCTCGGATAGTCGACTCGGCATTCCAGCATTTCAAAATAACCATGCTATTGAGAATTCCAGGGTTGTGTACTCTCAATAAACAATCCAACGCTTGGTGAACGCCCAAAATAAATGGGATAATACCTAGTAAATGTAAAGAACATACTCCTTATAAGTCCACGGATTGATATTTCCGATGTATCTGCGTTCAGTCGGAAATCAAAATCCTCAAAGAGTGGTAGGCACGGCGGGTCTTGCCCGTGGCACTTCGCGGGGAAACTTCCGAATTCTGGGGCGCAGTCGAAGCGGGAAGTATTTCCCGTCAAAGGTGAACCATTTGATATTTGAATGAGTTGATTCCAGCTACTCATCACGCAGAGTCTCTACAATATCATGGAATTGTCACAAAGTCACAGTGGAATTGTTCTCGCTTAATGCTACAGTCGATCTACGTGCTTAATGCCCAGCAGCCATTGGCTTTTCTTGGGTCTTCATCCGCTCCTCGATGATATCCTTCCTCTCCTTGCGGAGCTGTCTGGCATAACTGACTCCGAAGCCATGCTCGAAGACTTCCTTCACCTCTTCCAAGACCAGCCCGGACACCTCAGGGTAGAAGAAGTACAGCCAGATGTATCCGAGACCGCAGATCGCGGCGAAGAATCCGAATGCACCGGAAGGGGTCCAGGCCTTCATCATGGAGAGGAAGGTGCTGGAGATGATGACGTTGGCGCCCCAGTTGGAGCAGGTCAACCACATGGTTCCGATGGCACGCACTTCGAGGGGGAAGAAGTCGGTGCTCATCCATGCGGTGTTACCGACGGAGACACCGTAGAATACCACAAACCAGATAATGAAGACAAGGACCGCGATGGCTGCGGGGGGGATTCCCGAAGTGGCGACTTCCATCGTTTCCATGTTGATGGGGATCCAGCGGAATGCGACTGCGACGGCGATCATGCCCACGGACATGCCCCACACGGTTGAAAGGAGAAGTTTTCTCCGTCCGATTCCATCGACCATCATCATGTTGACGAATGTCATGATAAAGTTAGTGCCTGCCACCACGAGTCCGACCGCGGTGGGGTTGTCAAAGCCGACCAGCGAAAACAGAGTTGCGGAGTAGTACATCAGAGCATTGAATCCGGACAGCTGAGAGATCACCATCAGACCGCAAGCACTGATCAATGCACGCAGGTTACTGGGGACAGTGTGAAGCTTCTTGATCTTCGAGAATCGCGAGCCGCTCTCGTTGATTTCACGGGCCTGGTCACACGCTGTACAGATAGAGAGAAGCACCGCGTCGATTTGATCTTCGGTGGCTTCGGCGTAGATTTTCCGCAGCACAAGTCTGGCCTCGTCGTTGCGGCCATTGTAAGCCAGGTGACGTGGAGACTCGGGGCAGAAAGGCATGAGGGCGCCGAGGACAAGGGCAGGCACCGCACCGAGACCGACCATGTATCGCCAACCATGGGGGACGCTTGAAAAGGCCGCTCCAATGGCATAGGAGATGACCTGGCCCCCAGTGATGGACATGTTGTTCAATCCAATGAGCTTTCCACGGGCCTTGGCCGGGGCAATCTCTGCGACGTAGAGTGGTAGCACCATGGCGCCACAGCCAACACCAAATCCGATCACCAATCGACCCACGGCCATTTGCGCAATGGTATAGGCAGCCGCTTGGATGACGGCGCCGGCGACAAAGAGAAAGCAACCCAGGTAGATGGCCATTTTACGACCGAACTAAAACTTAGCACTCATAGGTTTATGGGAAGGGTTGTCTTACTCTGTCTGCAGTGTTTCCGGCGAAGATGGCACCGATGAAGGCTCCTCCGGAGCAAAGTGAAGTGATCATCTCCTTCTCGCTGCTTGTGGCCGGTCTGCCATCTAGGGAGTTCCCCAGCACGACCAGGACGCCGGAGATGATACCTGTATCGTAGCCGAAGAGGAGACCCGCCATGGAGGCTGTCGTTGCCGCGAGCCAGACGAACCAGCTTACTGGTAGATTGTCGATACTGGTGGCAATGTTGTCGATACTGGCATCGATCTTCTCGATGTGGGCGTTCTCCACATCCTCCTTCTCGGAGCGCTCTATGGGCTTATTTTCGTTTTCATCTTTGTCTGAGGATTTGCGGGGCCACATATTGAGATAGTTGAGAAAGTCAAGTCAGACCTATGTCAATTGAAGTTAGCACATGAGGATGTTATATATTCTTCTCCACAAATCCCCGCACTTTCCAGTCCGCAAAGATCTGGGGAAATTCCCGCAGATCGTCTCTCGTCGCGTTTGCCCGTTTTGCCCTGTTTCGCCAATCAGCGCCGCCGCTTACCCCAATCGGTGTGACCAGACGGATCTTAGGGTTTGTGTCCGGCAATGGGGGTTTCTGGTTTCGGCGAAGGAAAATGGTTTCCTGCCTCTTAGCCCTTGGTCTATCGGACATGGCCCCCCGTGGGCCAATGACAGTCGCATTCCTATCGCTCTATTTACCCTTGGCGTGGGGTCGTTGAAGGCGTCTGGGGATCCCGGCCCTGTCTGAGATTACAGCCCGCGACCCGCCTCTTTCACTCCGGTTTGAGGAGATATGGGGTCATTCCTACTGGCTCCCCGGGTTGGAAGGATCACAGGCACAGATGGACAAGAAGCTTGGCCTGAGCCATTTTCGACTCCTTCTCGGGAATAGGTTTCAGGCTCGCTGTATCCTGCCGATATTCTCTTTCACGGAGTCTGAAGGATTCGAGAATGGGCAGTGCAACAGCTCAAGATTCAGCACACTGGCCCTTAGCCTCAAAGAATACAGTGGAGAGGATCCCGAGTAGACTTCCAGGGGCTGAATGCACTCACCGAGACTCCCATTGCATCATGTCGGGATCATGAAGATCAATTTCGGGGGGCAAATGAGCCGAACAAGGGCTTGGCGCCGGACTCTGGCCGACGTATGGGGGAAACCGGCTTACTCTACAGGGTATCGCGGATGAAACTTGGAAAGGTGTGATTGTATCTCTGCAATCTACAGAGTGGCGAGACTGATGAAACCCAACTTAGATGCATCCCTAAATTGCCTCACGCGGGTGCACAGGCTCATCACCGATCTCCTCCATCTTGGCCTTCAGCAATTGGGTCATGCGCTGGACCACCTCGCCATACTTCTCCTCGTGATAGCAATTAAACAACTCAAGTGGATCTTCCTCGCAATCAAACAATTCCCATTCCTTCTCCTCGCCACCGGGCCGGGTCCCTTCGATGCCAAAGTCCTCATTGTACCAATAGATCAACTTATACCGCCGATCGCGCACACCGTAGTGTGCATACGCCTCGTGGATCACGTCCCGGTGCATCCAGTAGCGATGATACGCCACCTGCTGCCAATCACTGGGCGTATTCAACCTCAACAACTCTCGGAAACTTAACCCTTGCATGTACGACGGCATGCGGAGGCCCGCAAAGTCCAAGAATGTAGGCGCAAAGTCCACATTGCAGATAATGTCCTCGCAGATGCTACCTGCCGGGATTTCCCGAGGGTATCGGATGAGGAACGGCATTTGGAAGCTCTCTTCGTACATGAATCGCTTATCGAACCAGCCATGCTCGCCGAGGAAGAAGCCCTGGTCCGATGTGTAAACCACAATCGTGTTGTCGGCTAGTCCCTCCTGGTCCAAGAAGTCCAGCATCCGACCCACGTTGTCGTCGATGCTCTGGATTGTCCGGAGATATCGCTGCATGTACCGCTGGAACTTGAACTCGGCTAGCTCCTGTGTCGTGTTGAACGTGAAGACGGTTCCGTCTTCCTTGTCGATGAGTCGCATCTTCGTGACGTCCTCAGGGGCGGGGATCTTTCGGTCTTGAAACCACCATTTATCGATCATCTTCTCGCCGACCTCGCTGCCACCGTCGGGTTGCACTAGCCCCAGATCGAAATATGTGAGATCCTCTGCCACACGGAACTTGGCCACTTTCGCTGCCTTCGCCCGGTTCTTGTAGTCGTCGGTGAATGTGTCCGGGAGACGAACGGGGTCTCGGTACAGGTCTTTGTGCTTGGGGTGACACTCCCAGCTGCGATGAGGGGCTTTGTGATGGCACATCATGAAGAAGGGCTTTTGAGGATCTCGCTTCTTGATCCAGTCCAGACTCTTGTCTGTGATGATGTCGGTAGCGTATCCGCGCTCTCTGGTCGTGCCCTCGGGCCCGATGAACTCGGGGTCGTGGTATTCACCCTGACCAGGAACAACACTCCAATAATCAAAGCCGGTAGGTTCATGTTCGCTTCCCTCGCCCAAATGCCACTTTCCAACCATGGCCGTTTGGTACCCTCCCGTTCTTAAGGCTTTGGCGACATTGGGGCTGTGCTTGTTGATTTTCGAGTCGAGGGTCATGACACCGTTCACGTGGTTGTGTGTGCCGGTGAGGATCGCCGCCCGCGATGGTGTACAGATACTGTTAGTCACATAGCAATGGTTGAATTTCATCCCCTCGGTGGCTAATCGGTCCAGGTTTGGGGTGTCGTTGATCCCGGCCCCGTAACATGAGATGGACTTCGAGGCATGGTCATCAGCCATTATGAAAAGGATATTGGGGCGAGACGCTGTCATCTTGAGGTCTGGTACTCGGACAGAATGGGGTCGTCTTTGTATAGTCTGGATCTTCTGGGTTTTGACACTCGCTGAGCTCGGATCCGGGGGTTTGCTTGTTTAAATACATTTTCCTGAAACATCCCGCTTTGGAATATTTGAGCCCCGCGCAAGTCGTAAAGAAGGCGACTTGCGATTAGCATCGAATAAGAAAACAGCAGGTTGCAGGTCTACAAACCGTAGGCCCACTTGGTGCGTGTGGAGCGGCAGTCGGCGGCAGTCGGCGTTCGAGCTACAACATTGGATGACACCTCTGCACCGAAGACCTGTGTTGTTCTGCTTTTCCTTTGTTTTCAAATTCACTGTGTCGATTGTCCAGGTCTTGGTTGTCTCTCAAGGGAATCAATATCTCCATAGCCATCGTCCGCGAAATGAGCCTGCCGGACCAAACTATGAATCGCCAAATGATTATGTCTGTGAACACCTTGATCTGAAGGTGAGTGACACAACTCCGAGTATATCATCCGAGGATCGTCTTTTGCTACTTGTACAATGCGTTGAAGGTCCAAAACAAGCTCCTTCGTGCTCGGCGATGAAAAATATTTATGGGTAACAGCAACCACCGCGTGCGCTTTCTGAACGACTTCAGCCATACTTAACTCCAAACTTAGGTCCGGCGAAGAAGACAAAAAGAGCATCAATCTTGTTGTCTGATATGCACAGATAGCAATGTAATGCGGCAAGACCAATTTTGGGATATCCAGCAAGCCGAAAATCATTTCGTTGGCTTGTGTGACATGCTCGAGGCATTGCCGAGCCGCGTGGTCTTTCACATCAGCATCTATGGCTTCGAGGATGATCCGCGGTGCTGCTTCGGGATATCCAACAAGAAAAAGTCGGTATAAATCGCAATGGGCTTGGTGCCACGAAATAGATATCTGGAGGTAGCGTGGAAACCATCGTGATTTCTCCAATTCATATGGGCGACAGACAGAATACCCACAGGAAATCTCAATTTCCGCTTGTAACCGCCATAGATCTCGCTGGATCTCCAGAACCAGTCCATTTAGTTGTGTGAATGGTTGTTCGGACAGCGCCAACTGTCGAGTCAAGCGCATGATGTCTTTCTGGATTTTGGAAATTCGAACACAGCCTCCCAGCAGACTCAGCTGGGTCTCCTTTTGTGGGCTTCCGTTGAACGTATCCTCCGAAAGCGGAAGCTGCTGGTAGATGATTGTGTGTGGTATGGTTTCATATTCCGGTAGGCCCACGGAGAACTGGCCATCGATGAAAGTCAATGCCCAAAGAACCCGTCGTCGAGTCTCTTGAGCAATGGGATCTAATTCAGGTCGCTCGTAGTTGAGACGTAAAGCTGTTGCTCCTCGTGCTGCTAGCCCCGCTAGCATGTAAGCTCGTGCAAACTGGCCTTTGTGTATGTGATAATGAATGACGAGTAGCAATGACTGAAGTTTCACGATGGAAGGTTTCTCAATGTGCTCCCAGACCATTGCTTCGGCTGTTGTTATCAAGTCGCTTTGGTCTTGATTGGATAGGAGTAGTTTCACCACTGCAGCGATTGATAATGCAAGGGTTGGCTCTAGAGCACTTTCGTGATTTTGTTGACGAACTGTCTGCTCATGTAAAAATGCATACGAGGGCAGTGGATAAAGATGCTCGAAGTAGCCATCAATTCCAAGTGAAATGTCCTCTGGGGAGATAGGAAGGCTACCAACTTATCAGAAAGGAAAACCCCAAGACAGAGTTTTCAACTCACCTCTTCTCATTTGAGATCCCCGACTCTTTCGGATACTGACATCGACGCTGGCGACGGACGCAACTTGCGCATTCCGGCATTTCTCCCGAGCAGCGTGATTTTTGCCGGCGACACTCTATACAAGCCTGGCTCCCGCGTTGTCTCTCGGGCCGGCGATCCGCCTGGGCGGACTGGCTGGGAGTAAGTGCTACATTCGAGAAGGAGCATTTGAATTCCAGTCGAGCGCAATTCTTGCAAGTATCTGCCTGGCGATCACAGCGGACCTGCCTTGGTTAGCCCGATCGGCATGCGGATTTCTGTCCCCTCACCTTGCGACATCGGCACTGGTAACATGGGCGCTGAAGGCGTCCCATCTCTTCTTTCAACGTTCGGGGTCAGGGCATTTGCTATCACCGGTAGATGGTTAAAGGGGTTTTGTCGGGTAAACTGCGGCTCCACTGATGCCATTTGGCTGTAGGTCGCATCATCTTCCCCACATTTGGCCGGGTCGACGTCTGTTCCCGAGTCTTATGTATATATCAGCCATTTCAGCTTTCCGATAAATTGATCGATGAAATTTGGTAGGTCTCTCCGTGTCCCAAAGTCAGTGAGAATTGTATTTTTGCTATACTGCAACAGCCTGGGGGCGACCAGGTACACTCCACATGGGGGCCCTCAGGCTCTCCTCAATCAAGCACTTTTCCCATATCAATCAGATTAGTAGTGGTTTTAGAAGTGACGCTGGGCAGGATAAAGGTTCTCCATATCTGAGCTATGTGAAGTAGTGTCAAAGTAATCTGGCTCTGGCAGCTCCATCCATGGATGTCCATTATATACCTTGGTACAAGGGACAGAACGGATGCAAGTCTCCGACTGAGCCTGAGGCCAGGCAAAATACAAAGAGAGGGAGAGAGGGAGAGAGGGAGAGAGGGAGAGAAGGAGATCCAGTGTTTGAGTCCCAATTAGGGAATCACTCTGAAGTCCACAGGTATATAAGCCTCCATCTTCTCTCTTCTCTTCTTCTCTTCTCTTTTCACCCACAAATCCACCTTTGCTGGGGATACCTGCCTCGTTGGTCACAGACGTCTGACCTCGGACCCCAAAAGGGGTACGGGGCTTCGTGGTCTAGATCAATTCAAGTCTCGTTCAAGGAGCGTGCAGGTGAAGTAGTACGGAGACGTCCCGAACCTCCAAACTGATCCTGCGTATCTTCCACAAGATAAATTGTGTGCTGATAGTCTATTATACTCTATTGTATGGTGCAGTGAGTAGTGTGAATGGCGCAGTAAGCAGTGCAGTAAGCAGTGTGATATATGTATGTATTGATTGAACCTTTGATTGGTCCCTGGGTGTGTTATGCAGTCAGTAAAGCATAAGCATTAGATTCACTAGTGAGCATCTGCCTAATATGAGCTCACAACCTCAAGTTGCCTCTCCACGATTGATTCCTGCCATGATCTTGCTAGGAGTCTACTGCGAGTGCGCGTTCCTGATCATCCTTTGGGATCACCACAGATTACAGCGCAATTTATTGCCGTGAAGTAATCTGGCACGAGCCTTGGACCCCTCAGCAACCTCAAAGATCGACAGTTTGCCCAGTTGGCCGAGGCAGTCTGAAATTTACCATCTGATAGATGCCGACATTAACTATCGCGGGCCGGTGATAGGCCGTTGGGCCACTTGACACGTGACAGCCGTGGGGAAATCGGAAAAACAGTATATCCGACTCCACTTCTAGCTGCGCTTTCGCAAAAAGTACTGGATCAGACGACTCCTTGCCTGATCTGATCACTCATGAATCCATCTACATGAATTGAACGCCATCATGAAGTTCTTCGAAAACAATTTCACCTATGACTATTCCTTTCCGGCCGTCTCCCTTGCCTACTTCCTCCGATACCCCAATCCTTACTCGCGCCATGTGCTCACAACCGATGTCATTGATCGATATGTCGACCCGAAGACCGAACGTCTACACACCATCCGCCTGCACCTGAAGAAATCAAAGGTGCCATCTGGTATCCTCAAGCTACTGCCCAAGGGCATGGGTGGCTCTGACAACTCCGGTCAAAGTTACATTCTCGAGAAGACCACCGTCGATGCCAAAGAGGGCTGGATGGAGACGGAGTCTCGCAACATGGAATGGACCGGTATCCTGAGCGTGGTTGAGAAACAACACTACCAGCGCCACCCATCCGAGATCGCCCTAGAGGGTCTGGCCGTGGACCAGACTTCCGAGCAGACAACCGTCAAAACCACCGTTACCTTCCGGTCCCGTCTGGGACAGGGCAAGCTTCTCGGGCGTAAGAAGCAAGAAACTGGCGATAACGAAGAGGAAGAGCCACGCAAAGGATTCTTTTCCTCCCTGTCCACTGCCGGAATCCAGCGAACCATTGAGCTGATCGGTGTCAGCCGGACCAAAGAGGCTGTCCTGAAAAGCAAGCAGGGCATGAACATCGTGCTTGAGCGCATGCGCAGCGGGGGCGTCGTCGGTGTTCTGGAAGGAATGCGACAGGACCGCGAGGCTGCTTTCGGGCCCGAGGGACCATGGAAGCGCGTGTGGCTGCAGGGCAAGGATCGGTCTATCGACAATGACAAGGCATGAATGGCCTTTTCAACATGGGGATGTTTGTTTACGGACGTGTTGCCATTGCATTTTGATTTCAAGCGTGTGGCGTTCGGCGTGGAGACCTTGAAACTCTCCCTTCTCTTGTCTATATTTGACTCTGTTTGAGTCTTTATTCTTTCTTTGCATGGGGTTGAACCCCTTCGATATCAAATTCGCATGTATGTTTAGGATATGGTTAATGCCTTTGAAGGTCTGTACAATATGCATCAAATTACCACGTCTTTCAATGGCTGAAGCACAGTATTTTCCTATTCAAGCGTCTCCGTGCAGTAGTTACTTGACTGGTTACTCCCAGGTGCATGTAGTAGTCACTCGGGCAATGTTAGACCAATTGTCAGGGCACGCACAGGAGACAAGTCATGTCCGCTTTGGCCAGGCTCCCGATGAGGAAGCAAGCCCAACTCTCACGTCTCTCTTCTTCCCGACCCGTGTGATCGGTGGTCTCACTCTTCCCGCCGCTTGATTCCGGATCTGCGTCTCCAGGCTAGTGTTGTGGGGCATTCCGCCGAAGCCGGTGCTATCTGCACATCTACATGATGTACATCCTCCGTACCAGGACCACTTATTTTTCGATCACACCAAGTACTAGTACTACTACTAGTACACAACCCAACCTTCCGACAAAAGTCCGAACCATCGCAGTTAGAGCCGGACAACAGCTTCCAGGGGTTTTTCTCCACACAAACACCCAAAGGGCCGAATGGCGGTTTCTGGGAGTTGCTACAGCCCAGTGATACCAGTGGAAGACGGTGCCTGCAGGGTTCACCCCTCCGCAGCCTGTTGGTGAGAAATGATGGCATAACAAAATGCGATCGACGCCATTTTGCTTTTGCCGTATCGTGAGTCCATTGTGGCATTCATTCCCCACCCAGCTGCGAGACAGACTGGGTAAGTGCAGTTAGTCCCGAGGTCCCATGTTGAGCACATTGTTTCCCACCGATCCAACTACTCGTCCAATCAATTCCCCCCGAAACTGCAATCACTGCGAAGCACGTGAGCGACATGCCCGCTCTCTACCTGGGCACCCGGGCAGGGCTGACATGCATCTTTTTTCGATCCCAGGATGTTGCGTCATTGGCCCGGTTGAATCACAAGCTGGCGCTTATCCGGCCGCACAAGTCGCTGCGAGTGCTACTCCAGACCCAGCAATCGAGATAAGGTCCCGGTGTTTCATTCGCATCATTCGGATCATGACAGCCTCAGCGGTATGGGCATAATCTGGTCTCTGGCCACGAAAATCACCGAGGTGATACCTCTCCATGGGATGTTCATCGAGAATGGACGGAAGTCCCTCCTGAAAGATGCATTCCTACGGTCATGAGAACGGAGTACATTGTACTCCGTCCATACTCCATGGAGACATCGGTGGACCCGGGACACAGGAGATTGGGCGAAACTAGTGAGTCCTGTACTCCGTTGTACATACAAACTTTCCTAAAGTTGAGACTTCGCGGGTCCATTTTTTGCGACTCTGCCATTCAGCATGTCCATATTTGTCATTGGCTCACCCCGTGCCCCGGGAGACCATGGGAATCGCCAAGACGACGTCTTTGACCGAATTCCTGGTATACTTGCGCGAGTCGGCACTAGTGTAGCCGAAGACGCCCAAGACCCTTGGCGGCTGTCTCACAATCGGTAGATGCCGACTTTCTTACGTCAGAGTGGACAGCAAGATCGTGTTGGGCAAGGGGCCTATCAGAGAGTATGCAGCTGTACGGAGTATGCTGATCAGTGATACCGATCAGAAGATTCTCGCACAGATCTCTGTGACATGCCAACTATTTTGATGAGTACGGTACAGTCTGAGCAGGATATGCACTACTACATAGGCAGTATATAGTATAGCTATAGTACTGTAGGGGTATAATCCTGTAGTACTGTATAGTATACTGTATAGTATAACTATAGTATCGTGAGGTCATGATCGATCTTAACGGTTAAAACAGGAAGGATCTGAACAGCTTACAGTAGATACCAAATACCGGTACCTGACAGGGGTCCGAACTAGAGATATCAGTGGCTGCGCCCGCCCCCACTTCCTCCGAAATATGCACGCCGGACGCGCTGTGAGTGGCTGGACCCTGCCTGACCCGGCCACCCTGAGTGGGATCGGCGGCAATAACTGCCCCATTGGGTAATGCGGAGGGAGTTAGTGCGTTCGCAGCCAAGGAAAAGGGAAAAAAACAACACAAAAAGAGGAGACGGATTCCAATAAAACACGGAGTCCACGGAGTACCTCCTGGGAACCTCTTTCAGACCCTGCTCCACCACCCTGCGTCAGGTACTCAGCAGGTACCCTTCACATAATACGCGGGTTTCAGGAATGCTCTGCAATTGACTCTTTCACTTCTCTACTCGACTCCGTACTCAACTCGCGACTCTCTCATTCTCCTTTCCTCTGCTTCCTGATTCCTGCTTCCTCGTTCTCGGGACAAAACCCTGGACCCTTGGATTCACCGGGACTAGCCTCTTTTCCCAAGACCCTAAAGACCCTAGTATGTATTGCGGGGACCCATTTCCCTGATGATATTAATGCCCTTGAAGGTTTTATAAAACCCTTCCCAGACCATGAGCTTGGAATTCCATCCGTGATCAATACTCGAGGGCCTCCGCGGTCGCTCGGACATCATGTCGTTCCTTCCATCTCTCGTCCTGCTCACCCTCCTGCAACTCGTCGCAGCCCAGTACTGCTCCTTCTGGAATACCGGCTGTATCGACTCGCTCGCCCAAACCGCCGTCCGCTTCGATCTGAGCCCGCTCTTCACCGATCCCGTCTCGCTCTACTACAGTTTCGATGCCAGCATGTCCGGGAAGGGCGAGGGCCCTATGACCAAGACAGCCTTCTGGCTCGGCTACCCGAGTAACAACGTGAATAAAAACGCCGTCGACTCGAATCGCACATCCGAAATCGGTCTGAGGATCGGAAATATGACCGGCACCCCCTCCGGAGCCAACAACGGATGTGATGGGATTTGGGGGTCGGATTGCTCGCGGGATTTCAAAGGGGCCTTGCAACGTAGCATGTACCATCTGGCAGTCTCCGGCGAGTATTATTCCAAGCCCCTGGAGGTGGCTCTCAACCAGATGTTGCAGAAGCCACCCTCGCTGCCGTCGTGTCCACCCCCAATCCTCGACGTGGCCTCTATTCCTGTGCAAGGTATGTCAGATTTCAATGCGACTCGCGCCCGTCCCTAATCGATCCTGCAGATTTCGCCAAAGAACATGTCCCCGGTCGGAATGTGACGCTGATGCCACCTGGCTCGGGCGCATGGCCATGGCAGGTCTGGTACCTGGATGGCATGAATGCCCACAAGCAGGCCTCCCAGGTGGCGGTTGGCATCATCAGTCGCGCTCCTTCATATAACAGTTCCCCGCCCGACAGCCCAGACGACATCATGGTCGATCTTGTCTGTCTTCAGGCTCCGTCGGGTGGATCATCCAAGGGCTCTCATGATTAGTTGAGGCTGCATGGGCGATCGACGTGATCGTCCCAAGACTTTTCCTTTTTACTCTCTTGGTTCCTAACCATCCACACGGTCGCTTCCAATATGGTCTGCCCCAAAAAGGGGTCTACAAATCGCCTGCATCCGACCGTCTCGAATCCATGTTGGCCACACCAACACGCAGGGCCTTCTAGGCAATCCCTGAGTCCGACCAGTCCACGCCGGCGCCACAGGCCTTACGCCAACTGGCGATCGAGCATCGACACAACCTACGGTCGCACCTTGCCGGGCCTGGCTCAAAACTCCCATTCCATTGTCTAGGGAATACATAACGAGCTCACAACGTCGGCGAACTCATATCACACGGCACCAACTCGCCCTTACCCCTGAAATCCTCCAAAATATCCGCCTGCTCACTCAACAGCATCCTATCCGTCTGGATGCCAATCTTCGCCAGACCCCTCCACCTCTCCATATCAGCCTGGACGCGCTTATCCCCGTGCGCCTCTCGCGCATGCTCCCAGTGGCCTTTGGAGAATCCCAGCATGGTAGTGATCTTCTTGCGTGGGATATCGTACACCAGGGAACAGATTGTGCCTGTCTCTTCAAGCCAATTGCATTGCCACAGCTCCCCGGGTCTGATGCACTGGTAGTGCGCTTCTTGGAAATTCACCCGTCCGGCCATCGGTCCGCCGTGGATGGCGTAGTTGATCCGGTCTTCGTTCTCGAACCACATCTCATACCGCCATTTGTCGGCTTTGCCTGCCGCGTCGGTCACGGCATAGTCATAGATTAAGTGGCGATCTGCCAGGTCGGCTTTGAAACTCGTTGCCTGGAATGAGGGGACTGGCATGGCTGGGTTTGGGGATATTTTTTCTTAGATTTTGCCTTTGGACTCGATGTAAGAATTTGAATATCAGCTTTTTCTCATCTCTGTCACTTTGTTCTTTGTATATCATCTGGGCAGGTTCGCTCTGTGACATCACGACTTTTCCAACTTGGTCTACGGTCATTTCGGGCCGGGCCAGGCTCACGACGCCGAACTTGAAGAATTCGTCTTTGTCCAATTGCTCACTGGGGCTCGGTCATCCATTTGGTTTAGTCGATTTTCTCCTTGGCCTCGATATGCGTCCACGGGTATATCGTCGAATGGCCGTGGACTGGTCATCTTACAACTCACGCCATTCTCTTCGCCATCTTAGTTGGCTGCATTCACCACAGCTTCAACTTTGCAGCATCCTCATTACATGATGGGTTGTTCAATTGATTCTTTGGCGGTGCGAACTACTTTCCGGGTGTCAGAGCATCCCAATTCTTGGCCATCCCGTACGGAGTACTGTTACTCCCTCCAGGGCCACCTGGTAACATGAATTGCCGAGCCGATAGTTTCGAGTCAAAGATCAACAGGCTAGTGATTGCTATGTGTGGCCATCGTCCTTGCGCCGTCGAATTCTGCTAAATTTAGATAGGGGTGCAGATCAATCAATAATGCCCAATGTCCACTTCTGAGTTGGATTATGTTACGCGACTTGTCTGATCCGAGCTAGCAATTCACATCTCATGGTCCTGGAGCATAATTGGTGATTCTACTCCGTACATAGGGAATACACTGAATATTCTCCGTACACCAAGTGACTGTACTCCATACTCCGTACTTCAGTCCGGGAGGGACCTCGGGATGGTTACGGATTTGATATTCCAAGACTACAACCTTAACTGACCCGTCCTTTAAGACGGAGACCATTGCGCATGAAGAGGCAAAAATACATGTACATACTGAAATACAAGCAGTGAAAGGAGCTCGCTGCCACTCAGGGCCGCCGTCTCCCCCACGTGGGCTCTGAGCGTCAACATTACAGAGCCCACGGAGCTCAACTTCTTTTTCTCTCTCCACCGCTCTCTGCCTCGGTTGTAATGGCGCCTCTTTTCATGACCCTGCTTCTGGCAGGTCTGATCTCGAGTCTTGCAGTGGCATCGTCCCTTCCGGGGAACGTGTCCTACGTGGCTGCGGCAGGGTTTCCTACCTCTGCGTTCTCGTAAGATCGACGATCCACAGGGGAGGGCCCTGGACTGACCCATGACAGCTCGTACTACGTTTCTCCCGCTCTCCCCACTCAGGAACCTCAGCCTATCATCTACGATCCTGTCTTGGACCACACCTTCCCCTTCGAGCTAACGGACCCAGACAACATCCCAAACAATCACGATGAGGCTCACTTCCCCGTGCCCCCAACACACATGCCCACCAGGAAGAGGTACAAGCTCGTCCAGGGGGTGGTGAACAATGTCTCTAGCATCATCAGGTCCAACTCGACAGATCACTGCACCAAATGCAAGACTGCTCTGGCTGCAGCAAAGCCGGCAGCACTGCATGCCCCAGGTCTAGTTCCAAATGCCATGGTGGATCTCTGCAAGGCTTTTGCATTCCACAGCAATCAGACATGCGAGCAAGACTTCGCGATCAATGCCTTTGGCACGGTCTGGACACAGGTTCTAGCATTCGCCGATGTCGAGGGCCTGGACGGTGAATACATTTGCCATTCCTTGAACAAGAAGTTCTGCCCCGATCCGAAGACTAGCCCACTGGACTCGAGCTCGCTGTTTCCAAAGCCCAAGCCGGAAAATGCTAGTCAGCTGGTACCCAAGGCGAGTGGTGAGCGTGTGAAAGTACTGCATCTCTCGGACTTCCATTTGGATGCTCGATATGCTGTCAGCTCGGAGGCGAATTGCTCAAGCAAACTGTGTTGCCGAAGCGATAATGATAATGAGCACTCCGAGGATAAACCCTTGGTTTCTGCTCCGGCCTATGGCTACTTTAAATGTGACACTCCCTATGACCTAGGTCTGGCTGCTTTGCAGGCTATCGGTCCACTGACTGGAACCGGCCGGGGAAAGCACGACGAGCACCTTGCCTGGACGCTCTACACAGGTGATCTGGTCTCTCACGACCCAGCCCCACAGATATCGAAGGCTTTGACACAGTACACGGAGACCAGCATTTATGGCATGTTCAAGCATTATCTGTCTGGTCCCGTGTTTGCGGCCCTTGGCAATCATGACACCAGCCCTGCTAACATCGATTCTCCTCACAACCTTCCCGGTCGCCTGGGAGAGCAGCAAAGCTGGAATTATGAGCATCTAGCCGCACTCTGGCAGCACGAGGGATGGATTAGTCGCGAAACAGCTGATGAAGCAAGCACGCACTACGGAGGCTACTCTGTCAAGACTCACTATGGACTCCGCATCATCTCCTTCAACACTGGTAAGCCACTTTTTCACGCATATGACCACGTTCACTCACCTTTCTTTCAGATTTCTGGCTCCGAAGCAACTTCCTGACATTCATCAACGCCACCAACCCAGACAACTCGGGAGTGTTTAGCTGGATGATCTCAGAGCTCCAAAAGGCCGAGGATGCCAACGAGCGCGTATGGATAATCGGACATGTCCTCAGTGGCTGGGACGGCACAAACCCTCTCCCCAATCCCACCGATCTATTCTACCAGATCGTCGAGCGCTACTCGCCTCACGTCATCGCAAACATCTTCTTCGGTCACACACACCAAGACCAATTTATGGTCTACTACGCCAACAACGGAACCGTGCAGAACGCGCAAACTGCTCTTGCAACAGGCTGGATCGTGCCCAGTGTCACGCCCCTTACGAACCTGAACAGTGGATTCCGACTCTACGAAGTCGACACGGGAGATTTCAGTATCTACGACGCTTGGACTTTCTACAGCGATGTAGCAGCTTATCCGAGTCTCAATGAGACAGGCCCGACGTTCCAGCTGGAGTACTCGACTCGGGAGGCGTACGGTGGTGCAGCTGGCTGGGATCAAGATGATCCATTGAACGCAACTTTCTGGCATCGCGTGACTGAGGGCATGGAGAAGCACTTGGAGCTCGTCACCTTGTTCAATGAGTATCAGGGAAAGAAGAGCGTCAAGAGTCCTGCCTGTGTTACTCCTGCATGCCAGAAGGCTAAGGTCTGCTATATGCGTAGTGGGAGTGTGGCGCTGGGTAATCAGTGTCTTCAGGGGTAAGATTCTCAATCCAAGAGTCAGGAGTATGCATGCTAACGATGTTAGGTATGGATCCGTGCAGAATCCGTTTAAGGAGAAGTAGTTGAGCATTAAGTATGGAATAGGGGGAGGATACTGCTGTTTATTGTTTGCGCTAGCAGACGGATTCGTGTCTCGTTTATGACGGCTTTGTAGCTTTATTCCAGCACTTAAATTATTTCAATTTCTCCTGAGAGTTAATGAAAATTTACGGGTGAATCTCATCGCGCTGGCAGTCCGTTTCCACAACCGTTGTTACTAGGTACCAACGTGTCCGCGCATCAATGCTCCGTGTAGGCGTTGAAATTGACTAAAGTGGTGTTTCCATTGATGGCAAGACTCTTACTCCGTAGTTGTCTCTGTCATAGCTTTCATTTTCACAGACCTCAAAGCTCCATACCTAGGTATTTCCCATGAACAGCTCCTGGTTATGTTCGCTGTGTTCGAGAGCCTCAAGTCCAACAAGAGAGAATTTGCGTCTAAGTTCTACAGCATATGTTGGGACACAAAGGGAGATAGATAATACTTGAAATAAAAACTTGCATGTTTGTTTTCGTTATTGGACTTTTGTCATTGGCACACCATGCCCCCTGGCTATGATGTTTCTTCTCTTCCGTTTGCCTGACTCGTCCATAAGCTGTGATACATTCCTTGCTTCTCTAACAACTGGCCATGTGTTCCACGTTCAACAACCCTTCCTTGACGCATGACCGGAACTTCATCTGCATTTATGATCGTCGATAGCCGGTGAGCAATAACGAATGTCGTGCGCTTGCTCTGAAGATGAGCCAATGAGGCTTGGATTGCCGTTTCAGTATTGGTATCGACAGCACTTGTCGCTTCGTCGAGGATGACAATTGGCGGGTTTTTCAAAATGACTCGTGCGATAGCCAATCGCTGTAGCTCGCCACCTGAAAGTTTGACACCCTGTTCACCAACGCTGGTGTCGTATTGTTTCGGGAAACAGAGGATTTTGCTGTGAATTGCAGCTAGCTTGCAAGCCTCGTATATCTCCTCGTCGCTAGCGGAGTGGTTTGCATAGCGAAGGTTTTCCAGAATCGAGGCGTTGAAGAGAAGGGGATCTTGAGGCACGACACCAATTGTTTCACGTAAGGATTTCAGAGTGACATCACGTATGTCCTGGCCATCAATTTTGATGGAGCCGGAATTGATATCGTAAAATCGGAGAAGTTTCATGATCGAAGACTTGCCAGCACCTGTTTCACCAACTAATGCAACAGTCTGACCGGGTCTAGCTGTGATGCTAACACCTTCAACAGTGTTGCTCCTCGAAGGGTAGGCGAAGTGAACATCCTGAAATTTGACTTCGCCTTTCTCAATTACCGATGGTTGGGCTGTTTCTTTATCGGTCACTGTAGGCTGCGTCTGGAGGAGTTCAAGCAAATGCTCTGCATCTATCAGATCAGATGTAAGCCAGCGGTAATGCTGACTGAGGAATGTCAATGGGTTAATCAGGGTCTCCCAGTACTTTGTAAAGAAGATGAAGTCTCCCACAGACGCGGTTCCTCTCGAGACGTCGCGAAGAATCAAGCAACAGAGCACCAAGAAAGTGAAAGGGACCATCAGCCCCAGCGTGGCCTTGAGAAGAGCGTCTCTCTGGCTCCATTTCTTATTGGCAAGAAGCTGGGAGTCAACAAGCCTTCCAAATCGTGCACGTTCGTGAGAAAAGGCGGAAAATAGGGCGACTGTTTTCCACCCCTGCACAGCTTGGTGCATGACTCGTGTCTCCTCTCTCTTGGCTTTCGTCAATGCACGTCGGTTTTCAAAATTCCAAGTGGAGAGCCACACTTCAAGTGAGATGTAAGACACTGAAGCTACCGCCATTGCCAATGATGCAAAGATATTGAACCTCATGCCTAGGTAGACACATGCGATGACCAAATCGATAAAAGTTGGCGCAACGAACACAATGATTGTCTCCAATAGCCCAGTCAAAGATTCTCCTTGTTCAATGGCTTTCATCACTTCGGCAGAGTCACAAGTTGAGTGGAATTCCATTGACAGCTGCATGACATGGTCAAAAGCCGCATTGGTGATCTGACGATAGGAAAACTGTTTGAGAGGGATTTTCGCTAGTTCTTCCACATATCCAAGGCCGGATTCGCTGTTGAAAACCTCGAAAAGCATCCAAAGCCCCAGGGCTTGGAGGGGCTCTTCGTTGGATGAGACTTGGTCGACTGCAAGACCAAGAAGATGAGGTACAAGGACGTGTAAAGCCCGATTAAATGTCAGGCAGACGAGGACGACGCAGATGCAAGACTGCACAGTTCTATTCCCTCGCGGCAACAGAAAAGGGATGAAGATTTGGAACTCTTTGACGTATTTGTACCAAGACCCTGCTTGCTGGAGCTTTTTGGATCTGAACTGCAGACCCTGCTCGTCAGAGTCAGACTCGCTGTCTGAATCGGACAGGTCCATGTTAGAAGTGCCAGTTGAGACTTTGTGGATGATGACTCGGCTTTTTTCAAATCTTCATGCGGTTGAGTCTTTTCTCTTGTCGCTCTCTCTTTGGAAGATGCTCGTTTCTTCGGAGAGATGAAGAAAATCAAGCTTGCAAGAATCCTAGAGCATCGTAAGCTCTTGAGAAATAATGATTTTGTGATAAGAACATAGATATGAGCGAAAGAGAGTCGCCACCTTCAGACAAAAGTATGATCGAACTAACAATCAACTTTTCATGCCAGACGGGGTCCTTGGCCATCGCAACCACAAGACAGCCGATACCAAGACAAAGAGAGTTCACGATCTGCACCCCCGATGAAGATAGAAAGTTTTCGTTCAAAATCAGGACAACATTGGCTCCTTGTAAGAATGATATTAACAGAAGCACATAATTACAAGCCCGTGGTGTGGACCGCCTCACACTACATTGCGGCTGCGCGGGGCCAGTAGACAAGAGTGGAAGTGATGAGTACACCAAGGCTAGGATGCAATTGGTGTACTGCAAAGCAAGACGGGCCTCAGTAATAGTGACCATTCCGAATGAGACGAAATGAAAACACTCAGGAGAAAAAGTGCCGATCGATCGGTAGCAACAAAACAGTCCAGTCGAGGGAAGTAAGCAAATTCACCGCGCCAATCCCGTTCTATTTATTTCTATTGTAGGATAGCATGAAGGTATTTTATATACAAATTGCAGGAAGCCATTCCAGTGCAAGAAAAGCTGATGCCTACATCTGCATGGAAGAGTCTGACTCTTCGGACTTATACTAGTACGCCAAGGTGTATAAAGCCGATGGTTGTGGGGAACACCACGTTGATCAGTGTGTTTCTTCATTGGTTCTGGGAGTTTTCTTTGCCTCTATATTCCCCAAATTGACTGCCCAAATTTCATTTCGGGTGCATGCACCCGGAAGCCATCCATCTAAATGTGACGCTCAGGTTCCGCGGTGAAGACTGTTCAAGAATTGTTCTCAGCGCATTACGGTTGCCTAGACCTACCGGGAATCAGTATCTGCAGCGATCGTTTGAAATGCCCTATCCTGCAAGACTGAATCCGCTTTTATGTGCATCGGAGTCCTAATTGCGCTTAGCTCTCGCACCTGGCGGCTGGACCCGCACCTGCAGGGCTGCATGTGGGCACCTGGGCAGCCCTGGAGCCCTGGAGTCCAGCACTTGAGGGCTCCAGGGCTGAGATGTTTGTAAGCAGGCTGACATACTTTTCTAGGTCAACTGGTCAACTGCCCTCTTCATGGCATTCTTCATTCTCAGACTGCAGAAACCCTTGTCCAGCTACTATCGTGCTCATTCCTAACTAGGCCCCGATTTCTGACGATTGAAATTCAAGTGCAAAAGCAACAAGTATCTAAGGTAAAAGCCAAGAATAAGCAGAGGAGCTATAGTCTATATAACCTTGAAACTATTCCGTAGTCGAGTACGAAGTAGGTCAACAAAGAATGATTGGAATGCGGTGGACAGTACATTCTTCTAATTTGAGGGCAAATTCTTTGCAAAGTATAAAAGAGAAAAGAACAAGTGAATACCACCCCAGAAAACGACTCTGTCATTGACCGCGGGCAATGATTTCATCTTCAACGGTGATAGTCCGCCTGCTCCCGAATGCATGACGTAGCCCACTTTAAGCCTTTGAACATCGCCGTCATCACGACTCCGGAGCTTCCGACTTATAACTCCCATCCTTCCCACTGCAAGCTCAAACACATTCTGTCCCGACACCACCATGAGTTTGAAAGTTGTGCAATTGGGCCTCCGCGCCTGGGAGGTACGTGCAGCGAGCCCCGCGATGCATCGCATACTAACAGCTCCAGTTCCTCTGGTCTCTCCTCATCATGGCCTTGATCGGAAACATGATCGCCGATTCCTTCTCCGGCAACCCATCGACAGTGAACTACTCGATGTTCTGCTCGGTCTTCTCCATGCTCACGCTGTTCTATACCATCCCGGCATCCTTCAACATCGACTGGGCCGGCCACCCAATCATCATGATCGTTTTGGACGCCTTGAACACCGTCTTCTTCTTCTGCGCCGCGATCGCCCTCGCCGCAAAGCTCGAGTGTCACTCGTGCAACAACCAGGTATGTGCCGCTCTCATCAATCATACCCCCAGTACTGACCCTCCCAGTCTTACCTCAAGAGCAACGAAATCACCAACGGCGCCTACAATATGACCAAGCGCTGTCGCGAGGCTCAAGCCTCCGTTGCCTTCCTGTGGTTCGCCTGGGCCGGATACATGGCTTCGGTCGTGGTGTCGGTGTTCATGTCTCGCGCGTCGACGACGAGCGTGCGCAGCCGCACTGGTAGCCGTCGTGGTGGCGCGCCTAGCATGGCGCAGGTCTAAGTAGAATCTCTAGTGGAACTCCACTTTACTAAATCTCTTGGAGATACCGCGCGTGCGGATTCTAATGTTGGGTTACGGTTAATGGCGCTTGGAATACCGGTGTACGAGGTAAGGGGTTGGACGGCATGACGTCTTATATTCAGGATTCTCAGATGTGTACTTCATCTACTTATTCATAATTCTTGTTTTGATTGTCAAGTACTTGAAAACAATGTCTAATTAATTGCAAATTCATCGTTCTGTGCATGTAGAGTGGTGTTGGTACGAAGTATACACCTGGGCATACCTCCGTGGACGGGTATGTGTATCTGGAGACAGCGACAGCGACCGTAGCAGGGACAGGACAGGACAGGAACAGGAATAAGTATATCTTTGTAGTAATGGTGATGACTTAGAATATTTGTATGGTGTTCTCACGAAATATCCATTTAATTACGCAGGTTGAGTTCTGATAATAGGAAGCAAAGTACAAAGTCCTGATTAAGCGTTGCCGCAGGGAGCGTCATGGAGGCGAAGGTTGACTCATTTTCCCAACAAGGAACTTGAACACTTGGACTCTGGCAATTACAACGGAAAGATCTCAGTTTCACTTTACTCTAAATCTCCACGTTATTGATCTCGAGCTAGGGCTTAGCGGGGCACTCCCCTCTGCTCCACCCAAAGAATTTCTCCAGAGCTTCGGACACCTTTCCCCTTCACAACACTCACCTCCATCATGCCTGTTCAGTGAGATGACTCTCCCAGGGCGCCTGCGCAATTGCGACCGCTAACTCCCCCCCAGCTACCTGATTCTCCTTTCCCGGCAAGGCAAAGTGGTAAGGTCGTCGCCCACCCCAGTCCTCACTCCCGCTGACTCCTTACCAGCGCCTCGCCAAATGGTTCACCACTCTCTCCCCTAAGGAGAAGGCCAAGATCATCAAAGATGTCACCCAACTGGTGCTGTCCCGCCGGACGCGGATGTGCAACTTCCTCGAATACAAAGGTCTCTTGCCGCACCTCCTCCCCAGACTGCGACTAACTAGGATCCTCTAGACTCGAAAGTCGTCTACCGTCGCTACGCCTCCCTTTTCTTCATCGCCGGCTGTGCCTCGACCGATAACGAACTGATCACCCTGGAGGTGGTGCATCGATACGTGGAGCAGATGGACAAGTACTACGGCAACGTCTGCGAATTGGATATCATCTTCAATTTCCAGAAGGCCTACTTCATTCTGGATGAGTTGTTGATAGCAGGGGAAATGCAGGAGACCAGCAAGAAGAACGTCCTTCGTTGTATCAGTCAACAGGACAGTTTGGAAGATATGGAGGTGAGTCCCATGACATCCCCACTCTCTCTGTCTTCCAAGTCATGGCATTCGTCCATGCTAATGGAAACCAGGTTGAGGAAGATGTGGTCACCAAGATCATGTAACCAGCGAGCAGGCTTGCAGGTGTATATAGTACTAATCAATGCAACTTATTCGTTTCAGGACTCCGACGATGTCTCCCGCAATTTGGAGCGAGTTGGCCTTTGATTCTCAACCACGGTTGCGCTGCTCGTGAGGTCAGTGCGGCTTCTGACTGGCTCTCCTCCACGTGACTCCCCCCTCCGTCTTAGTATTCCTTCTTTCCTCGTTTCATTCGATTATTCCCTAGCAATTGTCTTCTTGATTCCCCTGATTCCAGTCTCTCCGTGTCTCTGTGTCTCTGTTTGTGTTTGTCGGTGTCTGTTATCTAGCCCCTTCCCTGTTTGCGGTTATCGCCCGATCGACACCGCATCTCCACCTTCGGCGCAATCGCCCGTATCACATCATCACTCATCTTCCCAGCTCTCCTGCTTCGTCTTTGAGATCATCTCGACTCTCGCGATTGAGTCGTATACCCAACACGTCATTTCAGCGCTTATCGGCTTATCTCGGGTTCTCCACTACCCCAGTCGGATCTCACGATGAAGGTGAGTAGCGGTCGGCCCCGACGCCAACGCGGTGCATCCATGTTGACCTAAATCCAGTTCCTCCCGCTTCCAGAGTTCGAAGACGTGACCAGCTCGCTCAACTTCGATACAAATGACTGTCATATAGTGGGTGGGTGCGACGTCTACACGACCAAGGCCGCCCGCTCCGACCGGAAGCTGTACAACCACATCGAGCAGTCCCTGGAAGCCCAATATGAATCGGTGCTACGGTTTTCCGCCTCATTGTCCCCTCCCAATGCCCACGATGCGGCCGAGACCCTGAACCTGTCGCGATCCAGTCCGTTCGGCCCCCTGAGCGACCACTCCAGCCGTCGGACTTTCGCCTATTTAATCGCCACTCTCAATGCCAGTAACCCAGACTACGACTTCTCACAAGTCCTGCGCCCGACAGACTTCCGACGCGAGCGGAACCTGAAGCGCACGATGAACACGATAGACTCCACACTTCTCAACCTGCGACCGCGCGAGAATCTCACCCTGTCCCCGGCATCCCCCGCCACTCTGTCCGGATCATACAATGCAGGTTCCTCATCCTCCTGGGGACCCCGTGTGTGGAAGACAATCGATGAACACATGTCGCTGAAGGAGTGTTCGATCTATTCGTATTCCCCGGAAGAGGACCCATCCGACGCCGACGATGGGGCCATTTGGAGTCTCCACTTCTTCTTCTTCAACCCACTCCGCAAACGTGTCTGCTACATTTACCTCCGCGCCATTCCCATTCTCAGCCACACCCCCGACGACATGGTCGCTACGCCATCCGGCAAGCGCACCTACGACGATGGATACCTGACCCCGGACCTCAGTTCCAGCAAGCGGGCCAAATTCTGGTTTGGCGAACGCGCCCGCTCCACTCTTATCGCTAGTGATAGTGATGATGAGATGGACCGTCCGCCCCGGACTCGGCCTTCCGCGGATGAATACGACACCTACATCATCAGTGATGATGAGGATCCTCTGCCACCCCGTCGTGGGGTGCGTGCTATGAGTGAGGAGATCGCGGATTCCATGGAGGTCTGAACTCTCAACCTTTATTTTTGCTTGTTGGTATTCTTCTTTATTTTTTTGGTATTCCTTTTGGTATTCCTTTGTCTCTACTCCGTTGATCGGGTGTGGTCTGTTTCTAGCCGGGGTGTTGGGTTGGTATTCTTGGGCGCAATCAACTTGCATGGTTTCTTTTCTGCGTACACGAGAGGTGTGGCTAGATTGTCATTGATGTGATGCCCCTTACCTAGTATATCTTCGATTGTGTCTATTACTCCCTAATATCAATCTACTCTGTTATGTGAAGCCATTGGATCGGGCTTTTCTTAGTCCTTGTCAACCTTGGAATATCTGTATTCACGTATTTCCAAATTTCTCTACATAACTTTTTGATTCACAAAATCAGCATTTCTATCTGTAGTTATCTTCTGAAACCTTTTGAAGGTTGTGAGTCGGTCGAAGTTCCAAAGTTGTGTGGACCGAGGGATCTATATATATCTGGACCTCGGGTGACACCCCAAACACCTACTTGAAGTCCCAAAGCATTGAGCTGGTTCTAAACATACCAAGCTATTGCAGACTTGCAGTCTGCAGCCTTTGTATAAATACAAATGCAAATGCAAATCCCAATCCCACCGATGTATCTGACGTAGAGCCCTGAGAGACATGTGGTCCGTGCACCGGAGCTGTTGTGTCCTCTCCCTTCCGCCTCATCCTGTTCATTCCACATTCCACATTAGAATATGGCGGACGAAGAGCGCATCAAAGCCGAGAAGCTGGCTGCGGCCAAGAAACGAGTAATATTCCCCAAGGAATTGTGTGGTGGGGTCAATGTCGTCTCTAACCCGTTCGCAGGTAGCCCAACTCCAGAAGAAGAAGAAGGCAAAGAAGACTCCCGCTGCTGGAGCAGAGACACCCAAGGAAGATTCAACAGAGGGAGCCGAGGCACCGGCAGAGGCCGAACCTACCAACGATGCCCCCGCAGAAACACCACAAACGGACGCCCCCGCGGAGACCGACAAACAAGAAGAACCTGCCGACCCTGAACCTGCCACATCGCCACCAGTAGCACCAGAGGAGCCATCCTCCCAGCAGACTGAAGATGCGCCGGTCGAGTCTCCAGTGGAACCGATGCCACCAGCACCGACGTCTCCCGGCCTGGATGCTGAACCGTTGCCGATGCTCGATACACCCCGCGCCAATCATGCGCGCCAGCCTTCCCTGTCGATCCAGTCGAAGATGCGGTCATCTTCGTTCCGCAAAACATCTGTGTCCCAAGGCAGTGTTTCCCCCTCCCCCTCCACGCTCAAGTCCCCCGCACAATCATTACCGCCCCTGACTGGAGATGGGGAGTCTGTCCACGAGGTATTCCGCAAGCAGTCTACGAAGATCGAGGAACTGGAGAAGGAGAACAAGCGACTGGAGAAGGATTTGTCAGACGCGACAACACGCTGGCGCAAGACCGAGGAGCAGGTGGAGGATCTGCGGGAGGCAAGCGTTGATGGCGCGGAGCTGAAGGACCGGCTGAAGAAGGCCGAAGAACAGGTTGCCAGCATTGACTCTTTGGTGGGTATTCGTTGAATGTGTGAATCTGTACAAGTGCACTAACCATAGCGCAGAAAGAGGAGATTGCTTCACTTCAGCGACAGAACTCACAGCTGCAAACGAGATCACATCGCAATGTCAGCAACACGGAATCACCGCCTGCGGACCTGGTCCGTCAGCTTGAGTCGAAATCGGCTACCATTGAATCTATGGAGCTGGAGATCTCAAATCTGCGTGCGCAGGTTACATCCCAGACATCTTCTAACGATGCACACGAATCTCAGGTTGCTGCGCTAGAAGAAAAAGTCACTGCCATCCAAGCTGAGCTTGAAAGCTCCCAGCGGGAGCTGGCAGAGACCAAGCAGGCGTTGACAAGTGCCTCGGAGAAGGCAGCTCAAGAAGATGTTGACAAGACCTCCACGGAGGAACAGATCAAATCTCTCCAGCAGGAGATCGAGCAACAGAAGAGCGAAAAGGTCGAATCAGAGAAGAAAATCGAGACGCTGGACAAGAAGCTTCAAGCCATAGGCAATCTGCACAAAGAGACCGAAGCCCGACACCAGACCCGTCTGCGCGAAAGCGAAAAAGCCGACAAAGAGATTGCGGTTATGCGCAAGAAGATCTCCAGCATCGAAAATGAAAACCTCCGTCTCCGCGAAGAGAGCGATCGCATCCGCACGCGCCAAGCCTCCGGTGGCGCGGACGACGACGCCCTCGATGAACTCGAAGACGAAGAGCGGCAGCGTCTCGAGCGTCGTATCCGCGAACTAGAAGGCGAAGTCTTCGATCTGCGCCGCGGCGTCTGGCAAGAGAAGCGCCAGGAGCTAGAGCACTACCCAGATGATGGAGCTAGCCCTGCTGGCGATGCGAACGCGTTCGATGACGTTGATCTCGTTGGCGGCAGGCCTGACCACGCCCGTCGTCGCAGCATGGGCCAGCAGCAACACTCGTCTTTCTCCACTGTCTTGTCCAGTGGTTTCGCTGCGTTCACGGGAGCCGGTGGGAATCGGGCCCGGGCCTCCTCGTCCAACCCGCCTCACCCCGGTAGTCTTGAGCTTGTGTCCGAGGAGAACTTGGATGATGAATTCGATGAGAGTGCATTCGCGATCGCGCAGGCCGAGGAAGAAGGAAGAAAGCGTGTGGCTTGGATGCGCGACATCAAGAGCAAGCTCCGTGACTGGAACGGCTGGCGGTTAGATCTGGTTGATAGCCGTGCCGGCGCTGAAGGCGCAGGTGTGGGCATGGGGGAGATCTTTGAAGTCTAATCGTCCTATGCGACATGTCTTATTATATCCCAGGTCGTCAAGACCAATGAAACGTATGAACTCCTGCATGAACTCCTGAACTGTTACAGACTGTAAAGTAGACTGGATGCATAAATATAACAACCTTTCCAGGACAATGCTACTCTGCAGATTTACCCGTCAAATACCCCTCTGACGAACGACTCTTCCTCCGTCCCCAAACGTCTCCCAGCCAAGAAGTTATCTGGAACAACCAACCGCCCGTAACAAGAACACCGGAGACCGTGTTGATCACGCGAATGAGGAGAGACAAGAATCCAGCCCTCTCCTCATTGACCAGCAACAGGATCGGTTCAATGTTATACTTGAAGAAAATTCCCGGCGTAAGCATAGGCGATTCGGGAATCGCACCAGACTGACTAGTGGCAGCATACTGGTTCGTGAAGACGGTGTTGCGGCCACGCTTCTCAGGATGGCGCGCATAAGCCTCCAAAGCACCCTTGCCACGACTGTATATTGTCGGCACAACAGAAAGGAAGTACTGGAACTTATAGTAATGCGAATCACTTTCCGCAATAGTCTTGTCAAGCGGGTTCATCAGATTCGGATAATGAGGACCGAACGACAGTTCCGTGATCATATGCGAGAAGTTGAAGGCTGGAAAAGATCATTAGCAAACAATTATAAACCCATGGATCCTCAAAAAACATACAGCCATGATCCAGGTGCGGTGCATTCTCGCGATATCCGTGGCCTCGCGCCGTGATATGGAAATCACCCTGTACCTTGTTCCCTTCTAAACTACCATAAATGCGACAAGCATCTTGTTTATCACCCCTGCGCATGCGAGGGCTCTTGGGAAACTTCTTGCGAGGATTATGGCGCACTTCACCAAGGACATGGCCAACATGAGAATCGGCCTCCTGCTCCTCAAGTCGATCGGCGTCCTCATGAGAGAGGGTCTGGTACTGGTGGGCATTGTGAGATTCGTAGTTGCGCTGCTGCATCCACAGTAACCAATTTGTGTCTTCGCGTTTGAGGAGTTCGCCGGCGAGGATGCGATCGCCTGCTGCATCTTGGATATTGACGCGCAGCTGGTCGCACGGCATGTCGACGACGATGTCGAGGTTTAGTTGGAGATCGTGGGAGACGCCCTTTTCAACGCTGAAGTGGTAGTTTTCGGTGCCGCGCCACCATGTTTTCAATTCGGAGTAGCTGAAGAAGGTGCAGATGCAGAGGATGAGGACGGTCCATTGGCCGCCGCCGCGGGTGGGAGTGGTGTAGGAGGCTTTTGTTTTTGCTGTGCTGGTCAGTGAGGGTGTGATGATTGGGATTGGGAAGACATACGGAAGGCGTCGAAGGTCTTGAGACCTGCTAAGGCCTTGTCGCCAAAGGCATCCTCGTCCAGGCTTTGTTTTTCGAAGCCATTCATTGTCGCATGAGTGAACAAGTGGTGGTTGGAGAGGAGTGGAGTAAATAACGATAAGATGAGGCCAAGTAGCCCGATTGCGCATGCCGCGTAGCTTCACCTTGATACTTCATTGTTTCACTCCTCAATTGCCAATTTCTACTGGACTACGTGTCAATTCTTCTGAATTTACTGCTGAGGCCAATCTCATCGGTAGTCATTAATTCAATATAAAACTAACGTCAAATCGCTCTACGAGCACTCATCGTGGTCTCTTAAAAATGCAGATAACAATGTACAAGGGAATACCCTGGGTCATCAAGTATAAAATGAAGATGCATCAGCAAGGAGGTATAAGCGATGGGACTTCCAGTCGTAGGCGCAATGCAAAAGCACAGAAAGGGGGGTATAACATGAATGCATAGCAAAATGCTGACATGACAACCGACCCAATGCAAGAAAATTAGGAACAGAAAGGGGAACAAAACCAATTGGGGTTAATATTACAGAACGTTCGGAACAACATGGGAAGAGATCATTTTCTCTGCCGGCTCGTCAGCATCCGATTCTGTAGCGCTGGGCCGGCCTAACTCACCAGGCTTGTCGCGGCCGCCGCGGTAGCGAGGTCCGGCTTGCCGCTGATGCTCCGTGCTGAGACGCGGGGGAGAGCCGAGCCTGAGGTAGTGACATTACTCGATCCTCGCTTGCCAGGACTGGACGGGGGACCGTTGATGGTCGAATGGCGTTTCCCACTCTTGACGGGAGAAGTGCCTGAGACATCGCGACGCGAAAATCCACTCTTGAGGGTGGCGCCGGGAGGATCGGGGAGCGGACGAGAAGATGAAGATGCGCCGCGCTTAGAAGGCGAATTGGTTCCGTGTATTCTTGGCCGAGGGGCCTTGATACCGGTGAGGAACTCATGCTTCAGCGCATCGTGAGGCGAAATGCGACGAGCGGGGTCCCACCGGAGGCAGCGGGAGATGAAGTCGAGGAAGGCCTCATCGTCACACTTCAGGGCCTGGCGGAGTTCCTTGGAACTGGGACGTCGGCGGCGGCCCTTGGACGAGACAGTCAAGCGAGGCTTGCCCAGGGAATCGAAGAACAGCTTTTTGCGAGAACTCTTTTCGATCAGATGCTTTTCTGGAGGACCAAATACCTCCATAATGCAGGCGAGCTGTTCTTGTTCGTTCTCACCAGGGAAGATGGGATAGCCGGTAAACAGCTCGGCCAAAATGCATCCCAAGCTCCACATGTCAATCGGCATGCCGTAGGACATTCCAAGGATAACCTCTGGCGAGCGGTAGAAGCGACTCTGGATATAGGTGTAGACCTTTTCATTCTCGAAGCAACTTGAACCGAAATCAATGACACGAATTTCGGAGTTCAAGGGGTGAACCAGGAGGATATTCTCGGGCTTCAGGTCACAGTGGATCACCTTCTTGGCATGTAGCAACACCAGACTGCTCAACATCTGCTTGGTGAAGACACGAATCAACTTCAATGAGAATCCTCGGAACTCATGGGCCTTGATGAACTCGTAAAGATTCATGCCAAGAAGCTCGGTGGAGATGCACAGATGGCCTCGGAAGTAGAAGCTTTGGGTGAAATTGACCACACTGTGCTTGCCGTGAGGGTCCCATTCCTTGAGCTTCTGGAGAAGGTTGACCTCAATAAGAGCCTGCTGGTGGAATCGCTTTTTGTTGCGAATGATCTTGATCGCAACCAAGGCGCCGGTTTTATGGTCGACACATCGCACAACCTGTCCAAAACTGCCCTTGCCTAGGACGTCAACGACTTCATACCGGTAAGCTAGATGGTCACCTATCACAATGTTATAATCACCGCGGTCATCGTCATATCCAAAGTTCGCGGCGCCAGAATGAAGGTCTCCGACATGCTTTTTGGCAGTTTGGGTGCCACAAAAGAAGATATCACGATAATCGATGATCTCACCGCGCTCAAAGATGTTGAGAGTCGCCATTTTTAATGCCTGCGCGGGACTGACACGGTCCTTGGGTCCAGCCTTGCGACGCAGATCATCGAGCACTCTGGCAGCCTTTTCAAAGTCTTTCCTCTTGGATCCAAGCCGTTTCATCTCTTCATCGGCAATGATCACATCGGTATCGACACCGCCGTCGTTAGAGCGGGGGGCAGCCGCAACGCTGGATCTGGCGTTGCTGATCATTTTATGTACAGGAGAGATATAAGAGCTGTGCACGCGTCTGGAACGATCACTCTCGCCCGATTCGTGGGAAGGAGTTGGCTCCAGCGCAAGGCTCTTTTCGCTGCTGACGCTTGGCTTGCGAGCTGCTGGGTTTGTTGCACTGGAAACAGAAGACTGCCGACGAGGGTTGAGATAGGACGGTTTGGGGTTTGGACTCGTTGAGCTGACCGAAGATAGATTATTCCATGTTGCAGATGCTGGCAGCTTGGGTGGCGGCATGTGGTTGAATTTGGTCGGATCAGTATCCGTATCGGTATCGGTTTTCTGTGCTTTCGAGTTACTGCGAAGACGCGCGATTTTGAGTCGGTCGCGCAGCGAGGAGCTCGAAGCAGTGACACTCTCGGGCTCCGAAGGCGTGGAAATCTGACTGAGCCGTTCGGGAGCAGGGGTGAAGACGGCACTTTGAGTCTGTGGCCTCGGCCCAGTCAACTTATGCGGCGGGTTCTGGTTCCGGTTCGAGTAGTCCGCGCTGGCTTGGTGTCGAAGATGATTCAACTCGGTACCGCTCTTGGGAAGGGTGTATGAAGCATAGGGAGAAATGTTGCGGGCCGATGAGCTAGGAGTTTCGAAAGCTTCGAAAGCGCTTGTGCTGCTCGAAGCTCGCACTGCGGCAGTTGAGGAACTGACAGCAAAGTGAGAGGTGCTACTCCGGGCCTGAGTCAGAGGTAGCTTCTCATCCTCGTCATGATACCAGAAACTCGCTTTGGATGCCGTCATCGGGGTCCCGGGTGTCTTCGATATAACCTGATTAGACGGGGTATGGGCATCGCGCTCCTCGTCTTTGTCTTTGAGTGCATCTATCTTGGCTGCCATTGGGGTTCCCAGAGGCAACAGATTCAACGGGGGGAGCTTCAGTGGTTGCAGGCCCTTACGCCCCCCTAATACAGTCGAAGTTCTCGTTCGTACATCAGGTGTATTAGCCGATTCCGTAGGCTCTGCATTCTCGGTGTGACCTGTGCTGGCAGTTTCCTGACTGGGGCCTGAATCTTTAATGTTCAAATGACCGATATCAAGCGGAATGCTTGATTTCCTAGGTGCGGGGAACACAGGTGCATCCAGCTCGGCTTTGGGTGACTCGTAGGCTTTGGGGATTGCCGGGACCGGTGGCACCTCTTCTCCGTTAGGGTTCGCTTGCTCCGTCCTCGGCTTGGGAGTTGGTAGGCGAGAGGAAGATAAATTCTGAGAGAGACGATTTTGGAGTGAGCTTCCAGAATTGCGCGCAGAGTTGTAGCTAGTGCTCGAGGAAACAGATAGGCCTGAGCTATAGGACTTGCGATTTGGGTCGGGCGTGGTTCGGTTTGAAGATGGAGTGACGCTCTTCCTGGGGATTTGAGAGGGAGATTGAGTGGAAGAGAGGGGACGAATAGGGAGAGGTTCTGTTTGAGTTGGAGGTGTATGTGGCATCGGAGGCGCAGTAGGAGCAATGGACATTCGCTTCATTCGTCGTGCATCAGTAGGACTGATGGTTCGAGCGCCCAGTCCAGTCGCATGGTGTGGCATAACAGAGGCACGCTTTGAAGTTGAGGAGGGAGTCGCGGCGGCGCCCGCAGGATTCTTCACCGGCGTCCGCACGGCATTGGTCGACGACGATCGCGAGAAGTCCACGGGGTCTGTTGCGGTCAAGAAAGAGCCCGGAGGGTCTCGCGGACTGGGCTGGAACGATTTGGCTTTGAGGTTTCGAACGGCAGCCGGAACCTTCGTCTCAGAGTCCTGGGTTCTCGGGCGGAGGAAGGCAGTGCTGGCCTGAGTCGTGTCTGTGCTGAATTTACGGGCACTCAGACTAGCACGTCTGGCCGAGGCATTCGTGGGCGCAAAGGCCCCGGAGCTGACAGATTTCCGAGAACCTCTGGAAGCAGTGTTCCCGGCGGCCGGTTGAGCTAAGCTCTGGCGACGGGCCCGCGTGTTGGCAGATGATGCCGTGAGTCCGGTACCGCCAGGTTGACCGTTCGGACGCTGCACTTCACTTTTCCGGCGAGCCGAAGGAGGGGCCCGCGTGCGTTCAGAAGCATTGTGTTCATAGGTGTGGTTTTCCCAAGGATTGGTCGGACCGGCGTCGCGATTCTCCCCCGCACCACCACCAGTCCCTGGCATAGGGAAGTGGCTCAAGCTCGCCTCGCCCATGATGCTGTTATGGAAGTCGTCGAAGTTGACCGGCGCGAGGAAATCACCGCTCTCTCCCGAATTTGGGTCGGCCTTGGCTAAGTTCCCCACGCTCGTAGACCGTAGGTTAAAGTTTTTGCTGGAGTCGAGGGTAGAATCAACGGATGAATTTCCGGAATGGAGATACGGGCCAGGTTTGCTTGACGATAAGTTAGCCCTCAGCATAGTATATCGACAATTTCCTCCAACTTACTTCCATCGTGATGTCTCCTGGGGCCGTGGGCCTTGCGGCACCTTCTGATCCCGAATTGACATCCTTCTCCTATTCATCCCACCTGCGCGCGGCGCGGCCACCCCGTAAGAGGAGTCATAGTTGGAAGTATTTGAGGGGAAATTAGTCGATGCGGACTTTTGCAAGCGCCTGCGGGCTGGGGTTTCTGCTGTTTTGGGAGCGTCAGCATCTGTGGCTGCACCTTCCCGGGGGTTCAACTTACCTCCCGAGCCCGACTCGTTGGAGAGATTGGACGCTCGTGAATGATCAGTTCGCATCTGACCTCTCCCGGGGGTTTGCGGAGGAATTGTCGGCATCATTCAGTGGAAACGTCTTCAGAGAGCAGAAAAGTCGTAAACTCGTCGGAGAAAAAGGAGAGGACTGGACCGTGCCAGGTTGAGCGATCGCAAGTACATTCAGGAGAAGTGCGAGGCCTCAACAAAAGACACTTTGAGCACCGTCGCGCGACTGTAAGCCCACTACCGTGCCATTGCGAGGGGTGAAAGAGGGCTCTCTTTGATAAATCTGGGAGCTGCGAGGGTTGCCCAGGTTTCAAGGCGGTAAATCGAAAAAAAGAGGCAATTGGAGGGGTTCTTATAGCTCTAGTAAAAACAACAACAGACACAAAGATCAACCATGAAAGAATAGAGGAAAAAGAAAAGAAAAAAAGAGACTAAACAAGCAAGACAACCTCAAATTGGAACTATCGAATCTTTCGAGGGCCCCTGATGCAAACAGTACTCGTATCGTAATTACCATTATGTCAGCGCCGGGCATGTGCTTTCTGTTGTAGCCGACTTCCACGGCCAAGATTGCTCTTCTGTCTGTCACTGATCATGGATGGATTTACAGAAGCTCTAGGTGAAGAGCCTAGGCCTGCGAAGAACAGACCGGGCTCGCCAGACAGTCTACATTCAAGATCGTCCTCAGGAACCAAGCACTCCCTGCAGGACCGCCTATTGACCAAGTATGGAATGCCCCTCTGATCACAGAGTCCACCAGCTAAACCACTCTAGATTAATCCAGCAGGTCATTCCTGGAGAGAATGACGATGAAAGTGAATCATCGGACAAGGCGGCCGCCTCTCCTACCAAACCGGCCTTCAGTCTTCCCGTGATGGGAAACAACTTTCGTCGCTTTAATGCAAGGTATGACCGAGACACTCATCTACACCCGCAGAAACTGAAGATTACGGTAGAATCGGGGTGGTATTCTTGTTCCAGGATCGCGTGGAGCGACTCCTCACCTGGGATACCCCATCTCACACCGTATCGCTTCTGTTCGTCTACTCCTTCATTTGCTTGGAGCCTCATCTGCTGCTGGTACTTCCTTTGGTGGTCCTCTTACTATTCATCATGGTGCCGGCCTTTGTGACTCGTCACCCTCCCCCACCAAACACCTCCACTTCAAGTACTACTCCTTACTATTCGTACGATGGACCGGCGCTGGCGCCGGCCACGACGATCAAACCTGCTCCGGAGACGTCGAAAGACTTTCTTCGGAATTTGAGAGATCTGCAGAACTGCATGGCTGATTTCTCGGATGTTCATGATGCGGTCATCAATGTCATTGCGCCTTTGACTAATTTCTCTAACGAGAAGCTCTCCTCAACACTGTTTCTGGGCTGCACCGTAGCCATCGTGGTACTGTTCGTGGGCGCACATCTTCTACCGGTGAAGCTTGTGATGCTTCTCGGTGGGAACGCAGCGATTTTATCAATCCACCCCACCGTGGGGCAGTTCTTCCAAGCGATGATGCAAGATATGGCCGGGGAATCCAGGGACATGGACTCCGAAGACGACAAAAAGGATGGCTTTGCTTCTTCAGTTCCCTCAGATCCAACCGAGGCAATGTCGGCAATGGAAAAGCTGGCGGACATTTCATTAGATACATACCCTGAAGAACGTGAAGTGGAAATCTTTGAAGTGCAACACCGCGCTGCAGGAACCTCCGAGTCCGGCTGGGAGAGCTTCCTCTTCAGCCATGCGCCTTACGACCCACTCTCACCATCTCGAATTGCGGGGGATCGGCCACGAGGATGTCGATTCTTCGAGGACGTTCGATCCCCGCCGGGCTGGGCTTGGAAGAGCAAGAAATGGGAGCTTGATCTAGACTGTCGGGAGTGGGTTGTGGAGCGTATGATCACCAGGGTTGGATTCGAGGTTCCAGGTGTGACAGCCGAAGGCAATGCTATTGTTGGCGAGGTCGGTGGCTGGGTATGGGATCTACCGCCGAATCATTCACCGGATGATGACGAAGAAATGTCACTCGCCTACGGTGACTTGCCGCCGGACACACCCACCCCACAGGAGAAGGGCAAAGAGGACGATACACCCAAACTCCGAGACTGGGAGGAAGGCACGGCTTCTCATGGTGTGGGAGAATGGAGACGCCGACGATGGGTACGGATCGTGCAACGAGTCAGCCTTCCACCGGCGGGTTCTGTCACGTACTCGACACTAAGCAGCCGGACGAAGTAGGTTCACAATATGAGATAATGAATTCCGGGCAGCGGTTTGCTGTCCGCATATATTTACTACTTGGGTTATGCATAGCATGGTAGATAAGTACTTTTGAAAACCTCGGGGAAACAAGAACGCCAGACTCGCCCAACCAAATGCGCAATGAACACACTATTGACTCTTCTTCCACTTCTGGATTCTCCTCCGCAAGTCACCAACACTCTGCTGCATCGGGTTCAACTTGCGGTCACGGGCCATGGCTGTGTAGTCTTCTCCGTGCTTCTCAACCAGACGCTGGGCCCATTCGCCCTCACGGGTGCTCTGGAACCGAGGCTTCTTCGCCCGAACCGTCTTTCCCTCCTGATCAGCCTGGCGCTCGAGCTGCTGCACGATGATCGAGTCCGCGAGAGGGTTGCTTTCAATATCGCCGGTTTCGATGGCATTCAGAGGGTCGTTGAGGGGGTTTTTGCGCGAGATCCGACGACCAGCAACTTCGACATGGTCATCGTCATCGTCGTGGATGACACGGAGAATCGCACCAGTCTCGGGGTCACGCTCGACACGGGTTGAGCCCAGGTCGACCTTGGCAGCGTCGGCTTTGGCGCTACCGCGGATGTGGAGGGAGTTCTTGTTCTCGGGGTATTGTTCGTCTTTTCCGGGGAGGCGCTCACGACCTCCAGAAGGTGCGTTCAGCTTGTGCATCAAACCCAGACGTTGGTAGTTTTGGGTCAAGGTCAGGTTGCGATCCCTTTTGATTGTTAGATCTCCAATGTTCCAAATTGAGGCAAAGCGCATACCAGTTGTCGGCGATGATCTGATTGCCCAGGACATTGATCTTCTTGTGGCCGCTCTTGAGACGGTTGTCCTTGGCACGCGCCGTGGAGCGCCCGGAACGGGCCTTCTTCTTCTGCAAGACTTTACCCATTGTGTATATGGAGTGCGAATGTGGTCAAAAGTTCGACATCGGGATGATAAAAGCGTTATCGAAACTTTTTTTTCGGTGTTTGCACTGGACTTGGCATGTTTGTTCAGGGTCCCGCGATAAACAAGTGGTCTGACCACGATAAAGGTGTACTCCGTACATCGGGCTGAGCTTGGAATATCTGTCACCTCGACATACCCTTGGGGAATCGGTTCGCAATGGCTTCTCGCTTTTTCCCCTCGCGCAGAACAGGATTGGCCCTTGCTGCAGGTTGTCTGCTGTTCTCTACCCTCGCAGCAGCTCATAGTGGCCCCGGACATCTCTCCGTGAGCCAGATTGAGGACCAATTGCAGGTATACTGATGCACAGCGTACCTTTTACACGCCAAAGTTGACATGTCACAGAGCTGCCCAGTGGTCGAGTCGCTCAATGAACACAAGCGCGCCACTCAGCCAGAGACCACTAGCTTGACAGCTAAGATCTTTGCCGTTCTCTTCCCAAGCAGTCCCGCTGTGAACGCGCTTCTGGCAACACTGTATATCTCCGGCCCCCCTAGTAAGTTCCAATTTTAAGATGCGCCATTTACTAGCCTGTTCCGTGCTCATCTATTCAGACTTTCTCTTGGCACTATGCCCGCCCAATATCGACCCCTCTTCACTGTCGGTGATGGTGGCCTTCGCCGTCGGCGGCTTGTTAGGTGATACTCTCTTCCACCTCCTTCCCGAAATCTTCGTTGGCGAAGACTCACCCGACCACGTGAGCTTTGTGATGGTCGAACCCAACAAGAACCTACTCCTCGGTCTGGGTATCATGGTTGGCTTCTTCACCTTCGTGGCAATGGACAAGATCCTGCGCATCGCAACCGGCGGCGAGGGCGGCCACGATCACTCCCACCATGCGCACGCCGAGTCTATCGCCGCAGTCGCATCTGGAGCTGAGACCAAGAAGTCTGGTGAGCTCAAGCAGCGCAAGTCTACCAAGGAGTCTGAGGCGCCAGCAGCTGTCTCGGAGAAGGAAATTAACCCCAGCGTCAAGCTCGGTGGCTACCTCAATCTTATTGCGGACTTCACGCATAACATCACTGATGGCCTGGCGCTGTCTTCCTCCTTCTACGCGTCGCCTACCATCGGCGCAACTACCACCGTGGCGGTTTTCTTCCACGAGATTCCCCACGAGGTTGGTGACTTCGCACTGCTCATTCAGTCGGGCTTCTCGAAGCGTAAGGCCATGGGGGCTCAGTTCGTCACTGCCATTGGTGCATTCTTGGGAACCATCATCGGAATTGCGGTTCAAGAGCTTGGCGGTAACGGTACAATGTTGGATGACATCGAGCCTGTCGGATTGTGGGGAACTAGCCTTACATGGGGTGACATGCTTTTGCCATTCACCGCCGGAACCTTCTTGTATGTTGGTACTGTGGCTGTCATCCCCGAGCTGTTGGAGACTGGTAAGGACAAGGGTGTGGAAATCCGCAAGACCATCACCCAATTCTTGGCTGTTGCCCTTGGTGCTGGTATCATGCTTGCGTGAGTATTCATCTCCTACCAAACGATCGAGTCCCGCTAATGATTGATAGCATTTCCTGGCACTAAATTTACAAGATTGTGCGAGTGGTTTTACATCACTCTCCCACGGTCTCATCGGCTCATATCAAGTCGTGGAAGCAGCCACTCTTCACACTTGAGAAAAAGTGATATGAGCAGTCCATGGAATATCCCCTTGTACAACCTAGAGGTTTGTCATCAATGTAACGGATACATAGCACTTCATTTGAGATGACAGTCGGCTAAATTAGCCCAAAATAAATGCACAAGAACCACCAAACAACGCCCCTTGAAGTCCCCGAATGAATACCCAGTCATGTTCGTGGTTAGGCAACAAGAATGCAACGGCAAATTTAGAAATAAACCCCAAACACTTATGAAACAAGGCCCATGATGACGCTGCAAATGTCGAAGAAAGTTTCCCGGTGAAGATTAAAAGCCGGTAATGTAGAAACGCAAGCTATCACGAAGCCTACTCATTATAGTGATATACCTAAAATGTCGTTAGCAAGACCCCAGAGCGTCGAATGGAATATACATACGAAGTAATCTGGAACACCAATGACCTCGTATCCCAGCCTCTTCGCCATCTTGGCAAAGCCCTCAGTCTCGACAAGATGGAAGAAGGGAAAAGCAGGGAACATGGCGCCATCGCGGTGCACATCAGCCTTGACCATTAGAGCCGTACCTCCGACGCCATCCAAAGCAACCATCTTCCTAGTATCAAGGTTCTTCATATCAGGCAGATACGCCATGAGCGTGCGATACGTCGGCATCTCAGCATATCCCTCCAGCAAAATCTCATCAGGCCCCATTGTCTCAGCCATATTCTGAGCCGTCTGACTATCGATCCAAGAATTGAAATCGTACGGTCTGACATCCCACTTCCTCTTGCTTTTATCATAGAACCGCTGAAAGCAATTCGGAACAACAACAGGCTGATCATACCCCGTCAGATCCTGAATGAGTGTCCTAGGAGTCTCGACAACATCACTATCCAGCCAAAGCACCCAAGAAGTGGCCGGACCGAGTGTCGTGAAGACAAGACTATTCCTCGCGCGGCTCATTGATTCCCGGCGCGCTTTCTGAGCGGACATCGAATGTCGTACTTTTTCATCCTGCGATTTCAAAGGAGGCTCAAAGTCTTGGCGCAGGATGCTAATGCTTGCGAAGCGATTATCGATCGGACCGGACTGCGTCTTGGCGATTGCCTTTTCGAGCTTCGCAACCGCGGCATTTCCGTCGGCTGTTTTTGGCGCTATGAAGCCTAGCGATATGAGGTCGTGTGGGTAGCTGAGCTTTTCCAAATTGTCCCAGTATTCGGTGTAGAAGCGCGCCAGTGGAGTGAGGATCAGTAGGCGCTCGCCATTTGCGGCGGAGTGGGAGGTGCTGGTGAGGGCGTTGAGGTCGTAATGGACGACGGGTGGCGCGGCCTTGTGGCCATCTGGTCGGATGGCTTGGGATTTGAAGAAGGGTTTGGTGGGAGGTGAAAGAGGATGTTCTGCTGCGTTTTCTTGACGTTGTTGTGAGGTAGCGGGTTCGGGAGTGGCGGGGGATGATGGAGAGATCATAAAACAGATGAAGCCAAACGCCAAGATAGCGGCGAGCAAGATGGTGATTGGGCTCGTGCGACGCATTGAGCGAGCAACGGCCATGACCGATGGGTTGAAGCGATGTTGGAGAGCGGAGGTGCTGGGGATGAGATGCGGGAGTGCCTTAGGCAGGGAAGTATAGCGATGTTTCTCTGAGAGCAGAAGGCCCCGACATTGCCTTCTTTGGCATTCCGACAGCTCAAGGATTTAGCGGAAGGGTCAAGAACAGAAGATCTCAATTCTAGGATCCAATTACAGATGGCTCTCGACCGGAGCTCACATCCCGTATCGTTGCGGGCCGAGTGTCCGCCGAACGCGTATGACTGCTGATGTCTTGCATTATGTAGATTCAAGATGGTCATGATATTCTATGGTTCATTGGTCGTTCAAATACATCAGGCTAGGGTAGAGAGCGCATCACACCCTCAAAGGCAACAAGAGCCATTGCGTTCGCTGGGAATGCCCTCAAGAAACACGGCACAAAGCCTCGCCAGTATCCCTTGAGCCCGCGTTCACGCCAGACAGCAACCGCGGCGTCTTTCCAACCACGGAACTGTCGTTGACCATCGTTTAGTGATCCTCCCATAGGATCCGTCATCAGACGCTGCTTCACAACGTCTGAAGGGTAAGAGGTGAGCCAGAAGCACTGCGCGGAGATACCGCCAGCCCAGAAGTTAATGGCCGGAGCCGACATGCTCGTCTTTTCTTTGAAGACCCGAGTCAAAACGTCGTAGGAGCTCCACCAGAAGAAGAAGAAGGTTCGGAAAAAGACGGTCGCCCAAAGGCCGCGGTAAACACCTGCGATGCCATGCGAGCGGAGCTACAATCGTTAGCGAATACTCCCCCGACGTGAGATCAGACATACCATCTTGACCACGCAATCGATAGGTCCACTGTACAAGCGTTTAGTCTTGTCTGCTGCGTACTGCACCTGGAGTCGAGCCTTAATGTGTTCCACCGGAGCCGCAATGAAGCTAACCGTTGTGCCAGCCATGATACCCGCAATACCATGACCAAAGCTGGGCAAGATTGTCAGGTCCTGGCGCCCACAGAACGGGATATATGAGCGAATGTTCGGCCTGGAGAAGACGTTCTCAAGTAGAAGGCGGCGGTAGAGCGTTAACGATCCCAGCATCCTACATTGGTTAGAATCCTCCCAGAACAGGGTACAGCGGAAAAGCAAACTCACACAGAGTCCATCACCATCCATCCAACGAGCGGCGGGGTCGCGCCCTTGTAGAAACCCCTCAATCCCTCATTGCGTAACGTCTGCAAAGTGCAATCCAACGGACCTCGAAACTGTGCATCTTTACTCGTCTGCAAGCGAACCTTGATGGTATCGAATCTGACCTGTTAGCAGGGCCAATGAAGAGGGCAACGGTCGCACATACGGGTGTCCAACTATATTTCCCAGATCGGCAATTAGCTTGGGGCCGGCAGCCACATACGAAATCAACATACCGCTCAGCTTTGCAACACCGGAAAATACACCGGCCACAAAGCCCTTGTAGTTTGACTTTGATGATCCGGACTCTTCAAGCGCGCTCTCCGCAATTTGCGGCTTGTTATCCACGGGCACAGGCGCCTGCGCCATCGTGTTGCCCTTAATCCCTGATCCTTGTTTGCGTCACGCGCAGATTGTCGGGTCGTGCGCGGTGTGGCGATGTGGCGACAAAGGATGCGGGTTAAGGTCGCGTTCGGCGGCTTGGGGAAGTATGGGGTATGATTAAGGGGAATTGCGAGTGTTTAATGAATGCTTGAGATGATCGTCTTTGCAGATTCGGTTCGGGGAGGAGGGGTGTTCCTCCGAAAGTGGATGCCTCAGGCTGCCAGTGGCTTTCACTAGGGCCCTTTCGGGACTGGGGTAAATGGATCCGGGGGAGTTCTGCATGTCATCCTTTGACTCTTGATCGACACGGGGCCGCGATTAATGGGATCTTCAGGATTCTAAGTATGAAATGATATAGATTGGACATGCCAACTTCCAGAAATGGATGGAGTGGGGTATATAGTGTAGATACATGAATATCGTATGCAAAGAACACAGGCGATCTGATGTTCGAATGGAATGCCAAAGACGCAAGAAAAATCCCATGAGCCAGCGGTCAGCAGTCTCGGGCTAGCTCATTTTATGCCCAAACACCAAGGGAAAACAAAAAATCGAAAAAGAAAGCAAAAAGACAAGATCCCCAATCTCTAGGAAGAACGGCAAACTTCTGAATGTAGATGGAAACATCACCGCTTGGCATTTTTACGCATCTGCCGAGCCTTTTCCTCATAAGCCATGAGTTTCTCAACCAATTCCGGGGGATGTTGCTTGGAAACATCCCGAGTCCGGTCTGAGGCATTGCTGACCGAGCCATGCGCCAGGTAGTCGCCGGCTTCGAGGGCCAGTGGAGTGACGGGGCCGGGGCTGACCAGCGGGTCGAGTCGAGGGGCGGAGGGACCGGAGTGAGTCCCCTCCATCAGTTCGCGATGATACTGCCACATCATATCGCGGGATCCGGAGGTGCGATACGCGGGTTGGCGGGTTTGGCGGGGTGAGGGCGGCTGGACGCCGGTCGCATGCGAACTACTGGATTGGTACATGGCGGGGTGAAAGCGTGGTAGGCTTCCCAGGTGGAAGCCTTGCGTGGGCTTGGACTTGGATTGCGGCTGGGAGCGCCGTGAGGGCTGCGGAGAATTGGAGCGGCGAGGCGACATGATGGGGGAAGCAACCGGAGAACAGTAGGGGGAGGTGTCCGAACGCATGCTTGAATGTCGTGAGCGATGCCGGCGGACCGGAGAATGGGACCTGGCGGATTGAGATGCCCGTTCCCAATCGTCGAAGTAGGTGTGGTTGAAACGGCCGGTCAGTGGGGTGACGGGTAAGTCCTCGTGAGTCGATGGCCTTGGGATGGGGATGGGTTGGGTAGGAGATGATAATGTAAGCGAATCAACGTCCGGAATGGGGCCCGGCGGCGAGGGGGGAGTATAAGTAGAGGATGTGGCTGTCAGATCTCGCAGGGAGGACAGTGAGACGGGTGTGGGGTAGCCGTGCTTGGTGATCAGACACTCCAGATGGTCTCTTGGTTGGAATGCTGAGCGACGACGAGTGGGTGATAGGCCTACATATTTCTGATCAGCAGAATGTCACACGTGTTTAACCCTGGAAAGAATGGCCAAATATCGCGATAGCCGACGAATTATGTCAGAGTGAAATGCCCAGGTGAGGGAGGGCAGGGGTAGGCCAATAATGAAGGAGGGGAAAAGACACCCGACCTAAGGTTATCACTTACTGGCAATGGAACTGCGCGACGACGGATACAGGGAGGGAGAAGAAGAGGAGTAAGAAAAGGAGTCTCCCATCTGTTTTTTTTTTCGTGAGCACTTGCGGGGGACTCCACTATTGCGTATACAACACAAATCAGGCAAAGTCGACAAAGTCGACAAAAGACGAATCAGACATAGTATGCAGACAAACCAGACAAATCAGACGAATCAGACAAAGCAGACAAGACAGACAAAATGCAGAAATGAAACGGAGTGCACACCTTATGACGGATGTGCCGTACTGTGGCTCCACACGTACAGTAACTAGTAGTAGTTCAACTTGCAATCTTCCAAGGTTCTCTTGTCTTCACTCTCGAGGCATTCTCTCCTTTTAACAGCTCTCTCCATCCACACGCGCAACCTCCGGATGACCAAGCTTCTCATTTATATCACTTCCATCACATCCATCACAGTCAGGATCATGCGGGGCGTGTTCCTGGGGCCATCACCCGATAGGACACCCCCGCTGCCTATTGGCCATGTCTACAGTTTGGATTGTCTCGGTCTAGGCTGCAGAAGGATATCTTTAGAACACTTCTTGCGAGTCACAAGCAATGAGACCTTCCAATCCAATGCTGGGGGAATGGAAAAAACCGTCACAATACTAGTATAGTCACTACGGAGTATGACGGTTTCGTACTTTGGACAGCCGATCCTCTTCACCCGGACACCCCGCGGATTCCGACCTACCGTAGACACTAAGAGGGTTGCAGGTGGCAAGATGACGCCGATCGAGAGATTTTAATCATCCGTCCAGGGGATCCGAGATGAAAACTGTCTATTCCGTACAGTACTAGGTTTCGGGGCCCGGTGCCCCTGCATATTCTGCCCGGACCTTTCTGCTGTGCGACTCAAACGGATTCATTTGGGCATCCGTGGACCGTGGCCATCCAGCTTGATCCCAGAGCAAAATGCCTCGTTTACAGAGCCAGCACAGCAAGCGGGTCGACTCCGATACTACGTGGACCCAGCCCAAACAACAATCACCGCTCTTTCGGGGACCATTGACAGGAAGCCCCCCGGGATGAGATGAGCCTCTGGGAGAATCGGGAAAGAAACCCGTCAACGAACACGTATACTCCGGCACGATCGCGCCCCGACAGAAGTACAGGAAGCACCGTCCAACACGGGTAACGACCGATCGCACATGCACTCGATCTACAAATGGAGAAAAAGCCAACAAAAAGCCAACGCAAAGGAACGGCAATCAAACCCGATCTCCCAGCGGAAGGCTGCATGATCCGGGAATGCCGCAAGGCAACATTTGAGCTAAGCAAAGGCTAAAGCAAACATCAAGCCAGCTTCGAGTCCCGCCTTTTTCGCAAGTGAACCCCATTGCGGATGACCCACCACACCATCGGGATTCCACACCAAACCCACACTACGCCAGCGAACGTGTGGAACCAGCCTGTTCCAATCTTGTGGAGGAGTGGGTGCGCGCTCGCTGTCACACCCGCGCCCAGCAGACACCGCACCAGATTCACGGTCGCACCCGCGGCGGCAGGGAAGCCTGGATGGAGGTCCATGATCAAGGTGGTACCGACCTGGCAGATGGAGGAGGCCCAGAAGCCGAAGATGAGCTCCAAGCAGTACACGAATGCGACGGGGTATTGGTACTCCAGGAGCCAGCCGTAGACAATCTGTTACAGTCAGAAACCTATCAAAAACCCCCGGGTGGAACATACAATTGTGGCGCCGGTTATGCCCAGAACGGGAAAAGCGAATTGGAGACGGGCTTTCTCGATCGGAAAGTCGGGATAGTCCCTCATATCGGTGTCTGGGTCGAGGTTCATCTGTCGTGCTTCGCGCCGATACACCCAGTCGAGATACGTGCCCGTGGTGAAGGTGGACGTCACTGTGCCGGCGCTCCAGGCGAGAAAGAGATATCCTATCTGCTCGCTGGTATATCCGTAAGTGCTGTGCATGAGACTTGGGATGGTGGTCATGAGAGAGTATATGCCACTGTAGCTTTGGCCTATGATCAACAGAATCATAAGAGATTCAGGATCAGTGAGAATGACCCGTAAGATGGGCAGAGGGTTTTTGAGCCGGGTCTCTGTATTGACAGGCTGGTTGGATGTCTTCCAGTGCCGATTCCGACAGAGCATCTGTTTGATACTTCTATTCCACCAAGGTGGAGGAGTTGATCCGTCATGAACCACGTTGCGTGAAGTTTCAGGAAAGAAAAGCACCATGGGAACGAGTAGAGCGACGGCCGCGATACCCAGGAACCAAAATATAGCATGCCACCCTAGATGGTAAGTCAATAAACCGCCAGCCACAGGAGCACTGGAACATGATATTGTTAGTACCAGCATGCTCGACAGCAACATGAAGCTTACACTGTAGGTCCAATAATCTGCAAGGCCAGCATCACGCCCAAGAACGACCCTCTCTGCTTAGAAGCTGCGATATCAACAGCCACTGCGCTCGCCAGCGCAATGGTCGGCGAGGACCCCGCGCTTTGAAGACATCGCAGACCAAGTAAACTGCCATAGTCTGATTGCAGCGCCAGTCCAATGTTAGCCGCAATGTATAGCGTGAAGCAAACCATAAACGCCGGCCTCCGACCCGCGACGTCAGAACAGGTGGCAATGAAAACGGGCGAAATGCCCTGGAGAATCTAATACGAGTCAGCAGTGACATGCACTCATCGGGTCAATTTACGAACCATAAAAGTCGTGATCGTGAAATTGACTTTGGAATCGCTAACGTGCAGATCATCCGCGATCGGATTCAGAGCTGTCAAGTAGATGTTGGAGGACATTGGCGAAATTAAACTTGCGATCGAGGCCATAATCGTAATGAGATATTTAGATGCAGATGTGAATATCGAGAACGGGACGTTCGGAGTTCCCTGGGACTCTTGTTCTTCATCTTGAGACTTCGATGGTTTTACCGAGCATGTACTTGTACTGGTTGTGCTGGCGCTCATCGTGAGCCGATGTATCAGCAATCTTGGCTTGGGTCTTGATTTGGACTTGAGGTGATTCTTAGACAATGCCTTGTCAATCAAGGGGTGGAACAAAATTTCCGAGGTCCTGATCTCACACTGTAAGAGCTTGTTTTGATGGGATCTGCAGTCAACTATGTGAGCATGCCGGGTCTCTGCTAAATACCACGTATTTTGGAAAGGGGTTGACTTTCTGTCAGACTCAAACTGCCCTCATGTCAAGTTTGGACTTTGGTTTTGGTTTAGTACGTTTGATTGAGATCATCTTGGAGCTTCGTCGAGCACAAGAACGATGCTGAAATTTGAGAAGACATGGTGTTGAGCCCGTTCCTGGACTGGAGCGTGAGGTATAAGCCAAATTTGCTAGGTGCATTTTCTGAGCCTGGCTGTTTACTCTTGAATTGACGGGTCTCGGTGTTGTGAGAATTTCTCGTTGTTGTAGCATTTGCTTGTCGGATGATATACCTCAGGCTGGGGTGGAAGTACGAGCGAGGCAACACCGGAGTTCACCAACTTGGAAAACCACACCAAGCCCTACGAGATAGCAGTCGATCGTTTATTCTACGATTTTCAGGTTCATACTTCGCGGATGGCAGATTCCTAAATAAAGTGAAATGATTAATTCTCAATCAGCGAGCCAAAACAAGGCAGAAATCAATGCCTCAGCCTACGTTGCACAACATGGTATATACAGACTGCACGATGACCGAGGTCCAACCAGAGTGCTGAAATTCGAAAGGAGCAGCTGAGCAGCTGAGCACCTGGGGCAAACCTGCAGCCACAGATAACACTTCGAATCGCCACTTTGCGTGCTGAAATCCACACCCAACCCCTCACCAACCTGACATCCCAATCCCCACAATGGGAATGAAAGCGCGCTGCCAATGCGGCAAGATTCAGTTCACAACACCCACAGACAAGCCACTCAAGCTCTGGATCTGTCATTGCACAGAATGCCAGCATCAAAGCTCTTCCGCCTTCGGCATCACGGCAACATTTCCATACTTTGAACTTCCCGACAGTGCATCCCGTCTAGCAAGCAGCTATACCCGTGTCACTCTCAAGGGTCGCGAGATGCAATGTCTTTTCTGCAAGAGTTGCGGTGCCCGGCTTTTCCATCGTTTCCGAGATGCCGTACCGGCAGCAGGGGAGCAGCCGCACTTTTCTGCCATCACCAATGTCAAGGGCGGGTGTTTGGAAAACCTCAATAAGGAAATGCTACGGAATGCCGTTCATATCTGGTGCCAGGAGGCTATTGTCGATATCCCGGACAGCGTGGAAAAATGGGACCAGGCGCCACCCCAGCCGAATCCGTTGGTGACATGAGCACCGGCAGTCTGTAGGGCCGGGTGATTTGACCATCAAGTTTGAGGAATTGTTTTGAGCTTCCAGGCCCAAGAGAGAATATAATATATTAAACTGATAACCTCTGCGAGAGGCTCAGTGACTATATGCAATGAAAATTCATTCAACGACAGAAGTCCAGCCATTATCAATAGCAATGGTAGCGCCATTGATCTGACCAGCACCCCTTCCATAAGTCATATTTACACAAAATCCGGCAACTTCATTGATATCAACATAAGGTGCCTGGATCGCCTCGAGCACTGTTTTCATCTTCTCCATACCCGGCGCATTGAAGCCAGCTCCAAAAGCATCACCGATGTTAGTTTCCATAGCACCCATCATAAGGGCATTGCACTTGATCCCCATGTTACCATAGTAAGCAGCAGTGTTCTTGGTCAATCCAACGAGACCATGCTTACTAGCCGTGTACGCCGCACCTGGAACAGTCAGCGAACAAGAAAGAAGACGCAAAAGAGTACAAAGCCATACCACTTGCCCATCCAGCTTTGCCTGCAACAGAAACGATATTGATGATGCGCCCGTCGGGCTTTGGCTGCATCAGCATGTTGCGTACGGCATGTTTACTCAACAGCGCCGGTGCAGTAAGGTTGATTGCCATGACGCGATCCCACAGTTCCATGTCCAGCTCGCCGATTGGGTCGAAGTGATCCATGATTCCGGCGTTGTTGACGAGAACGTCAATCTTGCCAAACTTGCCAATGATAGTCTCGAATAGGCTCTCGACTTCGCTGGTCTTGGTAATGTCGGTCTTGATGGCCTCCAGGGGACCCTTGGGTGCCAATTCAGCCGAAGTGGCCTGCAGGCGCTCTTCATTCACGTCGCAAATGACCACGCTGGCGCCGGCTTCGAGGAAATGGGTTGCGATTGCCTTGCCTAGGCCGCCACCACCGCCGGTGATGAGACAGGTCTTTCCTGCGAGGACCTGATCGGACATTTTGTGAACCTTTGCCGAAAAGAAAGAAAGAAAGAAAAAGGATGCAATTAGAATGCAATAAGATGAGGAATTGAAACGATAGGAGAGCTCGACAAAGAGAATGAGAGTACGGAGAGAAATCCAAGTATACTGTCCGTAGAAGCGTGAGGGTATAGCAATTTCGAGTACGGAGTAGAATGTGGGATTTCAGGGGCAATACAATTGAATTCTATAGTTAAAGATATTTTCGGCGGAAGGCTCTCCATCCGCTTTCCGTTGGCGTTGGACCACATTGTTATCCACTTTAGGCTCGAAGAGTCGGTTCGGTTGCCGCGTCTCTCCCACCTGGGGACTGTAGAGCCGAGTTAGCTCCAAGGAGGTTCGCCAGTTGTCATTAGTATCTATCAGTAGTTGCAGATACAGTGACGAGTGTACTCCGTATGTACAATAGTGTGCTAATGCATACCTCGCCCTGATATAGGTCTTATTATATTAACAAAGGAAGTTGCAGGCTTGGGTTTCAGTAGAAGACGCAGTGTAGATGAGTAGACCTGAGAGCCCTGCCCAAGTGCGTTCCAAGGTTGCGTTGCGAAGACTCCGTGTTCCGGTGCTTGACTTGTTGCCTGAGGCATCCACGGAACTTGGCTATCCGGGAGCCCTAAGCCCTATTCCCTCTTTGGGACATCCTTCTATGGATGGCAGGCGTTCCTAGAGTATCACCAGCGGACATCAAAGCATACCGAGGGTAATACGTGCCTATGCTAAGAAAAGAGATCCTGAATATTCCAAGGTCCTTAAATCAGCAAAATTATACCGGAAGCTTGAGGTCTTTTCAAACCATGAAAAGACCGGCTCGGAAATTGACTACTGTTAATTTTGAAAGAGTCGGAATAAAACCGTGAGATATTTCGATATAGCCCGAATTATTGGACTGCTAAGGTGCTAGATCTGCTGGAGCTTCAATCCCGTTCAAAATTGCCGGTGTCAGAGAATCGTGTCACGATACATATCCTGGCGTGAACTATGTATCATTGCGCAGCGTAGGTCTGACTTGGGAAATTTGCGACTTGGGACCCCGCCATGACCTATTGTGTCGCCAATTTTGAGAGGTTTCTGCGTCAAGTATTCATTATTGAAAGCATGGCTATTAGCTGAATATTTAGGCCCACCAATGCGTCTATAGATGGGTACGTCTTTGCGACATTTGTGCATGATACAATCCTTCCACCAGTGTGTCTTAATAGGAGAGATCTATAGACACAAACCAAGCAAGTAAGGAATCGGAAATCCCTAACTGCACATCTGCTCGAGCGAAAGTGGAAGAGGTCGAAAATCGGAATTGGTGGACGGCAGGGGAAGTAGAAAGAAACCGAGAGAATCGACTTTTTTCTTTCATGGTAAGATCTCAAGTTCAACTTTGGAAGGCCTTATCCCTGAAAAAAATCAAGCTTGCCAAGCAGGTGCCGCATCCGATTTGACACTTCTGATGGGGCCCACGACATCTGCCGTAAAGGTGGAGATGTCTGATACCCCCCACGCGCCGTGAAGAGATACGATCGTGTCAATATACTCCATTTGTACTGACATATGGAGAAAAAGTGGACCCGGTGATTTCCACGATAAAGACGGCTACTCAGATGCGCAGATACAATGATCAATTTGACTTGGACAGTCCTGATACCACTCCAATCCCAACGAAGTGGCATCAGGTTCTACCATTCAAAATACAGCCCAGCACGAGGACGGCGCCACAAACGCCAAAAATGCTTAGGCTCTCGTCCCTGGGCGAATGGCAGTCCGGGTAAGGCTACAGGTTTACCGGTGTCTCCGGTGTTCTGGCACCTGGGCAGACGGGATTGCCGACATAAGGCGGAGGTATAATAACCTAATACCGCGGCGATTTCTCTTGCAATTGCCTAATTGCCTTCTTATCACGCCCTTGATATAAGACGATTCTCCCCGCAAAGAAGCGGAGCTCAGTGTGGTTCTCCGACCCGGTTGGCAGCCCGAGCCCCACAGCCATCGCGCAGACCTTCTCTATCCGGTAATCGGGCGAGTACATCTATCTTATCACGACCTCGGGATATCTGTCTACCCCGGAGTTATGACACAAATTTGGGAGGGCTTACTTTTGGGATGCCCGTTTATAAGGCATTTGACCCCATTGCCGGTTGACTACATCACTTAACCACATCCCTGCAGTCATGTCTGAAGAAGACAATCAGAAAGTATTCCAAGGCACACCGAGTGAAGATGTTCGCCTCGAGAACCTGGGCTATGAGCAAGGCAAGTTTGGAGTCGAGGCTTTGGCGCATCGTTGCTAACCTGAACAGAGCTCAAACGCTCTTTCGGCCTGATCAGTATGATTGGTTTTAGTTTCAGTGTCGTGACATCGTGAGCATGGTTCAAGGTCTAGCTGAAGCCAGCTAATCAGTTGCATAGATGGACTGCATTGAGTGGTGTTTTCATCGTCGGTGTCTCCTCCGGTGGACCTCCCGTGATGGTCTTTAGTTTCATCGGTGTCAGTCTGTTGACTTTGGCCGTTGCTATCCCCATGGCGGAGATGTGTTCGATGTATCCGGTAGCAGGGGGGCAGTATTCCTGGGTTGCGGCCCTCGCTCCACCGAAAATCGCACGAGGCCTCTCTTATGTGACAGGGTGGTTCATGCTCATCGGTAAGTTCGCATCAGGGCTCCCTGGGACGTTGGAAATCCACTAACCTGCCACAGGACTCCTCGCTATGGGTGCCACGAATAATTCCATCGCTTCCAACTTCGTACTGGGGATGTCACATCTGGTCTTCCCTACTTTCGAGATCCAAAGATGGCAAACAGTACTCGTGGCCTATTGTGTCGCGTTCCTCTCCACTGCCATCAACCTTTGGGGGTCACATTTCTTGCACAAAATTTCGAAAGGAATCTTGATTTGGAACGTCTGCTCCTTTGTCATTGTCACCGCCACCATCCTTGCCATGAACGATCACAAACAGCCAGCCTCTTTCGTTTTCCAGGACTTCCAGAACAGCACCGGGTTCGGTACTGGAATGGCCGCAATTGTCGGTGTTCTTCAGGCTTGCTTTGGCATGTGTTGTTATGACGCCCCATCCCATATGACCGAGGAAATGAAATCCGCTTCAAAAGAGGCACCTAAAGCCATCGTTCTAGCTGTGATCCTGGGTGCCGTCACTGGGTTTGCGTTCTTGGTCACTCTTTGCTTCTGTATCGGTGACATCGAAACTACCGCAAACACGAGCACGGGCGTACCCGTGATTCAGATCATTTATGATTCAACTGGAAGTAAAGCTGCCACATGCGTGCTTTCCACTCTGATCTCAGTGATTGTGATTGTCGCCGGAAACAACATTCTGGCCGAAGGATCACGAGCTGTTTACGCATTTGCTCGAGACAATGGCTTGCCATTCTCCAAGCTTTTCAGTAAGGTCGAAAGCAAGACTCATGTTCCTGTCAACGCTGTCCTACTCACCCTCGCGGTACAACTGGCCCTTGGTGCCATCGAATTCGGTACCACAACCGGCTTCCAAACCGTCATTGCTATCTCGACCGAAGGCTTTTGTAAGTCACTAGTGACCCATCGTATTGAGCCGTTCATTGATCAGATTCGCAGATATGTCATACGCCATGGCGCTCATCAGCAGAATTCTTGGCTACTACACCGGCCATGTTACCAAGCTTGACGGACCATACGCATTCTCCCCCTCCGTTTCAATCGCCCTCAATGTGATCGGACTACTCTTTCTTCTTTTCGCGGCAATCACTTTCAACTTCCCCAGCGAGTTCCCGGTCACCCACGAATCCATGAACTACACTAGCGCGGCTGTCGGTGTCGTGGGTCTCATCAGCTTCATCACATGGATCACAACTGGACGAAAGCACTTCTCTGGTCCGGGTGCGGTGAGCTTTTTAAGTGGTCAGAATACTGCAGCTGGCACCGTGGAGCCGACAGAGTACGAGCAGAAGAGCTGAATAGCTCTCTTTAGATTGGCACATCTCGCTTGTACGATATTTCATGTGGGCGTTTAGTTCGATTGAACATGTTGCCTAGTAGCTTAGAATAAAAGAATTCACATAATGAAATGGGTTCTTGTGAATCATTCTGGTCACCGTCACGGCTGCCTTGAAATTCCATTGCATGGCAGATACCTGGATCCTACACCCTAGCAGGCTAGCACCTCATCCGCAGTAAAATGCAGGGTGAAATAATTCTGGGAATACCCAAAGCCCTACCAAGCTAAATGAGCAGTGTGCGTTATGCTTGGCTACCACAGATCCAAGCGCCGCATAGCCTCTAGCTGCCTCGTTTCGGTTTTATCCGCCAATATGGCTGCCTTGACACGTTGATCAAAATACACGATCAGCAACACTCTCACGGGTATGCCCACTCAAGCCCAGAACAATCGTCTGGACCCTTGCCTCGGGAAGAATCAGGTATAACATCCTGTGAAAGGTCGATCCAACTGCTGATCTTGTGATACGAGATGCAATTGGTACGGACTGTAGATGGGGACACTGCGTCATCAAGTATGGGAGAAAACCGTTGCTCGATTTACGGGCGGCAGCCAACCTTGCTTATAGGTCTACTTGGGAGATGCATTTGCCGCGTGTCAATGCATACGGATGCAGCCCAGAGGCAACTATGGACTGGAATCGAAAAAGAAATCTCCAGCCCCTGTGTACAGCACAAAAACGGATTTGAGATCAGATAAATTATTCCGAGCCATACAGGAAAGCCCAAAATTATTGGAAACTAATTCCCAGGCGTGGGCGATTCGCAAAGCGTCAACGCAATACATGCAAGGGTCCACGGGTCAGATGGCGCAACCCCAGTTGACTTCCCCACAGAAGATCTGTCATGCAGATCTTCCCGGTAAATCTACGATCAGACCTACGTACGCATCGCATATCGTTGCCCAGGTGGCCCTGATATTTCTACACCGCCGTTCCTATGTCACGACTGATTCGAGAATTCTCCAGAGCAGCACAGTACATAGAGGTTTTCTGGTACTTAGCGTGGACGATCATATGGACGAGGTTGTTTGTATGGTCAATCTTGCATTTATGACCTACCCATGCATGTAGGTTGCAAGAAGAGGGGGGGTCGGTATGTAGAGTTGGCACGGTTAGTGGGACTAGGGACTTTCTGCAAGTCATACCATCTGGTCCCAGGGAGTTTAAATTCAAAGGACTGATTGTCGAAATATTTGACTCTGTTCTGAATCACCCCAGCCAAGGCATGCTGATACAATACCCCGAGTCCTCGTCGCCCGAGATGGATCACTCAATCGTTCCCATGGCGCCTCTTTTTTCAGATGAGACTTCCAGCACGAATATTGCATTGAGAACTCTGAAGAATCTCCAAAGCCTCAGCCCCGAGACTCGCTTTATCCGCTTTCAATGGCAGGATCTTTCGGGCGTGGTGAGAGCCCGTATAGCACACATCGAATACGCATTGAAACTGGCGACTAGCAAAGGACATGTTCGATTAAGCCCCGTGGGTTTGCAGAGTACACTGAGCGGCCAATTATTCATAAACGGATGCCTCCAAGGCACACAAAGCCTGGCTGCAGACTGGTCATCTTTAAGAATCATCAAAGTGAATTCCCCCGGGCCTTCATACGCAACGGTGATGTGCGGCGTCCTTGGGAGCTCGCCTGAACGTCCCATTCAAAACAGCAACGTTTGTCCACGGGGCGCACTAGCAAATGTGATCCGCAAAGCATCCGAGCAACACGGAGTGCATTTCCTGGTGGGGTTTGAAATCGAATTCGAAGTGGTCAAGATTGACCCTTGTGGCAATATAGTTGCCGCGGCCAACTCGTTGGGTCGATACTCGGTGGCTGGAATGCTCGATCCTTGCTTCCAGTTCGTAGAAGATGCCGTGCAGGAAATGATGGAGGCCGGTGCTCTCATTCAGGAGATCCATGCCGAGGGATACGTTGGCCAGTATGAGATTACCCTCGCTCCCTTGCCCCCTCTGCAAGCCGTAGACCAGCTCATTCTGGTCCATGATACTCTGAAGCGAGTGTTTGCTCGTCACCAGCTCATTGCCAATATGTCCCCGGTTTCGATCTCCAGCCAAGAGCAGGGAATAGGACAACATACGCACATCTCGATCAACCCACCCATCAAAGAAGAAGCCTTCCTGGCAGGTATTCTCAAGCGCCTTCCTGGGCTGTGTGCTTTAACACTTCCCCACGATGTATCATATGTTCGTGTGAAGCCATTACAGGCCGGCGAGCATGTCGCTTGGGGGACGCATGCTCGGCACACCCCGATCCGGAAAATGAACCCCGGACATTGGGAGCTCCGAAATGTGGATTCAACGGCCAATATGTATCTCAGTCTCGCCTCGGTTTTCAGCGCGGGCCTTTTGGGCTACCAAAACGAAGAAGCTCTGATATGGCCAGACATGGCACATGTGTCCAGAGACACACTTGAAACCGAGGCCAAACGGCTACCTTCTACGGTAGACACGGCTCTGAGCTCTCTGGATGAAAGCACCGAGGAACTCCAGTCTATGATGGAAAGCGGCGTGGTGCAACATTATCTCCAGATGAAACGGTGGGAATTGGGTATCCTGAGGAACATGGATCCCAAGGATGTGAGGGCACTTCTGGTGACGGTGTTCTGAAATTGTAACAAGATTATCTCTTACCTTTTTGCTCCGTGTGTCAAGTCCAACAAAATTTACAATGCCTCGACATTCCGCGAAATACCGCTTTCCATGGACCAAAAAAAAAAACGTGAATTACACCCCAAAGGGCTAGATTCCGGTATCAACGGGGTATCGAAAAGGTACATCGCTTCAAAGCGTACATGTTGATATTGCAAAGCCTATGCAGGCCGTTTTTCAGTTTGTTCAGGCTCCAAATTGGGGCGTTTCATGCTCTGACACTTCTTCACATCCTCGAGAGTAAGAAGGCGGCTAATTGTAGCCTTTTTGCACTTATTGTTGACTTCTAGGAGTAGATCGGCGTATGTAGCATTGGGTGTCTCGTGCATCTTTTTAAGGATCTTTTGACGATCATTTTCATCGAGGATCTTTGGGCGCCCAGATCGCTTCATGGATTGGTCATTGGTTCGAGTCCGAGCACGAAGGCAAGTACTTTTGATCGTTGATAATGGAATATGCGGGTATTCTTTGTGGATATCCCCGTACGACCATTTGGCGATCTCTTTGAGAGTAGTGATTTTCGTGCGTGTATTAGCGTCTAATTCACACCCACGGCGCCTAGGCTGCTCAATTGGGGTCTCAGCAGGTGGCCTAGGGGGTGTAGGTAATGGTTCCCTGGGCACAGGGCGCGGTGGTGCTTTCACGTGGGGTGGCATGGTTGAATAATATTCCTAGTTGTAGAACGCGGTAAAACGCGAGCGCGTTTCTGCATACAAGGCATGACTAGTCCATATTCGGAAGGCGGTATAGAAAGCGGTCAGGTGAGTAGTTCCAGACTTTTGGATCGCAAACACGGCTTGGCGACGGTGAGAGACGAAATCCCCTTGAAGTGTTTGTGGACCCTGATATCAGGCTCTTGTCATTTCATACAGCAAGCTGAAATTGAAGAAGCCGTTGTCAAGCTCAGCAAAAGAGATGAAGAGACGAGAAAGCAATTGTCACAGGTGGAGATGGCGGAGTTCACCAGGGGAGAGCGCCAAATGTGTCAAACCGGAAAAGAGCCGGTGTCCACTCCGTAAGCTGCCTTGACACGGGTTGCCAATATGACATCCGCGGGGAGCTGAAGCGGTACTCCATACAATGAGGTCCTTGGCTCTGATGAAAATCCGCCTGGAGATGTCAGAAAAGAGAACCAGCAGGGGAACACTGCGAGGAGACATTTCGAAGTCCAAATTGTGTCCGCGTTGGGACAAGGGACCCTTTCTCATGTCCCCGCGCAAAGTGAACCCTGAGGATCCCCGAGCCTAGATCCTCCGGAGAATTAAGAAAGTCCCAGAGCAGAGATGAACTGATTTGAAGGGCTGAAACATAGGCTCTCGGGTGAAGAGCCCGTTCCGTCCGAAACTACTTTAATTCAGACAGGGGCCACTAAGCCATCCACTCGACACCATTCGACACCACTCTATTCACCATCTGGGCCGATGAATGATACCGCCACTGTCTCAACGCAATTTCCTCAGTGAAATTTCCCCGAGGATTCGCAGATGTTGCCCCATCTATTAAAGAGTGACGATCCCGAGCCTCAAGCATGTCAAACAGCAACACCCTCCCAAGATGCGTGGGACTTTCGTTCTTTCATTGCTTTCCGCGGCGCTGGGCGCCAGCGCCGCTGTTTCCAAGTCTAACCTGAAAAGTCACGTCGATGTGCTGGCACTCGACTATGCTTTCAACCCCGTGGAGCCTGCCTACTGGACTGGATACCCCCATCACCGTCGGACGCCTTTTGCCGTCTCGCCTGATGGGAAGTCCGCATACATCGCCTACCTGGACTCGAGTGCAACGGACGTCCACGTGCAGCAGGTTGATCCGTCCACCTTCGCTGCCACGGGAACTACCGTGACTGTGTCCGGTGGAAAAGAAGGTCGGTCGGAATGGTGTTGTGATCCAAGGGACGTGACTAACCTAAGATACAGCCGGTGGCCTTGTTGCTCACAATGATGGATTTGCCCTTCTGACCAACGAGGCGATGCCCTCTGGCACTACCAACGCCCCGTCTGGCGAGACTCCCGTGCCCGTTCTGTACAGATACACCTCCGGCAAGCAGACCTGGAAGACCTGGCTCGGTGGACCCGGTGTCCACGCCTCTGAGGGTCTCTCTGCTTCCCCCGACATGAACGGTGATCTCGTCTACTCCGAGGCCGCCGAGCTGTACGGCGCGTACTTCGTTGTGACCGACTACAGCGGCGACGCATCGGGTCACTTTGGAGACAGCGTCGAGTACGTCACGGCCGATGGAACTCTCAAGCAGATCGATGGTGCCACCAGTGCCTGGGGATGTAGCCACAACACCGGTATTGCCTTCGAGGCCGCCGATGCCGCTCCATTTGCTGGAATTTGCGCCGAGGACCAGGGCGCTATCTGGCTCAACACCAAGACCCAGGGCATGACCACCGACGGCGTTAAGATTTCCAACGAGAACACCACCAACGGAGCATCCGGAGAGCCCATGGGCGGTATGTCCGGCAGTTACAGTGCGTTGGCCCGGTTCGCCGAGACCACCAAGTACATCTTCGCCTGGGTTTCCAGGGGCGCAATGGACGTGACCGAGAACGAGTGGATGGGATCTGGTTACACCAACGTGCAGAACCGTACCAACGGCCGCAACGTTGCCATTGCCCTCTTCTCGGACAAGTACACCAAGGTCGGAGCCGAGGCTACTTCCGTTGTTGGCACCGAAGATGGTGACAGCCAGATCAACTGGGTGACTTCTGGATCCAACGACTGCTCCAACGCCCATGCTGCCACTTTCGGCAGCAGCAACGCCCTCATCACCTGGGAAGAGATCTCCAACCCAACCTGTGATTTCATTGCCATGGGATGTCGCGGCTCATTCGCCGGAACCTTCTTCCAGCAGGTTGACTCGACCGGCTCAAAGGTTGGCGAGGCATTCAGCAGTGAAGATGTTTACGTTGCCGGTGACATGGTCACCATGTCTGATGGTCGTATTTGCTGGCCTTATGTGAGCATGACTTGGGATCTCTCCCAGGCCAATGACGGCACTTCCGCCGCCGGAAAGAAGATGAGCTTCGCGTGTATGAGCCTGACTGGTACAACTGAAGCCTCTAACACAACTGCCAGCGCCACCACCAGCGCAGCTGCCAAGGTGGCAGTGAGCGAAACCGCTGCCGCTGTCACCAAGGCCGCCTCGGCCGAGACCGTCGTTGCCTCCAGCCAGACCACCGAAGCCGCAGTTGAGGCTACCAGTGGCAGTGTCGCCGCCATTGGCGATGACTCTGAGAATGTCGCCGCGACCAGTGCCGTCGTCAAGTCTAGCGAAGCCACCGTCGATTCTGCCGCCACTGCCAGCGCCGAGGCTAGCAGTGTCGTGGATGCCATTGGCAACGACTCCGAGAGCGTTGTTGCAACCACTGCTATCCCCGCGGCTACTCTCAGCGCCGACACCAGTGCTTCAGTGAACGAGACTCCTGTCGCCACCCCTGTCGATATCCCCAGCACCCCCAGCGCGGCTGCTGCCGAAAGTGGATTCCCCGGCGGTTCTTGGGGCGAGATTCCTAGCGGTGCATTCGATGCTGCCCCTAGCGGAACCCCCTCGGCAACCGCTAGTGGAAACGGTCACCACGGTCACCCACACCACGCACACAAGCACCACGGGCACCAGGGCCACAAGTGGGCTGAACTGCAGGCCCAGGCTCAATCTCAAGCTGCCGCCGAGCCTACTGTTGGCTCTTGCAAGTCCCAGTAGGTTGGGCCATGTATTTTATATTAGAACATCATAGGATGGGCTCCTAAATCGACAAGCAAACAATGTTCTCTCAAAATTTGGATTTGTAAATCAGTTCGAGTTGCTACGAAACGCGCATACTAGGTACGGGTCCATCTAGCTCAGGAAGGCTGGCGAAGGCTTGGGCCGATTTCCTTATCGAGCGGACTGCCATAGGGTATGTAATATCCCACCAAGGGACCTCGGGACTCGCCCAATTCACCATCGTGTGCTTACCACAGTCCTGCGATGTTTCGCAGTTTCAACACGTCAATGACAAAGCTCATCCAACTCCCTCTCCGCTTCATTCAACTGCCGCCGCCGATTTTGAATCTCAATACGCTGAGCCGTGAAAGCCTCGTGCTGCGCTTTCTTCCACTCATAATCCCTCTTAGCCTGCTCATACTGAGACAACAACCCATTCATCTCCTGGTGAGCATGCAAAACATCCCCACTCTCTGGCTTCATCATTTCCTCAAGCTTCTCCTCATCGACCTTGAGCGTATACCGAGCACCCGAAATCAACGACCTCAGCGAGCCAGTAGATTGATATGTTGGCAGACGTGGCGACGGACTTGAGTTCATCTCCGGGTTGGCGGGTGTGTCAGACACCCCAGCTTCGGCATCGGCTTCGGCCTGAAGTGGACTCAACAGTGGATTCACGGGCCTCAGGTCTGATTTGACATTGGCTTCAGCTTCAGGCTTCGGCTCCTCATCCTTTCCGATCCCAGCTGGCGACTCGGCTCCCAGGTCCGGGGATTGGTGGAGCGTGGGGGGTGATGGAGGCTTGAAGCGATTGACGAATTTTCCATTTTCGATCTAGGACAGAGGTGTCAGATTGAATATTAAGGCTATTTCGAGTCCAGATACCCACCTCCAGGAATGTTGAAGGCGTGGTCAGAAGATCGGAGCTGTCGTGGGCCTCGGCGGCCGGCTCGGAGTCTGGTACATCTTCGACTGGGGTCGAGGAATGAAATGCTTCCTCGCGGGCCCTTAGAAAATTAGAGATAGGAATTATCTGCCTCGGATGCGAGCTTGACCTGTTAGTATGTCATTTGAATGGTATCCAGGCGAGCGTTGCGGCCTCAGTGCTAGGAGTACGTGGCTTACTGAACAGGTGCCTCCTTTGCGGGAGATTTGCTGGGACCACGAGTTTCGGTTGCATCAGGAATGACATCAGGCCTCTGGTCTGGGAGTGAGGGCATGTTTTGCTGGCTACTCCTAGTAAACACCATGTCTGTTTTGATGGCTCTATCATGGATCGAGTACACCAGCTAAAGAAGGGGAACGAGTAGAGGAACAAGATCTGAATGAGAATACCAGAATTGTTAGAACCAATATATAGTCATGGGCCATCTGTGGCAAACGATTTGGTAGTTTGGTATTTGCTATTTGGCTTGCTATTTGAAGTTGTGTTAACAGCGCCATCATCCATGGATTTGTGCACGCAGTTACAGGTAAAGCACAGCATCTCCCTGAGCCAACATGTCCCTTCCAAGATTCAAATCTCAGAGAATGCCCATCCCTCAGCGTCTTGCATAACCTGTTACCTCAGATTCAGCACGAAACTTGGAACCTGATGAGCTTGGGAGTAATTGTCCCCTCTGTTCATCTCAAGCGTAGTCGCACCAGGCACCATACACCCGGATATATAGGCAGCTGGCTCACCATGCAACCCCCACAGTAGTCAACACATACGTAGAGATCGTTATGATGCCAGCAAGGACAACTGAAATGGGTTTCAACGTTGAAACACATCAGATGTCTGGGCTACGCACTCGTTAAATGCCGACATCTTGACTCGGGTAGGCGGGGTTGACATCGGGCGACGACCTTGGAGACCTACAGGGTTTCTTCGACTTCATACTGCGCCTTGCATACTTGTACAAAGTACCGTGCAGCCCTTTGAAGTCGATCTCTTAGCACCTGGGCACACATCTCTGATTCAATCAATACTTCAAATGGCTGTGATCTTCCAAATCAGATCAATCGCACACAGATTGCCGAATCGAAAGCCCACATCATGGCCGCGCAAGACAACAAGCCTGCCCATCAGCGTGGGTGCCATGATGCCCGTGCTGCCAATTAGATATGATCGATCAACTAGCCAAGGTCGGCCTTATCCAACTGGCGGTCTGAATTTGCGATCGGCCCCGCCCAAGTCCCCATGCACAGGCCATGCGAGATCTGCACGGATCCCAATATCGGTGTGTTGGTCAAAGTGACGACGAAGTGTATTGGACACCCAATCAGGCTGAAGTTGTAAATAGTTGATGAGCTCATACCCTCGCCGCCCGCTCGACTTGTACAACCCCGGAGACGTCAACCTGTATCAGGGCCTGAATGAGCGAATCCCATCTGTGCGGTGATCTGCCGGTGTTCGTGCCAGTGTATGCAGCCTAAGATGCGGTATGGGACTGGCCAATGAAGGCCTTTCTCGGGGTCGGGGCTGCATCGGAAGTACAGTAGTGGGGACATGGGGTGATGAAAATAGTGCTAGTATTCCATCGGGTTTATATTCAGAAAAGCCCTCGTGAACGATTCAAAGAGCTGTTACACTATCCAGGACTTTGCACGTACGACCAATTATTCCATCATGTTGGCTTGTTTCCTGCTCGGAAGTGCTGTGGCCTACAACTTGGTCATGGTGATCTACCGGCTCCATCTCCATCCATTGAACAGATTCCCAGGACCCCGCCTCGCTGCTGCAACAGGACTGTATGAAATCTATTTTTCGGTCTGGGGAACCGACGGTTTCAAGGACGAGATTGAAGAAATGCACCAGATATATGGTAGGTTCGTTGACACGTGAATGAGACTCTTTCTCACACGTTCAGGCCCCATCGTTCGCATTACTCCCGATGAGGTGCATGTCCAAGAACCGATCGGAACACGTTCTGTCGACCGGTGGATCAAAGGGACACGGATCCAGCCTCACGGGCACGCATCACGCAAGTTCCAGATCAAGCAGCGATCCATCTCTCGGGTCCGATCCATGCTACGAGGGGAGATCGACCAGATTATCAGTGGGCTGGTAGAAAAGCATCTCGCACATCGAGTCACTAAGCTGCGACCGCTGATGCGGCATCGAGTGGCAAGCGAGAGTGATCTAGAAGACGCCGATCCTGGATTGAACTCTCAGAGACCAGCTGGGAGCAGACCCTAAAAGTGAGAGACGAAAAGAGTTTCGGGGTTTGGACGTCAGAACAGAGTTCACCCCGCGACGAGAATGATTCGGAAAACAAGCGCTCTGGTTCGAAGTGAAGCGGAGCGACGTGAGTCCCAAAGAGGCAGATGCGCGAAGATCGGTGGTCCAGAACGAAGGCGGTAGCCCGCACATTCTCCTCTGGCGACTTCCACCACTTTGGAATATCATCCCACGCCGTTCATCATGGTAAGTAGAAGTGCAAGCATTGTATCGTCCGTCGCTCACCTATTCAGCCTCATGCCGACTCCTCCTATTTTGCGCCTGGCTCGTCCAAGGCCGATGTGTACGAGATGCTTCTGATGCAAACACAGGGCCTCTTGGACGGCCAGCGGAATTGGGTCAGGTAAAGACCCCAATCCTGATTTAAGAGATCTCACTGACAATTGCTAGCAATCTGTCCAATGTCGCATCTCTACTCTGGCACGCCTATGCCTCCCTCCCCGCCCCCTCCTCCTCCGTCAACTGGGCTGGCTTTTACATCCGCGATGACAAATTCCCCACCCTCGCCTCACCCATCTCCTCACCTCCGCTGGCTGGTCCACCAGGCACAGGGGGCGTGACCATCTCTACTACCTATACATCATCCGAAGACCAGCTGCTCCTGCTTGGTCCCTTCCACGGCAAGCCCGCCTGCCAAGAGATTCGCTTCGGAAAGGGTGTTTGCGGAACCGCTGCTGCGAAGCGCGAGACTGTCATCGTGCCCGATGTGCTGGAATTCCCGGGTCACATCGCATGCGACGCTGAAAGTCGCAGTGAGATCGTGGTCCCCATCCTGGTGAACGGCGAGGTAAGGGACCCCATTTCCGTGTTGACGACCCCGCTAACAAACCATAGGTTGTCGCTATCATCGATATCGACTGCACCGATCCCTCCGGCTTCGATGATGAAGACAAGAAATACTTGGAGCAATTGGCTGCTTTCCTGGCCGATAACTGCGATTGGTGAAGTTATCTCGACCATACTCCCGACAGGGATTTCGGCTGGGGATTGAGAGGAAATCTTTGCGCGCCGGCCAACCTTCGTGACTGCTGTCATTTCACATAAAAGTTTACAAAATTTCTATTGCAACAGCCTGCTACTGCCACAGGTTCTTATGTTTTATATATATTGGTTTTCATGCAGAGTAAATAAACAAGATCCAGAACCCACGCCGAAGACCCAGGTACTACTCCGTGCAATTTTGGAATTTCGCGGCTCATGCTCGAGCAGTGCATCATGGATCAAGTCCAGTTCCCACATTTATGTGAGGGTACAGGGATCTCACAGTATCAAAACCTTGACAGGGTACTCCGTACTTTGTCCAGCTTCGCTTATAGCCTTTGTTTTACATTGGCCAAGCTTTGAAGATTCACCATACAGCCGACGTGGTCGAGGCATCGATTCAATTTTGACTACCGAGGCCGGGACTGAAATACGCCAATCCTCAGATTGACGAAACTGGCCACAGGCGTTTTTCATCCTGAGCGGATGAAGTAGAAAAGCTCAGAGCGTACTGATCGGGGGCGCTTCATCGATCGGAAATGGAAATTGCCATGGCTCATAACATTTTCATAAATCGGTGATCGCAAAACCACACATCAGCCAGGCATTTACTGCTCTTCGGGTATATCATGGATCATCCGGACCGGACCCGAGGAGCCCCAAGGCAAACCGATCGTGAGGCTGTGCTAGCAGTTGTCACTCGAATTAGGCTCAATTGGCAGAGATGATAGACGTGCCCCATTTCCTTCCCTGGTACCAAAACAAGCAGACGATGAGGGGCGAGAGATGCAGATCGGAAACCCTGACCAATTGGCCCCAACAACCTGTCGCAGCCCGCGGGCTAATTCGACAGCGCATGCGCCACTCTGCAGGACAGAAATTGGCCCCCAAAAGATTAGAGTCCAACGCTTACTGGGGCTTATTGTGGAACGGGACTAGTCCCTGACGATAAAATGAGAAACCAGCCTAGCCGGCAAATTACGAGCTCTCCGGATCGGAAGAATGGGGTTTTCCCAGTCTGCGACGACTTAGACCCTGAAAAATCCCAATCTTACATTGTGCTATTTGGACTGCGGATCGACCATGGGCTGGTGGCTCGTCTTGCTTTGGGTGTTGACACCGCTAGTCAACGCTGGTCTTATTGATCTGGCCCACCGATCAGTCCTGTCAGATTTGTCTGGTGGATTCTGTCGCAGTTACAGGTTCGGCGGTATGAGGGGTTCTTGAAAATAACATCCAGGATCTTCGCGCTGATGGATTCTAGCGGACATTGCCAACAATGTGCTGTATATGGTTGGCTTGGACGGAGGATTGGTTCCAGATGACGGCGATGCCTCGAGTGAGTTTATGGACGCGATTGTTGCAAGCTAAACCATATCATCCTAACTGCTCACTACTGTCAGACAACTACCTGGTGACCCTCGATCTCACATCCTCATTCTCGACGACCGAAGGGAAGAACTATAAGATGGCAAAAATGGACACCGAGGTTCCGAAGGTCAAGGACATGGCGTTGTGGTCCAAAGCAGACAACACGACGCTGTACCAATATGGAGGCAGATTCTTGGAGAATATCACCAACGAGAACACAATCTGGACCTATACCGTGGGAGACAAAAAGTGGGATAAACAGGATGGCACCATTCAACCAACGCGGCTGGAGTACGGGGGTATGTTGCTTCCAAGCCACATGTGTTGAGGGGCGCTGAATCGATTTCACAGTTTATACAAATGCGCCACGGATTCAAGCAGGGTATTGGATTGGTGGCTATCGAGCCAGCGGCACAACCGCAGCCATTACCGACTCAACGAGGGAATATGCCACAGGCCTCATTCAGTTGAACACCACCACCGGGATATACACTTCTCTCGATGGGCCATATGAAGCTGTCGAGGAAGGCTCCCTCTCCTATGTGCCGGTTGGTGATATGGGGATCTTAGTGTATATTGGTGGCGATGTTCCCTCCATCAAGGATGGAATCAATGCCACGATGACATCGGTCAGTGATGAGAATCGCGATAATTAGACCCGCATACTGATGTGTCCCAGAACTCGTGGAATCACGTCCAAGTCTACGATATCGCGGGAGCCAAATGGTACAATCAGTCAACGACAGGGACAGCCACGGCCCGAACGCAGTTTTGTGCTTCCGTTCAACACGATGCTTCGTCGTCCTCTTATCAAATCTACGTGATTGGAGGTGCAAACCTAAAATCAAAGGAAACAACCCTCGATGTGTATGTTGCAGTTTCTCTTCCACGATCGCAGAGCTGATGACCCCAGGAATTACTTGTCCATCCCATCCTTCAAGTGGTACACCGCTGCTCCCCTGGACGAAGCCAGGATGACTCTGACATGCGTCACCTATGGTCGTCAGATCTTTGGAATTGGTGGAAGAAAAGCCTGGGCAGACGACAGCGCGGCGGGCTGCTACAATGCCCCTGCCTTTATCTATGACGCGCAATCCGAGGTGTCGCGATCATCCTTTGATGTCAGTTCGAGCATATGGTGTGGAGCATAGAAGCTAACTGTTACAAGCCGAATTTATCTTCGTTCTCCCTCTCCTCTGCAACAGCAAAGGATATCGAAGCCTCGCCTACCCCGTCTCCTTGGGCCTCTGCAGCATTGAGTTCGATATTCAAGACAGCCAACACCACCACAAATTCAACAGACAACGGTGATTCTTCTTCCGATTACCCAGAAGACATTGGGTCTACATCAACGAACACCGGCGCCATCGCAGGTGGGGTTGTTGGTGGAGTCGCCGGCTTGGCCTTGATCGGCGGAATTGCTTGGTTCTTCCTCGCAAGGCGCAGGAAGCAGAGATCAGAGGAAAACGGAGGAAGCTCTGAGCCCCAGAGATATCAACCAGTTCAGGAGCTTCCCCCTGGGGAAAGAGAGCAGCGCTCTGAGTTGGGTTCTGAGACTTATACGCATGCTGAGTTGCCTGCGCAACAGAAGGCACCATTATCCGAACTTGACACTGTACGCAGTGATTAGATGATAAAGCCTCCATTAATATTAATATGTCGACCTGAACCGATTCCTTAGGCATGTTTGACCATATAAATCTGTGGACCTTGATCATGCCATCATAATTGATCCCATTGGTGAATACCATATTGCTGTCGGGCTTTGCGGGAAACCCTGTCTGTCAACAATCACCCATCCCCATGGCATCTCCAAGTCTCAACACAACCATCCATGGATGAGGGCAACAGCGAGCTAATTCAAATAAATGATCGACATCGCAGAGCAAAGACGTCCACAATTATTGTTTTGTGGGCCGGATATCTGGTTTTCTCATCTCACCTGGTTTCCAACTCCCGACAAAAGCCGCGAATCGGATTCAGTTGATTCTCAGAAATATTTGCCATGTCCATGGGGAGTTGTAATGGAATCTCATCGTTAGACCCTTTGGCTTGGCGCCGCCTGACTTCCTGCGATGCCCTGGTTCACCTGGTCTCAACATCTTCCCAAGCCGTCCTTGCATTCTCTTTCTCCTTGCCCTCGGCTCTGAAATGCCGATATTCATCTGCCACCCGGGGTTTGTTTAAAAGCTGCTGTTCCTGCAATAGCCCCAACTACCATTCCCCACCGGGGTATATGGAAGAAAGGGGCTGAGGACATGTGAATCGCCTATTGATCAGATTCACCATTCTGTCCCATTTCCCACCCCGCAACTTCAGTATGACCGAACGATTTCCAGGACCCCAGGTGCTCCTTGCTTGTGAACGATGTCATCGCCGAAAGGTGAAATGCGACAAACAGACACCTTGTTCGAAATGTGAAAGGCTTGGTATCGTATGCGTCCCCGTTCGACGCGCCCGCTTCCCACGAGGTCGTGTGACCCAGCCCGCGAAGAGTAACACAGCTGGATCAGACTCGGCACTCACGAATCGGGTGAACGAATTGGAGAAGCAATTGCTGAAACTTGCAACTGGCGATCCGGGCACATCAAGTCCCTTGAATGCGACGGGTCATCGCCCACTGGGTCCAAGCGACGAACCGCAGCCTGTGGATAAACCACTGCTTTCAGGTCAGACTGATAGAGCAGAGTTGACAGAAACGCAGAAATGCGACCGAAATGTCTCCCACACGCAGGTTAGTGACTCGAGCCCGGAATCGTTGCTTTGGCCAACTTCGCGAATGACATTGTTAACAATCTTGTGATCCAGAAGGCTCGCACACCCCCCTTTGGGCCTCATCTCGCCATCTCGACATACACGGACAAACTGAACACCGAGAACCCAATACCAGAAATCAAGCTTTCTCCTCAAACTCGTCGAGACCTGGGAGCAATATACTTTTACAATGTGGATCCATTGTTCAAAATTCTTCATCGCCCCTCGGTTCAGAGCTTCCTTTACGAAGGTCAACGCTACCTAAAATACGAGCTGCACGACCATGCGCCTAATACACTCGCCGCCGCAATCTATTACTGCGCTGTTTGCTCGATGGAGGAATCTCAATACACTTCTTTGTTTAGCGAGCCCCGAGAAACCATGGTCGCCCAACTGCAGAGGGAAACTGAAGTGGCACTTTTGAAAGCGGACTGCACAACTTCTAATGACCTCACGATCCTACAAGCATATGTGCTTTTCCTGGTAATTTCAATCCCCTGGGAATCAGCATTGGAAGACCTGTACTAAAAAATAATTCTAGCTTGCGACTTGGACTCACGACAAAAGCCGGCGTGTATGGACGATGTTAAGCATGGCTTTGCGAATGGCTCAAGCTCTGTCTCTACACATGGCCCAGCCATCTTTTGAGACGACACCATTCGAACAAGAAATGCGGAGACGTCTTTGGTTAGCCATCGGGCTTCTGGATGTTTCGGCCGCTCTGTCGCACGCAAGCGAGCCGATGATGCAGGCGACCTGGCTGGAATCACATCCGCCGTCCAACATCAATGATGAAGATATATCCATTGATACACAGAGCCAACCTGCGAGTAAAGATGTGCGAGAATTCACAGATATGACATTCTCTTTCGTCGTTTTCGAGGCACAGAACACCGTGAGATCCATTGGCTTTTCCGGGTGGGCACAAAGTGTCATCGAAAATCCAGCCCTTCGGCAGCAACTCATCCATCAATTTCGGACCACGGTATCGAGACTGCTCATCGGGTGCAAACCAGACACAGAACCTTTTCACCGGTTCGCTCATCTGTCCGCTCGCACTATGAATTCCTGGCTGCAGCTGATATCCATTCGGCCACTCAGAGCCAGCAAGAGTTTCATATACCCAGCAATACAAGGTGATGGTGTCCTCCGACTGACAGCCGACAATCTCCAAGCCATAATGGAGGGACATCATGACCCAAGGGTGTCTTCCTGGCGATGGTTTGATTGTATGTGGACCCCTTGGCATGGACTAGCGGTGGCAATGGCAGAGCTATGCACCTGCAAAGAGCTCAGTGTCATGGAAAGATATTCGCCATTGGTGGATACAGTTTATGCCGAATGTCACTCCTCTCTTGATGATACTCAGAGTTGCAGGGTGCGGAAGCCAATGGAGAAGCTTTATTCTCATATGCGGATTCGAAGAGACGATATGTTGCGAGAGCAGAGCATGGCTGTGAATGCCAATGACACCGCTTTCGATGAGATTCTTTCTACGATTGCCGAGCCCCAGAACTTTCCCAGTCTTTCGTTTGGCCTGGCTCCGACCTCCGGCTTTTATCATCAACATCAACCCGATTCCGCTGACACCGTGCAAGATTCTCTCAACTTTCTGGACCTGGTGCCAAACATTTGGGACGAGGTAAACTTCAACGAAACAGCAATCGACAACGAGATGAACACTTGGCAAAGCTACGAAGACTTCATTATTGATTTCCAAAATGCGGTTTGATACTACGTATCTTGGTGATATATTGTTCTAAAAGGCGACGCTTGTAAGTAGAGGTTAGTTTCCATCAAAATGGGAAAGCAATATCAGTCTTCATAAATGGTCGTCTTTTTCCTATTTCCAAGTTGTTCGATCTACCTAGGTAAATTGTTGTCCTTCTATTGATTCTTCAAGCCCATCTCCCAAACAGTTCCATCTCGTCCGGCTTGTTGCCGAGAATTTCTTCAATCTTCTGTTGAAGTCCAGTGTCTGCCTTGATTTTCATATAGACATCGAGGGCCTTCATGTTCTCAGTCACTTGGTGGGGCTTACTTGCTCCAGTGATGACCGATGAGACGCTCTCATTGCTGAGACACCAAGCCAATGCCAGCTGCGCAGTGGTACAATCCAGATCGTTCGCCAAGACAGTGAGACGACGAACGCGATCGAGCTTTGCTTGGCCCTCAACGGTAGAAAGTGCCTTTCCGAAATTCACCATATTTTGCTTATCCGAAGAGGCCGCAGTGGTCGCTGCGAAGCGAGAATCGGCAGGGATGCCATCATTATATTTGCCAGTCAACACGCCATTGTCAAGAGGCGACCAGGTAGTCAGACCGTAGCCGTAGTTGCGGATGACGGGCTGCAACTCCTTCTCCACTCGCTCTCTCCAGAAAGCATTGTATTGGGGCTGATCGCACACAGGAGGCGTCAGGTGATGGACCGCGGCCATATGGTGAGCTCGCTCGATGTCATGGCTCGTCCACTCGGAAGTACCCCAGTACAGAGCCTGGCCTGTATTGACGATTTGGGAAAACGCGCGAACGACCTCCTCCATGGGAGTGAGAGGGTCTGGTCGATGAGCCATGACAACATCGACGTAGTCGAGCCCTAACCTTTCCAGAGAGGCATTCATGCCTTCAACCAGATGTTTCTTCGATAGACCAGTATCATTCGGGCCTGATCCACCCCAGAAAAGCTTCGTAGAAATCACCATGTCGCTGCGTTTGAAGTTGAGTTCCCGGAGAATTTGACCGAATGTCCGCTCGCATTCGCCCGATGCGTATACCTCCGCAGTGTCAAAGTAGTTGACACCATGTTCCCATGCCTCTAGCATGCAGTCCCTCGCGGATTCATATCCGACCTGCCCGCCGACTAAGACGTGATGTTAGAAAACGGTTTCTTGCCGGGGTCATGAAGGGAGTAGGATCCATACCTGTAACCCAAGATCCAAAAGACAAAGCTGAGACTTTCAGGCCTGTCTTCCCTAAGAACCGGTATTGCATTCTCTTGGGGTCGAGACGCCGGAGGGTGTGAGATGCGGCCTTTGAGGATGCCATGCTGACTATTGAATAAGGTCCGCGTGAATTGACAGCGAGTATCAAGCAGGGGAGATAGTGGAAAAATAAAACAAGCGAAGGCCAAGCTGGGAGAGATTTGTCCTTGTGAGTAGGCTTCGGGGCGCGCAAGAGAATCCCATGTTGGTCCTAGCTTTATACTTCCTAGGCTCAGTCCAGCTTGGTGTCTTCGGCTATTCACTTTCCCCGGTGATTACTGAGCATCTTTGTGAACATCATGACATCAGTGATTGCCCAGGAGAGTCAAATCCCACTTGTTGGGTGTAATGATATGGTGATGACTGAGAAAGTTTGTCGTGTCCCAGTCGTCGGCTTTAGGAGACAGAAGCGGACAGGTCACTTTTGGGCCCACATTGAAAGTCTGTCAACCGTTTGCCCCTTAACTTAATTGAGATCAACTTGCAAATACCCGTAATGATCTCGGTATTCGGAATTTAACCGACGCCAAAATACGATTCTGTAGGTCGGCTTTACCCCGATGTAAAGTGGGTATGACTTCCAAGGTTGCATTTTGAACTCCGCATCATCGGCATCAGAATCTTTGCTCGTATATTCCCGTGCGAGAAAAAAGAACCGAAAGGCCAAGCAAAGGATAAAAAAAAAGATCGACCAGATCGGCGATCCGCTGGCATCTAAATCCCCAAAAGCCGAGTGTAGATCAAGGACCGAGAAATCGGCCCCAGTCCAAAGAACCACAACATGATGTCCAGGAAAGGGGGCCCGCAGAAGCAGCCTAACCCCGATGCCAGGTGTCCAAAGAGTCCTGTCTCTAGTCTTTTCTGGGGCTAAGGGATGCCTTTCCGTTTCTTGAGGTAGAAACCTGACACAAGGCAAAGGGCACTAGGGTCCACAAAACCCTAGGGTACCGCCATGATGGAATGTCCTATTTTGACGACTCCAAGGCTATACCAAAGCCATGAGGTGATTTCTCCCAGGGAATCAGAGTAAATTATCCTCAGGTCGTTCATTTCGGCAGGCATGTTGTAAAATTTCTAGATACTCTGAGGGAACGGAATGATGAAATAATAAAGCTTATGTTTCTTCACTGGCAAGGGCAATCGACTGAATCGAGCAGAACATACTACCTACTACTACTAACTACTACCTACGACCAGGTACTATTGGGCGTTATGTGACTTTCGTGTCTTACCTAGGTACCTAGCTTCCAAGTTTCATAGATCTCTCTGCTCTTCCTTTCTATAATGCCATGCGCTTTTCCGCTAGTCTCTCTTTAGTAGAGTCTGTCAACATATACTAGGTATAGAATGACGAAACCTGTGTGGATCGAAGTAGCTACTGAAGAAGAGTGGCTGTGTTTTCGAAACGAATGAAGAGAGACAGAAGAAATGATTAGGTCTGAACATGAGCAGAGCAAAAGGTAAGAAGTAGCTTTCCTCGGATATATGAACCTTGGAAGCGAAACTGTACGCTGACTAGCCTTCAGCGAGGCTTGATTTGTTGACACAAAAAGAAGCGTTTAGACGCAAATTCCGCCTTTCCAGATCTCAAGAAAGCACTGCAAAGATACCGACGAGCCCTCCAGCCAGAGGAAGAAGGCTCCGGAAGCCGTTGAGCGAGATCCAATCACGAACCAGTTGCTCGATTTCCCCGGCATTCTTCTCCGTGACCGCAGATGTCGAGTTTGATTGTTCGATAAGGGCATTGTTGGTCTTGCGCATCGCGATGATTGTGTAGGGTACAATGGCAATTGTCAAAGCGGCAGCGGAGCAGTACAGCGCAGCATGACCTGGCACAGTCCGACTAAACATCGGTGACCCGGCTCGAGCACACCAAGCCAGATACAAGAAAGCACTAGATGTGATGGCTGCAATGGGAGGGTTTTGTGCTTTGCCAGCTTCGAAGACATTCCTCCACTGTTTCGCCAATGTCGCAGGTGAGATCTCATTTTCGAGTCTCGAGGTCAAGAGTCCAGGCGCGGCATTCATATTGAGCGCAGCAATATTCCCTTGAAAATATCAGAATTCATTCGGTGTTTTAAAACTGACAAGCACTTGTCGCGCGATAAATCTTGGAACTGACTGACCTGATAGCCATGCGGCGCCAGTAAGACCAACTGCCTGGGAAATGCGAAAAGCCCACGGAGCTGCAGACATTGTGAAAGAAATTTGAAATTTGAGAAATATGTCAAGATAGCCAAAGATATGAGGGCTCGATGCACTCGTATCTAGACAAGGGAAGGGCCAATTTATATCACCGCCAGGCATACTACCCCCGGGGCCTCTGACGATCTAGAGTCACGTGATGAACTATGACCGGACCCACAACCCAAACTCAACGACGTTTCTTCCAGTCCCGAGAGCGATGAGTTAATGAGGACATGCTGATTTTTGCTCGTACCGTTGAGTGATTGAAATATCTTTCAGCTCTTCAGATCGCGTAACAAGCTGTCACTCTTTGAGTGAGAGGTCATCCCGTTGTGAATGTGGCCAAAATCAGGACGGTCGCCAAATGCGGCGGAGCCTAAAGCGGACTTTAATGCCGACAAAACCCGCACCCCGGTTCCGATACAATGACCCATCGACGTTTGAGTTATTTTGGCCAGGTTCGCGGAAATTTAGGCCTTGTTTAATATTTCATACAGTTCTGTATGTAGTCCGCAAGGGAACCTTGACGTACCAGCTACATCTTCACCAACCGCCATGTGTATCTTCGACGAGGGAATAAGACTGGAAACATAGATAAAAACTGACAGCCTAGCTTCATGGTTGGAGGGGATTTGCAAAATCAAGTAAGGGCCAATCTGGATTTGTGTAAGCGAAGCCTGGTGGATGCAACATCGTAACAATCGCACCGTCTCTGCTTCCTTCGTCCCGGATGAATACTGTCTCTCTTTTACTTCCAAGATTATGGGGGTTTCAAAGATTATTGTCACTCGCTGGTAGAGATGTACTACACATATTACTAACTACTAAGGTCTCAACCCCCGACCCCCGCGAAGAGATCACAAGTTTCAAGCTCTCTGGCTCATGACTTCCCCCAACACAAACATGGCACTGGCATGTATCTGTCATTGATGAATTATTCAGGATCCAGATCCATCGATGGATAAAATATCGAGTCACTTGACACCCTCTGCTGCCATGGATAAGTTTCACGGAGGCGAGATCCTAGATACGGTGTGTATATGATTAACAGGTGTGCAAATTGTTTGTGTTAAGCTGTTTGTAAAAGGGACAGGACTCAGTGGCATTGCAGAGCTTTTATTTGGGCATAACATACGTATATTTGGAAGACAAGTTGACTTGGATGCGAAGGGGTATAGACGCAATGGGTTCAGTGGTGCCTTAAGCCTAATTTTTGACTGGCAGAATGAAATTTATTCTGAATTACCAAAACATGCTTTTTGGTCCGCGGTGCCCCAATTAGAATATTCTAAGTCCAATTTTTCGCCCCGGGGGCGATATTCAACTCCGTCGTAGACTCAATACTGCAGGTTTGTGAGGAGCGAATAGCTTCACATCCAACCGGAGGGGGCTGAGGTATGGGCTTAGGCTTACAAAGTAGGCGACCAGGGCTCAGCGCCTAAAAAGTGGTGATACTGCAGGTTTGTGAGGAGCGATAGCTTCAGACCCCGGGCAGTCACAGTACAGGGTATTAGGCGCTGCAAAGAGCGGTCAATTCCTATCGCCCAATTGGGGAATTAGCGGGCCAGTATTCATCACTGAACCCATTGCGTCTATGCCCCTTCGCAAGAGACCTTTATACTAATAGGAAGCTGGTTGGTTCAAGTAAACAATGTGGCGTGCGAAATGCATTCATTTTCCGAGATGGGCCACGCACATGAAACTATCAAGACATAGGTCCTGCCCCATCTGTATATACCCTGGTCGGTCCCGAGGTCAGGCTTATGGGCACCCAGATGAGCCATTTTGCCTTTTGGGACGTGGATCGGGACGCAATAGCCTCAGTAATACAAATGACCTTAAAAGATATATTGATAAATATCTGAATATATGAAAAGGAGCAAAACAAGTTCAGAAGTTGCGTCTTTCCGGTTAGCTTCTTGGGGATTTAGTTTGAACTTTCAAAAACAGAAGAAAATCGGAAGAAAACTTGCGAGGATAAAGAGAGACACAGTCGACCATCATTTCCCACGCGGACGGTCGGTATGGCAGATGTAGCCGAATTGGTAGAATCGAGCTTGTTTTGAGATACAAAAATAGTCGGAATGCCTAAGCGCCGATGAAAGAAATGAGGCACAAAGGATTTCCTGGTCATACTACAACCAAAATTACAACTCCAAAGACCAATTCCATGACCTATCATCAAGCGAAATGTACTGTATCAGATCCAAGCTGGTCTGTCCGGTCCTTGAGCTTCGGCTTTTGCAGTGGGACCCTGTCCGAATCGTCTCGGCGGCGGCCTGGGAGACACCGAGGCTTTGTCTAAGGGTGATAGCGGACTCGGCCATGTTTCGAATAGTGGAATGAGTGAAGAGTTCAAGGGCTCCGTGTGTTTATACATGCTGAGCGCTTGTTTGACCTTAAAAGGTACTGCTTCTTTATGCTTATCATCTTGTTATTCAACTTTTATCTTGCCTCCACATCAGCAGCACCGAAGATATCACAATGGGTGACAAAAGTTCCCCTCGCCCTTCGAGATGCATTGCAGTGATAGGCGCAACCGGCCAAACTGGACGCCTCGTTTTGAGAAATCTGTTCGCCATCGAAGGCATGGACCTGACTTTTCAGATATATGTCCGCTCCCAAAGTAAATTGGAAAGCCTCTTCCCTGCCATCTCCTCGGATGATCGTGTTACTGTCTTTCAGGGGAGCATCGATGACCATTCCCTCATGGCAAGATGTCTCTCTGGAGTTGATACGATTATTTGTACGCTCGGGGAGAACGAAAATATCCCAGGCGTTCGTGTGATGCAAGATTTCGCAAAGTCAACTTTGAAGGCGCTGGAGATACTCAAGGAACGCGACCACGACCGGAAACCTCCACGACTCATTTTGCTTTCCTCCGCGACATGGAATGAACGTCTTAGTGAACCCCGACCGGCGATATTACACTGGATGATTCGCAACGCCTTCGCTCGACCGTACCAAGATTTGGTGAACGCCCAGGAACTGCTCAAAGCCTCCCCTTCTCTGTTGAGCATGATTTTGGTTCAGCCCAACGCTCTTGTGGAGGAAGCCCCGTCAGGCTGTGTGATTGATCCTGAATTTGCATACATGGCAGTTTCCTATGAAGACCTCGCGGAAGGATTCCTTAGATTGGTGACCGATCGAACCTATGATGGACTCGATGCTGTTGGAGTTTCCAGCAAAAATGCGAAAAACGAACTTCTTTACATCCCATTCGTGCTCGGCAAAGTTATTCGAGGTCTGATGTTCCAATTCATTCCGGGGTACTGGCAAACGGAATTCGCGGTAAAAGGCTTTCTCGGTGAAGTTTTTTCTCGGAAGAAGAAGCAATCTTAACTTTTGATGCCTCACAGCCGACGAGAGAAAACTTTCCGTCAGGGCTAAAACGTGTTTCGAGGCTTGACACAACCGTTCTATGGATGAGGGAGAGAAAATTTGAATTTCATATTAAAAATCCCAGAGATGAGTCCTGTCGAGCACATACCTAGGTATGGGTTGAAGATGAGAATAAAGGAAGATGAGAACCTTGAAAATATAGAGTGTGCACATATAACAGGGCAGCTCAACTACCTTGGTAGTACTCCGTATGCGCTTTGAATAAAGCCATTGAAATAAAGCCATTGATTCACATCAATGATACATATGTAGGAAAGACTAACCCAAAAGTTCAATCATTGCCTGAGCTGAATCCTTACCAAAAACAAAATTATAGATTAGCTCGAGATTCTCGCCCTTAATTCGGTGTGGATTCTAAGCTTTCCCAGGGATTCCCAATGGCTCACGGGTAACGGAGAGGCGGAAACCTTGGAAATGATTTGACGGAACGTGATCATAAAGTACCCAGGAGCCGCCCCGGTGCATCCGCCCCTGTGGGCCCCCTCGGTATTCTTGGGGTTAGGAGTTCCGTCATTACGAGCAAGCTTTCCTTCCAGGGTTCGGTGATTACAATCGGACTGTGGGAAGCCGAGCCCATGTCCAAGAAGCATAAAAAGACGACTTCCAGCCCTGGCTTCCTTTATTTCCGCTTTCCAACCCCCTATCTATTCAAAATCACCCACTCCTGTCGATCTGTTCGATTTACGCCCGTTTTGCCTTTCCAGTGCGACTTTCTTGACTTCATAATCATGGAGATAACGACTGTTGTCCAGCAATGTGCAATTGCATCTGGGTTTTGGGTCTCAGGTGAGTTATTATGAGAGAACGAGCTATTCAAAGTCGGTGCGAGCTCCACGAAATAGTCACACTGACGATGAACCAAAAGGTGCTCTTTGTACATTCTCCACTGGAGGTGTTAGTGCAATCCAATCCATTTGCATCTCTCATCCTTCCATGGCCAAGGATCAGTGGGTGATTTTACACATGCGATGTCACAAGATATGTAGCCCGATGGTGGTGTTTACCGCTGTGTGCTCTTTGTGGTTGAGGTATCAGACTGGGAAGAATATATATCTCGCCGCAGCCATGTCTTGCTTGGCTATAGTGCCCTATACTGTCCTGCTGCTCACAGGTTCTGAACGCACAATTCTTTCCTCTAATTCTCAGAGAGAGAAGCCAAGCCAAGGCCATGCATCATCCATTTCGCATGGTCTTCGTCAGTGGAAAACGCGCAACATGTTGAGAGGGTTGTTCCCATTGATCGGAGGGGTGTGTATTCTTGTTTCTTATCTCTCATGATAAGCTTGGAACGATCACAGGAAGCAGAAATATCAAGTATCAGTGAATTAGATCCCTTGCAATAAATATTCTGACAGTAATACCTGGCCTCTGTTAACTCGACGTGATCCCGTATAATCTTGGCCATCAATTTTTCATCGGGGCAGATGATTTCGTCCCCCTGAGGGGTCACTCGGCTGGCCTGGCAGGATCAGAACGAGGATGTGTGAGTGGAGGATGGCAAATGGGCGGGACTCGATCTGCTGTGGCCAATGATCGTGCCTCTGGCACTGCACCTCTCCACGAGGTCGGTGTCTGACGACGACGAATATGAACCGCAGAGAATAAATCTCTGACAGCAAAACGACTACTTGGAATAAACGTAGATACGAGCAGCGATCTCCTTGGTAGCAGGTAGATTGTTTAATTCTCTAAGAATACTTAGGGGGTATACCCCTCTTTTCTCTTGTAATTATATGACTTTTCTCTTCCTAATAATTATTGTATAATAATAATTTAATTATATAATTTTCCTTCTCTTGCTATCGAATATACTATCAGAATCCCCTATCGTCGTTTATAGCGTATCTTTACTCCCCTTACTATAATACCTATAATAGTTGTGTTTATATTGAGGCTTATAGTAATCTTTCTTAAGCTTAATAGTAGGGGTAACGAACTCTTTAATTTGACTGGGAGGGATAGTTATTTTAATATCGGTATTCAGAGTATTGTGGTAATTTACTGTAATATTAGAGATAAGAGCTAAGATATTAACTGTATAAGGTAATATATTAGGAGTCTTATTACTGAGATCTAGAATAGTAGTCTTAATGTATTAAAGATAATACCTAGCTCTATCACCCGGATCTTATATATCGTCCGCTCAAATAATCTACTGTTTATGCGGCTATTATATAATGGACTTATAGCGATTAAGAAGTAATACTATTAATCTCTAATAAAACAATCTCTAGAATATTCCCAAATTGGGTACCATTCAGTCGTCGGTTTATGCTAATCAATTCTTCTTATGATCGGCTCCTCTCGAAAATAGGAATATCGTAGGTTAGGGTTGACAAGCGGCGTTCCTTGGCCTTAATTTCTGCTTGTTATTAGGGTCGCTCATTCAGGGTGTCTGCAGTCCCCCAACCGGTAACCTAATCAACGCTCCAACGAGCGTTGGCCTCCTTGAACCAATTCTGGTTTCGAGCTTTGACGGTATCTCCGCCGAGGCCTGCTTTCTCATTTTCGATAGCGAACTCATCAAAGAAGTCAATGTTTCGGCCCTTATCGAAGTCAACCTTCTTGGCGGGGGTTCTTGGCTCGCCCTGAGCCGAAGACACTGGAGTGTTGCCCTCTGTATTCATGTCCAACAAAGTCCACTTCGTTATTCCTCGGCGATCCTTGGCACCCCCTCATCTTTGGTTGCATCGGACTCCACCAGCGGCATTGCATTTTGCTGTCTGGGCTTTCCCGGCTCATAGGCCATCTTTCTCTTCTGTCTTCGTTTAGACATCCTGGCTTTGCGGAGCGGTGATTTCGCTGAGGTTTGGTCGTTCTCGTGGGCGCGGGGAACAGACGATTGAGACGTTCCGAAAAACAAAGGTCGTTGAGAGAGAAGAGTGCAAGATCCTCGAAAAGAGAGATAAAAACAGGAAGAACGAGAGGGGCATACTCCCGCCCCCGCCTCATCACCTTCTCCTCACTCATCCATTCATCATTTCTCCCCATTCAGTCATTCACCATTTTCTCCTCATTCATCCGCTCATAGGTATTTCGGCAAAAACTTGGAATAAAGAGGTCCATGTGAATACGCCGTGGCTCATGCGTAGTGGAAAGCTGCGGGAACCGACTTCGGTTTCCTTTGATGGCTTCCAAGGTTTGAGACGACATCTACCTAGTATCACTACTAGGTACCCTAGATGTGAAGGTCACGGGTGTATCTAGTAGTAAAATAAATAGAGATATATTGACGAGAAGTCATGTGCCATGAGTCTCGTGCCCGGTGCCCACTGGGCAGGTGTTGAGTAGCTCTCTCTTTCTCTCTCTCTCAGGGCTCTCAGATATATCTCAGTTCTCTTTCTCTTTTTTCTACCTAGGTAGCGAATCAACTGGGATCTCTGCTCTCTTTTTTCCTGAATAAGCCAGTAGCTTCTCCAACAAATGAGAATGGTCTAGGGGAATCGTTTGTGTCACAGATCACTACAGCTGCAAAGAAGGCCCTAGATTCGAAGTCCGATACAAGAGAAATGCAATAGATAATTGTTGGATTTCATTGTGAGGAAGAATAAAGAGTCCAAATAGGCGACCCTGAATTCTATTTTGACTTCCAAGGCAAACAGCCCGCAGCCCTCCGGAGCAACAATTTGGTACCCGAAGGCAGTCAGTAAAGAATGAAGAAAGATCGAACAATCAAAAGGTCATCAAGGACGCATCAGGCCTTGAGATTAATAGAATACTTTGCTGCCTTCTCCGAATCCTCATTGAAAATGTTGATGTTCCATCGGGGCGAGTCTAAACAGTAAAGTCAGTATTCATGCCAAGAGAAGAGAGGAGTACTATGCTTCACGTACTGGCAACGAATGGGACGTTGAAACGTTGAGGGCTCTGCCCCAACTGATTGATCTCTTCAATTTCCTCATCCAGGAGCTCTAACTCTTGGAAGTTCTGCGCAATGCGGGAAGCAGTGACGGATTTGGGGATAACGCTATGTCCACCGACCTGCGACCAGGCAAGAACAACCTGAGCTGGCGTCACATCGCGTCCTAGACGAACAGAGACCTTTTGGGCCACAGCCTGGATCTCTGGGCGAGTAATCACGAGGGGAACCCCGATCATGTTGTTACCAAATGCCTAAATTGTCAGTCAAAAGATTGAATCGAGAGAAAGCGACAAATCGGGGGAATATGAGCGATTTTGTGATGTTTTGAAATGACATACGGAGTAGGAAGTAATGTGGATTCCATTCTTCGCACAGTATTCAACCAGCTGGTCGCTCTGTAGGCAAGGGTGTCGCTCGATTTGATTGACTGCTGGAGTGATGCCGGTCGCCTTGATGATTGCATCAAGATGGGGAATCATGTGGTTGGAAACGCCAACTGCGCGTGCCTTCGACTTTGGAAGATTGGTCATGGCTTTCAAAAATCAGAACTGCGAGCTTAGATTTGGAGAAAATGGGTTGATATTCACCTCTCCAAGTTTCAACAATGGAAACATCATTGTCAATGTCAGCTTCGCCACCCTCCATACTGCTTTCTTGGGCAACGGGATTGTATCCTCTGCCAGATTTGAAAGCAACAGGGAAATGAACAAGATAAAGCTATAGAGTCCATGTCAGAGCTCGGAGTCAGTTGTCGACTAATGACGTTAGGTACTCACATCAAGATAGTCAAGGCCGAGCTCTTTGAGACACGCGTCAAGGGCTGGCTCGACCAAATCAGAGCGGTGTTGCCTAATGTCGTTAGTGATCATCACGGCGAATACTTGTTGTATACTCACGAGTTCCAGAGCTTGGATGTCTGGTGAGAATTGAAAATAAGTACAACGATTCATCTAGCGGGATCTGACAAGGGGAGAACCTACAATGAAAAGATCCTCGCGCTTAAGGCCGGGAATTTCCTTGAAAGCTCGCTTCAGGCCCTCCGCGATTTCTTGTTGATTTTCATAGCTGAAGATAGTCAGTAATTGCTTGTACTTTACAGCCACACGCTAGGTACTCCTGGAGCGGCATTGATTCAACTGATACTCACATCGTGGCAAAGTCCTGTGACGGGTAGGAATTTGGTTAGAAGAAGTTCACCCTGCATAAAATGATGCGACAAAGGCCCGATTAATGTCTTACCAGATGACGGTAACCGACTTTGCAAGCCTCGTACACAGCATCTCCAACTTCGCCAGGTGCAGACTGCCAAGTACCAAAGCCAAGTTGCCTTCTGTTGTGTTAGCCAGGCTCTTCCGTGAGGATAGTTGCATTCTTAGCCGCCCTTACGGAATCTTAGCACCGGTATTCAGGGTGATTCGCTTGTTGAGAGACATGTTTTCAAGTGGGTAGAGTGCTTGGGTCTTGAGATATATGGTTCAAAAGGAAGCAGACGAAATGAATTGTGAGAATGTTTCTTCTCCAACCGGAGGGAATTGGCAATTATTATATATATTTTTTTTGCTCTTGCTCGACGTTTAATTGTTGGACAGAACATGATCGAAACTTCAAGGTGCAAATAGACTTCCCCTCTCCTCATTGCCATCGAGATCTGTGTCAGCACTTCTTAGTTTGGACCCCGACGGAATCCTACATACTGGATAGATTATACCCGATCTTCAGCCTCCAAAATCGGTTAATATTGAGACCAATGACTCTGCCTAGCCAATCACTCCGATTGCCACAGGGAATTCGTAGATATCCACCTGGGAAATTCCAGGCTCGGGTAATAGCTGAGTCGCTAGATTTTCGGTAATGCATCAATGGTCCAGCTAGTCTCGTTCCATATCATGGATTTACAATCCACTTCTGACGTGACTCCTACATACGGAAGTGGGGAATATCAGTCAGAGCCGCGGTCTTTCTCCGACTGTGGGCCGATGCTGGCCATTTCCGACCCTCGGGGTCTGGAGACTTCCTCGGGCCGCACGTTTCCCCACCGATGACGGCCACAACGAGTTGAACGGAATGTTGTGTCCGCTAAAGGCCGACCTCCCGTGAAGGGCCACCTAGTCTACCCCTGGTCCTCGGTTTTTTTACTACCATTGTAAAGTGTTGAATCATGTGATGATTCTCTTTCATAGTTCTCGTAGCTTTGCTTTCTCTCTTTTTTCTCTTTTCTCTCTCGCTCAATCAATCATTGGCTTATCGCCTGTCCCTCTCTCTCTCCCCGAATATTCTTTAGTGAAAGACACTCCAGAATTTGGAACTCTGGAACATTGGAATAAAGCTTCTCCCAGCTAGGTGCATAATTCGATTCTTGTTTCTACTGCGACCTCCAATGTACCGTTGACTTCACCGGATCACCAAGTGTTGAAGCGTCATGTGATTGCTTCCTTCCATCCATAGTTCCTAGATTTTGCTTTCTTTTTCCTTCCTTCATTCTTCTCACCACTCTCAATACCATTGCTTTTGCATGATCTCTTCTGTTTCTGAGTAGTCCCTCAGTCTGTGACCAAGGCCTTGGTGGAAGCCATGTCAGATAGTGTAATGGAGGACTCATAAGCCACCATATGTTTGGGGGACATACTAGAATTCGAACGTCACGCCAGCTGCCCCAGATTCAGAGATAGACAATACATTCACACACGTTCTGTTTAATTTCCAAGGTTGATAGTCAGAAAATGTACACCCATTGGGAGCATCTAGCTAGTATATAACAACAGTCGATCTCGAATCTACGCATAGTACAATCTTACTTAATGTATGAAAAAGGCCACACGGTCGGAATGCCCAAGTCGTCAAGTATGGGTCAAAGAGGCATCCCAGGCAGCTGGTTTACTACTGTAAAAAATTATCAATCAGGCTGAACACCCTATGATGCGCCACAAAGTCTGTATGGCATCCACCACTGTCCGTCAGGTCTAAGCTCTCTCATATTTCTCTCCGGTTGGTCAGACCGCCATCACGCTCTACTATTTTACTGGGTAGGCGGCGGGTGCAGCAATTATACACAAACAAACCGAAAGGCCAAGATGCATAGATACCCAAGCAAAGTCACCGAGCCTGGATTACGACAATGTGGAGTGGTTCATGGATGGATCAGAGGGCCCTTTGCTTTTCTTTATGTGCCCACCTGGGCACCTGGGCAGGTGCCACGCTGGGATTGTTTCAGCATGATAACTACCTAGGCAGTGACACCACGCCGCCAAACACATGCCCGGGTGGGATTTTGGGACAGATGATACCTACGTACTATGTAGGTTCAGCTTATATATATCCCACATAGGGACCTCGAAGTCATAGATATTTTAAACATCACGGCAGGTATACCTAGGTACCACCTGGAACTTGGAACTTGAACCACACCGTCAAGCACCCCCCCGAGTCAGAATGGGGACAAACCTATGTAGGTACTTAAGGTAGGGAAGATACATAAAATGGCCATGAAAACCTTGTACCATCCATGGATGCCAACATCCATGGATACCTACCTAGGTAGGTAATCCCCGCGGCCCCACGTGACAGACAGCCAGAGCCCTGGAGGGTCCCGAGGTCCTTTGATCAGTACTTACGGAGTACCGTCATTTCAATTCCATTTCAATTTCACTTTTACTTGAATTTTCTCAACTAATTTAAACGTATAAATGAGGTATTATCATATGCTTGAGTTGGACATAGCTTACTATATGTCTAAGATATCTTCATTCGTATATTTTGCTGCTCGATGTATGAAAAAAAGAAGATAAAAAACAAAAAAGAAAGGTGTGGAATAAACCGTAAGACCTAGAGGTTCGCAGCCCTCCTATCCAAATTTCAAAGTTCCAATCGTGTCTTGCTTGTTATTTTTTTCCACAAGTCAGGTCGATCATCCTTTTAAGACCAAGCGAGAAAAACAGTTGTTCTCCAGAACGTGACAAAATTGCCCTCAGTAGAATTCGGAATGTCCAAGGTCAATCGATTGACATGAAAAGAAACAGCAGGCACGGGAGCTTCGCTCTGTGCCTAAAAGCCGCCCAAAAGCCGCCGAAGCCCCGCCGAGCTCTGACTCTCTTATACGACCCACACGACCATTGCCTCGCTCATCTTGACAAGTCTTAACATTGAATTCAATTATATCTATCGCTTTAATTCATTGCTTCTCGATTCTCAGTATAGTAGTGGGCGGGAAAGGTTCTTGCCCTCACTACATCGGACAAAGGGAAAAGGACACTCCCTCAATTGTATTCGAAGCCAACAGTGTGAACGTCCTTCTCGATTCACGCTGGACACAGACCTTTACCCTTGGGTTGGTGATTTGGTTGAGAAAGGATCTCGTGTTTCCCATCCTGCTCGACGACTTGACACAGCCTTCCGCCCAATCCGGATGTGAGATCGGATGTTAGGCTCCCAGGAGTAAACATAGAGTGAACGGAGAGGCGATAAGAAGTGAGATTTTATCCCAAATCCATGGGCTGAGCTGGCAATTTGGCATATCTAACACCCTTTGAGCAAATTCACGCCTTTTGCTGGCCACCAAAGATCCGGGCAAACATCCAGAGCTGCCGTGGAAATCGCCACTGGAGACGTTACAATCGGATCACATTACCTACAGGTATTTGAGCCTATCGTGCTCCTCAAAGCATAGCTAAGTTGTTCGCTAGACTTCATGATGCTCCAGATGGAGTTCGATCTAAGAGACGAGTGTGAAGACCAAGAAAATGAGCTTCAGCGACCTAGCCATCTGTTGCTTCAGATTGACGCATCCTGCAACCCGAAAATCACATCTAGACTAATTGAGCAACCTCGCTTCTTTTACGTCTCTGCTGAAATACGTCGAAAACTATGCAATATCTATCTCCGGAATATAGACCCGGTCTTCAAGATTTTGCACGGCCCCTCACTGAAGTCATTCCTCGCACTTGGGAAGCCTTATCTTGACTATCAAACATATCACCACGCTCCAGATGCTTTGGCCTTTGCTGTGTACTATGTCACCGTATGCACAATGGACGAATCAGAGTGTCACTCACTATTGAATCAAGATAGAAAGACAACGATTGCCGAGTTTCGTGCACAAACGGAGAGAAAGTTGGAAAGAATTTTTCTCTTATCACAGAATGATTTGACGACATTGCAAGCCTATGTTCTATCCTTGGTAGGTCCTCTGTCCACCTTCACCATACAAAAGAAGAGTAGAGAGAGAGAGAAACAGAAAAGAAAGCGAGGAAGAAAGAGGGAAAAAGCCACAGCATCACTCAACTTCATCTTTCCATTTTACTGACAGTCTATAGCTAGCAGGGTACTGCCAAGGGCAAGGTCGACACGTTTGGACGAAACTCTCCCTGGCGATTCGTATCGGCGAGGGCCTTTTTCTCAATACAAGTGAACCACCATTCTACGTCAGCCCCTTTGACCGGGAGATGCGGTGTCGCATATGGCAAGCTATTGGGGTTCTAGACCTTGCAACATCACTGGATCAAGCCTCTGAGCCAATGATACAGGCTACATGGTTAAAACCGCCAGCGAATGTCAACGACGAGCAGATTTGGTACAACATGAAAAGTCCGGCCCGAGAACACCCAAGAAGCACATTTACAGATATGACTCACACTCTGATTGTCGCAGAGGCCCAGGTTGTTGCAAGATCCACCATGTTCACGGAGAATCCACAAGAAGTGGCCAAAGTCATGAACTTTCGACAGCATAGTCTTCGTCATTTCCAGCGAGAGGCTTCACTCTTGCTCAGCAAGTCCGAGGAATGGGCTTCGCCATATCAGACATATGTGAAGCGAACAGCATCGACTATTCATAGCTGGTTGCGTTTGGGGACACTTCGACCAGTCTCACAGCGACCAAATATTCTTTCATCGCCTATTCCAACCAAATGGGCGATCAACTTTGCTGTTGATAATATTAAGAAGGCACAAGAGTCATACACTGATCCACTCATGGCTCCCTGGGCGTGGTATGGCTCACTGTGGGCTCCCTGGCATGGCCTAGCTTTTGCGTTGGCACAGATGTGTCGCTGCGATGACCCGGTCATATTCCTGCAGCATTGGCCAGTGGTTCATGATGCATACGAGCTATGGAGACATGCTATAACGGATTGCCATCATGGAATGCTTTCGGGGGGTTTAGAACGACTGATGCACCAAGCAAAGTCTCGTAGGGGGATCCTCATGGACAAGAATACTCTATATGGGGAATTTAATCTTTCAAATCGTTGATTGAGAACGAATGTTTTCTTTTCTACAGAAGTTCGTTATAACCGAAAATGTCCTCAGGAAGTTGGCTGTTGCCTCAAGGTTCAAACCGGTGATCTATATCCCACCGATTTCAAGCCAGGTTAACATAGAGTGCTGCCGCTTCCACTTCTCTCACCCACAAGTTCCAGGGGCGCATGCATGACCACTGGCCCATTTCTGTGGTCGGCGATATCTCCGAATCTCGAAGATATTGGATTCCCCGACGACTTCCACTGTTATCGAGGCCCATAGAATTGGTCAAGGTGAGCGCGACGGTCTGATTTCTCGCATTCTCGGCGGTGTAGATCGACCGGAAAACGCTCTCCTCGATGCTCTTGCCCACTGCGGTAAACCCATGACCTCTCATCAGAACAACCGGGTGAACAGCTCCTTGGATATCCTTGGAGATGCTGTCGGAGAGAGCTTCCCCAAGTCCCTGGTTCCGGACGAGAAGGTCATGAATATCACTTTCACCGTAGTGGTCTGCGATATCAAACAGGGGGACCGAATTTCCTATCGAAAATCTCAGCATTTTGCGTATAGTGAAAAGGTCGGAAACTTATAGAGAACCACTGAACTGGCTCACGAATGAAAGCTCACCTAAAAAGCCGCTCATATGGCAACAAGCTCGCATTGGAATATCTGTGTGTCGTTAACATGCGGCCGGGGGGGCTGGGTTGATTCTTTTTCATTTGACTGGGTCACACTTACCAGTGATTGTGTATGGGAGCACAGCCGAAGCATGACTGTGAACAATGCTATGCACGTCGGGATACTTCTTGTAGATCTCGCTATGAATGAACCGTTCCACGTATCCCGAGGGACTGGCGGCATCCACCGCTGATGCGTCGCTGACATAGTATTGCACAATATCATCGGGTGACTTCACATTAGCCGGTGCGGCGTTTTTTGGCAAAAGAAAGACATCCGGACGAGTCGGATGTCTGACAGAAAGGTGGCCGTAGGCATCAAGGATCCTTTCCAAACGTCAGAAAATTTGGTACAAAATGAGAGGGCGGCGGATTTACTGATGATAGTGCAGAATATGGCATCCCGAGATCAGTGTTCGAATAGCCAAAGCAGGGAGCTCCTCGCGCTCGGTTTCAGACATTGTGTATGATCTGCTGTTGATCGTATACTATTGAAGTGTGGAATTGATTGGTTCGATGGTCGGTGACTTGGCTGCGGGATAGGGCCTGCAAAATCAAAATCTCAGTGCTTGTCGACTGCTCTTTTAGTCCTTAAGCTCGGTTTGCACTTCGTGTTGTTCCTCTCGGTGGGCTCGGGCTCAGCTGGATGTCCCGTTCCGAGCGGGGCCAGCGGTTTTAATCGGGGTTAAACGCCCGGGCTCTTCATGTGCTTCCTTCGCTTGAGAGAAAGGCAACAGAGGAGTAACTGCTGAGCGAGGAATTCCTGCCACATCCCTTTTCTGATAATTCACATTCCAATGGCTGAATCACCCGCATTTGAACCTCGTGTCGCGCGATCTGTTTCACTGAACTGTATCGGAGACTGGGGTCAAGCCAACTTCCACCGAATCTTATCATGGTTGACTCAAGAGTTCTGCGACCGCGCTGGTCCTAGAAGTCGAACTGCAATCTGCTCACTTCGTGACGGTGGAATGGACTCGGTACTGCAAGTCTACCACGGCGAAGCCGACATGGGAATCACAACTCCAGCCGGCCTGTTGAGGTCGAGCATTTCAGGCGCGGAGATATTCGACGCCATGGGCCCAATGCCCTGTCTCCGGGCTTTGGCGGTTCTTCCGCAACGAGACCGTTTGATGTTTGCAACCGCTTCGGGGCTCAACGTTTCATCATTCTCTCAAATACGAGAAAAGCGCTTGCCGCTCAACATCGCAGTTTCCGAAAACGATGGTACCAACTTCATCGGGTACGTTTCAGCCCAAGTCTTGGAGGCTCATGGACTGGATGAGAAGACTATGCAAGCTTGGGGGGGCTCTTGGGTGAAAGCATGCCGTCCCGAGCAGGTCATTGAGCTGTTCAAGACTGGACGTGCCAATGCAGTGATTCAGGAGGCCATCATGACCCCGTGGTGGCGGGATTTGGTCGAAAGCCAAGCTCTATCGCCCGTCAATATGGAAGAATCCGCTCTTAGCAAGCTTTCGGATCGTGACGGCTTTCAGGAGGCATTCGTGAAAGCTGGATTCTGGAACAACATCCTGCACGATGTCCGATGTGTTGATTTCTCAGATTTCGTTGTCGTTGTGCGCACCGATATGCCCGATGATATTGCAAATTTGCTTACGTGGTGCTTGGTGGAAACAAGGCATGTGTTGGAGGCACAGTATCGTCACATTGCCCCCGAGAGAAGCCCTGTTTCCTATCCCCTTGAACCGAAGAAGATGTGTCAATCACCCATTCCACTCCACCCAGCAGCTGAGCAGTTTTACCTACAAAGAGGATACCTGCCGAATGACATCGAAGTATCCACCCAGCTAACGGTGAATGAGAAATAGCCTGAGCTGCAAGGTTTTGTTTGGGTCACCCCCTCTCTCACTGCCTGTCACTGCCCTTTGCTGTACCCTAGGTCACAATTTCACATCATGTCGCGTGGCGAAAAAAGATTCGAACACAAACTCCTCACCGAACCTGCCAGTAGATATAGCTACATCTTGGTACTATATGTAGAGGTGGAAGATTCACCTCAGAGTCAGTACCACCAGGTAGCCCTGGAGGTAGAGATCTATTGTTCCGTCCATTTAAATAATAGACCTTTCTACAATCACCAAGAGTAAGATTAAATCGAATGTATCCAGGCGTATGGCGCCAGTCTGATCACACTTCTCAGGGCTGGCTGATGATCAAAGATGTTTTTTTCAGGGCGGACAAAACGAAATTGAATACATCGAGTACCTGGCTTTATAACCCCCCTGTATTTTCATGGGCTGTCTGGACTTTTTCCAGTCGAGCATATGAATTTGTTCTGCATGAGTACGGAATTCCAAAGACGTGTTCCTCCAAAGATAATTCAGCGAGATGAGAGATTCAGACCACGATTTTGGCAAGTATTTAACAATATCAGACTAACACTATCATTCTTTGTCAGGGTGGAAGCCGTCCCTATCGGGAAGGAAGCCCGCTACACCCTCTCCGAAGCCTTGCCATCCATCGAACTCAGCAAGAAACTTTATTGAAGCCTTCAGATAGTGGTTGTTCTTGGGGCCAAAGGTCTGTTCGAAGACCTGAGGTGCACGGACAACTTTGAAGAAATGAGAATCCTTCGCCCACCGGTGGTTCAAGGCCTCTTGATGCACCCAGGACCAATCACGACCCTTGAGCTCGACCGAATCAATGAGGCTGATTGTCTCAGCCGGAAGCATGGGCTTCAGCTGGCAGATGTAAACCAGAAGGAAAAAGACAGCATACTGCCGCATCACAGCGGCATGTCGCTCCTCGGGGATGAAGTGCCACAACACTCGGATTGCCTGGGCGACAGTGATCGTATGGATCAAGTAAAAGTCAAACTTGCCGGTCTCACTGCCGGTACCGAGACCAAGAAGTAGCGAAAGATCGCAACATTCCTCCAGTTGTTGCAACGGGCTGCTCCCCTCCCATGCATTCCAGTGCTCTAACAAGACATCATATCTTGTCTGTAACAGAGTATCTATGTTGGTGATGCCTGGGCTAGTGAAGAGATCATTCAGACGGTCATCCTTCTGGACGCAATTCAAAACCTCCGCCAGATTCTTTGTCTTGTACGACGAGTTGTCCGGTGGATAACGGTCGATGATCGAGTGAAGGGGGATGTATTCAGTGCATGCCAAGCTCAGACCTTCGGTGGCCACTGTTGGGCTCTGGAGCTCCCATGCGTAGGCAAGATGAATGAACGGATGTCCCACTGAATGGAATAGTCAGTCCGACTGCACTGTATACATTGCGGAAATTGAGACTCACGGCCTCCGACTAAACCATTCAGAAGCGGCTCTGGTCCCGAGAACAAGTATTCAGCCATAACCGCCTTCCAGTCCCCATCATGACTTTTTATTTCGTTGTCGAAAAAGTCAACGTATGCGACCGTGTGGCTAGACCGAGTCAGATTTTGAAAATGAAAACAGGGGACTAGAGCACCAACGATTTGTTGCCTAGAAAGCTCCTCCAATCCTGGCGTGACAAGTTGTTGCCCCGGATAAACGTATCGTCGACATGCACCAAAGTTGTTACCTCGTGATCGTAAAGCTCCTGTAGCTGCTCGGAACTGGAACCTAATAGGTATCCGGACCCTAGAAGCTAACGGTGTTAGCATCGAAGGCTCGCCCGAAGTCACGGAACTTACATGAGGAAGGTGGCTGTGGAGAATCAGCTTGGGCTCTCTGAGAGGTGCCAAACTGCTGTGACCCTCCAAAAGTAGCCTTCTCAGTGTGGTCCTCCGCTCGTCCGTGGTACTCATTATATCATGGGTAAGGGATGGTGGCAAGTTGGTCAGCAGCGAGGCACGAGGTAGCCTCGCTGGTGCAACGGAATGGCTCGAATCTTGACACAAATCCATGCTGGAGCTGATCTCGTTGCGTTGATGGGTGGTTGCAGCAGTGAAGTGGTGGAGAGGAAAAGGAGTGAAGAGAAATTCCCCAGAGTTCCTTTATCTCCTAGGCAGAGCTGCGTGACGTATTTTGAGAGTTACTCTCATGTTCCGAATTATTAAGTAGCCTCTGAGATCGCGGACAACTCGGCTTTTGTGTCTCATACTTGGCCGAACTTTCTTCGGAGGCGGACATGAAGAGGCCATGGGGCCTTCCCGGGGCCTCGGGCACCACTTAGCCCTAGCGCCTATGCCCCTTCGCATACGGAGCCTTTCGGCTTTTGGTTGGCCCGAGGTTCTACGCGGCGGACACCCCCTTCACAGGAAAACTTATGACACAAAATTGATGCCCTTGGATGGAAATAACTGATTTCCAAATCCAAAAATCGTCTTGGCTGTGGAGAAAAAGAGAGGAAAATACAAGCCCAAGGAATCCGACATGTGGATAAAAGCTCTATGTTCACCACCCCAATTGCAATTAAAGTACGAGATAGCACTCTAGACCCTGATTCACATATTGAGGGCATTGTTTTTTCTTGCCATCTCTTGGACTGATATCCTCGTTCCATGATTTTGCGTGGCAAACTCAACTTTGTGGTTTCTGATGTTATAAATGAAGAGGAATACGAAAATGCGCTTGAGCGGCACTCAGCTCAGGTCTCAAGCTGTACCGAGGAAGGCTCTGTTAGAACAGATCGAGTGAGCAAGCTGTGATTATAGACAGTTGAATCGTCTCTGGGATGTGGTGAACTCGAAATCTACACCAACAGCCTTAGAACCAGCGATGTCTTCTTTAGCAGCTTCCATCCTAAGCTATAATTTATCTACCACACTGTAGTCCAGCTGCCGAATCATTCATTACCCAGGGTCTCAGACCTAGTTTCTTCGATCTCAATCTGCACAGAGAACCTTTGGGATTCTTTTAATACATAGAACAAAAGTTTCTGCTCCGCACGGAGCCCCACAAATTGAAAGGAGAACAATCGGAGATAACTGTCAATTCCGAATCGGCCATTGCCATCTTAGGAAAGCCTACGGAGGTGAAGAGAGCTATTAAACGGAATAGATCTCATAAGAATGCTTCCTGGGTAGCCGTGTACATACCTCGATTTTCGCATCAGTCGCCAGCAGATATCATTTCACTCTGAATTCTTGATTTCAGCCAGATATCCTATCATCTCTCTACACCTGCTGCCTGCCACTGAACATATCTCTACCTTTGCGTCACTCGCTGTGATATGACCTTGTGCACACAAAGCTCACATGGGTCTTCCCATCCCTCGCCGTTAGATGGAGACTCAATCGACGGGCAAAGAAGCTCACAACCCCTTGGCACCGAAGATTTCCCCGAAGGTGGTTTGAAGGGGTGGCTCTGTGTTTTTGGCAGTTTCATGGGTTTTTTCGGTAGTTTTGGATTGGTAAATTCCATGGGCGTACTCGAGGCTTACCTGTCTACCCATCAGTTGTCTGATTATGCAGCTGGCCAAACGGGCTGGATCTTTGGTGTGCTTCCTTTTTTGACACTTTTCTTCGGTGCCCAAGTTGGCCCGGTATTTGATGCCAAAGGTCCAAAAGTCCTACTCCTTGCTGGGTCGACTTTGATCATGATGATGATGATCAGTATTGGGTTTTGTTCGACCTATTGGCAATTTATGCTCTCCATCGGTGTCTGCGGTGGTACAGGTATATCATTGGTGTTCACGCCCACTCTCTCGGCAGTCAGCCACTTCTTTTTCGCGCGCCGCGGGATGGCCACAGGAATTGCTGCATCAGGAGGTGGAGTTGGAGGCGTATGTTTCACTTTGATGTATTCAAGCCTTGTGCCTCGAATCGGGTTTCCTTGGGCTACACGGGCAGTCGCCCTCCTTTGCTTGGTGTCGTTGATACTGGCCAACCTTCTCGTATCGTCGCGTCTACCAAGAAAGTCGTCCAAGTTGAAAGTCTTCTTACCCGACTTTCGGATTTTCTCTGATAAGAGATATTTTGTGATGACTATCGCTTGTTTCTTCATTGAATGGGGTCTTTTCATCCCCATCAGCTATCTGATTTCATATACCTTGCGCCAAGGGTCATCAACCACCTTTTCATACCAAGTGCTAGCAATTCTCAATGCTGGTTCATGTGTTGGAAGGTGGGTCCCAGGATATGTATCAGACCGCATGGGCCGAATGAACACTCTCATCGTGACAGTGTTCCTTTGTATAATCTCCAATGCTTGCTTGTGGTTGCCAGCTGGATCAAGCACGGCATTGATCGTCATATACGCCGCCATATTTGGGTTTGCGAGTGGTGGGAACATCAGCCTTGTTCCTGTATGCATTGGACAGCTGTGTGATACCAAGAACTACGGGCGTTATTTTGCAACATCTTATACCATTGTGAGCCTGAGGTAAATATATTCTACCTAATACCCGTGGGCTACGTTACGCGTTCTATTTGCTGATACAATTGACAGTGTTCTGACGGGTGTTCCTATCGCTGGTCAGCTGGTGTCTACTTGCAACGGGGAGTACTGGGGGCTTATTGTCTTCACGACATGTTGCTACAGTGCGGGTCTTCTGTGCACGATTTGGGTTAAGATAATGTGCTGCGGCTGGTCGAACCTCTTCTCGGTTTTCTGAAAGAGGGCAAGTGAATAATCCATTTCAGGGGAGAGGGCGGGAAGGGGCGGGTTGTTTCTTTTTCACATAGAAACATGTGCGGCTTCCCTTGCACAGGTTCTTCTTGCAGGTTCAACGTTGGAACTGATCGGTCACCAAACAGGTAGTCTCAGGTTCTATCACAATGTAGTTGGCAGGTTGAGCGATTTTTTGGTTTCATTCCATTCCTTGAGAAGTGATTCGGCGCCCTTCATATCTTCATTTGAGTGCAATACATCGATAGAAAAGCGAATAAGCTGCCTAGCGAGTCGATATTGCGTCCCGTACGCAAAGCGATAATAAGTCGGGCCCGCTGCATGTTCGAAGAGTTCTTCTAATTCGCGCAACTCCGGTGTTAGGGGTGTGTCACCTGCAAGCCGCTCATCTTCCTCGTCCTCGTCATTCCACGCCCACAGCCACATTGGGGGCGAGCAAGACATAACGGGTGGAGCGAACAGTGCACTATCCCAATCGAGAATGCCAGTGATAGTCTGCGGCTGGGCTGGCGAAGGGGGTCTGGCCAAAATATTGCGAGGCTCTAGATGGAGATGGCAAAGGCAGTAGTCTTCTCCGCTCAATACTCCAAGGGCGCTCATTTCCGATATTGCGGTAATGAATTGGTCGAAAAAAGAAACCCGGAAGGACTGATTTGGCCCCTCTGCTACAGCGAGGTCTTTTTTATGTTCGAGCATCGAGAGTAACATAACGATAGTTGCCTCTGCAGCAGGTCCGTCCTCGTATGGGCAGGTAGCATCTAATCCAGTACCATCAAACCGCTGGACAAGGAGCAAATCCTGAGAAGGCGCCAAACTAAGTCTTCCGGCAGTGACACTTCTGACTGAATGTAACTGGTGATAGACTCCACCTAGCTCTTTAGCGATAGCGCATTTCATTTTCTGAGACATGTCCATGTATGCTGGGAAAAGAGGGACACCCGGAATGCGTGTCTGAATCATGTAAGGGCTTTCTAAAACATTTCCTGTCGTCGCGTCAAATGTGACAACGTCAGGAAGTGGGATTTGGGATACCCGACGAAGTAATTTCAAAGGGGCAAGATCACGATTCAGCTGCGCTGCTTCAAACCGTGGTATGCGCAGGATGTACTGTTCAAGGACAGGGCGTTTGCTGGCATCGCTGCTGGTTACGGTCACGCCAATAATCCTATTAAAACCTCCTCCCTGCATTCTCTCAATAGAGACAACCCCCGCCCCAGGAGCTAAAACACTCTGACATAGCCTCAGGGCTCGCGTCTGGAAGGTTTCAAAGGGCTCATGATCATAAACCACGGTCGAAGAATCGGACGCGGAGTCGACTTCTGACACGGGCGTCGCGGCTTTTGACGACATATGGAGGTTCTGATGGCGTACTCGCTGGAACCACTAAGCATCCAATGGCCAAAATGAAAGATCTTTTGATTCCTAGATGATGAGAATGAGAGAAAGGTTCAGTGGGAGATGTATCTACAAAGCGGACGGAAGGGCGCAGATGGCAAGGGTCGGTCTGAGTTCAAACCTGAGGGGCTATTCCTATTTGGGAATAGCACCTGACCTTTCGGGCCAACATTGGAAGGCGGCTCCACATGCAGCACGACTCTCATCTTCCCCACACCACGCTACGGAATGCCACGAAATGCCACTACGCTTCATCGAATTGAACAACCCACAGATTCCAACATGGGGGGAAACTTCATTGGATCTCTTTCTACTTTCTGAATGGGACAAGCATCACCCTGACCCATACGACTCCAAGGAGTCCACCACCGACCGCCGCAGAAGGCTTTTACGTCAATTCCTCGCACTAGGATGTGAAGGAAGAGAGGTAAATCCTCCCCTTCCTTCGTACAAGACCACCGAAATTAGACTGACGGGTCAAAATTTTAGCGCTACTCATCACAAAATTCACTCACTCCTACCCAAGCGCAGATAGATGATATCCTTCGGCCCATCAGGCCTGAAGTACTGCGGGTCTACGGTAATAATACTGGTTCTGACGTAGGCTGCTGGCTTCGTCTCTGCTACACTAATCAAGAGGGCCATGATACTCTATGGTCTGCCAACAAAGACACCGAATGGGTGTCTGAAGGGGCGGTTGTGCTTGACGATGAAAGTATATTCGGTGGGCTGGATTTGACAGCTGCTCTGGAAATATTTCCGGAGCGCGTCGCAAACGAGCCGGTCAATTTTGATTCCCGAGAGGAGAGTCTCAAGGCTGCGATAGAGGAAACCAAAGAAGGCGGCTGGGACGAAGAACCGCTTGAGGCATACGTTTATTATCAGACAGATTGCGTTGTGACCCATATGTTTGTGGAGGATGAGGTTGCGGTGAACGGAGGAGGTTTGTTGCATGTGTTTCTGGACGACCGTGGGAATGTGGTCCGGCAATGGCGGGTGGACGAGGGAGAAGACGAAATGTATGATGGCTCATGGTTTGAGCGTGTTTGGAAAGGAGATTTTGAAGCTGAGAGGGGGGAAGTTGGTCCTGCTTATCGTGAGGGTGAAAGGGTCATACTCCCAAATACACTCCAGGGACTTTGAAGGTCTGAGACTGCCATTATTTCAGCGCGATCTAGTCAGTTAGATCCGATCATGCTTCCCTAGAATTCTTTTTCAAGACATCTGATCAAGCAGCTGCCCAGGTGTCCTGTGGTGCACACGTGAACTTCCAAGGTTCGGACCCGTCCACTGCACGTGTCTACCTAGGTGGGCCCGGAACCCCGATCTGATTGCTCCGCTTCAGCCTCCGCGCACGAGCCAGCCGGTCCTGGCTGGACGGGCCGCACCCATTCCCCGGTTACCGCGTCCACGGGTATACAATTCGGACTTGAATCCTCCGATTGCTCCAGGCCTGGAATCTACCTGGCCCACGCGCTTGAGCATGATAATTCGATAGGCACCCCCGAGAAAGAAGCAAATTCGGGATCGCCATCATCTGCGCGCTCCCACGCGAAGCCAACCCCGTTGAAGCGCTTTTCGACGAGACGTACGACCGATTCGGCACAATATATGGCAAACAGATGAGAGACCGGACTTATAAATCACGGGTAGACTCAGTTTGCATAATGTCGTGCTATGTATCATGCTGGGGATGGATGGGTCGGGATCCAGCTGCGAGCGTCGCCTCTAGTCTCCGGCTCAGCTTTACAGGATCACAACCCGCTCTTATGGGGTATACCACAGAGACCTTGTGGTGATTCGAGAATGCATGGTCCTTCAGACGATGGATGGCGCCATCAAACGCGACCGCAAAGCACGAAGCATGAATGCAGGCAAAGGCCAGGAGGTGAAAGGCAACAGCTCCCTCCGCTCCCCGTGCACTTGAACAAATTGATTCCTCATTTGCTTATTACCCCTTGAGGGTACTGTACTAAATGCGATCGGGTTCCTGTGAGAATTGTCGAAGTGGTGGATTGGTGGAGTGGTGGAGTGCCGGTGGAGTGGTGGAGCTCATTTTCAACCCGTCAACTTCTCGAAATCTGGTCACTTGGATATTGTCAACAGTGAAAGATTGACGGAATAAAAGCCAATTCCCCGACCTTGCTCACAGAGATTCGTTAATATCACCACTACGTCGGGTTTCAATCCAACCAGTGTAAATCACATGAACTGTCCTGTCTGACCATCCACTCCGACACCAACGCATACTGACCACCCAAATCTATGAACACAATGGCTTCGAAACCCAATGTTGCATTTATCGGGCTGGGTGCTATGGGGATAGGAATGGCCATACACCTGCTCGACGACGGATTTCCCGTAACCGGCTTTGATGTCAATCCCATGGCTCTGGAAAGACTGCTCGCCATGGGTGGTATACCTGCTACTAGCCCAATAGAGTGTGTTCGGGATGCATCGCTTATTGTCTGCATGGTTGCGAACTCTACACAGACCGAAGATGTATTCTTCGCCGACGCGACGGGCGCAGTCTTTGGCTTGGCACAAAACGCGGTTGTGGTATTGTGCTCAACTGTTGCTCCGGGGTTTCCAGTGAAGCTCCTGAACCGCATTCATCGAGAATTTCAAAGATCAGACATTGAATTGGTGGATTGCCCTGTGTCTGGTGGAACGACACGCGCCGCTCGAGGATCGCTGACCATTCTCTCGTCGGGCGGGAAGGAGGGTTTGAGTACCGCTCAGCCATTATTGAAGTCAATGAGCGAAACGCTATATGAAATTGAGGGAGGACTGGGTGCTGCAAACAAGGTCAAACTCGTCAATCAGCACCTTGCTGGTATTCATATTGCGGCTTCTGCCGAGGCAATGGGGCTAGCTGCAACGTTGGGAGTGAATACAAAAGAATTCTATGAGAAGGTTTTGAAAAGTCCAGCATGTAGTTGGATGTTCGAAAACAGAGTCCCTCACATGCTTTCCAATGACTGGACACCTCACTCTGCTATCAGTATCTTTGTCAAAGACATGGTAAGACTTTTCCCCCTTGGTCGCAACCTGGAATTTCCTCCCATCTTGAACTCTCCACTGACATCTACTGCAGCGAATTGTGACCTCAGAAGGCCTTCTTCAAGATTTCCCACTTTATATTGCATCTGCGACCGAGCGACTTTATCAATACGCCGCGCGCATGGGATATGAAAAGGATGACGATGCAAGCCTAGTTCGGATTTTCCTGGGACAAACCCCATCTCTAGTATCCGAAGCAACGCGTTTCCAGACTCTGGATGATCACCAATCAACTGAGTTGATATGTCGGTTACTGGAGACTGTCCATACCCTAGCAGCAGTCGAGGCTCTGGCCTTTGGACACAAACTCGGCATTTCGGTCAGGACCCTAACATCAATAATTTCGAATGCCGCTGGAGCCAGTGAATCTTTCAAAAAGATCGCACCCATGATTTTGGCTGGTGATTTCTCGTCGGGGTGCACGATAGCCGAGACTCGAGATATTTTGGTAAGTCTATTCCTCGAGGATTGAGCCGCGGCTACTTACCAAATCGACAGAAAGATGTGATCACCCTTGCTCAAATGCACAACTATCCTCTACAACTCACATCTACTACGCTACAACTTTTACATCAAGCTGTGGTCTATGGCCTGGGCGAGGAAGGTCAACCAGCGCTTCTCAAGCTATGGACAACATCAGCCCTTTCTGCTCATCAATAGGCTTCTGTGGATATATTAAATCTATTGGAATAATTGAAGTGGTGCTGCAGAAGGGCCTTTTCTACTCCGTACATGAGCTTTCAATGCCCAGGATGACCGGAAAACAGTGGAGAATGAGGCCTCAGGCACCTCCTATGGAAAGTGGGCGTTTGACACGAAATTCGTTTGGACCTTTTGTATATTCACCCAAAAGCAGAGCTACGTTGCCCGTGGCATTGTCAAACTGTCTTTCTTGCTCCCCTTTTGCCATGCATCTCCATGCCTTGCCGCAAGTTCAGACGGCATCTGAAGGGTAGACCCCGCAATGGGCCGGGTTGGGCCTGAGGTTCGGGCCGAGAACCGAGCCTGGTATGGGCTCTAAGCTTTGACCCCAGCGACCAACCCAGTCTAGAGTCCACTGTTGGTGGGGAGCCTTCCGGGCCCCCAGAAACGCCCGGTAGGCTCCGAGAGCCCATCCCTAGGCCCAAGGACTACCCTAAAGACCGACCCATCGGTGAGCTGGGACAGGTAGGGCTCCGGACTTTCTGGGCTGGTGCGGAATTCTACCTAGTCACGTGGCGCCCTGTCGCAGCCCCTCCAGGGCTCTCCGTACTTCGTACGATATCTCGGCATACGTACGCTCTGATCAAGTGTTCATCACGCTAATGTACCGATCATGGATACCGCCATTTCTACGGCCCGATTTTACCTGGCCCCGACCGATGCACTCAACAATATGCGAAGCCACGCCGGAATTGCCACATATTCCGAGCAAAGTGACACGCAGAGCCTGCGGGATATTCCATAAATTATTGTACCGATTCTCAAATTGGTACTGCTTATGGTTCAAAATACCTTTCGATGCCAATATTATCCAGTTACCATTTGGCTTAATTCTGAAGTGGACCGATCGGACGAGTGTGGAAGAAGCTGTCGCAATGCAAATGGCACGAGCTGCCGGAATACCAGTTCCAAAAGTTCTATCTTGCGGTGAACATCTCGATGAGGACTTCAATCGTATGTTTTCAATATTGATGACAAGACTGCCCGGCACAGCACTCGAGAACTCAAGCGATCCTTTACATATTGAAGTGGAAGAGCCGTGGCTTTTCGAACTAAAGGAATGTATCATTTCAATGCGTAAATGGTCTTCACCTTACGCACGAAGTGTTTGCTCGGCTTTGGGTACATCGCTGCGAAGTTCCAGAGTACCTAATCATATCATGGGTCCATTCACAAACCAAGACCAACTCCACGACTATCTCTTAAGTCCGGTATCTGAGCATGGTTTCAATTCAACTGAAGATTACAATCAAGCTTTGGCACAAGCAACCGAGATTCGCGAATACTTTTATAAAATTACTTTCACACACGGTGACTTCAAGGCCCACAACATTCTCGTCGGGGATGATGCTCATCTATCGGCTTTTCTTGACTGGGAATCAGCTGGCTGGTACCCCGAATATTGGGAGTTAGTGACAGCATCACGATTTGGAAAAGACAGCTGGTGGGCTCAGGTGGCTTCATGGATTGAAGACGGGAAATATGAAAGAGAATTGGCTTGTGATATTGCGCTTAACTCCTTGACTGTGGACTCTTACATAGCCTTCTGATTCATACTTTGGTACCCATCTATATTTCCTTTCTCTATTTCTTCTTCTCTATTCTTTCCTTGCGCATTCCATCTGCATTTCAGAACCCTGGAGGTTACATCATGTCTAAAATGCAAATAATAGAGTAATCAAATAGTAGAGTAGTGCAAAATTCTAAAGAGTGTTTAATCAGTACATCGTTGAAAAGATATATCCGGTCCTGGGGACCATAAAGAGCTTAGTGAGCGGACCTCTGGAAATAACATCATTGATCTTTGCCCCGCAGAACGTTTAAACCTCACGCAGCATCCAGTCCAGCAATCGCTGTGTATAGATAACAGTATTTTTACTACCCAAGCTTTACAGTCAGTATCATCCACATTTCCTCCTAGGGTTTGGAGATATCTGCTACTTCAGTTTATAGATACCACAGTCAATCTATACCTAGTAAGTTTGATCAAAGCTGTCAAAAACTGGAATAGATAGGTAATCAAGGAGAGAATGGATAAGAGAGAGGGAGAGAAGAGAAAGTAGAGGGGGAGATAAAGAGAGAGGGAAAGGAGAGGGAAAAGAGAGAGAGAGGGAGAGGGAGAGGGCGAGAAAAGATAAGAAAGAGGGAAAGAAGCAAAGAAAATAAAGGGAGAGATAAAGAGAGAGACAAAGAGAGAGAAAGAAAGAAAGGGAAAGGGAAAGGGAAAAGAGAAAGGAAGGGGGGAGAGAGGGGGAAAAAGAGAGGAAAAGGGAAGGAGATAAAGAAGAAAGTAAGAGAAGAGAGAAGAGAAAAGAGAAAAGAGAAAAGAAGGAGGAAGAGAGAAAGATGGAAGAAAAAGGAAAAGGAAGAAAAGAGAGAGGAGAGAGGGAACCTAGATCTAGGAACTATATAACATATACAGAGTTATATGATTAAATTATCTAATTCTTAATACTAGAGTCTACAGGAATTTAAAGATAGTCAAGCCGTACAAGTGATACCAAGACATACACTGCATGGGAAGGGATAGATAGGCACATAGAATTGATATACTGACCTCGAGGTGTCCCTTAGGCTGTCTAAGAGATGACTGCTGTGTGACCTGGTCGAGCCAAGTGCCTCAGATATCTATATGACAAGAGCGTAAAAACCCCACTCTTAAAACGTTCCTATTTCTCAGAAAAGCTTTGCACTGAACCACCTTCCTCGTTCGAAGTGAAAACAGCATCTAAGAACTCGTGTCTCCTTACCGCATCCTCAAAAGTGGGCACGGATTTCCCATCCGCGAACCTCTCGTACATCATTCCAATATTTTGCGAAAGCAACGGAAGCGGCAGCTTTTGATGCATTGGTACCGTCTCTATCTTTCCAGTTGCATAGTCCTTGGCCTGAATCTTGTAGTTCTCTGCGCCAATGTTGAGCATTATCGTGGCGCCTGTCACTCGAATCTGGCCCTTCTCGCCGATGATGTCCCACACGAGGCCTTCGCCTTCTTGAAATGCATCTCCGCCTCGGAGAACGTAGGTGTACTTGACGCCTGTTTCGGTAGTTCCATGAAGAGATGCGTAGTCGTCGGCTGTTTTCTTGACATTGGTTTCCATGATTTTGTCCCCGTCCACGATATCCACGTATGGCCATGTGGTCTGTAGCTGTGCGGACACGGTTGTGGGCTGGCCTAGCAGCGATGCAACAAAGTCCATTGTGTGGCCCATGTAAATAGTCAATGTGACCTGGCCCGTGGTTCCCTCGGCATGTCGTTCTTTGAAGTAAAGGTAGCGCTTGTCCAACCGATTGCCAGTCTCTGGTGTGGTAGAGCTACCGACGATGTGCGAGGCTAGGACGCGTCCAATTCTGCCGCTGTCGAGTATCTCTTGCAGAGTCGAGTGGACATGGCCAGCGCGTGATTGGAACCCAATGATAGTTCGAACACCCTTTTCCTTGGCCAATTGAGCGAGCTCCCTTGACTCCTCGGTTGTTCCACAGAGGGGCCACTCGACATACACGTCCTTGCGTCGTTCAATAGCAGGCTTCACGAGCTTGTAGTGGGAGAAAACGACAACGACACAAACGACTAGATCGACGGTACCGGAGTCGCACATCGACTCAACCGAGTCATAGGCTTTGGTAGACGCGGATGGGAGGTTGTATTGCTCGATGGCCTTGTTGCCGCTTTCGAGAGAAGAGTTGCAAACGGCCGTGATGGAATATTTGGATGATCTCTGAAGATAGGGGAGATGAGAGACGGGTGCCCAGCCTCCTCCGGGGGAAAGGCCAATCAATCCAACGCGGATAGGTGTGTTTGAAGGTGACATGATCGTTCTTGTCTGTCAGTAGTGTGTGATCAGGCTGTAGTGGAATGAAATCACGCCAATCTTCAATGAACTTTCGAGTTTGGTGTTTCTGAGTGAAGACGGACTGAGTCGATGGGTCGACGACCAGTCTTTTATAGTAAGAAGGTTGAGTCAATTGCCCGCACCTCAATGGCTCGTATGCCAAAAGCTTCTAACTGGGAGTGGAACGTTGGAAAATGACTACTGGGCCTGGGGCTATAGATTAGATTTGTAATTCGGTTGAATCCAATCCCGTGAATCTCTGAGGCATCAATTGATGTCTCCTGTGGTGCTGAGTGCAAGGCTACCTAATTTTCTTACGGAACCCTTCGAATCCTTAAGAACAATTAGGACATGCTCTTGATTAGTAAAAGGCACAATGCACCAGGGAAATCCTTTGAGAGAGCTCCTTTTATCGTCTAGATGTACGGAGTAGCGTCGGAATATATCTTCCGCTGAGAAATGACGTCATGGCCTCCGACACTAACCTTGAACCCGTCCCATTTCGCCATGGCTCCATACCTCACTCAACTCGGACACTTTCGAGTTTTCTGTCATATACACTTTGCCTCTTAATGAATACGAGCTATTGTTTTTCTTGCTTTACAGGTCCAGAAAGGTTCACACGTCACTCGAACTTGGAAACAGCCTTTTCTTGCCCACGGAGATTCGCAGCATACCCGTAGACATACGGAGTAGAGCAGAGAGATAAATGAGCTTGGCACTGTCATCGGTGAGCCTAGACCTGACGGTAGTGCCAAGAGTCGCCGCTCATGTTTGCTCATTCAATTAGGAATATTAATCCGGAATGGAGATCGATGTTCAATTAAAAACACAAAATAGACTCTACTCGTTTCAAGGTTTTGGAACATACTACTTACTATTAACATGCCTGGTGGGTTTTGTATTGTACTCTATACGCCCAATTTATGTGCCAGCGTGGGATGAATAGACTAGGTCCTCAGGGTGTCGAGCAATGAGGATGAGGTGGGAAGCTGTGATGAGTCTGAGGAAATGGTCAATGATACCTAGGTACTGCCCAGACGGTTCCTAGGGCGATGGAAGTGGGTAAAACGCCTACCGCGGTCAGTTTGCTGTTGGAGTATGGAAAGAAAAGTAAAAGTCTAATGAAAGGTCAAGTCCTAGTCAGAACCTTGAAGCTCTATCTTGGCGCTTGTGAGGAAATTATATTCCGCTTTGTCAGAACCAGCCCGGATCCAAAAGTCGATATTTGTCCAATTGCTGCCGACTCATATGCTCTGTTGAACAGGCATTCAGATCCACACCGTCGTGAGGAATATAAATTCCGCATCCCCAACTCCCGAGCCCCTGGACCCGCATATTTCCTCGGGAAGAACTAGAAGGATCAACTATCAAAAATCATTGCGTGGGAGACTAATCCTTGCAAATAACAAGAGATAGATTTTGGTATTGCAGACGTGGGCTCCTTCGCTACCAGAGGCAAATGGACCGTGGAGCAGTTTATGCCAGCAGGTGGTTCGTGTTCAATACCTGGGTACCAGTTGGATACTCACGTTAATTCTGTTGGTGTTAAAAGGGCTTGGAAACTTCATTGAGCGTTATTGAGAAGGGCGTGCTCGGACGATCTCCGCTCAAGAAGTGGAGAGGAATGCTTGGGATTGGGGTTCAGAGCCATGGGGAAGGGTACGCGGGGTGAGAAAAGCCTCAATGGATGATGGCTCACGGGCACACTAATCCATTCTGAGAGATTTTGCCTTGGTCGAACTTCAGACGGTGAATGGGGTTAACACTCAGAGTGGGTGTTCAAGCTTGATCATGAATATAAAAGGATGCTCGGGGTACAGCCATGTTCCTGATTCTTTCATGGCAGCCAGCCTGTGGAGATCCTCACCACAACACCATACAACATGCGAGTTTCTGTGGCCTTTGCCTCTTTGCTAGCCACAGGTGCGCAGGCGCAGCAATTGTTCATTACAACAACCGGCTACTCTGACCGTCCGCAATGTACACTGCCGGCTACCTCGCCCCAGTATTCGTTTCGACCATTCTTCTTTGCCTTGAATGAAACCGTCCGGTAAGCTTTTGTCTTTTCCTTTTCTCTCTCCTCCCTTCCTCATCCCCGATTTTCAACTACGCCGAGCGGCTAACGGGATGCAGGTATGCGACTTCAGTCCCCACTCCGACTTCAACTCGAACATATGCACCGCCATATTCTGAGGCCGTCAAGCACCTTGTCACAAGCCCGGTGACTACGACATGGGGTAGCTATCTACCTGATCACACTGTGATCACAGCCACAGACACAGACGACCCATATGGACAAGCAGCATGGTCTTCCCTCTGGCAAAACGTCAAACTCGAGAACTACACAACTACCGGACTATATTCAACTACCATTAGCCCAACACCGGTTCCTAGCAGTGAGTTGGTCCTGCCGCCAAGAGACTATTTTGGGCCAACAGATTGCTACAATTTCCCCGACGACTTCATCTTTGGAGTTGCAGGAAGCGCTGCTCAAGTGGAAGGTGCAGTGGCCCTAGAGGGCCGAGGACCTAGCATTCAGGAAAAGCTAGTGAACTCCACTAAGCCCAAAAACTACGTGACAGCTGAGAATTACTTCTTGTACAAACAAGATATTCAACGCCTATCTGCTATGGGAGTCAAATACTACAGCTTTTCGATTCCGTGGACGCGAATTCTGCCTTTCGCACTACCCGGGACTCCTGTGAACCAGGAGGGTATCAAGCATTACGATGATCTGATCAACACGGTTCTTGATGCCGGAATGCAGCCGATAGTGACCCTGCTTCACTTCGACACCCCGTGGTTGTTCGTGTCCAGTGACGACAACTTTACGGCCAAGCCCGACATTGGTTATTACAACGGAGGTTATCACAACGAGACCTTTGTGGATGCCTACGTCAACTACGCTAAGATTGTCTTATCCCACTTTGCCGATCGAGTGCCGATTTGGGTCAGTTTCAACGAGCCTTTCCTCTACTCGTTTGATTTTGCTGGAGCCAATAACGTTGTACATGCGCACGCGCAAGTGTACCGTTTCTACCATGACGAACTGAAAGCGACTGGAAAGTTGGGCATCAAGTTCAATGATAACTTTGGCGTTCCTCGCGATCCCAGAAATTCAAGCGACATCCACGCCGCGAACCGGTTCCAAGAGATCCAGCTAGGCCTTTTCGCTAACCCCATCTTCCTTGGGCAGCAATACCCGGATTCGGTCCTGACAAGCTTACCTGGTGCCAGGCGCCTCAGCAACGAGGAGCTGTCTTATATAGGCAACTCATCCGACTTCTTCGGGATTGACCCGTACACTGCGACAGTGGTATCTCAACCAGCTGAGGGAATAGATGCTTGCGCTGCCAACTCCTCGGCAGATAATTCCTTGTGGCCTTTCTGTGTTGTGCAGGAGACAGAGAACGTGTATGGTTGGAATATCGGGTATCGCGGTCAGAGTTATGTCTATATAACCCCAACGTATCTACGGGAGTACCTGAACTATCTTTGGAACACCTTCCGTCAGCCTGTGTTTGTGTCTGAATTTGGGCTCCCGGTATTCGGCGAAGCGGCCAAGGACCTTCCAGACCAACGATTCGACACCCCGCGCAGCTCCTACTATCTTTCGTTCATGTCGGAAATTCTGAAGGCCATTCACAAGGACGGGGTTCATGTGATGGGCGCCTTAGCTTGGTCCTGGGTTGATAATTGGGAATTTGGCGACAATACACAACAGTTCGGGATGCAGGTTGTGAATAAGACGACCCAGCAGCGCTTTTACAAGAAAAGCTTCTTTGACGTGGTTGACTTTGTAAGTGCTCGACTGCAGTCTTCTTGATTGTAACGAAGGGTATGAGTCGCGATGGGGAGTTCTAGCCAATCATAGTTTTGATCAAATATATCAAGAACTATGCCATTTTCTTCCCATAAGGCGGTAGCTCCAGGGCTCCACGGTATGATTTCGAAAACACGTAAAAACTCAATGCACAGGAAAAATCAATCAAAGCAGACAACTCAGACACATCTGAGTTGTCTGCTGGGGGCAAGAAGCCAGATATCAGATTGATTGTCTATCTCTAAAAGAGAGGCGGAGGAAGGAAAAGCGAAGAGAGGAGAGAGTGAGATCCATGAATCTAGCCCTCCAGGGCTCCAGCCCTGGAGGGAACGACCAGGGTCACCTGACCGAACGTTTACCTCCAAATCTTCTGGGGATCATGATGCTCCGAGGTCTTCAACTGTATGCATAGAGCTACCAGGTTGGTAAGGCAAAATGAGGAGTGATGCACGGAGTGTGGGGTTTTTTTTCTTGGAAATTCACCAACAACGCGAAGTCTAGGTTTAACTCTAGGACCTCTGAACCTCGGGATTATCCATGGATTATCAAAGGCATGTGCTTTCGAGCACTTAAGAAGCCTTTTGTATATCGCCCAGCCGCTTCAGGGACTTTCAAGAAATGAAGTCAATCTGCCACCAGGGGGGGGGGGCTCAAGTCTCAAGTGCCCAGGCGGCACCTGGGGCCCGCCCGGGCTCCCTTCCTCGTTACTAATCAATGATGATATAATGACTTTTGGGCCTCAGGCCCCGTCCCCGGGGGGCGGTATCCGAGTTTTGCCAACCACAAATACTCAAGGTAGACATTCTCCTTCTTCGAGCGTCGGACAGCATGTCTCAAAATAGAGGAAACATGCCAGATCCGAAGACCACAAAGAGCCAGCATCGTGGGAAGTACACGAATAAAGCTTGTGAGGAGTGTCGACGCCGCCGAGCTAAGGTATCAAGCCAAGTACCAGGTTTGGCTCGCCACAAATACTAAAAGCAAAAATCTAGTGCGATGGAATGAAGCCTTCGTGCTCCAGATGTCAGCAATGGCAGATTTCATGTCAGTACTCAGTTGTTGAAGATGGCCGAAGGCCAGCATCGAAGAAGTATGTACACCTGCTACGACAGAGGATCGAGACGTTAGAGCGGCTCCTAGAGCAACATGGCGTTGATGCACAGGAGGTTGCCGATTTCAACCAGCTGACTTCTGCTGGGGCCGTGGACTCTGTAGCAGAGTCCTTGGGAGCATTTGACTCAACGGTTGATGACCTCTCGGCAAGTCTGAAGGGCAAACTGGCACTCAATGATTCGCTTAATTTCGACCAAGATGGAGAAATGCGGTATTTTGGGCCGACGAGTGGGAGACTTCAATTTGAGGATCTTTCTATCGAGAGTGCGGATGACTCTGCTTTCCCCGCCTTAGGACCGGATGCAACGCCCGAAAGTTTGGAGTTAGTTCATCCTGTCGACAGGATCACGACGGAGACGGGATTTTCCAAGTCCTCACAAGACCATTTCCTCGGTTTTTATTTCAAATGGGAACAACCGTGGTTCGCTGTCGTCGACGAATTACTCTTCCGCCAGAGTATGGATTTTGGCGGACGATACTGGAGTTTGCTGCTGCATTATTGTATTCTAGCTGTTGGATCGCGATACTCGGGCTGCGAAAGTGTCCGCTCAGAGCAAGATAACCCCAATACCGCAGGAACAGTCTTCTTTGAACAGGCAAAGAAATATCTACCCGAAGAGATTGAAAAGCCCAGCCTCACAACCCTCCAAGCGGTAACTATCATGGGGACTTTTTATATAGTAAGCTACACTCTTCTCCTGTGGCGTGTGCCCAACGTTGCAAGTGTCAATACGTGCTTACGAATCAGGCGACTGGTGCCGATGCTACAGGCTGGTTGTACCATGGAATGGCAAGCCGCTTGAGTCTGGATATGGGGTTGAATCTGGATCCGGCTGGGTTCGAGGAGACGAATCTATTCTCTCACAGGGAAATCCAGCTACGGAGGCAAATTTATTGGACTTTATACTGTCATGATAAATGGTCTTCTAGTTATACAGGGAGGATTTGTTCCATGCTGGTATGTCACGCCTATCTTTTTGAAAGCTGGTATTCTGACCCCTATAGGATTCGCAGGCCGCCGTGGGAATGCCGGAAGTTGATGAAATACCCGCCACTGAAAGTCCTGCCCAGAAGGCATTCATACCACTTCAAAGAGCCATGATAAAGGTTTGTTTGATACAGGAAAATATCATTCTCTCCTTGTGAGCAACATACCTATCCATCACATATAAACAGAACTAAACCAAACCAGATGGGCTCCAAAGCCCCTCTTGAATACCGCCCAACGCCCCTCCTTCCTGAAGACTTGTCTTCTTGACTTAAGGTCATGGTTCTATGACCTTCCTACGGAACTTAGACTTGATCGTCCAAACAGTGTTCCTCACGTTTACACTCTTCACATGATTTACCACACTGCAAGAATCCTTCTCGCAAAACCATTCATCATGAAGAAAGATTCGAAAAAAGCTTCACTGCCGATAGGAAATGATAATGATGACGAAACGACCCGCCTAGCCCTTGTCACCAGCCGGGAATCAGCTCGAGAAATTTGCCTTGTGGCCCAGAAGTACAGACAGGCTTTTGGTAGTTTCGAACACAGTCCCATTTCGGCAACACATTGCACTTTATCAGCAGCCTTGGTTCTGCTACGTGAAACCGAGAACCTCAACACTCCTTCCCATAAGAACAAACTCAGACTTTGTCTGACAGTTCTTGGTGAACTAGCCAAAGTGTGGCATCCAGCACGACTTATTGAGCACAACCTTCGAAGGCTCTGTTTTGCGGCAACTGCGGACGACGTCTTGTTCGCGGAACGCACGGTCAACCTTCCCGATGAGAACGTGCCTTTGGCTCCCCTGAATTTAGGAGTCGAAATACCCGATAGCCTGGATGAGCCAGTTTCATACCGGCAGATGGACCAAGGGATCTCGGCTAATAACTTGGATTCATTGGTGCCCGCGGACTCTTTACCCCTTGGAAATGAGTTCTTTGACATTCTTAATGAAAATATGTGGGATCCCATGTGGTAGAATTATCGGAGTGTACTAATGACATAGTATCTTTTCAATTTGACGGCAATGTCTGAATAGTGTAAAGAACTGATTCACGATAAATTTTAGTGTTTGCCAATAGTAAACCACCGTTACTTCTTCAAGGTTGTTCTTTTCATTTGTGTCTCAATGGGTTTAATTTATTTTACCATATGAAAACCCTCTATTCAATCCTTCGGTTTAGTTTACTTAAGGTCAACGAGTTGTACCTGGAGAGGTATAACCTTGAAATTAGCGCATTGAGTATTTTATCAATACTAGGGATCTCGGTGGCCTAAGGCCACCAGAAAGTCATGCTGAACGTAGCAAAGCATCATGTCACGTGATCTCCCCCAAAAGGGGGGTGGAGGCATATTGGTCCAAGCAGATCATTTATTTTTTTCTGCCAGTCGAAGTATTCTGCCGTTTCTCAGCGATGACATTACACCGCCGTGACTTGGGCAGAATTCTATGGATTTTGAGCCCACCACCAAAAGTGTTGTCACGTGACGCAGGGAAAGAGGATCCTATGATACTATAATGCTTCGCTTCGCTCCGCAATTAACCTTGGAACTTTATAGATTAGCAATGTGATTGATGTAAAGGGCTACTTGGCGAGGTGCGTACATATGTAGTAAGAAAGACAAGGTCCCTATCGGAGCCACCTGGCAGATCGCACAACTTGGAACTTGGAAAGTTCCAACCTTGGAACCCGTGGACGTCGGAACTACCTAGGTACTACCTAGGTCCACAGTATTGCTGGGTCTTCAACATCGCATATATACCTAGGTATTGTACTGGGTACTCAACACATATTCGAATTACTCATTCCTGAGTTCACTGGACCATGAAAGCCTCAAAATCCTCGTCGGGAAGATGTGCCTTTTCATTACCCTCAAGCGTACCAAGATACCAGGACAGGTCACTTCCATCAGATTCACGAGCGGCGAATCCATTGCCAAGATAGCCAAACCGGTTAGTGGTTGTATAGTTGAGGTTATAATCTTCCCAACGCGGCTGCTTCATGGTTTCAAAGAAATGGATCCTTGAACCCGGCCACATCATAACCTCGCCATCGACAGTCCCCTGCTTGAACCAGGAGCGACATGGAGATGTCCATGCGGTTCGAGGCATGAAGTTTCGGTGGTGCTCGAAGAAATCATCGACTGCCTCAACCTTCGGCTCAAATGCTGTCACGCCTTCAGATGACATTTTCTCCAACATTTGGAGGAAGTGTCGTGAAATAGTCTCGGTGATTGGAAGGAAGCTTCCGTGGCCGTAAGGACCAAAGGGACCGTTGAAAACTGCGAACTCGGAGTTAGTGTCACGTCAGTTGAGGGCTGATGGTGGAGAAAGTCTCACTGAGGTAGTTGGGGAAATGCGGAGCTGTGATGGAAAGGTATGTTCTTGGGATGTTCTTCCATTCCTCACTCAGACTGCGTGACTCCCGGCCAATTGTCGGGTATGATGGGCGCCAACTGACATCGAAACCGGTAGCACACACGATAACATCGACTTCGTGCTCAACACCATCTGCAGTCTTAATACCTTTCGGGGTAATCTCTTGAATTGATTGGTTGACAACCTCTGTGTTCTCGCTGCAAAGCGCCTCAAGATATCCGTTACCGGGTGTAGGCCTCCGGCAACCGACTGCGAAGTCCTTGGGAACAATCGCGTCTGCGATTTCGGGACGATCGGCAAGCTTCATGCGCATATCTTTCTCTGCGTACTACAAAGTCATCAGTGTCAGAGACCTCAGTTAAGGGAGGTATATCGGGTTGAGACAGAAGCCTTACAGCTCGCGCGTTAGCTTGTTCCTCGGATCCATTGAGGATGAATCGGAATCGAGAGTTGAGCTCAGACTCAATCTTCTTCCGATACGCCAAGTATTTTTGAGGGTCGTTCTGCAGTATCTGCTTTTGCGTTTCGTTATCTGTTTTTGTCAGTATTTCGAACAGCTTATTTTGTGGAAGATTTACATTTGAAATTGGTTCCCCCCTTTCCGGCAAATCGTTGCCCAAACCCTGCAGTGACCCACGATGCACTGCGAATGAAGCATTTGAGCGATGATACCTCTGTTTTGTTTGATTAGTATATGTCGTTTGAAGCTTCGGGGTGAGACTTACTCGGCTGAATACTCGGAACGATTTGTACTGCAGAGGATCCTGAGCCAATCACAGCGACTCGCTTTCCCTGTAGCTGGATTTTGTCGTCCCAGTTTGCACTGTGAAGTCTCGGGCCCTCGAAAGATTCCAATCCCTTGATTGCGGGCCACTTCCATTTGCTGAAATACGTCAGTTGAGCAAGTCGGTCAGTCTAGAAAAGGGACCTCACTTCAGCACGCCACTGGCATTGATCAGGATATGACCTTGGTCCTCGAAAACATCCTCGGGGTTGTCTCCTCTCTGGACTTTTACATGCCACTGTTGATCTTGGTCATCCCAGAACGCGCCTACCACTTTGTGCTCTAGTCGAATATATTTCCGGAGCCCATACTTGTCGGCAACATTTTTGAAATATTTCAAGATTTCAGGTGCACCGGAGTAACTATCAGTCGTAAGTTTGAAATTCAACCTTCCAAGTCTTTTTCGAAAATCACGGAATGGTACTTACAAGGAGGTCCAGTCCGGAGAGGGAGCCCATGAGAACTGATAATTGACAGAGGGAATATCGCACCCACAACCAGGGTAGCGATTTTCATACCAAGTGCCACCAATCTCTGGGTTTTTCTCGTAGAGAACCAGCTCAGTATTTAGTGTGCTTGTGTCAATGTCATGGGCGAAGTTCAACGCGCTCGCGCCGGCACCGATCACGATGATGCGGATCTTGCGACCGTATCGACTAGGTTGTTCAACGATTTCATAGGGCTTGGCCCCATTTGTAACTCCATTAGTCGCCTTGAGGTCATGATAATTGCCGATAGATCCCATTATGGACAAGAGAAGCAAAGTTGAAAAAGGTGAGAAGTGATCAAATTGCCTCGCCTTTCAAATCCTGGACTCAGTGTGCGAATGGATGCATTTATGAGTGTCTCTCATCAGGAGCGCAAGCTGAGCTACATCTCTGCTTTGCCATTCACGAGAGAGTGTGGACAATCCATCGTGTTGTGCTGGGTGGAGTGGTGGAGCTCCACCGGCTTATCACTGTCAGTGCTCTCTCTTCTCTCTTCTCTCTCTCCTCTCCTCTTCCCCCTCTCCACTGGCTCCACTGGGCTCCACCACGGAGAGATGCGCGATGCGCGAAGCGGGGAGATGTACACTGAGCGTCACTAGTGCACAATCTTGGAATGTCATGTCGGAGTTTTTAATCACGATAAGCCCATCCCATGGGATGCCTCAAATACATGCGCTTCCCCCGGCCTCTGTTTTGCCTGGCCTACCCATCTTAATTCTACCGAAGTTCCTGCCTTCATCATGCCTGCAGGCACCAACAAGAAACCGTTGCGCATCTCCATTGGTGAGTGTCAAGCCCTCCATGGGTAGGGTTGACCCGTGACTTGCATTGGCTAACCAGCATGTCCAGATCGCGGAGGGACCTTCACCGATTGTATCTGCAAAGTGATCAACGGGGAAGATATTTTGGTGAAGATCCTCTCCGTCGACCCAAAGAACTATGCCGATGCGCCGACCGAGGCGATTCGACGGGTTTTGGAGATATACTATAAAACCGAATTCCCCCGAGGCTCCGAATTAGATCTCAAGGATGTTGGTGAGAGCCATGATTCTCAACTATCTTGAGCGCCTTTGCTGATCAAACAGAATGGATTCGCATGGGCACAACAGTGGCGACGAATGCCTTGCTCGAGCGCAAAGGCGAGCGTACAGCTCTGCTCGTCACGGAGGGCTTCAAGGACATCTTGTACATTGGCAATCAAAGCCGACCGTATATGTTCGATCTCTCAATCCGGCGATCACAACCTTTATACTCCGACGTATTCGAAGTCAAAGAGCGAGTGACAGTCGGGGCATGCAGCGATTCAAATCTCCGTACTGTGAAGCTGCCATCCCCAGAGCCGGTTGAGTCGATCATTGCTACCTCTGGGGAGGTTGTCCAAGTGCTTCAGCCCATCGATCTGGAAACCACTCGGATTTATCTGCAAGATATCTATCACAAAGGCTTCCGTTCGTTGGCGGTGTGTCTGATGCATTCCTACATCTTTCCGACCCATGAGTTGCAGATTGGGGAACTGGCATCAGAGATTGGTTTCAAATACATCTCTCTTTCACATAAAACCTCCCCGCGACCAAAGCTTGTGCCTCGCGGCAATTCTACAGTGGTCGATGCATATCTGACTCCAAACATTGAGCAGTATCTGGAGCAATTCACTAAGAACTTCCCCAATATTGACCAGTCCGGGACACGATTGGAGTTCATGCAGTCGGACGGTGGATTGGTGCCGTCCTCAAAACTCTCGGGGCTACACTCTATCCTTTCTGGACCAGCAGGAGGTGTGATCGGATTCTCGCAAACATCATTCGACCTACAGGAGCGGACTCCTGTGATTGGATTTGACATGGGAGGTACCAGCACTGACGTCAGTCGATACAACGGCGAACTCGATCATATCTTCGAAACAACGACTGCTGGAATTGCAATTCAAGCCCCACAGCTCAACGTGAATACGATCGCGGCTGGTGGAGGAAGTATTTTGGCTTGGAGGGATGGCCTTATGGCTGTCGGCCCTGAGAGTGCCACCTCCAATCCTGGACCGGCCTGTTATCGGAAAGGTGGCCCCCTAACAGTGACTGATGCCAACCTCGCACTTGGAAGATTACTTCCAGAGGAGTTCCCATCTGTGTTTGGTGTCAACGAAGACGAGCCATTGGACAGAGAGATTGTGCTCACAAAGTTTGAGGATCTCACCAAGACAATCAACGCAGAGACAGGCCAATCATTGACTTGGGCAGAGGTTGCAGATGGGTGAGTGAAGCCGAGCGAGAATATTATCAGAGCCACTTACTAACCATTGGTACAGCTTCCTCCAGGTGGCCAATTCAGCCATGTGTGGTCCCATTCGAAGTTTGACTGAGGCTAAAGGCCATGATGTTGCAAAGCACCATCTTGCATCATTTGGTGGTGCGGGAGGTCAGCATGCCTGTGCCATCGCCGAAGCCTTGGGTATAAAGAGAGTCTTAATTCATAAGTACTCTTCTATTCTATCTGCCTATGGAATCGGATTGGCAGATCTCGTCCACGAGGAGGAGCGGGTATGTGCGAAAGCCTTTGACCAAACCACCTCTCGAACAATATACAACGACGTGGAAACTCTCGCAGATACAGTCCGAGGCAATGACTCTATACAACCATTCAACAATGTTGAGATCCGTCGCTTCCTCAATATGAGATACGATGGCAGCGAGACTGCAATCATGATCTCCCTGGATAGCTCTGACGACCCTCGAGCAGACTTCATCAAAGCCCATCACCAGCAGTTTGGATTCACACCCACCAACCGCGCGGTGTATGTTGACACTATCCGAGCTCGGGCAATAGGATCAAGTGTATTCTCCGAGAACCCGGCGAAATTATCGCATTCGCACCTCAAGGTGCTTTCCGCATCAGAGACCCCAGTTCCTAAGTCATGGAAATCCACTTACTTCAATCCAATTGGATGGGTCAACACTCCAGTATACCACTTCGACAACTTGACAAATGGACATGAAATTTCAGGACCGGCTCTTGTGATCGACAAAACACAGACCATCTTGGTCAGCCCAAACTCAAAGGCGACTTTGACACAAGATGTACTCGTTTTGGAAGTGAGCTCTTCGGGCCCTAAGGTTGCAAGCGCGGATGTTATCGACCCTGTTCAACTTTCAATTTTCCGCCATCGGTTTATGGGCGTTGCGGAACAGATGGGACGCGTCTTGCAAAATGTCAGCATCAGTGCCAACATCAAAGAGCGATTAGATTTCACGTGTGCGATCTTCACACCCGAAGGGGACCTGGTCGCCAACGCACCACATGTACCTGCAATGATTGGAAGTATGGCCTTTGCCGTCAGATCACAAATTGCTGAATGGCAGGGGAAACTGCAGGATGGCGATGTTTTGCTGTCTAACACGCCTGGTGAGTGCCTCAGATTGAGTCCTATTGTCATTTCGGCGCTAAACTGTCGTCATCTAGCATTTGGGGGTGTTCACCTCCCTGATCTCACGGTAATCACGCCTGTCTTTGACTCCGATGGGAAAGAGATAATATTCTGGGCTGCTTCCCGTGGCCATCACGCCGACGTAAGTTTTCCTTTTTTAGATCTTCCGATTTCGTTTCCCTTTTATTTTCGCTCCCATGCGCTGAGTCGTTGAAAAACTTACCTTGCATAGGTCGGCGGAATACTTCCTGGCTCAATGCCACCACTATCAAAACTCCTGTCTGAAGAAGGCGCAGTGTTTGATTCATACTTGCTGGTGCGCGCGGGTCATTTGGATGAAGAAAAGCTCCACCGCATGTTGTGCGTAGAGCCTGCCCGCTTTGCGGGATCTAGTGGATCTCGATGCTTCCAGGATAATGTCACAGATTTGAAAGCGCAGGTGGCTGCAAATCATTGTGGTATCAGACTTGTGCGGCAGCTGATCGAGGAATATTCCATGGACGTGGTTCAAGTATGTACTGTTGGCGATGCAAGAGGATTCCCGAGCACAGGCTAATTGGATCAGATGTACATGCGCGCAATTCAAGACTCGGCCGAGCTTGCGGTACGGAATCTGTTGAAACGTGTTGCTCAAGATCACAACGGAGAAGAGATTTCAGCTGTCGACTATATGGACGACGGAACTCCGATCATGCTCAAAGTGACCATCGACTCCACGGATGGGTCTGCTATCTTTGACTTCACAGGAACTGGTCCGGAGGTCTATGGTAGGTTTACAACAACCAGACACACTGGAGACAAGGTTCACTGACACATCAACATAGGAAACTGGAATGCCCCAATTGCGATTTGTAACTCGGCGGTCATATTCGCATTGCGCTGTATGGTCAACTCTGATATTCCCCTCAATCAGGGTTGCATCAAACCCGTACAACTCATTATCCCCGACGGTTCACTGCTACGTCCGAGCTTTGAAGCGGCAGTGTGCGCAGGTAATGTATTGACCTCGCAAAGAATCGTCGACGTCATCTTCAAGAGTTTCAAGATATGTGCTGCCAGTCAAGGATGCATGAACAACTTCACCTTCGGTAATGACGGAGAGAACGGATTCGGATACTATGAAACCATCGCCGGCGGAAGTGGTGGTGGTCCCAGCTGGGCTGGCACAAGTGGTGTACACACCAACATGACCAATACGCGCATCACCGATCCTGAATCGCTAGAGCGTCGCTACCCGGTCATTCTGCGCCATTTCTGTCTTCGCGAGGGGAGCGGCGGTGCTGGGATGTATCCTGGAGGAGAAGGCGTTATTCGAGATGTTGAGCTGCGGCTACAGATGTCTGTGTCTATTCTTTCTGAGCGTCGCAGCTTCGCGCCTTACGGTATGGCGGGTGGTGCGGATGGGAAGCGTGGGAAGAATACTTGGATCACTAAGGCTGGTCGGCATATTTCTGTTGGTGGCAAGAATTCGATCCGCGTTCAACCTGGAGACAGGTTCGTTATTGAGACTCCTGGCGGTGGTGGATATGGAGTCCCAGGGGAGACGAAGGAGTCCAGCGTGGATCAGTCAATTGTCATGCCTTCGTTTATTCCTGTCGCTAACGGCAGTGTGGCGGCCATTCGGAGCTTGGCGGAGGAAGTATAGTATCAGGTGGATGTGGGTTGACCTGATAATCTGACGAGCCTACACATCCCATAGCAGGTGGAGTAGATCCCACGGATGCAGCTAACATCAAAAGAAATCCTGGATGAAATAAACAGTTATGCTTGGAACCAGTGTTATCTAGGTTATAGCTCGGCGGATAAAATCAAGTCTACCACCTCCAGGGCTGGGGGAGGGCCTTCCCTCTACGCCCGGTCTCAATTGTACATCCATAAGATTATGTCGATATTCACCCAAGTTAGGTACCCATTGGTAGGTCCCGTGGACCCTAGTTATATTTCGTTGTGTTAAGCCGTCACACGAGTCACGCGGAAACGCCCGCCGGGATTGTCTTTTGCACCCAGGTGCGTCCCTCCAGGGTTGTCTCCCATGCCACGTAATGTCGTATTTCCCCAGCGGCTCTTATGGAAGCCCGAGCCCGATTTGTTTGACAGGACCTCCAACTATTGGTTGTCAATAATTATCGACGGCCATAAGTTTGGACGTGATTCACACAAACCACTATAATCTGCCTTGATGGCCCAATGGTTCCCAATGTTGACTTTTTGTTCAGTGTCAATTCTGACTGACGACTAGCACCTGGGCACCTGAACACTCAAAATTTGGTTAGCCGCTTGAAAAGTCACACCCAGTCATAGCACTGGTGCTTTTGGGGTGTTTTGCCTTCCCCTCCTTTAAGTTGGTATCCGGCAGTCTTCTCTATTTGAGGTTCCTTCGCTCCATATCCAGATTCCATATCGATTATCACCACTTGTGATACCCTGACCTGCTTTCCTTCACCTACTCTCTACCTCTTACGACGATACTACCACATCCATCATGGACGCTGAGAATCCTCCTCTGACGATACATTCTGCTGAGGAAATATTTGAAGATACTGAAGACTCGAAGATGGTTTTCTCGTGCACAGCCATCGTTGCTTATGACGGCCAGACTGCCTATCACGGAACGACAACCGCGCGAAAGAAAGACCTCGATGAACAAGCTGTTTTGAAAACCTTAAAGCCGATCCCTCGCGAACACATCTGTCCGCAATTTAACCGGAATCTCACCCGCGCACCGGAGGTCTACATCAAAAAGCCGGTCCTTGGCGCGTATTTACCTTGGTTCAAAACTACAATTGCAGACTTTGTTTTGCATGAGGCGGAAATTTATGAAACCTTACGCGAGCACCCTCATCCAGCCTTGGGCCGGTCATTGGGCTGCATCGTGGGTGAAGACGGCCGCATTACGGGACTTGCACTTGTAAAGTACGAGAAAACTTTGTTTGAGCGCGCGTTTCGCATGGCTTCCTTTGGAGAGGAGGAGGAGGCCCGTTGCATAGAGGCTGTGGAGGCTGGTCTCCAGCACCTCCATAGCCTTGGACTGGCGCACAATGATCTGAGTCCCCTGAACGTGATGTTCACAGATGAAGGAAAAGCTGTCTTGATAGACTTTGATGCCTGTCACCCTATAGGAACTAAGCTCATCAAAGGAGGCTCCGTGGGAGAATGGGAGGGAGGGCTTCCTGTTGCTGTCTACGAGACATCCTCGACGGAGTGTGACCATGCGGCTGTCCAGCACATGAAGAACTGGCTTAAGAAGAGGCGCGACGACACGAAGCTGGAGGATGATACCGCGATGAGGGACGCTGAGGGCAATGAGAATGAGAAAGCCAAAGGCAGTGCCCAGGGGCCCCTGGTTTTCTAAAACAGCCTTGGAACATGCCCAGGTGGTTTTTCCTCATTTTACACCTTTGCTGAATTTTGAACGAGGTTTAGGCTCTGTTTCATGGTCTCTTCTCAGCAGTATACTGGAAATGCAATTCCCCACCCATCATACATTGATAAATATAACGTTGGAACATTGGAACACCCTATTCTGTGGCGAAACCCCAAATGTAGTAGATCCTTGCATATTGATGCTTTGGAGGTGGAATGAATAATATGAAAAACACAAATCATGTTCAAGAATAGCAACTCAGAGAACGTAACGAAAGGCTGGCTGCTCGAAATCAGTCAAATCCAAGAACTCAGACCCAGGGGTAGCATGTGCAGCGTCGGGCTCCTCGATAGCCTTGCGATCGCGTCTCTTGTTCTCTATAATATTTATCACTCGAATTGCGACCAAGGTGACCGCTGCCATAGCATACATAATGGCGACCATAAGCTTGCCATCAAAGTACTCGGGTGCCTGGGTCGATCGGAATGTTTGAGGGCCGATCCAATTTCCGGCTGCGTAGGCCACAATCTGAAGGCCATTGACAGTTGCTTTCTTGGTGTATCCCAGGGTATTGTTGGAGATCATCACCATAACAAGACACCAGGCAGTTCCAGCAGCACCGATAAAGTAGTATCCAATGAGCAAGCCAGCTTTGGCTTCAAGGGGGATCACAATCATCATGATACCACCGATCATGGGGATCAGGATCGCGATTATGGCGAAGAGAGTGCGATCAAAGAACCGATCGGAGAGATATGTCAGCCCCAGCTTACAAGCAATATCCACAACTCCCATTGGCATGTTCAAGATCAGGGACATGCGATTCGAAAATCCAAAGGAACTGATGATGATTGAGCCGAAAGTGGTGATTCCCCCGTTCGGGATGTTCATCAGTAGCGAGAACAGCACGTACAGATAGGTACGGGGATCACGGAATGCTTCAAAGAATTGCGGCCATTTCCACGTTTGATTACCAATTCCTTGGAAGTTGCCCCGGATGCGATCAATTGCAATAAGCTTCTCGCGGTGATTCAAGAATCGGGCCTGGACTTGGTTGTCGGGCATGCACCAGAGATACACCACGCCGGTTAGGACGGTAGGCAACCCCAGTACCAAAAACAAAATTTTCCAAACAGCGATAGGGGTCCCTTGTACACCGGCTAGGCCATAGGCGATGGGGCCAATCACTAATTGAGCCAATCCGTTACAGCTCAGCCACAGACCCATGCGTTTAGCTTGTTCATCTTGTTTGTACCAGCAGGATGTGAACAAGACAAATGCTGGCGTGACTGTGGCCTCGAATGCGCCCAAGAAGAAGCGAACACACAGTAAACTTGCGTAGTTGTGAGTGACGGCGTGGCAGACTAGTGCAATGCCCCATAGCAGGATGTTGACCGATGTGTATTTGCCCAAGGGCAGACGACGCAGCAGATAGGTGGTGGGAAATCTAAGTTCATGCATGAGAATTTGGAAGATCATATTCGGATGAAGAGAAACTTACTCCCAAAAGATGTATCCAGCATAGAAAATACTCGAAACCCAGCTATACTGCTGCGAGTTCGGGTCCAAATTGGTGTCTTCCCGAATGCCCATGAGTGAAGCATAGTTCAAGGATGTCTTGTCTGCAAACTGAATCAAATACACCCAGCAGAGCAAAGGCATCAGGACTCGATCGATCTTGGACAAAACATGCTTGGCCTCGGTGGGGGTATATTCAATCGCCTCTGCGTTCATGAACTGGAGAGCAGGATCAAGGTCCCGGATCTCGTGCTGCTTGAGGTCTCCATCTTGGACGTCCATAACCGCTTGCTCGGTATCATGCTTTGATGGTACCTCGGACAGCTTCAAATCGTTCGGCGCGGTGGTCATGCTGTCTCAAATGATGCAGCTCTGTGCAACCTAGCTTTGAATTCCCGGGTCATCTAGTCATGGCTGCCTCTTTAAATCCCCCGTCTGATATTGGGTTATCGAACGGGCTGTCAGACAGCCTATGGGGTAGTTGGCCAAGCTTCGAGCTGTACCCCAGAATTTGTGGAGGTGGACGTTTGGCGGTGGAGCTCCATTTAGAGGTGGACGGGCTTATCGTCTGAAGCGAATCTTCCACGGTTGGGAGGTCCACAGATCCACGGGTCCGACCGCGAATCCATGGTTTCGCAGAGAATTTCCATGGTCGGGACTTCAGCCTCTGTTTGGCCTGTTTGCATCTGCACTCGGACGTGATTGGTTCTCCTCCCAGACAGCCGCACCCCTTCAGTGTTCCGAGATCTCCTTGTTGATTCGTACCTTCGGCTGTCAGGCCGATGACTATCTCTCTGATTCTAGAAATCATGGGTTCTTATCTGGCACCTGTTCCGAGATCATCAGCTAGGACCACAATCCGGCTTTTGGCTTCGATGTCTCATTGGTGTCCTCGGCGATATACCGAGTGTGAAACACGTTGAGCCCCGCGATACCGTAGATACCACCGAGCTCTTGGTCATATGCGTGGATAGATATGGTGTTCATCTATGATTGGCATGTCAGCCAGTCTTGTCATATGTCCGCGAAATCCACTTCCATTTTGATAATAATTTTCCAGTATACTTAGGTCGGAACTTGCCTGTAAGTTTCGGAGTAGACACAAAAGGGCATAACATCCCTTTTTCCTCAGTGGTAGACCTTTGGTCTCCAAGGATAGGATGTAGCGATTGCAATCTTGGGGCTTCACTTCCACTAATCACCCAGTGGGCAATATCCAAGGGCCCCATTTTTCGTATTTGTAGGCCACTCGATCATTTTTGATCCGGTAAGACACCCGATCTGCATTGTAGGTTTCCGTCAGCTCAAATGTGGCGTCCGAGGGTGAATAATTTCCACCTGGGCAGCCTCCAAAAGTCACTGGGAAAACAGAAGTTATTCTGTTTGCCGGTAAGATGGTGTTGTCGCAAGTGAAGTGAAATGATTCAAAATCAAATTTGCAGATCTCAATGGAATTGGTTATATCCGCGTTGGTTGCGTGATGTTTCCCCATCAACAACAGCGGAGCCCTGCGATTGGCAATCGGGTGGAGCTCCACCGAAAAGCGACGTGGGAGACACGATCGATGAAGAGCGACGAGGAGAAATTAAAAGAGGTTGTGAGCTCGCTGCTACATTTTCATCTCCATGATCTCTTTTCCATCCGCTTGCCATTCGTTTGCAACTCCTCAACATGACGACACCCAAATTCGGCGTCTATACGCCATTGGTAACTTTCTTCGAGGAGGACGAGTCTCTCGATCTCACCAGCACCTTAGCTCATGCGAAGCGCATGGCCGAAGGCGGAGTTACCGGACTCGTGCTCCAGGGTAGCAATGGAGAGGCTCCCCATCTGGATCACAACGAGCGCCAATCTTTGGTCCGCGCTGTACGCGACCACCTCGACCACCTGGGATATACAGAGCTGCAGTTGATCGTCGGTTGCGGTGCACCAAGTGTGCGTGAAACACTTTGCTACATCTCAGAAGCTAGGATGTCTGGGGCCAACTTCGCGCTTGTGCTGCCACCGGCGTACTGGGTTGCGTCCATGAATGCGTCCGTTATTGAAAGCTTCTTCAGCGATGTGAGATCCCCTCGTGCCCCGGGACTTGAGCCCCTGTCAGGTCCTGCTTTTACCTAACAACAGTCTCATCACTAGGTAGCGTCTCAATCCGAGCTTCCCATTCTCATTTACAACTTCCCCGGCGTGACGGGGGGTATCGATATCAGCTCCGACTCTATCATTCGGCTCGCCAAGTCCTGTCCCAACATCATCGGCTGCAAACTTACTTGCGGTAATGTTGGAAAGATCCAGCGTGTCTCATCGGCTCTGTCAGGAACCTCGTTTGCGACATTCGGTGGGAAGTCAGACTTCTTCCTGCCGGCACTGGTCGCCGGGTCCAACGGAATCATTGCCGCTCTCGCCAACATTGTACCTAAATTGCACGTGCAGGTACTTCGATACTACGAGAAGGGCGATTTGAAGTCCGCACAAGAGCTTCAATCTAAGCTGAGCCATGCGGACTGGGCTCTCACCAAGGTGGGCATTGCGGGTGTCAAAGCTATCGTGTCTCACCATTTTGGATACGGTACGGGCCGTGGACGTAGGCCACTAGGGAACACAACGGTCACGAGTTTGAGTGAAGACATTGTGGTACCAATAAGTGAGGTCATTGACTTGGAGAAGATTTTGATACCAGATGCTTAGAGTTGTCTGTGCCTTCCGCGAGTGGGGTTTGCCCTTCTGCTTTTTGTCTATAGAGAAAAGCAAGTCTTCCATCACAACTCAAGGTCTTAAGTTCAACGCATAGAATCAGTGAACCGGGCGAAAGGACATGCGCGCTCAAATAGTCTGAAGAGCCGATCTTTTTATCAGCTATATTGTCCAATCGGAAACGCGATGTTCTTGTTAGCTGGTCAACGCGTATTCCACTGTACAGAGCTTAAGGTATTCGACAAGACTACGTTACATCACTGATTTAAACCAAACAAAGTCTGCATTGAATCAAAACCAAAAATTCTCAATTTCCCTGGCGGCTCTTCTCGCTCCAAAATGATAGGCCTGCCTCCAACCGACCAGTCCCATAAATGGCGGAACTATCCAAACACTCACCCGCATATTCTCTCGCCGATGCCAGACGGCTCGATGCAACTTCAAGTGTTGGAAGACGAGTTCCATTACTAGCCGCAATGGAGAGAGCGTGTTTCATATCCTTGCTTGCAAGAGCCGCGGCAAATCCGGGAGATGTATCCAGCGGCGGTGCATACGCACCACTAGTGATACGCTTTGAGTAGCTTTCAAGCACAGGACCAAACATATTGCCGATAAACTCCTCCAGTTGCTGGTTGCCGATCCCCGTGACTTCCGCAAATACCTGCGCTTCGGCAATTACTTCCATGAAGCTGATGACAAGTATATTTCTAGGCAGGCATTAGTTCGATTCTGATGGTTTCGGAGGTCATCTGAGCACCCACCCGGATATCTTGAGAAGACTTGACTTCCGCACATCTTCTCCCATATCGATGATACTGCGTCCCATGATATCCTTGATCAGTGGTGTGACCGTTTGCACTGCCTTGGCAGGCCCAGAAACCGCGAAGATTAGCTTCCCGGCAGCTGCCACGGCACTAGCACCGAAGACAGGCGCGCTTATAAAATCTGCACCCTGCTCATTGAGGCGCGATGCGGCCCACTCTGATGTGTCTGGGTGAATGGTAGAAGTGTCGACGAAGATTTTCCCTTTTAACGCGTCGCCTGCAAGCAACGCCTTGTTCAAGAGTTCGATGAGGACGTCATCCATGGAAATCTAGTTGATTTAGTCGCTGAATCACAGATTGTGCTCCAAGGGAGGATTCGTACCATTGTGAAAATAACATCCGAATTTTGAACGAGATCTTCGAACTTCCCTTCGGCTACGGCTCCTTCATCACGAAGCAGGTCACCCTTTGACAAAGTGCGGTTGCTGTAACGAAGTGGAGGTAGGGCATTCGCTTTAATGTGTTTTTGTAGGTTCAGTGACATTCCTAGGCCCATAGACCCGAGGCCATACTATTTCTCAATCAGCAAGCGAGCAATCAACAATGGGAGTATAGCATACCCAGCCTACTCTTGGTGGTGGTGATGTCATGGTTCTTCGAGCTCCACGGGTACAGTCGAATTGAAATGAAACTCGCGATACTCGAACTGTATCGTTGGTTTGCTGCTTGTTATTCGTTCGCTGTTTCCCGGGTTTATAACGACAAAGCGAGGCCGGCGGGTGGAGCTCCACCCGGCGTCCACTTTCCCCCTGTGGACTGCTCCTCCACTGATAACATTGGCACCCCCGCAGTTTATTCGGCAGCGCCAGGAATCTCGCCCAGCACAGCCAGCATCGAGGGTCCAATTCCCCACAAGGATCTCCGCTGACAGAATGTCTTGAATAGATTGACAAATAGTGACTCGCCTTCATCAAGCAGACTAACGAAAGCCTCTCGATCCATTGTCCACAAGCGGGGGTCTCGCTTTGCTCGGTCATTCCCAGTGGAAGAATGGAGAAGGACCGATTCCATGAGTGTATTGAAGATCAATATGCACGATTCTGATGTTATCGGAAGTTCGTTGAAGGTGTCCAAATGATGGCGAATGTCGCTGCTTGCGCGTTTGAGAGCTCCCCACACACATAAGAGAACTCCGTAACTGGCCACGGTGACCCATGGAGCTTCCCGTGTCACTTTGTCATGCTCCTCCCCGTATATACTTGACAATGCAATCGAAAGATCTTTCAGGAGAGCCACAATGCCCTCGTCGCCACCGGTGTGGTGAGGGACAAGAGGTGCTGATCGCCGAATCGCGACGAGGTTCCCTTGGGTCAGGTGGGTAGATGCAGCCATCCCGGCTATCAAACTGTTGTCCACAATGCCTGCTACCAGTAGTTGATCTGGGCGACACAGGCTGATTTTGATAGAAGAGATAAAGAGCTCATTCGTTCTCCAGAGGAGAAACTGAGGGCTGTCACCGGTGTAGGCCTGCTTTTTGACAATCTTCGCGATTGCCTCTATCGCAGCGTGTACTTGTTTGTTCTGACCTTGAGTCAGTATATGGAACGGGTTCGGGTCAGACGGACTGGGCGGCATCTGATAGTAACATCGCGTGAAGTCTCGCACCAGAGCACCGATATTCGTCAAGACGCAGAATGCAGCAAATGGAGACGCTTCAAGCGCTGTCAACAATTCCGAGTCCGGTGTTTCGGTCATGAGTTGCTGAGTAGCAATGCTCAGGGAGGCCGTCCCCAGGCCGCGTGGCACGTGTAACAGACTGTTGGTAATTGAAAATGTCGAAAGTCCAAAGTTCTCGTTGAACCTCAGAAGCCATATATGAGGGTTCTTGGCCTCCCATAGGCTAATGGGGAATGGCAGCTCCCAGCCAAGCTCCATCGGTGACATCAATGGTAGAGAATTGCAAGGCGAAAATGTATGCGAGTCTAGGAACACCAGAGTGTATAGCGACAGTCTCATTGATTCAGCGGCGATGTAGGACGTCCATCGTTTAAAGAGAGTTTGCGACTCATCTGTGGGTGAATTGTAATCAATCTGATACATCCAAGCCTGGGCATCTGGCATCGCGATGCCCTGTTGTAGTAGACCGATATCGTGCACAGCCTATAATCATGGTAAGACTGTTGAAGGTAGAAAATGAAAGTTTCAGAAAAGAATACAAACATCCACAAGTTGCCGAAATCTCTTTTTCGCGGTTTGGAATTGACCTGCTTCGCTCGCGTATACCCCGTATATTATGTAGAGAAGCCACGCTTGAATCACCCAAGGCTGTCTGATCTCACTGCAATTGGAGGAAACCTGTTTCAATATTTATCAGCCCATCTTTCTCAAGACAGTGGGGCTTTCATCATATACCATTTGCTGAAGTTCCTCCTGTCCATGTTGCCATACATCTTGACGCCAGTGTTCGATAGCCTGTGCGCCCCCATGGTCGTACACTTTAGGGGAAAACAAGCTCCCAATGACAGTCACAGCTTTCAGCAGTAATGTCGGTGCTGATGAGACTGCGAATGTGGGTCGATGCAGTAAAGGAAATGACGGGTGGAAATGCTCAAAATATTGTTTCACACATATTTCATCACCGGCAGTATGGGTGCTATGGGTTGGTTTTTCATTGTCAGACTTGTCAATTCAACAGACGCGCCTGCTTGTCGCGGAACGGGGTCGGGGGCAGCCAAAACAAATCGAACCTAGATGAGCATACCTCGGCGGAGAAGAAGAGTACCTGTGGCGTATATCAGTCGCAAATGTACTATGCTCTTCCCAAAAAGTTTCGTCGGTCACAACACGCTCGGCTGGGTTGCGGCTGGCCACGGGCGATGGTATGTCCACCATTGCCTCGGGGGTATCCAGAGCCGGCATGGCCTCCCACGGCGCTTGCGACTGAGGTGTTTGGGCTGCAGTTTCATCCTCTGTCGCTCGGCAACGATTACCATGTCGCTTGTAGACGTCACTGCAGAGCCGTAAGTGTCATGACAATAGCTGGGAGATAGGCAACACGACCTTCGAGAGAATTGAGCATGACATCTACTGCACTGGAAGCCTTTGCGCGAGGCGCCACCATGACCTTGTATACATGAGTGATTGGGTTCCAAGGAGAGCTCCATGCAGACTTACGTGCGCGCTTATGCCGTTGGAGGTTTTCCTGCAGATCCGCGTTAGAGCCCGATACGCGAGAAAGGAAGCCGGTACTTGCACTCCGCGTGAATAATTTTGGACATTGATCGCAGGGGAATGGGCGATTTTGGTCGATACTGGTTCTCGATGAAGGATTCATTTGGCTTGTATTTTTTGCATGGGTGGGCAGGAATACAGAGGGGAAGACGGTCTTGACGGGCGCACGTGCCGTTATCTTTAGAGCCCCTCACCTTCAGCTCACTTTGCTCGCAACCTTTGAGACTAAGTCTCTTGACGATACACCTCTCAGATAATTACGGTGTTAGAGCTCGTTCTGGAAACTCAGTGGAGAAGAATGAGAAAGGACGAAGTAGCTGTCTGGGTAATAGCCGACCGGTAAATGCACGGGGAATAGGCGTGCCCCGGGGGCCGGTCAGGGCGTCTAACCCCAGACTCGGTGGGTCTAGCGCCGGGCTTGGGGATGTGCCAGTTATTGGCCACGTCGGATAACAATTTATCAGCACTAACACATAGATGATGGTTTCACTTCTCTTCTACTGCATCTAAAACAGCCCCATTGAGTCACTTACTGCGCAATTCAGGAATAAAATGTAGCTTCCAACTTTCCAAGGCTCCTTCGTGCCTTGGTGAAATGATCCAGTATGTGAGTGAACCCTCTCGCAGAAGCCTTCAGGTCGTACCCTGCCTTCGGCCATCATCCAATATCGTCATTCTCGCATTTGCAATGTGGTTCGGAGTAGGTTCAAGACCGCTGTAGTCTTTTGCTCCAAGGTCTGTAGAAATAATGGCCCCCTGGGTGATCCTAAATATCGTCGAAAACTTCGTGCTATAGGAACCCTCGTTCGAGGAATATACCAAAAAAAAAAATGACACCTATAGCAGTGCCATAGGCAGCCCAAAGTATGGATTGGCTGTAGACATAGATATTGTGGTAAGATGTCACTGTCCCATTTGTTTCTGGGATGTTGTTGACAGTGTAATTGGGTCTTTTAGAGATTTTGGTGCACTGAGGAGAGTACCGTCTGACCTGGGAGGTCGGAGTGCTTGCTGGAATTTTTGAGGGCCCATCAGCGAAACTGTGATGTTCTGGAAAGTTTCTTCAAGCGCATCAATCAATGGGGGAGATAAGTCACTGGACGAATTGACAGATCTTTCGTTCCAATAACTTTCGAAAGGACTCTCCCAGCCCAGCCCTTCGGCAGATTGAAGGATCTTCATCTCTTTCGTGTCCATCAACTTTGTTGACACGACAGTGGTATTCAGCTGAAGTCCGCGGATAGTAACGGTTTGATCACCTTTCTGGTCCTGAGCTACAAATTCCGCAGCAGTGATCATTCCAGACAGAACTTCACTAAATGCCTCCATTATAGACTGGTAAGAGAGGCTCTCAATCAGCCGGGGGCTGTACATGAATGACACATTCGAATAGCTTAGACCCGTGTCCAAGTCTGCATTGCTGATGCCTTCAATGTAGCTGATTCCGTTGAGGACTTTCCGGTCCTTCACAGAGATCCTTTGGTCTCCATTGATATAATTGAAACTTGCTTGGTATGACGCATTATGAAGCGAACAGTGGATAATCTCCGATTGGTGCAGATTGCTTTTCTGGCGCTTCGAAGCTCCATCAGAGTCGTTGCATCCTGGAACGGGCGGAAATATGGCAACAGAAACAGAGAGGGGTGATCCTTCGTTAAGAGGATTTCTCGGATTCAAATCGATGGCAGTCTGATTAAACGAGTCGGCGCTCCCGGGACCAGGTTGGAAGGATCGTAGCCTCCACATTCGAGTCCCGTTCTCTTGAAATTGATAGAATGGGGTAGAACCAATAAGATCATCTGAATCGGGTGTCCAAGAGAGATACCTGTAGTTGTGATACAATGAACCGCCCTCCGCATATATTATGGGATTGTTCATAGCTTGAGCCACATTTTGGGTGAAGTAATCATTAACAGTATTGTTCACATGGTCGCAGACAAGAGTAGGTCCATGAAATTCCATTGACCACGAGGACTTGACCGCTGGAGGTTCCATTGGCAAGATTTTACCCTGTGCGGCGACACTTTTGACAATTCTTTGAGTTTCTGGGGCAGTACTGCCGTACCAGGTCATCCAAGCGGTTCGTCCCGTTGTAGGATTGCTCAATTTGAAAGAAAGAAAGTTGACAAAATTTGCGCTCGAAAAATCGATACGAGGAACTCTTCTAAGCAAATGCTCATTTGCAGGAGATAGATGCACACTCAGCGTAGCGGGCGATATCATCGACGTTATAGGAAGAATCCAACAGATTATACCGAGAGTCATACTGATTGGAAAACGCTTCCATAGTTGGAGATTGAAAAACGTAAAGCCGTTCTTCAGAGCCGAGAGTAGGTCGTCGATCACACCAATCTGAGTGGTTTTCCCGTTGATTGACTTCCAAGCCAATTGATCAAACGCCGTTGAGACTGAAATTCCGACGAAGCTTCTCACTGAGAAGGCAAAAAGAGTACCAAGGGAAATATAGATTTGCTGATCGGAGACATTCAGTGAAGAGATCCAAAATTTGAGCGGTTGGTCATTCATCACAGTCCGTCCATCTAAGCTCCGATAAAAGATATCATGGCCAAGAGCAAACACGATAGCAGCCATGAGTGCAGTCACCATCACAATTACAGCGGAGCATTTCAGGTTAAATGGAAACACCGCCATATTTCCAAGGTTGAGATAAAGCCAGGAAGCAGGACGTCTTAGGCTGTGAGTTTCAGACGGAAGGAAGATATATACGTATAAAAATTGAGGCAGGGGAAGAGGAAGAGATTAGTTTACTCAAATCCAAAATGAAAACAACTGACCCCTCCATCTTGACACCACGTATAGCTCTAGGCCTAGTCTGTCCCTGGTAAGTATTACTTACTATTAATAGCCTTACTAGAGCCGCTTTCCGGCTCAGCTATACAGGTTTTTATAGGTACTAGTTAGGATACACAAGCAGACCATCAACAACTGGTAATCACGATTTAGGATGCCGGCAGGGAGGAGGTATTTTGCTGCGTGACCTCTGAATCGTTCCTCGCACTGTGCCAATCAACTCAACAGCAACCACCGACCCTTGGCACTATTTTCAGCTCATCCTGAAAGCATGGCTTCTTGGCATATGCAGATTTTATGCATACCCAAATCTGAACTCTTGAATATATAGCCCTGGCGGGGAAGTTACAATAAAGTTGATAAGCTTGTTGTTTTACTATAGCTCACTTTCTTATTGATACTCTAGTAGCGAGAAAGTCTTGAAAATGAAATAAAGAGATCAGTAAATTCCCGACAGAGCCCTCCATAGACGATGGTGAACCCGTGGACCTGATGAACCAGCGCTGGATAAACAGAGCGCTTATTGAGCCCCTAGACAGCCCTGGGGCATCGTGGCCGGTTCTAAGGTTGAATCGGAAATACGCGCCTTCTCGTTTCAGTCTGCGGGCGCTTACATCTGCACGTATATGGGCCACTTAAATCGTCTCACCCTGAGATTTCTCCGGCGACAATTTAGTAGATCTGATACGCTGGATCTGGACCCTTGGACCCTTGCCGCGTAACTTGACCCACTTTATTTACTCCCCACTCTCTGGGGCTCTCCAGGGCTCTCCAGGGCTCTTCTTTCGATTGTCTGTTCGTGATAATAACTCGCGTTAGTGACCAAAAGATAACTTTAAATCTTCAAAGCTTTCCTGGTAAGTACTAGGTGGTGTACGCTGAAAAACACGTCATAATCGCACGCAATCAATTTTAAAATAATTGTTGTCCAATTCAGCCGGTACTGTAATTCCCTCCAGGGCTGCCTTCAAATCTTGGTTAGCCAGGGATACACCCAGGCCTGCAACCTGGAAAAGACGATCGATTCTTCTCCCTATGACAACGGTAGGGAGAGAGCGAATGAGAATTAGCTATCTCGGGAGCAAGGTCCCCTTGAGCTGGCGTCCACAACCTTGAAACTACTGCAGCAGTACTCTCGCACCTTGACATTCTTGCTGACCAGGAGCTTGCTCTGCAAGCTCGAAAGCTCCTTCCAAGCTCCTTCTTTCGCTGTCTGGTGCCTGATTTCTGATCACCAGGTAACTTCCGGTCAACACGATCAACTGCTACAGTTTTGGGTTTTCTCCGCACGTTCGTAGCCATTTAACGCGATTCTCTCGGTCGTGTTAGAACCAGATTGAAATTTCTTACAGTAATCAGATCGCCTAGCTTCTATTCGGCTTTTTGATGAAATAGTCCGATGGTATTCGGATCGAGAAAGTTCTATCAATATACGTTACACGAAAGACAGCCCTGTCCCGAGGTCTTCTAGTCCTAAAAGTAATATATCATCTACCTACCTAGGTAGTACAATCATTCCCTCCTGTTAATGTGAATTCCACTTTTTCTTACATGCTTATCTTTTGTTCTGTTTTTTTTTTGTTTTGTATTTTGATGGCTGCGTCAGTCGTGAGACTTTTCCAACTTTGGAAGGTTCACGCGCATCATCTATACTCACTTGGGCTCTAAACCTTCCAAGGTTGAATGGTTGGAACCTCGGGAGGATATATATCGGCGTTGAATCTGGCATATTATCACGTTGAATGAAACCATCTGCCTAGGCAGCCTCAAGTCCCGGAAGTCCAATATTTGCTCGCCAGACCGTTCGATGGAAAATTTAGAAATGACATTCCTCGAAGTATGACGCCTCTCGGGTCCATCTTCAGACATTCATACATGCCAAGAAAACGGTCGAAACAAGTCAGCGTCTATCCATTTCCTCGAAATCTTGCAATTTAGGGCGAGGGACTGCAATGTTCATACGCTGCCATGCTATAATTCGTTGCTTCTAGAACCCCTTTAACAACTTCGGAACCGACAAGGGAACCCTGGCACTGATTGATTCCGGGGTAATGCCAGCCAATCAAATCGGCCGATCGCAATCACTGGACCCGCTAAGTGTGGCGAGTGACGTGGCGGTGCTGATACATTGTGGCGTAGCACAGCCCTCTATTTATCTAAGCGCCCAGACATGATCTCATAAGACCCCTCCTTGGCTGTGGCCTGAAATATATCAATCTCCTGTCTTTCACTTTTCACTCTTTCGCTGCTAAATTGCAGATTCTTCGAACCCGAGCGAGTTGCACGAAGTATTCCGAAAAGTACTGCGCCCACCCAAACGACGTCATACCTACGTTTGCAGCAACTCAAGTCGCGAGCAACCACCCGCTGATCGTGACAATCAACACAATGGCGAGCGCAACACACGACCCTCGTTTGCTCTACAGCGTCAACAATATCCGCGCATTCCATATTCAAGATGGCGAAGAACAAGACCTTACGCCATCAGGCGCCCAGACCCTCTCACTGTTGATGGTCCCTACCAACACCGAAGTCGCTGGACCAGGTACTGCCTCGCCCGAGGACTCAATTGAAGACGATTTCTACCTTCACCTGTACCTACCACCCGAGTTGGACATCGCTATCCCGGCGACTACCCAGATCTTCCATCAGCCGCCCCACAGCTACCTTATTCCCCGCTGGGATATGGGACCCGACGCCGGCGCGTTCATCCGCATCCAGTTCCCCAGCCTTGGTTCAGGACCCAATAATGTGTCACAAGATGATGTTGATACATTTGAATCTATCCTTGCGCAATGCACTGCCTTCCACGAGCGAGAGACCCCTTCAAAAACCAAAGACCACGCCGCTTATAACCCGGCCGATTATGCGCCAGGTGAGGGGTATGTGGGGTCTTCGGATCAGAAGAATGCAGACGCACATGGAAGAATTGTCCTAGTAGATGAAGAGAATGGCAGCGTCGTGGGAGAGCTTGGCGACGGCTACAACGTGGTGGAGGACTCTGACGTGAAGCCCGGTTCCAAGAGTAAGTGCAACATCCCTGCATGACAGTGCAGCAGCTGACAGTATGCAGGACCTGTCGGTATCGAACTCCCCGCAGAAGGCGAGGGCAATCGCATCAATGTCAGCAATGTCTCCGAAGAATACCTCGCCATGTCCCGCCACCCAGCCTACAAGAACTCCACCCTTGTTCAAAGCTCGGCTACCGCATCGCGGCTGGTGGTCACCGGATCAACATATCTGGCCAACATGATCGCCAGTGGCGCCGAGAGCTTCCAAAAGAAGACCAAGCCCAACCCGAAACCCCTCACATTCTCCGATGCCACGCATGCACGCATCCGCAAAGTCGGCACCTTCTCCAACGGGGCTGCAGATATCTCCGCGCGCACCGTGGGCCAGGTGGGCAAGGTTGCACAGAACCTCGGCGCCACATTGGCGCGCAAGCAAGAGTCCGGCCGACGCAAAGGCTTCGACAAGAGTAACCCGCCTCAAGACTATAAGCCCGGCGTGATGAACAAATCCATGATTGCGTTCTCGACCCTCGCTGATGGCATTGAGCAGAGCGCCCGGAACATGTTATTCTCCGGGGCTAGCGCGGCGAGCTCCATGATCGATCACCGGTACGGCAATGAGGCTGGTACTGTTGCATCTAATTTGACCGGTGGCATCAAAAATGTCGGTCTGGTGTACATCGACGCCACAGGCGTGAGTCGTCGCGCGCTGCTCAAATCCGTGGCGAAGGGCATGGTGGTTGGCAAAATGCGCGACGGCAAGCAGGTGGTTGTGGGCGGTGGAGATGGGGGCCAAGTGCCGGCGAACGGCGCCCCAGGGCCTTCGGGAGACCCTTCCTCCACACCGCCTCCCGCATACGGCGCATCAGGGACGATGTCGCTGCCAGGGGGTAAGCGTTGAAAAAATCCCGGGGGCTGGGGCTCGAAACGGTAATCTCGTATCTGCATCTTTTTTCACATGTTTGGATTTTGATTTCGAATGGGATATTTCCCCCCCTTTTCTGGCCGGGGTTTGAAGCTTCACGACTTGAATAATTTTACTTTTGATACGATGACAATAAAGTTCCGACCGCATGCGAATGTCGCTCTGATACTCTGTACGATTGATTTGGGTTTCAACTGGCAGGAAATTTGGAGAGCTCACTCAAATTCGACCTAGACCGTCTTTTTCCCCGGGTGAGGCCCAAGACCGGTTTTGAGGAGGCGAGGGTGAGCATTATGTACTGTAGGCCCTCCAGGTATTGGACGGGACTGCTCACATGCGGTCGATCCGATATCGATTGGATGAGAGAGGATATTGATGAATATGCCAGCGCATCGCTTGACAGCTGTCTGTGGCCCACCATCCCTTGCCCAATGGGACTGAGGGTTTAATAGTCGGAGTTGGCTGTACGGCGATCTCATTGTCGATTTGATCTGGATATAAGGACTGTATAGTAGAAGTACCAAGTGGGTACCTCGGATCAAGAGGAGTTGGGTACGGTGGCCCAGGTACATGACCGGTAGACTCATGTTGCAATGAATCTTCAAGGTTAGGGTAAACCGTGGACTTAACCTTGGAAGCGGGACGTAGTGTTAACTTTTTCAGTCTAGTCCTCTATACTGCAACGTTGCTGCAAGCGCTGACATTCAAGCTAGGGAGCTCTCACTACTGCACACCATTTGGATAATGCGATCTATCTTAATCTTATTGTACGTACATAGAGTACAGTACTAGATATAGAGTAGTGTACTTAGTATACTACAGTACTAGTATACTAGTATTACTCCGTAGTATTAAATTAAATCCAATTGAACCACGGAATCAAGATAGAGCTTCGCGTTCAGCGACGATCTAATATCCACACTCGAAACAGCCGGTGCAACCCCCCTATTTTTCACGCGCTAATTTTGTGTGAAACCCGTAGCTACGCTCCCTTGGCGTGAACGGGCGCAAGGGACTGAATGTTGCCGTAACAGAGCACTGGGCAGACCCTCTGAGATATACCCAAAATCATAAGGCCTAAGATGTACTCCAAGACCCGCACTGACTAAACCTGCTCCTCTTTTCCCTCACCTCCACTAAGCTTGTCCCCTTTCCTTTTCGGCTTCGGTTTGTCTGTTCTGTTTCTTTGGGGTTGGTTCTCATCCCCCTTTTTTCACGGGTTCCCCGGTGCTTCCCGTCTTTTGTTTCTCCCCCTTCGATCATGGTCAACTGTTGTCGCAATTGAATTCGAGTTCGACTAGACAGTCGCGTCTGAGACATCTGCCGCGTTTGTCTTTCTCGAACAGGAGCCCAACGTGGGTCGGGGACTCTGGAGTACAGCAGAGCAGGTTTCTTTAGCTTTCGTTTCGTTTCTCGAGCAACTGTCGACAGTGTGACGCGTCTTTACCCCTGGTCAAGCTCGCGAGCTGCTTGTCTTGGGTGCATTTCGAGTGTGTTGAACGGTTTCCGCGCGATTGGTGGTAAGCTTCAACCCCCCCATTCCTCCGATCTGATCTCATCAGCCCCCCCATTCCTGGGCACCACGGCACTTGTTTTGTTGTATCAATTATCGATAAGATCTTGGCAACGTGGGACTGACATCTCGATGGCTACAGAGTGCGCGCTGAATCCTGATTTGGCGAGTGCGACCGGTCGCCCTAAGCCCCTTTACCACTCACCACCCGTGGTGTTTGTGTTCCCTCGCGCCAATTGTACCAATCGCAGCGGATAATTCTTCCCTGTAAACAATTGCACGTCAAAGCCGTCTCGGCCACACCGTCTCGCAAGGCTCTGTGTATCAACTAGAAGGTACGCCGTCAACCGTGATCCACATCGCCTCCCAGCGCGTGTCCGCCCGGAAACCACGGGCAAAGGACTCACTAACGTCCATTCAGCCATCTCCGAGGCAGGCCCTGAACAGCTTCTCCGGCTATGAGCACTTCCCACCCGCCGGTTGTGCCACTTCCCGCCCATGCGACCACAGGATCGACCACAGCCCCCAAGAATGCTCGCCCCGCCTACCCAGACATGTTAGGCTCACCCCCAGTTCCTCCCCCGAGGACCTCGTCAACACAGCACAGCCGGCGCAGTCCCAACGGGGAGAAGGGCAGTTCTCGACAAGGCAAGAGCAGGTCCGACCGGAAAGAGAACCGTTCTCGTACCCGCGAAGAGCGAAATGGCCGATCAAGGAGGCACCCCGAGGAACCACGCGAGGAACAGCAGTCCCGGACGGCACCGATCGCAGCGGCACACTCGGATGCCGACGGGACCTCTGACCCAACCTTAGCGCGGGAGCCGAGTACGGTAATTACGTCGATGTTCGCCAGCGATCCCATCGTCGACCAAGAACGAGAGCAAATCCGACAAGCTGGCGTCGAAACTGCCTCCTCGTCCGGTTTCGCCGCGACAACGGACAGCACCGAAGAAGCCCGCGGACCTCGGAGCCGTCACGATTACGCCAATAATGGCAATGTGGTCAAGCGCAAGGAAACCACATTTGGCTCCTACATTCTGGGCCAGACCCTCGGTGAGGGTGAATTCGGAAAGGTCAAACTAGGCTGGAAACGCGATGGCAGCATCCAGGTCGCTATCAAGCTCATTCGCAGAGACACATTGGGACACAACCCCAGCAGATTGCCAAAGATCTACCGCGAAATTTCCATCCTACGCGAGCTGGCACATCCCAACATTGTGCGCCTGCACGAAATGGTAGAGACTGATCGCCATATCGGTATTATCATGGAATATGCCTCTGGGGGTGAACTATTCGACTACATCCTGAACAATCGGTACCTGAAGGACAACTCAGCGCGCCGGCTCTTCGCTCAGCTGGTTTCTGGAGTGGGATATTTGCATAAGAAGGGTATCGTTCACCGCGATCTCAAGCTAGAGAACTTGCTCCTCGATCGGAACCGCAACATTATCATCACGGATTTCGGATTTGCCAACACGTTTGACCCGGTGGACCCGCTGGACGAAGAGATTGAATACAATCTGACCAACAAGGAATACGTGAAGCGAAAGCGACTTGACAAGACCGGTGCTAATGGCCACCGGCGCGGAGACTTGATGCAGACAAGCTGTGGAAGTCCATGCTACGCAGCCCCAGAGCTTGTTGTGAGCGATTCCTTGTACACGGGACGAAAGGTGGATGTTTGGAGTTGTGGTGTGATCTTGGTATGTTCTACTGCAATTGGACTTTCTCTGCATGAATTAACATGGATTTACAGTACGCCATGTTGGCCGGATATCTTCCATTCGATGACGACCCCGCGAACCCAGACGGCGACAACATCAATCTCCTCTACAAGTACATCGTCACTACCCCTCTCACATTCCCCGAATATGTCACACCTCATGCGCGCGATCTACTTCGACGAATACTTGTTCCCGACCCTCGGAAACGTGCAGACCTATTCGAAGTTGCTCGACACAGTTGGCTGAGCGAGTACTCCAGCATTGTATCGCATATCACAAGCAGCACCACCAATGTCGTGGATATCGCCAACACCACCGTTTCGTCCGGAGCTCAAAAGGAAGCACCCCCTCTCGTCCGTAGTGCTTCCGTGCGTGAGCCACCAAAGACCGCACAAAGCAATCTTCCGGCTGTTGGTGGCCTCAGCCATCACGCCGGGGACGTTTCGCAAGATCCCCCAAGCGAGAAATCCAGGACTCCCCGCGATGCCAAACGACGGACGGTACAAGTCGAGTATGTCGCTCCTCAGTCGCAGACAACTCGTGGAGAACCACCGGCGGAGAAACCGCCATCGCGCAGCAGAATCCCTGTTCCTTCGGAGCCTCAAAACGCTCCTGCGCAGCACTATGGGGAACCGGCACACAAGCCCGCGGAGGGTACAGCACTCAATCTCAACAAGCCTCTACCGGGTCATTTCCCGCGCTCCACCTCCGACAATGCAGCTCTCACTGGTTCGCATTCGGCCGCCATTCCTCAAGGCACACGGCCGGCTACTGGTGGCTCTATGAACTCCTTTGGCAACACTGGTCGGCTGCCATCCCGTGGCTCATATGGCCAACCCGTGGCTCCCACTGTCACCGCAACCAACACTCAAGGTAGCTTGGCCCAACCTAAGAGCAGACAGTTTGCCCTTCCACAGGAGCCAATCCAGGCATCAACCTCGACTGTCAGCCGCCCCAGTACCCAAAATCAACAATTGCCCCCTACTTTCAACACCACACCTCGGCAGGAGCCACCAAAGGGCCACAAGAGGTCCAACACTGTGTCCAGTTTGAGCGACAAGTTGTTCGGACGTTCGAGCTCGATTCTTGGTGGCCGTGGTACCCAAAACAATTCCTCTCGGACAAAACAGGACAAGCGCTACCCTCCTGTTAGTATGAAGGAACCGCTTGGTAGAGAAAACTCGAGAATGTCGATGGATTCCCGTCGGTCCATGCAACATCCCCACAACCGCAAAGCCAGCGAATCCGGCACGGAAAATCGCCCTCGCCGATTCTCGCTCTTACCTCAATCGTTCTCCTTCCGAGGATTTGGCACCACTCGGGCTCAGAGCCCAGAAGACGCTTCACAGACCTCCGAGCCCGCAGAGTCCTATGTATCACAGCGTCCAGCGACAGGTCCCGCCGGCCCCGAGCCGGTTGAGAACCATGGACGTGCACGCGCGACAAGCTACAGCGCCCAGGAAGCCATGGGACCAGTCAGCGAGAGACCCGGCGAGGACGATCGTCATGAGGCTGAGCCTCTCAGCTACGAAGCTCAAATCGATCAACAATTCGCCGATCTAGGATCTCAATTCGACCACCCCAATGATTCCTCTTTCGGGATCCCCTCTGCAGAGCAAGTCTACCAAAACTCCGGAGACCAACACTCGAGCCACACCCAAAGTCATGGATCAAAACAAAATTACTACGATGACTACAATTATGACAGCGCGCCCAGGCAGTCAACGCAGGTCAGCCGACCAAATCGTGGACCGGGCGTTCTACAAAAGAACCACCGCAAATTCGCCGATGCCTACGAGTATGAGCGCGACGGATCCCACCACTCCGGCAGCTCTGGGGCAGCCCGCAAAGTCATGGACTTCTTCCGCAGACGGGCCAAGTCTCGGGCTGGCGACGACCGTTGATCTTTTCAGTCTCCTTGAACTGATTTCCCCCATCTTCCCACAGGGACTAAGACTGGACCAATTAAGCTTGGCTTTGATCTAAGCAGATTCTACCCCCCATCATTCTATGCTTCTTTTGAGTTGCTTGGAAGAGCAGCGAGGCTGTTTGGATACCATGTGATACCCTGCTTTTGTCCCTTTGCATGGAGCGATAAGTCTTCATCCATCGGGTGTTTGATTAATTATCTAGCATGTTCATTATTTCCTTTGTCTGAATACATTTCCTTGTTCCTAATGTCTTTGCTTTTTGGATTTTCCCTTCCCCCCCGTTCCCCACCTGTGATTTGCATTCTCTTCTCCTGTTACTATTATCTCTGGCTGTAAAGTGAGACCCATGCTCCTCGGAGCCTTTTATTACCCCCCTTGTTTTCTTTTCCCCTTTTCATAGCTATTCTCGGTTCCCTTGTCGGGGACTCTTGTCGACGATAATTCAATTGTGACACTACTTTTCTTCCTTCTGTGCATCATTTTCTACTTCACCCGTGTCGTTCGATATCCATGACTTCTTGAGGGTGGCTTCCTTCTGGCTTGAGGATTCGCTCCGTTTCTGTTGCTAGTTCTTGATGCTCTACTTTCTAGGGTCGGTAATATGATGAATACCTTCTAGGTTGATTCCACATGTTTTGGTGCTCAAATTTTGTAGACACGGTAGAAGCAAACATGGCTCTGGTAGAATTCTCGACTGTATAGGTACATTCATGCTTTTAATAAATCACAACTTCAAATGCTCAACATTCACCAAATCAGCCTCCTTTCTCAAGGCTTCAACCTCCGCTGCAGCAAACGGTATCCCCTCCTTCCGTCGCTTCTCTTCAGTAATGATCTCAATCTCTCCAGGGAAGTAAATCTGATCCACCCCAGCCATCCTCTCCGACTCAACAACCCTCTTGTAAAGATAATCCATCCTCCCCTTGAACTCCTCAATAGTCATGAACAAATCCGGCTTAATAGCCACCAAAAAATGACCAACATCCGCCGGCTTCGACGGATCATAAGGGTTAGTAACATGTCCCGCAAACGCAGACCCAGAAAGCACCCCAGAGAAAACATCCATCATAATCGACAACGCCGACCCCTTCGGGCCCCCCATCGGCAACATAACACCCTGCAAAGCCTCCGCAGGATCATCCGTCCTGGCCCCATCCCGATCAAGCGCCCAATCAGTAGGAATCTTCTCCCCCCTCCTCAAAGCCTTATAGATCTTCCCCCTTGCCGCAACCGAAGGCGCCATATCCAAAATAAACGGCCTCCCTGCACCCCCAGGCGCCCCACACGCAATCGGCGAAACCCCCATCAACTTCTCCTTCCCACCCCAAACCGGCAACGCAGGCGAACTATTCGTAAAAACAAGCGACATCATCCCACCCTCCAAAGCCTGCTGCACCAACCAAGCAGACATCCCAAAATGATTCGAATGCTTAATCGACACCATCCCAATCCCGTATATCTGAGCCATTTCAATCGCGCGCTTCATGCCTTCATGTGCGGCTACGAATCCGAACCCGTTGTGCGCGTCGATTTGCGCCGCGGCGGGCGTGGCTTGCGTCACGGTTGGTTCCGCACTGGGGTTTAGGGCTCCTTGTCTGATTCGCTCCATGTAGGAGGGGATGCGGTTGCTGCCGTGTGTGTCGACGCCGCGTAGGTCGGCGGATACGAGGCATTTGGAGACTATGGCTGCGTGCGGGGGTGGGGTGTTGTTTGCGATGAGGATTCGTTCAACGAATTCTTGGAGGTTGGTGTGGTTGATGTTGTGCATTTGTTGGTCTGTCTTTTGGTCTGCCATTTTGGTTGGTTTTCAATTGATAACCTTGAATGTTGATGTACAAGTCTGAGGGAGGTTCCCTTTATACAGTCGATGTGCGGATGGAAGCCGCTTGTCTCGGGGTGGGGCCGCTTGGGGTAATTCTTGTCCCGATAACTACATCTCGACCTTCATTTCACGATCTTTTTCTTGTTTATTATCTAGGCCGGGATCTCATCCGGTCTCAGTGTCGTCCACTGCAACAGCAACGTTTCGAACGACTGTGCTTTGTCCGATTCCCAAGGGTTCCCGCATATATCGTCCTCAATTATCTGGTCTGTGAGAGCACTGCCACCCACGCTGGAGCATCGCCGGGAATCGGGTTGATCGATATTTGAGGTTTCTTGATCATTACAGGCGTCAGCAAACATTAATAGAGACCCTAGGAGACTTCGTGGGTTTCTGATCAACTGGGGGGGGTAGCCTTCGCCAACATTCGATTTCTCACCTGGTTTCATTCTTGGTCCGCCAGTTGCACTCCTAATTTGTTCTCGCGCGATAACCTCTCGGAGAATGGGATCATCGCTGGACTTATCGGGGTGGCGGACTCGGACATGTCTGCAACGGTTAGTTTACTTGAAGCGTGGATCGTAGAAGAGGCCCAACTATACCGGCTCAAGGTATCGGCTCGCTGATATATACGACGCCCATCTGGGCAGAAAGGACATACATATTCCGGAAGCTTATGTTTCGATGCATGCCGCAGCATGCAACTTTTGCACTTGAACCCTCTGCCTCCAGGCCTTCGTGGACAATCCACTGGAACTGGACAGAAAAATAGGCGGTCTTGATTGTGCATGTTCTCGCGGGAACTAGTGTAGATTTCCTGACTCGAATCTTCGTTTTCTTGGGTATCACAGGTGAGTATCATCTCAAGTCTTGGTGGCTCAAGGCTGCCTGCCTCGGAGCATTCCCGAGGCAAATCTTCTTCGTTTTCTTTGGTATCACAGGTGGGTATCATCTCAAGATTTGATGGCTCAAGGCTGCCTGCCTCGGGGATTGTCTGACTCGAATCGTCCGGTAGTTCCTCTCTATTCAGTTTAGCATCTTACTCACTCTCTCATCATTTGATTTTGTAACACATACGCAAAAAGCGATTGATCGAAGTGCTGGAGGATCGACTGCCCATGGTGCAATTGAAATTGCAAAATTTCTCTGGAATGTATGTTCAAAACGCCGCTTTTGATTCGCGAATGACGACTCTGCCCAAGTCGGCTTTTGCAAGAGTTGATTTCTTGGATCATTCTTTGCATCAGAAGAATGTATTCGTCCAGGTCCGAGGGCTTGCCGCTTTTTGAATCTCCATTTCCCCAAGCGACACCAGGATTCACAGACGCGAGGATTGTGACAGGGCTGGAAGTGACTGCATTTGTGGCGTCAAGTCTCTGCTTCTCCTCTAGAAGGGTTTTGATGAAGTCACGCTGCTCTTGGAGCATTTTTGGTGCATGGTTACTGCCAAATCATGAGAATCGGGGTAGACAATGAGAGATGGAGCTCATCTTACCTCCTCAACTGCCCAGCATACATGATCACATTCAGCAAAAGAAGCATCGTTGCTTTCAGTCTCTTGAGGCTGGCTTTCAGCGGATCGACCTTTGGCTCAAGTACAACTTGTCGAAACATTTCCGTTATTTGCTGCAGTCGGGTCTTTTCTGAACTATCACTATACTTCGTCATGTCACGAATTTGCTGGAGAACTTCTTCGCACTGATTCAAGACATCCTGCATGCATCCGAACGCTTGTTTGAAGTAGAGTTTTGCCTGTTCGTCTTCTTTCAAGCTCTCTCCCACCTCATGAAGAATGGCGGAAGTGATTGCAACATCACTGGACAGATCTTGTATGAATTTGTTGGCTCCTTTGAGCTCTCGGTAAAAGGAAAAGAGCTTAACAGACAGTTTAGTGCCCAGCTCAGCGACCTGAATGATGCTGGCCGCGATTCCGATAGCTTCGAGAGGTCCTGACATGACCTCGACTAGGAGATATGCTCAGCTTGTAGAGAGAGAAGTCGAAGATCGACCTTGAAATATGGAGCTCATTCATGCTGAGGCTGAGCATGATCCCTGCAAGGGGTTGCCAACACACCAGCGGGGCGCAGCCTTTCACCCTTCTCGGCACCGGGATTAACCTATTGTATATAGATGAATACCAATTTTCACCCGGTCGAGTCTGTCCCTGCAGAAAATATTGGAAACGCACATCCAGGTTATGTGCTAACAAGCCAAGTTCCAAGGTTAGGTAGGAAACCCGTGTACGGAGTACAGGTTACATGAATAGTTAGTATCACGATGTAATTGTTGTAACTCTAGTTCATAGTTCATGTCTACTTTATTCTTTGTTTCCCTTGTTTTTCGACGTAATAGGACCAAGTAAGACTCAGATTATGCAAAAAAAAAGGCCGGCTTGCGGCAACCACAAGCCTACTTACTCTATGTGAGTGTAGGTCCTGATGTACAGTTTTTGGACGAGTAGAATAATGCGACTGAGCATTGAGTAACCAGGTTTCATCCCTTTGAATAGTCAATAGCAAAGACCTAAGATATGCGAGTTATGACGGGGCGATGGGAGTTGCATACGGAGTACGGAGTACGGAGTAGACACTGTAGATACCGCGAGCGGCGAAGGGATCGCACGGACCATCCGGGCTGTCAAGTCGTCGGTGCAAACAGTGCAAACACAATGCGGGCAAAAATTTGGCCGCAAGCTGGATTGTTCCTGCACTTACCATTCAATTGTTCAAAATGGAAGAGACTTCAAAGGTTCCGGTACCTGAGGTCGGTGCCGCTGCGCCTGACATGGATGTCTCCAAGCGCGACGCCGCCGGCGATGTAGCCACGAGTGAGCCTCCAGCAAAGAAAGCCCGAGTGGAGGAACCCAACTCGATTGCGCAAGATATGCGTGACAGAGGCATTGCGCCAGTCAAGGCCGAGTATGTACAAAAAACACCAGTGCCAAGAATACAAGCTAATGTGGCACCCCAAGGTACCGCATCGAAACCGCTCCCAGGCCCCGTCCGACAAACGAGACGAGCCCTGATGATGCCGCCGAGGCTGCTCCTCGCGATGCCCGCGATGCTCGCGACGGTGGTGGCCAGAAGGAAAAGCCCAAGAAGAAGAAGAAGGGCCAAAACACTAACCGCAGCTATGGCAAGTCCGACGATGCCAAGGGCCTGTGCAGCACGAGAATGTTTGCCAACGAGTTCTCTGCTGGTGAATGTCAGTTCGGCGCGTCTTGCCGGTTCGAGCATGACCTGCGTGTTTACTTGAAGGAGCACAAGCGCGAGGATCTTCACACTTTCAACGACCTATGCCCCATCTATGAAGCACTGGGTAAGTGCACTGCCGGCTGGAAATGTCGTATGGTCGGCTCCCACTCGACTGAAAGAGAGACCGAGGATGGCAAGAAGGAATTGATCTTGTTGGAAGATGCCGAGCGTGTGGAGAAGGCCCGACCCCGTCTGGCGCATGCGACACCGGAAGGAGTTGTCAACATCATCCCCACATCGGACAGAGTCTCTCTCACGAGAAAGAAGGAGAAGACGCCCCGAGCTGATGCGTATACCACATGGGCCAACCAGGTGTCTGCGGAATTGGAGAAGGCGATCCACCAGCGATCCACTATTCGCGAGAATGGCGAGGTTATCGAACCATCCGAGGCTGCAAAGATCGAGGTTGAGGAGAACCGCGCTCAATTCCTCGAGCCTCCTTTCATGCCCTCCGAAAAGAGACGCATCTATTTTGGTCCGGAGACTCCCGTTCTGGCACCTTTGACCACCCAGGGTAACATGCCGTTCCGACGACTCTGTGGAGACCTCGGTGCGCAATTCAGCTACTCAGAGATGGCGATGAGTATGCCTTTGATCCAAGGTACCAAGTCTGAGTGGACCTTGTTGAAGGCCCACGAGTCCGAAATGGCTCCGCCATCTGTCATTCCCGGAGGAAACATTGTCCAGGGCTACGATAACTCCAAGGATTCTCGGTTCGGTGCTCAAATCGCCGCCAACAAGCCGTGGCAAGCTCTCAAGGCCACCGAGGTGCTGTCTAAGTTCACACCAAACCTGCGTGTGATCGACTTGAACTGCGGTTGTCCTATCGAGCTGGTGTTCCGTGAAGGTGCTGGTTCAGCCCTGCTCGACCACCACTCCAAGTTGGAGAAGATGATCCGTGGCATGAACGCCGTCTCCCAGGAAATCCCTATCACCGTCAAGATCCGCATGGGAACCAAGGACAACCAACCTACTGCCCAGAAACTGGTTGAGCGCATGGTCCTCGGTGGATACGAGTCAAACGTTCTCAACCTTGGCCCCCCTGGTGCCGCAGCAATCACTCTGCACGGTCGTAGCAGACAGCAGCGTTACACCCGCCAGGCCGACTGGGGATACATCTCAGAGACTGCCGCTCTCATCAAGAGACTCAATGAGAAGAAGGACTCGCTCACAGACACCATCCGTGAACCAGATGAGCGCCACATGCCTAACGGCGGTAAGACCTACTTCCTCGGAAACGGTGACTGCTACTCCCACGTCGACTACGATGACCACGTCAACAACGGTGGTGTTGACTCCGTCATGGTCGCTCGTGGAGCTCTGATCAAGCCTTGGCTCTTCGAGGAAATCCAGACTGGCCAGTACCTGGACAAGTCCGCCACTGAGCGTCTGGCTTACATCGAGAAGTTTGCCAAGTATGGTCTTGAGGCATGGGGATCTGACGAGCACGGTGTCGGAACCACTCGTCGCTTCTTGCTCGAATGGCTGAGTTTCGCTTACCGCTACGTCCCCATCGGACTGCTGGAGTATCTTCCCCCCAACATCCAGCACAGGCCCCCTGCTTGGCGCGGCCGCAACGAGCTGGAGACCCTTATGGGCAGCGGTAACTACAAGGACTGGATCAAGATCACGTAAGTCTTATACCCTCAGAGGTCTTTGAATGTTTGCTAACGTTTGATATCATAGTGAGATGTTCCTCGGCCCTGCTCACGAGAACTTCAAGTTCGAGCCCAAGCACAAGTCGAACTCTTATGATGCCGAGGCCGAAGGTTAAAAAACGGAACGAACTGTTCATAACTGTATATAAAATCACGAAATGCATTACGCGGATTGACCAAGATCTTCAATTCTTTACAATTTACGGCACTGATCAGACAGGCAGACGCGAGAATGAATACTCTATGTGCAAATATTGGAGCTGCGACAGACTCAACAATTGATTTACCAACTAATCAATCGTCAGCAGCTTCTCAAAGAATCCACCAAAGCCACGTTCTCGATCATGAAGATGAATTTCCAATATCCAATGACGCCTGAACCCATCCCGGCCCGCCAACCCCATTGAATCCTTATTCCCCTTGGTAATGTACAGAGCATTCCTGTCCCGCGGAATACGCTCATGAGGAAACGACCCAACAATATGGCCCGCTATATCAGCCCCAAAATCAAAGCCCTCCTGCGCCGCAATCCCACAAGCAATCTCATATAGTTCTTCACCCGACATATCCGGGTTTTCCCGGAAGCGCGCCTTCACAAGATCCCATATGGGCTCAAGGGCATCCCGCAGCTTGAGCTTATGCGGGTCATTGCCGAGAACGAAAGTGCGGCCGAAATCGGCTTCCCAAGCTTCGAATACGGGTCCCAGGTCAACGACGAGTATGTCGTCTTCTTCGATTACCCGGTCTGGGGGATTCTCGGCAAATGGGCTAAGGGTGTTGGGGCCACTGCGGATGACTCGTTTGTGCCAGTGAGTTTTGATTCCGTATCGATCTAGACCTAATTGATAGATCTCTTCATTGAGGGTCCTTTCTGTGATTCCGGGTCGGATGAGAGTGTTCTCAATCTCGTCGAAGAGGGCGATGGCTTTATCTTGGGCATTTAGGAGCTGAGATGCTCTTTCAATTTCCTCGGTGGTGGGATTGGCATGGGCCATGGCTGTGTATGTGAGATGGAATCAATGTCTGTAATCAGACGAAAACAATTGGTGTGGAAACCTGGGCTGTACGGAGTATGGGGTATGTACTTCGTACTTCCCGTTGATCCAAAGTACCCCTCATTCGCAATTTTGCTTTGCATTCGTGTTACAGCCGACCCTCCAGGAAACTGCTGCCGACTAGTCCGAACGGGGTACTTGAAACCGCTTCAATCATGGCACAAGAGGCCATAGGGCTTGACATCGATCTAGATGCATTCCCGAAGTCTTAGATTCTTATCAGCTCGGATCAACATACAGTAGATCCTTTGATGGTGGGATAACATGGTCCTGTATAGTGTTTCAGTAGATACCTAGGTATAAAGACATGTCTAACAGACTCCTCCACACCGCATAGTCGATGTAGTTTGTATAGTTGAGGTCCCATCCATGGATAGATCAATCGTGAAGAACCTCAGGCCAAAAGCCTCAGACGGAACGATGACAGCATCACGTGCCGATCAGCTATGACGTCTTCCTCCGAACCTGGAAAACTTCCCTGAGACCACCTCTTTCTCTACTTGCTCTCTCTCGCTCCGATTGTCGCACCCTTTAGACCCGAGCAATCCTCTCTTGCTTTGGTTCTGTGTTTGTGCTTTGTCACTCCCAGAATTACTATCCCGTGTCACCTCACCTTTGTTTACCAAGCTATCACCCCCGCCCCTTTTGATTAGGCCGAACCCTCAATTCCAAGTGTCGCTGGATATCCAATACTCGGCACGATGACTCTCTACTACTCCCTCGTATGTTCAGTGACTCTCTCTCCAGCTGATGCCGTTCTGTGGTTGGGCTTCTCGGTCGTCGATTGCTGCAGCCTAGTGCTTCAAGCTGCCCGCACAGCCAAAGCCGCCACGAAATGTGAACACATTTCAACACTATGGATTTACTAACGCATTGGCTTCGTTTAGGTCTTCCTACTTTTGGTGTTCGAGATGGCCGTTTTCCTGGCCCTCGTCATCCCTCTTCCTCACACCATTAAGCGCAAGCTCTTTGCGTTCATCTCTGAGAGCCCCATTATCGCCAAGTTGCAGTATGGACTAAAGGTATGTAATTGGAACTATTCACCCCGAGAGTTCAAGAGTGCTAATTTCGCTCCAAGATCACATTCATCTTCATCCTCATCTTGTTCATTGACTCCGTGAACCGCGTGTACCGTGTCCAGCAAGAGCTTGCCTCCTTCACCAAGGAAGGTCCCGGCATGGGGTAAGCTATTTCAGTTAACAGTGTCCAAGCGAACCAGAGCTAATTGTGAATTTACAGCGCCGCTCACCTCGGCACCGACCGCATGGAGGTCCAGGCCCGCAAGTTCTACTCGCAGCGCAACATGTACCTGTGTGGTTTCACTCTTTTCCTCTCCCTGATTCTCAACCGCACCTACACCATGATCCTTGAGGTTCTCCGTCTCGAGGACCGCGTCCGTCTTCTCGACGGCGACAAGAAGGCTGGCGGCAAGGACTCTGCCCGCATCGCCGAGGCTGGCTCCGTCGGCGAGATTGGCCGTCTTAAGGAAGTCATCGAGGCCAAGGACCGTGACATCGAGACCCTCAAGAAGCAATGCGAGGGCCTGACCCGCGAGTACCACAGCCTGGGAGACAAGGTTTCCTCCGAGAAGGGTGACTTGAACGAGAAGGGTGACAAGAAGGACCTGTAGGGTTCGAATAGTTCCCGATCGCCAAAGCCAATACTTTAAATTTGGGTCTTGGCGTATCCCCCGCGTTCATGTCAGCGAACCGAGTTTGACGTGCCTCTTGCATGAATGTGGGGGATTTTCGGCATCGTAACCGATTGTCACACTTTGGGCCAGACAGTGTTCATGTCTACTTCACCGTTCAATTTGCGACTTCTACTACCATGTGGATGGCTACATGCATCGAGGGCTTGCTGTAAGATATTCTTGGGCTCTTCGACAGGATCATCAGCCCTTGCTTGTGCGCCTGTCATATCCTATCACAATTTACATTTTTAGTATCTTGAACTATCCCGAAATCACGAGAGCCTTCATTGGTCGTAAGAATCCATCATCATTCGTAATTAATATACACATAAAACCCATTCAGGTCGATTCCTCAAACAAGGAATGTCCAGTAGCTAGGATAAACCAACTCCTCTTCAAAGATGCGGCGAACCTGGGCGAGAACAAAGCGCTCCACCTTCCCGACATTCTTCAAGACCTGCTTCCCATCCTCCTTGCGGCCAATCTCACTCTCAACCCGAATTTCCTGCAGAAGCCCGCCCTGTCGCTTGAGGTCCTTCTCTTTCTGGTCACCCCCAGGCTTTGGCCTCCCATCCTCTCCAGAATTCTGACTGCCCTGCGACTGCTCCGAGCCAAGCAAGGCATCCGCGTCTTCGGCTGATAAAAAGCAGAAATGCACGCGCTTGCGTATATACGCCACAACAGCTACACCGTCAAATGTGATACCCGTCACGTTCAGCTTCAATGGTAGTCCCACAAAACTTGGCATCGGGTAGTCGAGTAGAATCTCGGCCGTCAGAGACATTCGAACATCGCCGGCATATTTGGCATGGCAAAGAACTTGGACATCCTCCGGGCGCCGTTCGCGCATGCGCGGCGGAACAGGGAATGATTGGTCATCTCCGGCGCCCTGAGTTTCAATAGAAGGTTGCATCCCGTCGGCAGGGTCATTGGCATTATTTGACCCGCCACTACCAGCACGACCCATGGAAGGATGTGAAGGAATGGTATTGGCAGTGGAAGGTCTCGAAGTGGAGTTGTTAGTGTCCAGATCCGGCTCGGCGAGGTGTTGCGCGGCAGGGTGCGCGAGATGTGGTCTCGGAACACCCATGCCTGAATCGGACCATCCACTCGCAAATGGTGTACCGCCCGCCACAGCCGCGAGAGGTGTCTGAGTCCCGGATAATCCGCCTAGTGACCTCATGTGATATCCGAGTGTTGAGGTCCCGCCGGGAATGCCAGGCGTGCCTGCGCGAGGCAAGAAATGCGGGTTGAGGTGATCGCCTAGTGGTGATCGAAGGGCGGATGGCTGGAATCCTTCACCGGGGTATGGATGGTGGCTGAAGTTGTGGGGGCTGTGGGCGCTTGGGTTGAATGTCATGTCGTCTTCGTATGGGGACTCTTGGAGGTCGGACATGAGTTCGGATGAGGTGACTGAGGCGGTGGAATCATCTTCATCTTCTTCGTAGAAGTCTGCGAAAGGTTCGCAAAAGTCCTTGATCTCGAGGTCTGGGCCTATGGTTCCAAAATCGAAGGAGTGCACTTGGACTGAGCGGATGAATCGGGGGAGCGCTATCTCCTGGAACTTGTCGTGGACGAAGGACCGGATTCGCTCGGCCAAGGCCTCTCCATCCGGCCCGGAGGTTGCAGCTGCCCAGTCAACTTCGATTGACATCACATATGCAAGGCAATTGGCGATGCTCTGAGAAGGAGGGTTCGGAGGGTTCCAGGTTGAGGAGCCCGTGATTGGGTCTTATCGCCACGTGATAGAGCTGGCGCAATCCATGGATGGGACAGACACGGACCATCTTTTATTTCGATCGACGAGATGAGCTTCTACTTTGCTCCTATGTATTTGTTCAAGCATAGCGGCTACAATAAATTCTCGTTCGTGTTACAAATTTACATGCAGTTGTTCGTCCTATCTGCCATTCATTGTCTCCCTACCTGCACCTTTGATTGATGATTGTCCTTGAAAAGCGAGTAAAAAGAAATGTCTTAGATGTATAGTAATGAGAGCAAGCTCTGCTTTATCAAGATGTACATGTGAGCTTTGGAGCTGTGAGGCCTCAACAGCATTTGTGTGACAAAGTGACACTGGAAACCACCGACCAAAGAACGGACAGGGGGCAAAAAAATGAAAAAATGAAAATGAAAAGCATGTCAGGGCGATCAACGAAATAGATCTTTTCAACAAGATCTAACAAGCAACAAGATGTCCTCCAAAATCACCAGGTGCGATGCGATACCGTGTAAAAATGGTTCCTCCAGTTTGCACGTCAAATGCAAGAATCAATGTATCTTCTGTGATATTCAAACAAGCACGGTCAGCTTGCAAAGGGCAATGATCTGCCAGCCGAGTGCATCGTTGTTGGCTCTGTGTCACCCCAGAACCAAGGCATTAACTGGTATCTGGATGACTCGGTTAGCAGCTTGTCAAAAATTGAGATTGACTTATCCCACGCACGATATTGTCAGGTTCTGCCACCGTGGCGAGGACATTGGAAGCCCTTTCGTTCGCGAACTTGTTCCTTTACTCCTCCACAGCTGCCTTGGTGTGCACAGGGAACGACGCCGTCCTCCTGCTGTTTGCAGCCACAGTCGTAGGTGAAGATGTAGATGGAACACATGATGAGAGCGGAAAATTGTTCCCGGTGAAGCAAATTCGTATTATAGTGTGGCCGTTTGTATAATTGTGAGTCAAGAGAGGTGATTGAGCTCTGAGGATGGATTGCTGTGATAGAAAATAAGAGACGGGATTCACGACCAGCTTTATAGCATCTTATGCCGACATCGTGAAGTGAATTGACTGCGCAACTCAACAGATAGAGAGTAACGGAGGACCCCTTTGACACATCCTGAGAGACTCGGGCTCCCAAATCTCCCCAAGCGCTGCAATTCATGCCTCAAGTGTGCCTTATGCAGGCAGTAACATGGTGATCACTTGTTGCGCAGTCAAATGAAGGTGACGGGGAGCTCAAAGGGATACACATGCGCCCTGCACAGAGCATATATCTCAACCAACAACCCGCAAGGTTGGGTTGTGAGTGGGCCACTGGAAGCGGGCATCCTGGGCCGCTAAGCATCGGTATTCGGCGAACCGCACGGGTTGGCTCAGGGCCCCGAATTATTGATGTAACCCTCTAGGCTACGAGGGGCATTGGGGCTCTCTCAAGGAACCATAGATGGTCATAAGGCTCATTTGCTGGGCACCAACAGAACCCCTCTCCGGGTGGGACCCTTTAGGGCCAACACTGCGGCTATGGTGTGGGCCAGGAACAGGGTTTGCTTTTGTGACAAACTTCGATGATCCTGCCACCATATTATTTGGTTTTGCAGCAGGCATCTGCCACAGCAGGGAGAAAATCCCTGTGCAATATCACGGGCGGCGCAGCAGCTGTAAGTAACGTGATGCGGCTGAAGAACCTGCGCACTTTTCTCCCCCTTCTTTTTCGCGTGCTCTCCGACTTTGCATTGCAAGTAACCTGGTCTCGGAAATTGCTTCGCATAACTGAGTGGGAATCATTTGGTTCCTGGTCAACCTTGGTGACGTCAAATGCACAACTCAAGAGATTCGCCGTTGAGATTGGGCTCCACAACCAACTGAAGCCACGAAGCACTCATCCCACATTGAGACTCGCCATTGAGTTGTCTCAACGTGGAAGTGAACATCATCTGCCGGAACTCGACTTGATGCCGAAGACGAATAAGGCTCCCAGGTATGGCGCAGTTGGTGATACTAGCCGCGAGTTCTGCGCGATTGAGATGAAAGCCTCTGCACCGTGACGACGCGATTTGGACAGATGGAGATCAACACGCGAAAAGACCAGCTCGAGGGGTGAGCCAAACGCGCTGCGAAGTGCCACACTATGACATGATGTTGGCTGTGTGATTCCACGGAATGTTCTTTTTTCGATCTAGCGTGATCATGTCGCAGGGCTGTCCGGAAGAGAAATCAATCCCAGCCTATAGATTACTCCTAGGGGGTTAATGACTGGTGACAAGCCACAAGTTCCTCAGTGACGAGACAGTCGCGCTCATGAGAGATTTCCCTTGCTCAGCCGCCGGCCCACCGGGATACTTCCTCCGGGCGAGTAGAGACGCGCAAAGCTAGGGGCCTTTAGGGGCGGCAAGCACAGCAATCCATGGGCCTAGACTCGTCGCTGCCTTGCCGCCGTTGGATCGCACAGAACAGGTCCAGTGCACAATTTGCATTCAATTCAAAACTGGAGTGCCACTGCAGGCTACACCACGTGACAGGGAGTGCAACTCCTCCGTTTACATCTAACAGTATGCAACTCAAATTGGACAGGTTGGGAATGTTTGCCAGGTGCGGATAGACGATCACCCGTCTCTCAATTCCGGGGAAAACATGATGTCACTCCTGTTTCTTTTTTCCCCAAACAGCAGCTAATAGCGCCTTTTCGTGTCGGGTGAAAGAGAAAAGCCGGGGAAATCTGACACTAAACGACATCCGATGGCCCGAGCAGCCATGCGGTCGGGTTGATTCGCGACGGAAACCATCAAATCTCGCCTAGGCAAGCTTCCACCCGAAACTATTATTCACAAGGTGAACACACGTACTGCATGAGTGTGGATTATCCGCCTGTGAAAACAGTCGAATTCCGCACAGGGCTTGGCTCATATGCCTGCTGATCTTCCGAGGTTGACTTTCTCGGCTGGCAACGGGTCTTTCTAGGCAAAGTCCTCCCATTGCGCAATTACACACTGCTTATCTCGCCAAGCCAGCATATTTGCCCTTGGGAATGGGTCTCATCCGCCCAGACAGTGGTGCAACAATCGTGAAAGCCAAGAGAGGCGAAGTCCAAGCATTCAGAAAAAAGAAAGGGTGATGGTCAACCAATAGTGGACTCTTGGCTAGTCCTTTCGACCCCCTTTTTTGGGCCAAGACATGTGAAGTTCTCCAGCATGTTTGGGATTTTCCCTTAGAGGATAATCGCGGGGGGGTGGCTTGCATGACTGGCCGCACACTTCACCCCGGCCCAGATATGATGGCCTGTGATCGGCGTGTTTCGGGCACATCATCGAGATGCCCCTCCTCCAAGGTTCTTCTTGGCTTATTATTTCGGTGAGTCTGGGCTATATAAGTCAGGCCAGTTCCCTTCCTATTCCTCATTCACACAATCCTCTTTACAAACCGCTGCTCTAAAACAAAACTCCATCTCCAATCTCACTTTCTTCTTCACACTCAACTTTCAACTTTCTCAAAAGCCTACTCAAAATGTACTCCATTCCTCCTCCTACTCGCTTCTTGGTCCTCTCTGCCGCTGAGTCTCGTCCTCACAAGCCTGCCAGCTCCGGCAACTTCCTGGTGCTGTCTCCCATCGAGTCTGGTCCTGACCCTCGCGCCGTTGAGGAGTCCCAGAGTGAGACCGATGACCAGAGTGACCTTGCTCCTCTCAGCCGTGCTCGCACCAACAGCTCTGTTTCAACCAACTCCTCGGGGTCTCTCAATGATCTCACTTCCGCCCTTCCCAATGGTTTCCTCTTCTTGGGCCATGGCAAGAACAAGAAGAACTAAACGTCCAACCAGTGACTAGTCTTCTTCTTTCATCATTTTCTCATCCATCTTATATACGATACCATCACAGCGACCGATGCATCAACTGTTCTTTGGGAATATCGAGCCGATGACTGGCTCCGATCTGGGATTTACGGAATGTCCTCACAGAAGGAACATAGCAGGAAAAGCTTCGGTGTTTTTTGGCGCTACCAACACAAATTGGTTTCTCTTTTTTCTTTTTTCATCATCATCTTATCACCTCATTGGCTTCGGGGAAGCACACATGGATACATACACAGCCCCAATTGGGCCAGCTAGCAGATAATGAACAAATCGATCTACTATCTGCATAATTACCTGCCCCACCTTTCTACCTAATCATTCCTGGCTTAGATCCCATGACCCATGTAGAGGAATCTCCTTCCCGCCGGACGCGAGGGAGGTCCCTGAATGCCTGCCAAGGGCCGCCAAGGTGATGATTTTCCGCCAAGCCTTGTGTAATCTGCTACTTCCGCCTTGGCCGGAGGACAGGGATTTGCATCCATTGCCAATCAGGTCCATGGCCTAGGCAACAGTGCGTCTTCCGCGTCCGGAGTCCCATTGTGCAACTCAATTGTGAGGTTGCGAATCCCGCCAAGGCCCCTTGCCAATCTTCCTGTTATCAGGCAGTGATATTTGATTTCTTTTTGACACATCATCTCGCACGTTCATGGTTTATTGGATAATAGGCTTCTAAATTCTATTCAATTTGTAGCTTGTCGAAGTGCCCCGTACGGAGTACTATATTCGGTGAGACCCCTCACCCCTCACCCCCCATTAATTTCCCCGCGCGATTCCCGGTGAAATTACGGGGCGAAGATATGCACCATCTCCTTTGCCTTATCGATAGTCCCGGTGTACTTTAACCTGCCCCCGTCCAATGATATGTAGCATCCCTTACCACATGACGGTTAATAAAAGACATGACTCGGTAAAAAGGATCGGTTTTCGGATTCCGTGTTAGGGCTCTAGTACTAAGGTTCTCATCCATTGGCATTCTGACCAGGCGTGATATATTTGTGCGACCATGTGTTTGTCCTTGAAAACCTTCGGTCATACTTGATGAGCCTCGTTGGTACCACACGAGCCTATGGATATGAGCCGTGCTGTCC